TAGAATAGAAGATGTTGAAAATACTTATTTCCCAATGTTTCTTTAAGCAAAACATTTAAATAAAGAAAAGACACATGTAGATGGTTTCAAGGCAGAAGTAGCTTGGGTAACTAAGTATGGTGAGAGTGATTTAAATGAACCTTTGGCCATAAGACCAACATCTGAAACTATTATGTATCCAGCATTTGCAAAATGGGTTTAAAGTCATAGAGATTTACCATTGAAAGTCAATTAATGGACAAACATTGTGAGATGGGAATTCAAATACCCAACTCCATTTATTCGAACTAGAGAATTCTTATGGTAAGAAGGACATACAGCTCATTCTACTAAAGAGGAAGCTGTTAAATAAGTTTATACTATTTTGGACTTCTATGAATAAGTATATGGTGAATTATTAGCAGTTCCTGTAATTAAAGGAGTATTAAATATAATAATATTAATAGATTAAAACAGAATCAGAGAAATTTGCAGGAGGGGATTTTACTACTACTGTAGAAACTATAATTCCATAAAATGGTAGAGGATTATAAGGAGCTACATCCCATCATTTAGGATAAAACTTTAGCAAAATGTTTGAGATTAATTTTGAAGATGACAAGAAGTAAAAAGCATATGCTTGGTAAACAAGTTGGGGTTTAACAACAAGATCTATTGGTGCTATGATTATGTTTCATGGTGATGATAAAGGATTAGTATTACCACCAAGGATTGCTAAATATTAAATTGTTATCATTCCAATCATTCATAAAGATATTGATGAGAAATAATTAAATGAAAGATGTGAATAAATAAAATAGATGTATTTATAATTTAATAAATTATTAGGTTAATTAAATAGAAATTAAGAGTTCATTTAGATAATAGAGATAATTATTCTCCAGGATGGAAATTTAATAAATGGGAATAAAAAGGAGTTCCAATTAGATTGGAAATTGGACCAGGAGAATTGAAAAATAATGAAGTTAGAGTTGTTTAAAGATTTGACAATAAGAAATATTAAATTAAAATAGAAGAATTAAATTAATTAAATTAGATTCTAGATAATATACATAATGCTATGTTTGAAAAAGCTAAAATAGAATTAAATTAAAGAATCAAATAAGCTGATAATTGGAAAGAATTTATGACTCAATTAAATTAAAGAAATACTATATTAACTAAATGGTATTTTATAAATATATATATAGGTGTGAGAGATAACAATGTGAATAATAAGTTAAAGATAAATCAGGAATGGAATCCAAAGAGAAGGATTCAGAAATTGATGGATAAGTTCAACTTACTGGTAGTGCCAAAACCTTATGTATGCCATTGAAGTAAGATGAGATTAAAGATGGAGAGAAATGTTTTCATTGTGATTAATAAGCCAAGAGATATGTTTTATGGGGAAGATCTTATTGATGAAATTAATAAAATTTTATAATATACAATTAGTATTCAAATTAATTAATAATAGTATATATAAAGATGAATTGAAAAGTATATGTGTCTATATAACTAAGATTTAAATATACATTAATAAAATATAATTAACACATTAAATTAAACTAATATATATATATATATATTTATATTTTAATTACCTTATAGATATTCCAAAATCTATTTTGACTGAAAATTTATTGTATAATTAGTAATTATTGCTATCATTTGAGGATACAGAATCCAATAAAGAGAGTATGATCAACAATAAATTTATTATAGGGTTTGTTGAATTTCAAAATAATAATATTAATTCTGAATATTAAAAAGTATAATTTGGATTTAAAATAGCAAATGAAGTAAAATATATTTTTATTTATTTTTTGACAACCTTATATTACAGTTTATTGGAATCTCATTTTATTTGAATAATAGTATGTGAAAAAATTAAATTAAATATAGATATGATTAATTAATTAAACTTGTTAAGATCATATTTATAATAAGTGGTGATAAGGTTTGTTAACTTAGATTCAAAGAAAATTGATATGAATTCTAGATACATAAGAATAGTTTCATAATATGATGAAAACTGTATCTTCTTTCAATTTATTATTAAACTATATACTAAAAGAAAATCAGAAATAAAAAGAATTTGACTACAAACTAATTTCATGTGTCTATAATTTCCATTTCAAATATACTTATTTGATTAAAATAAAAATGTTATTGAGAATCAAATTAGTATTAATTAATAGTATTAAATGAAATACTAACTTTTAATTTATTTATTATACTTTAAGGATAGTTATACAATTATTAATAATTATTAATTTTTTAGAATTGAATGGAATAAGATTCAAAATTGAGTTAGTTCATATCTCCAAGATAGAATGCATAGCAATTCTTAGATCAAAGTGAAACACAAAAAGTAAATGAATCTTAACAAAAAATGATTTCAAAGAGTAGAATTCAGAAATTTAGAACAGAAGACTTCTCTTTAAGAAGAAAACTACAAAATCAAAGCTTTTTTGGAAAAATGAAAGTAATATGTAAAGGGATGCAATAATATATTTACATATTATTAGAAGACCCTAACTCTTCTTTAATAGCTTATTGTTTGCAATTTCTATTACTAACGAGTATATTGTTATCTTGCATAGCAATTATTGTAGATTCATTAATGGAGAACAGTATGATTATTGATTTAAATATAGATAGTAATTCTTAATATGATGACATTTCATTTTATTTAGAATATTATCTATTCATATTCTTTGGTTTAGAATACATATTAAGAATGTTTAGTTCAACGGCTTTTGATTCAAAATTAATGGGATTTATTTTATCTCCCTTGAATTTAATAGATTTGCTTGCAATTATGCCTTTCTTATTTAATTTAATATTTGAAGGGGCAAGCTTATCAGGTTTAAGAGTGATTAGAATTATAAGATTTATGAGAGTATTTAGGCTATTTAAACTTTCAAGGTTTATGAAGGATATGTTAATGATTGTAAATATATGAATCACTTATAAAGGTAGATACAGTAAAGCATTCAGCTAAAGACATAATAATTTTGATTACTATGTTCTTATTTTTGGTTCTATTTTTCTCAATTGTAATGTATTATTTGGAATATGATGAAAATAATATTATTGAAGATGAATAGAAAATCAATTCAATATCTGAGGCTGTTTGGTGGTGTATTGCAACTATGACAACAGTTGGCTATGGTGATAAGGTGCCTTTGAGTGTCCCTGGAAAATTTGTAGCTTGCATAGCAGCTTTTCTTGGAATTACATCTATATCATTGTACAAAATATTAATTTTAAATAGACCTGTTGCAGTAATGGGAATGAACTTAACTTAAACATTGAAAGAGCATGAAGAAAATATAGAAATTTAAAAATTGAAGGATCAATTTGTAATGGAGAATGATACAGAATTAATCAATAATAAAAGAGAATAAACATAATTAAATCTTAAGGAATTAAAATTTATGGAAAGACGTTTAGAATAATTATTGGAAAATAATTAGAAGGTTATGGATTATGTAGAATAATCTCAAAAATTATTTGATGAAGTGACTTAAGATTTAATGAGTTTATATTCAGCCTTGACTGAATAATTAGATCTCCATATTGAAACAAAAATGAAAAATCTTAAGGCCAGACATCGAGTAACTTTAGTTTCTATTTATATAGATAATGAAAATGGAAAAGAATCTTAATCAAAAGAAATCCATAGAATTGAGTCAAATAGTATCAGCTTTTAAAGAGAAATAAAAATTGATTTCTTAAGGATCTATACTAATGTGTGAAGAGAGTTAAGCTGATGTTTTTAGTATTGCAAGTAGACAAAGCAAATAATATACTGCTAGAAAGAGTTAAAAATTAAGAAGCAAAAATACTAGAGGCTCCTATTTATGTGTCATTAATAATAGCAATCATAACCCTTTTAAAACTCAGACAGATTATAATGATCCAGATCCACATTAAAATAGTATTATCTATGCTTAGGTAAGTTCAAGAAATTCTGCCTTAAATTAAGATATGCTTATAGGTGGGAATGCAGAATTCAAATTCAATTTGGAGGAATCAAGTGGCAATATAGATGAAGAAGATGATAATGATAATGGAGTAGATCTAAGCAGTAAAATGCAAAGTATCTCAAACATTTAAGACTTTAAATTGAAAAATAGTATTAAAAATAATAATATATGAACTGCTTTGATTAATAATTTTTTGAGTATTAATCTACTGACTCCAAGGCTATTGATCAACGATATTCTTAATTTAATGACATTAAATACATAAAAAAAAGTAATGAATTCATTCAAGAAACTAATACTACTAATTAAGAATAATGTGTTTATATATCAAATAATTATTATTATGCAACACAAGGTTCATTTATATATAAAGTTGCATATGCTTGTAATGCATTTGAATTTATTAATGGATTGAAATGGCATAATTTTAAGGGTTTTGGTATTGATGAAAATCTATATTTAAAAATAAAAACCTACAGTCTCATATATGACAAATGTGTTAACAATGATGAACTAATAAAATATTTTCATAAAATCCTTCAATTAGTTTGGATTGACACATCAATTGAAAAATTATAAGCTGCTCGATTACTATATAATTGGATCAATAAAAATGAATAAAAATAATTGACAGATAAGTAAATCTGTGATTTATATTCTAATCTTTTATCAAAAATAAAATCATTAAGTATTACATAATTATTATCCATAATATAATAGAAAATAAATAAACCTTTAAATAGAGAGTTCATATTATGAAAATAGACTTTGTAATATTCCAACTCTATGAATATCAACATTTTCCTGATTTCAAAAAAAATTGCAATGTGTATTCATTTATCTTTAATATAGATGTAAAGCCTGTTAATAACATAAATCAAAGTATTTTTGTGGAGGTTGTTTTATATTTACAGGTAAAAGATGGAGTTTATGTTTGGATGGGTGCTTTAGTAAATTTCATTAGGATCCAAGTAAATATTTAATTAGAAAGAGAATGAAATATATTAAATGATGTATGTTGAATTTCATTACTAAAACTGGGATGCAAATTTATTAATCATATTTAATTGTTATTCTAATTGTAAAGGAGCACAACGTTTTAATAAATTAATTATTAAAATAGCATCAGCACCTTTAATCCAAATCCTACCATTTTTACCCACACAAACTTCAAAACTAGAATGTTTGCTTATCTCTTTAAATAATTCTGGTTTTGTTTAAGAACTTAAAAGACTTTAAACAAAATTCAAAGGCAAATCAACAATGACTCCTCCAATTAATTCTCGAAATAGATTTTCTCCTGTTGTCTATATTATAAATATATTAATACCCATTCTTTTTTACTTTATGGATTTATGCATGATAATTTGCCCTTTAAATAATGATTCAATTCTATGACTCTAGCATATAAAAATTATCCAACTTAAATGTTTGGTTTATTCTTTTTTGTTGCTCCTTCAAAATCCATTTAATTTAGATTATATACTAAACCATTACCAAGATCACAAAAATAATATTCGCTATTCTTACCAGTAACTTATACAATCACATAGTCTTCAATTTCAGGTGTATAATATATAGGATTATGACAAATTGCAATTTTTTATTAATCTAACCAAAACCATCCTGCATGTTTAGTTTCTATTTCTAATGATTTAGTGATATTGACATCTTGCTTATTTGTTTTTATTGTATTGCCAATAACTAAACTTTTGAGTGGAATTTTTTCTCCAGGCAAAGTTATATATACAAGAGCACTTTACATTAAATAATTTAATTTATGGCCGCAGAATTTAAATTTATAGTTGACAGAGCTATTTAAAAATATCAAAGATAAATAGATTGTCTATAAATAAAATAATAAAAGTGTTAAGCCTAAGTGGAGGATCTATATAAGAATGATGAAAAAATAAAAAATGCATTATTAATTGAATGTAATAAAGATATCAATAATTTCAATAACTACTTATAATAATATAGACAATAATAAATAAATTCAATGACAGAAATTTGTTATCAAGAATTATAATTATTTAATGATATAAATTCATTAGAATACAAAACGGCTAAAAGGAATTGTATAAGAAATTAATTACTTAACAATGTTGTGTTTGAATAGAATATATAATTAAAGTTAAATGGAATGTAAGTTTGAAGTATTGATATAAAAAATAATAACAAAAATTATGAATAATGGTGATTCAGATATCAATGTAAATTAAATAGATTTTTCCTAACATTCTACACTTTATTCACATTATATGGTTTTTTGGCTGCTTAAATTAATTCCTACTAAGCTTCATGTAGAATATCGCAAATGCGATTTGCTGCATTTTTCTTACTATGAATAATAACAGTATTGGGACAAGTTGTATTAGACTATAATAATTATAAATAGAATTACATCACTCTATATTGGAGTAGTTAGAGATGAGTTTTCAATTTCTTTAGTCAACATTTCACTAAATTCATTAATTTCCTATTCATTTTGAAAATCCTCATCTCTATAAAACTATTAAAATTATTATTATGTTATTATGTTTTCTTAAAGGAGTGTCTCCAAAACTACTTATCTACTTGATAATCTTGATTAATGTTTTGGTTTTTAACTGGGAGATAACATTGGAGAATCATCAAATTATTATGAACAAAAATTAAATTGTCTATTTAATTGAACATCTTCCATTTCATCAGATGAATCCATAATGCTTGATCTAATTGTATTAAAGGTTTCTAATAAATTTAAATTAGAATTTTAAGATAAATGATTTTGTTTTTAATATGGTTATGAATTGAGTAGTCTATAGAATTCACTTTCTCCAAAGTAATTGATGAAAATTTCATTAAACAAGAGTTCTTGAACTGATTAAACATTAGTATTAATCATATTCTATATAATATCCTATTCTTCAGGAAATCTAGAATTTTTAATTAACTAATTTACTTAGAAATTAAGTATGACTTGATTAATTGAACATCTTAGAATATTTCTTTAGAATATTCATTCGTCATTTTTTCAATCATACTATTGTCTAAAACATCCATATTGCAATTATCATCCAACAAAATTATGTTAGAGACCTATTAAAAAATTAAAACGAATTTTACTAAAAAGTGATTTAGAATGAACCCTTCATTATGATATTTGTACAACATTTTTAATAAACCAAAATATGATTATTCGAAGGGCAACTCATGAATCATCTTTCCATTCAAATATGAAATAACTATGTAGACATATTGTTTATCTTCATATAGATATTCATGTTTTTATTTTCTAATTATCTATTTTAAATATTCCTTTCCTTCTGATTTCGGATACTTTTTTATTGATTTTATCATCCCACTCTTTTTATCTCTTGCTTACAACACCTATTAAATTACAACAAATATTACCTAAAATTTTTCTAAGTCAAACAACACTTTTTCAATTTCATAATACAATTAAATATCCAAATGCATACATTTTTAATCAATCACCTTGTAAAACTACTGTAAATTTGGCCCGTTGACATTTATTTAACCAAATTTATTTTAAAGAGTTACTCCTCTCTCATCTAAAATAACATAAGTTTCCAATAAATTTATATATGAACTAGAGGCAAACAATTGACCTGAGATAACTTTAAATCTCTCTAAGTTGTTTTCACAGTATAGCTCAAAAGTTTATTCCTTCAATTTAAGAAAAAATATTTACTTCTTCATCATCCAAATTCAATTGCCATTTATCATAAATTGGATTCCAAAAGGATTCAGCAAATATAGAATCTTAAATCATTTTTCTAAATATTTTTTTTTAATAATTATCATTTTATAGCTTTTAATAAATACTTATATAGCCTCTCATATCATTTTCGAATTTTATATATATATATATAATACAAGTCATTTAATACCCAATTTAATTAATCAATTATTACATATTTATAAGATTAGATCATTATTTACTAATTATATTTTTCATTATCAATTCATCTTATAAATAATTTCTTTTAAACTTTCATTCCATTCAAAAAATACTGAATTTTTATTTATTTTTCAAATTAACTCATTAAGGTAACTCTGATAATGTAAATATATTCATTAATTCAATAATAGACAGTATTTTCAAATTATGTAATCTATCCTTTTAATTCGATTTAATAGTATTTTTGTAAAATTATAACCCTACTATCATCATCATAAATAATACCTATAGTAATAGTAATAATGAAACTTATTTTTTATATATTTATCATTTTAAACTATGCAAATAACTGATTTGAATTATTTTAATTAATGAAAAATTAGAATAAATATCAAATAAACAGAATAGTGTGTCATTATTAAAAATTCATATATTTAAATGTAAACTATTAAATTCAATAAAATATTTGTCATCAAAGTCTATTTAATTTATTTAATTCATTTTAATTCATATTAAATACTAAAGTAGACATATTTATAAACCCAATCAATTGTAAAGTTGTTTTCATCAAATCTATAATTTATAAACTAGATTATATATTTATCATAATTTGATGTTAGATTAATAAAATATAGAGTTGAAAATTTAGATTTTCATTCAAAAATAATAATTATTATTCTAATGAATAAATTTACAGTCATTTATTAAGTATATTTATTCTTTATTTAAAACATACTAAAAGTTATGCTTAATTAATTATTATTGATTTAGTTTATTCTCTTTATAAATTATTTATGATACTGATAGAAAATATTCTTTAAATTGATTACAATATTCAAATATTGCAGTTTTATAAAAATCTATTTCTGTGATTAATAATTCAATTCACTAATAATTACAAAATTGATTATTCAAATAATAATTTTATCTACTCTTTTTTTTTTAATTTTCATTCAAATGTGGTGAGCTTTCTATAAAATTTGATTAATCATGTATGAATTAGTATCAATATATCTAAATCTATATGATAACATAGTTGATTTTTTAGAAATTCTAATTAAAATAAATAAGTAAAATCAAATCATTTATTCTTGATAAGATAAAGAAATAATAAAAATTATCAATTATTAAATTATAAATTGTGATTAACAATTAATGTTAACAAGAAGAAAAAGTTCTGAATTAATTGAACCAGATATCGTTAAAAAGATCAAAGGAAACGATGAGAGCAACTTGAAAGCATATATTAAAAATAAATAGACCAGAAAAATTTTGGAGGTAAGAATTTAACATTAACATGAAAGAGTCGAGGTATCACAAATTTATTTCCAATTCAATAATAATGTTTTGAAACAATTTATAATGGAGATGATATAATAGGGTAGGACAGAACTGGTTCAGGTAAAACACTTGCATATTGTCTCCCAATACTAGAAAGAATACGAGGATTAGGATTAAAATAAAATAAAAATCCTTATGTATTAGTATTATTACCAACAAGAGAATTAGCTATCCAAGTAACTACTGAATTTAATTCTATTTTACATAAAGAAAATGAATATAGAATTTATAGTATATTTGGTGGTACAGATCTTAGAAACTAAATTGATTAAGTGAGATAAGGATGTGAAATTGTAGTAGGAACACCTGGAAGAATATAAGATCTTTTAGAAAGAAAGGTTTTAAAATTAGATGAAATTTAAGTAGTTGTTATGGATGAAGCTGATTAAATGTTGAATTTTGGATTTTAGGAAAACATTGAAAAGATCATGTCATATTTCAATGATAGAAAAATTTAAATGCTTTTATTTAGTGCTACTATACCTGATTGGGTAAAAGAATTATCATAGAAATATATGGAAAGTAATACTAAACATATTAATTTGATTAAAAGAAATGAGGTAATTCTATTGATCTTAATATTTAGACTTAAACATCAACAACAGTCAAACATTATGCTCTATAATGTGCAAGAAATTAATTAACTGGTGCAATAGGTGATGTTGTTTCAGTTTATGGTGGAAGACATGCAAGAACAATTATCTTTTGTGAAACTAAAAGAGAATGTAATGAAATTATTTTACATTCTAAATTACCTGCTGAAACATAACCATTACATGGAGATATTCCTTAATAACAAAGAACAGTTACATTTGAAGGATTTAAAAATGGAAAATTCAAATGTTTGGTTGCAACTAATGTTGCAGCTAGAGGTTTGGATTTCCCATAAGTAGATTTGATTATTTAATGTAATCCTCCTAAAGACATTGAATCATATATTCATAGATCAGGTAGAACTGGAAGAGCTGGAAAGGATGGAATATGTATCACTTTTTATTCAAAGAAGGATATGAGTTTAATTGAAAGAGTTGAGAGAGTAGCTAAAATTAAATTCATTAAAATTTCTGCTCCTCAACATTAAGATATTATTAAAGCAAGCTCAAGAGATTTATAAACTAGTTTATAAGTAGTTAGTAAAGAAATTGTTGATTTGTTTTAACCTGTTGCTTAAGAAATCATATCTAGATGTGATCCTGTAGAAGCTTTGGCTAGAGCCTTAGCATGTGTTAGTGGATATAAAGACAAACTATAGAATAGATCTATGTTGGGATCTTTTGAAGGATATATAACATATATTTTAAGAACATCAACTCCTTTCTAGGCTTGTGGTTACATTTGGAAATTCCTAAAGAATAATTTTTCAGAATAAATTTGCAATAGTATTAAGGGAATGAAAAAATTAAGAAATGAGAATGGTGTTGCATTTGATATTAGTGAAGATGTCAAAGAAGAATTTGAAAATCAATATTAGGAGATAAGTTAAAATGGATATTGTAGAGGAATAGAAATTGAATAGGCTACAACACTTCCAGATATAATTGAAGAATAATTTTAATCACATCAAAATTATCATTAATAACCAACAGTTTAAGTTTCATAAACTGTTAAAAAAGAATAAGAAATATTTATTGGAGGATTAGATTTTAAGATTACAGAAGATGAAATAAAAAATGAATTCAAAAATAAAGGAGTTGAATTATTCAATCTCAGATTATTAAGAGGTTAGGATGGTTAATCAAAAGGATCTGCTTTTGGAGTATGTAGAACTAAAGAAATGGTAGCAGTGGCATTAAAATAAAATGGAACTAAATTTAGAGGTAGAAATATTCGTGTAAATATGGCAAATGAAAAACCAAAATGATAATTTTGTATCTGTATATAAAGTAAAATATATTATTGAAAAATAAATAATTCTTAAATAGGATATATATATAATATTTGCTTATTAAATGTAATTTTTATATTTCAATACAATTTATAATTACATTTTTAATGCTAAAATAGAAGTTGGTTTTATTATAATAATAGAGAAAAGAACTAGAGAATCATATTGAACAATTAAATTAATAACTATAAGTTTATTATGATAAAGGATATCATAAATCATTAATAGATGAAGAAGGATTTCCTAGATAAGATCTAGATTTTGGTGAATTATCTACATATAAAAATTTAAGAAGAGAATTCAATGAAAAAAATAATGATTACAAAGATTTAATGAAGCTTCTTGAATAAAGTATGTATTATTATAATGTTTTAGCTATGATATCATATCATTAGGATTTGTAAAATGATCCCAATCTCAATAATGAAATAGAAGCATACACCTAAAAATGGAGAGAATAACAGCAATAACATTCAAAATAATAATAATAATAACAATAGTAATAATAACAATAATAATAATAATAATAATCAAGTAGTTAATAAAATTGGAAGAATGAATATTCCAAATAAAATGAAAATGATTTAATTAAACCTTTTGCTTATTTAGAAGATGTGATTAAAGATTCACCTGCAGATAAGGCTGGTTTTAAAATTAATGATTTTTTGATTAGATTTGGCATAATAGATCATAGCAATCATAATAAATTATAAAATCTTTATGAATACATAAAAAATCAATAAAATAAATAAATAAATGTAAAAATAGTTCGTTTACTTACACCTCAAGTAAGTGTAATAAACATTGACTTTTCAAAAGAATCATATATCATAATGGATTTAACTATAACACCATAAGTATGGAATGGAAAAGGTTTATTAGGATGGAAAATGAACATGATTTGAATTATCTAGTATATATTGTAATTTAAATATAAAGACTTATTATTCATACCATGCTATCTGAATCATTTTTCTTTATAATTAAGCTTTGCTCAATATTTCTTTCTTAAGCAGAGAAGGCTTCATATTTTATAAGCATTTTCATTTCATTTTACAAATGGTTGATTTTATAATCATATATCTAAGTATTTGTTCTTTCTAATTTATCAAAGTCTGTTTAAGATATTGTTGAAGGTCTTAACTACATAAATCTAAAATTAATTGTTGAGATTATACTTAAAAAAGGATATGATTATAGTGACTATAGAAGTACCTAAAGTAATGTAAATAGACCAACCCAAAGTTATCTATTTTGAGATTGTCATTTTATAGAGGAACGTTAATTACAAAGTCAATTAAGGAACATCTTCAAATATAAATTTTATGAGATAATTCTATTTAATAATATAAAATAACAATAATTACTTTTATTGATTTATTCAAACTTTTACCAGCAACATTAGGTATCAATTTTCTAATAAACCATTTATTAGGAAATACACTTACATTATATGGTGCTACTGTATCTAAGATTTAAGCTAAAGCAGCATTTCTTCCAACAGTACAAAGATCAAAAAAATCATTTATGGTTTATGTTGATAAATATTTAGTTTGTAATTTAATTCTTTAGATTCTTCGAATAAGTATTTCAATAAAATATATCAAATATATTGCTAAATTAAATACTGTAATAATTAATGCAGCATAATATAATGTATCTTGTTTACAATTAAAGCAGTTTATGATAAATACAACATCGTTATATAGATCATATTTTGATAATTGAGATAGAGTGAGAGTAATTAAAAATTGAATATTCTAAGCAAAAGAAGAATTCATAAACTCCTTTATATTGCTATTAAATCTTGTAATATAATCTTTGCTATTTTCACTATTCTCTTTTAAATGATGTTATTCATCTAATGGAGTCACTCTGTTTTGCTAAATGAATCCAAAAATGGATTGTCTCTATACATCCTAATTATCTTAATTATAATTATCAATATCAATTAATTTAGAAACATGAGAAGGAATTAATGCAACTATTTATTTGTATAATAGAGATTCAAAGATAAGTGTAACAACAGCAAATCCATAATATGAATAGGTTGCAATTTAATTAACTCCTTTCTTGCACAAATCTTCTTAGCTATCTAAATCTTTGATAGTAAGTAATATTGGAGATCCAATACACATAAATAAATAGATTAAAGTCAATACAACCAAAAAGTCAAAATACAATAATGAACTTTGTAGTTTCTAATTTAATTATTTAATTTCTAAAGAATAAGAATATTTATTTGCATCTGAAACAAATATTGATAACAAGAAATATAGAATTTTCTTAAAGAAAATGAGGATTTTATATTAAAAATTGATTCCATAAACCAATGCTCTTATTGAATAACCAATTCCATTGTTTAAGACTCTTCTATGATCATATGATATATGAGAATATTAAAAATAGTTACTTTCATATAAAATTGAATATATTCCTTTAATTGCTTATAAGGTTAAACTATTTTAAATAATTATATGAGATGGTGGTACAACTCTAATCAATTTAACTATATCTCTTTCGGTATAATCATTCTCTAATAAATATTCAATTAAATCATCATCTAAAGTATATTCAATTTCAACTAAATCTAAATTGTTTTTCTTTGAAATTACATCTATATAGAATTTCCAAATATCCTATTATTTAGGTTTCTCAAGTGTTGGAAAAAAGGTTTCTACAAGTGTTATTTTAGATATCTGTGAAGTACTAAAGAATTCTTAACATTTTTGATTAAATAATCCTGAAAGAGGGTAAGGATTACCACTACCATTATCAGGATACTAAAACAAATTAAATAATTAATCCAAACAATAATAAGAAAATGAATATTCCTTTTCTAGAGTCAATTATGGTAATATTTATAAAAAGTGATTAATAAAATTAAGATGATAAGCACTAAATTTTACTTCATTAAGATTCTACCAACAATCACACAAATTTATTCTTCTTTGCAACTTCAAAGTTTTCTCTATATTTTTTTACAAAATACCAAATGATTATATCTTACCTTCAACTTTTCCCCAACCAACATATTTTGTTCTTTTAAAAGGTAAATCAGATATAATTTTAAATTTATCTTTTCCTGGAATTGTATTTACATTATACATCGAATTTTTTAAACTAATATTATCACTTCTAAATTTAATTATTCTCAGATTTCCAAATTGTTTAACTCTTTCATAGATAGGAGCCATAAATTATTTAATTTTATTTTCTTCATTTAATTCACAATCTGTTACATCAATATCTTTTAAATCAACAGACTTATGAAAAAAGAAATATTTGCTTAGAAAATACCATCCTATTTGATTTAAAGATCTATTTTATGAGAAATTTATTTCTTTTAAAGGATGTTAATAATTTTAACCTTATTTTTTGAAAAATTAAAATGCACAATTAGCAATCAACTTTGCAATATGATTCTTTATATCCATTCCATTTAAAAACAGATGGGTTAACATAGGTGTATATTCACTAAATAAAAATGTCTTACATAAAGACTCCCAAGTTTCTACTGATCCAAAAGTATCATTATATGAAAAATTCAAACATATAAAATCAAATACTTTCAAAGTTTAAAACTATAACCATTCTAAGCTAGTTTCAATCAATTTTTAAATCATTTTGTTTGATAAATTAAGTTACACTAATTCAAGTCTATCTAATTTGATATACTGAAAGAATATTAAATAGCGACATAATTCTTAGAATGCTTCTTCATCAATATTTTGAGATTTACTTAAAGTAAAACGCCTTAAAGATAGAGGCTTTTAAACATTTTCACTAAATTCTTCAGCTTATTTTATTAATTTAAAAATTTATGTTACTGTAATATTGCATTATATTAATATAAGTTCTTTTAATTTAGATTCTTCGTTATAAATTATATACTTTGATAAATAGAACAAGAAATCATTTGATATTTTTTTATTAGAACTTGATTCAAATTGTGCATTAATTTCAAGTTTAATTAAATTTTTAAAATTATCACTTAGAAGTTTATTGTTGAACTTTTATAATCCTTTAGATGATTTATATTTAAGTTATTGCCATTAAAATATCTTATTACTCAAAAAATATTGTATAATGATATCTTATTCTTCTTCTACTATTTCATCTATTTTAGTTATTAATTTACAATTTAATACAATAGTTTCTGCATTATTAAACCAAGTAATTGATTCTTTTAAATTTTAGATTCTTACACTTTAAAATTTAACTTCTTATAATGTTGTAGCTGTTTAAGATATAAATTCTAATAATTTAGGAGTTAGATCTACAACTGTTTTAAGTTTAAGAACATTTAACTTAGGAATACTATTCATTAAATCAATATTTTCAAATAATAAACTTCCACTCTAAGTACATTCTATTTCAAAATGTTATAAATTTTAACTCTCCAAAAGATATTTAGAAAATGATTGAAGGAATTAGAATGAATCTTTATTTTCTATTTTGAAAATTAATTTTTAAATTTATGGGGTTATATTACTTAGATTTTATTTAACAAATTTTTCATCATCTTTAAATTAAATAGATTCTGATATCTTTAATTATTTTATTGGTAGTTTTTTTCCAAATATTATATAATTTAGAAATTAATTTGATTAATTTTAATTAAGATATTCATTTACTCTTATTAAATGTAATTTAGTTATTTTTAATTTACCTTCAAATTTATCTAAAAAGTTAAGTAATCCCTCTATAAATCCACTTTGTGCATCAGCAATTTTTAAAGATACTAAATTATTAATGAATAATTAATAAAAGGATTATGTATTTAATGAATCATTAAATTTTATAGAAGAAATTGTTATTTTTTTAATATTTGTAAAAGTTTATTTTTTTAATTTATCTTATTTTGATAAATCTGAATATATAAGAAGTTTTTCAGAAGTATTTATAAATAAATCTAGATCTACATCGCTTATTTTTAAATTAGTAATTCTACTTTTTGGATAATAAATTAAACCAGCTAACATTCTATAATAATAATTAATCTTTTCTCTTTCATTTTCAAATTCAGTAAAAAATTTTATTGCCATTTCTTAGATTCTTGAAGGAGGTGATTATATAAATTTATCAGGAGCTATTTAAATTTTATCTTATAAATTTAGATGATTTTATTCTATAAAATTATGTAATTTCTATTCTTATTATTAAAAATCAGTATGTTAGACCAAAATTTTAGTTTTTTTTTATCGTTTCAATTCTTTAGACATTATAAGTTGATAAAACTAAATATAAATAATATATTACTTTTCTCCATAAAGTACTTTTTATTTAATTATTATCAGAAAAGTCAATAGTTTACAAGAACTTTTTTGATAATTGTTCTTATTCAATACAATTTGAAATTAAATCAATTAAACCTTAAAAGAATTCATCATTTAAAGAACAATTTTATAACACTAATTATTCTAATTGACACCTTAAATCCTTTTCTTCTATTAGTTCTGAATTAAAACAAACATATTCTAAAAATTTTAAAAAGGATTTAATATTTTTTTGTAATTTTAATTTTTTCATTATTAGAATTGATAATTAAGATTTAATTAATTATTAAGAATCTTTTAGTCCTGTAACTAATTTGTCTAAAGTTTTCTCAAAACCTTTACATTATATTATTTATAATTGTTCTAAATCACAATGAGGATCAAGAAAAAAGAATTATAATATTTCACTTGAAAAATTACATTCAAAAAATGATAATTTAGAAATGAAATAAAATAATTATTTTCCTTTCTCATCCTATTATTGACGTAATAAAAAATATTTACTGAGTGATTTTGCTAAATCTTCATTGATATCAACTTTTTTGAAATTTAACTCTTCAAGTTTTGGAGATGCTAAAATAATTTTTAATGGTAAATCAAATTTCTTAAATTTATTATAAAGACATAGTTTTTTTAGTGAATCAAATTAAAAAGATAAATCCAAATCATATTCAAAATCACTTATTTGTAGATATTATAAATCTAGAAACTAATTGAAAATACAATAATCAGAAAATATCTTAAATGCTTTGTTATTCATATCTGTATTATCCTTAAATTTTATAGTTTATAAATCTAGATTATCATCTTTGACAGGTGATACATAATGTTCATGAGATAATTAATCATAAGTTAAACTTAAATTAGCAAGACTAATATAATTTAATTTCACTTAATTATTAGTAATAAAGCATTTTAGAAACAAAGATATATTCATTTATAATCCAATAATTTATAGATCTAATTTTCTTAAAGCAAAATATTTTATATCAGGTTATTTTTCTAAGAATTTACTCTACAACAAAATTTAATCAAAGTATATTGTATCATTAAAATTGTCTTCTTTAAATTACAATGTTTCCAAATCAAATGTTCTTTATGCCAAAAACACTTAAAGTATTTTCTCTGTTAATTTATCAGTTACAAAAGTATTTTTAATTAAAAGATTCTTTAAACTAAATGTTCTATATGTATCTAATGAATTTAAATATTATTAAAATATAAAGCAATTTGAGTCTAATTCAAAACTGCGAGAACTAAAATATACTGTTTATATTGATATAGCTTCATTTTCTTAAGTAAAAAACAATTCATTCATTAATTATTTTAGAATATCCTCTCCTAATTATTGATTTTATTTTTTTATTGTTATTGATTGTAAATTTAATTATTTTGTTGTTCTGTATTACTTTTTAAAGTTTTAAATTGCATTAATATAACTTTAACATATCCCATCAGTTAATGGATTGATTACTAAACTTTTAATATTACTAAAGGAATTAAAAACAACAAATTTTAATAAGTCTTCTAGTAAATCATACTATTAAATATTCTCAATTGTGCTTAAATCTATTGATTCCAAATTCAATCTTTCTCCTTATTTTATTCTATTTCTAAAAGATTAAGCAAAATGGTACAATTTAGCTAAAAGTGATTCACTATTTTAAAATGTATTTTCAAAGGCAAAATACTTACAAGATTTAGAGATAATTTCATCTAAGAGTATTTATAATGCAGATTCATCTATGGATGAATTATTTGATAAATCAAGTTCCAATAGTCTTAGATAAGAATAACGATTACCAATTAATGCTTTGCAAGTAGATTGAGTTAATTAATTTAAATTATTTAAACCTAATTTTAAAAGTCCCTTTGCTTTTGCTAAATTAACAAATAATGATTCAATTAATGTATTTGGACCAAGATAATTATTTGAAATATTAAGTTCAGAAATAGTTTCTAAAGCTGATTCACTATAACAAGTTTATATTAAATATTCAAATCCTTAATAATTTTATTCAGTAAAGCAATTACTTAAATTAAATGAATGATATTTCATTCTTTTCAATTTCTTTTATATGTATGAGTAACTTTTTTCATCAAATAATCTTTTATTATATAAGATTATTGATTTATATTAGTGATTGATGCTTAAATTTAATGTAAATTATTTTTCTAAGAAATTGGATAAATTTTATAAGTATTTTCCTCTAAATATACCAGGATTATTAGATATGAGTAACTAAGTATACTGAGAGATCTTACATATTTTAAATTTAATTTGCTTTTAATTAATTCATGAGTAAAATCATTGAGACTATGATCATCAAGTTCATTATGATTAAATTCAATTTCTATTCCTTATGGTTAAAGCCATATAAGCAATTTCAATAATAATTAAAGATGATCTAGACCTAATTTTGATTTAGTAAATTTCATTTTTTTCAACTATTCACAAAATCTTAATTATTTTTCTATGTAAATCCAATATTCAATTTTAAAATTGCCTTAAAAATTGCAAAATCGTAAATTTCCATTCCATTATCTATTTTGAAGAAGAATCTTAATAATAAACAAAAAATTACATCAAACTATTTCATTTACTTTTACAGTTAAGTATCTGGATCAAATTTAAACATTCTTTTAATTTCTAATTAAGCTACTTATTAGATATGTCGTTTCGAAGATCTTTCTTAATTGGCAGTTTTCTTGAGAGTATTAATATATTCTTCCATTAAATAATTATAAATATATTTTATAATGGAAATGATTATTTCAACAGAATAACTAAGATATCATTAATTACTAATAAATTCTTTAGTAACTAGTCATGAATATTAACTACAAATTAATAAATGAATTTAATCTCTATTATCCATATGCATTTATTTATTATATAAATAAATTGCTGTTTTAATAATGTAAAGAGATTTAGCTATATTTCCAAATACACCCTAGATATAATGTCTATTTAATCCAAGTACCATTCATCCTATGACTGCTTTTGTTGCAAGATCATGTTATAAGTATAATCAACTCTAAAGAAACAAATAATAAAGAATCGTTATATAACAAATACCTTAAAAATAAAGACCAAAAGAGAAGAGGGCTATTTCTTTACCTAGAACTTTATAGGCTATAAAAAAATAATAATTTGAATGTATTTTATTTTAAATAATATAGCATTAAGAAGATCATCTCATTAAAAAGATTAGACATTAAGTTTAGTATTTTCTGATTTTAAATAGGAGGATTTAATCCTATCAAATATAGATAAATTTTATAATATGTAGCATAAATTATAAACAAGTAATGATGATTTAGTTGAAGAAAGGAAGGCAAATCTAAATGAAATAAAACGATCAACTTCTAAAATAAAGAATGTTATAGAGAATGATAAAACAAAAACAATTTTATAAAATATATTAGGTGGAATGTAATAGAAGGTTGATGAAGTTGCACATGAAAATCATATGAGAATAATGGGAATGCAAATAAAGTCATTTAAATTACAAGAATAATAATCAATTAGAAGTAAAGCATGGTCTCAAGAAAAAGAGAGAGAATCATCAAAATCATTTGTTGAAAAAAGAGATTTTCATACTCGTTCAGTTTAAAAGAAAAGACATTAATCACCTTAAAACAAAAATAAAAATGTATCATAATAAACTATTAAGACAAATCAAAATTTCAGATTTTCATTAACAGATTATTCTTCATTAAGTAGAGAATAGTTGTTCTAAATGAAATTACTAAGTTACCATTATTTGATTTTTATAGTTTCTACATAGAGTAATTTTTATGTTTAACCATCTGAATATGTGATAGATTTAAAATTTAAAGTAGGTAAAGGAAATAATAGTTTATTAATAAAAGAATTATTTAAATCTAGATGGTGGTGGAATCTAAATTAAGATGCTGAAAATAAAGAATTAAATTTTATTTGGACATAAATTAAGGTTCCATAATATATGAATCTATAAGAATGGAGCAAAGAATCATTTATTACTAGATAAAAATCATTATCTTAAACATCTATAGATTTTAAAAAATAAAAAAGAAAGCAATCTCCAAAAAGTAATAAATAAATTTAAAAATTTGGAACATATCATGATCCACTTTAAAAATTAATTCTTGTATAGGATTTGAATGAATTAAAATCTATGGATAAATCAATTTAAAATTTTATTTAATATGTTGAAAAAAAAGAATTAAAAATAATTGATAATGTGAATAAAGTAATCATATATATTATAATTATTTAGATTCATAATCATATTGAAAGAAATTATCATTTGGGTAATAAGAAAGCTATGTTTCATAATATGAAGAAATATTATGAATTAACAAAACAGGAGTTATTTCTTCATTTACCTATAACTTTTCATGTTTCTGGTATCAAAGATAAATAATATCAATAATTTATGGATTATTATAAATAAAAGTATTTTAGATGTATTTATAAGGAAGGGAAATAATATTTGGATAGTGAAGCCAGGAGAATTCACTAATAGAGGAAATGGAATCATTGTATGTTAATCCTTAGCTGAAATTAATAAAATAGTTAGCAAAAAATAAATTCATCCTAATGGTAAACCATTTACATATTTGATACAAAAATATATTGAAAAACCCTTTCTATATAATAAAAGAAAGTTTGATATAAGATGTTATTTTTTGATAACATAGTTAAATAGCATTATTAGAGCCTACTGGTATGAAGAAGGATATATAAGAACTTCAAGTGAAGAATTTGATATCAAAGATGTGAGTAATTAGTATGTACATTTAACTAATGATGCTATACAAAAATATAGTGAGGCTTATGGAAAATATGAAAATGGAAACAAGTTGTCTTTTGCTGAATTCTAAAGATATCTCGATAAATGGCATAGTAATGAACATTTGAATTTCTATAAGGATTTATACCCTTAATTGAAGATAATCACTTTGAATGCTATTAAATCTGTATATCATAAGATTGAACCATATAAAAGAAATTACAATTTTGAAATTTTTGGATTAGATTTTATGATAGATGAGAAATTCTAACCATATTTAATTGAAATCAATACAAACCCTTGTTTAGAGCTTAGTTCTCCTTTGTTAGGTAGAATTATTCCTGCAATGGTTGAGAATGCTTTCAGGTAATTGAATTTATAATCAATAACATAGATTATCTATAGATACATTGATTCCTCCACCAGAATAGTCTTAATGGCCACCTAACAAGAAACATTTATTATTTTATGATAATATGTTAGAAAATAATAGATTTTAATTGATTTTTGATGAAAGAGAAGATGGCTAAGAATTAAAAGTATTATATAGCAATTAATTAAATGATGATTAAATAGATGAAATGGATGAAGAAGAAGAAGAATATCAATCTGATGTTGATTGATTCAAATAAACTTAAATTTATACTTATATGCTTTCTTCTTTTTATATTTGTTATTTCATATATAAATATTTAAATACAATACTATAATTATTTCTATTTATTTAATATTGATATTAGACAAGATTAAATTATTAATCTATATATATAAATATTTATTTAATTAATATAATTAAGACTATTTCTTTATATTCACATTATACTACAATTACAAGCAGCTTTGGTATCTCTTCTAGATTCTAAATTCTATAACTGTGAAGGTTCCTTTTTATCTGTATCATCAAAATAAAATACTTTCTTTTCATAATATCTCTTTTATTATTAATATATACCTTAAATTACTTGCTGAGTATATAAGAGATGGTTTTGATATTTATTTTGTCTATCCAATCAAAGTAATTTCATTAAGCTTAAATGAAATTGCTTAAATTTAAAATGTTTATGATGCATTGCCTCCCAAAATAATAAGTGCTTTATGTTTAAAAACATCATCAACCATTTTTGTAACTGACGCATTGTAAAAATGATTATAAAACTTCTCAGTTGCAACTATATTTTGATATTTTATAGTAAGAGTATCAACTATAGAGAATTTTCCGAAATTCAAACTTAAATTGGCTTAATCTGTCATTGAAAACTATTCAAATCTATTATAATCAAATTACTAGTTTGGCTCTAGCGATATGTTCCAGAATCAATTTTAAACTAACATATTCACATGTTTAATTAGCTTCTATCAACTCTTAATCAACTTCTCTTTCATATTCTAATAAAGGATTTCCACCCATTATAAAAATATATTTTTGATCAACTGATCTATGTTCAGCATCTACTTTCTCTTTTTCTCCATTATCTTTATCTTACCATATCAGTCCTTTATCTTTAATTAAATCAAAAACTATAGGATTCATTCTTGATTTTGTCATTGTCATTGTTAATACAGGTGTTAATGTAACTTCTCTTCTTTTTATTTCAAAAACTTTAATTGTTTTTAATGGTTTCTTTTCTCCTCTTTATAAATGATGTCCTCCAATTACAAATAACACACTTTTCCATTAATATTCATGTTCACATTCAATCAAATATAATAATGGATCTTATCTAGGTTTATCCTCATTCAGATTTAATGAAACTAAAGGTTTATCCTTATTATCATTTATTAACATGTCTGAACTATATATATGTACTTTCCCATATTTATTATCATAGATATAGAATCTTCCTGTGGTTTTCTCTTGAACTATTGATAATGATGGTCTCTATCCACTAAAATCTTAAAGTTTTAAATGTTTCTCCCATTGAGTATTATTCCCTAAATGTTAGCTAATTAAAATGAGACTCTTAGGAGCAATAAAACACAATTTAGAAATCTGATTTTTATATAGTCTAACATATTGTTTCTTTGTTGGCAAAATTTCCTTTATAACAGATGCTCCACTGGCTTTTTATTCTCTTTCTTTTCTTTTAATTCTAGCTATAAGAAATATTACTAAATTATTATATACTTTTGTCAAGATGTTTAGCTTCTTCATAAGAAATGCCTTCATTCTTAAAAATTGTCTTATAATTATAAATTAAATTGAATGTGACAATTTCTGGTATTTTCGTTAACAATTAAACTTCTTGAAAAAAGTTAGGTTTATCTTCCTAAGATTCTTCTACAATTTATTCTTTCACTTATGATGTTTGAAGTAGTACAGGATTATAAAATGCTCTTAGTTATTCACATAAAATTAATACTAATTTCCTTTTATAATATTATCTATAGTAAGACTAGAATCATCTACAGGCTTTTAAATCATCTTACTTTCATGCTTTTGTTACTAGGTACCATAAATATTCCTACATATTTATAATTTAATACCTATTCAAATTTATCATGTCATTAATGTCTATACTATCACTCATTTTAATTAATTTTTCACATTATATACAAAAATTTGATTACTAATATTATAGAATACAACAAAAATTAGTTTTGTGTTTCTGGGGTTAATGATATTAATATTTATCTATATTAACATAATAGCTTAAATTTTTAGATGATAAATAAGTTATAAATTTTCATTTAAAATAAAGTTATTAATTTAATTTATTGAATAAAATTGTTCTAATTAGTATTCATTATTTTTATTCTTACTAATTTTATTATCTAGCCATTTCATTTCGTATTGCATATTTGTGTAAAGGATTTTAATTTAAACTAAAAGATTTAGCTTGAGTAGAATTCCCTTTTGAATTTCCTTCATTTAATGTATTATTTCCATCATTATTACTAAATCTAGAAGGCTTCTGTTGTTATTATTCATTTCTATTTAATTATCTACCTTATGCAGATGGACTATTGAAACTGTTAATTAAGGGTGAATCTACTATAAAATATTTTAATACCTATTTAATCTGTTCGTCCACTTAATAAAGGACTTTATTAATACAAACTATCATTTGAACTATCCTTTCTTAATTTAGAAGATGCAGCTATTAATGGTGAATGTAATGGGGAATTATTTAATTATTTTAACCTTTATTTATCAAATTTTAATTATTCTTCTTAATTTCGTAATGCATTATCTTCATTTTCATCAATTTATTTTAATCTTCTACCAAAATAACCATGATTTAATGCTTATTAAGCAGATATTCTTGTTTTTGGATTCTTATCAAGTAATTTCATTAATAGATCATAAGCTTATTATGGAACATTCTCAAAAAGTGAAGCATCAAATGATATTTCACATTTTCTGTTTTTCCCCAAAACATCATTATAGCTTTTACCAGGAAATGCTGGTTTTCCGGTTAGTCTAAAATCCAAAAATATCAACTTACAAAATATAAAATATTAATCCTAAACTAAAAACATCACAAATTGGATCATATCGTCCTCCATCTTTACAATTTATAACTTCTGGAGCTACAAATCCTGGAGTACCACATCGATTAAATAAATATGGATATTCATCAGATCGTTATGCTAATCCAAAATCAGCAATACAAACAGACTATATAATACTTCTAATAAAATTATTGAATTACCCCTATTTTCTAAATAAAATATTTTCTGGTTTTAAATCTCTATGCATTATATTTTTCGAATGCATATGATGAAGTCCTTCCAAAAGACTAAAAATAAGCACTTCAATTTCAAATGCATTAAACTATGGTCTATTTTTTACTTTGTCATATAATGAGCCACCTTCTAATAGGTCAAGTACCATATATAGAGAATTATCAGTCTCATACACTTCATGCAATTTTATCAGTGCATAACTATCAAGCTATCTCATTATTGCTATTTCATTTAATATTGACATCTAAGATGGTTTTTATAAATACCTTCCCTTTATCTTATCCATAAGCTACTTCTTTGGAGAATGCTTTAATTGCAAAACTTCTTTCATCTTCTAAACGATCTGCCAAATATACAGAAGCAAAGTTGCCCTTCCCTATTTTACGATGAGCCTTAAAACTTTCATGAAATCCTCTTTAATTTATATGTTTGGCTAGATAATCTCTCCAATTTTTTATCATTTAAACATCATTTGAAAATAGAGTTATTTTATGTTAAATATTTTCTCTTTCTATCAACAATCCTAAGGGTTTTCCTACTTTGAATTTTTCATCGACAGGTTCTCTCAATAATGAAAACTTTGTCTCAAATGATAATGAAATGAGCTTTTTCTTATTTGCAACGATAATCTAATTCGTATACCCATGAAGCACTCTAATTTTACCTTTTTAAGTTTTAAATTCTCCTACTATTTGAGGATGTTAGGATTAACTTTAAAGAGGCTCTGTTAATTTATAATTCATTTAAAATATAATCAATATTAAACTTACTGATTTTTAATTTCTTGCTCATAATTACAAAAGTTTTAAATCTTAATTTTGGAGGATTTTCATTATTATAAATTAGATTTACAAAAATTAGATCTAAGAAACATGTTGGATCCAATATTTATCATAATATTTCTTAAAATAAATTTAGTAAAACTTTAAATATGTTTAGTTTCATTTATGATCTAATCTTTAAATTATATACTTTTGACTGAATAGATATTATTAGATTTATTTTTTTAGTTAAATTATAGAAATTATATAAATTACAATCTTTCAATATTTTTTTTAATCAATTCAGAAGGAATTTATTATATTACATTTTTAGAAAAGTCTTGCATATATAAAATAATTTATTTTAAGTATTGGCTATGAATTTAAATAAGACTTATGAATTATTATAATTTAAAATTTTATATAAAAGAATTATTATTATTTAAGTGATATTATATTTTAATACTATTATTTAATTAAAGTTTTTTATTATAAATCAATTTATAATTATATTTCATTCAGTGTTTTTTCTTTCTTACTAAGATAATATTTTATCAAACACTCTCAAAATGATATCAATGTATTGAGTGTTTAAAATCTATAGCTGTTAAAATCCTTATTGAATTATTAGTCTTTATTTATATTTAATTATTAATTTTAGGAGTATTTAAAAATGAATTTATTGATTATGAATAATTATTAATACATTATAAACATTATGGAATATGTTCACAATATATATTTTATATAGAATTAATTAAAGATTAACTTTTTAAACATTAAATATGTTAATTTGAATATAATTATATTGCAATATCACATAATTACATATCTTAAGATAATAATTCACATTTATTAGTTTAAAAAGAATAATAATAACCTTTATAACATTAAGCACAACCTAAATGTATTTTATATTTATCCCATTATATATATTCTCTATTTTTATCTATTGAAACTATTAAATTATTATTATTATCATAAACATATTCAAAACAATATTCACAATTATCTATTGAACAATAACCACAATTTATTCCATCTAAACTTAAATAAATTATAATGAAAAACCAGTTTGTTTTAAGATTTATGTAAGGAGGCAATTAATTGATAGTAATAAAAATTAACAATATCTCATAAACCATCATTTATAAGATAAATAATTATCTTATCATGTATTTTTTACTTGATCATTTAATTACTTTATATTAATTGAATCCATTATAATCTTATCTTAGTGTCAAATTCTCTTCCAACATAATATTTATTATTTAAGTTTTAAATGATTCAATTTATTATTTATATATTATGCAATAATAAGTACAAACAAAAGATAGAGAAAAAATTGAATTATTCTTTTCTGCTCGAGGTCTTGTTAATAAAGATGTTTTATCAGATAGTGACCCTTAATTATATCTATATTTAAAGGAAGGAAAATAAGGAGTTGAAAAATTAATAGTGAAAACAGAAGTTAAAAAAAACAACCTTAATCCAGATTGGAAAGTAATTACGTATTTTTATCTATAGGTATCTGTTGTTTTAGATTTTATATTTGAAGTGAATCAATACCTAAGATTCTTAGTTGTCGATAGTGACGGAGATGATATTAAAGATGATGACATAATTGGTACCTTAAATGTATAATTTACTTTTTAAATTTAGACAACGGTTGGTGAAATCATGGGATCAAGAAACTAAATATATATGGGTTAACTTTCATATAAGAATAAATAAACAGGAAAGCTTTTAGTAAAAGCAGATAAAAGACAAGAGATTGGAGGATTAAATTAATTAATTTATTGGTAATGGTATGGTAAAAAGGTAAAAAATATGGATGGATGGTTTGGAGTATCAGATCCTTTTCTTAGATTTTTTAAATGGCATAAAAATTCAGATTGGTTGATGGTTCACGAAACTGAATTTATAAAAGATAATGAAAATCCAATTTGGAAAGGATTTGAAATATCTCATGATAAATTACATGATGAAAATCCATAATAACCTATTAAAATAGAGCTTTGGGATAATGAAAAGGATGGAAAACATTAATTGATTGGATCTGTTGAAGTTACTATTGAGTAAATATTTTTTAAAGAGATACATGAATTTCAAGTAAAAACACCTAAAGGAGTAATAATTTAAATCAATTTAGGAATTTGGTGGAACTATTGGAATTAAAAGCTTTTAAAAACCATCATTTATTGATTATTTGAAAGGTGGTGAATAGATTAATCTTTAAATAGCCATAGACTTTACAGGATCAAATGGTGATCCTCATAGTTCATCTTCATTACATTATAATGTTCCAAATCAATTAAATCAATATTAAAATGCATTGAGTTAAGTAGCAGAGATATTATTGAATTATGATTATGATAAGAAAGTTCCTGTTTATGGTTTTGGTGGTATACCTTCATTACCTAATTATAAAAAGAGTTCAACAGATGATTGGTAATTTTATAATAATATTTTATATATAGTTTCCCACTTAATGGTAATAAAAAGGATCCAGAAGTTTTAGGATTAGAAGGAATTATGAATATTTATAAATTAGCTCTTAATCATGTATAATTGAGTGGTCCAACAGTTTTTGGTCCTGTTATAGAGAATGCAATAGAAATAGCTGAAAATAATAGAAAAAAAGATATATATAATGTCTTATTAATAATGACAGATGGATAAATTGATGATATGGATGAATGCATAAAGTTGGTTAAAAAAGCAGCTAAACTTCCATTATCTATAATTATTGTAGGAGTTGGTAGTGCTAATTTTAAAATGATGGAGGAATTAGATGGTGATGGTCCATAATATTCAGATAGCTTAAGAGATGTTGTTTAATTTGTGCCATTTTTGAAATTTGCTGGATAACCTGGATAATTGGCAAAAGAATTATTGTCAGAATTACCTGATTAATTAATATAGTATAAACAATTGATTGGAAAGGGTCCAAATCCTGCTAAATAAATAGATTTAAGTTAATTAGCATGATAATTCTATGAGTATTAAAATACAAAAAAATATTTAATCAGAGTATTTGTTTAAATGATTCAAAAAAATTAGTTTCTTTAAAATCATTTTGAATTGTGATTCTATTCTATAACCAAGTTGAAAATTTGGTTCTTAATTTATCTTCTGAAAATCTTTTGTCTATTAAGAATAGTAGACCATAATCATTTTTATGTCTAATTACTCTTCCAATACATTAATTAACAGCTCTCATTGTTATATTATCATAATATTAATTACCATTTATGTTAATTTATTCTTTTAATTCAAAACTATCTAAATTTGGATATGGAACTCCAAAAATAATTACAGCTCTAGCCAAATGATCAGAAAAATTAATTCCTTCTGATAATGAACCACCAACAACTGATAATAAAATGGCACCTTTTTTAGCAACTTCAGAATATTTATCCAAAATTTAAGAATTTTATTTTTCATCAAAAAATACTTATTTTTTAAATTATAGATTATTTACTTTTGTATATTATTTAAATTACTCTAAAAAAGTATAAGTTTACATAAATATAACTATTCCTTCTGGAATACATTTTTCTATATCTAAAATTAATGAATTTGTTTAATTCATAAGTTAATTCAAATTTTCATTCTTTTACTTAAATGAATAATCTAATTAAGCATTTATAATTAATAATTAACATCTATCTTTTGATATGATATGAGGATATTCTTTAAAAATAAATTCATTAGTATCTACTTTTTCTTTAAATATTTCAAATTCATTTAATGGTTATAAGGTTCCACCTAAAAAAACTAAATTTCTTGATTTATCAATCAAAGTTTAAAAACTTGAATAATTATTTATTTTAGATAATTTCATAGTATTTGATTTCTCAATATATAAAATAGATTCTTTTTAGGATGTGAGAATTAATTATGAAATAAATTTACAAAAACATTCAAAACTAGAATAATGTGTAACATTTTATGATGAATCAATAAATCCATTAATTCTTTGTCTCATATCTTTATTTTAAACAAATTTTATTAATTTTATGATGTTAAGTTTAGGAATACCTATTTCTACCATAAAATCAATTAAAGTTATAAGATTCCCACTTTACTTTGTTTTAATTTTATCTATTAAAGATTTACATATTTGCAATAATTAATTCAAATAATATAAAGTTTTAGCTTTAACTCTTTAATGATACTTTTTTCTATAATCATCAATACCTCCAACTATTATATTTAATTAATTTAAAGATATTTCACAAGATTCAGTTTACAAAAGAGCTGAACCAAAATTATGAGCTTCATCTACAATAATTATAGGTTCAATATATTAATCTATTGATTCCATCAATAACTAATATGGAGTACAAATAATATCTGCTTGTAATGATAATTCTTTTGCTGCATAATAAGGACAAGATTAACATTTCTTACTTACAGTGAGTAAATCATTTATGTCAAATATTTCTTGTGTATATTATTCCAAAGTATCTAAAGACTTGTAATAAGAACATTATTTTTTATGACTTTTACAAAGATGATTTAATTTATTTACATTATTATTTGCTTTACTTAATATTGATTAATTTACACATAGATGTTACCTTGAACCAATTGTTGAAACTCTAACTTTGTGTTTAGATCTTCTTATTTCATTAATAAATTATTTTAATTAAGAATGAGTACGACTACAATAGATAATCTTATCATTCAATGATTATCCTCTCAAATTAATCTTGGTTTCTTCACTACTTGAATAGTCAAATAAAGCATCATCATCTATCAACTTAACATGTTTTTTCTATTATTTATTTTCTATATCAAAAATCTAATATACCATTAATATTAGGTTTTTTTAAAGGATTTAGTTTTAAATCAACATCAGGTTCATTAAACCAATCTGGCATATCATTATCAATTTAACATTTCTATTTTACTTTAATTAATGTGTTTGACTTTATATCATCTAAATAATTTAAAGCTCCTTCAATTAAAGCATAACTTTTTCCTGTTCCTGTTGGAGATTCAAAAATGGAAACCTTTTTTTATATTCATATTAATTTATACTTTTATTCCTTATGCTAAACTCATATAGATATCTTTAGATAAATCAAGTTAGGATTCATATGGAGGAAATGGATATTATAATCTGATTCTCTCCCTTATTTTTTCTTCAATGTCCTTATTCATCCAATTAAAATTATTAGTGTATTTTAACACAAATTTAGTTGAATTATAAATAATAAATTAAAATATAATTCATTTATCAAAATTCTCAATATGATTATAATATTTTAGCTACATTTTAGATATCCTATTTTATAATGCTTTATGTAGAGTATTTATTTGAATTGTTATTAATTTCATTTACATGTTTAGATATTTAAAAGGAAACTAAATTCCCTTTTCTTATTCCACCTTAATCAATAGTTTTAAACTTTAATATTGGATGTTCTGATATATATGGTAACAATTTCTGACACACAAAGATACCTAATTTACCCATTAGAACTCCTTATATAATAAATAATTATATTACTTGAATAATCTAATTTATCAGCAAATCCTCCAGCATCATCAATAATTTCAAATTAAATATCTTCTTTATTTATTTATTTTAAATTTATATAAATTGAATAAGAAGAATCTGTTGTTTTTGAACATTCTTTAATTGAATTATATATGAGATTAATAATTACTAATCGAAGATATTAAGGATGTGTAATTACAGGTTCATTCATTAATAATTCATCATCATTAATACTTATTCTTATATTCTTCTCAATAATTACTGTATCTTAATTTAATTTACTTATAATTTAATTAAGAAAGATATTCAAATTTAATTAAGATGGTTTTCTTTCTTTAAAATTATCTGTTAAAAAATACCAAAAATTATTATTACATAAATTTATTAAGTATATTTATGATTGTAATTATCTTAATAGTTTTAAATCCATATTTTAATTTATTATTTAATTTAATTTAACTTTTAATTCTTATAACATTAATGTAATTCTTTAACATTATATCTTTGTAACAATTAGTTTATATTAATTTTATATATCATTTAATTTCTATTTTAATTATTCAATAGATTCTTCCTCAAATTCAAAAATTAGAGCTTAATTTTAGTTATTAAATGTGATTTTTTTATAATTTTATTTATCATATTTAAATATTCCTAATAATTTGACTTTATTTTAGATTTAGGGAGAATATGTTTATTAAAGTTAATTATTAAAAATTAAACTTAAATCTTTAGCTGATCTATTAAATAATTCTTTTTCAATTGTACTCTAAATAATTTTCACAATTTACTTAATCTAATGCATTATTTCCATTATCTAGACTACATTTTTTCTAAGAGTAAGAGTCTTATTTGTATATAATTGATAATTGAGATCTAGACTCATTTGGAGACATTAATTTAGATGATTAATCTTCTTAAAATTAATTTTATTATTTCCAATTTTTAGGATTATTATTTTTTGATTTTTCATTATTATTATTTAATATTTCTTTAATATACTAATATAAAGATTATTTAACTTCAATCATTTTATTTAATATGATATTTTCATTCTCAAAAGAGATTTCAATAATTTAAATATTTTTTAAGAAATCTTCAATATTATAATGTTTATCTTTTAAATACTATTCTAAATATACACTTATTTTTTCAATTACTATATCAGTATTATTAGAGGAAACTACAAAAATTGACTTTTCTAAGAATTTCTCCCATAAGTGATATGAATTAATTTATTAAATAGTTGAATTTTAGGTAAGTGAAATCATTTTATTTTAAGATTTTTTATCTAATTTCTTTGGTTAAAGTTAAAAAACTAAAAATACAATTATTAATATAGATATTATAGTTAATTCTTCAATATGATAGTGAGTTTATTTCTATGATGTCATAACAAGTATAAGAATGAATAATAATGTTACAGATTATAGAAGTGCTTTGGTCATCTTAATTTTAATATTATGTTATTAATTTGTTTATTTCAATTTTTATAGTATTAACATCCCACCTATTAATAAGCTTAATATATTTTGTGATAATTATTTATAATCTAATAATAATAAACTAGAAAATAAAATCAATAATAAAAATATAAAGAATACTGGTGAATAATCTTGTTCTAAATAAATGAATATAAACATATACATATTTGATGTTTTTTAGTTTAAATTTAAGCTATAATATTTAAAGTTGCTCCTAAGATTAAACAAACTACTTCAGAAAGTAAGAAGTATGATTATTAACCCTTTAATTATAAATAAATGATGCTCAATATTGCAAATAGAGAGTTTAGTAGTAAAGGTATGAATAATTTTATAAACTTAAGCATTAATAAAAAATAAAATTAATTTAAGTCAATGTCTTTAATTGATTCATAATTATTAAGATCCTTAATTGTAGATCCAGAGAATATTGATGAAAATTTCTTATGTGGTATATGTTGTTAATTGGTTGTAAATCCTAAAGAATGTGAAAATTGTTAACATTTATATTGTCTAGAATGTATTTAAGATTGGTTGAAAAAGAATAGTAAAATTAATTATAATTATAAGAGATTTGTCCTTATAGATGTACTGAAGGTGAAATTAAACTTAAAGAACCTCATAGATTTGTCAAGAATTCAATTTCCCATTTAAATCTTAAATGTTAAAATGCTGATTGTGATCAAATTATAGAGTTGGGATTGATTGATTCACATTATAAAGAATGTAAACACACTATACAAAACTGTTAAAATGAAGGATGTCAAGATAAAATTAAAAACCTTAATCTTGAAGAACATTAACAAAAATGTTAATTTAGGAAAGTATCTTGTGATTAATGTCTTGCAATTTATATGATAAGTCAAGATCATAATTGTATTAGGTCTATGAAATAATAAATTGATGATTAGAACTTAATTATAAATTAGCTTAAATAACTTGTACTTCAATAGTAAGCTACTTAATAAGAATAATAATAATAAATTAAAATATTGTAGTAATTAATAGAAAGACCTTAAGGATAAAAATATCTAATATGTGATAAAGGTCATCAATTAATATGGATTAATCCATTATACAATCAAAAATGTGGTAGATGTTCATAAAACAATGGAATTTCTAGATTTATGTGTTAATAATGCTAAAAGATTTATTGTCAATCATGTAAAAAACCATACTTTTAAAATTAAAAATGTCCTAGCAACCATTTATTATAATTCGATAAAATTGTATTATTATGTTTTTTATAATTAATAGGCTCGTGCTTCCATTTCTTGTGATTTTTGTGGAGAGATTCCATTTAAAAAAGGAGAAGGAGTCTGGAGTGATAGAGATTGTGATTTTGATATTTGCATCAGCTGCTATAATAAAGCTTAATAATGATGTAAGATTAATTTTATATTAAAAAATTAATAACTATCACATTATATTAGTTTTTTATATCCAACAGTACTATATTAAACTTTATGTACAAGTGTTTCTAACTTTCATATATTCAGTTAGCTCTAATGATTTTCACATTCTACTAATCTTTAAAAGGATTATCAAATCAAATATTATTATATAAGCATAACATGAGATTGTGAGCATGCAATATCCCATTATTAATATTTTTATAACTTTTTTTATCAGACTTGTTTTAAGATGCTTACATTCAACATTTTTCTCAATTTTTACACAATTTAAACTCTCCTAACTATTACAATATGAATTCATTTCTAATAGGCTTTATAGATCTTATAACTAAAGATCTTATAACAGAATTTCATCTTTATTGAATTTAATTATTATTTCATTTACATATAGTTTCATCTCTATTCTTTAAAATTCATTTTGAAATGTTACTTAATTTATATATGAATCTATCATTAAATCTTATTATCTTGAGTCTATAATACAAATGAGGATATCCCATAATATATTGTATTCATTTTATTATTTTAATCTATAAATAATTATATGAATCAAAATTTCTATTGAATTAAGTTTTAAAATATGTTAATATTTGACATCCTAATATAATGAATCAATATAAATATTGATAATGAAGTATATAAATAAAACAATCAATAAAATATACTAGGAATATAAATGTAAATTCTTAGTTCTAATTTTATTATAAGACATTCCCATAATAATATAAAAATTAGTATTATTAAATATATAAAAATTAACCAAGAGTCTTTTGGCATAATGATGACTTGTAAAGAGTAGTACTATAATATCATGAGTACATATTTCTAGGCTATACTCTGACCTTTTATAATCAATATATATCATTTTTATGGGTTTTTAATGGTCTTAATTAGGGTTTCAGATATACAAAATATTAGGATAAATTTCCTATTTATTATATATATTTGATTGAAATAATAATAAAACAAATTGTAAAATTATTTAGTAATATTGAACAATGGAAATGGCATTCGTTTTACTAAGTTTATCACTAAAGTATTTAAGTAATTAAATAAAGCATACTGATTGTAAATAGTACTTAATGTATTTACAATTAATTGGACATAAGAGATTATGATAATTTAATATAAATTGATTAGATTGAGGATTTAAATGGTTTGAATAATTAGAATGATTATAATGAGTTTGCATCTTTTGGTTAAGGATTCTGGTTTCGATATATTCCATTTAAAGAAGATTATTTATAATGTACAAATCAATTTTAAAATAATTAGAAATAAGTGATTAATAATTAAACTTAGATATCATTAATTACTTTATGTATTCATTAAAAAGAGTATCAGATGATTCATAATTAGTTTTTAATTATATTGAATTGAATAAAATTGAAAAGACAATCAATTATATCATTTACATTTATATAGACTAATCTGTTATTAAGAAAACTATCCCAATTGATATTTTTAATTTTGAAGGAATTTGGATTTTCTTTTATTTTTATAATCATTAGGATATTAATTAAATATCTTTTTATTATTATTAATCTAATTTAGATTAACTTTATCAGGACACATTAGATAAAATGTTGAAAGTAATAAAAACAGGTATGATTTAAAGTTCAATAAGATATTTTAAAAATATTTAAATATAAGAATCAAATATAATTACAAATCCATTTGTTGGTATAATTAAGTAAGTTGAAACTACATCAACCAATATTTTATAAGATTTAAATTAATTTAAACAAATATGTTATATAGAATTAAATTGTATTTAATTTAATATTTAGATCACAAGATATAATTTACGTTTCACAGGAGGGAACAGTATGTTTCAATAAATAAACAACATTTTAATAAATACTTATAAAATTTCAGGTTGGGTTAAGTAAAATCAATTAGATTAATAAATCAAACTTGATAGTGCATTAACAAGTATATCAATAAATTATAGAAATACTCTTGATTAAGAAATATATTATTAATTGTTATCGATTTTGTATCATTAACATGCAATAATAAGTTTTAATGGTTTCACAGCATCAACCTATAGTTACTCTTTTCCTCATACATAATAATAAGATTAGATTGAAACCTTTAAGATTTTAGATGATTCTTTGAAAGATTTATTGTCTCAATGGCATTTTATTTAGTATGAAGAAGGATCTTCTCTTAATTAAGGGAAACCTATATATCGTGTTTACTTTCCTTAAAATGATCAATTTATTGAATGCAAATGGAATAATCCAATTAATCATTTTTCTAACGTAAACTTATATATTGATATTGGAGGGGATAGATTTTATCCTTCTAATTTTAAAGGTTATTTAAGTGATTGGAAATTTTTTTAGTATTGCTAAAATAATTATGAATCATCATATGAAATTCCTTGTCATTATTCTTGTTAGACTTGTTAAGGAATTAGTGCTTTAGATTGTTTAAGTTGTCATGAAAATTCAAATAGAATATATTCTCCAAATCATCATCAATGCATATGCTTAGATGGTTATTTAGAGACATTATCATCAATAGAGTGCATAAGTATTATTCTTTTTATCATATTTCTTAAGGGATATCAGATTTTGATGGAGTATTTTAATAAAAATATTATGAAATAACTTGTGACAAGATTGGTTATTATTAATGTGATGAATCGAAAATTTAGTGTGATTTTGGATATTTTTAATATCATGATGCTTGCATAGCATGGTATATAAATTAATTAATCATAGTCCACATTTATCTCAAATTGAAAAGAACTACAAATTAGATTGTGCTTTATGTTATCTTAGTCCAAACCTTTTTAATCAAACATTTTTGTGTGATTTCGATTTTATATCAGAAAATTCAGAATCACCTTTCTTTTATTAGATGAGGTTCTATTCAATGGTTGAAATGTACATTTTAATTTAAACTTAAGTTATAAAATAAATTTTGATAACCATAATGAATTTTCACATTAGATTATTGGGGGAAAATACATGTCTTATAATAAAATGTATTGTAAGGGTGGATATTTTTTAAAAAAAGGAGAATGCCAATAATGTTTAGAGGGATGTTAGTATTGTTAATCAGAATTTTATTGTATTTAATGTGAGTCTAAATATACTTTAACTGATTAAGGACATTGTAAATTATGTTAGAAATGTGAATTATGCTATTTTAAAAATTAAGAAGAATTCTGCTAGTATGACTTTTATTGTTAAGAGTAATAATACTTTTTAAATAACTTATGCATAGATTGTGGATCATATTGTCAAAAATGTAATTCTTATCAATGTTTTTATTGTATAGAGAATAAGAAATATTATTTAAGTTTAGATGGAATAAATTGTGGTTATTGTTCAATAGATAATTGTGAATATTGTTTTGAATATGTTTATGATAATAATAATAATTTAATAGTTTCAATAGATAAAAATAGAGAATATATATAATGGGATAAATATAAAATACATTTAGGTTGTGCTTAATGTTATAAAGGTTATTATTATTCTTTTTAAACTAATAAATGTGAATTATTATCTTAAGATATGTAATTATGTGATATTGCAATATAATTATATTCAAATTAACATATTTAATGTTTAAAAAGTTAATCTTTAATTAATTCTATATAAAATATATATTGTGAAGATATTCCATAATGTTTATAATGTATTAATAATTATTCATAATCAATAAATTCATTTTGTATCATATGTTAAGAAGGGTATTATTCAAATATATAAACTGGATTATGTAAACAATGTCCCAATCCATGTAAAACATGTGTTTAATAAAATATTGGGGTTAATGATTATTGGAAATGGGAAATTAAAGCATTTTATTCACATTTTATTAATTAGAATGGTCAACATCCATTTGAACTCTATGCTGTTGGTTTTGATATTTCTCAACAACAAATTATTTGCTTAAGTTGTTAAGTTAATTATATCATTTTTGAAAATGTTTGTCTTCCTGATTGTGATGATGATTGCGAAGATTGTAGAATTAGAAAAAATAGCCTTTAATAATATTAAACCCGATGTGTTAAATGCAAATCTACTGTTTTTAATAAATAAAGAAGTTATAAGTTTGATAGTATTCTAAGCTAATAAGAATCTTAATGTTAAAGTTGTCCTAATTATTGCTAAGCTTGTTATCCAAGAACTTAATAAGAAATTTCAAAAGTAAATTTATTTTTTGATTAAAACTCTTCGTACCTAAAATATTCATTTAAATGCTATTATGTAGATGAAAATAAAAAATATAAATACATTTTGCCTGAAGTCTTAACATTATAAAATTGTGGAGAATTATAAAAATGTACAAAAAAACTAGAACTAAGTTTTAAAGTATATAACACTTTAGGTGAAGTATATGATGCATAACAATAAGAAACAAATTTAAATTTAAAATCAATGTATTAATCTATTTTAGATATTGTGGTATATAATAAATTGGAATCTTATGAAACATCTTAACTGTTAGAATATTATAATAGCGAAAATATTGAAGAAATAACAATTAATTATTAATTTTAATCTCCAGAATATTATCTTGATTATGGTTCTAATTTAAATAACAAATTAAAATAAAATGTATTTAATTTAAAAAAAGTAAATATTAGATTTTATAATATAAATTCTGATGTTCTATTTTCAACATTTGAATATTTTAAACTAATCAATTTTGATTAAATCATATTTGAAAATTTCAATTTTAAATCTCCTTCACCTTATTTTGCAACAATTAATGATAATATTACACATAGTTTTTAAATTTAAAATAAACACTACCCATAAATTGTAATTTTTAGAAATGTAAGCCTAATTTAAACTATTGAAAACAACACCTTAGATTTTTCCATAATTTGTAATAGATCAAAATAGTTTACTATAATTGATATGAATTTTAATTTGAATTTGACTGATTCTGTATTTTATTAGTACTATCCTTTTATTAGTGCAGAAGGATCACAAATGATTGTTTAAAATTTAAAGATTTTTAATAATTATTTAAGAAATACTAGTTTATTTTACTTTTTTGCTGAAAATAATACATTTTCTAATAGTATTATCTAATTTATTAATGTAACAGTTTAAAATACTTTATTTACATAAAATTCTAGTTTTATAACTTCCAATTTCTAAAAAAATTATGATATAGGCATAATATAATTAGAAAATTTCACTTTGATTGATGTAATCTTTGAAAATTCATCTTCCTTTATTAGAATTCTATCTGGAAAATAAATTTAAGTTAAAAATTTTAGACTTAAAAACATTAAATTTCTTGATTAATCATCATTTTTTATTGGCAACACTTTTAGTATTATTGGATTTGATGTAGAATCATGTTATATAGAATTTGGACAAATAATTACTAATTATGGTAAATTAAGCGAATCTAAAGAAGTAAGAGAATCTTCTAAGGTATTATTTTTAGAGAATATTAATTTCATTAATAATAAATATCTTTAAGAAAAAGCTTTTATTTATGTTCTATAAAATCAAGTGGAAAACATAAGCATAACTGTTTAAAATCTTTATTTGTATAATAATCAATATTTTAATGTTTAAGTTGGTAAGCTTTCATATAGTTTTGTATCAGGTGATCTTAGTTAACTTTACTTTGAATGTAGCTATTGCATTTTTGTAAATTTGAATATAACTAGAGGATTAGGCTATCCAGAATTAACAATTAGAAATAGTAAACTTGTTTAATTGATGAAATTTACAATTTAATTAAATCCTTAATATGAGCTTAAAGCTTTGCATACATCAATTAATTGTATAAGATAGTATTACTTTTTTGATTTACCTTTTGTTCTTAATATTTAATCCTTTTTCAAAGTATATATTGATGATGTTAATATATCAGATTCAGTTATCATCGATTATCCATACTTTATCTTTGAAGGATAGAGTCTTAATGATTAGATAGAACCTGATCAAATTACTATTAAGAATTCAATATTTGTTAATAATATGTTGATTATCACATAATTAAATCGACTCTCTTCAATAATATCTATCCAAACTTACAAAAACACTAAAATTCTCTTTTAAAACATTAAATTTTAAGGGAATTTCCTTAATAAATATGAAGATGATACTTAATTACATTCTTCATCTACATTTATAATTGAATCTCAAATAGGATAAGTGATTATTGAAGATTCATTGTTTTAATAAAACACAGTATCAAATTCATCTGATTCAAATATATATATAAAATCAGAGACACTATATGTTTTGAATTGTATGTTTGTTAATTAAAATTAACTATCTAATTAACTATTGCAAAAATACTTGCTAATACCTATTGATTAAACTAATTATAATGATGTAGTCAATGAAATCTTTTGGATAATGAGTTAAGGTGGAAGTGGATATTTCTTTATCAATGAATTAACCATGATATAATGTATTGTCAATAATTCTTTGGCAGTAAATGGGGGAGCATTTTACATTAACACAAAATCAACAGGTAAAATTATGATAAGTAAATCATCATTTGAAAATACGTTAACAACTTTAAATAGTAATTAATTTTCATCTGGAGGGGTCTTATACATAGATGCTTCTAAAAGTCGCTTAAATCTCAGAATATCTGAGACAAGAATAAATAGAGCCTATTCTCGAACTTAAGGAGGAGCTATCTATATAGAAGCATCAATAATTCAAAATGAAATCATTTTCTTTAATGTCTCTATTGCAAATTCATTTTCCTTTAAGAGCTCTATATTATTCTTTTCACCAAGTAAATTACAATCTCTTATATCAAATATTCACATAGAATAATCTAAATTTTAAAGTACTGAAAATGAATACAATATGTATTTGTCATAAATTGAAGATTTATCTATTTAGGATATTTTACCATATTAAAAAGAAAATCCTGCAATATACATTTCATATAGTAATTTTACAATATTAAATACTTCCTTTCACTAAATTCATCTAATAAATATAATATAAATATTTAATGGAATTAATGTTAATATTCTTAATTTAGAGATTATCAATTCTACCATTTTTGCTTCATAAATTATTAGAATTACATTAAGATAAGGTATATAAAATATAAATATATATAGATGTCAAAGCTAAACTAGTTATTAATAATTTGATTATTAAATCACTCACAATTTATGAATTTAAAGAATATGAATGTAGTTAGGAAACATAAATCATAAATAATCAATTATTGTGTCCTACAGATTTTCAAAAAATTCTATATCATCCATCTATCTAGACTAAATTAAGAAATAATACAAATTAATTAAATTGTAATTTAAATTTAATTAAAAAATATTTTGCTAATAACTTTAGTCTTATTGAACTTAATAATTTTTAAGAACTTCATTAGGTTTAATTAGAGAATATCGAATTTAATTAATGTCATTGTAGTGATTGTTATTTTGGTTTGATATCAATCTAGGAATTCGATTTTTCGTCTTTAAAATTAAAAATTAATAAAATGAAATTATTAAATAATACCTGTGGTAGTTTAGGTTGTTTATCAATATTTTAATCCTAATTAAATAACAATGAGGACGAGAATTATAGATTATTATAAGTCTAAGACTTAGAGGAAATTGAATTTCATCATAAGTATAATATTTAGATGAAAATTGAGGATAGTTAATTTTTATATAATAAAGCTTTGTACGGAGGAGCTTGCTATATTTCAAGTGTGAATATCTTATTTGATAATTGTTAACTATTATATAATGAGGCTCAATATAAAGGAGGTGGAATATTTTATAATTCTAATTAGACTCAAATTACTGTCATTAATAGTTTAATTATTAATAATACTGCCAAAATTGCAGGAGGTGTCTATATGAGCAATGATCAAATGATATAACCAAAAGTTATGAATTTATTTATGAAAAATAACATGGCTCATTATTATGGAAATAACATTGTGGAATATCCTAAATAATTAAAACTATAATTCACTTAATAAATACTTTTAGATAACAAATTAACCTTTAAAAATATTTCATCAATGATTGAAGAAGCACAAATTCAACCATATTCTATTCTTGGATAAGAGCAGAAAACTAAAACACTTTTATTACCATCTGGTATTAGAATTTCTAAATATAAATATTTTGATTATACTACTTAATCCTACTAACACTATAATTTATCTTTTAGAATACTTGCTATTAATTCTTTTGGAGAATAAATTACTAATCTAAGTAATTCATTTTGTTCAATTTATGCTTAAGAGATTAAAAATACTGAAGAAATTGTCTATTCTAAATTATAAATTGATCCTATAATTACATAATAATATTTATCAATTAACTAAATTGAGTTTAATTTAACAACTGGTGATTATAATTTGGATGATTTGATTATTTATTTTAATCCTCAAACTGATGATTAAATATCTCTTTTATTAGTATTTGCATGTGATTAAATATAAGTACTTTAATTTAATGAAGTATTTCCTTATGAAAAAAAAAATGTTATCACTGATTATTATTTATTAGTAAAATTAAGAACATTTAAATGTTAATTGGGAGAATATTTAAATTCTACATCAGGAGGGTGTATAGAATGTGATATAACATAAAATCAGTTTTCAGTTACAATAGATGCTTTAAAATGTGAATTTAGAGATGAAGTAAAAATGAAAAGTTTACAGCCAGCTATGATTGAATTAAGAGAAGGATTTTGGAGAGCATATTATTATAGCAATTTGATAGAAGAATGTTATCATTTGAAACTAAATTGTAAAGGAGGGTGGTAAACAGGAGATAAATCTTGTTCTCTTGGTCATATAGGTGCTTTATGTGAATAATGTGATCTTTATAATACTTAAGGATTTGGATCTTTTTCTTTGGCTTAATAATACAGTTGCTCAAGTTGTGAAGATATGGCTGGTAATATTGCAAATATTTGTTTTGTACTTATATGGACTCTATTGTCAGTATTTTTATCTGTAAATAGTACAATTAAATTGATTGAAGAGTTTACATTTTATACTAAATTAAAAATTATTGTCAAGCACATTATTTTTTAATCTTCTTAAACCTCAGTATTACTTAAAGTGTTTACAAATTACTTACAAATTATTAGTTCAATATCTACTTTCCAATTAGCAATTCCTGCAGGAATATTATTAACATTCAAATCAGTAGGAAATCCAATAGAATCTATGTCATTTTCATTGGATTGCTATTTAGTTTAAATGACTACAATTCCAATCTTATATTTTAGGATTTTGTGGGGATATGTTATGGTAGGATTATATATTTTTATTTTTATTGGAATGCATCTAATTTTGTTAATTTTTGATAAGAAAAAAAAGATGAGCATTACTTTCATAACTACAACTTTTATTTACATATATATCTATTTATCTCCAAATATTATCAGTGGTTTAGTTGCTTTATTATCATACAGAAATATTTCTAATGTATAATGGATCACTGGGAATGTTGCATATGATTATAATACTGAGCAACATTATAAATGGTTATCATTTTTTATTATACCATCATTTGTAATAATTAGTATATTATTACCAATGTTCTTTTGGTTTGTAGTATATAATAATAGAGCACATTTAAACACAAGCAAAGTTAGAAAAATTTGGGGATATTTATATAATGAATATAAAGTAGACATCTATTATTGGGAAACTATAAAAATCTTATAGAAAGAATTTATAATATATGTTTTAATTTATTATGAGGATTATGTTGCTGTTAAGTCATCTCTAATATTTTTTGTACTTTTAGTTTATGGTTATTTGACTAATCATTATAAACCTTATGAAGCTGGAGATTTGAACAAAATTGACAGTTTATAAACAGCAATTTGTAAAGTTTCAATAATTTTATCATAAACTATTTACACTTCTTAGAGTTTGGATATCTAAGAAATAGTGATACCATCTTATTTTTTATTGGCATTACTTAATCTATTCTTTATAGTACGAGTTATCTCTAAAATTTTATTTGCTTACTTTGATCGATTATCTGAACATGTAGATAAAGTAAAATAATATATCTCATTAAAATTTCCTTATATTGTATAAAATAATAAATATTGTTTACGATTATTTAGAAATTCATAAGAAAGGAAATAATTGATACGCAAACGATTTTAATTGATAAAGATCTATCTAATTTAGCATGCTAGATTTATACTTAATTATAAATAGTAAATATATTAAATATAATAGACTTAACAATCTAAACAATGGAGATATCAAGATATAATCAGAGTTTGAAAATAATCCAAGTGAACAATACTAATCATCAAGAAATAATAGTAAACTACTGAGGACTAAGAGCAATTTGCTTACTGCAAGACTTTCAAGATTTCATTTACCATTAAAGAGCCAAGATAATTGAAATTAAAACCTATGTGTTTATCTAAATATTATTTCATTTTTTATTTAATATACATTTAGATCATTTTTTCAATTGATTAAAATTTGAAATAGTATAAAAAAATCGTTAATATTCGAATAGTTTCTCAAAAAAAAAAGAAAGATTAAACTAAAAAGATATTAAAAGGAGTTAATACTTATTATAAAATGGATTTAATATATATATGATTTTCAACATTTGCAGTTGTCAGGATTTTAGGTCTAATTTTAATTGTTTAATGAAATCCCTTGATTTTGATTATCTTGTCCAGGTGTTAGTGATTTTATTTTATACATTTCTAATGATAAGACAATTAGAACCTTAAAGCAATCTATCAAAGCACTATCCTACATTCTAACCTGTGACAGCACTTGATTCCTCAAATAAAACTTTATGCTGTTATGCTAAATTTTTTGCGTCTTCTTTTTAAACTTTTCTATGTATAACAAAACATGACAACCTTGCACTTCCATTATTTTCAACTAAATCTATTTTATTACCAACCAACATTATAACCACATCTGGTTCGGCCTAATATCGTAAATCCTCCATCCACTTAACAACACTTTCAAAAGTCTTCTCCTTTGTTACATCATAAACTACTAAAGCTCCTCCTGCTTTTCTAAAATGACTGAATTAATTATATTCTAATACGTGCTTGTGATTCCTCTGTACCTTTCTTGTCCAGCAGTATCCCAAATTTATGCTTTAACCTTTTTGCCATTTTATAAAGTGACTGTCTTTCCTGCAAACTCAATCCCAATGGTGGGTACAGCATTTTTCGGTAGGCAACCTTTCACATATCTGTGGTTGTATAAATGAATTACCTGGTCATTAAATGTGTTTTACCAACTCCAGCATCGCCTACTAGAACAACTATTCTAATTTTTAAATTTCATTACCTTTAAAGAAGTCAGAGTAATCTTCATTATTTGGATTGTCCATTGCAAATTCAAAATATTATTAATATAATTACCCAATATTTTATTTAAGAATTCATTGTTTAATTATCAAGATAACTAAAAGAAACTAAAGAACCTTAATTAAAGTTAATTCCACTAAGTTAACAATGTTATAATCTTAAGAACAAGACTCAATAAAAAGTATCAATAATTAATATAAAATTACATTTTATATAAGAATTGTATACATTTACAAAGAAATTAATTATAAGATCATTATTAATTGAATTTTTATCAAATAAATATTTAAAATGCATTTCAATTATTTTTACTAGTCATTTAGGATCAATTACTATTTCAATAAATTAAATGAAATAATTGTAAGAAATTATACCAAATAATTGCAAGAGAGTTTTTGGAGAATATAAAAGAAGTAGTAATTCTAATTAGTTTTTAAGTCATATAAAAACTTGAGCTAATTTATTTTTAGAACTTTAGAAAATTTTATAATTACAAAAATTAAATAAAGAAATAAAGTTATTCAATTTAATCAATAATTTAAGAAAAGATACTAGCTGTTTTTGATTAAGATAATTAAATATTTATTTATTTATTAAATAAAATATTAGTTCTCATGAATCTTATAGTAATATAGCATTTGTAAATTTTAAATATTTATCAAATAAGCAATATATTTTTTTTTTCTAATGTAAATTATTTAAGATCTCTTTAAATTAATGATATAATATTGTAAATTTTACTTAGTCTATTTTTTTCAATTAGATTTTTACTATTTATTACCCTATGGTCCTATAGAATAAGAATAAATTATCAGAGATTAGAGTATGATTTTTCATACAAATTATATTAGCTAAGTGAAGTATTAAAAATAAGTAATTATCTTTCTGATTAAATTAGTATGTTATTACCTAATTTCTATAAAAAATAATAATCATTCTAAAATAGAATGAAAGAGTTTAATTAGTAAAATAAATTATATTTTACTAATTAAGATGGGACAGATCTGTAAATTAGCTTCAACTCCTGAAATAAATACATATAACGATGTTAATCATATTTAGTAGATGACTTACTAAGATGAAGTTCCATATGAGGAGTAAGAAAATAAAATAAGTGAATAAAATTAATCTTTTTTCCCTGGCAATCAATTATCTATGCAATTGTCATAAACACCAGAGTTTAGTTTACCTCCTCAATAGACTAAATTATATTCTCAACAAGACAGTCAATACACTCCTGAATTTTTAGCTCTAAGTTAACCTTTATAATAATAAATGAATATATATTAATAATAATTTTGAACCAGCTGTCTAGATACGCATAGGCTTTACAAAATAAACTTATGATAAGAACATAGACATATAATTATTTATGATATGTTCATTTAAAAATGCTGATTTTTAATATAGATTATTTGTATGATAATATACCTACCCCTGTTTTACACTTCATTCTTATGTGTAATCAGGCTCGACTTTATCATTAGTAATCAATTTAAGCTAGAGTGATAACTATAATACCAATAAATGATATAACAGTTGTTTTGATAGCTATTTATCATAATTTAATTATTTAATTATAAATGGGTGCAACATGTAGTAATACTTGCTGTACTAATGATTAAGAAATCACTAGTAAGGGGGGTAATGATAAATAAGAGGTTGTATTATCAAAAAACAAATCATTAAAAGAAAGCCAATAAAGAAATAATAAAGAAACCGAGAGATTTAACGCTGATAATGATTAAGGCAAATCTGATGCCAGCATTAGTAGTATAAAGAAAGAGAATTAACTCATTTAAAGTACGATTGGAAAAATGTAGAGAGTTCAATTAGAAGGTAAGGATTTAGTTCAATTTAGAAATCACTTTTTCAGATGGAACTACATATAAAGGAGAATGGATGAACGGATTAAAGGATGGACAAGGTGTTCTTAAATGGCCTTCAGGTAGTATCTATTCTGGCACTTTCCTTGAAGGCAAACTCAATGGCAAAGGCAAATTAATATTAGATGACGAAGATTATTATGAAGGTGAATGGAAAGATGATAAATGTAATGGATTTGGTATTTATGTTTGTAAAAATGGGGCACGATATGAAGGAAATGTATCATTATTTGAAATATTAATAAGTGGAAAAATGATAAGTAGCATGGAAAGGGTAAAGAAGTATGGTAAGATGGAAATTCATATGAGGGATTCTATTATGATGGTAGAAAACATGGTTAAGGGATTTTAAAATTCTCTAATGGCACTATTTATGAGGGAGATTTTTCGAATAATGAATTAGAAGGATAAGGAACAATGACTTGGGCAGATAAAAGAGTATATAAAGGTTAATGGAAAAAGTCTAAAATGAATGGTTATGGAGTATTAACCTTTCCAGACGGAAGGGTTTTCAAAGGAGTAATTGTGATATAATTTTAATAGCATTTTTAAGATGATAAAAAGAATGGTGTTGGAGAATTTACATGGAATGATGGTAAGAAAATGATATCTACTTGGAATAATGGTAAATTTATATACAAATTAGGCAAGTAAAATGGTATTGGTATTTGTACAAATGGTGATCGCAAAATAGGATATTGGGAAGAAGGAAAAAGAACTAAATGGCTTGATGAACAAGAAAAGAAATTACATTCTGAATCCATTTAATAATTAGAACTAGTAAAATTTTTATGATATCTACTATCATACTTCATTTCTTTATAAACTAATCAAATTTTTAGGCTGTCGATAATGGTTATTCTATTTTATTTAATGAATTTGATCTCAATGATTATTAAGTTTTTGGTTTATCACCTCCTTGATTCTGTCGATTACCTTCAAATGCAGTACGCGGAATATTTTGATTATAAATCTCATTTCTTCCTAAAAGTTGATATTCAGGAGTCAATGGGTTTGTTCCTCTATGATTAAGTAGCCCTTTTCTCAAAGTACCAACCTGAGCTCCAGGTACATCTTTAGTATCATTAATAGCTCTAAATTAAGATCGCTTTTGTCTCATTAAAAAATGATCACTTATAGCTCCTACATGACATCCTTCGATATCTTGTGTATCTAAATTCTTAGTGTTATAATTTATTTAGGGATGCAAGACTCTGCTCTTACTTCCACTTACAAATCCATATTTTAAATTAGCTGGTTAATCTTCAACATCTTTTAATTAATATTCAGGTTCAAGTGGATTAGTTACACGAGATGATTTAAATACCCTATATTCATTTATGTCTTTAACATCCATAATTTCCATATGATCTCTAGGCATGAATGCAGGTTTTGATTTTGCTCCATCCACTTCATCAAATATATGAACAGTTTTTCTCAATTTTGCAGCAGGAGGATTGGGTTTGGTTCCTGGTATGTCCTTTTCATTATTATTCGCTGTACATCAATATTTATTTAATCTCTAATGAATTTCGGTTGCAAAGGTTCAACAGGTACAGCTTTTGGGAGAACATAAACAGGATCTACTGGATTTGTTGGAGGTCTTGTTGTTTGAAATTTATTCAATTATGGATAAGCACCTTTGATGTCACGATTATTAAGAGAAAATCCCTTCAAAATAATACAATTTTATACATCTCTTCCAATTGAGGGAATCAATACTTTTGAACGAGTGCCTGCAATATCATTAGTTGTATTTGTAAAGTCTGGTTTATTAGTAAATTTATATGGCTTCATACAAGGTTAGGCACCTACTTTGAAAATTCAGTTACCATCAATGTCCTTTGTTTAGAGATTAAAATCTTATCCTGTTAATTTATCAGGTCTAACAGTGCCTACATCTCGTTTATCTAATTTATGATATAGAATTTATACTTATTGATGACAAATACATTAAATCTTTCCTACTTGGGAATGGCCAATCGTATGGATCGCTCATATATATATATATTTTAATTTATCAATGTATAATTAAATTCTAAACAAAGTAATTATTCAAAACTGAAGATGAGTTTATCATAATAATTAGAATTCCTTAATAGTAATTAAGAAGTTTTGATCACTAGCAATAATTCTATGAATTTGATTCCCAAATAGATATTGAATCAACTTACTATTAGTGAATTTACATTGATTATACTCATAAATAAAGAAAGTTCATAGAATGATTCGAATTATTTCCAAAAATATTTTCATACAACTATGTAGCTATTTTTAAGAAGAAATTGAACTATATGATAATAAACATATTTTATGGATTAATTGATGAAGCTAAATAATTGTAATAGCAAATAGTAAAAAGTCTTTTTAGTTAAACAATGAATAAGCACAAAAAATGAAATAAGCCAAAAAGAAATTATTGAATAGTAATAATTAACTCTTAAAAAGTAATTTATATAGGAGAATATTAAATACTCTATTTAATCTAAAATAAATAAAATAGAAATAAAAATTAATTGATAAATTTGATTCATTTTTACATTATCTTCTATTCTATGAAATAAACTTTGATATAAATAAACAATGTATTTTTTATATAAATCTCATTTAATTTCCATAAAATTTATTAATAGATTCAAATTCTACTTAATTCATTAAAGAAAAGGATGTCAAAATTATTCTTAAATTTTACATATATAAATATCAAAATATATATGGTTATTTTGAAAGTATTTAATAAAGGAATTATTATATTTTAAAAACAAATATTTATAATTAAAAAAATTAGTTTATAACAATTTATTTATTAATTGATATTAATGGGAGTAACATAATCTAGTTAAAATGATCATTTAGAAAAGTATTTGGGTTAAGATTTTCCAGATGGAGAAATTTTAATTGGATTCGAAAATGTATAAATTAATCATATATTAGCCAAGTAATATTTGTTATTCAAATGTAATATTGTAGGCATTGTATTATTGCAAAGACTTTAGGAATAGAATTTTATAGCATTAAAGCTCAATTAATTAGAATAATTTATTAGATTTAACAAATTTATTATTCCAATCAATATCAAATCATAAATAGAAGACTGGAGTAATTTCAACAAAGAAAATGATGAATTACATTAAAACAAAAAATAAAATATTTGATGGAAAATATCATTAGGATTCTCATGAATTTTATATGTGGTTTATTAATGAATGTGAAGAATTATTAAAGGATAAACAAAATAATTGGATTCGATAAATATTTTAGGGATAGTAATTAACATAGACTGAATGTTTAAATTGCCATACAAGTAAGTATGAAAAATAAAATAAGTATCTTAAAGAGAAGAAATGTATTGTGATTTATCCTTAGACTTATTTCCAAATTATAGTTTGAACACTTGTTTATAATAAATGTCAAAAGAGGAACAATTAAATGGACAGAATCAATTTTTTTGTGATAAATGCTAATCAAAATAAGATGCATATAAAAGGTATTCAAGTTTGATCCAATAAGATTATTATTGAATACTTTACCAAATGTTTTAGTAATCCATTTGAAAAGATTTAAATATGATGAAAGATGCGGTTAGATGATTAAAGTTTCTACAAAAATTCCATTTTCACAATAAATAAGAATTAAGGCTCAAAAGTAGACTAAAACTTATGAATTAACAACAATTATAATCCACTTGGGATAAGGTATATAATATGGACATTATATTTGTATAACAAAAATATAAGGAAAGTGGTTTAAATTTGATGATGATAAAATATCTGTAATTTAAAATTACAATATCCTTAGTTATTTGTTGATTAAGATTTACATTATGTATATGGAAGAAGTTATCCAACACAAGCTCAAACATGTGCATATATGTTGTTTTATAATGCATAATGAATGTTAATAAGAATATTAGTATAAATTTCTTTCTTTTTATGATGCACAAAAAAACACTTTTTGGTAATGTTTTTTCTTTATTGATCAAGATTGTTTCAAGAAACTTCTTAAGATATAATAGTATACTTTACTATTTTTTTTTTTTTATTATTATTAATTAAATGAGTAAAAATCATAATTTTGAGTAAGTTTGCTAAGATATCTGCATTTATCATAAATCAGTAGAACACATATTAAAACCCAATTAAAAGCCAAATAGCAAATTGAATTTAAAAAAAGACAAACTTATGAAGAAGTTTGCATCACAAATTATTAGAAGTGAATAAAGAATTAAATCTCCTTTTTAGATTGAAATGTAAATGCTTAAACATATTTAGATTTCAATAATAATAATAACTAAATGATAAGTGTGTTGAAAAAATGTCTTCTGAACTAGTCTTGTCCTAACCCTAAAAGAACTTATCTATAGATTTAAGCAAAAAGTATTATAAATATATATTAAATCAGATGGCATTTAGATTTATCAGATTTAACTGATAAGGGAGTAAGAGATCTAAGCAATAGTTTATCAAAACTTTAAAGTTTAGAATAGTTAAATTTAGCTTTGTGTGGGTATTAAATCATGTTATTAATTATTAGTTGGGGTTATTGGAATCAAAATATTACAGATAAATCACTATAATATATAACTAATGCTTTAATACTTCAAAATCAATTGCATGAGTTTAATCTAGATTTAAATATGTGGGCTTATGAAAATAATAGTATAACTGATGAAGGAGCTAAGAATTTGATGGATGGAATTAGTTTATTGTCAAATTTAGGAAAGTTGGAATTAAATTTAAAAGGATGGGGAGATGGAAATTAAGATATCACTGATAACACTATTTTAGGACTATCAAGATGTCTAAAGAAACTAGGAAATTTATCAGAGGTTAAATTAGTATTGTAAATTATTTATTTCTAATTAGATGGTAAAATATTGGAAAATAAGCAATCAAATAATTGAATAAGACTCTATCAAAAATGGAGAATTTAACAAAAATAGAAGTTAAATTTGAAAGGTATGAAAAAAATATTAGTATTCTAGTTGTGCCCAGTAATAACCTGTTTAGAATAATAATATCGATTAGAAACTCCAATAAATAAAAATTAATGCAGTTTAAAAAAGAAGACTTCTTTTTTAAGTTGAGGGTTTTATGATCAATCTTGAATCTATAATAAATCAAAGGACACTCTGGGATATTATTTTAAAATTATGATTGTATTAAATAATATATATAAATTTTATACTGTTGTAAAAGGTGATTACTTTTTAATTCATTTTATTTAAATGATTATTTTATATAAACTAAATGGAGTTTTTGCAATCCAAAAATAATTATAATAATAAAATCACAATAACTATTCTAAAAATTGAGCTAATAATGGAGATATGCATTTTATTTCATCTAGGTTCTAGTATATTTTTTATTATTCACTCTTATTATCATTATTAGTCATCCCCATTTTTTTGCAAATTATTGAATATATATTATTTTTATGGCTTTTTAATTATGATGAATATTGTTAACTTTAGTAGATTTGCAACAATGTTGTAGGAAATAGATTATAAATTAACTTAGGAGACATTTACACAAGATTTTGAATCCAATTCAAAATTCCTTCTTCAAAAATTACAAATATTTTCTAAATTGTAGTATTATCAAATTGTTAGATGTTCAATATAGTTTAACCAAGTAAAGTGTGAAATACACAGTACTTTGTAAATTCTGATTAATCTTAACCATATAAACCTTTTATTAATTAAAAACTTTACCATCATAATATTTATCTATTATAATTTATATAGTAGGTTTTATTGACTTTAATAATATTTAATTTTTACAAAGTGTGTAATCTAAATAAAAACATATTCTATCAATTTCATTTGTTTCTTTCATTTAAAAAATAATTGAACTATTACTAAATTATTATTCATAACGAGGGTTTTATCTGATAACATTTATTAATTCTTAATCATGATTACTTGATCTTTAAGTAATTTAGTTATTTGTATTAGATGTGACTTTTATAATTTTATTTAATAAAGAATTTGCAATAATTTTATGTTATCCTTTTGCTATTTATTCTAATTAATCTAAATAAGATTATGATAGTGTCTGTAAAAAAAATGGTTATACTTAATTCAATAAATTTAAACATATTTCTTAACCTTTTATATTTTATAATTGCTAAGCAATATTGAGTATTGCAAAAACATCTTCTATTTCATCTTTAGTAAGTGGTTCATTTGATTAACGATTATTTAAATTATTTAGTTATCTTCTTAATAATTCATTCTCCCATTCATTCAAATTAAATTCATCAATATTTTCTTAATACAATTCTAATTTAGATGGAAAATTCTCTTTTAATATGCACAAACAATCCCATATCATTTCTATGGCTGATTATAAATCATCATTTCCAGTAATACGATAATATATTGTATTTAAGTAAATTGGGTTTTTTGGTAACCAAAATATTGAATTCTGGATTTTGAATTTCAAAATATTATCAGAATTCAAAATTACTAATTCTTCTTTATGCACATACATTAATTATTCTATTTCAGTTAATGCTCTTATGTATCTATCTCTAGGTACTTGATCATGCACAATTAATCCTAAGAAAATACTCATATAAATAATTTAAATAAATTATTTTATCATATTTTTTATTCGTTAAAATCTAATTATAATTAATATTAATTATAAAGTACTTCTAATTCTTTCGTTTAAAAGATATTAAGATCATTTTCTGATTTATAAAGATAAAGATTGAGAGCATAAATTTTTGCTTGAGTTTTTCATAAATTTTATAATTATTATAATCTAGTATTTGAAATTGATCTCAATTTACGGTTCATTGGTGAAGTCCTCAGCTTTGACAATCTGATTTCACTGCTCATGACTGCTGGAATTCGAGTAGTTTTTGTAAAAATATTATAAGTTTATTTAGCATTTTCTAATTCAACTTACTGCTATCTAATTCTGTCATTTAGACTTTTTGCTATATCCCATTAAATTTATAATTCTTTTTATAATTTGTCACATTATATTTTATATTACTAAATAGATTGTTTCTGTTCTTTAGATTCATTTCTCAATTCCTAATTATTTTTTAACAATAATGAATACTATTAATTTAATTGCTCATTTTAACCTGTTGATACATTTAATTAGGATGTTATATCATTTACTTTTTATAAATGTATTTTTTCTAATTATTCCAATTATTATTATGAGGATATCTGAAGGTTATTGAAATTAGTTTCAGCTAACTTTTTATCTCTAGATTATTACTCTTTATTTAATTATAATTATTCTGATAGATAGATTATTATTTATTCTTTTTCTTATATTTAATTATTTAATAACTCTATTTTTTATTAAAGTTCTTTCAACTCAGTCTTAAATTTATCAATTTCAAATGATAGTTATTATTATAAAAGATTTATTTTATAGGTATGTTCTGATAACATTTTTTCTCTTTAATTTTCATTTTCTTATTACATTTTGTTCAACTATAGTTTACATTCATATTATGTTTCTTTTACTTTTTGATCTATTTATTATATAAGACTTTATTAAAGCTTTTAAAATTTCACTTGAATATCAGCATTTTATTAGCTTTTTTCTAAGATTACACTTTATTACTATCTGATCTACTACTCTAAACCTTTCACATACATTATCTATACTTCATCTTCGTATTGTTGAGAAAACTCTTTAGTAAGTTATTATTATTATTCTCCCTAAATGGTTATTGGATTTCCAAGAATATTTTCATATTTTATTTTTTGAATCAAAATTTATTAAACAAAATTAGATTATTGATTAGCAATGAATATATCCTTGTATTCTATTTCTTTTTTTAATTATGCAATTTGAGAATTAGATTCATTAATTTCAAGGATATGTTTCTGCAAAAGTATCTAATTTTAATCTTATAATTATTGAATCTACTCTTTTAATCTTTATTGTCTTTTTTCTTCTATTATAATTTTATTTTACAATTAATTAATTAATTCTTATTGTTCTAATAATTGTTTATTTTCTTTTGCTTTGTTTTTTCTTTCATTAGCCAATTCTTCTATATACTATTTAATTTTTTAGTTTTATTAATCTAATTACTTTTCAAAATTATCTCTTTGCTATTTGATTTATTTAATTTATTGCATTTATTTTTGATACTTCTCTTAGAATTATTAGTTTTCCAAATAATATTTTTTATATTTTTATTCTATTAAACTAGTTTGATTATCTAATTCCTCTTTGAAAAATTTCCTATCTTTCTCATGGTTGTGTAATATAGCTTAGATTTCAAACTAATGTTGTTATTTAACTTAGATAATATCATTATCCAATTATGCAACTCTTTATATCAATTGCTATTACTATTACTTCATTTACTCATCTGCATGTAGAATTTAGTCTTATAACTTTGACTTAATAATTTCTAACTAATTCTATAATTCTTTCACTTATTAATTTAATGTAACTATTACATTATCTTTTTCAATAATTTTTTATTATTATTTTTCAAATATGTTATTAATATCATATTATGTTTGGGTTTTCATTTGTTCTTCATTTTCTTTCAGTCTTTCAAATTAAGCTTCTAAAATTTTTGTATTATTTTTCAAAGTGTTGATATGAATTTTCCACCTCTCAATGTTTTCTTTGATAATTAAAAATACATCTGACATATCTGTTATTAATGCTTTTTATTTCAAATCTTAATCAAGCTCATTTATTAAAATATCTAAATTGTCTTCTACCAAAAATTTCATTTGGTGGACCTTATCCTTTAAGATTGAATTTTCCTTAACTAAACCAGATCCATCTAAATTCTTCTTTACAAAGCTATATGATCTAATTCTTTAAGACATAAAAATATTATTAAAATATAAATGCTCATTAATATTATTTATGGAACTCTGAATTTACATATCATATCTTCAATGATTTATTTGAAATTAATATTTTAATCTTAAATCATTTAATGCACTTATTTTTTTTACAATATGAGTTTAGTATTATAGGTTTTATTTTGCAATTAGTTTTGTAAGACAAAGAATAAGCAATTTCGATTTTTATTAAAGGCTTTTTAAATATCATAATTAGAATTAGATAATTAACAATTAACTTAATTAAGAAGAATAATAAAGAAATAATAAAGCAATTCATTATGCCAATCTTCATTGATGAGATTACTCTTAAAAAATAGTATATATTTAATAAAAATTTTAATAATCTACATATTTCAAGATGGTTCATTCTTGTTTTTCAATATTTCTAAGNCCTATCTTTCTCATGGTTGTGTAATATAGCTTAGATTTCAAACTAATGTTGTTATTTAACTTAGATAATATCATTATCCAATTATGCAACTCTTTATATCAATTGCTATTACTATTACTTCATTTACTCATCTGCATGTAGAATTTAGTCTTATAACTTTGACTTAATAATTTCTAACTAATTCTATAATTCTTTCACTTATTAATTTAATGTAACTATTACATTATCTTTTTCAATAATTTTTTATTATTATTTTTCAAATATGTTATTAATATCATATTATGTTTGGGTTTTCATTTGTTCTTCATTTTCTTTCAGTCTTTCAAATTAAGCTTCTAAAATTTTTGTATTATTTTTCAAAGTGTTGATATGAATTTTCCACCTCTCAATGTTTTCTTTGATAATTAAAAATACATCTGACATATCTGTTATTAATGCTTTTTATTTCAAATCTTAATCAAGCTCATTTATTAAAATATCTAAATTGTCTTCTACCAAAAATTTCATTTGGTGGACCTTATCCTTTAAGATTGAATTTTCCTTAACTAAACCAGATCCATCTAAATTCTTCTTTACAAAGCTATATGATCTAATTCTTTAAGACATAAAAATATTATTAAAATATAAATGCTCATTAATATTATTTATGGAACTCTGAATTTACATATCATATCTTCAATGATTTATTTGAAATTAATATTTTAATCTTAAATCATTTAATGCACTTATTTTTTTTACAATATGAGTTTAGTATTATAGGTTTTATTTTGCAATTAGTTTTGTAAGACAAAGAATAAGCAATTTCGATTTTTATTAAAGGCTTTTTAAATATCATAATTAGAATTAGATAATTAACAATTAACTTAATTAAGAAGAATAATAAAGAAATAATAAAGCAATTCATTATGCCAATCTTCATTGATGAGATTACTCTTAAAAAATAGTATATATTTAATAAAAATTTTAATAATCTACATATTTCAAGATGGTTCATTCTTGTTTTTCAATATTTCTAAGTATTTTAGATGAGAAATTGAGAGGATGATTTGAAAGTAAATTTTGATTTAAAATTTTGAATTCAGATGAATTCTTATTTTTTTGATAAATTGTATTATTTGAAAATTTATTTTATATTTCTCTAAAGTTATGCATCAGAGCTTAATTTAAAGAGAATGTGATATTTATCCTTCAATTAATTAATCAACTTACTTGATTAAAAGGTTGGTGAACTAAATATTTTCCTTTGATAAGTAATACTTGACTAAATAGCCTACATACTCTCTCCTTTATGAATTTTAACATTTTCAAGAATTACAAATAAATTAAACAAATTTTAATTGAGGGAAATTTAATCTAAAAATATTTGGTGCTATCATAATGTTATGCAATTTATTTATAATTAAGAAATTCATCCAATCCAATATAGCTAATGAAGTAGCTAATAAGACATCATACATAATTTGGAGCAAATATTTATGATTTTTTAGACTGTCAAATTTTCTTCAGCTACCTTCTAGAATGCACTTTTCTAACAATAAGAGATTGGTATTAGCTTTTAAATAGGATCATTTATTATAGTCTTTCTTAATGATAAATACCTTGGAGTATTTGATAAAAGAATTTCTTAAAAGGAGCTTGTAAAAATGTCCTTTCGATAAGCATTTTTGGAAGTTCTAATAAGAAATATTAATATCTTTGGAGCTTATACCTATACCTTTACAAAAAAGGTAAACTAGTAGTCTTAGACAAAAAAAAGAACCCCAACCCATTCTTATAGGATGAATTTTCAATCCATCCTCAATTGAATTTATTTATAAAAATTGGTTGTTCAGTATTTCTTTATTTTTTCAATCTACAATAAGCTGATATTTCTTAATTTTTGCTCCTCTTGAACTGGAAACTAAGATAATTTTTTCGATTTGTGAAATTCTTTTCAAGTTTATTAATAATTGGAGTCATATTTTTTTCCTCTTTTCTTGCCCTTATAGAATTTTGCTCTAATGTAAATTGTGATAAAAGAGCCATTCAAACTTTATATTTTGAATTTAGAACAATCTTTAATGATTAAAGCTTCTAAAAAATAAAAACATATTATACAATATCATCTTCCTAAATCTAAATGTATTAAATATTTAAATATTATTGAAATACAAAATTAATTAAAAAATGAAATGTAAAAAAATTAAAAAATTCATAATTTTTAATTAGTAATTAAATTTGTATTTTTGAGCATAAGTTTTTTAATTTTATGCTAGAAATTAAAACTTCAAAGAAAAATAACAATCAATAAATAAATTAAATAATTATTCGCCTGAAGAATGGAAAATTATATTTCTTAAATCAAGAGGAAAATCCTAAACTAATAGTTTATCTCGAAGATGCATATCATGGTCTTATCCTTACTGGATAATACCAGACAAAATTTGGCCCAGCTGTTATAGGGGAATACCTAATTGGAGTAAAGATGAAAGAAATTTTGTGTCAAAAAGTAAGGTAAAGATTGTGTAGGTTTTGAACAAAAATTCAATCAAAAAAATTTGATTTTGAGAGTAATCAATCTCCTATATTAATTAAAATAGAAATCTATAGGAGCAAATTTAATTTTTTTGATAAAATTTAGCTCAACAATTTTTGTTTTACATTTGATCTAGTGCATAGTTCTAAAATCAAAATCAAATTTTTGATTTGCTTACTCTATCAGAGGAGGATCTTTAGTACTTTTTATTTAAAATTATGAGATTTTTCAAAAGAAATTGATATTCCTCCCAAATATTTACAAGCTCATGAAGAAATGAAGAATTATTAAAAAACAATTTTTGAGGTTAATATCCACTCTTATTTCTTTTTGCAAGAGCTATAACGGAAGTGATCTAATTATTTCAGTGAATAGATCTTATGTATTTTACTGAAATTATGATAAGAAGTAATAACTCAATGAAACGTTCGTATTGTTCTCATCTTAACTATATCTTATTTATAAAATAATTTTGATTTTTAAAAAATAAATAGAATATCTAATTAGATTTTATTTCAGATTAAAAGATTTTATAATTTATTTACATAATGACATAATTTAATTATATCTGATAAAATATCGCAAAAGTATAAATTGTAAAGAGATAATATTTTATTTTTCAAAAAATAATGAATAATGTTAGAATCTATTTGAGTTTATATATTACATTAAAATAATTGAGAAAAAATTAGACAGATTGTTTGAATAAATAAAAGTAGTATGTAGAATAGCATTAAATTAATTATTTGTATTATTAATATCTTTTAAGATTATGTAAACAGAACTTGAAGCACAAACCCCAAATTCTGTTAGATTGTCAGAAATATCTATGTCTGATAGCAAAATTGATGATTTTCACTAAGTAGGAAGAATTGAAAGTGACAATGACTTTGCTTCATATTTTGCTTTGACAAGAATTACCAAAAAAATATAGGGTAGGTATTAAATGAATTTAAGACTCCTTCATATAAAGTAATGATCCTAAGGCATAATTTATCAAAGAAACCTATTCTTCAATTAAATTGATTAGAAAATTATTTGTGACAATCTATATATTAATGACCATTTTTCAGAAACCTATTTGGTGTAATCCAACATAATATTCTGTATATTAACAATTTTAATTAGAATGATTGCTAATATGAATTGGAATAAGGATATTAAATACCAGCATTCTTAACATTTTATATACCTGTGTTAGCATATTATTTGATTGAAATATTTTTGATCATATCTATGATTATATTCAAGGCTGTAAAATACTACTCATTTCACACTATTTTAATAGAAAGAAAGATCGTGGCTTATTGCTTTGTAATGGTTGGAATTTTCATAATTTCAAATGACATCATTGTAATTATATATGACAATGATTATTCATACAACATTTCAACTTTACTCAAACCAATTTTCTTGATTTTCTATAGGTATTAATACAAAATATAATAAATTTAGTTAGTATTTTCTTGGGATAATAATGGATTATGCATTAATCATTTATAGGGGAAAGGAGATATATTTTATGATGATATTCTCTTATGTCTTTTTTGTTGGTTTAGGCACTGCTATTTTTAGAAATTAATCAGAGATATCTGATATTGCACAAGAAGAGGGAATTTGTAATTCATCAGGTCTTCCTTTTAGCTAAAAGAATTATTGTACTTTTCTTATTATGTTTTAATTATAAACTACTGTTAATTCACCAGATATTTATTTACCATATTATGGTAATAGAAGTGTGGCAGTTATTTATTTTATAGCTTATTAATTTGTTAATACCATTTTGATGATTAATCTTATTCTTTCATTATTCTATTCATAATATAAGAAATTAGTAGAGGAAAGAACAAAATCCCTTCTTGAAAAACATAGAAATAAAATACAATAGTTTTAGAATAAGGTATTTCGCAATAAAAGATCAAATTCAATTGTTGGTATCTAAAAGAAATAATAATAATAATAATAAGATTAAACTAATTCTCAGTTTCTTATTTAAAGAATATTAGATCATTGGATTTTTAATTCTATAATGTAAATTCTCTGTATTGCTGATTTTTGTTTTATATTTTAAGATAATACTAATAGAGATATATAAATTGTAAATATTACATTAAATTCTATTATGCTTATTGAATCTATAATAATAGCTATTTTAAGAGACCTCAAAAAAATTCACAAATATCCAGGTGTGATATTTGATTTTACTATATCTTTGATTTTGGTTATTTTGATAATTGCAATTATGGCACTTTAATAAGACAGTTTCACTTAGGATATATTGATCAAAGTTTGCTGCTCTATAATGAGTCTTAGGTTGTTCAGAGGATGTACTTGGTTATTAAAATCTAAAAATTTTGTTAATATCTTATTTAAAATATTTTCTATATCTACTTATTTATTGTAACTTTTTGGAACTTTAATAGTAACCATGACTATATTTAATGCTATTGGTTAATTAATATTTGGAGGCAAGATTAATTATAATCAATAGCATATAAATAACTACTAATGGGTTAATTTCAATGATTTTTTATCAGGCTTTTGCACTTGTTGGTTTTTATTAATTGTAAACAATTGGAATCTAATGTCATACGATTTTTCATTAAGTCTTTAAAGTGATGTTATTTACTTATTTTTTATCTTCTACTACATAATAGTTGTTTTATTAGCTTAAAGCGTAACAATAGCTTTGTTAATTGAATATTTAGTTAATCATGTAAAGGACTTGGGTTAGTCATCAGAAGATGAAACAAAGTCAGAAATATCTATTGAAGAGAACTATCAAAATGAGTTATTAGTTCCTTTATAATAGAACTTTAAGGCTTAATGAGAATGTCATTTGTGATAATATATTGTCTAATTAATAATAAATTATATAAATAGGATTATAATCTTTTATTAATAGGTTTATTCTTAATAAACTAATTTCCTCTGGTTGCTTGTATTTAATTTATAGATTTTTTGTATTTATTATATGATAGAATTTTTTGAAATTCTTATTAAAAAATTCAAAATGATTGTGTAAAAATTTTGAAAGCAAAATTATATATGATTTTTTTATAAAACAAAGTGGGACAATTTGAAAAGAAAATAAAAGAAATTATTGTTAACCATTTAAGGGAACTTTTAGTAAAAGAGAGAAAGAATAGTTATTATTATTGATTAAGGATCTTGAAAATTATAGTATAGTTGAGAAGTCAAAGTATTTGTGATTTCTTTATTTTATAAGTTTTAATATCATCTATAAATAATTAAATGGTTTCAATGTGTATATTTATAGAACCATGATTTCAAGTAATTAAAAAGACTATTTGAATACAATTAAATGGTTGCTCATTGAAACCCTCTTTAATGAAGAGACATTAGTAAATCTAAAATTAATTAAGAAAAAAGGATTAATTATAAGAAATTATTTTATAAAAAAATAATTATGAAAGTTGCATAGAGTTGAAAAAAATAGAACATAAAAAAGATAATTGGAAATAGCATTATTAAACTAATATTTTATTATTCAAAATATAGAGAACATTCATTTAATGATTAATAATTAATTCTGGAAATAATAGAATGAAATCTATAAATTGAATAATATTAATTAATAATTATTCTCTTAAAAATGTAGAATTTGATATCTTTATTCTAGGATCCAAATATGTTTGCTCATATAAATTAATAAAGTGCATAATACAAAAAAACACTAAAAGTAATACTCTTATTAATCAGTATACAAGAATTTATAAGATGCATCAAATAAGACTTTAGAATTATTTATAATTTCTAAAACATGGATTCGTTAATGGAAACAATATTAGCATTTTGATGAAACCTAATACTATAATCACAATTAAATATACCAAAAGGTAAGCATAGAAATTTATTTCTAAGCCTGGACCTATAAATTCTGATTTAAAATCTGATGAAGCTTTTCTATTCAACTATCCAAATAATCATTCCTTCAATTAAAAAATAGTAAAATTACATCCAGAAGATTATGTTTTAGTAAGTCATTCATTCTAAGTTAGGTTGGAAGTGATTTGATGAATATGTGGGATTTAGAATTTGGATCTGATTTAATTATTTAAAGATGGATCATCTTTAATGAAAGGTCTAAACCAATTTCAAATGTCAATTTACTCAGAGTATTAATAATTAAAATCTTATTAGCAAAGCATTTATCTGAAAATTTAAAATTCTATTTAAGGTATCATATAAGTAGATGAAAGATTTTTAATTAAAGAGTGGATTTCTTTATTAAAATAAGTTCTTATAAATGAATTTAAATTGAACTGTGAAAATATTAGATTATGGAAACATAAACATTATGCTTCTAATTAAGCTATTAAACAATTAGAATAATTAAATGGAAAATTTAATGGATAGATATTGGATGAAAATTTATGTGTAGGAGATTATAATGCTGATTTAATCATTATTGATATTTAATTAAGTGGAAAGTGGTAATATGAGTAATTAGATTTAAAAGTAAATAGTTATATTATTATTTTAGAGAGCTTGCTAAGAAGAATTCAAATATTTATTTAATAAAGCTTATAAAGGGTGTGATAAATTTTATTGCAATAGAAATTACTGTAATAGTAATCCAATAATTTCTTAATTACAATTTGAAAAAGCTAGTTTATAATAATTTCTTATTGAATTATTTAAAGAGAATAGTGTAGATTGGAATGATGTGTGCTGGAATACTGATAAAGAATTAAACCCAATTTAAGAATTAAATGGAGATTTTCTAGAAGAAATAAACAAATTGACAAATTATCCAAATAGTTTTGGAGGTTCATTTATTTAAGGTTTTAATGGTTCTTATGATTTTATACTAATGAATAATGGAGATCCAAGATTAAATATGTTTATAATCAATGAAATAAATAAATTTATTGATTGTAATATTTTAAGGGATTGGATAAGAAATCTATATAGATCAAAGGAAAAAAGTCTATTTAAATTGAGATCAATACTTATTATTTTGCATTTTGGATGTTTTAATTAGATTATATCTGATAAATAGAACAATTTATTTGAGTATTTGTTCCATTTGGATAAAGATAGCAAGAACCTGTTGTCTTAGTATATAATCTTTCTTCCAAATTAGCAATTTAATATGATAATAGAAGAAATGATTAAAAATTTGTCAACTTTTATAAAGCACTAATCTTAATAACCAATTTAATTATTATAAAAAGAAGATATTTAATATTTAAAAAATCAACTAGAATTTTTACAGTTATTTTACAAATCTAATGAGAAATTGAAAAGAGTTAGTAATGAGAAATTTATTATTAATGAAGTAACAATACTTTATCCAAAACAAGCTGAGTTGTTAGAATATAAATAATTTATTAGTTATTAAAATAATTCATTTGAGAGTTATTACTTTACTTTTTGTTAATATCCATGGGTTATTCCAATTGAGTTTAAATATCAAATTTTAACTTTGGATTCTAGTATAAATCAAAGAAACTAGGGCGATTTGATTTGGTAATAGATAGGGTTTAACTCTTTAAAATTATTAATTGATAGAAATGATATTGTAAACTGTGCATTAGGATAGCTTTCGAAACCAGGAATTAATCTGAAATCTAAATTATCAATAGTTTTTAAGGGAGAATAAGGTATAGATTAAGGAGGTCTGACAAGAGAGTTTTTCTCATTATTATCTCATAAACTTTTCGATATTCAATTTACAATGTTTGTCACAAAAAACAATAATACTGTGTTATGGTTTAATAAATATCATATGGAGATGCCTGTTAAATATGAATTAATTGGAATGTTATTAGGATTGGCTCTATATAATTAAGGTATATTTATAATAAATGATTTAAGTATTGCTTGATATTAGCTTCCCGTAGTTAGTATTTAAGAAGTTGATGAATGAACAAGTTTCCTTTGAAGATCTTAAAGAATTAGATTTAGATACTTATAAAGCATTAAATCAATTAAGTTAATATGAAAAGGATGATATTGAGGAAACCTTTGCATTAAATTTTACAATTACTGAATATGATAATTGGGGATAAGCCTTAAATATTGAATTAATAGTAAATATTTAATTAATTAATAGTAAAATGGTTCATAAGTAATTGTCAATTAGAAAAATAAACATTAATACATAAAACTATGTATTGAGTATTATTTGAATGATTCAATTAAGAAGGAATTCGAAAAATTTCATAAAGGATTTTGGAAGGTTGTGGATGGAAATGGGATTAAATTGTTGACAGGAACTGAGTTGCAAACTATGATATTGGGACAAAAATACATTAATATGTAAGAACTATAATAGTCTACAATATATGATGGATACGATTAGAATTCTGAATATATAAGAACTTTCTGGGCTTATATTCATTAATTTGATGAATAACAGTAGAAGAGATTTTTATTCTTTTGTACAGGATCAGATAGAATTCCTGTGGGAGGATTAAAATCACTAAAATTCTTAATTTAGAAACATGGTGAAGGTAGAAATTATATTATATATATATAGACACTGAGGAATTACCATCAGCACATACATGTTTCAATATTTTTTTATTGCCGTAATATGATTCTGTTGAAAAGATGATAATAAAATTGTAGATTGCTTTTGAAAATAGTGAAGGATTTGGACTTATATGATGCTGATATTTGTATCTTAAAAATGTGTGAAATATATATATTAATTATCGATTTGTCTTTTGGTTAAAATTGGTTAAATTAAAAAATGAAACAAAATCAATAATTAACAACAGATGAAGATGAAATGCTTCCAGATGAACCTTGGAGAGATTATATAGAGTAGTTTAAAGATTTGAGGTAAAAAGGGACTCAGAAAACAGAATAAGAACTCTAAATATATACAAAGATTGAATAAAACTTAATCATTATTGGTAAGGGTCCTAAGCCAAATCCTGATAAAGCATAATTCATTCATAAAACTAAATGTCTTTTGCTAAGACTTAAGAAGGATTTACATTTCTTTTTTGCAGAGGAGCATGAATTGACTCTTTAATGCATCACAATATTATTACTTCAAATATTAGAGGATTATCCATATATATTTAATGATTGTCAATAATAAATATTAGAAATGCTTACTTGTCTGACATTAAAAGATTATACATTAATGCTATTGATTAATTCTATAAGTCTAAAAGAGTATATTAAAAAATTGACAAAGGAAATATTCTTAGATTCAACACAATATAATCCAGTAAGTGAAATTCTATTTCTTTTAATTGTGATGATGATGGCTCATTTTGATTTCATCAAGAATCCAGAATTAGAATTAGTTTAATTAATTGTGAAATGTTTTTAGCATTATTAGGATTAAAGAGACAAAACATTGAAAGAAAGAGAAAATTATGATTAAAGAAAAAAGTTTGAAAAAAAGATTGTTAGAAAGGCAGGATTGGAACAAGAGCAATAAGATCTTCCTCCTGAATTAAAATACATGTAAGTTCCTTAAGAAACATGTAGAATATTGAAATTAGGTTTATCTCTTATTCCTAGTAATATTTGTTAAATGCCTTCATCTTATAAGTATTAATAATCTGAAGAAATAATGAAAGAAACATCTTTAAATGTCTTTTTTTGTACATTAAGTTTCAAGATTAAATAAACATTAGTAGAAACAATCAAAGAAAATAAAAGAGATTTTGATGTAGTTTAGATGTTAGTTGATATTGCTGGAATGCCAGAATGTTTTACATAATAAAGAGAGGCTTTGAGAACAGTTAATATGTTTTTAGAAGGATTTGATGATACATTATTATGGATTAAATTTGATTCCACTAATTTATTTGACAATAGTAATATGAATAATATACAAATTTATGGAGATCCAACTAAATTAACTATAGATTAAGGATTATTTTATGATGGTTGTGGTTGTTTCTTTGATAAAAATCAAGTGCTTTAGTTGGAAGAACCATTAAAGATCAATAAAAAACAGATTGCAGTAGTATTTTGGATAGTAATGTTTAATCCTGAAACTAGTAAGGCTAGAGGTGCTTAGAATAATTATTAAATTCGTACTTTATTGGGTTCTAGTGATGGATTTACATCTTTAATTATTGCAGATGCTTATTCTTAATTATTGGGAATTACCAATATTGGTTAGGATGGTTATGGATATAAGTTTTTTGAACCTAAGAATGCTGAGAAGAACTTTTCTGGTTGGAATCATGTTGTAATTATTTTAGATAATGAATAATAATCAGCATTTTTATATTTGAATGGAAATTATGAGAGTCAAATTAATAAAGTAATTACTTAATTTGATATATAATTTATTGGTAATAGTGCATCATTAGATTAACCTATAGGATATATTTGTGATTTGAGAATATATCCTAGAATATTAAATGATTAAGAAATTAAAACATTATCATACTATGATAAAAAATAAGTTGTACTTAATAGTAAGAATGATATTGTAGAGTTAATTCTGAGTAATAGAGTTATTTTAGATCTAAAAAGATTATTGGGTTATTTCACTGGTAAGAATTCTGAAGCCTTGATCTAGACACTTTAAATTCTATCAAAGTTATGTCAAGCCACCACTATCTTTAGATTAGAATGTGCCAAGTATGGAATCTTTGATTTGGCTATGTAACTCTTACCTTCCCCTAATTAATAAATATCATATTATGCTGGAATATTAATTAATAATATGAAATGAAAAATAATTAATTTCTAATCATTTTAATTATAAGAATATTCTTACATATATTAATAACCGAATTTAAAACTAAGACCATAAAGCATGAAAAATAATGGAAAATATATTGCATTATATATAATTCATTAGATTTATATATTTGAACTTGCAATCATAATTCTTTGGTCTTATTCAATATACTTCTGATAATCAAAAATCTTTTCATTTTAAATTAGAGGATAGAGGAAAATTAATTATATTGTCTTAAAAACAAATAATGAAATTTATTATCGAAGAAATGTTAAAAAATAAATTAAAAATTATACCTTAAAATAAAGATTATCAATTTCTCAATGAACCATATACTTTATCATAATTACTCTTTATTAGATAATAATGAAAGCTTAAAAACAATGATGATTTATTTCAAAATTAGTTTATACATATTATATTTATAAATAAACTTATATAAACATATTCTTATTCTAAATTATTTTAACAAAGCTAAATAAATATTTATAACAAACCTTTTTACTTAAATGATTTCTATTCAATTATTTATTACAAATGATTAGAAATTTTGAAATATAATTTTTATCTGATTTAAACAGCAAATATAATTAAAATATTAAAAAGGTCAATCATTAGTTAGTTTATAATTTTAATAATTTAATTCAAATACTTTAGTTTCTTTATGTCTATGATAGTGATTAAAATTAGAAATATCAATAAAAAATTTGACCATAATAATTAATTATATTAGATTTGCTAATTTAATTAATGATATTTAAATACGCTATATTAATACATCTAATCAATTTCATAAGAGAAAGAAATTTAATAGGATTTAATATATTGACATCTATATATAGATTATTTAATAATAAAAATGAAGATTAAAGAAGTATATTTATTCATTCAAATTTATGATCTATAATAATATTGATGTTATTTATATGTATACTTAATTAATAATAAATGAAGTGATATGTTTGAAATAGATTACGTGATTAAATTTGAATTAGTTAATAAATGAATCATTATATTAAATTATTAATTATATTATTAAAATGATGAATGAAGATAATATGTAGAATTTATTGAACAAAAAACAAACTTTTGAATCCAAATATGAAGTATGAGTATGAATTAAATAGGAAATTGTAGCATTAACTTTACGAATCAATTAATTGTAAGACTCAGTATAAAGAAATATTGATTTGGATGATGAGCATATGACTTTAATCTAATTATAGAGGGATCAATCGTATTTATAGATTATGAGTTATTTAGAAAGAAACTTTTAGAAACAATACAAAGTATGATTAATGAACTTGAAAAAGGAGCTAAAGGTTTTGAATAAAAAAAATAAGTTAAGAATGCAAAATAGTAATTGGCAAAATAGAAAGATCGATATTAATAACTATCAAAAGAATTGAATAAATTATCATTTACTTAAATTGAACATACATAAAATAAAAGTCAATAATAGCATTAGATTTCTGAATAATAAGAATAACACTATAGCTAAGAATCTTTAGATTTAGAATATTAAATGATCAAAGAAAGATAAGAAGACATTAATCATATTTAAAATCAATCATTAACATTACAAAAAATAATGAATGAATTGGGATTAAAGGTTAATGATTAGGGTAGGTAAAATGTGTAATTTAAGATTAGTAACTTGATTTAGTTGTGCATGATCTCCAGTAAACAAAATCAAATGTAGAACATGCAAATTAGGAAATAAAAGAAGCAGCCAACAGTTAAAAATAATCAAGATCAAAATATTATATTATGTTATTTATTGCATCAATGTTATTGCTTGGAACATTAGGTGCACTATTAATTTCTTGATTAATAAATATATATATATAAATAATATTTAATAAATTTCAAGGTAATAATTACTCTTTAATTTTTTATCTTCTTATTAAATATAGAATTCCAATTCCTAAAATACCAAGAATTGAAAATCCTAATAAAGTCCATAAAATTATATTTAATGTTTTATTACTATTTATTTATCTATCTTAAACACACCAAAAATAATCTACTACTTATTATGTGATTAAATCTATTTATTCAAAATAAATATGAGTTGAATTATGAATAGTCATAATACCAATTCCATCATTATAACCAGTTTAAAATACAGTATATGGTTAATTTTCATCTAAATAAATTGTTGAATTTAATACATGGAACTAATGGTGTATAATATTCCTGACCAGCAGAACCTTCAACTATATAAATAGGAGCAGCAGAATTCTTTACTAAATGTTATTATGGTCCATCAGTTATTAATCCTGTATTGACTTAAGATTAATTATTAATAAATGGAGCATCTCTCTCATAATTATGTTAATGAGCTGACATATATATAGCCACTCTATATTTTGTAAATAAATCTGCAAATGGTTGTAATGCTATAAAATTTTAAGAACATTAATTATCACTAGAGTCACTACAATACATAGGGAAATGACTATTAACTATTATCCATGGTACATTCTCTCTATTCTAATTAGCTTAATTTAAATCATTCTCCATTATTTAAACCATTTCATCTATTTATTATTAATTACTTTCATTATAAACAATATTTGTTGGATTATAAAATATATAATGAACCAAACCCAAATCTACACTATAAAAATTATAATAATTATTTCTTGTATTATATTAAGATTTTTCAGGTGATAGAAAAGACATTCTATAATAATCAAATTCATAATTTGCTCCAGAATCATGATTCCCAGGAGTTGATAATAATGGGTAATATGATGTAAATGTAGTCATATTTCTTAACCACCAATCACCTTATTAACAATTATAAGATTCTAAATCATAAGCCATATCTCCTTCAAATATTAATACATCATAATCACTTTAATTATATTAAATTGATTAAAACCAATCAAATGTTTCTTTTGATTTATTACCATTCCAATTTGAATCCATATCTCCAAAAAATATAATCTTATGTTCTTTATTATCATATTATTTTAAAGGTACTTTAAATTAATATTTATTACTTTTTGAATCTATATCTCCATATATTTCATAATAATATATTTAACCAAATTTTTAAATTGTATATGAATTCAAAGATACTATATTTATGTAAGTAACATAAGTAAATTATTAATTTGAATTTTCATAAATCTTACTCATATTCAAAATTCTAGTTTCTCTTATTTTAATCCATTAATCAATTCCATTTTCATCAAAAATATGCAAAAATCCCTATGGACAATAAGACTATAAATATATAAATTTAAAATTTACTTAAGTATTATATGTAATATCAATAATATCATCTTCTTTATTATAGTTTGTATAATAATATCCTAAACTAATTCTTTGTCCATATGGTATACAATTATCACCAACATTTGTTGAAATTAAAAAAGATTTTTTAACTAATTCATTTTATATCAATTCATCATTTTTATAATATTTGAATTAAAGAATACTTGAATTATGAATTTGGAATTCAATTTTAAAATTTCTTTTAAATTAATTACTTTTTAAAAATGTAATTAATTAACTATCAATTAATGATATAAAAGTATCATATTATAAATGTTATAATTAAATCTAACAACGTTAATCTCCAATCATTACTAACCAAAAATTATGATTCTAAATTAAATGTTCTAATATTTTATTAACATTGCATTCATTTATAAAAATTAAGGCTATTGACTCAATCATAAAACTCATTACATCTTTATGTTCAATCTATAAATTTAGAGATGAGTTTTCATTCAATATTTAAGAATTTCCAAATTAATTTAATAATTTAAATGGTTGTTAACCATTTTTTTAAGGTAATCTCAAAATTATAGATTTCATTCCTAATGTGATATTATAATCTATATTGATTTGAAGTGAATAATTCTTATAGATTTTAGTTGTATATTCATAATAAAGATTGTCTATTAATACTGATTGATATTTTAATCTAATTCTATTTATCTAAGAGTATGAAAGGCATTCTTCCTAAATTGATCAATTACTAATACATAAGACTTATATTGAAGTGTAGCCATAATCTAACCCTCTATATTAGAATAATAATCTCCAAGAATGATTTATTCATCAAATGTATTACAATCCTTACTTAGAACTAAATGAATATTGGCAATCACAAAAATTAGAAACATTAATTTATTAATTTATTTATGAAATATTAACATACATACACACATAATATATACAATCATTGATTTAAATATTTCTTACCTGTCTCAAATGCATAGAAACCAATAGCATTAGCATAAAAAGCTCTAAAAATACACACAGAATATCCTTTAAATAAACATCTCCAACCATTTTTCCCTACTTGTTCAACCATGCAACTATAAAATCCTCCATCGAAAAAATGTGGTTTATACTTTCTAGTCTTACCAATACCTGTATCACATTGCAACATTGTCTTAATAATCTTTTAAGATAGACTTTCTAATTACATCTTAAGGATATCCAATAGTCCAACAAGCAATACCTCCCAAACCTCCAGATATCAACATATCAACATTACTTGCTTCCTTTTACTTTTTTAAAGATATTAGAGCATCCTTCACTACATCATAAATGACAAATAAAGCTGCATATCCTAATATTTCTCTTTAACAAGTAACATTCATCCCTCTATACAATTAATTGATTCCCTCTTTTCTTGCAATCTAAAAATCACTAAGAATCAACCTAAATCATGCAATCCACTGGATTCTTCCATACTTTATTCACATTTTAAACTTGCATTTATAATCTGCATTTAGCTAATTCAACAGGACATGATATAAATGAAGCAGCTAATCCAGAAAGTCCTCCTGCTATCATACTATTATTAATTATTATTAAATACTTTTAATAACAAGTTAATGATTATTTACTATCACCTATGAAAAACCTTTTCCAAAATTCATGAGTTGAAAATACTGTTGCTTATAAAATAGGTACAGATATAAAAGGAAAGAGCATTCCTTTATAAAAAGAAAATATTCCTTCATTTTTCATCATAGATGTGATTGTTGTAATAATTCCATCATGTGACATTTACATTCTTACTTTTATTGTATCCATTGGATGACTTGAAATTATATTGCACATTCCACTAAAAGACCCAGCCAAAATATCTAAGACAATTTATTTTCTATTTTCATAAGCCCATTCTAAAAAATCACTCATTAGTTATTTTATTTAATAATAATTAACAAACTATATTAAAAATTATCAAAAATACTCTTTTAATTATCAATAAATCTTACTATTACTATAAGGAAACCTTAAGATTTTATTTATTTAATAGTCCTCATAAAAATGAAATTACAATTATATACCTTATTTCAAACTAACTAATAATAAATAATAAATATATGAATATACTATTTAAACCTTTAAAAATGGGAGATATGCTTCTACCTAACAGAATATGTATGGCAGCTTTAACAAGATAAAGATGTGATAGTAATGACTTAATCCCAAATGATTTAATGGTTAAATACTATACTTTAAGAGCAGATTCTGGATTCATGTTGACTGAATGTGTTCCTATTTCTGAAAGAAGTTTAGCATTTCCAGGATAACCAGGAATATATACAAAAGAATAAACATAAGGATGGAAAAATGTTGTTGATAGTGTACATTCAAAAGGAGGCAGAATAATAGCATAGATTTGGCATGCAGGAAGAGCTTGTCATTCATCATTTTAAAATGGATTATAAGTTTGGGCTCCATCAGCAATTGCTCCAAGAAGTAAGGTAAGAAGATCATAATTATTTCATGAAATACCTCATTAAATGAATATAGATGATATAAAATTAGTCATTTAACAATTTAAATAAGCTGCTATTAATTGTAAAGAGGCAGGATTTGATGGAATTTAATTACATTGTGGTACTGGATACTTGATAGATTAATTTCTAAGGGATAGTGCAAATAAAAGAATAGATGAATATGGTGGGACTATATAAAATAGAAGCAAATTTTGTTTAGAAGTCATTGATGAAATTATTAAAATTTATGGAAATGGTAGAGTTGGAGTTAAAATTTCTCCTGTTGCTAGAGTAAATGATATGTGTGATTAAGATCCACTTTCATTATTTTCTTATTTAATTTAAGAGTTCGATAAAAGATAATTAGCTTTTATTGAATTAAGGGATGATAATGATATTGCTAATTATTCAAATTATGGATATCCTGGAAGCAAAGAATAAATACCAGATTTATTTTAAGCTTTTAGACCCTTATTTAAAGGTGTTTTGATAGGAAATATGGGCTATACTCCGGAAACTGCAATTAAAAATATTGAAGAAAAGAGGTTTGATGCTGTTACTTTTGGAAAATTATTTATATCTAATCCAGATTTAGTTACTAGAATTCAAAAGAATTATGAATTAAATTATAAATGGGATGAAAGTACTTTTTATACAAAAGGAGAAAAAGGTTATTTAGATTATCCTTTATATGAATAAATTTAATAATGAATTTTTAATTATATATTGATAAATAGTAATAGTTTCTTTAAAGTCATTTCTAAAACATATTTCTTAACTTTTTTTATTATCGATTCTTGAGATTTATACTATTTTTTTTTGATAAGTAAATACTCGAAATTATATCTGCTTATGATCCTAATTTACTTTATTATAAATTCTTTGTAGAAATAAGCATTTACATACTCTATTGCATACTCATTTTTTTATAATTATTAATACTAATTTAAGTATTTAAGTGAACATTAGATTGAGATTTTGATTGAACTTTTTTATATTAATTGTTCTATTTTATTGGAGAACGACTATTTTCATTTAAAATAGCCTTTAATTTTCTACTTACTAACTCACTTTTTTTAATTAATGGTTAATAATTTAACTTAGTAGTTGATAAACTTGATTGTTATGTATATACTTTTGCTTATTTAATCTATTTAACTTTTATTTAAGTGGGCCTAATTTTATTTAATAATGATATTATAGACTTAGATATGGAATCCTCTTATTTAGTATCACCCATCATCAGCATTTTTGTAAAAGGAAGATCATTCTTATTATTTTTAGTATGAACTAACATTCCTAATTGATACTTAATTTAAGTGTAATGGTATTCTCTAATAATATAATAGATGATACTTTCGTATTTTATTGTATTAATTTATTGCCTTAGAGAGTGGAACCATAAAAAAATGAGGAGTATCCAATCGATATTTATAATATTCTGTTAAATCTACTAATTTAGGTCCTATTTCATTTTACTAAAAGTATTTTTTAACAAACTCTTCATCTTTGATTTCTTATGCTTTTTCAAAAAAATCAATCACCCATTTCTTATGAGAATGTTTAATTATATCATCAATTGGTTGATCATCATTCTAATTATACTTCAAATACAAAGCCTTATTTTATTATCAAATATAATTACAGTTTTAAGAAGAATTGGAAAATTGATTTTGCCATCTGTTCTTTGCTTTTCACAAAACAAACAATTAATTTGCATTATATTTTTATTATTATTTAATGAGACCTATTCCATGGTTTGTTAGATTGGGCATTGATGTGTCCATATTTACAGTTCCAATCATATTATTAGCAAGTATTTTACACTTATGAATATAAAGGTTATCCTAGATTGGGTACACATTTTCTTAACAATAGAAGAAGGAAGTATAGAAGAAGAAGTATGACTAAATCTTTAATATTTTAGATTTTGATGAAATATAATACAGAAATGATAGTACCCTTTCAAGTGAAGAAGTCATCACCTTCAGAAAGAGACTTGGATTTGAAGACCTTATTTGAAAAGATGAAATACATATTAAATCAATATAATTCTTTTGAATAATGTAGTATAAGTATAAAAATGAACAAAAAAATTATCATTTTGCCTACTCAAGATAGAGTATAAATAAATACATCTACAATGAATATCTACAAAAGGATGAACTTCTGTATTGCACTATGAGTTACCCTTTTTTTAATAGCATTTCTAAATTTTATAAATTGATATGAAATTAGAAAATTTTAAAATTAACCAACTATTTGTAATTGTAAAATATTTCATTTTATAATTACAATTAATATTATTCTAATATTAATTATATAATTTTCAAATGTCTAAAAACTTAAATTTAATAAAAATTCAATTTTTGATACAAATCTAATCTAACAAATATGGATACCCAATTTAATCAACAAAAAGGATTACAGGTTTAAGATATTCAATGTCTTGGCTCCACTGTACAGAAACAGTTTTTTTATAAAATAAAGATCAATTAATTATTCTGATAACAAATTTAATTGTATTAAAAAATAAAAATTTTTATTGAAAAATTAGCATTTTGTAAGTTTGAAGAATTGAGTAGGAAATAACAATTTTAATCATTTTAGCTGAATCTAGAAATCATATAATGCTATTATCAAATGATAATAAATGAGATTTAATTAAATAACTTAGTTAATTTATTTAATAGTAAAAATCTAAAAATTATTACTATACTATTACTTATTTTTACTATAAATTCCTTCTTATATTTTTAAATTAGAATCAATTTTTTTTAAATACAATATTATTTTGAATTAGTAAAATTTATAAACTTCTTGGTTGATATTTTTTTTTCAAATTATTAGAAAACATTTTGAAAATTTAAGATCTTCTTAGAATATTTATTAATTTTGACAGCAAATCTAATGTTTATATTTATTTCTATAATTGTTTATTTGTATAAGCATGATTTATTCATTAAAAAACTATATATTGTGTAAGAGCATTAAATGTATTTTGAAAAATATTCAATTGATTGAATCAAAATGAATTTTTTGTTTTTCTTACTTATTGATTTGTAGGTTACAAGTAAATAAAAATGTATTTCCAACCTGATTTACAAGAAGTCCTTATAATATTTTTTGTTCTTTATCCTTATAATTCTTATTTATTTTTAATTGTTTGGTCTTATTTTTAATAAAAAAAGAGTTCAATAAAATATATTGAGACATAAAGAAAGTATGAACATTCTAAATTTTAGAGTATTGTCTAAATATTAATCTAATACTAATGCTTATAATAAAGAAGAACAATAATATACAAATTATGACACAAATTAGGATAATTCTAATATTATTTTTATTATTTTATTGACCATATTAGGAGGATCAATACTTATTTATGGAATAATTTTAATAATACGATAATTGTGCAGACGAAAATAAATCTTTGACCAAGAATAAAACTTATTCAATAATAATATAGAAAAATAAAGTCATACTAAAATTGAATTAATTAGTTAAGGATGTTCTTATGCTTAGTAATAAAATTGGCAAATGAGTTTTTCATTATTAAATGTCACATATGTAGTTGAGAATTTGTAAACAGAATTTAAAATTTCTTCATAAAATAATCATTGTATCAATCTCTTCTTTAAAGGACAAGATTTTTTTGGAATTTGGAAAGTTCAAGGACATATTATTAACATAATAGGATCATAATGGAAAATATTTATGATAAAGAAGTATAAGAAATAATTAAAAATTAATCAGATTAGTAGGAAACATCTCATTATTTATGAAGGAGAAGCAGATAGATTAGAAAATGGATTTTAAGGAAAATGGTACTTCGATAGTTTTTAAGAAAATCATAATTGCAATGGAATTTGGTCTTTATAGATCATCTAATTCAGAAATATTTGATTAGATTCTACATTATTTTTTTATAATTTTTGAGATTTAATTAAAATTTTAATTATTACTATTTATCTATTTACTCTTTAAATATTATACTTTATTTTATAAAAGAATATCTATAACTGAATTTATATTTAAAATTTTGTAATTCTTAATAAACTTATTAAAAATACATCAATTTACTTTCTTAAATTATGATAATATCATAGATAATAAAAATTAATTTTGAATTCATAGATACTAATTTTATCTTAAGAAAGTTAAGAATATTTATTTCAATTACTTTAATATTTAAAGTAATTAATAATATTTTTCTTTAAATATATGATTTTTTTTAATTATAATTGAAAGAATTTAATAAGGTCCGCTAACTCTTCAATTATAAAGATATCATTTAATAAATTAATTCAACATGTATTTTTAAATAATTATCATAATAGTAATAAAATCAAGAATTTTTGACATTTATCTCCATTTCTATACCTTCTACTGGTAACTGAGTAATTATATCTTCAATAACAAATTTTATATTTATTTTGCAAGGAGTTGTAGGAGGAGTAATTGTGAATTTTACATACATACCTTCATCTTTAGATAATATTAGAGAATTATTCTTTATGGATATTATATGAGGCATATTAGTTTTAATTTAATATGATACTCCTTCTCTTTTTGGGTTAATATATAATAGTCTTCTATTAGTTGTAATACCACTGCCAACTTATAATGAATAATACTAGTTCTTAAAATAAATTTTACTTTAATTGGGATATGTTTCCAGGCTTCCAAAAAGAATTACCATTCCTCTGATATATTTCCTATTACAATAGGTTCATTGTCATCAACTTATGGGCATAATTACATTTCAAATAGATAATATTAAAAATAAATTATTAGTTTAGAAAATAATGTATAGTTATTTTTAATGTTTGGAATATTTAATTTGTATATAATAAGAATAAGAATAATTCTATTTTTAATATTTTATTTTTAAATATTTTATAACAACTAATAATTAGATCAGAAAGTATGATAAAATGAAAACTTGAAAAAATAATCATATTTAATGATTTTCATTCGTTTTTATTATAATTATATCTTGTTTTAAACCTTATTATTTACTTAAATATTTGATTGTCAAATATTGACACCATTTTAATAAAATATATATTTATTTTATTTCTAAATTCTTATTTTTATTGTAGTATTTAAGAAAAGCAGATAAATATTCATTTTATAAGATATATATATACGAATATGAATGATGTATATAAAATATCAATCATAATATCTAAATAGAAAGTTTTAGATATTTCATTTATCGCAAGTCTTTTTGAGCTTATTTAATAAATGTTCTTTCATTGATTTAACAGTATGAGATAATTAATCCAAAAAGAATTATATGGATTGACATTATTCTACTCTCTGTAAAATACTTATGAATTCACTTTTACTCAGAAGTCCACTTTTTTACTATTTTCTTTTACGAATTTTTTTAATAGCTTTGCAAATGCCAATTTCAGATTATTTAGTACCATTATAGTCATAGTTTGAGAAGTTATAATCGAACAAACTTCCATTATTTGAAAAATTGTCAATAATAGATGGTTCAGGACTATGCAATCCAAACAATGATAGGCGCATATTTTGATCAGATTATAGTAAACTATGGTGATCTTCTTTAGTATCGATTTCTTATTCGCACAAAGAGAATATAAAATCGTTGATCTCCATTTAGAATTATAATATATATGTATCAAATATTTTGAGCAATATTATTTTAATCAATAAACGTTATATACGTCCGCAAAAATTTAATAACTTTAATTTTCTGATTCGTTTTATTCATCTATCCAACCAGTCGTCAAAAGGATCTTATTTATCAATTTTCCATAGTTTTCATTATTTACATTTTTTGCTAATACTTACTTCAAACCATACAATTCAAATAGTTAAAGTACATCCTTATTTTTTATAGTATTAAATAAAAACAATATCATTTTTAGGTTTGCCTATAAATTTATAAATAATACTTTTTACATATGTGATTTTCTCACATAATAATTTTATCAAATTATTATCATCTCTAATTTAACAAAATTCTTCTATCTCTTCAATTAAAGTTTCATCATGTAAAATTAATGATTATATATATTATAATATACTATATTCCTAATGTTTAATGTAGGCTCTAAGTAATACAACTAAAGGCTAAACATATTATAAATTACAATTACTTATGGCTCAATTTTATTTGAATAATTTTATAATAAAAATATTATCTCAGCAAGAAGAGGTATATATTCTGTATTTTCTAATTTAGAATTTAAAAGCTATTCTTCACAAAAATTAAACACTTTAAACATTTAAGTTTAATAGGTAGTATTTTTCTATAAGTAAAATTTCATTGATTTTAATATTTTGTATGTTAATATTTGTCTTTTGCTTCCTCTCCCAATTTAAAATACAGCAAAATAATCATTACTTTCTTCAGAGATCTAATTTTGATCTTAATCTGAGTCTTTATTATTATTCTTTATTTCCTAAATTTTCCCTATTTAATCAAACACAGCTTTCATTTTCATTGCTCTTTTGTATTTAAACTTTTTCTCCAATAATTCCCTTCTAATTTTATTCCTAAACATTTCTCTTTTCAAAGTAAGAAGAGAAGAATCAGTGATCTAAGTGTTATTCATATTAATTATTTATAATTATTAATATACTCTTAAATGAACAAATTAAGGCAAGTATTATTTCCATATTAAGTAGACAGCTTAAAATTAAACTTGATCACCTTTCTAATTATTTATTATTCAAACTATAACAATTATTATAACATTATATCAACTCTAAAATATATATATAATATTTAGATAAATAACTATAATTAGATCAAACTCGAGATCCTTTTTATTAGACTTAGATAAGAAGTTAATGTTTCAACTATCCTAATATATCCTCTAAGTTATCAATCAATATTTTCATCTATTAAAATTGTTAGATTTATTGATTTGGATTGCTTTGTTTGACTTAAGAAAAGAAGTCCCTTGCAGCATTTAAGATTGGGTTAGATTGTGTTTTAGGTTATTTTCTATTTTTTTTTGTTTTTTTCTCTATTTTTTTGGTCATCTTGAGTATTTTCTTAACAGGTTCAAGTGAATTATTGAGATTATAATCCTCATCTATTGTGTCAGATTAAAACGGTAAGGATAGTATTGAAAAATCCTCTTGTATGTATTTCATTCTAGGAGAAGGACGCCCTAACATTAGAGGAGAAGGGAACATTATCTAATTAGAATACTCATCCCAAGTATTAAGATCTTGATTATATTCATCTGAGAATGTATTCTCCATTTATAAAATTAATTATTAAATATCTTATCATTCAATTTAGAATATAAACATCAGAATTCCCGTTAAGAATCATCGTAATTAATTTACAAAATTCATTTAATAAAAGCATAATCATTTATTGTATTAAATTTTACATAAAAATTATATTTTTATTTATAATGAAAACTCGTAACTCATAATTCGTTTAATATGTTGTTTTTTATGATTACAAAATTATATATTAATTTTTATTTAAAATAAAAAAAAGATCAAAATAAAAGAGTCATGTGATATAAAATGTGTTCTGAGAGCGGGTTATTTTATTTAAAATTTATGTCTTCTGCTTGTTAAGATAGTTCGACAAGAGGCATTTTCTAGAAGTATTTATTCTACTCATTTCTTACTTAGGGTAAAAGATAAGAACAATTATGATTAAGTAATTGAGGAGAAAAAGAAAACAGAGATTTGTAAGAACTTTCTTTTCAAGGGTTCATGCAAATATCAAGAGAATGTATAGATAATTAAAATTAGTGTTCATTCGCCCATGGAGACAATGAATTAAGAGATAGAGTACCTGCAAATGAAAACTTTAAAACAAAACCATGTAAGAACTATCATAAGTTTGGAACTTGTTCTTATGGATTAAGATGTTAATACTTACATTCAGAGATAAAGGACAAGATTAAATGGTGGGGTTACTTATAGAAATAGTTTAAAAAGAATATGGTTCCATTTACTTTTCCATGGGATAAGCAAGATAAAACATCATAAATCTAAAGAATAGATATCTTAAGATTTTAAAGAGTATTTAAAGATTATCAAGAGGTAGAATAATAACTATCATATTTTAAAAACCTTTGTGTATGAGGCAATTATGTTTTAATAAAATATAAGATATAAATATATGAACAATTTAGGATTCACTTAATCTTTTTAAATTCAGGATTAGTTTTTAAGATAGCCTAATAGAATGTATCTTATAATTTAAATGCTTTGTCTCTTAAATCTTCCATACATTTCTTTAAACACATATTTTGTTTAAGATTATCCTATTGATAGGACTCTTTACATTTTTATTAGCATCCTTAATCTTCAATTTCAATCTTATTAAATGATTATTGCAATTAAACTGAATTTGATTACATTCTTTCATCAATTGTGCTAAAACATTTGTAATACAATTCAGGTTATTATGAATTTTATTTGAAACAATTGATTTTCTCATCCAAAGTTTATTTCTATTTGTCAAAAACAATATTACTTAATAAAGATTATAATGAGGACTATATTTATTTCGCAAATCTGTTGTTAAATTCTTGTACATCATCCTAATTTCTGTTTATTAATCGTCCATAATTAAATAATTATATTTATTAAAAACAATATATCATTTATTTTTAATAGGTTCTGTATTAGATGATGTTTGAACATCTGGCTTCTCTGGTTCTGCCTCATAAGCCCAAAATTGAGGAAGAGATTTATCAAGATAAGCCTTAATTAAAACACTTAATGTGCATCCTGGAACTAAAAACAATAATGCTGGTTAAGCATGACCTGATAAAATCATAACAGCCAAAGTAGTTACAATACCTATAGCATAACCTACAAAACACCATGAAAAATAAGTAATATTGATTTCTGAAATCTTTTTTACTTTTTCAATTTGTCTATCAACATCATATTTAAGACACATTCCAACAAAAATACCAGGTACAACAATATCACCTAAACCTAAAATACTGTATTTTGTAAATGGATTTCCATCATCATCTAAGGCAGTAAATGGAAATTATAATTTAATTGGAGCATCAATAGATTTTGCAACTGTAACCATCACATCAGTTCCATAAACCCAGAAAATATCATAAAAAAAGAGTCCCCAAAGCATTAAATATGCAATCTTAATAATAAATTAAATATACTTTGAAATTTGGAATTACTGTAAAATTTGCAACTCCTGAAACTGTAAATGCAATACCAAACAAATTGTTACAAATCCAATTCTTAGATCCTAAATAAATACCCAAGGGAAGCATTGAAATAAGCAATGATATGAAGTTCAATTTAGTTAATTTAATATCTATATCTTTGCTTGTCAATATAAGATTTAAGTTGATCTTTTTATCTATTACTATTTTAGTTGAATATTCAATAGGGAATAATCTTTCAATAGCATCTTCTATTATTCCCATTAAACATAAGACCTTTAATATTTATTTAATTTCATTACTCCTACTGCAGAAAAAAATAAAGTTATTGCTGTCTTAAGAATTGCTTCATCTAAATATTTTAATAAAAGATAGAGTCCAAATAAATATGCAGATAAATAGATTGGAAATTATAAAGCATCTTTTTATGTCATTTTATCTTCTTATTATTTCTCTTCCTTTTCTAATTTATTATTTTCTATTTTATATCTTAATCCATACATTTATTTAATTTTATTTTGGATGTTGCCATTGATCCAATATAGAGACAAGCCAAAGATTAAACAACTAATTAAACACCTGCAGGAACCTCTGTAATTAGTGTCAACACATGAATAAACACTAAACTTGCCAAAGACAAGTAAACATATTATGGTCTTAAGAAATGGGTTAGAGGTTTGAACTCTTAGGTAGGAGCCATTTTTTTACACGTATTAAAAATAATTTTATTATATGCTTACAAAATAATTCCAATTATTGAGAAGCGTTGCATTCTTTTCAAGAGTCAAAGGAGGTTTGGATAGTGAAATTTATGTTAGGAAATCTCATAAATTCTTACATTCTATTTATAAGAAAGAATCACCAATTGAAAATGCATAATAAATTGTAAAGGATTTTAAATTGACTTTGGGATAAAGGTACTAACATGGATTTGAACCTGAAGAAATGAAAGATGCAACTCCATTAGTTCAAAAGGCATTTGGACTTAATAATGCTACTGATAGCTAAATTGTAGCGTATCGAATTTAATAAGCAATTAAAAAATATCAAAAATGGCCATTGGATACTGCCAGTGCATTAGTAAAAGCTGCTGTTTTAAATGAGAGAGTTATCTCTTTGATGAATCATATGGAAAAAAATAGATAAGACAAATATTGTGCTTTGACACTTACAAAATTATTAGCAGATAGAAGAAAGGCTATGTATTATTTGAGAACTCATGATTATTAAGGATTTCTATGGTTAGTTTCTGATTATGGTTTGAAAGATCTTAAATATCATAATCATAAATACTTAAGACATAGACATATAGCAGCAACAAAAATTAAAAGATATACAAGAAAAGACACAAATAGGACAAGATGGGCATTATGAAATATATATATATATTAGTATATTATTCAAATCAAATAACAATAAAATAATTTTTATATTTTGATAAATTTCATTTAAAATTAATTCTAATATATCCAATTTATTTATTTTATTATCCATTTAATATTCTTTAAAAAATCAATAGTATAGTTTTAAATAAATTATTGAAATCTTTTTAATATTTTGAAAACTAAGAAGATTTCTATTTATTTTATAAAAGAGAATAATATACATATTTTTTTTTTAATAAATTAAAAGTGAAGAGTAGAAGATGATATAACTCTAAGTGGAATTGTGATAGAGATTTAATATAAATTATAATTTTCTTAACTTATTTTATTATATTATCAAAATGACAGAACCTGCAAATCCAGAAAAGTTATAAAATTAAAGAACTCGAATGATTGGGAACTATGTGATAGGTGATGATTTATAGATTCAGCAGAATAGGAAAAACTCTTGGGTTTGGAACATTTGGGAAAGTGAAGATGGCAATCCATGAATAATCAGGGGAGAAAGTGGCAATTAAAATATTAGAAAAGGATAGAATAGTAGAGACAGCTGATGTGGAGAGAGTTTAGAGAGAGATCCACATTCTAAAATTAGTTCGACATCCTCATATAATTTAATTATATGAAGTATTCATAATAGATTATAAAATGATAGATAATTGAGACTCCAAAACATATATTTTTAGTAATGGAAATGGTGAATGGAGGTGAACTATTTGATTACATAGTGAAAAATTCAAAGTAATAAAGTAAATGATTTAGGTTGGAGGAAGTTGAGGCTTGTAAATTATTTTAAGAACTTATAGCAGGAATAGAATATTTACATAAAATTAGAGTTGTACATAGAGATTTGAAACCAGAAAATTTATTACTTGATAAAAGTAAGAATCTAAAAATTGTTGATTTCGGATTATCAAATACATATAAGAATGAAGAATTATTAAAGACTGCATGTGGTAGTCCTTGTTATGCAGCTCCTGAAGTATTATTATAATATATATGAATAGATGATAGCTGGTTAAAAATATTAAGGATTACGAGTTGATCTTTGGAGTTCAGGAGTGATATTATTTGCTTGTTTATGTGGATATTTACCGTTTGAAGATCAAAATACATCTGCTTTATACAAGAAAATCTTAAGTGGCACATATTAAATGCCATCTCATTTATCCAAAGATGCTTAATCTATGATTACTGGCATTCTAACAGTGGATCCTGAAAAAAGGTTCACTATTGAAAATATACATAATCATTCTTGGTTTAATATATATAGAAGATCCTACGAAATTCCACCAGGGATAGTTGTAGGATACAATAGAATTCCAATTGATTAAGATATTTTAAAATAATTAAAATCCTTTGGGATTGATATTGATTATGCTTAAAAATGCTTAGATGCAAATAAACATAATGATATTACAACATTTTATCATTTATTATTAAAAAGACATTTAGCAAATGGAGGTAGATCAACTGCAGATCTCAACTCAGAGTCTTTCGATATAAAACTACTTGAACCAAAGCAGAGACCAAATAAAGGTAAAATTTTAATTATATATACAGCACCAATTAATTCATTAGTGAATAATGAAATAATTAAATAGTAGATGAGAGAGGAAATAATTAAATAGAGATCATATTCAACTGATAAAGATAGAGGAAGGATAATTAAAACTACAGAATAGAATAATAAAATAATAGCTGATAATGATTAAAGTGTAAATCGTGTAGGAAGAAATGGATAAGCATCAAGTGTTTAAGCTAGATAGAAAGATGAGAATTATTTTGATTAATCTCCAAATATTAAAAAGAACAATAAGATACCAACTACTAATATTTTAAATAATATTTATGGAACCAGAAATAAGAATAGTAATATTAATTCTACTGAATATAGAAATAAGGATGAGGGTAAGAAAGGAAGTTCAAGAAATAAAAAAGAATTAGATATGACTAATCCTCATCGTAATACTAATAGAGAATTTCAATAAATTAATAGAATTATATAAAGTGGAGGCAGATCATAGAATCATAAAAAAGAGAGAGTTTATGTTACTAATTAGAATAATCAATCCTTTGAGGCTCCATAAAATTTAAATTTATCAGGTAAATAGAAAATAAATCATATTTAAAAATTTGGATATTATGAATGAATTCATATTAAATAATTTAATTTTGAAATTTATAAATAAATCTAACCTTTAATATTAAGATACATTAATTTTATTATTCAATTTAGTATCAAGATAAAGTTGTTAATTCTGTTGATATTAGAAATCTCTCCTTCTTTACATCAATTTCTAAACAAAATTCTGAACTATCCATCTAGTCAATCTTAGTAGTTCTAGCAGCAATTTAATAGAAAAATAAAGCATAAATTCCTATTCCACATAACCAAATCAAATAATAATTATAATTAACTAATAGATATTCAATAAACCCTTCAAAAATGAATTAGAAAGTTATACCAGTTGCTAAATATAATTATATTCATACTTAACAAAGCAATAAATGTTGCTGAAATTGAACTTTTAGTATTTTTGTAGATATAAGAATATGCCAAAGTTATATTAATTAAATTTAAAAGCCAAACACTTATCAATGATATTTTCAATAATAAATCTCTATATGGAAATATTAACCCTTCCTCATTTGCAAATAAGCATATTATGAAAACACCTGAAATTACTTAAAAATATTAAAATTTTACATACTTATTTCATATATAGAAAAAACTACTATAAGTCGTATTTCTAATATATTAGTCTTAATCATTTTTGTCATATAATAAGGAAGTGCACAAGCTATAGGAAATGCTAAAATCTCAAGAAATTGAATTTATCCTTCTGTAAAAGAGGATCTTTTCATATGTAAATGAGCTAAATCAATAGGCATCTATCCTATTCTAAAAAAACAGAAAAAAAGAAAGAGTATAATTAAATAACGATTTGAAAATGCATTAAATGCTGCTTTATATGTCTCAATAATCTAATATGAATAATAAAAAATACATCTTAATTATTTGCATTTTCATTATAAATGATGAAACAACAAGCTACTGCCAATCCAAATGATAAGTATGATAAATCTTGAAATGCAACTTTAAATAGTTATTAATAATATTTATACTTTGTAATGTAATAACTGGAATTTCTTGAGGATTAGTGTAGATATAGGTGTTACAAAAATCAAGAGAATTGAACATTGAAAAGATGTAAGCTCCAATAAAACCACCAATAAGAATTCCTAAAAATTAAGCTATTGCTCCATATCCTCTATCTTCTTTATCTAAACTTTCCACAAGCCTAGCTGCTATGATTAAATCAATAAGTGCTTAAACACAAAAAATCAAAAATAAATTCCAAAACAAAGTTGACTAATTCAAGGTTTAAAAGTTTGAAAAATATAACAATACTCTAACTTATTATTTTTATCAATATACCCAAGAATAGCATATAAAATTGTTAACTAACTTCTTCTTCTGCCAAACCTCTATAAACTTATTGAATCTATCAAGGGTGCAAGTATGTATCTAAATAAATAAGGTAAGAGAATCAAATATGAAAATTTAAAAGTGTTTATTTCTACACCTTTCTCTTTAAGTTCAGATGGAACACTATATAAACTCAATCCTAATAAGATTCCTTCATGACAATAAAGTATTGAAAGTGGCACAAGATTATTTATGAAAACCATTATGTAATAATTTAAATAAAAATACTCATGTATAATATGGATCTTGAGCAGATTTTTTACGAAGAAAGAAATCGCGTGAATAGTCTTTTTGATTTTTTATTTTACTCTAAAAAAATTAATGATCATCTGAATTCTGAAACATTAGGATATAATATATTACTTTAGATAGAGATTTTCTTCTTTTAAAAAAATCATATTGAAAATCTTCTTCTTCAGTGTTACTACTTAATTCTGAAGAGGAATGAGTTGCTTATAAATCAAATTATTGTTTAACTTATGATTTCACATCCTTAAAATTTATAATTTATAATTACTTTTTAACATTTGCATTTTCCTTATATCATTTCTAAAGATTTCTTTAAAGCTAATAAAGAATTCTCATTATCAATCTTCTATTTTACTAAAAGTTCTTCCAACCATTCATTTTTTTAAATCAATTATGTAATTTCACTTTAGAATTCTTTTTACATTAGTTTAACTTTATTTTTTAAAACATGTTCTTTTTATTTATATCTATTTAATTCATTTGCTAAAAATCTATTTGAAAGATTGAGTTCTTTTATTTTTTAATCTAATTAAGGATTCTTTTTTATAAGAGGTCTAAAATGAAGTTCTGATTATTTGTGATATTCTATTGCATTTTCTACAAATTTTAAGAAATCAGATTCAATTGATTTTGTTTCTCTTTATATTGATTCTCTCATAAAATCACTATCACTTCTAGAATTATTCAACTTAAAAAATTAATCAAATAATTTATCTCCTTCTAATTCTTCCAAATCTGTATTTGGAGTACCTTATTTATAATTATTCTATAAAGAAGATTTTGCTCTTTGATGTTTTTATGTAACTAAAGGATTATGTTATTAAAACATCATTTAATCAAGATTATCTTAACGTAATCCAAATGACTATTAATCATTTGGAGTTCTCATTTGTCTGAGTTCTCTAGAATTGATTAACTTATATTTATACTTGCATAATTGATAGTTTGTTTTCCTGACAGTTAACTAAGTGACATTTTAATTAAAAAATAATAATGAATAAATCACAGATACAACATTGTACTCGTAATCATAAAGCTGGTCAAGAAAGGATTATCTCAATTTGCATGAATAAACATTGTTAAATTAGATTAGCATGTAGCTATTGTTATTAAGATTATCATTTGAATCATGTTTAAGATCTTATACCAATAAAAGAATTTGAAAGTTTAGCTTTAAATACTTATAATGAATAGAAGCATTTTGAATTTATTAGTTTAATAGATGAAAAAGCAAAGATTTTGTAAAATTTGAAAAACAAATTACATGATTACATTTCTTAATTGGAAGCAGAATTCAATTAAGATTGTGATAATTTAATATAGAGTTTTGTTTATATTTAAAATACACTACTTAAATTGTGTCATTGTCATTAACATTCTATAAAAGAGGAAGAATTGCTGACTGTCATTAATAGATATAGTAATGTGGAATATAATTCAATTAAGTAATCTATTATGGCACAATTGAATAGACCAATAGAATGTATAATGAAATTACATGATATTGTTAATAAAGAATGTAAAATGATATAAAGAAAGAAATTTATAAATTCTTATATATAGGAGAAAGCATTATAAAACTTTTATTAAGAAAATGTATTGGATTATAAAATGGCACCTAAGAAACATTCATTAATAAGAGGAACTATGTTTACAAAAGAATTTATGGAATTAGAAAACAAAAATAAATATTATTATGGTGAGATACATAAAGGAGTACCTTATGGTTAAGGTTTGTTGATTGAAATAGATGATTAAAAGATAGAGGAAGGAATATGGATAGATGGACATTTATCATGGGGATAAAGATCAATATAATTAAAAGGTGTACCTTCAATAGTATGTGGTGAAATGATTGATGGAGTAATAAATGGTTTAGGCAAATTGATATGCAAAGATGGTGATTCGTAATTAAAATTAAGTTATATCTAATAGTTACACAGGAGAATGGATAAATGGATAAAAACATGGAATGGGAATATATAAGTATGCAAATGGTGACATGTACAAAGGAGAATTTAAATATGATTTAAAGGATGGATAAGGTACATATAAAGCTTATAATGGTGATATTTACATTGGTTCATTTGAAAAAGGGATTAAAAATGGAGATGGCAAATATATATCTAAAAATGAAGATACTTATATTGGAAAATTTAAGGATGACAAAATAGATGGAGATGGTACATATAAATATCATGATGGGAAAATGTATAATCAAATATAATTTTGGTTAGTCAATAAGGAATGCATAAGAATGGTCATCCAATTGGAGTACATATGATATATAAAAATGACTTACATCATCCAATTTAATAGATTACGTATGATGATAATGGAAAAGTGATTGAAACAATAAATTTATAAAATAAATGAAATTCCTAATATTAGCAATCTCTCTCATTATAGTCAATAGTGGTAGATTAACTGCAGACATTTATGTTGAATCTCTTTGTCCTTATTGCATGATGTTTATTAAAGATTCACTTTATACAGCAATTACAACTCCAAATATTGAATAAATGGTTCACATAAGATTAATTCCTTATGGAAATACTAAGAGAAAGATTGTAGATGGAAAATGGGTATTCACATGTCAACATGGTGAAGCTGAGTGTTATGGAGATTTAATTGAATTATGTGCTTAAGATAGTATAGTCAAAGCTTTGGGAGCTGTAGCAGCAGAAATTCCAAAAGCAGGAGTTGTCCATTGCATTGAAAATTATATTTAAAAGCCTTATACAAATAATTCATTTGTTTAAGCTGCATTACATTGTTAATAATACTATCCATATGATGCTAATGATGTAATCAATTGTGCTAGTGTATTATATTAATTAAATAATTAGAATTCTTATGGAGAATTGTTACATTTAATTGCTGCTGATGAAACTGATAATCTAGTTCCTAAACATAAGGGAGTTCCATGGGCAGTAGCTAATAAATAATTTACTGAAGAAACTGGAGATGAAATCATCAATAATTTATTAAGATGGGCATGTTAAAATTATGATGGAGAAAAAATCGAAGCATGTTATACTTAATAAGAATGATTTAATTTAAGTTATAGAATAACATAAACTAAACTAATTCTCATTTAATATCTAATCATCTTTGATTTTATATACTAAGTGTTGATCTTTATTATAAAATAAATGAAAATGATAGTTAGAGTACATTTAACAATATTTAATGATTATATTATTATATAAATATCAGCCATTTCGTATTGTATTCAGTTCGGCCTTAAGAGATAAAGATAACAATTGAGAAATTGCAGCTTCTAAGACAAGTTCTAAATATAAACATATTTATACCTCCTTCTGAATCAGCAAGAGTTGATGATTAATGTAATCCATATACATTATTTAATCTTAAGGCTGTCAATGTTGAACATAATCTATATTAGCTATTTACAGATTAATTAACTCTAAAAATTATGCTATTGTGTTTTACAATCTAATGGCAATCTTAATTTATTGAGTTTTAACTGTTGAAAAGCTAACAAATTATTTTGCAAAAGCAAAGAATCCCCGCATGTTAAATTTAATTATTTAAATAAAATTAATGTTAAACATTAAACAAATGTGTAATTATTACTTTTACCATTAAGATTATCTATATATCAAATTATTATTTATTAACTTAGAGATCTTTTTACAGATTTCTATTTATTTTATAACAATTTTATACTAATTGAACTAACAGAAATTCAATTAAGAATTCTACTGAAAATATTCAATTAAAAAATACTTAATCTGTTTAATAATAGAGCATGTTATTCTTATAAATAACATATTCTATTATAAATATAGTAGACTATTTATTATTCTAGTAATTATATTTTAGATTACTTCAATCAGAATTCTACTTATTATTATTGATAATCACAGAAATATATTATATTAATAAAATATATGATACATTTACCCACAATTGATTTGATTTCTATTCCTAAATCTAATGAAAATGAAAAAAATGAAGCCTCTTTTGATTTTAGAAGATTTAAGCTCAAAAAGATTACAAAAATGAACCATTCACTTTAAATTAAGTTAAATATAGTAAACAAAGATTCAAACGCCAAAAATTAAGTGGCATTTGGATCTTCTTAAGAAAGGAGAAAGCCTTCAGGAAAAAAATTTCCTCCATTATAATATGATTTAAATTTTAAGTCTGTTGATAGGCATCAAGCATCTCCAAAACTAAGGACAATAAGAAGTACAAGAATAAAATCTGAAGTCTCATAATAATATTGTGAACGATTTCCATATTCATTTCTTAAAACTGAAACCATAGAATAAACAATCTAACCAACTAAATTAAATTGTCTATAAAAATTGATAAAGAAAGTGAGATCTCCAAAAATTGAATTATAATCTAGTATTATGCTTAAATAAGATGAATTCATACCGATGAGTTCAAAGGAACTTAAAGAAAGCTTAATATCTTTAATGTAAAATATTTTTAATTTTTAGGCACAAGTATGGCATAAGATAAAATGAGATTAGAAAATGATTTATATTGTTAATTTGTATATATTGAATATTTAATTATTCAATTGATTTTATTCATTAGATTTGGATACCATATTATGTATTTATTAAGAATTGAGATCTGCACAATATCAACTTAAGAATTATTAATTTTAAATATTTACTTCATTAATTATTTATGTTAGTTTATATTTATTTAAAATATAAATAACAGTCAAGAAACTAATTATAGTATTCAAATTATTAATACCTTTTATGATGCTATATAAAAATATCTAATTAGTTTTAATAGATTATTAAATACAATTATATTTTAATAATGTCTATTATTTATATTTATTTTTAAGAAAACTCATTTAGCTAAATTTAAATCATTTTATATAAAAACTATGTATAAATACTCTTTAATATGTACATTAATTCTATTTCCTTCTTAAGATCCCAAAGAACTTATTCAAATTTTTATCTTTTTAATAAATTTTAAAGCTTTTTGATTCAAATGAACTTTAAAGAATATGATGTTTAAACACCATGTCAGCTTTCGTTTAAAAGATTCTATATAAAAAAAGTGATAATTAATAGAAGACCATAATTTATGGGAAATTAAAGCAAGGACAAACCAAAAATTGCATTTGGAAGCAACTTAAAATCTGTTAATAAAGAACGGTTTGAACAACCAACTTTATTTTATGATAAAAAGTACACATGCATTGATAAACATTCTGGAGTACCTTCAATATAAAGTACAAGAAATAGTAGGATCAAAAGTGAATATGACGCAAATGAAAAAATCAAAAAACTTAAAAAATTAGACGAGTTTTCAAATTCAAAAAGTCTATCACTATCTTTCTAACCATAATAATATAATTAAAAAAAAAGAGAACCAATTCATTCAGATCCACTCAATTATTTGAATAAACTTCTTCCAATGACTGTAAGGTAGCTTAAAGAGAGCTTCATAATGTTATTGTAAGTATTATATTTAAGAAAGGAATAAACACTAATCAAACCATATAAATTTAGAACCATAATGAAAAAATATCTTACATTGCATTAAAATAAATATACTTAATTATTATTAAGAATTGTTTTAATAATTATAATTATTTATAAATTCAAATTTTACATGATATATACTAATAATGATAATTTATGATATAGTAAAATATAGTTCAATATCATATCATTTTTTCTTTTGTTATTTCTTAAAGTCTTCTATTTTCTTAGTTTAAGAGTTCTACTTTTTCTTCTAGATTCTTCATTTTAATTTAATCTAAATCAATAATTTGGGTCATATATTTGATCTAAGATTGTAATTCAAGCTAGAGTTTTTGATCCTTTTAACTGATAAATATAATTTATACTTAAATTTAGGATTATCAACATTTTTAGTTAGCAATTGTTGTTGCAATGTAGAGTTTTCACTTTATAAATATTCAATTGTACTTTTTAATTATTAGTTTTCTAAATATAATTTCTTTCCTTTCTTTTATAAATCAGTAATTCTTTTTTCTTCTCTTGTAATAAAAATGATTATTACTAAAATTATTTAACTTTATTTTATAATAAATAGCATTTTGTTTTGTATTTGTCAAGCTCAATTTAATCATATTGTTCTTTATTTTATAATAATACTTAATTTTCATTTTATAAACGAACAATTTATTTTTCAAGTTCTTAAATTTATGATTGATATTATATTTCTGATAATTATGATTTCTATATATTTGTTTAATTAATCTTACATTATATAATTTTTCATTTTCCATATACTTTTATATAATTTCACTTAATTTATTATTTTCATTAATTTAATGCGAATTCATCTTTTCTAATTGTGTAATTCTCTACTTTAAAAAAGTTATTTCATCTTTTTTTATTGTAGAAGTGACATTTAAAGTATTTTCTTTTTCTCTTGTAGTTTAATGTTATTGTGTGACATTCTTTCTGCATTACATGAAATAGTTTTGAACTTCACCTGATGTATTGAATTATTTTGAACAATTCACTCCCATCATAGATTATGAAGCAGATCTCTATTAGGAAATAGGTTATGCTTGAAATACAACAGGTCTTAGTTTCTCATAAATAGAAGTCATATAAAATCTAACGTATTTATTTATAATAATTAATTAAATTATACTTCAATCAACTTTGATATATTTAGCATTCATTACTGCAGGCAGTATTTCTTTATTAACTATAAAATCAGGATCTCGATGTAAATACAAAAGTTATGTATCCATAATCACTGGAAAAACATGTTCCATTTTTTATATGCTTTTTTAGTAGACATCTTTTGGTCTTGAAATAGTTGCAATATCAATTTCTTTAGATGTACAGAACCCATAAATACTAGGATGTTAAATTAATACTTTCCTACCGCAAGGTAATAAATCAATTGATCTATTCAATATTCAATTATGATATACATTAAAAGTCTTTGATATTGACTTGTTACAGATCTCATTGAACGAATAGTTATACCTAAAAGACCCAAATAGAAAAGAATTCCAATAAATCTTCTATCTTAATAATTGTATAGTTTTTTAGCACTATAATACGTGAGAAACCCTCCTAAGGCAGATATTAAAACATAATAATTTCTGAATCTATTAAAAATCTAACTTTAATAAAGAGAGCATCTACCCTAAATAATAATTAAATATCAATTATACATTTTAGAAATTTAATGGATTTTTGGGATGATATAACAATTCTGTATCAGACCAAATATCTTTGGATTGTTAAGTACAATTATAGATAATTTTAGAAATGTTTCTTAATGTTTTTGAGAACATTAATTAAGATTATTTCTTCCTTAAATTAAAATTTATATATTAATTTATGATAAAACTTAATCCTTTTATATAATACTTTTTATTTGATGAGATTAATTAAATCAATAATTATATATAAAATATGTCAAGTCTTAAGTCTTCAATTACAGTAGGTTTATTTTAGTCTTTAAGTTTTTGTGGTTTAAGATAAAAAATCTTAAAAAACATAGCGTTTTAACCACCAAAAGTGAGTTATTCTCTAAAACCGAGATAAGATGATTAGATGACAAATAGTACCTAAACAAATCCTTCATCATTATAAGTTATTGATTCAGAACACTAGAAACGATAGAAATCTAAATCTTATGATGATGAAAATATTCATTAATCAGGTTTGTTAGATTTGGCTGAGGAGATCATGTAATTTACAAGTGAATCTTTAAGTCCAATGAGAGAAAAGTAAAGATAATTATAAAGAATAGAATATCTGAACCTGCATATGACTTCTATTTGATTGATGGATAAGGTTAAGAAATTTCAATACCAAAATAAGAGAATTTAGAATTGACTGGATATTTCTTAAAAGGAAGAAAGGCACATCGAATTGCGTCCTTATATTTAAAGTACTTATTTCCAACAAGTGATTATGTGATATTGTTCAGTCATGGAAATGCAAGCGATTTGGGTTACATGATTGATACATTAATTGGTAATAATTATAATTGAATTGTTAAAGATCTTTGTAACAATTTAAGAATAAATATATTTGCTTATGAATATTCAGGCTATGGACTTTCATAAGGGAAGTGTACAGATCTCAATATCATTAATAATATTTAAGTAGCATATGACTTCTTAGTTTCATAACTTAATTTCGAACCAACAAAAATAATTGTTTATGGTTATAGTATTGGATCAGGACCAAGTGTCATGTTAGTATCTGATATTCATTTTCCTGTTGGTGGTTTAGTAGTTCATTCAGGTTTGAGTTCAGGGTTGAGAGTTGTTAACAGTAAATTAAAATCAACTCCTTTTTATGATATTTTTCCAAATGTTGATAGAATAAAGGATGTCACATGTCCTGTATTTATAATGCATGGGAAAGAGGATGAAATTATTGATTTGCATCATGCTACATTATTGTCTAATAATTGTTAAAGATTGTATGAATATTGGGAAGTTGAAAATATTGGACATTAAGGAATTGATACAAATGATGAACATCGTAAAAGTTATTTCTATAAATTAAGGGATTTCATTAAATGTATATTTTATAATTTATATTATCAGTAATACAATAAGAAAATTAAACAATTAAGTAATTAAAATAAAGAAATACTGCAAGTCCTAAATAATATGGTTAAAATCATCATTATTATGATAATAAAATAAGAGAATTCCAATTAAGTTGTAGAAAGGTAGAAGATTCAGAATAATTTCTTTAAAAGTTTCGTTGATTTTTTTGTTATAATGAAAATTTTGAATTTAATTTAAATTTATTTTGTTTATGAATTAATTAAACATTAATCTTAAATTTAATAAATTAATTAATATATATTATTTGTTCAATATTTATGATGACTTGAATCTCTAGTTTTATTTGGTACTTTTGAAAATGTGATAGGATTAGTATGTTAATTATAATAATTTTATTATTTGTATCTATTTTGATTCATTAACTTAATTTAGTTAGTATCATAAGCATCAACAGATATATTCATTTTATTAGTTGAAATAGACCTTTCAATAAAGGCTGATCTCTATGTTTATAACACTTATTAAAATCTTTATTAAACATTGGTAATTTTTTATTTTGGAGAAATTGATATTATTCTATTATCTAAAATTATATTATTTTTACCATCAAAAGTTGATGATCTCTCCTTATTATTGAAACTATTTAAATCAATTAATTTTATTGGAATTGGATGATCTTTAAATATTATTTTTTATTTGATTCTTTAACCAACACTTTGTAATTGTTGATTTAACCAATACATCACTTTATCAACCAAAGCAAAATCTCTAGTTTCATTGTGATCCTGATTGGTATAATAGATTTACTTTATTCCTTAGTAATTATTAAATAATTTCTCTGTTTACTCATTTGAAACTACTGAATCTATAGTTGAAGTAATAAAAAATGCTGGTATTTTTATAACCTTTATATTATTTAAACTAGTAATATTATTAACTTATATTATTACCAATTAATCTCATTCAGAGTAAAACCACATTGATTTTTTATCTCATCTGAAACATAGGAGGATAAAGAGTTCAAAATGAAATTTGGAATTTTTGTTTTTTTGGAAGCCATCTACACTACAATCTCAAATAGGATAATTTGAATACATCTTACAAACAAATAAAGGGACTATCAAGAACCAAGCATTTTACAAAAACATTTTGAAATTACTGCATATACAACAAAGCAACTACAGAACCCATTGATCTTCCCCATAATACTATTGCTTTAGCATATTGACTAATATGTGTGATGACAGTTTATAAATCATAAATTTCTCTATAACCATATGTGACTTGATCCCCATCTGATATACCACTTCCAGTAAAATCAAAAGTAAGAAACATATAATTTTAATTCAAGATTTCATTAACATATCTTAAAGCCTCTAATCTACATCCGTTGGCTGAATGTAAATAAATGATACAAATATCACTTTAAACATTACCTTAAAATAGTGATACTTTTATCCTTTGTTGACAATGATTTACTAAATCAAAATCATTTCTAGTGTATGTTTAATCTTAAATAGGGCCTAAATGATCAATTGAATCTAATAAATACCCAAATCATATTGTTGATATTCAGCTCTCAGAGGCCGAATGATTTAGGCACAAATTTGGTTAATTCCATTTTGAAAATATTTCATTAATATTATTATACTGTTAGATAATGATATCATAACAATCTCATAAAAAGCAACCTTAATTCTAATAGTCACAAATAACTTCAAAATTGTTTTTTTGAAGGGAATCTTATAGAAATTACCTATACATACTACATAATAAAAATCCATGAAAAAATAGAATCAATTAGTAATAAAATTACACTACTCTGAATTAAAGTTTAATTAATTAATCTGATCTCTCCATTACTATTTAATTTCTTAAAATAATTAATAATCAACTTACCTCTTGTACTACAATTGTTGTCTAAAAATATTATTAACCAAACTATTTATGTCTTTTTATAAATATCAAATTCTTTATGAAATAAAGCCAATAAATATCTCAATAAACTTAATATCATATTTAGATGCAGATGATCCATAAATAATTGGGATTAATTACATATTTATGAGATTTATGAAGAAATACAGAAGAAACCTCTAGCTTTTCCTTCAGTTATTAAAGATAGAAAAGCCAAGAAACTAATAGATTAATTATTAAGTAAAACTCCTGAATTGAGACTTGGTTCATCATATGCCAGTTTGAAAAATAATGCCTTTTTTGAAAGATTTTATTATGTAAATATATTATTAATAATATTAGGATAGTCTTATAAATTGAAAATTGAAACCTCCATATTTACCACCTAAAAATAAATTGCATAATGACAAAGACATATAGAAAGCAATATTAGTTGGAAAATTGATAACTGAGGAAATAAAAGTATAGAATTAATTAAAAATAGAATGATCCTGCTACTGCTTCAAATGTATATAGACCAGAAAAAGCACACGATCCAAATTGTAACAAGAATATTGATTTTTGTTTTATCTTTTAAATAATAATTTATAAACTTCAATAATTTAGTTAATAATATAATATAATATCAATTGTTCCATTTAAGTAGTTTTCCATCAACCCATTCTCCTTCTTTTAAAATTCTGTTAGTTCCTTTGTATTAACCTTTTCCGTGTTATTTACCATCTTTCCAATATCCTTTATAAACTCTTCCATCTGGCCAATAAAATTCTCCATAGCCTTCCTTCTTATCATTCACATAGCCACCAACATAGCGTCTATGAAGTTTACTTTATATATAATTACCTTCCATCTGACCAACTAAAGACTCCATGTCCATCCATTTAATTATCCTTCCAATCTCCTTCATATTCTCTATTATCAGCCCAAATGTAATGTCCTTTACCATGAATATTATTATTAATAAATTCTCCAACGTATGAACTACCATCTGGCCAACTAAATTTTCCATGTCCATGTTTCATTCCATTTGTATAAGTACCTTCAAACATAGAACCATCTGCCCACTTTTCTAATCCATTACCATGTTATTAGTCTTCATACCATTCACCTTTATAAAATGCTCCATCTTTATGACTATACACACCAAAACCATGAGCTTTGTCATTTAACCATTTTCCTTCATAGAGATCTCCATCTGAATGAATTAGTCTTCCTTCACCATTTGCTTTGTCTTGTAACCAATATCCTTCATAAATTGAACCATCTGCCCAAAATTGTTTTCCTCTTCCATGTCTGAATCCATTCTTCCATTATCCATAGTAAAAGACACTTGGTTCTATTTCGACTGGTCCATAGAAAGGTAATGATTTAAATTCAAACGGTTCATTTTGATCGTAATTAAATGGTTATAACTAATCAATTAAAGGTTTAGTAAAAGCATTGGTAAAATCAGGAATTGAATCCAATTTCTTTAAGTCTTATCTACAATTATAATATTATTAATAACCTAATATGTTATTATACTATGAAACTAGCATTCTGAGATTTAACAGTACTCTATGATAATTTACTTTTCTAGGTAAGTTATTGAACATTTTCTTGATCTTCAAAGTTTGGTTTGTTCTTGAAAGGTCTCATTTATTCTCCTGCGTGTTCATAAATAGATGGATCATCACATGTAGCACAATTTCCCATAGAAATTAAAAATAACAGCAAAAATTTATTAATTAAAATAATATGAGTACTGAAATAGATATAAATAAGCTGAAAGCAGAAATAAAAAATGACAAATAAAGAAGATTAATACTCTTTGGGATATTTGCTACTGGATTGATAGGTCTATATGTTCTAGTTCATTTCTCTCCACATTTAACTTAGTAAATAGATTCATTTATTAATAGAGAAGAAAGGAAAATTGTTTATAGAATACCAAAATATCCTCATCATATTGCAGAATTATTAAATGTTATTAATAGATACACAGAAAATAATTAATTCTATGTTTTATTTGCATTCATCTACCTTTATATTTTTATGTAAAGTTTTGCAATCCCAGGACCTGTATTTTTAAGTTTGTTATCTGGTAATAGAATTATTTGATTCCAAAAAGGATAATTGTTTGGTCCAATTCCAGCATTTCTATTGGTTTGTTTGTGTGCTACAACTGGTGCTAGTTTATGTTATGGATTATCCTATTCATTAGCAAGAGGACTAGTGCTTAATAGGTTTCCTAATTAAATTGTGAATTTCAACAAAAAGATTCATAAGAATAGAGATAATCTATTTTTTTATATGTTGTTTTTGAGATTCACTCCATTGATTCCTAATGTTTCAATTAATGTATCTGGCCCTATAGTTGGTCTTCCATTTAAATATTTCTTTTTTGGTACTTTATTTGGTAATTTATCATATAAAAAACTTATAATAGGATTAATGCCAGGAAATATTATTCATATTAGAACAGGATTATTGATTTAAGAACTTAATGATTTCTCTACAAGTTATTAAGTAAGTTATTCAATACATTAATTCCCAAGGCTCTATTGACTCTAATAGGATTGTCTTTAGTTGCTCTTTTGCCAACATTATTTAAAAAGAAGCTATAAGAATTAGATGAGAAGGGATTAAATAAGTCTAAAAATGAATGACTATCTGTATAATAAACACAATAATATATTTATTTCATTTTAAAGATTAAATGAATGAGCTCACAATTTTTATAAATTCCTGTGGTTATTCCGAATGAACCCAATGACCACAATCTTTAATGAAATGTGCCTCCTTGAAATTGGGGAAAACCATACTCATTTAATGAACAGTCTCTCTATTTACGTATTGAGATTTATCACCACAGATTACGCAGTGAGGACCTTTCCAATTGGCTGTTATATCTGTTAAAATGTTGGTTTAAAAATCATTTAATATTCCTTATAAATTAACTCTCCATTTAAAATCATATTAAATATCCTCTAATTAGTATATACTTTATAATAATACTTCTCATTATAGTCTATTATGATTAGAGATTTGTCATTAATAATTAAGCTATTGCTTTATTTTAAGAAGCTTCAAAAACCTTTTCTTATAATTCATTGTAAGTAATTTGATTTAAGTTTATTTTGATTAATTTTTTCAATAATTCATAAACAAAAGTTGATTGAACAGCCTTTGGTAAAATATCTACAATTATTACTCCTTTCACTTTTTATTGTACTTCTTTTTCATATTATTATAAATATTTAAAAATAACTCTGCCACCCAAAGAATGTCCTAATAACACTATATCATGTAATTCTTTAACATATTCTGATAGATCTTAGGCCATTTCCCCTAAAGTCATAGACTGATGATGTGGAGATTCCCCATGATTTCTCAAATCCAATAAATGTGTTGAATTGAGATGATTTGTCAATAAAGGAGATGAAGAGACTGTCTTAAAATTGTTTTTAGATCCCATTAATCCATGTAATATTACCAAATTTAAGTTTGAATTGTGGTAAAATTTCTTTATAGATGATTATACTATAGAGGCCATTATTTATAAATAATAAATTATAATATAAATTAATTCAATTACAAATTCATAATTTATATTATTTATTAATAATAATAATAATTTTAGTGAAGAATGATTTTTGATATTAAATAGAACAAAAACAAACTATATTTATTATTTAATATAACTTAATCTTTAAATAAAATTAGATTCTAATTATTGAGTATATGCTAATCAAAGAGTTTGTAAATTTTAATATTCTATAATTTTCTCTTTTATTATATTTATCATATATTTAAAATAAGGTTTTCATTTACATATAATTGATTCATAAATAAATAATAATGTTAAATTAAACATTAAATGACGCTTAAATAGTGGCTGGAATTGATAACTTGAAACAGAAAGTATTTTGCTAATATCTATTTTTTAAGAATCATTGTGTATTTAATTATGAACTCTATAATAATTGTGAAAAACCACTGTTGTTGATGTGCAACCAATATTTGGCCGTCGATTATAAATTAAAATGGAAAGTATTTTTAAGTTATGTGCACACTTTAGGTATTAAAAATACATATTTATTAGGGTTGAAGGTGGATCAATAATTTTATATGAATTTATAAAAAATTTATGAGCAAATTTTTGCTCATTGTTATGAAGAAGATATTATTGAATTATAGTCTGAATTTGGTAAACCTGTTGAAGGTTATCAAGATAATCAATTATAAGAGCTTTTCTTCATGTTTTCAAAATGTTCACCTTTTAATAATGATGCTAAAACTGGAAGATTTCTTAAAATTGGTGCATCATTGTAGCCAGAAAATTTAGATGATAGATCCACCGTAGTTGCTGTTCAATTATTCCGAAAATTTTTTCTCTAATATGCTGATTATAACTTTAAAGTAAAGAACAATATAAATTTCAGCAACCAAACCCATTTCATATAATTAAAAACAGCAACAATATTCATTATGACACTACAGTTTTTAGGGAGAAGATAGTCAATATATTGATAAAGAATGAAGACTTTTTAAATTACATAGAATAACACACCTCACTATTTTAGAATCAAACCTTTTTTGATCAATAAAAGAAGTTAGAACTTCAAAAGGAGATTTTGATGAAGTTTCTCTATGAAAATACAGATTTAAATCATTTTATAATAATGGTATATGATTTATTGAACAAAGTAACAGAAGGAGAATTCAATTCAACACTTATACTAAAACACATTTCATTATAAATTCTAGATCCATTTATACATCCACTTGCATTATCAATATGCGATTTTTATGAATAAATTTTAGAAGAATATGAAGGGACAGAGGATGTCACATAATTGAAAGAAAAGTATCTGCCAAAAATAACATTTTTGAATATGGATGGATTTGATTCTGAATTCAATTATAAATTATTGGATAATTATTCAAATTCTTGCCAATATATATCAGTATTGGATGAAATGTTGGATTGTGATGATAATTCTTAAATGTTTGATTTGGTGACTAAAGACAAGAGTTGCTTCATGTAAGCTAAAAACTCTTATATTATCCCAATTAGATAATGTCATAAATAAAAATAGTTAAATGATATGCATTTTAGACACATCTTAGATCTACTTGTTTATCCCTTAATAAAATCATTCTAGCCTTAGGTTATTATTTTTAGTTATTCATTTGCATATTTTAATCAAGAATCTGATATTCAATTATCTTCTAAGTTATTTACAGAAATCACAACTCATCTATCATTAATTAGTAATTATAAGGTAATTTTTCTACCTAGAATTTTATCATCTGGAGTTTAAATTTAAGATCATAGATTTGAAATTGAACTCTTAAAAACTGACCATAAAAATATTGTATACTATTTGAATATTTATTCAACTCATATTTAGTAAAGTTTTAAATTTTTACATCCATCTAATTAATAACATTGTGAATTATCACATTATGCAAATAATGCTATGAAAATAGTTAAGAGCAATAGTTTTTATGAAAAAAAAAAGTAAGGTAACATTATACACTATTATTTAAATAAAGAAAAAGAAAGATATATGTTTGAAATATTGTCAGGTTTTCTTGAATCCTGTAGAAGTAATTATAATTTTAGTTATCTTTAGAATCTTACCTATAAGAAGTTAAGGATAAGGATAAACGTATGTAAGATCCAAATCTTTAATGCTAGGATTTGATATAATATAAGTTATCATATGTCAAACTTTTAGATAAATTATTTCAATTCCACGAAAAACATTTTTTCAGTAATTTGTTTAAATCAACTTAATAATAAATACATACATATAAATTATTGTTTAAATAACATTAAAAGACTAAAAGAAGAGAGGATTCTTAATTTGTTTCCTTTTTAGCATAAGATTTAAAAGATTATATTTATGTAATAGATAATTTTGTTAATAGTAAATATAACATATTTATAATAGATGAACCTTAATTATTATAAATAAATTTAAGAAAATTATAATCTCCAGTTTATATACACAATAGATTAACTTAGTACTTTGTAAATTATAAATTGAAAAGTATACTTTTTATAAATGTTTTATCATTTATTGATATCAGAGATATTGTAATTGTAAGATGTTATTAAAAGCTAATAGATTTAAATAGGATTCATACTAAGTATGTTTGGTGAATTATGAAAAATATCTTAATCCTGTTTAAAAAATTAATTAAATTTGGGCAGAAATAGAAGTTATACATGAAACCACTGAGTAACCTGTATTTTTTAGATCTTTGTGTTTTGATAAATAAAAGAATAATATTTATTGCATTTATGGCAAAGAGGCTAAAAATAACACATTATGTGATTCGATTGACATATTCAATTTTGAAAAAGTATCAAAATAAATATAAATTTAGCAAACATTTACAACCATTTATAGAGACAAAAATACAAAAAAAGAGAGTGACACTTATTTTGCTAGAGCATATGCTTCATCTGTTGTATTCCCAATTAATCAATAAATAAAAAATTATTCTGAAGTATGGACTTTTGGAGGATCATTCCTGTATATATTTTAAATAAAGTTAGAGGGCATTATAATCAAGAATTCTAGAATATGGGATTTTGCAACCTAGTAGAAAGAATATTTATAAGTGAAGGGTCTTATCGATCTGAAAAAATCAATAAGGAATAAATTATTCCATTGTCTATGAGACCTATGTATGGATCTTTGATGTTAAGTGTATAGTAAAATATTTTATTTAAATTTATAGAGACAATGATGAATCTGCTATTTTGATAATTGGAGGATCTTAAAATGAATTGCTTGTAAATATTGAAAAATAAGAATATATTGGATATAAATTTCAACAAATTGATAATCATTATTATGTGAGTGCTATTACTAATCTTGGATAAAAGATCAATCCCATAAGTTTCTATTCACAAAATTAAAATATTTATTCTGATCAAGATAAGATTTATATTTTAAATGATGCCACTCAAATATTAGGAAAATCATATAGGTTCAATAATTAAACAAACGAATTAGAAGAAACTGATCCCTTTTCTCCTTATGGTATATTAAGCTTAACTACCCTTAAGATTTCAAACAATTTAACATCGTCGGAGTTTTTTTAGAAAAGGAGAATATCTATTATAGGTATTGATGCTAAAAATGACATATTGAATGCCACTTAAGTTATATAGCCTTTTGCTCAAATGCATAAGGCAATGAAATTCTTATATAAGGAATAAGATAATATGAATTATTAAGCAAGAATAATTTTTTAAGATAATAATGAGATAGTAGGCTTAATTAAAAATTTTTAATTAACCAAATACATTTATTTATATGTAAATATCAAATAAGATGAAAATATACATGAAGGCTACCTAAAGCCATGTTCAATGTGTGTTAGTTATAAAAATAAAAGTCTATATTTGCTTACTACAAATATTGAAAATGGATTTGTCTATTTTACTATTTACAGTTATCAAATAAATTAATTGATTTAAGATATTAATTTATCTTTAAATAATAATAACAAAAAATTAGTGTTAAATGTTTACACCATTTTTGCTAAAGTTGTAATGCATATGTCAAACAATGTGGAAAAGATTTTTAAGCAATTAACCTGTGACAATGAAAATCTATATTTGATTGGGGGATATATGGGACTTATTTATTAATAAAATGATTTAGATTTATTATTGCTTCAAGGATAACAAACATATAAGTATCATAAACATATAGAGAATGTCAATAATAATAATTTTAAAATTCCTTTTGATAATCCTGAATAATATTCAAAATATGGATAAAGTAATAAGTATATGTATGAGTCTCCATATATTATTTGGACTAATTCAGACCAAATTTTAATCATAGAAAAAGAATTTAAATAGAAATATTTTAGTGAAGTAATTGATCGAGTTCATCATGATTTTAAAATTTGGATAACTAAATTTGAAATCTAAATTAATGAAACTTGGGAATAAGGAATTTTAGTTCTTCCATCTTTTTTACTTTCTAAAGCATATGTAGAAATGACATCTTAAGTTATCACTGATAAATTGAAAGAATAAATATAACATAGAAAATTGGATTTGTTTCTACAAAATACTAATACCGAAGTATTAAATTAATATAATTTAAATAGTTTGAAACTATTGTCAAAATAGTTGATTATGTTTCGATTGATTAACGAATAATATTGACATGTGCTGTTTAAGTTCTAAATTTTATTTAAATGCTGAGCTTTGAATTTTCCATTGAAAATTAAGAGGAGTATTTATTATAATACAAATATAATGGAACTCATTAATAACATTAACTTGCTCGAAGATATTCAGTTCCAATTTTTATCCCCAAAGTTACACTTTTGGTAACAACTCAAAAATAAGCTATTATTGATGGATATTAAATTTATGATCCTGTGAATGAACATTAAACAATCAGATAATAAAATTAAAGTTAAATCATTGTTAAAATGAAAGAACAAATAAAAGTTTATAATCTAATTCCCTAAACCTGAAAATATCGATTATATATATATTTATCTATTTCAACTTTATTCATTTATTTATTAATTTTTAATAATAATACTAATTCTTAAGAATTTAAGAAAATTATAAAGAATACCCAATATATATTGATTGTCAAAATAATTTATAGACAAATTTGCTGTGAATATTTTATCAACTATGCTTGTAAAATTATATAATTAATAATTAATATTCGATAATATTATTATTTAATTGGACAGCCTAATTTTTATATAAATTGAAATCAAATTGTTTAAAGATGATTTTTTGTATTTTGATAATCTATTATTTTTTCTAAGATAATTCAAATAAGTATTTTGCTTTATTAAACTTATATATGCTTTATAAAGATTTTAGTTAAATCATATACAATGCGGATATTTTGATTTATGATTATTATTAATTCTGTATTTAGATGTAAAAATAAAAAATTTTATTTCTTTTATAATTTCTTTATTTTTCTATGAATGATTAGACTTGGGCTATTTATACGAGTTCACTTCAGTAGAGAATAGCATTTAGTATATTAACAGATACCATCTTTAATTTTTTATATAATTTATTTAAGAATTTGGATTTTTCATAATTCTTAAAAGTTCCTTTATGTATTTGATCTGTAGTTCATGTTTGAATTAGTGAGAAATTCTAGATTATTAATTATGAAATGAATAATACAATAATAAATTTCGAGATGTTAAATTATAAGGGAAATTTATGGGTTCAAAAAAATTATGTATTAGGCAATAAGGTAAATCATTTAAGATATAAATTAATAAGACTTAATACCCTTTGTTTTTGGGGACAGTTGCTGGGACTCTTTTGCTTTACTTATATTGTGATTTTGTTTTACTCCAAAAATATTGCGAGATCCCAAATTTAAGTAAAGTAATTGTAACATTTCAGATATTATCAATTTACTCAATGTTCAGGGTCAATATGACAGGTAAACTTAAAAACTTTTAGATTTTAGAACCTGGAGTTTAAATGTAGACAATTTCAGATGATAAATATTTTGATGGCAAATTATGTGAAAAATGCAAAGCAATTAAAATTGATCGTTGTTATCATTGTAAATTTTGTGATCATTGTGTAAATGATTTTGAAGCACATTGTTTTTTGATGGCAACATGTATAGGGAGAAGAAATATAAAATATTTGTTAGGACTAGTAACATTTACAGGGATAGCGTTATACTTATTATTACTTATTTTGATTTATAAATGTAGAAGTCATTCTAATAATTATATAGTATTTGTATCAGATTGTAAGAAAGAGCTAACCTTTATTATTTTAAATATTGTGAGCCTAGTATTAACTTTGGTTCATTTGAATCCATTTATATATACTACATGGAGAAATGCATCATAGGTAATTAATATTATATGTTTATAGAATTGGACTAAAAAAGAAATGAATAGAACCAAATTCAATGGATCGTTTTCATATATTTATAATAATTATAAATAATTCTTTACTCGATTTTATGATAGTTAATTATATGCAAGTTTTATGTAAAATTGAATCAATATTATATGTAAATAAGATAGCTAAATTTATTGTTAAATTATTTATAAAGAAGTCTTATTTATATTGAATAAAGAGTATTTTAAATTTGTTATAATATCTTTAAGTCTTAAAATCTAATTGCGCATTTTTTATTTTAAGAAATAATAAATATAAAAATGAAAATTAATAATAATATTCCAAATTATCTTAAATTACCCCATATTGGACATTAATGGAAATTTTTAAAAAACATAGAACTAACTACATTTACTAATAACAGTATGGAATAATCATGCAAAAATAATAATAGTAGTTTAATGACTAATAGTAATGTATGTCCTAATCGTACTTAGTATGATGAAACTCCTTAAAATAAGAAAAGAAGATTGATAAAAAGTTAATCAATAGATATTAATTAATAATTAGATTAAATTGATTCAGTAAAAGAATCGAATAGTGGTTAAGTGAAAAAGATAGCAGAAAATCTAATTAAATAATATGATAATATAAAAGTTATTGAGAAATAAAAGAGTGTTTTAATGCTAAAAAAATAATTAAGTGTCAATAATTAAATAGTTTAAAAACCTCATCTTGAGAAATGTTAATCATTATATTAATTGTAAAATGAAAAAAAATAAAATAATAAGTAATAGGATACTAGTGAAATTAATTCATTTACTTAATTTTTTCAGATAGTTTAAAATCAAGAATAAAACAAGGTTAAGAAAAGAAAATGTTAAATAAACTTTTTTAAGAAAAGTTAATCTATGGATAATATTGATGTTGTAGAATAACAAAAAAAGATTACAAAATTACTTTTACAATCAAAAATTAGAATTAAACCTAAGTTCTCTCCAACCATTAACATTTAGGATCTCCTTTAGTAAAATTGAAATAAATTAAATGAATTAAATTATTATCAAATATGTTAATCTCGAAAACAGATAATGATGAACAATAAGAAAGTGTTGTTGATTAAAAATTGCCAGTTTGTCCTAATTGTGGTTCTGCAAAAGAAAGTATTTTAGAATAAGTACCATCTCCAGCATCATTCATAATTTCTTTGATTTGTCTTTTATATTGTGGAATTTGGTGCATTTTTATTATCCCTTTAGTATTTTAATCAACAAAAGTAATAATTTAATATCAATATATATAGATAATAATAAAAAGGTGTTATTATTGTAATTCAGAATTAGAAAAAAGGAATTATTTTTAATTACCAAATATAAATGATTAAGTTTTACAATTTAGATTTGGCAATTGTATCATAGTAGTTTCTAGAAAATATGCTATGATTCTATTGGGAATAATATTTATTATATTCTTTTATTTTGAATATACTGCAGAAAAAGAAGAATTTGAAATAGATTTACATACAAATTTATCATGGATAGATTTTTTATAATATTGTGGGAAGTTTTAATTTGTTGAGAATGGACTTAAAGCAAGACATCAATTTGAAACTCACTTTAAAAATAAAATAGTTTCATGGAATGGGTATGTATTAATTAAATATTTTAGAATTTATGTCAAAACTAAATTAAATTATGATATATAATTTCCATATAATTATATGGTTTATATAAAAATGGATCCAACAGAATCAACAGATGATATACCAGATATTGTATTAGGTGTGAAATCATAAGAATATTTAATTGACACATTTTATATGTTAGAAATAGGATAGTAATTACATTTTAATGCAAAATTTATATAATTAGGATCTGAATACAATTTTCATATTTTAGAATTAAAATAATTAGATATAATTTAAGAAAATATAGTGGATATAAAATAAATAAAAAAGTTTACTTTAATAATGGATTAATCATAATAGATAAAAAAAACAAAACTATAGGATTCATTAAAGCGTATGATTCATATGTATTAACCAAAAATAAATGATAATAAATCTAAAGTTGATTAAAATAATGTTGTATAGATGGGATTAAGTGCTGAATAAATCTAAAACATTGAATAAGAAATTGAATAATTATAAAAATAATTGGAATCAGAGGAATAATAAATAGATGATGGATAAAATTAGGTTATTAATAATGATTAAATCGAAAATAGTTTATCAAAAGAAGAAAATGATATTAATATGAATTCAAAGATTAATAATGAGTAAGAGTCAATAAAAGATAGTTCAACGAAGAATAACTTAGATTAATAATGATAATTAGAAAAGAAATTAAATTTGACAATAATTGTTATTTAATTAATTAATAAATGGAATTTCTCAGCGATCTTGATTTTTTACCAGAAAGCATTAATCCAAAATTAAAGGTCTTAATATACATAATTACAATAATACATGCATTGGCTGTGTTTATTTGGATTATATTATTGTGTAGATCTTCAGGAAGAAAGACTAATTCTTTTTAAAGTTATGTGGAATAAGTGATGGGTGAAGAATCCAAAATTAAACATCATTGAGTAATTATAATCTATTTTACAACAACATTATAATAATAATACATATTAAAATTATCAATTACTTTATTTTTTATGCGGTTTCTCATGGGTTTTATATGTTGTAATAATATTTTAATATTTTGAATCATTTAAAATTTAGACATCATTTACTTCAAATTAACATAAAAATAATTACAATTGCATGAATCATTAGATAAATCTGATTCAATTAAACTATCAAATAAATTTCTTAAATCTTAATCTAAATGAATTAGTATTCTTTAATCTAATTATTCTTAATTATTTAATTTCTTTATTTTCTTATAAGCCTTGTAAGCTTCTTGAACTTTCATTTCATGTGTTAGTTCTTCTTTCAAAAGATATGAAAACTCTATTTGTTTTTCTTAATTCTACAATAATTTATCATCTTAATTGAGTATTAAAGCATCAGAAACACATGGCTTAGGAAAATAATTAAACAATTTCAATTAGTTTTCATTTAATAACACCATTTTTAATTTATCTATCTCAAATAATTTGTTTAATATAAACTATATATATATATATATCTAATTTATTACTGTTATGTCCAATTTCTATTGAATTTTTCTTTAACTATATTCAAATTGTTTTCTTTGTTTTTTTTAACTACCAAACATGAATCCACATAAATCGGAAAGATTTAATTTTAATAAATTTTTTCTTTCCCTTAAAAATTATGCAATTTAAGAAGTATCAGAAATCTTTTCAATTTATAACTTTTAACTAGTAAAAGATTTCTTAATTGTTGATTTAGATTAAGGTGGACTAAGTATATGACTTCTATTTTAAGAAATTGAACAATCATCAAGAATAGCATTTGCTTTGTAAGAGAAATTAAAAAATTTATTGATTAAACTTAATTCCATAAATCCTTAAACAAATGGCATAATAAGAATTGAAATTGTAAAATACAAAGCTTGCCAAAGACCTCCTATTGTACCTATTATATCTTAAATCTTAGGATATGATCTATTATAAAATGTTTATCTAAATAATTATAAATTAAAACCTAGGGTCTAATTGATATACATATTCTATTAATTTATTTGAATCAACTGCATCTGATGACTCTTTTTCTAAATAACTTTAATAACTATTTCTCTCTTAAAGATCTTCTATAAATAAACCAACATCTGTTTGAACATATATAGTTTTATGGTAGGCAACTATTGTCTTTTAGGTTTTCTATGCAAATATAGCTGAACCTTGACGAATAGATGGAACAAAGAATTATTATGGTTTCTTTAAATCTAATAATTAATCTTGCACATAATAAACTAATAATCCACCTGTTAAATTTGCTTATATGTAGTCTTTTGAATAACATGTATTATTTTCACTTTTATTTTAACAAATAAGTAAATTAAATTTCAAATATTTAAATTCATTAGATGCACCAGATCCCTAAATAGACTATTAAAATATAAATTAAAATATATTACAAAAGGATTTGCTATCCATTCATCATGATTTATGCAATAAATATTACTTTTATTAAATTATTAAAAATATGTTTTTTAAAATTAAGCCTCAAAATTTCTATCTTCACATGTATTCATACTATAATTTTAACATCCTTAAGTTATTTTTCTAGTTTCTGGATCTCTCTTCCTAAAACATTAAGTAAACTATAAACTAAATAATGTATCAAGTCCATAAAGGTTATCTAATGTGAATTTATTGACACTTATTACAAAAGTAAAATTATTTGGCATAAGTAAAAAATTCTTAGAAATTTAAATAATAAATACTGGAGTTTCTTAATCTTATTGATCAGAAGAGACAACTGATGGATTTGTTTTTTAAACAACTTCGACAATATTGTTAATTGCTAATATTAAAGAAAGTGCGATTAAAATGAGCGACATAATTATTCCAAGTGGAGTAAAGAATTTATCATTTTTATTAATTCTCAGCTATAATTCTTATGCAAAGAGATCTAAATTGAACAAAAGCGAGCAAATCTTTTTACTGTAATTATTTTTTTGAACTTTTTACATTAATTTAAATTCAAGAAATAATAGTTTGATTACAAAAATTAATCATAAAATATTAGTTCAATTACTTAATCTTTAATGAATAATTCTTAAATACTTTAGCTAATTAATTATTATTATTGTATTATCGACCATTCATTTATTGATAAATAATTTATATTTCATTTAAGTTAATGTTTAATATTATATCTAATTATAATTATTATTATCTTGGAATGGTATTGTATATAGCTTTTTTGATTAAAGGAGAAATCTATAATGCTTATTACCATTTCCAGATAGCAAAAGAAAGTATGTTTATTATAATTGTGCAGTAAAAGATGATTTTTTCACAATCATTAGCAATAGTAGTTGAGAGAATAGACAGACTATTTTTATAAACTAAATCTTTGATTAATTATGAAAAGGAGGCTAGAAAAATAAAGTCAGGATAATATCCTTGAAGAGGATTATAAAGATTTGGTTTGGAAATTATAAACCAAGAATATTGGTATAATAAAGTCTTATATGTTTTATTAACTTATATTCTATCTTATTTTGTTAATAAAAGATAGTTGAAGTAGATTTTAATTAAAAGAATTGTGATATTTATTATTTTTTATAATATTTTCAAGATTATGAAGAAAGTTTTACATAAAATAAATACAATATTATTTATATATTTAATTATGTTCTTTTTTATCATTGGATTGGCCACTTTAGCTTTTATTGTATTTAGAATTTTAGAAGAAATCTATAAATGCTTATAACCCTTTCCAAATATATAAGCTAAGTATGGTAAGGATTGTTGGGCAGTTGTAACAGGGGCAACAGATGGGATTGGGAAAGGTTATTGTTAAGTTTTAGCTTAATAAAATGTGAACATTTGTATGATAATCAGAAATGAAGAGAAGGGTAAAAAGTTGATAGAAGAGTTAAGTAATGGATCAACATCAAAGTTTAAAATTGTTGTGGCTGATTTCAATAATTCATTGGATGAAGGATTTTTTGATAAAGTATATAAATAAATTGAGAATTTGGATATTGGATTGTTGATAAATAATGTTGGAGTCTCACATGTTAAAACTTAGTTTTATTATTATAGTCAGCTCCATTAGAGAAATATAATGACAATCAACTAAGAGAAATAATTACAGTAAATTGTTTTCCAATTGTATTTTTGACAAAGAAAATAATTCCTAAAATGCTTTAAAGAAAGAGATCTGCAATAATTAATTTATCATCATTTACAGGAAGAGTTCCTATGCCTTATAATTAAACATATGCAGCATCAAAAGCATTTGATGATTTCTTTTCAAGATCAATAGCACTTGAATATTCTAATATTGATATTTTAGCTCATAGACCTATGTATGTAACTACACCAATGACAAATTTTAAAAAAGGACAAGGAGCTATTTCTCCAATTTAGGCTGCTAAAGGAGCATTGTAATTAAATTGATAATAATAATATTATAGACAACGTTTAGGATTAGAATATTCTACTCATGGACATATTTTACATAGAATTTAAGGATTTTTTGGTGCAGTAATTGTACCATCATTTTTAAGAAATAAAATTCTTAAAAAGGAAATGAGAAGATTAGTAAGAAAATATTTGTGAAATGAATAAAATATATTAAATAATTATTATATAAGTGTTTATAACTAAAGAATTATTTTTGTTTTTAAGAATAATAAATAAATTAATATTATTAATGGATTAGGATTAGAATCTATTAACTTTAGTTGTTTAAATAATTTATACAAATAATGAGAGACATCTAAATTGTGCATTTTTAGATCTAGACAGAAGAATGATTGAAGTGTGTGAATTTTAAGATAATGAACATTTTAGTGTGTTTGAGTGTCTAGTTCTTTAAGTTAATCCAAGTAATGATTAATTTAATACTTTCAGATGGATAGGATGCTAAATTAACAGTATTGATTTAAATGCCTGAATTGGAGAGTGAGAATAGAAAAGTGCGGGATATTTTAGAATAGTGTGAATTTGAAGTAATTGAAAAAAGCAAAAAAGATTTTTCAGAAATTCAACTTTCTAATTTAAATAAAGTATTGAGAAGCAATTTTAATACTTATAGAATAGAAGAATAGATATGCACTCAATGTATATAATGTTTATTAGAACATACACGTTTATATAAAGATGACACAAATTGTTAAAAATTTAATATTGGATTATTTAATTTAAATAAATTTATGAGATTAGATTTAGCAGCCATCAATGCTTTGATGATATTCCCTAAATAAGGTATTAAATAATTTGATAGTGGAAATAATGCTAGTACTTTAGTTGATTATTTGGATAGATGTATTACTTAAATGGGTAAAAGATGTTTAAGAAGATGGATTAAAATGCCATTATAATCAATATAAGAAATCAATTAAAGATTGAATATAGTTGAATATTTATATTAGAATTCTTCTTTCAGAGCATTTTTAAATGAAGATTTCTTAAAAAGAATACCTGATTTAGATAAATTATATGCAAAATTCTATAAGGTGGCTAGTGATAAGAGAAATAATGCTAATCTTAGTGATTGTGTTAAAGTTTACTAATTAATCTAAAAAATTAAAGATATAATTAAAAGAGTTAATTAAGAATTATATTAAAGTTAAAATTCTATTCTTTAAGAGATATTTCTAAAACCTTTTGAAGAAAACTTAAGTGATTTTGAAAGATTAGAAGAAATGATTGAAAAATCTATTGATTTAAGTAAAGCTTATACTGGTGAATTTATTGTAAATCCTAGATTTTCTGAAAAATTAATGTAACTTAGTAAGAATATTACATAATGTATGAATGATATTGAAAATGTGAGATTAGAAACTGAAACTGAATTAGGAATTACTGTTACTTTAATTGAGTCTGGAACCTATACCTATATCTTTGAAGCTAAAAAATAAAGTGCTGATGAAGCCTTTAGAAAAAACCCTAAAAAATATAAGACTATTTCTGTTAAGAATAGAGCTTTAACTTTTACAGTTGAGAAACTACAATCAACAGTTGCTGATTATGTTCATTATAGAGATCTTTATTAAGAAGTTCAATAAGAAAAAGTTTAAGAAATATTAAAAATTGTTTGTTCTTATTATCCTGTAATGGAATAAGCATCAAGACTTATATCAGAAATAGATGTCTTATCTTCATTTGCATCAGTAGCTAGAAATGCACCAAGAGCATTTGTTAGACCTATATTTACTGAAAAAAAAGAAATTTTATTAAAAGAATCAAGACATCCTTTATTAGAAGCAATAGATTCAACCTGTATTGTTAATGATCTTGAAATGGATAGAAAATCATCAAGATTACATATAATTACAGGACCAAATATGGGTGGAAAATCTACTTATATTAGATAAATAGCAATTTGTGTATTATTAGCACATATTGGTTGCTTTGTGCCTTGTACTACTGCAGTTGTACCTATTATAGATGCTATAATAACAAGAGTAGGAGCAAGTGATGTATAGACAAAAGGTATTAGTACTTTTATGAGTGAAATGCTAGAAGCAAGTTGTATGTTGAAAACTGCTAAACCTGATTCCTTAATAATAATTGATGAATTAGGAAGAGGTACATCTACATCTGAAGGATTTGGTATTGCTTGGGCTATAGCTGAACATATAGCCAAATAAATATAATCCTATTGTTTATTTGCAACTCATTTTCATGAAATGACTCTTATGGAACATGAAATTCCAGGAGTGAAAAATTATTATGTAAGTTGTGTTACAGAAGATGATAAAATTACTATGCAATATAAAGTTAGATATGGAGCTGTTGATAGGAGTTATGGATTACTTGTTGCTGAAATGTTAAAGTTTCCAAAGGAGGTTATTGATGATGCAAAATAAAAGGCACTTGAATTAGAAACATTTGAACATAATCTAGAATCAAACTTTATTGATGAAGAGGTACCTATCTTTAATACTATTGATGATGAACTTTAATATAAAGTTAGAAATAGTACACTTTAAGCAAAAGAGAGAGTCATTAAAGAGGCTGAAAAGTGGAAAAATGATTTAAATAATGAAAAGAATCCATAAAAAAGAAAAGAAATAATAGAAAAAAGGAAATAAATTATACTAAAATTATTAAAATGAGATTAAATTCTATATTTAATAATATTCATAGTTTATAAATCTATTTATTCAAAAAGATAATAATATTATGCAAATAATCAAATAAAATATAATATTTATGTTTCATTTGGTCAATTGTTAGCTGTTAAGACATAACTTTATTAATTTTTTTAAAGGAATTTGTATTGATATTCTTCTATACATTTTTGGTTCTCAGTGTATTCGATTGTCTTTCCTATTAAATATAAATATCTTATACCATTATAATCCATTTCATCAAATAAAATAACTTTAGCTCCAGCTGGAACTTATATTGATTTAATTTTGCTTGGATATTTGGCTAATTAGAAATTAGGTAAATCTTCACACATATTAAATGATTTTCCTATTCAAATAAATATAATAAATACCTGTATAATTACATTCTGTATAAAGTGTAGCACAAGCATCTGGTTTTTCATAAAAGAGTTTGAATCCTTTAAGTGCAAATGAAGCATTTTCATTATTTTTTCCAATAGTTGTTGATATTACTAAATCTAATGTAGATGCTTCATGTCCCATAACAAAATCAACAATAGCATAATTTTCAAATCCATCTCCACCACAAATATCAGCAAGTCCAGGATCTCCAAATCCAAATGTTCTTTACCAAACACTTAATCCATCTACTTTAACAATATAATCTTCTCCATTCCAATTATCAATTTTCCATGCTTCAAATGCAATTCTAATTCTTTTATGAGCAGGTAAATTGAATTTTCTTGAAATTTTAGCATCTTTTCCTGTCTTTTCAAAACCACCAAAGAATTTGAATTCTCCACATGTTGATGTAAAATCTGGTCCATTTTTACCATCACTTACTTTCCAATCTGGATTAGGTGTCCAACTTGAACCTTAAAATTCTGATGTAAATTCAACCCAATCTCCTTTTAATATACAACCTGAACCATTTCCATCTTCTGGATCCAATAATATATAAGGAGAAACACAAGCTGTACAATCTTCAGCACTTGGTCCAGTACATGTTGCACAATTACTTGAACATTATGCAACATAAAGTTGGAATTATCTAATACCCCAAGATGCTTATTTTGATGATTTTTTGGTTGTGGCTGTCCATTTTACAAGTGCAGCACCATAATTATGAGGAGATTCAAAGTTTACATTAATAATCTTTTCTGTTCCATCAACACCTCCTGGAGTAACTTTATCACAAATGAAAAATTCTTTATCTTCTACTTAAGCTACATTTTATTTCCATTTTTCTTAATTATCAATATACAAAACTGCATTATCATTATCCCAATTATCAATCTTCCAAAATTATGCTATCACTTTAATTCTATAATGTGGTACAAGTTTATCAAAGATTTTTTAAATTGATACATTATTACCAAAATTACCAGGACCACCAACAATTGGAATTCCTGCACAAGTACTTGTTTTAATAACATTTGATGACCCTTTTACATTCCATCCATCAGCTTCTACATTCTTTATCCAACTTGATGATACTGGTACCCACATTTAACAAACAATAGCATCTGGTCCAAGACATGTACCACATTCTGTTGGACATGCCAAATAAGATAATTTCAAGTTTCTAAAACCCCAAGACATCTAAAGATTATTAAAAAGATTATACTTTATCTGCTGCCTTATCAGCTGAAGATGCAAATGCAATAAATAATGCTGCATGATTATGAGTTATTGTTTAATCAACTTAGAATGAATTTACATTACCACCTGCTGGAGTTGCACATCTTTTTGTTCCATCACTTCCAGTCCACATAGTTTCCCATAAGTAATTATCCAAATAAAAGAATTGTCTTTAAGTGTCCCATGAATCAAATCTAGATTTGTTAAATTATTCAATACTTCCAGACTTCAACTGATATTTTAATCTAAAAATGGGGAGGTAATTAAAATTGTTTGGTAACTATAGCTCCTTTACCAAATGCTTTAGGTCCTCCAAAAATAGTGGCATCTGAACAAGTAAAGAAATTATCAGCCTATGCTTTTGACAATGATCCTTGTATTGTCCATCCATCCAATTAACCTAGGTCTGCATTAGAAAATGCAGAGTAAAATTCAACAAATTCTTGCGATGTTGCAAGCATCACAAAAATTGCAATCACGATGAATCTCATTTATATAAAATTAATATTCAAAAACGCATAATTTTTATAATTTATTCATACACCATAAACATTAATCATTTTCATCCTAAATCCATTAGGTAAGTCATCACTACTAAACATGCTATCAAATTTCTGCTAGCCAAATGACTATTACAATTCTTATAATATATTAATAAAAAGAGGTTTAATAGATGGAAACTCTGTTGAGACAACAATACAATAAACAAAATATTTGATATCGTTTATTACTCTTCCTGGATACATCTTCACTATATTTATTAAGATCCTATATTTTAATTATTTTCTTACCTAAAGGATTCCTCTTTAAATTCATCTAAAGCTTAACTCTTTATTTAGCTAAGGATCAAACAAACTCTTTTAAAAAAATTAGGTATCAATTCTTCAATTTATTAAATATGTGATCCAGCTATTCTGCATATTGCTATACATATATTTTAAGCAATTGATTTAGGTAATTTTGATTCATTTATTATTTTTATTAGTTTCTCCATAACAGCATTAAAGATTACTGTAATTTTGGATGGATCTTTTAAAGCTAATTCTCCCATAGCCCATGAAGCATTATTTGAAGTAGCCAAAAATATTTTAGATGGATCAATACTTATAGATTAAGCATAGATGTATTCATTTCTAAAATATTATATATATATATATATTTACAATACAATAGCAATATTGACATTCTTGAAAATTGTATAACAATCTTTAATTAAATCACCTATTAAAGAAAGTGCATATTATTTAACATCAGTTTCTGTATCTTATAATGCAAGATCAACAATTTATAAAAATGACTAATCACATAATTCTAAAAAGCTTTCTTTTGTTATGTTGATTATCTTGATACACAAATCAAAAGATTTTTTTAGAATCTCTTTTTATTAATATAAAAGTCTTGTCTTTCCATTTTATATAGATTGCACATAACCATTCATAGATTACACTGTAGCTTAATAAATAATTGGAATATATTTTATTGCTCTTTATCCAAATTTTTCAACTGCTTCTGCCAAACATTCTATAAATAAATGATATAATAATACCATAAAGAGGACATATATTATAGTCATTTAAATCAACTAAATTACTGATCAATTTAGTCATTATTAAATCTATTAATTCTTAATTTTCAATAGTTTCACATTCAGATAATATTGTTGTTATTGATTAATAAATGTATAATAATACTCCTCCTTTTTAAGATAATGCTTTTAAGTATACTTAAAACAAATCTAATAAGTATGGTTACAATATAAAGAATGCATCTTTTGATAAAGAATTCAATGCAGAACAAGCAGATTCCTTTACTATTCTAAAAGATATATTTAATTGTATACATTGATTAATTTTCTATAGATATCAATAATAATTTTAGATACGATTAAATAAATTATGTCTCGTTAATAGCTACTGTTTTAATCCACTCATTATATTATGAGAATGTCCATAATTTAGAAGCATATATATATTCATTTTGTTGATTCTTTTCATTAAATAAAGCCATTAATATATTGGGTACAAGATTACCATGATTTTCTATTATTTTTTCTGCAAATAATCCTAGACATATAATAGCAATTTCTTATTATTTCCAATCTTATTATTGCTATAATTGATCAATAATTTATAAAACTATTGGAACAATAATTTTATCATAATATTCTATTAATTTTTTAAGTAATAGATTTGACACTGATCTTAATGAATATTCTCCTAAAGTTTTCTCTTCATCTTATTCATCATCTTCATTTTTATCATTTTAATTGTAAACATTTGCAAATGTTGGTTATATGGCTATTTAATCAGCTCTAGTAATTGCTAGATTAAGTATTACGGGTGATAATATTTATTGTAAATAAGGTTCAAGTAAACGAGTTTATTCATAATCTTCAGCATCATCTATCCTTAAAAAATCTGTTAAACATAATTCTACAAATCGTACAACTTCCTTATCTGAATCTTATAAGGATTAAACACATGCCATTATTACTAAATTTAGCTATTTTATTTTATCTCGTTTAGTTTCTATTAAAGCTTAAATACCCTAAAAGCACTTCAATCTTATTTATTATTGTTGAGATTATGTTCCAGTAATCAAAATTTAAATGTAACTATCAATATATTAATTTAATGAAGGAGGCATAAAGAAAATATTATAGTTTAAAAAATTTAAGGAATTTACAACTACTTATGTATTCTAATGTTCAACTAAGGAAATAAATTTAATAATTAATTGATCTATTAATTGTAAACCTGTATCTGTTCCATAATAATTGATATTTTCAGAATTGAATTTCAAGTCTTCAATTATTTTGGATAAACAATCAGTTGCAATTACAGGATCAGCATCTATCAATTTAATTAAATATTCCATCATTAGATTACTATCTATGATTATTATGATTTTTGCTTACTTTTAATTCCATTTCTAACTACAACTTCTGGGACAATAATAATAAATGCTTATCTCATTATTTGAATACTCAAATCAACTTGAACTAACATTTATTATAATTATTCAGGTAATGTAGAACAATTTTTAATAGCACTTTTTAAAATCACAGAAGCTCTATATCTAATTTCTGGTTCATAATTTCCAATTATCACAGAACATAAATGAATTAAAAATTAAGTATCTTAACTTAACTCTTAAGCTCTTTTATATACTTATTTTTATATCTAATTGTCTGGTTAGGCTGACCATTATATTAATTCAATTATTTAATCCATAATTAAATATATATTAATTATCAATATTTGTATTTAGTTGAATAATCTTTTGGAGCAACAACTAAACCTTTGCCTTTTCTAGCACCTCTATATATAATTTCAACAATATCTATGAATTCCTACTTATCATTCATTGCCCAATTTATTTTATTATTATTTCCTGTTCCTAAATCAATCATCATATGTTTGTTTCTATAAAAAAACATTACTGTAACTGGATCATATAGTTCATACATTGTATTAAAATCAGGAACTTTAGTGATATCTACTAAATAAACAACTGCAAATTTTTTTATTTTTTCAGCAGATTTATAGAGGATTTCATCCATTTGCATACATTATGGATCCCTATATAGATATTAATATTTAATTACCAATCATGTCCAAAACGTATGATAACTAGTTTCTCTTCTTCATCTAAGATTGCTTGATCAACTTCCCAACCGTTATTTAAATGAGGTAGAAGGTAAGACATTTTTAAATTGTTAGTTATAAATTATTAAAAATTATGTCATTTTTTATTTACTTTTTTTTCTCTCTATTCTTAATTTTTCATAAAAGCAACAAAAATTTATTATTCTCTTTATTTTTTTTCTGCTTCAATTCTTTTAATAGCATTCAATCCATCATTTTCTTTTCTTATTGTAGTAGGAGAATTATGTTCAATTGAAGTATTTAAAACAGTTTTTACTTATTATTTATTTGCTTTAATTTATTATGCTTTATATGATTAACTATAAGATTAAGATTCTAATGAAGGTCTTCCACCAATCAGATTTTTTTGTTTAGATAATAATAATGGGGTTTGATTATTAGATTAATTGGAATTAACGATTGGAGATTAATTAGTTTATGTTGTTGTTGTTTGTAAATTTTATGTTTTTTATTAATTCATTAATTATTTAAATAATTTCTATTAATTAGGTACTGATTATGAATGATCTTATATTGTATTATTATTTTAATTTTATTTTAATGATTTCTCATCAGCTTAATTTTATTATTCCTACTGTTTCTTACTATTTTATTATTTTTTCTATTAAATTTTTAATATTGATTCATCTTTTTTTATTTTCTCTGTAGTAGTTATTAAATATTCTTACAAATAATAATCATCTTCTTTATCTGATAAATCTTATGCAAGTAATAACTCTTTTGGATCAAACTCTTTAGATACATTTCCTAAATCTTCCCATTTAATAAGATTGTTTGGTTTTTCTTTTGGCTTTTGTAAATTTTTAGCTGAATTTTTTGGCTTTTCTTAAAGTGATATATTATTAGGATTTGTAATTGGAGGTTCATATTTATAACTTTCAGCTCTTGGTTTAGGTTTGGCTGGTAAAACCAATCTGCGTGAACATAGCTTTTCTTAAGTTAAGATTTCACTTTGATCTTTAGTGTTGAATGGTTTTCCAACAACAACCATCTTTTTTCTATAAATCTTAGGATCATGAACTCCTAGATAATCATATAATGCTCTTAAAGAGTTGTCTACAGGGAAGATAATATCAGCTATCTTTATTAAAGCATACAAGAATTCTTAATATGTTAATTCTTATATATTTGAACATTTTTTAAAAATTTCTACTAAGATTAATTTAGTAACAACAAAATTTTCTTTTTCTTTATGTTTATATTTAATTTTATTAATAGGCTTATTTGCACCTTATCCAGTATGTTAATAAATAAAATCATTATTTATTTCTAAATCTATTAATTCAAAATCTTTACAAAAATACATAAATTTTTACAATGTCATTACTTACTAAATCTGATGAAGTTAATCAAAAGTATTTTATTTATTTGAAGTTTAAGCTTATCTAGAATAAAATTTATAAATTTCTTTAATATTTGTTTCAACATTTTTTTCATAACTTCTTTCATTGTCTTACTAAGATAATTATTATGGTTTCATCATTGGTTTATTTAATTAATAAGGATCATCTTATGAAAGTTATCTTGATTTCGTCTTGGGAGATTGAATAACTTATTTGAATTTTTCTGTAACCTCCTAAGTTCCTAATATTTTATCATTACTTTGGATATCTTCTTCATTCTATTTGATATCTGTAATTTCAGTTGGTACTTATTTTAGAATGATATTTGATTAGTTTTCCTCTTTTGTAATTTAAGTCACTTTATTACTCTAATCATCAGATTTTTTTATTTAATCATTCTCTGGTAGATCTTCAAAATCTTAATCATCAGCATTTTCCAACATTTTAGATTAATCTTAATTAAATGTTTACTCTATTTTATCATTACCTTAATCTTATGAATTAGATTAATCAGCCTAATTCTCTTTTTAGTTAAAAGAATTTTCATCATTTTCACTTATACTCAATTCATCATAATCATTTGGTTTATCCTAATTATTACTTTATAAAAAAGATTCATTTTTATTTTTTGTGGAACTTTTTCTTTTAAGTTATGAACCATTTACTGCTTGAGATTGTACTGTTTAATCACTTTATTTTTATGAATGAAAACTTTCTGGATATAATACTGATCCATTTGAATTTTGATACTTATGATTTAATTATGAATCTTTGGAATCTTAAAAATCAGATTAGTTATCCATAATAATTTTATTAATAATAAATTTGTAATATTTATAATATAAATTCAAAGCTTTTTATTAATTTCTTCTATTTTATTTAATTTTAATCACTCATTTTCTTAATTATATTATTCCTGAAACTTTTACAATTAATTAATTTCTCATAATCAAAAATTAGTGTCTTCCATAATTGAATTTTTAATTTATTTTATTATTAATTATGTAAAAAATATTAAGAACCTTAAATCCTTTATATAGATTCTCAACAAAAAAAGCTCAAAGAATTTAAAATAAAATTCAAGATATCAAAGATCAAGAATCCACTTCAACCTTAGAAAGTGTAGCAGAATAGAACACATTTACTGATGAATAATTGGTTAAGATTATTGAAGATAGAAGATAATTTATTAGAGAATTAACCTAAGAGACTAAAGCTCCTAAAGAGGTCAAATATATAACAATTGCTACTTTGAGTCCTTTAATTTTATTATCATCAGCTACATTATATTGTTGTGTTAATCCAGCATATGCAATCTATACAGGATAATTAATGCATGCATCAATAAAATATGCATCCATCAATTTGGCATTTTAAGTATAAATCAATTCATATTTATTAATAGTCTGGGATTCATTGGGGATTTGCAATGTCTTAACATGAAACTTAATTAGATTGGCTTAATAGTTCATCTGAAGCTCGAACTACCTTTTTTTTAGCTTCTATACCTATTATAGGTGCCATCTTAATTTCATAATATTTTTTATATGGAAATGATGATAATATTTAATCCATTTCAGCTATTATTGGAATAGTTGTCATGAATTTAAGTATATAAAATTAATAAATTATTAGTGGTTTCTGGTTTAGATATTAGAGCAAGAAGTTATGCACCTGGATGGTTTTTGAAAAATAAAATGTTTTATTCTTTTGGTTTTCATGCAGCATTAATACCATTAGTATACTGTCTATTTCTTTATGGAGACAATTTCAAAAATAAGGTAAGTATTTATAGAGTATAATGATTTTTAATATAATATAACAGATTATTTTAAAATATATGTTAATCATTATTGCTTATTAATTGCATCAAATAACAATTATATAGATTAGGCTAGCTAAGAGTTAGGATTTTGTTCATTTATTAATTAAATGGCTTTTAATTTCTTGAAATATTCATTTCTCTCTCTCATCAATAAAATATATTGTTTCTTTAACTCACTCTCATCTCTATCAACACACTATATATTAAAATATTATATAGAGTTACCTCTTTTAAATTTGATAATTTGCCAAGTTTTCTTAGAGTTGCCATAGAATTTTCATCATTCTATTCTTATAATTCTTATATGTATTATGGGATTAATTTCCACTTTTAACTCATTAATTTATTAAATATATGTTTCACAGACAAATAAAACGACCTCAATCAGTATGTATAAATTAATATAATTCATGAATCTAGGCAATCAAATATGAACCTTAGGGATATAAATAAAAGTCAACAAATGAATGTTAAATTTTAATGCCAAGTGCTATACAATATTTTTCTGATTTAGATTCATTACATCATGTTACAAACAATTTTCTAAGACCATAATCAGCGGTTTCACTATATTAGAATAAAAAGATTAGTAGCTCAACTATGGTGGATAATAAATAAGTTAGTGACACAAGATTAACTGATCCACGTTAAACACCAAGATATATAAAGAAAGATAAAGAAGAATTGTATTAAGAATTGTTGCAATTATAATAAAAATATAATTTATGTAATGAGGAAAATACTAAATTAAAAACTTAAATTTCATCATTAGAAAAATAAGTTATTCATTTAACAGATTTAGTTAGAAATGTTGAAATGTTTTGTAATAAGAAAACTAGTCATTTCAATGTATTTTAGTTAAAAAAACAAATTCAGGATCTTAAAACTATTCTTAAAACAAAAGAATAAGAATTAGAATCATTAAAATAAAATGTTAAAACTACTAAAATAGATGAAATTAGAATAGAATTATAAGAATCTCATATAGAATGTTTAAGATTAAGAACAATGCTTGATCAATAATTAAGATAATAAGTATTATTTAATTATAATGATCATACATTAATTGAAGAAAAATTATATATACAAAGTTAAATGATGAATTAATTAAAAACAGAAAATGATTAAATGACAGGATTACTTAAAATTCAAGAAGAAGAAACATATTATTATAAAAATTTGTTAGCTGAAACTTTAAAAACAGTAAGAAGATATGAAGAAACAATTGAAGATTTACATAAGAATCTAAAAGGTAAAAATTAATTTATGGATAAATTGGCTTAAAAAATAGAAGCATTAAAAAATACTAATAATGGATTAGCAGATAAAGTAGTAAAAGTTGAAGATTTAAAAGAAGAAATTAGAATTTTAAAATGTACTATAGAAGATTAAAATAAATAAATTAAAAGTGTTTTATCTGATAATGAATATCTTAAAGGAATGGTTCATGAATTAAAAATTAAAAATAATGAAAAATCAGAAATATAAGCAAAAGAAAAAAAAGTATTATAAGATTAGATTGCAAAAATATCAAATTAATATGATCTTTTAGATGATAAATACAAAAATCTATTATTAATTTAAGTTTAAGCTAAAAATAAAGAAACTGCTTAATCTTCATTGATTCATAAAAAAGAATAAACTGTTGGTTTAACTCTTAAAAATAACAATGATAGTTTTTAATAACAATAAATATATGTCCCAAAAAAATTAAGAGCAATAAAAATGAATGATGTTTTACATATTGGAGAAGAATTAAATTATAGATTTAGAATAAAGAAAATAATATTAATTGATGTTATAGAATAATTTCTATTTGATGATGATAATAAAAAAGAAAAAAAAGTTAGTATCAAATAATTACAAAAAAGATTTGAAAAAGAACCATTTATGTTATTTGAATAAGATAAAGCATTAATGTTTGCTCGTTTTTTAATAGAAGATAATTCCTAAGAATTTGTTGAATTTAATATTGAACTTACAGAAACCTTAGAAAGAGTTAAAAGCATTTTTACTAAGATAATTGGTAATTATAGAATCTTTACTGCTGAAGAAGAAATGAAACATAAAGAAGATATTACTAAACTTATTATCAAATATAAAAATTCTCTAAAATAACATTTTGATTCTCTTCAAAGTAATAATGGTGAATTAACTAAAAGATAAATATTAGAAACATTTATTTTTATGGATATAGATATTAATAATAATTAACTTGAATACTTTTTCTTAAAACTATTTGTTTTTTCAAATAAAATTGATAGATTTCCATATTAAAAGATTTTTGAAATATTCTAATAGACTTAAACCACATCAAGTATTATAAAATATTTCATTATTTTAGCTCCTCATTTATAAAGAAAAGAAACTCAAAGAAAAAAAGCAAACACTGAATCTAATAAGTAACCTGTCTATGTAACTAAAAGCCTATTCAAACCAGTTGAAGCTACTAATCTATAATAAGTTTGATTAATTGTTTTAATATCAAAATTAATTATTTTAAATATTAATTCATAATGTATTTCAGACATCACTGTCTAGAATGTGGTACAAATTTTATTAATTAAGGACGCTATTTTAATTGATCCATGGGTATGTATAATGAATGCAATATATTTATGTGAAAATTGTGCTATGATTTTATCAACTGAACCTGGAGTTACTAATATTAAAAAATACTCATAGCTAAATGCAGAGGAAAGAGAAAGAATGTAGAAAGGTGGAAATGAAAAATTTTAATTAAATGTTACTAATGTTAATGACAAATTTCATTCTCATAAAGCATTATAATATAGATTTGAAGTATCTAATGAACTATGATAGTTAGCATTAGGTTTGAGTGAATTTGATTCAGACATCAGCACTAATTATGCAAGTCCAAATAAATCACTTAGTTATTACCCTGAACAAAAAAAAAGATTGAATAAAGCTTTGGAATTAGAGGGTATTGAATAGGATATAGAATGGATGCAAATTCAATATTAAATTTTAACAAGAGATTTAAAGAAAAAAATTGATAAGAATTTTTATTTGACTAAATTGGAAGAAATAGGAAAAAAATTGGTTGAAAAATAGAAATAGAAATAGAAATAAGTTCAAAAAAAATAAACATCCAATTAAAATGATGTTTTTTCATCATTTTCTGCCTTATTGAAGAAATAGACTTGAAATATCATTTAAATATAATAAGCTTTAATTGTTTTCGTAAAATTACTTACAGAATCAAACCTATGATTAAAATTTAATATTCTTTAAGCTACATTTATATTTTATTGTTATATATTATTTAATAAATCTCTTTAGATTATTATTTATATTGTTTTTAAACATTTGTTATTTGAAACAAAAGAAATTTAAATATTCTAAAAAAACAATAAAAAATATTTTAATAAATAAAATTTTGTTATTTAAATAAATTAATTATTTATATATCGTTATGAAGAAATTAAATCAATAGATGCAAAAAATTGCAGGTCGCAATAGCTTTTAAGAATCTCCTTAACGATTGGAAAAGAAAACCATAAAAAACCCTGCTAAAACAGTTAAAACAGAAAGACCTTAATAAAAAGGGAAAACTAAATTATAAGATTATTTTAAAAAAGAAAGAAACTCATTAGCTTAGGTTGTAAATAACATTAGAGCTAAATTGAAAGGAAGTAAAAGTATTGATAACATGTTCCTTTAAACATAAAAAAGTGAAAGGACAAAAACATCATAACAAAATGTACCCCATTTGAATAGTCTAAAATAGCAAATTGAATAAAGAGTATAAACAGATGAAGGGAATAGCTCTAAACGTTTAAATTTGAAAACTAAAAATTTATCATTAGCTACTGTTTCAATTGATGTATGAATTAACAAATAAATGTTATAGAAAAAAGAATACTAAAAATAACCTTCAACTACTAAGTAATCTTACAATTAATCTCCTTCTAATTAGTCAAAACCAATTTTAAATAAGTCTAAATCCAAAGATTAATATTTATTTGATTTGGTATATTATATTATCATTATTTATAGTTAAAAAATGCTCAAATGATATCAAATCAATATTAATAATACTTTAATTTGAAGTAAAATAAGTAATCTATATAATCAGACACATCAACAAATCATAGATAATCTATTGAAGATATGTTGATCAGTTAAAAATCTACTAAAGGATCCCCTCAACCTTATTCATCAAAATTATCAAAAAAAACAGAGGGTGATTCTAAATCACTTAATTAAGGATATTCAAAAACTGAATAGACTCCTATAATAAAATAATAGTCTAAAACTAAAATAGAAGAATAATTATAGTATGATACTAAAAAGCAATTATAAATAGTTTTATTCTATAAATAAACAAAGTAATTTTTCATTCTATTACCTTAGATATTACTATTTATTTGATTACATTAATTAAAAAACTGATGATTTATATAACTTTCTTATTGAATAAATTGCAAGTATTGAAGTGATATCAGCAAAAATAGAAGGAGGAGGAACTGGTTCTACTGAAGACTAATATATTTAAGATGGTACATATATAATTAATTTAGAATTGAATAAGATTTGCCAATTCATTACAGTTACTAAGAATATTCCATATGATTATTACCTTTCATTGCCAGATCTACCTTTAAATGTATTTTAGGGTAAAATACTTTAATTGTAACCACTGTATGATTAGCCTAAAGAGACTTAGAGAGTTGGATTAAAAGACTTTAATTTGATAAAATGTATAGGAGTAGGTGGTTTTTCAAGGGTATATTTGGTCAAAAAAAAAGACAATGGTTAATTTTATGCATTAAAATTAATTGATAAAAAGTTCATATTTGATAATGCTAAAGAAATAATAGTATAAAATGAAAGAGACATTATGGTAAGAATGGAAAATTAGTATATAATAAAATTACATTATGCTTTCGAAACTAGATTTTATATTGCTTTTGTTTTAGAGTATAGTGCGGGAGGAGAGTTATTTTATCACTTGAGAAAATTAAAACGATTAAATGAATAAGAAGCATAATATTATTTTGTAGAAATATGCATTGGAATGGCCTATTTACATTCATAAAATATTGTATACAGAGATATTAAACCTGAAAATATTTTATTGGATTTGTAGGGTCATATGATGTTAAGTGATTTTGGATTGTCTAAACCAAATATGGAAGATGGAGAACTAGCCTATTCCTTTTGTGGCTCACCTGAATATATGGCTCCTGAAATGTTAATGAAATCTGGACATAGTTATTTAGTAGATTGTTATTGTCTTGGAGCTTTGCTTTATGAACTTGTTTCTGGATTACCTCCCTTTTATTCACATGATACTTCAGAAATTTATAATGCCATATTGACTGAGAATGTTTAATTTCCAGACTATGTTTAAATTTCTGATTAATTAAAAGATTTAATAACTAAATTACTTTAGAAAGATCCTAATAAAAGATTAGGATCAAATGGTGGCATTTCAGAAATATTAACACATGTCTGGTTTCATAATGTTGATTTTGAAGGAATAGTAAATTAGACTCTTCCAACTCCTTATAAACCAGAACCTTTAAAATATAATTTTGATGAAGAAGAATTTAATAAAGGAGATGCTGAATTTAGAAAATAATATGCATTTAATCTTCAATATGAATTTTAAGTATTTATTATTGATATATTTAGAATGTAGATAATGCAAATTATGAATTGGAAAACTTCTATTATGCAAGACCATAAGAAGAATTAAAAAATAGAACCAATTTAGTTAATACAAGCAAATTAGTTTCTTAAATTGTTTAATAAGAACCAATTTCTCCAAATAAATAAATGATATCAAAAGTCAAGGTAAATTTATTAAATAATTAATAAGCATTCACCATAAGAAAGTAAAAATATATAGAAACCAAACATTAAAAGTGAAGCTCATGATTATTTCAAAAAGCATAATCTCTTAACAAAATCTTCATAAATACTTCAATAATCTTTAAGATTAGGTCATGCTTATTCTAAAACTTTATAATAGCCTTCAATGTCAATTCAAGATTTAAAAGTAGTAAAATTAAATAATTTAGAAATTAAAATCATTGTTTGATCAATCTAAATAATTGTTAAGTTCTGATAGAGTTACTACAATTCCTGATTAGAATAATAAACAAATATTAGAGAGATTAAAAACAGAATAATTTGGTAATTTACCTTCTCCAAAAACTACAACAAATAGTGCTGCAAATAAATTAGCTAAGTTTTCTAAATTATTTGGATCAGAAAAGAGAAAAAAATGATAATGTATATATAGTTTTAAATCTACATATTACTCATTAATTTTTAATATAAATTATTAAATATATTAATGTACCTATTTTTTTGAATGTAATGTATTTATAATGCAATCATTTCTTCTTTTATTCGACTTTCTTAATATAAAATTCTAATTCCTTTCCTTCCAAAATATAACCATCAGCTCTACCTGATTATCCTGGTCTTGATGTAATTCTTACCAATAATCTTTAATTTGTAAATTATTCTTAAACCAATGCATCAATAGCATTTTCCTTTGCTCTTTGTTCTAATTTCTTAATTAGACTTCTTGATTTCTTAGTTTATTCAGGTTGTCCTTCCTAATTTAATATTTTAATAATTACTTTCTTATCCTTCTTTTTTGATCCCAATTCTACATTATATTTCTTTGCATACCATTATCTAAATGGAGCAGCATCTACTTAAACAATCACTCCTCTAGTAAGTGTCTTTGTTCTTACCAATTCATTATTTGATGGATGATAAACAACCTCAACAATTTTAGCTTTTTTAGCAATTCCTTGGCTTCCCCAAGAGAAATTGCCTTCAGATAAACGAAGAGCTCTGAATTTGAAATTTCCTCCCCTGACTCTTAATCTTCTTACTCTCTTTTCTCCTGATACTAATTTAGTCATTGCTGCTTATCTTCCTTTTTCAAAGGCTCTCTTTTTCTTATGGATAGGCATACGACCTCCAGTAAGTCTTCTTTTGTGTCTACTGTCTCTTGAAATTCCCATGAAATGCTTTCTTAAATAAAAAAAGATTTTATTTAATTTTAAAATGTGCTTATATATTAAATCAAATTTGTTTATTATTTTCCATTAATAATTCAATGTTTTTTACAAAATAGAAGTGATGATTATAAATTTCTAACAAATATTAAATATGAATAATTGTAAAAAATCAAATTTATTTATTTTTTGGACTTAAATTAAATCTATATTTTAATGTAAAATATATTACTTCTTATCATCTTAAATTTATAAGGAGTATTTCCTTAGATTTTTAGGTTATCTATATTCAAAGTTCAAATCATCTGTTTAAAATACTGTTTTTTCTTTCTTTTTTTAAATTAGTTTATCAACTGGTCGTTATTGGATTACAAATTCCTTTAAATCTTAACTTTATTAACTTAGCAATTGTAAATAAGGATATTCTATAATGCTCCTTTATGGAATATTCTTAGGACTTTTAGAAAGATATTATTAATTGCTATCAGAATGAGGAAGACTAGGCAATCTTAACTTTGGAAGATGTTTAACTCTATTAGGACTAAATGGACTTAGATTCTAGAAATAAAATATGTTTCTGTTCTTAAGTTATTTAACAACTAAATATTGATTTCGAATTTTAAAGTCCTTGAATTCTATTTCTCTTTTTGGTTCTATTATATTTTTTTTTAATTGATAATACAATGACATTAAAAATAATAATAATAATATTCTTTTATGTAAATTGTAAAGCTCTACAATAGAGTATTTTAAATACCTTTGTTTTTAAAGAGTTATTGATTAATAATTAATTAATTGAATCAAAAATGAATATTATGTGATCATATATTTTAAATATAAACAATTGATTATTCATGAGATTACGTCATCAATCCCAGGAATTAGTTGGCTTACGACATCTATGTTTAGATCTATTGTTTAATGATTATAACATACAATAGACTTTGAAACAAATCTTTAAGTTCATTATTGCTCATTGGTTAATAAGGATGAGCAGGGAAATATTGATTAGGTCTTTCAAATTCTAATGGAAATAATCTCTATAATTGTCTTTGATTTGTACTCTCAATTTAAAGAGATTTAAGTTTTTAGGGTTTTCTTACTTTATTAATATTAGATTCGGTAGTAAATTTAGTTTTAGATTGGTTATTATTTCTTTATTAAATTCTAACTTTAGGAACATAGACATCAACTTGAGAATACGAAATCTCATAGCTTAATAGTGGAGGTAATTTGATATCTTCTTTTGATCTTTCTGTTGAAGAGCCAAAAGCATAACTTTTTTTTCGTTATCTATTTTCTTCTATTTTGTAGACAGAATTATTTGGTTTTTTAACTCTATTTTTATGAAGTATAAATTTATTGTAATTAAGTTCTGCATCTGTACTCTCAGTATTTTAAGAGAAAAAATCATATAGATCTCTAACCATTTGATTATGATAATTAATGATGTATTTATATATAATTTATTTGGATTTGGATGATGTGGAGAGTAAATTTATAAAATATGATGATGTTAAGAGAATTATGATTTAAGTAAATGTTAGATGGTTGAGATAATTAAATACATAATAAATACAAATTAATTATAGTTAATTTACAAATGCACACTTTGTAATCCATAATCTAACAAAAGGTTTTGCAATAAATAAATAAGCAAAAAACAGAACCTTTAGAATCCATCTATATTACTTATGTAAATTGAATTATAAAGTTTAGTCTTCAGCCACCAAGATTAAATTGTCTTTAGAGGATGCAGCTTAAGTTAGAAAAGTTATGCAAGTAATTCCTATTTTAAGTAGGGCATTCAAAGTGTTCATTTACAGAAATAGTAATCAGAAGCATTGATTTCTAGCAACAAAGGGCCTGTTCTCAATGTTGATAACAATAATGCTATGAATTAAGTTAAGAATGAGGATAATAAATAGAGTCCTTAGAAAGGTAGATTTTTAGTAAGAAATGAATATGGCAGCAAATTGTAATCTGAGAATAAAATCAATCATTCATCAGTTGCTCCAAATAAATACCATAAAAATTAGTTATCCTTTGGGGAATGTGGAAAAAAGATTAAAGCAGAGGATATTTGGAAAAGGAGAAAGGATTATGATTAGAAAGTTAGATAATTTCATTTACCAAAAATAAAAGAATATAATAGATTTCAAAATAATAGCTTATAAAAATAACAATCTGGATAGCACACTGCAGAAATTTAATTCTCAGATATCTTTAAAGAAGATATTGATGATGATTTGTTGTAGGAATATAATGAGAAGTAATTTAAATTAGATTAACTAGATATTATAAAAAATAACTCTTTCTTTGGAACAAAAAATAAAGATAATTTGATATTGTTAACGATGATTTATTTGATTGATTTATTATTTATTTTAAATAATGACATCAATTATGGAATACTAATAAAAATAATAATAAAATCTATTCGTTAGCCTTGTATATTAACTTAATTGTAATATGAAAATTATATAAAATAATTTATTATATTAATATGTCATAAGTGAAAAAAAGCCTCTTAAAAGTAGAGAAACTATAATTTGATATCTACATTAATAAATAGTTAATTTAAGTGGATTATGATGATTAAACTACTGTAGAAGAAGTTCTTGACATGATTAAAAGAAAACAAAATATCTCTAATTAAGATGTTTCTTTGTATTTGGCAAAAAAAAGTGGTGAACCTAAATTATCTTTTCCTGCTTTAGAAAGAAATAGAAAACTAATAAGAACAAATGAAAAACGATTTGTTGTTGTAGTGAAGTAAATGGAACCAAAAATAATGAAAGAATTCCATGAAAAAGATTTAAAAATAATTGAGGAGAGATAATAAAAATAAAGTATTTTCAAAAAATTTTTTGGAATATCAATGACTTGTAAATGATTTTTTATCATTTTACATACTATATTTAATTCACTTATTAATAAAATATCTTTTAATTATTTATTATAGAGATTATAATTATTTGTTATATTCATATCTTTTACATTATAAAATAAATTAAATGAAATAAAGGTAATTAAATATAGATATTTAGTAATACAATATAGTTAGATACAGTGATATTGAAAATAAAATAAATAGTAATGTAATATCTATAATTAATTATAAAAGTGAAAACTATATCAGATGGATCCAAAATCAACTGCCTTTCATATATATAAGTAAACACTAATAAAAAAAAATAATTAACCTATTACATAAGTGTATAGTTATGAATTGAAAGATGTGAGTTTATTTTTATTATCTCATTTAGAAAATTGGTTAAGGAGCATATGGAAGTGTTTATAGAGCAGTTCATAAATTAAGTAAACAAGTTAGAGCAGTTAAAGTGATTAATAAATTGAATATAAAATACAAAGATAGATTATTGAGTGAAATTACAATTATGGAGTTATTGGTAATTAATATAATCAATTTAAGGATCATCCTAACATTTTAAGATTATTTGAGACTTTTGAAGATGCAGAATATTTATATATGATTTTGGAGTAAAAATATCAATTCAATTACTTGATAGAATCTGTTAAGGAGGTGATGTTTTTGATAAAGTACTTGAAAAAGGTTGTCTTTCAGTTGAGGATGCATTTAAAGTTTATATATAATACATGAGAGCAGTTAATTATTATTAAGGATTCAAAATAGTACATAGGTATATTAAAAATTAAAATTCATAGAGATTTGAAACCTGAAAACTTTTTATTCCAAAAGAAGAATGACATGGGTTCATTAATTGTAATTGATTTTGGAATTGCAAAAAGAGGAATAGAAAAATTGAAAACTAAAAGTGGAACAGTAAAATTATTAATTTAAAATTAGGCTTATTATGTAGCTCCAGAAGTATTGGATGGTTTATATGATTATAAATGTGATGTTTGGTCAGCAGGAGTTGTTCTATATGTTATTTTATGTGGTTATCCTCCATTTTATGGAGAGAATGAAAAAGAAATATTAATAGAAATCAAATCTGGAACTTTGCAATTTGAAGGTATTTATATTATATTTATATTAAGGTGATGAATGGTAAGGTATTTCATAGGAAATTAAAGATTTCATAAAGTAATAAGTATGTCCAGCATCAAATAGAATTATACCTAAAGATTTGTTAAGTCATAAATTAATAACCTAATACAATCAGAAGTTTCTTAATGATTTTAAAATGATTTCAATGTTAAATCTTAATTAATGGATTAAATATCATCCATTAAGAAGATTGGCACTTTATTATTTATCAACTTAAATTGATTCATGTGATTTAAGTAACTAAAAGAATAATTTCTTTTTCATAAATACATCATAAAGTGGATTGATAACATAATAAGAATTAGCTACATATTTGAAAGTTAATAAATAAGATATTCAAAAATTATGGCCATATATTGATTGCAATAGTAATGGTTATTTAGATTATTTTGAATTTGTAGCTTTGACATTAACACCTATAGATTATCAAAAATAATTATAATTTATGTTTGATTTTCTAAGTTAATCTGATAATGTGATATCATAAAAAAGTATTAAATGTATTTTTGATTAAAATGCTAATTTAAATAATAAGTGGGATAGTATATCAAATACTAAAAATCAGTTTACTTCATTTAATCAACATGAATAATAGATTAATTTAAAAAACATTATTGATAAAGATATGGATTTTAATGCATTCAAAACAATAATGGGATGATTCAATAGAATATATATATAAAATATATTAATTAAAATTTTTGTAATCAAACGATGGAAGCTTATAGATTCCATTTCCTTTATTTCTTTTTTTAATTACTTTCATAATCTAAAGTTATGAATATTAAATATACTTGTAATATACTTTTTAACTTAAACAACAAAGTAGATAATAACACCTAAAAAGATAGTTTCAATTATAGCTTAAACCATCATTAAAGTTCCTTGATACAATTATCCACAAATGATTTCTTACTTTTAATCTTCAGTTATATCTGTTGAAGTTGGTTATTATGTTGTATTTTCCTATAATAATCTAGTTTTAGATAAAATATTGTATTGTTAAGCATATCCTTGCATTAATGCCCAAACTAAAAAGTATGTAATTAATCGAGTCGCTAGAACAGTTGATGTCAAACACAGATATTTTCCAATTTCTGAAGAAGACCTTGAATTAATACCAAGAAATCCATAGGTTGAACTTGCAATCCAAAAAATGTTTCCACCTACTATAACTAAACACAATATTGCATATGTGTAACATGTAGTTCGATAATGTATGAAATAATATAGAAATCTTATGCATTAATATATAAATGCACACTAACGATTATGGATAGTTAACTTACAATTATGAATATATTTGAACTTTACAAAAACCTTATTTTATCCTCTATAGCTTCATTAAATTCTTCACAATCAGGAGGTAATAAAGAATCACCTTATCGCTTTGTAATAATGAAAGGCTTATTAACTTCCATCCTAGGATTTGAATCTAAAAATTAATATTTATATTAATATGAATCAATTAAGAAATTAGAGAGGTACAGAGACAGATGAAGTATACATTGATCCAGAGAGAGGAATAGCTATTAATGCTCGTTAGATGACTACTGAATAGCATTTCAAATATTATAAATCATCATTCAGTACAATGAGACCTGATTTGACTGAATATGAATATGAAGCATTTTCTAAGAGATTGAGAGTTGGTACTTGAGAATTTTATATTAAAGGTGAGTCATTCTTGAATCACATGAGAGTATTTCTTAATCATGAATCAGGTAGGATCACAAATCTTTATAATTTAAGTGCTAGAATGGATAAAGCTCTGGTATTTTGATGCATTACTATAATAAAGAACTATTAATAATAATATTTCCATTTACGTACTCCTTTTATTTTGGGCCATAGATCAAATGCAAATAGAAATTGGGCTGATGCATCAAAGGTAGTGAATTATGTAGAGAAATAATTACTAAAAATCACAAAATATGGTAAGTATATATAATCTAAAGATATTAGGCTTGGATTATCCTAATTATTATGCACCTGCAACAGCACAAGAATTGAATTAGAGAGAGGATGAGATTTATTAGAGATTTATAAAAGAAATGAGGAAACCTCCTGTCGTTGCAGTCTAATGAAATTTATACAAATAAACAATATTTTTATTATTCTAATCTTTTATTATAATAAACATATATGCTTAGTATATATAAATATAATCATAATCTCAATTCTAATTTGTTTCATTCAATTTATCTTTGCTAATATATTTAAACAAATAAAAGATTTAGTTTTATAGAGATTAATTTGTAAAATGTCTGAAACTATAATATTTTATTATCTTTTAAGTTATTAATTATGAGTAAGACAGAAAAAAAAGTGTTGATTGAAGATGATATCTCTAGTACTTAAAGTTCTGAGGGAGAAGACTATATTCCTAAAAGAATAATTTCTAAATCTAATACTCGAAGGGTTCACAAGATTCCTATTGAGCTACAACAATAACTATTTCGATAAGTATTTTAAGAAGGGAAATAAATTAAAGAGGTATTCTTTTTCATATTAGAATCAGGTTGCCAAAGTTCTAAATTTAAATTACTCTAGTGCTAAATCTCTAATTCATTATTATAAAAATAATAAACGGTCAGCTCCCTTGGCAGTATTAGATGTTTTAAGTGGCAAGAAATAGTTAGTTTGTCGAGTTTCATAAAAAATTGATAAAATATACAATAATCTAAAAATAGAAGTCAGATCAAATAATTAAATTCTTCACTCCTACAATTACTATGAACATAAGACAACTAATGAATGAATTATAAGTGAATATTATATCATTTATTACATTAAATCTTTCCCTTTATCTAAAATAGAATGTCAATTTAATAATTTTATACGTTAAATTAATATCAAAATATTGAATTTAAATAATCAATTGAAATAAGTGTTCTAGATTCTTTTAACATCATTCTTATTAACATAAATCTATATAATAAATCAATGATTGTGATAATTTTATTTATAATCATTAAATTAGTATATTTTTACCACCATACCTTTTTGGAATTGTTTCTTCATCTAAATCTCTTGATAATGCATTCTTAATCTCATTAAAATCTTATCCTATAAAATTTATCTAAAAATTAAAATTTATATAACCTTTTCAACTGTTCTAGATGGTAAAAAGGGCTTTAACATAGCATAAAAGGATCGAGTCAAGAAATTTGTATTTAATACATATATTCTAAATTATCTTTCAGGATAATAATTGAAAATTTCTATAAATGCATTCTTCAATACACTGAAAGAAAAGTTAGCTGGAGTCAATTTATAACAATCTATAATCACTATAAATTGATCTACATATCCTCTCATACTTTTATTATTAATATAAATAAATACGATCTAATTCCTTCTTCCATTAAACTTTAATGATATTCTAAATATCCTTATTCAGAGAATCCTTATTCATTTTCAAACTTTTCTGGATGTGAATTCATTCCATTAGTTACTAAAATTGGATGACCCCATTTAGAAAATCCCAATTAAGTATGTACATTCTCATTAGCATAAATTTAGTAATCAGAAGTTTTTCTAGAATTTATTTTATTTTCCTTTCTCCATTACTAAATAAAATAAAGAATTAAATATATACTAAGCATTTCAATATCATTTTTTCAGTTTCTTTTACTTTATAATTTCTTGCAATTAAATATCTAATCATGGTCTAATCATTCAAAAATAGATGTCCTATCCTCTCTTTTAATTCTGCTAATGCCTTCAATTATTCTTCATTTTAATGTATGATTCTTTTATGCATATTTTCATGTATTGCTGCTGGTTGATTTGGTTGTAATTAATGATCCACATAACCTAATCTATCTTAAGGAGGAAAATGTATATTTTCACCTTGTATAAATTCATTTTCTTAATTTTCTTAATTTGAATGATCTGTTCCAACTACAATTCTTGATTATATTATTGGTATAGATTCATTATTAATCTACATTAAAAGTAAATCCAATTCTGTTGAAATTATAGACAGATTAATTATTTATTCTTTCATCAATTTTCTTATTATTTTTTCATTTTCATCTTTCTTTACTACATACATATATTAAGTAAAACATTTAGAATCCTCCTCAACTACATGTATAATTTCCAAAACTTTAAATATAGATATCATATTTTTCTTTGATTGTTTTTCATCTGTTTTAATCATTGGAAATTAGTTTTCAGTAATAGATTCTTTGGTTAAAAAAAATGAGTTATTTCTTTGAAAATCAAACTATATATATTTGGATTCTAAAATATATTTCTTACCATCATTATTAAAATGCCAAATATCTTAATGAAATTAATTTAAATCAATCTCGTGAACATCAGATTATTTTCTAAATAAATCTAACAGTTTTCCACCTTTCTATTTTAATTTAATAAATTCATTTACTTGAATTATTGTTATCACATTTTAAAGTGAAGTATTAAATACATATTCTCCTTTTAATATGATATTATTTTATGATTAAATTGCTGTTAATTTCATTTGCTTTAATGTTTTCTCAATAATCCATTTATCTTTACTTAATTCTTAATAGAGTTATAATTATTTTTAAACATATTCAGGAATATTTCTAAATCAATAGAAAATATATATACTTTGTAACATTTGATGAGTCATTCTTATACGATCTATTTTAATCAATTGAAATTTAATAACTTGTTTAATGGAGCAAAGCTTCATATTCAGAAATGAGTATAGCTTATTTAATTTTACTAACCCATTCTGCAGCATCATCATATGTCATAGTTATAAATTACATAATAATCTCTTATTATAAATGTCTTAGGGTAAATGTATAATAACCATCTTCCTACCAAGTGCCATCAACTATGAAACCTGATAGATCTATTCTTTCTTGTGGTATATGAGTCTGATAATAAATAAGCAATTACTTTGTCATCTTCAAAAATCAAAAATTGAGTTCCTTCCAAATAATAAAATTTAGTAGTTTTTAGTCCAAATATATGTTTCTGTTATCTTAGCTTATTTTATTAAATTACAGATATCCATTTTTGATTGGTCTTTAATTCATTAATTTTAATAAAGAGATGTATAATTTATATTAAAAAAGATGAAAATAATGTATTTGATCTGTTTAATATATTTTGGGCATGGCTTATCAGTTTAGATTACTTAAAAGCCTACATGCTTTTATGTTAAATCATATACAGGAAATACTTATGTTACAGTAAATTATTAGATATCTGGATTGGATGAAAATAAAACAGAAATTACAATAGAATCAGAAAATGGAGATAAATTAGTAAAGAAATAAAATACTAAAGAAGGAGCACTTAAATAATTGTTAAGAGATAAGGGAACATATTATATCTGTTTCAAAAGTTTATCTAAAGGCTATAAAACTGTGAGTTTTGATTTTGATATGGAAGGTGTAGATAAAGAATATGCATAATCAGAACAATTTAATGAGATGTCTAAAGAGTTGTCAAGAACTAATAGAAACTTTTAGACAATATACAGAAATTAGAATTGGATTACTGATAGAGAAAACGCTCATTAAATATGTAAATATTATTATTAAATTAGTGTTGGAGTAGACATAATAAAATGTTAAATGGTGTGCTTCAGCAAAAATAGGAATATTAATAATAATAGCTATAACTTAGATAAGTGTTGTATATTATTTTTTTAAAGATAAAGATTTTAGTGCAAGAGTGTGATAATTATCTTATTGATAGATATATAGAAATAATCACTTTTTCTTTTAAACAATTTTATTAGTTTATTATTATTATTACTAAATAGCCTTTTATTATGGTTAATTTGGTCTTGTATAAGCAGTAGTATATTGTTATTATTTGTTAGTTTGTATTTATTATTTTGGAAAGGGTTTATCATTTCCAACTAATCCTTATTATAATTTTTATGGCATTTGTTAATATTTCTAATCCTAAAAAACATTCTATTAGATGTCAGGAGTAGTTGATAAAGGAAGATAATCCTAACCAACCTTTTTGCCTAATGCTTTTCTTTCTGACTCATCTTCAAATAAAGTTTCATGTAATTCCCATCTTCTATCACATGCTATACAAGCAAAATAGGAATCAAAATCAGAACATTGACATTTCCTGCATCTTAATGGATAATTTGGAAGATGATCTTCACATCCATGATTACATTTACAAGGAGGTCTCCATGTTAAAATATTAAAGTCTTTTCTGCGAGGTAGCCAATACATTCCACATTCTTCTGGTCTTGAAGGTACAAACTAAAACCTTTTGCATTCACACTTTTCACATCCAGTATTAAATTTTTTACCTAATTGTTATTTGTGTTAACTAAATAGATGTCCACAAAAACATTTGCTTGTGGAACCAATTCTGCTACATTCAGATTTCTACTCTGCACAATAATAAGTAATCTTATTATTATTTGTTTTTATACATAAATTCCAGTATTTAGTGTTTCCAAAGCATGTTGGTATTCTTGATCTATTATCTTTCTAGCACCAACAGCTGGTCCATATTTTTGTACGCCTTCACGTACTTGCTGCTCATTCATTGCCATGTAATTGAACATTTTTTATTATTTGATTAATATAAAACATCATTTTCATTTTACCCATTCAAATTAAGATGGTCCTAATGGATGTTTGGATCCATACTAGATCATAATTTGTTTTATTGGATCTAAGTTATTTATTACTTTTGCTCCTAATTATCTCAAAGGAGATATAGTCTTATTCTCATAAGTGTTCTTTATCAATTCCATAGCTATTGAAGTTGTATAATTCATAAGTTTAGCCTATGATTCATATTCTTCTAGAGATTATTCTAAGCCAATATCATTTCCAGACCTAGAATTTTTGATAATACAATTGGCCAAAAGAGCAGCATCATTGATTCCCATATTCATGCCTTATCCAGCCATAGGATGATTTGAATGTGCAGCATCTCCAATTAATGCTATTCTCTTCTAAATATATCTTTAAGCTTGTAATGACTATAAAGGAAATGCCATCCTTTTATTTGAAATACTCTTGATTCTTGGTGAATATCTACCTAATTAACTATTAAGGACCTAGAGAAATTACTCATCTGACAATGACATTAAATATTTATAATCATCCAAATATGCTGTCCATACTATTGAACTATATGGATTATAAAGAGGTAATAAAGCTAATGGACAACTATTTTATTAATTATTTTATACCCATTTGATAAATAAGTCTAGTATGCTACTTCACTGTCTTAATCAGTTCTTTCAACTGTACACACAATACCCATTTAATGATATGAGTGACCATATGTACCTATATTACTACACTCTTTCACTTTAGATTTATTACCATCACTCCCAATTAATAATTTACATTGAAATTTATCATTTACTGTTACATATTCATTAGGCTTAAGATCTATTTTCTCTAATTTACTTTCAAACTCTATTTCTCCATCATATACTTCCAATAATGCATTCACTATATTATCATATTCAATTATATGGGCTGATTAATTCTTGAACTCCAAATAATCCTAACCATTGCTTTCATCAATGATCATCCTGTTATATTAATTAACTCTTCCTTATTCAAGTTTATCCCATGCTCCTACTGATTACAAAACTTCTCTTGAAGATTATGTGACTGATAATACTCTCTGATTAGGAAGACCCTACTTATTAAATTAAGGTCTTTTTATTGAATCTAAAATTATGATTTTATTTAATTATTTGGATTTCTATAGAGCAGCTGCCAAAGACAATCCAACAGGGCCTGCCCCAATTATGCATACATCATAAATTTACATATTAATAAATTAAATGCTATAATTAGTTTTATAATAATCATAATATCATTTAATTAAATTTATATGTAGTCATAAGAACGAGTCAATAAAGCATTCATAATCCAAAGGATTCAAAGCTATACTATTATAATCAACATATGGATTAGGAGATCCAACCTTAGAATCTTAATAAAACTCTTCCTTTCTCACTATAGTCTAGTTTATAGTATGTGAATCACTTTATTCTAAATAATAAAAATGTAAAATTTACTTTCTGATTTAAGTTCTTCATTAATAGCTTATAACATCTATCCTACTTACTTAAATTTTTGTTCAATATCAACATTTTGATTATAAATATACTTAGAATATGTAATCATTTATTACATAATTTAAATTTTACATTTAATCTATTAAATATGAAGAAGTCTCTTGTAATAACTTCATATCTTCCTTTAATTTATTATTTGTTTATTTTATATCAATAGCACACTCTTTAAATAGATTTTATTCCTCTTATATATGAAATGCTAAAGTTAAAGATTATTACACATTTACCTCGTTCTTCTTATATAGCGGATGGAATAGGCTAATCTTCTTGATTTTTTTTTTTAATATATCGTAGCATCTATCTATTAATTATTATTGACTCAATACTTAGTTCCTTTTCGAAAAAAATTATGCTTAAAAATGAATCCTTCATTAGATTTAACCTTCTTAAAATTATAGAGATTTAATTATCTAGATTTAGTTTTAATACTTACCTGACAAAACTAGAATAATTACTATGTTTAAAAAAATTTTATAAAACATTTTTTTCCAACAAATCTTAATTATATACTATAAAAGCAGTTCCTTAATTAATCCAACTTATGATATTCTCACTCATTTTATCCTAATAACTCCATAGTTTTTAGTATAATACCTCTAACATTTAATAAGTTTTAAGAATAAAGGTAGGTATCATATTCTTTACACTCATAAATAATCCTAATCTGATTTTATTAAATTATCATTTTTATTAAATTTGTTTATTTATATATAATATGAATTATACACATGTTCTAATAAATCAATCTGAATCTTCTTCATCTTCTTGTTATGCATCTCTTTACATAAACTATGAAACCCATTATTCTGCCTACTCCTTTACTTTCTATATAGTTGCACTATCTCCATATTAATTTTCATATTCTAATTATTTCTTAAATAAAAATTTGATCTTTCTTGGTTTTTTATTATTATGAATAGCCTTTTAAAATATTGATCTAACCACATCAGGTTAACAATATTTAATCACTAAATCTAAATATTATGACCATATATCAGTTCTAATTATTATTTAATTAAAATACCTTGTAGAATTTTTATCCAAAATAGTTTCATATGTAGTTTTACCTTCTTCAATTTAATTATTCTAAAATTACAATCTTCCATAAAAAGCTAAAAATTTGACTTGCTTTGTTTTTTTCAAACATTACATGGCTCTATTTAATGTATCTTTAAAAGAATATTAAGGATTTTCATCATCATGTACTTTCTACCATTCCATTAAACTCTATAAAAATTCCATCCAACTTTTGCAACTTTATTTGTATTTTTAGACAAAAGACTATAAAAATAATATATTTAAATATACTCTTGATAATTCAACTGTTAAATCTACCTTTTCTGCCTTTCTGTAAATATTGATCAATTTTATATGAAGTTTCTTTCCATCACAATTTTAACAACCTCTTTTAAAGACACTAATCAAATTATCTTCAGATCCAAAATTGAATTCTAAATTTAAATAAGCTGTCCATAAATTCAATCTTTCTAATTCATTACTAAAATTGATAACTCTTAATGCTCTTTCAATAATATTTCTAGCACTCTCAATACCTTCATTTTCAGCAGCATAAGCAACAAATTCAATCCAAATCACAGATGAATTAGGATTTGTTAATATTTTTCTAAATCATAACTATATTAATATTACTTCTCATATTCAGCTCTTGATTCTAAATTTTATACTTCCTCTCTAATTTCTTCTTAATCATTTTCTTCTTCTATCTCTTAATCTTTATGATCTTCTTCCTCTTCTACATCCTCTTACTCATCTTCATTATCTTCTCCTTCATTTACTTCTTATCCAATTTCTTCTTCAATTTCTTTATTTTAATTCTATTATTCTACTATTACATTATTTTTTATTTAATGTTATTTGACCATTTCTTCAAAACTCTCATGCAATTCTATAACATCTTATTAAATATCCCCTAATTCAATTTATCTCTTTCCTTCAGTTTTAATCAATTCTTAAAGATTGCTTAATCTTAAAACTGTCTAATTATTTTTATTCTGTCTTTAACCAATCACCAAACATTATATTTATTATCCAATCTTAAATAATTTATTTGCCCACCAACCATCTTCACCTTCTAATCCCTCAGCATCTTTCTTATCCAATTCTCCTTATTGTAGAGTACCCAATATCTTTATTGCAGCCTTCTCATTTCTAATATTTACTACCAAACCTTATACAATATCTCCAATTCTTAATTATTTATCTTCTAACTTATATTTAAGTAAATTTAAATCAACTGTTCCTTATAATTTATTTAATTAAGTAATCATTAACACTATTGGTCTATATTTAATGTCAGTTTTGAATCCTCTTATTAAACAAGTTGTTTCATAATTTAACTTAACAAAAGTACCATTATATGTACTTCCTGTAACATATCCCATAGCCACTTATCCTACAGCTAAAGGAGTCTTTTTATATAATTATGTTCTAACATCATATTTTAGTGAGAGTATCATTTTTTAATAAGAAATTGTATTACTTTTAACAGGATGAAGACATTTATTCCATAACTTATCATTGAGGAATGTTTCTCTAGCACTAGCCCAATAAACTTTATCTTTTGCTATTATTCTACAAACTCCCCATCTTCCTACTGGAAACTATTCAAACAAATTTAATTCCCATAATTCTTATAATTCTGTTATATCAATAGATGCAAATTATCTATTTTTTAATTGAACTCTGATATATGAATCATGATGACTTAGAATTCTATAAATTTATTTTGTGTATAGAATATCATTTATATTCTATTATTATTATTTTACTTGATCATCTTCAGTTATTATAATACCTTTCAATTATTTATCAAATTCATATAATTTTACTTTAACTGGATGTCCTTACTGAATTTAAGATTCTAAATTATTCAAAATATCAGGTTATTCAACATTAATATCCCAGCCATCAATAAAAACATTATAATTATAATAGATTTAAACAACTAAAGGAGATTTTGAGTCACTTTTGATATGTTTTATAATACCATAAACAATTTTATTGCTGTCTTTTTAAACATCCTTTTCTAATTCAATATGATCTGATAAACATGTCAAATCAAAGATTTATTTATTATTTTCTTTATTTTCTCCTAGTATTTAAGCAGTTATTTGAGACCCTACATTAAGATTTTCAAATTCACTCTACAATTTAAATAATCTATCTTCATTTCTATAACACTCAAAAAAGGCCTTATGAATTCTACCAAATTTTCCATCTTTTAGATTAACATATACAACATTATTCTTTATTGCACTTACAATACATTACACTTTTTCTCCTAAATTTAATTTAGTTTTAACTTGTTTTATCAATGGAACATTTTAAGTTTATCCTTCATTAACTTATTTTTATTTTGGATCTATTTTTTTTAAAGAGAGTAACAATTTATTTTCACTTTAATTTAAGTATTTAACATATACTTTAATAATTTAACCATCTTTAATATCATCAGGGTTTTATCCATCTAGACTAAAATTAGAAAGAAATCCTACAATATTTTAAAAGAATTTAACAAGAATTCCATTTTCTAATTTTTTAATTGTAAATCCATATAATGTATCACCTACATTTATATCATCTAATGTCTTAAAGACTTTAATATCTGTTAATAATGTAGGTTTCATAGTTACTATGATATTGTTATGTTATTCATCAATTTATAAAATTCTAACTCTTATTTTACTACCTACTCTAAATTTAGGTGGATTGGTTAATGGATAATCTGACATCTAGATAGATGGTAATATAGCATTAAAATTATCATTAATTTTCAATAATACACTATATGAATCCTCTTTAAGTAAAACTTATTTAACAACACCTTTAACAATTGCTCCAACTTTCAAATCACTTATTTTTGGTTATGAATTAACTTCAAAAGATACAAAACCAATATGATCAAAATAATTTATTTCTTTGATAATGCAAATTCTTTAAATATGATCAATAATTTCTTAATCAGCTGGAATCTATGTTTTATTTAACATACAAATAGGTCCTAAATTAGGTTATTAACCTTTTTTAGCTTTCTTACTTTTTTTAGTTGATAATTCATCATCATTTAAGATAGCATTAAAAAGATAAGCTCCAGAATATAGTTATTAATTAATTACAACACCTTAATATTATTAACCAACTTCATATGGAGGAATATATATTGTGTTATCAATATGCTCTTATTTACTTGAGAGATAGATTTGTCTTGAAGGTTCATCAAATCCAATTATTCTACATTAAAAGTTTTTCTCTTATTCAACTTAATAATCTTAGAATATATATCCCAAAACTCCAAATTTATTTAATTTAACAATTTATCCACCTGTAATTGATTTGGCAATATTGCATTTCCAAATATTACCAGGTGTAAGTAAATATTTCGAAATCTGTTTCTTATTTTATAATTAAACCTCTCTTTATTCAAAATCACATATAACTATTTTCTCTTTTAAATTGATTTCTTTAATGTTAAAGAGATAAACTCTTCCACACTTAAGTTTTTATTCATTTATAAATCCACTGAATTATTCAGTTCCAAAATTTATAGTAGTACCAAATTCATTCCAAGTTTAAGCTATTCCTGATATTTACATTCCAACAACTATTTAATTTACACTTAATTGATCATTTATTACATTTGGATGCAAACTCAATTAAACCTTATTGTTCTTATGTTCTTCTATAACTTTTGTCATAACATATTCTCCAACCTTATAATCTCCTCCATTTACACTTTTTCTATCTCTAAGATTATGTTAATCTACAAATCCTTTTTTATTTCTTGTAAAATTAATAATCAAATAAGCTCCATTAGGACCTATTTATGACACACACCCTAAATGCAAAGATCCTATATCAAAAATCTAAAATAATTATTAAAATCGATCATACTTAATCTGGTATTTTTTAAGTCATATTAAGTATTTTTTAACTTTTCATTTAAAAATAACCTAAGATGTCTTGGTCCAAATCACCTAATGCACCATAGTCATCTTGATCCAGGATTGGTTACTGTTTTTAGGGACCATCATCATCACTAGATATATACTCAGCTAATTAAGCTCTTCTTTAGAGTTGTTTTTTTTCTCTTTGTTTTTTCTTCTTTAGCTTGTCTTCAGTACCTTTTTCATTTTTATATGTAGGAGCTGGGTTAAACATGTATTTATCATCTTTCAGTGCATCAATCACTTTTTTTTTCATTAATTAAATTTTTAATAATTATGTAAACTCTTTAAGATAATTCATCGACAATAATTGCACCTGTTATTAATGAGACTGAAATCACAATAGATTCAGATTATAGATAATCATAGTAATTTTTGATCTTAATTATTCTTAAGAGCTCTAATTCGAGTGAATTATCATGCCAATATGAAAAGAATACCAATAACAGTTGTTTGTCCTCAATGTAAATAACAAGGAACAACTATTATTATACGTGAAGTTGGAGCAGCTACAATAATGGTTGGTTATTTACTCTTTTTACTAACGACGTATACTAAATTTTGATTAATATAGAATATTTTGCTTTTGGATTCCTTGCTGTGTAGATGAATGCCAAGATGCTATTCATTAATGTCCACATTGTAAGGCTGAAGTAGGAATAGGTCCCTATTAAATTCTTTGACATATTATTTAGTTAAAGTGAATAATCTCAATGACTGAAATTTTCATTTCTTAAAATAAAAATAATAAGTTTATATATGCTCTCTCCAGAAAAGGATTTCATTCTCTATAATGCTTAAAGACCTCCTAATATGTAAGTTCCTAGTTTCATGACTACAGCTTCATCCTTTAGAAATCAAAAGTTATCCAGCTTAAGGAATAAAAGTTGTGCAACAGCAGTCTAAGATGCAGTATATTCAATTTATAAATAGAAGAAACAAATATCGACTATTGATTATTAAATTTGTGATAAGAGTGAACCTATCAATCTTAAGAATGCCTGTTATCCAAAATTCAAATCAGAACAGAGTGAAATTTCTCATATTGCTAAATCATAAATTAGTACAATGATAACAGCACCAAAAATAATCTAATTTATAGATTTCTGTAATAAAAAAATCTTAGATGATGAATTAAAAAAAAGGAAACTTAGTTAGGATTAAACTCATAAAGACTTTAAGTTAAAGATTAATAATTTTCATGAAAATAAGAAGTCTATAAGACATATATAAAAGCATACAAGAAGCAATTTTACACTTCCATAAATGCATTATCATGAAAAATATGAAACTCAAGGCATCTAAGATAAAATAAATCAAAATAAAATAGATACAACATCATTTAATGATTCTCCAGTTCCTAAATTAATTAATAAATAACCAAACTTTTAAGCTTATACAACTAAATAACCAATTAGAAGTTTTGATATGCTATTCAATGTTAAACATTTAGTAAGATTATAAGAAAAAAGATAAAAAGAATTTGAGGTAACTCAATAAAATGATCCAGAATTTTAATTAGAAATGATAAAGAGATAAAATTAAATTTAAGTTTTGATGTCTAATACAAAGAAATTAGAATAACTTAAAACTGCTTCAAAAGGAGTAATTTATTTTATTTTAATTATTTAGATATTATCACATATTAATGAATAAGATCAGTAAGCTGAATAAATATTTCAAGATTTCAAATAGAAATTGGATTTAAAATGATACTTTACGATTTTGTTTGTTTTTTTCTTATTAATTCTTTAAAATTATTTTAATAAGTTTTATGAAGCTTAAAAATATAGAATAGCCATTCAAAACAAAATAATTCTTAGATGAGTGTATGAATACAAGTGTTAAGTCAATTAATGTGTAAAAACAATTCATGTTAGAAGTTCATCAATTATGCGTAATATTTTAAGATTTATTTTAAAGAAAAAATTCAGCGAAGATTTGCAACACTTATATGTAATTATATATCTTTGACATTTAGAAATTACTAAGTGTTTAAGTAGATGATGAAGAGACATTATCATAAAACACTGTCTTATCTAATTATATATTATCAATTAGTCATATCATTAAATCAAGATCAGAAATCTTATTTGAAGAGGCCATAGAACCATTTTATTAATTTGAAGCCAATTATAGTCATTTAAATAATACAATATCTAAAAGTTATGGACTATTATTGGATAATTTAAAAGCATCAAATGAATTATTGAAACACAAAGCAGCTGAGTATAAATAAATTAATAAATAGCTATTATGAGGATTAAAATTAAACATTTTAAGCATAAAATGAACAACAATATAAATTATCTCTTAATTAAATGAATTGTATGTGGGAACAATTTTTTAAAGAATTACCACAATATTATGAATAATATTAATTAAATGAAGAAACACGATTGACAGTAACAGAATAAACTTTTGTAAAATTCATAGAAGCCTTAGAATACATGTTCAAATAACCTGCTAAAATAACAAATGAAAAATTACATTAATCATTTGAAATCTAAAGAGAAAAATTTAAAACTAGAGATCTATATGGAGAATTGTGTATACAATCAAAAAAAATGATTGATTTTATGAATGAACCAAAATGTGAGATGTTTACTAGTAGAGATGAATACTTTAGAAATAAGGCAGCAATTCTTTTATAAGAATCAGATTCTTCTAAAAATTCCAATTTTAAAGATGAAGATTTTAGATTTATAAAATAATTAATTGAAAAACCATAGTAAGTTACATATTGTATATATTAGATAAAATCTTTAATTGCTTTACAAAATTAAACTAATCCCTAATCTTACTAGTAAAGAGAGAGAAGAAATTGTGTCATTTCTCTTATCAGAATTAAAATAAAAAAATGTGGTTTAATTATAATCACATTTTCAATCAAATTTTTTTCGTATTCTAATTTTCAAATTATTTAAATGGTTTGAAGATGATTTTTAAAATTAAAAACCATCTTCTAAACTTATTTAATAATTCCTTTAGATCGTTTATATAAGTTTATCCTTAAAAAGTGATTAAGGATGTTCTCTTCTTAGTAAAATAAGTAAAAAAGTAGAAATCTTTTATTCATAAAGATTATGGAATTCAATATATGAAGAATTACTTACAAATTATCATTTACAAAAATAAATGATAGATATAACATTGAAATATGTTTCATTTCTTCAAACTCCTAATTCTAAAATACAATTACCAAAAGAAATCGATCAAAAATAAGATTCAATTTTTAATGGTTTATTTTCAACTAAAACAAGAAAAATCACATAAAATGAATCTATTAATATAGTAAATTTAATATTAATAGCATCTAATTTACCTCCATAAACTACATCATCAATTATTATGGAAATTATTACAAATATTTAAATGAAACCATCATGTTCTATACCATTTATTGAATTATAAGAGGCTAATTAAATGCTCAAAGAATTTTAACCATAAATTAGATAAAAATAATTATCATAAAAATTTGGTAAAAGAAAAAATACAATTTATTGTTTGATTAAATCACTTAAATACTTATAATTTAATGAAAACTATCTTAATGTAATATGTATTTCTAAAGAATATTCAAAAACTATTAAAACTAAAATGATTCAATATTTTCTTGTTTCTGAATAAACAGCACTTTTGAATCTATAATAAAGAGTAAGATTATGGAGTGAACTATTAGATATAGAAGTTAATTATAAAAAAATTTAATAAGATTATCTATCTGCAAGCAAGAAATTATCAAGAGAAATAGAGAGAAGTATAGTAGTAGACATTAAAAGATCATTTTCAACTGATTGTGAATAGAGAGATCAAATTATTAATTAATATGAAAATAAACTTGAAAATTTACTAAGATTACATGCTTTTGATAATCCTGAAATATCATATTATTAAGGAATGAATATGTTAATGGTTTTCTTCTTATATGTTACAAATTTAAATGAAGAATTGTCATTTAGACTATTCAGATCATTATTAGAAAAATTATTAAGAGACATTTTTTTAGAAGGATTAAAATCTATGAGAATGCATTTTTATATTTTAGATAGACTAATAGCCATATTTATACCAAGATTATTTATACATTGGAAATAATTATAAATTGAAAGTCCGTAATTTGCTACTGTATTTTTATTATAAATTATTAGGCATGGTATGTCACATTATATACTAATTCTATTAATTTAAGTTAAGTAGAAAATAATTAAGTTTGTTTTGATATATTTGAAATAGTAATTGCAAGGGGGTGGACAGGATTTTATTAATCTACAATTGGATTATTGAAATTCTATGAAAAAATATTAATAGAATTAGATTTCGATTAGAGTTAGAAATTTTTAAATAATTTATCTAAAACTCAATTTTATAGATAACAAATTGAATAATAAATTGATGTACCTTATTTCACAAATGTTAAAAATTTGAAAATATCTATTAAGAAACAGTTAATTACAGAACTTGAAAGAGAGTATTATTAACTAAGAGAAAAGATAGATTAAATTAATTTAAATCATTTATGATGGAGAAATAAAATATATATTAACAAATCATCCTTTAATTGTTTTACTAACTTCAAATATTTTCTTACAAAAGAATTCCTTTTATCTATCCCTAGTTAAAATTTCCTAAAGTTATTATTAATTAAACGTTTTTATTGATCCTAACATTCTTGTCCTTTGTAATAATAAAAAACTAAATCTACTAAGTTCAATTAAATTTTTTGCACAAGCTTCCTATTATTATTTTGATTTCCATCCTTATAGATGAGAAATAAAATTTAATAAGAATTATTTAATTGAATTCTCTTCCTTAAAATTAGTAATTGATGATAAATAATTCAACCAAGTCAAATTTTATACTTCCTCAATTATTATCTTATTAATTTATTTAGCTTATACATCACTTAACGAAAAGATTTTTTAAAATATTTATAAATATTCTTATATTCTTTCTAATTCTTTTAACTATTTTAAGTCCTTATAACTTTAAGGATTTGTATTCTTAATTTAATCAATTGGTATTTTATTCACAATAAAGCGAATAGCTATAAATTAATATTTTTCTATAAAAATAGGATCATCTTCTTAAAAATTATTTTGTGTTTATTTATATAATTCATAAATTTCATAAATATCTTAATACTTAATATGCTACATAAGAAAATATTGAAATGATTATTCATTATCTTCTTCATAATGTTGAGAGAATGATTAAAAATATTTAATTTTCTTTTCATCATTATATTCTTCAAATAGATTATTTAAAAGTTTTAAATAGATAGTTGAAATTGTGAAATATTTTAATTTTTGTATTTCCATCCCTTAATCTTAAATTTATTAAAGTTTTTCTAGATTTTCCCATTAATTTTCTTTTGGTATCATATAATCTAAAACTCCATATATAATTTTCTTTTATGTTAGTTTAATAATAAAATAATTATTCTCCCTTAAATAATTTTCCATAAATTGAAAGATATTCTCATAAATCTAATTAATATTTTCAAATCTTAAATTATCAAAAAATATTTAGATTTAATCTTCATCTAATTTCTGATAATTTTCAAGTATTATATTTGGTTTAATATAATGTTAAAAAATTTTTTCTGTTGTTAACTGTCCCATTTAAAATAAACAGAATAAGTTTAGAAGTTAAAACTTAGATTATTAGAATTACTAAGTCGCTATTGAATTACAAAAAAATGGAGTATTAATAAATACTTACTTACAAGTTTCAAATACTAGGAACATAATCTCTCTTCCCCAAGATTAAATTCCCTCTTTCTTAATTATATGATGAATACTAGCTTAAAGTAAATAAAAGTAAGTGTCTTCTTTATAAGAATCTAATTTTTCATGTACTATGTAAGAAATCTTTCTTTTAAATAGTTCACACGTTAATAATTCAGCATTTGCTTCTTATGAGGATAATAAAGGCAAAATACAGTTTGGCATTCCTTCCTTTCTAGAGATTTTTTTTAAATCCAAATAGGTTAGATCTATAATTTTCTCAACTTTAGAAAACTATGTAACCTTTATTTTAGTTTCTGAATTTTTTTTTGTTTTAATAATCGTAATACCATAACCTACTAAAGGAAATAATTCAATTAATTCATAATCATATTAACATTATTGACACTTCTATATAAAATCTGGATCCTTGAGCATCTCAATCATGTTTTCTAAGGAAATACAAGATCTCTCCTATTATGAGTCTTAAAGTCTAATTTGTAAAAATTATTATTTCATATATATATTTATATGCTATTTAATTATTTATATGTATATGAATTTGTTATTTAAAATTATACAATTACTCTATATTTAAGATAACCTATAGAATAAAAATGTAAAATCCTTTATATATACAACATTTATAATTAGGTATATAGATATTTTAATATAAATTATAAATAATATGAGCCTTAAAATTATTTATAAATGAATAATATATAAATTATATTTATTAACTTCATCCATATCTGATAATTAATTTATATAAAATAAAATATTTCAAATTCATTAAATTTTAAATTTCATACTCCTTTTAACTTTTCTACCTTATGGAGTTTCCTCATCATTAATTTCATTTAAATTTGCTTATTCATTTTATTAAACACTCTTAACATCTTTTTTATTCTAATATTATTTTTTATCTCCTTCAAAATTATCTTCTTTTTCTTTCAAATATTGTTCTCTTTATTTAACAAATGTATTGAAATCATCTTCTTCTTTAACTTTTGTTTATTTATTATTTTTTTAAAATCTATCATTTTCATAATGACTTTTTTCATTGTTATTAACATTATCCTAAAAATCATCTCTTCTACCTTTATAATTTCTTGATGTTTCTTTACTTTCTTCACTATAATCTGTATTTCTTCTTTCAAATCTATCTCCTTTAAAACCTCTTTCACTTCTATCATTTCTATCAAATTTATCTCTTCTTTCACTTCTGTCATATCTTTAACTTCTATCTTCATATTTATCAAAACTTCTATTTTCTCTAAATTAATCTCCATTTGTTTCTCTATCATACTTCTAAGGCCTGTCTTTTCTATTATATCTATCTTTGTTATCATATCTTTCATATTTATCTTATTTATTTGCATATTTATCATATCTACCAGAATCATTATATTTATCTTAATCAAAATGACGATCTTATTTATATGAATTATCATATCTATCAAATCTATCTCTTTTATTGAATTAATCTGATCTATCATATTTATTAGTATATTTGTCCCCCTTATCATATCTATTAAATTTTTCGTATCTACTACTACTCTCAGAATTATCATTATAATTCTATCTTCTGCCTTAATGCTTATTATAATTATCAAATTCTTCAGTTTCAGGTCTTCTACCTTCTTTTTTTGGTTAAGTATTTTAATCCTCTAAAAAATCAGCTTTTTTTGTATATTTATCTGATCTTTTACTTGGTTCTTATTGATGAATAGATTCATTTTCAGAAACTTAAGCTATATCACTCAAAAATTATTCATTAAGTTTATTTTGATTAAGTTGAAAATCAATCAAAATGGAATGAAATGTATCTAAAACTCTTGTACTAGACAACCAAAAACTTTTTTAATCATTTTGTCTAAAATGAATAAAATAATAATTTACAAATTCATTTAATGAGTACTAATGGTTTCTAAAAATTTAGAAAGATTTGGTAATAGTAATGTTTACATATTACCTCCCTCTGCTTATTAAAATGCCTTCTAACATTTTGCATGATGAGGACATTGAGGACAAACAAAGTCTTCTCTGACTCCAATTTATGCTCTTAATTCTTTAAACAATTATATTTCTGTTTCTTTTGTTGGTGAATCTACTGGACAAGGAGTAGTAACAATCTTATTGATATCTCTTTTATGAAATCTCCAATAAAAGTTTCCTTTTGGTAAATCCTTGAAAGTATGTTAAATGGATTGCAAATACACCTTAAATAGTTATTAAGACATAAATTAAAATAATGTTTTAAATTTTTATATTTTTGATATATCTCAATGACTATCGTGATGAATGTTTACTATGTAAAATGCAGTTTCAATACTGGAAACAAGGAAAGCTCTATCCTTGATCTCAATACCAAACTCCTTTTCAAGAGCATCATGAATGTGAATACAAGTAGCAACATCAACATATCCTGCTGCATCATTCCAATTAGTGTTAAATGTAATTGGTGTCGACTCCCACTATAAAGATAATTAAATCTTGATTTACTCTTTCTGGATCTATTTTTCTTAATCTTTCTCCAACCACCTTAATGATTCTCTTAGCAGTTACTGCTGGCTAAAGAATAGATGATATGGTACATTGTTATAGACAGAACCATTAGGAAAGTGATAAGCATATAAAGGAGCTTGTGATTGCATACTCTTCACAACAGTAGATATTAATTTATTCATATTTTAATTATTATTATATTTGATTAATATACTCATTGTTTCTTTGCTTATTATTTTTTTGGTTATGTTTTTTTGGTTTGTTCCTTGGGTTGTTCTTTGGTTTATTCCTTTTACTCTTTTGGTTATTGTTTTTTTTATTCTTTCTTTTCATCCTTGACTTCAACTTCAGCATCCTCCTTTAATTTCTTGATTCTCAACATACCTTATTTTGCAGATAATCCAGCAGGAGTACTAATAAATGAAATAAAATAATACTTGACTTCCCAAGCACCACCAGCAATTTATAATCCAGTTTATGTGCATCTCCAAATACCAATAGCTTATCTTTTGAGTGAATGCTAGAATATTATAATATATATTACAGCTCCAGTAAAAGTGTTGAAATATCTTTGATGTTATGAAATTTCGAACTTCTTAATAATTTTTCTTAAAGATGCACCATATCTGGTACCATATTTTCCTGTAATTCCTACCTTCTTTGTTTTTTTGGTCATTTCAAATAATAATTAAAATCTTTAATTTATTTTTAAATAATTGAAAAACTATGAGTGATTCAGATGATGATATTTTTAAAAAGAAGAAACAAAGCAAAAAGAAAATTGAGCAATAACAAAAACAATAACAATAGTAACAACAATAATAACAATAAAAATAACTTAAATAAGAACTAAATCAACCAGAATAATAATTAAACAATCCTAAGAATCCTAAATAGGTCATCTATTGCAAAGTATGTACATTACCTGTTGAATTTTGTTCATTTTCTAAAGCTCCCTAAGAATGCAAAGAATGGTTAAAAACATCATTTAAAGATCTTTATGCAAATATATATCCAGAAGATGTCAAACTAGAATAAGAAAAATAAGCCAATCTCTAATAACCACAAGAATAAATAGCATAATAATAATAATAAGATTAACCTCCTGAAAAAAAGAAAAAGAAGAAAGTCAAGGTGACAGAAAGTGAAATGGTGTATATAAAAGTTAAAGAAAGAAACAGGACTAAATTTATAACAACTTTATCAGGATTAGAAAAACATGGTAATAATTCTACTTATTTAAGGTCTTGATATCAAAGAAGCTTAAAAAAAAATTAGTAAAAAATTTGGTTGTGGTTCTTCAATCAATGATAAAGGAGCTATTGAACTATAAGGGGACTTGAGTGTAGATTTAGAGGAATGGCTTCCAAAAGAATATCCAACAATTAAAGAAGACATGATTGCAATTCAAGAAAAATGAGATTTAAATCAGAAATATCTATATATTTTAAATATAAATGAAACACCGTCAAAAGCAGAAACATAACTCTTAATTATACATTGTCGAAAAAATTGTAGACAGACGTTATGATCCTGTTTCAAAAGAATTATAATATTGTATTAAATGGGAAGGTTATAGTGAAGCAGAAAATACTTGGGAACCTTTGAGAAATCTAAAGAATGTTTTATCCGAGATTGAAGAATTCGAAAATTAATAGCTCAATAAGAAATAAAATATGTCTCTCAAAATAGATAATAAAAAACTCAAATAATTGCTTCTCAATAAATTAACTCATTTTCTTGAGAAAATAGCCCTTAAACCATAATAATAATTAAAAGAAATAAGTTTAAGCGATTATGAGAGTTCTTGCGAGGAAATATAACCAAAAAAAAGACAATTAGATGCCTAGTCGAAAACTATTCCAGATCAATTCAAACAAAAATCTTCAATCCTAACACAAGGTTACCATTTGTGCCCCTAAATTTGTGAATCTAATATTGATTTTTGATATTATCTTGCTAATTTTTGCTTCATCTACATATTCCAAGACTCATGAGTAAAGAAAACCCTTCATTAAGCTTCTTATTTTAATACATAGTTATATAAAGAGTTAATATAAGTCAATTTATAATATATTTATTAAACATTAATGATTATAGAAGAAAATTCTTTGGCTGAAGAATTAAAGGGAGTTTCAAGGTATGAAAAAGTATATCCAATAATAATTATTTCAACTAGGTTGCTTACATATCAATTTTTATTATTGGATTACTTATAATTAAAACTGATGATGCTTACATTACGTGTCAAACTTCAAATGAATTTTAAGGAATAATTTGGGAAATGGGATTGATTCCCTTAGCCTTTATTGGAGATGTAACTAAAAACTTAAACATAAATATTTTTATTGTTGGTTTGGTTTAATTTTTGGCCTGTCAATTAAGATTGCAATTCACAATGATATATTTGCTATATAAAATACTAGGACAAGGGAAAATGGTATCATAATTAATATATTTAAGAGACTTATAGTTTACTTTACTTAATACCCTTAATAACAAATATAATATTACCTCATTAAAAAGTATTTTTTGGTTTTACATAATTTGTATTAGTATTATTGATTATAATGCTAAATAAAACCCTAATGCAAGAAAAATAACACAAACCAAAAATTAATTTTAAATATTATGTTAGTAGATTAATAGCTTGTATAATATTAATGTAAAAATTGGACATGGTAAATAGTAATTTTTATGAAAATCAAGTGATCTTTATGAGTATTAATTTTATGTATCAATAGTTCTTAGTATACCTTTTGTTAAAATATTGATAAATAGAGTACCTGATATAGTATTTGCAATCATATTCCTTATTTACTTCTATCTAAGCCATAATAATCTTTTTTTACAAAATGTCTTGTAAGGTTTACTTATTTGCTTTGTTATTTTAAAACTTTTGCCAATAATAATGGATTAAAAATTTTCAAGTATTTTTTAATATTAAATATTAATAGTGACCATTTCGCTACTTCTACCTATAATAATATTGTAATTCCCCTTGTCAGAGTATTTTTTTGTACTGTTAATTTTCTTGATGATCAGCGAACCACCATAAAACTTATATGAATAGATTGAATTATGAATAAAAATATATATAAAAATTAAATTATGGGCAGAGGTGATTTCAATAGTAGAGGTGGAGGAAGAGGTGCCCCTAGAGGTGGCAGTTTTGGTAGAGGAGGTGGAAGAGGAGGAAGACCTCAATTTACATAAGGGCCACCAGCAAAAGTTGAACCATTCGCTACTTTCTCTCATGTTTGTGGAAATCAAATTATTGTTAAGGCTTTAGGAAAATAATTAGTATTGAAGATGATCATTATTAGGTTCCAAGATTCTTTAGAAGTGTGTATTTTGAAAATAAGCAACCAATAGGTAAAGTTGATGAAATTTTTGGTCCAATTGAAAATTACTTATTCTCAGTAACATTAGAAGAAGGAATTGCTCCAAAATCAGTATTCAAAACATTTAATCAAAGTTCAAATAAGATTAATTGATATATATGGATGCCTATGATTGCATGCCTATGGATAGATTTTTACCAAAACCAAAAGGTACACCAGGAATAAGTAGAGGAGGATCAAGAGGTGGTGGTAGAGGAGGACCAAGAGGAGGATTCAGTAGAGGAGGAAGAGGAGGACCTCCTAGAGGTGGAAGAGGAGCACCAAGAGGAGGTGGTTTTAGTAGAGGTGGTGGATAATAAAGAGGAGGTTATGGAAGAGGAGGATTTAAAAGATGATAAAGTATATTAAATTTTATTTGATCATCATTAACATGTTAAATTATATTTGAATCTCTCTCTAGCATCATCAACATTACTTAAAATATTTTAATATCTATATCTCTTTTATAAATCTTTGTCAGGAGTTTTAATGATTTAATGCTAATTACCAATCAAATTGAAGACACTTTTTTCGTTACCATTTTTAAATGTAGTATATTTATTAGCAAAAAATTGAGGTTATGGCAATTATCCAATTAAATATAATGATTTTTAATGTAATTCATTATGTATTAAATCTTACTCTATTTCTTAAGCTTATTATTAAGTATTATTAATTTAATGTAATAGATCCAAAGGACCTTGAATATTTTAGTAAAATTGTGAGAATTATCCTTTTTATTGTTCATTATATTATTTTTATTTTGTTGGAATTACTTTAAATTGTTCTTTAACTTTTTCAAAATCTAATTTAACAACCCCATTAAAATTTGGAGCTAGTTGTTATAAAGATTTATCAAATTAATTTGAATTATATTATCTATAAAGAGTTTCAACACCTGCAAAAATGTCATTTCCTTTATTATCTATAACTTAATTTAATCTATTAATATCAGAATTGTATGAATTAAAGACTTCTTGATCATCCAAATCTTTATCAAAGTAACTTTCTTGAACTTTTTATAATTATTATTAAAGAACTTCTATTTGGGATTAATCTTTTGTTGGTCTATCCTCTAACTATAAATCCTTTGCTGTTTCATATTGATGAAATTTTAAATTTTAAAGTTTAGAGATAGAATCCACTATTGATTAACTTTAATTGCTTGCTTTTTAATAATTATTATCTCTTTTAATAGTTGTATTTAAATAAATATTATTGAATTTTGGATTTTTATTTACCTAATTATAATGTTGATCCTCTTCTATTTATTATTGATAATTTTATGGTGTTTATTTATCAATATAAAGTTTCTTAATTTTATCATAATAATCATACTAATTTTAACTCCATTTATATTCTTATTTTTCTGCTTCTGTAACAATTTCAATTTTTTTATCTATAATAGTATCTTAAGATTATCCTTTTCTCAAAGATTCATGAAAATCTTCAATCTTTTTAAATACACTTTCGCCATTTTCTTCATAACTATCTACATCATATGTAATTTATTTAGCAACTGGATTGAATTACACTTTATTAATTTTTAAAGGTGCGAGAGTTGAATCTTTTGATTTTTCAATAGTTTATATTTTTGATAGATCAAATTGTTTTTCTAATTTCACATTATCAAAATCAATTCTAGGAAAAGCTGCTTATAATTTTGATTTATCTAAAGTAGTATCATTTTTAAATACAGTTAAAAATTCCTTACTTAATTCAGGTTCTTATTCTTGTCTTTCAGCTATTAATTATGGAATTGTTTTATCATTTTATTTAGAACTTTTCTTAGTTATTTATTATTAGATAGATAATTCATCTTATTAAATAATTTATTATTATTCATCTAATTATTATTGTTATTCATCAGGTTTATATTTTGGATTAGATTTTAAACAACTCAATAATGCACCCAATCTGTGTGTTCTTACATATGCTAAAAGTTACAAGTTCAAAAACATATATACCTTTTTCTTCAACTAGATTTATATCTTCTGCTCTTCGTTTACCATCAAAAAATAAATGATGTTTTTACTAAAATTAATTAGCATTAGTTAATTGATTTAATTATTCTTCATATTATTTATTTTATTTTTATTAAATAAATTCTTCTAATTTATTCAAGTCTTCTTATTATTTTAAACCACCTAAAATTTACACTTATAAAATATGTTTATTCAAAGATTCAGATTATTTATGTTCATGAGGATTTAATTTTTATAAACATTTGTCTAAATCTAACAAATCTATTTTTTTTTCTTGAATTTTATCAAGATAAACAAACCCATTCTTTTATAAATTTATTAAATCTCTTTAAATACTTCTTTTATCAGTTGGGGCTCTTTAGTTTTTAGTTTAATCTATATGTTATTTAAATGAATATAAGCCTTCTTTCATTATAAAAATATTATATTATAAATTTATTAATAAATAATAATAAACTAAGTAAATTGTGTGATATTTCAATAAAATCCTGTGCTAGTTGTAGACCTATTAAATAATTTAATTTTTGGTTAAAATGTACATTGTTTAGCCTCTTTTTATTCTTGCTATTCTTTAATCTACTTGATTTTTTATTCTTTAACTATATTTTCCTTCATTGCCTTTTGATATAAGGCTGCTGGTCCTTTAAAAGTTTATCTTTATTTTGCAATAATCTCTGATTTTTAATTTAACTAAGGTCTAAAGGTACTAGATGAATCTGGTTAAGTCTTTTATTATTTAGGTTATTTTAAAAATAGACGATTTTTATCAAAAACACTCATTTTTTCAATAATATCTAAACATTTTGCTGTCCATGTATCAATATTCAAATATATATCCAATTTTTCTAATTATAAAATAACTGGTTATAATAATTCTAAAGCTTCTGTTGGTAATTCTTCAAGATAAATATTTTAAGCACTAATCAATCCATCATTATCAGAATCCATAATTTTAAAATATTCTTCTAATTTTTTTTTTCTCATTTATAAAACTATTTAATTAGATCTATCAGTTTATAGTGATTTACTTAAATCATCACATTCAAATTATATTATTGATTCTTCATTAACAGATTTTTATTATTAATATAGATACTCTCCAATACTAAGTCCACCTCTAGATCTATTTGCACTATGTACTTATGGTTGAAATAGTTTTTATCCACTTTTATCATCATACATTAAAGATTCTTCAACTTCTTATTTTAATTTTTCTTCCTTAATTTTTTTTTACATTTCCATTCTTTCTAAAAATGGTAAATATTATTTATTTTATGATTTATTTGGAGTAACACTTCTTCTAGTTTATTAGGTTTATGATTCCTATATAATAGATGTTTAAGATTTATCATTAGCTTTTCTTTTTTTAGCTTAATTATATAGTTAATCAAATTTAGTCATACTCACATCTGTTTTGATAATTTCATCACAAATTCTCTGGGATCTATATAAAGAACTAAAATTACATTTTATTAATCTCAGGTCTAAAAGAACATTCTCTTGAAGTTTCATTTAAAAATTATTATTCTGCTTTTCTTTTTTATTCTTATAATTATTATCCATATTTCAATAAATAATATTCTGGAGTTTTATTTCTATTTTATCTTGTTGTACTTATAATTTTTAATGTATTTTAATTAAGTCTTGGTTTGAATGTTGCTTCTTTAATTTATTCTTCTTCTTTAAGAAGTCTTTATTTTTAAAGTATATTATTTTTGTAATTCATTTACTTGACTTGTTTTTCATAAATATCAGTTTTTTTAATAACAGCCTATGATTTGTTTATTATTTCATTCTTAATTTCTTTCTTTTCTTATTTCACTTCTTTAATCTAATTATTTGTTTAATCTTATAAAGGTTTATTAGTATTTGTATTGCTTATCTAATTGGATTAATTTACGAAACTAAAATAATTTTCTTTCTCATTCAGATGTATTTTAATATTTTGAGCAATAATCTCTTTTATTTCATCTTTTAGATGATGTTTTTCACAAAATTAACTAGCCTTAAGTTCAATATCATCCCCATCATATAGATATATGATATCATGTTCATTCTATCCAAGTTAAATAGTTAACTCTAGCAATAATTTTCTGTCATCTAACAATCCTAATTCGGCTAGCAAACTTTCTTAATCGATCATACAAGAATTCGTTAAAATAATTAAAATTTTATTATAAGCACATTTCAGATACATTGAAATTAATTTCTATCTTATTTTCCTTTTGATAAACTACAAAACATAAATGATTAATAACAGCTTAAATCCTATCAGATATTTCATTTCTTCATATATCTTTAAAGTTAATAATTATTAAACTATTTCTTATTATTATTTCATATTTGATATACTTCATTATAGTAAATAAGAGAAATAAGAAATAGGGAATTCTTAATAAAATAGCAATACACAATAATTATATATATATATATATTTTTATAATATTAAAATGACAAAAGTCTTTGTTCTTATATCACTATTTTTGGGAATTTGTTTAGGTAGTCAATACACTCCAATTCCAAAGATTCCTGATGGTTTAATTATTGGTGACAATCCAAATTTAGTAATTGAAGCCTATTATGACATATTTTGTCCAGGCTCTAGAGAATCCTACAACATATTCAAAACTGTAATTGAATCATTAGAGAAGGACTCTTTTACTGTAATAATTTGATTATGAATTTAGTTTATCATTCATTAATTTCCACTTCCTTATCATAAGAATGCTTTTTCAGCATCAGCAGGATATAAATACATTTGGAAGACAATATCTTCAGAAGCAGCCTATAAGTTTGAAGGATTGATGTTGAATAATTTAGAGTAATTCACAGGTAAAATGATTTTATTATATATAGATTTGGCAACTCTGAATCTAAAATAATCTGAAGTTTATTAGAAGATTATTGATTTAGTTAAGACATAATTGCCTTAATATTAAATTAACTATGATGAATTACTGAATTCTATGAAACCTGGTACACCTGAAAATATTGAGACTAGATATAGTTGGAAATATGGAACTAGTAGAAGTGTTAGTGGAACTCCTACTATATTTGTAAATGGTGTTTTATTTGATAAGGGAGAAGAGTTATCAGCTCAATAATGGATTCAATACATTTAGAATCGTAAATAACAAAATTGAATTAATTCTACATTATGTATGTGATGATGAAATCAATTATTAAATTAATATTAAATGAACAAAATTTTCCTGTTTCTAGGAATAGCAACTCTAGTCTTATCAAATTAGTATGTGCCAATTCCAAATAAACCATTGGGAGTTAGTAAAGGAGATTCCAAAAAATTAATAATTGAAGCATTCTTTGATTTATAATGTCCAGATAGCAGAAATTCATTCAGAATCCTAGATCAGGTCTTATAATAAGGTTATGGAACATAGTATCATATTACTTAATCTTAGATTCAAATATACTATTCATATGTTTCCTCTTCCATATCATAGAGCAGCATTCCCAGAAGCTTAAGGATTTGCATTTTTATCTGAAATTAATACAGAAGCAGCCTACTTATTTGCTAAAACTATATTTGATAATTAAGAGACACTTGCAGAAGCAGCAACATTAGAATGGACTTGGCAAGAAATATTAAATAAAGTGGCTTAATTTGCTAAAGAGAATGTGTATCCAAAATATTAGTATGATGAAGTCAAATTTGCCAAATCACTTTTACCAGGCACTGATTGGAATTTGAAGGCTAGATATTGGTGGAAATATGGTACTTATAGAACAGTTTCTGGTGCACCCATTTTTATAGTTAATGGAGTTATATTGAATGGAGCAGAAGAGTATGATGTTCAAGAATGGATTGATTTTATTAATCAAAAAAATCCTAAAAGCGCTTAGGAATTATGATTAATTATATATTAACAAATTTAAATTCTTAGAAATACATATTAATTCTGTTTGTAAATTTGTTAATAAATATTGTTTAATATGTATACTGTTATATATAATTAAAAGAAATGAAATAAAAACAAGGTTTTGGTTCAAGTCTAATGAAAATGATGTAAGCTTTGTTTAAATTAGGACAAATACAGCTTTTAAATTAGATAGTCTACTAAGTGAAGATATTAAACAGAATGAACTCATGTATATTTTTGGTTAGGAAATACAGAATGTTGATTCATTTCTTCAGTTAAAGGAAACTTTCATATGGTTTAGTTATAGAGCCAATATTCAATATGAAGGAAAAGCCTTATCAGATTAAGGTTGGGGATGTTTAATAAGAGTTGGTTAAATGATTGTTGCTGTATTAATCTATTTTATACACTTAGAATTCATTAATTAGAGATAACTCTAATTTAAAGTTAAATGATCTAAAAACTAAAATTATAAGTTTGTTTGATGATAATGAATATTTCTCCACTAAAGCTCCCTTCTCCATTCAATAAATAATCAAAAAGGCTTCTCTAATTTATAATCTAAAAATTGGAGATTGGTATACTGGTCCAAAGATAATGTGTTTATTGGAAGAACTATTTCTTAGTGCTAAGACTATTAAATAATTAAAGATCATCAATTTTTTGGAATAATGCATAATTGAATAACAAATAGATTTATAATTCAAACAACCATAATTATTAGTCATTCATGCAATTATAGGAAATAAAGAATTAGATCAATATTTTGTAGCTGAACTTAAAAAGCATATGTAGGTGCCATAATTTGCAGGAGCAATAGTTGGTAAAAGCAAAAAAGCCTATTTCCTTATAGGATACTAAAATAATTAGGGAATTATCATGGATCCTCATTATGTTTAAGTAAAACAATCAGTTAATCAATATTTAGGAAAGTAACTTAATATAATTAAATTCTTAATTGAAATGTTCACCATTAAAGTAATTTTCTGGTACAATAGCATTATGCTACTATATTTCTAGTAGTTAAGATTATGTTTAGTTTAAAACAGCTTTGAAAGAACTTAAAGGGTCCATTTTTAGTATAATAGATGAAACTTGCACATGTTTTTTTTGATTTTAAAAATTATTTTATTTAAAACATCACATTCACCATCCTATAAAAGGATCATCAGTAGGTTTAACTGGTTTAGGTAACTCAGTACTATCAGGATAAGTAGAATAATTAGAGGTATCCCCCTTGTTCCTTTATAGATTAATTCTTATACTTAACTACTGGTTTATATTTAGGCTATAGCTTTTTTTAAACTAGAAATTCCCAATCCATGGCTTAAAACCATCTATGCATTTTAATATCATTAGCTCCTCCTTTAAGATTTCCAAACCTTTTGGTTAAATCAGCAACTAACAAATGTTTGACTAAACTTTTGGCTTCTCTATATAAAAATGAATTCAATTTACTTACTGTTAAAAATTTCTGGGAAATTTTACCTTCCCCTTTAATATTTTCTAATAAATAGCCATAGGATCTTCATCATTAAATGGATCAATTCCAGCCAACATTTCATAAATCAAGATACCTAAACACCACCAATCAACTGGTTTTCCATGTCCTTTAGTTAGATAATATATAGTGTTATACCTTTATTAAGAAGAATTTCTGGAGCCAAATATTCTGGAGTACCACATAAGGTATAAGTTCTTCCTTCAACTTATTTTGCAAAACCAAAATCAGTTAATTTTAGATAACCATCTGATCCAATTAAGAGATTCTCTGGTTTAAGATCTCTATAAACAATATTTTTTGAATGTAAATATTCAAACATAAGAACAACTTGAGATGCATAAAATCTAATTTAATTATAATAAACTTACACTGCTTCATCATTCTCTAATTTACCTTTATTTCTTAAGTATGTAAAGAGTTCACCACCTTACACATACTCAAGAAGGAAATAAAGATATCTTTCATCTTAAGTAAATCCTAGCATTTTAATCTAAAATAGTAAAATTGTATACTAAGAAAGGATGACTTATATTAGATAAGATTGTATTTTCAGATATAATGTGATCTACTTATTTTAATCTCAAAATCTCTGCTTTCTTTAACATTTTCAAAGCTACATACTCCCCTGTTTCTTTATTTTTAGCCAATCTAACTCTACCAAATGAACCAGTGCCTAGAGTTTATAAAATTTCATAATCTGTAAGTTTCACTTTTATTGCCTTAAATGTTGCTTAATCCATTTTAAATATATTTAACAATTAATTATTTATATGTTAAAAATCTAGAATCAAATTTATATGCTCAGAGATCTTTAATAAAATTATATATCTGATTGCATCCACTAATACATCCAGATATTAATAATCCCAAATCATCATTATTAAATTGTCCTATTACATCTGAACATAATATTTGTTATAAATTAATTGAATAAACCAAATTTAATTTTGCACTCCATTGTTTCTCTTTTCTATCTACAATAAGTCTTTTATTTTCATCTAAAAACTATATATTAAATAATTAAAGAGTACAGCTGAACATGATGCAAATGAATCTTTGATTCTAATTCCATGTAATAATACAGCATAATATAAGGCATTAAATGCTTTTGAATATGGAGGACATATATCAAAAATCACAGTGAAGGATTGTTTCTAATATGTCTCTGTAAATATCAAATGTTTTAATAAATTATAAATATCTCTCTTGAGTATTTCATTACCATCTAATTTTATATTTATTTGACATTCTGGTGATTATTGATAACTTGGACCAATACTTATTAATTAACTAATATACTTACATTTCACAAATAAAAGTATCTTGTTCAGATTCAAAAAGCACTCTTGTTGTGTGTCCATTATTTACTAATTTCTTAATATTAAAAGGAGTCAATTCGTGATCAATCTCCATTGATATAAATAATATTAATATTCATTTTAATTATTTCTTAATCAATTTGTTATACAAAATTAGAATTGGCACAAATGGATACTAAACTTTCTTAAATTTACTTTTCTTTATGAACACTGTCAAAAAGTATATAATCAATAAGATCATCAAACAAATTATCAATTTTTTTCTATTCTTCTATATAGGTATCCCAATCAATAATCTTGGTTATGATAATATTCCTTTTATTATTATAAAATATATATACCAAATGCTACACTATTCTCTAATCTTATCTTAATCCATTCATTTAATTATTATTTTATACACTAAAATTCTTCATCATGTTATAATTCATGATATCCTTCATCAAACAATTTTATTTATTTATCTTTACTTCCTACCTAATTTATGAATTGAACACTATTTTCATAACTACTTTATGTATCTTATTTCCCATGAAATATTATAATAGGAAATTAAAATTAAACAGAATTTTTAAAGATAAAAGGCAATGTTTTATAAATACTTCTAGCCATTCCTACACCTAGAAATGGCATTACCAATCTATCCTCAAAAATTCTTTAAATATGTTAATTATTCTTACTCAAACTAGTTGGATTAACATTTGTATTAATAACTAAATCCTATAAACATTTAAGAATAAAAATACTTCTAAATAATGCCCAAAGTTCTTTATCACAAATTACTTGAATGGGCCAATGTTTCTATTTAATGGGAATCCTAAAGTAGGAGCAGTACAAATAACTCCTGATATTTTCAATTTAGGGTTTCGAATTAATAAACTTATAATAACAAGTGCTCCCATAGCATGTCCATATAAAAATAAGGGTAAATCCTTTGATGCTTATCTTATGAGAACCTCAACATCCAATTAAAGATCTGCTATTGATTGAGATCCTCTTGGTCCTCCTGAAAATCCAAAACCTCTCAAATCAATCAAGTGTACAACAAAATTCATTTTAGCAAAAAAGTCAGCCACCTAATAAAATCTCTATTTATTTTTTATACATGTAGAAATCTTCCTTAATGTTCTCCAAATCCATGAATAATACAAATAGATGCTTTCTTATTAGGAGGATCCAATTTAGTATAATAAAGTCTAAGATCTTATCCAAAGCCTGGTATATATCCTCTGAGTACTTTATAATCAAGCATTTAATATTCTCCAATGAATTTAGTGTCATCTTTAAAAAAATCATTTATAGATTCTGATTCTTTTAAGTTCATTAAAAATTTAACAGAATAATAGAACAATATAAGATGAAGTTTGAACATAAGAAGAAATTTTCTGTGCATTTAGATATTTCATAACTAACATCTAATTCTTATTTAAACTATCCACTTTCTACAAAAAGAAAGTTTGATAATCCCTAATCAACTAGAAAATTGGACACATCACCTAAGAGTGTAAGTCCAAATAATTCATTTCTGTCTTCTGATCGTAAACTGCAATAAAAATATCCAATAAATAGTAGTAAAACTAATTCACTCAAAAGCATGCTCTAACCATATAAAATTAGGTCACCATCAGACAAAGAAAATCAACATAGTTTTTTAAGCAACAAAAGTCAATTAAATAAGTTACCTCTCTTAACTGAATAATTTCTTAAGTTATATAATTTAACAAGAAATGAATAAAGAGAATTGAATGGCATAAAATAAGTATAAATTTTTATCATTATTTTTAAGGTTTATTATTATAAATAACCAAAATGTCTTATTGATCAACCTAATGGAGATTATTCTTATAATATTAAGGATCATATAAAATATCAATATGAAATAGTCAGTCTATTAGGTTAAGGAAGTTTTGGTTAAGTATTTTAAGTATTAGATCATAAAAATTAATAATTATATGCTTTGAAAGTAATTAAATGTTAAGACAAATTAAAAAAATAAGCAATTATTGAAGCAAATATACTTTAATATATTAAAGATCATGATATAGATTAACTTTCAAATATAGTTAGAAATATTGAATAATTTACATTTAGAGGACATTAATGTATAGTCTTTGAAAAATTAGAATAAAATTTATTTGAATTGATTTAAAAATAAAAATTTAAAGGAATTGATCATGAATTAGCAAGAAAAATTGGTATTCAATTGTTGAATTCACTTAATTTCTTAAATAAACATAAGATTATACATTGTGATATCAAACCTGAAAATGTTATGTTATTAGATAATTCTAAAAGTGGAATTAAATTAGTTGATTTTGGTTCAGGTTGTTTTGTTGGTTAATAGATTTATACATATATACAAAGTAGATATTATAGAGCACCTGAAGTAATATTTGGATTAAAATATGGTATTGAAATTGATATGTGGAGTTTTGCTTGTTTAATATCAGAATTATATATAGGAACTCCAATATTTCCAGGAGAAGATGAGATTGAATAAATTAATTTGATTATTGAAATTATTGGAGCACCTTCAGTAGATTTTGCATTAAAATGTCCAAGAAGAAAATATTTCTTTGATGAAGATGGACATCCTAAGAAAAATATAAAATCTTATAGAAAACCAAGTTCAGTTAGTTTATATGATAAATTAAGAACTGAGGATTCAGATTTGGTTGATTTTCTATTGAGATGTTTTGCATGGGAACCATAAAATAGGTTATAACCCTTAGATGCACTTAAACATCCATGGATAATTGCTGGTCTGCCTAAGGAAATACAAAAATAACATAAAAAATATATAGAACTTGAAAAATTACTTTAAACATAAAAAACTCCATTAGTTTCATAATTATGTTTAAAAGGATCAAATAAATCTAAGGATCATTATTAAGAGGATTCTCATTTCAAAACTAAGAAGTAAATAAAATCAATCCTAAATATCAATACCAATCTGAGTAACACATCTGATCCCAAAGCTAGTATTAATCAATTTTAATATAGTATTGAGTTGTCGTTATCATGACAAGCCATTATAATCTGAAAGGTAAAGATAGAATATTGCTTCATCTATTTATAAATTGTTATCTGATAAACCTAAGAGTAGGAAGCCATCATGCAATTGAAAACTAAATTATCTAAATAACTTCATTTATATGATATTTTTCATATATATTATTCAAGTTGATTTCACTATTTTTTTAAAATATTCACTCTTCTAATTTTACTTTCATAGTATTTTTAATTAAGAATTTCAGACAATTATATTTATTTCTATTTATAATGAATAATAAAAGAATGCATAAGATAAAACAATTTGAAGAAATTGAAATTAATGAAACGTATAAGGATACTCCATCATCGAAACATGAAGACAGTTAGAATAATGAGATGGATTAAACCAGTAATTCCATTCAATAGTAAGAATTAGAGTAAAAATATGATTTTAATATAATACCTATCAAAGTAACAATATTATTATAATAATTAGGTAGTGGCATTAACTGTATTTCTATTTTTATTGGGTATTATCTTTCTTATCTTTGGACTTGTATTTTTAATCAGAAATCCAAATAAATATCAATAATATATTTCCCTGTTGATAGTAGGAGGATTAATGATAATACCAGGGATTTATTATAGTTGCTTATTAATTAAATTTATTAAAGCAGACTCTAGATCTACTTAATAGAAGATATTAAATGAACTTCCAATAGATTGAATTATAAAATTGTTTTATTTTAGGATAACACAATATTTCTAAAATAAGAAATGATGTTATCATTTCATATATAATATCAAATATACTTACTAAATATATACATATTTATTGAAAATTCAATATTGTATTCAACATTAATATATGATTTAAATAATAATAGTTGTCTTTGTTTTTAATGAATATGTGAATATTCTGAAAGATATTTAAAATATTATAATATATTGATATATCAATGAGAACATTATGAATGAGAGTTATATTTGATTAACCATAATTAATATATAAGATAAAATAAGAATTTAGATGATGTATAAATTCAATTTTATAATTAATACGTTTTTATTGATAAATGCACTACGTTCCAATCTCATAAACAGAAAGGCGTATATCAAAGTTAAAACACAAAAATAAATAGAAGACTATGTTTATAATAGTGGGAGCATTACTTATTTGTTTAATAGCAATGTTGGTGCTTATTGTATTAGATGTTAATAGTATTGTTTTATTATATAAGATTATGTTAAGATTAACAGTATATTTTAAATATGGTAACCACAAAACACAGTTGCTATGGTTTAGACTTAAAGAGATGTGATATAATCAAAACATAAGTAGATTGATGAAGAATTGTTTCATCTTAAATCTATATTTTAAGAGAAAGCATATAAAGAAGCCACAAATTTAAAATTACCTATAATAGATAAGAATGAATATTAATATTTCACTCTATCAAATGGATTAAAAGTATTAGTGATATAGGATCCAGAAGCAAAAATTGCATAAGCAGCATTATGTGTAAATGTAGGTTCATGGACAGAACCAGATGAATATCCAGGTTTAGCTCACTTTTTAGAACATATGTTATTTTAAGGATCAAAGAGTTATCCATAGGAAGGATATTTCTAAAAATTGGTAGCAGAAGGAGGTGGATCAACAAATGCATATACTAGAGGAGAAGAAACAAATTATTATATGAAAATAAATAATGAAAGAGTAGTGGAAGCTTTATAAGTGTTTGCTCATTTTTTTATTGATCCTTTATTGGATTCTAGTATGGTTGATAGAGAAGTAAATGCAGTAAATAGTGAATATGAAATTGCAGTATCAGGTGATTTATGGAAGATTTCTCATTTATTTTAGATTTTATCAAATAAACCAATAGGTAGATTTACAATAGGTTCATTAAAAACTTTAAAAGATCCAATGAAAGAATTAGTAAAATTTCATTCACAATACTATAGTGCAAATATAATGAGTTTAGTGGTAAAATCAAATTATCCTGATATGGCCAAATGGATTAGAGAATAAAGTGATTTTTCATAAATTCCAAATTTGAATTTAAAAAAAAAATCAAAATTACATTTACCTTTAAAAAAAACAGGTTTAATGGTTAAATATAAAACAAATGGAGATAAAAATTAATTAATTTTAGCTTATTAATTGGATTCTCCTAGAAGTGCTAAAAAAAGCAAAACTTTACCTATGATAGCATCATTAATAAAATCAAAACATAAGGAAGGATTATTAGATTATTTAGTTAGATAAAAGATGGCTTTAAATGTTGATGCAGGTACATTTTTAGAAGGAAATGGAGATTTTACATTCTTTCTTATAGAAATTGAATTAATTGAAGGAGTAGATGAACTTAAAGTAGCTGAAACTGTTACTGGATATTTTAATAATATGTTAGATTAATTCTTTCAAGAAGAAGATAAGAATGAAATTAATTATACACCATATTTAGAAGAAATATGGTAACAATACAAATAATTACAATTATCATAATACAATTATCTAGATAACAATCATTATCCTACTGTATAATAAATAGCTCATAATCTAAATTACTTTGATTATACTGATGCTATGAGTATTGAATTTTTATATGAGGAATTCTAACCTGAAATTATATATAATTATTTGACTGAAATGCTCAATCCATCAAATATTGTTATATTTCATGGTTCACCTAAATTTACTAATCTTAAATAATCATCAGAATTATATAGATTAGAATATGAAATCTAAACTCTTTCTAGAGAATAAATCAAAAAATTGTCTAGTGCTGTTACTACTAAAGTTGTACTTTTTGATTGGATCAAAAGTAAATAATTACCATTGTTATTACCTAAAATTAATACTTTCATTCCTAAAGATTTTAGTATTAAATCTCTATGTAGAGAATAAACTTCATTTATATAAGCTCCTCTTGTATTTAAAAGCAAAGAAGACTGTATTTAACATGAAAAAGAATATGAAACTATTAATCATTATCCTCTTATGATTAAAAGAACTGTTGAAACTAAAGCTTGGTGGAAATTACAAAGATAATTTTAAGTTCCTTAAATATTTACAGGTGTTATGTTTAATACACCTAAATCTATTAATTCATTAAAAGATAAACTCTTGATTTAAGTGTTTAATACTCTTGTAACTGATAATTTAAATTAAGAAATTTAAGAAGCTATTGATGCTGGATATCAATTCTAATTTACACCAAGTATTAAAGGGGTTTCACTTGAATTATATGGATGGTCTGATAATTATTAATCATTCTTTGAAAAAGTTCTGTAATCCATAAATAATTTAAAATATGATTCATTTTATTAAGTGAAATAGAAATTGATGATCTATTACAATAATATTTATTAAGATAAATTATTTAGAGTAGCAATGTCAGAATATTTGAATTAGGTTGTTTAAGCTTAATATTATACATCTCAACTATTTTAAGAAGAATTGGCTACACTAGATTTAGAAAGTCTATAAGAATTCCATTCTAACTATTTCTCTAACTTTAGAGTATCATCTTTTGTAAGTGGCAACATCCTTAGATCTGAAGTAGAAGATCTTTTACATACAATTAGAAAGGTCTTCCATAAATCAAGTAGTCATACATCAGAAGAACCTCATGTTTACAATATAAGAGATTTTACTAATAAAAATATTGTTGTCCCCTTAATTCATAAGGGTGGTGATAATAATGATGTAAATGGTGTTACTATTAATTATTATTAAATTGGACATAGAAATAAAAAGAATTTTGCTATAATGAATCTTATACAATAATTCTTCCATAATCATGCATTCTAATATCTTAGAACTGAGAGATAATTGGGTTATGTTGCTCTAATGAGATTCATACCTATTGGTTGTATTGATGGTGCTGCAATAATTGTTTAAGGTACAGCATAAATGCCTTATGTTGTTAATTAACATATTGAAGACTTTTTGAAATAATTCCATAATGTACTATTATCATTAGGTGATGATTAATTAGATAATATTAAAAATGGAGCTGTATTATTAAATTATATCTTATTTAGAAATCTGCCCTTTAAGAGAAAGATAAATCATTATATGATGAAAGTGCCTATATTTGGAGTTAGATTAGAGGTAATAATCTCTAATTAGAAGAAAAAGAGATTGCAATTGCTATGATTGATGAAATATTGTAAAAAGTATACATAGTTAATTAATTAAAAGGATATTGTAGAGTTTTATGAAAAATACTTTATTAAATAATAAAATAAGTTAAGTTTGTAGATATATGGTAAAGGATTGATAGAACAATTTAATTAAGTTAAAGACAATTTATTGGAAAAGGAATAAATCATAGAATTGAAAACTCTTAATGAATTTAAATGTGCTTATACCCTAAATAATTTATGAAGACATAATATTAAATAAAATTATTCAAAATACACATAGTATTAAATCAAGATATTAAAATCATTATATTATCTGTCTAAGACTTTTCTATTTTTTAATTTATTTTATTATTTTTGTAAATCATATAAAAATTATAAATTTTATTATTACTTTTAATTACCTTATATCTTAAATTATTACTATAATAATTATTCCATTTTTCTCACATTTAATATATATTCATAAAAAATTATATATTTAATTTATTATTTTTTATAATATATTTTCAATTTACAAAATATTCTATCATATATAACATAGTTTAATGATTGTATAAATAATTGTTATTTTTGAAAGAACTTATAAATTAAAATAATCTTCATTATTTTTATTTCAAAAACTCTATAACTTCACTATGATTGTATAATATTGCTCTATCTAATGGTGTCATACCTAATTCATCTTTAGCATCAAATTGAGCTCCATATAATTTTAAATCCTATAGCATCTTCAATCTTCCTAAACTTGCTGCCAAATGTACTGGACTCATTCCCTCATAAGTTTATTAATTTACATTGGCTAGATTTATAAAAAGCTTTACCTTTATATAATAAACATAATAAGAATATTTCATATCTATCAATCACAATACTCTATGTAAGTAGAGTTTATCCTGATTATTCAATTATCTCTTAATCAACATTAATATTTCCACTTTCAAGATCATCTTTTATCTATTTAATTCGATTCTATCTTAAATCACTCCATGTTGCATTTTCTCTGATTTCCTCTCTCACTATAAATGATTCATCCTTTTTAATAATTCCAAATTCTAAATTATACAACTCTATACTTATTAGAAATCTATTTATATAAGTTTATAACATTAAATTTAATTTTGTGGTTATATGTTTTCATCTTATCGAAAGAAATTATTTGATTAGAAACTTGCTGAATAGCAATAAAATCTCCATTAATAGAAAGAACTTAAAATAAGATAGAGTCGAGGCTAAATTGATCAAAGAGCACTTGCTACCTATTTAGGAGCCTATATTCAAATGAAATGTATAAGATTTTATGGATTTTTAAGAAATCGAGGATTTCTTTTATGAATAATGTACCAATTAATGTATTGATATCTAAAATGAATGGATGAATGATAAAGAAAGATAATGTTTGACTGATTGTAATAGTAAAATAACAAAGTTTGTTAAAATTGCAAAAGACAATTATGCAAACATAGATGATGATACCAAAAAGATAGTTTCTTCTGTTTCTTCATTGCTTAGTAGAAGATGATTTATTATAAATTTAATATATTATATACATATTAGAGATTCTTTAATAGAGTATATTTAAATGAATTCTAATATATATAAAAATGTGTATAGTAATTATAAATAAGATTAATATTTATAGGATACTATTAAATAGAGAACAAAAATTGAAGAAATGATGATTTGCATTTTGTTAAATAATTGATTATATAATTTAATGTCTTTTTAAATATAACATTATATTATAGGTATCGAAATTATAATTATGGATAAGATTAGTTATTAGGAAATGGTAAATATGGAAAAATTGTAACTGCAAAACACTAATTAGTAAATGAAAAAGTGTTAATCAAAATATTAGAGAAAAAGAATCTAAAATTAAATAGAGATTTGTAAAACCTTGAAAATGAAATTTAAATACTTAGACAAGTCAAGCATTAGAATGTTATACAATTATATGAAGTAATTTGAATAAGTTAATATAGATTTTGGAATCTACATACAATATTTACATGATTTTTGAATTTGGAGAAGGAGATGACCTCAAACATAAACTAAATTAATGTTAAAAGTATCATAATTATAATTTATTGATTTTCAGAGGCATAATCATTGATATATTTATAGTAAATTGCCAAAGGAGTTTCTTATTTACATGAAAATAATATAGTTCATTGTAGATTAAGATTAGAGAACATAGTATTATAAAATGGAAAGCCTAAGATTATTGATTTTAGTCAGGCTATTAAAATAGATTAATAAGCAAATAAAGATTATTCTACCATTAAATTATCATATTAATCTCCAGAAATGTTAAATTCATTATACTATGAATTTGATGGATAAAAATATGATATGTGGTGTTTAGGATTAATATTATATTAAATGTTATAAGGTTAATTGCCATTTGATAATATAACTAATAATAATGATTTAAAAAATAAAATTAAGAAATCACAATTTTAAATCAATTTTCCAATTTCATAGTAAGTTTGTTCATTATTAGAAACAATGCTTAATGTTGATCCAAATAAACGAATTACACTTAATGAATTAATGAATTTCTTAGAATCATAAAATCTAATATTTGAAAATGAATATTTAAAAGTACCTGAGGATATTCCTATACATTTAATTATTAAAGAGTTGGAAGATAATCAAATAGAAACAGTTAATTTATTTTAATAATTAGAGTAGAATAAACATTGTACATAAACTACATGTTATTATTTAATTAAAAATAAATTAATGAAAAAAGCTAAATTAAACAAGATTAAAGAAAATCTAATTAATTTTGAAAATAATAAGTTTAACTTTATGAAAAAGTTAAGAAATAGTTTATAATTTACAACTACTAAATCTCGAATTTATTAGAATGGTAATAGAGTTCATACTGAAAATAATCATAATAGATCTGATAGTATTTCTTAACATTCATATAAATAAAGATCATTAAGCAAAACAAATAATAATAAAACTCCATTTATGAAATAAATTTAATAAGCTTCAAAATTATCTCAAACTTAAAATTCCTTCTTTCCTTCATATAATTCTGTTAGCTAAAATTAAAATAATTTAAATAAAAGTAATAACAACAATAAATCTAATAGTATTAATAATAATCAAAATTTTTAATAATTAGGAATAATTAGTGATGGTTATTAAATCTATTAAGATAAATTACAATAAAGATTAAAAAATCTCTTGTATTCTAATAATAATTATATAATATAAGTAACAAATACAAAAAGAAGATCAGTGTCATAAAAAAATTGATATTAAATTTATAAATGTTTAATATTTTAACTAGAAATGAATTCATTATTCATTTTTATTACTTAACCTATCTTTCCACTCTAATACGTGATACTTCTAAATATTTAGGTTAAGCAAACTTTTTTCTAACAGCTTATAAATTTGATTTGTCTGATGATTATAATATAAGACACATTTCTTTAGCACAATATCTAAGTTCCTATTCATTATAACCTGTCATTTTTTACATCTCTTCATTCCAAGATTAAGGAGTCTTCCTATGAAAATATATTTCTGATACCTTATTTTATGTACAAGATAAATAGCTGCTGCAGACAGAAATGATGGTTTGTAATTCATAAATTTCATATCAATCATTGATAATTCTAAAAGATATTAAGCTAAATATAAATTCTTATTATCTAATCCTGAAATTCTACCAAATCTTTAAAGAAAACAATAACTTGATGGTTATGTAATTGAAAAGTCTAATGTTTATAATATTTATCCTTCCATATCAAGAACATCTTATTTTGTGTAAGCATTATCAGTGATATACACAAAATCTTTCAAATCAGGTGGATATATTTCTTCATATTTACAAGCTATAAATAATGAAGCTACTCCAACTAATTAAAGTTATTATCTAGTTGTAGTCTTAAGATTTAGAAATCTATCTATTAAATATGTTGTAACATATAATGTTTCATCTCTTAATTTAAATTTAAGATGAACATCAATTAACCAATCTAATAGAATTGCTCTCATTCTTGCATTTAAATCAGGTTGTTATTATTCATTCATATAATTATTACTAACTAAATATTTTTCTTCTTAACTCAACAAATAAGTAAATATCTCTTAATTATATAATGATGTGAATTAAGGATCTTTAATCATTTATTAATCAAAAGAACATAATTAATGAATGTTATTTTCAACTTCTATTTTATTTTCCTTCTCTTCTTACCATAAATTTAGTTTAAGATATCTAGGTAATACAGTAAGATGCTTTGGTTTATTTCTGTCTGTATTTTCCTTTTAGAATTCACCTGATGAATTAACCAATTCTTTGCCGAAGAATCTATACTGATCGTGGATCATTTTAATTATACGTTAAAAATTATATTATTCGGTTAAAATTTATTATTATTCAATTATAATTGTACAATTATATTAATTATTAAACATGACAATCCTATCTACATATAGGACATTATTGTTTCAAAATTATTTATTACATTATGCAATCCCAACAATATAAATGTCCACATGGAGTACATGTTACATTTGTTGCATTATCATAACAAATTAAACATTATGTAAATTTATCATTATTCTCATTTGTTGTTATATTTCTTTCTTTATTAACTTGATCTTTCATATTTTCATTCTTAATCTTCAAAATAAAGTTATACAAATATTTAATAAATTACAAAATCAATAATATTAAATAAGCTTAACCAATTCTTTTATACTTAATATTGTGATTTGGTGGTATTCTATTAAAAATAAATTAGATTTTAGTTAATCTTTTGCTTATTTCAAAATAAGAGCCTTGTATTAAAAATAAGGCTAAATGAAAGTCTTAAATCCCTTCTAATAAATCATTTATATCTGGCAAATTCTTAAGTATTTTATTTGTCTAATGTTATTGCTAATACATTATTTATCTAGATCTTATCTTTGAAATAGAAAATGAGAGTAATTATAAAATTATAAATAACACTTTCCTTCTTTTTTATAAAGGTACAAAATGATCATCATAATCAGAATAATTAAAAACTTATATATTTGTATATTCTTCTCCTATAGTTTTGACTTCTCGAAAATATGTCAACAAATAATAAGTAAGATTACTTAACATTTTGATTGTATTGATTTTATTATAGATTTATCTAGTTGAAACAAAATATTCCAAAAGATTGCATATATTTTGATAGATCTATTGAATCATCTCTGAATCCTTTTATGATGCTCTTATCAATTCAGGTTAATAAGCATAATTAAATGACATTTATGTATATATATAAATTAAATTATACTTTTTCTAAAATACTTTATTCATAAGTGATTTAAAAATTATAGGGTAAACATAAACTTTATAGTGTTATATTATATGCTCATATTAATGTAGATTATACATAAGGTTTATACAATAATTATGATAATATTTTCATATTGGCTTTAACTTATTGAATTAAATAATTAATATCTTAAATAAAAAAATGAACGCCAAAGGTGCAGGATTAACATATGTTAGTGAATACAAATCTGATGAATTCAGAACATTCAGAGGTGGTTTGAGACATTTACCTGAGAGAGCAGAGTATATGGCACATAATAGCAAGAACAATTTGTCTAATTATCATGACAAATTTAATTATGAGAGAGTAAAATAATATATTTAAATTATTAGGGGTTCATTTAACACTCAAGATCATTATCTAATCAACACCACAATTTCCATTATATGTTTGGAGGACCTAAAGAATACTTATTCAAAAGACTTTTCTATGGTGCATGGTATAGAAAGAATATTAGAAATTTCTGGTTCCCTGCTGTGTTTAGTTATGGACGTAAGCATTTTACTATGAAATAGTTGGTTGTTTCTGCATGAGATTATATGATAATGCAGCCCATGATTTCTTTTATTTCACCGATTGAGATAATTACATAATAATAATACATAAATAGTATAAAACCAGAATTCATAATAATCTTTCTAATAGGATTTTTTCAAGTAACAAATTATTTCTTAAAATACTTTCTTCACTAAACCCTAATTATTTTTTAAACTTTTAATTATGAGGTAGTATTTTCTCAATAAATGAAAATTATTCTGTTATAAATGGAGCTCTTTTCTCATATTCAGGTAATTTAACAATTATTTTATTTGTATATTTATTGTTTAATTTGATATAATCGCATAACATTTTTTTAGCTTTTTCCTTATTCCATTTCTTAAAATTAGGTAGACAAACACGATTATCATCATTAGCCAATTTATTAATTCTGTATTTACATTAAGATAAATTCATTTTTTATAAGGATGTCTATCTTGAATGATTAGATACAATCGCATCCTTCATTTCTATTATTCTATCTGTGCTTATATACTCTTAACTCCTTAATTTAGTTGATTGTAGATTTCTAAGTACCATTCTAGGACTCTTTTAAACAATATCAGGCAGTAAGGAACTATCAGTTTTGGTTTGAGTACCAATATTAAGCTTCAACTTTTATTGCAATGAATTCATTAATTTAATTAAAGTCAATACAAACTATGTATATTTCAATCAAAATCTTCTTAATCTCCACTAAAATCATACTCTATTCTTTCATGATTAGCTAATTTTCCATCTATAAATAGAAATGTATCACTTCTTGTTTCCCATGGATTTAGAAGCATTTAATCTTTTAGATTAGCACCTAAAGCAGGTTAATCATACATTGATTCCCAAGTATTTGTTGAATGTGGTATGCAAAAAGGAAAGCGAAATTCATATTCTTTAATGAGATTGTTTTTAAAATAGAATCTAGATTGATTTTATTAAATACCTATCAATAAGTAGCAAATTCTTTAATGGCTTATCGAAGGTCTTGAATATTTTAGTTGCTCCTAATGTTTTGATATCAAAATATTAAGGTGTAAATTAATAACTCAAAACTTCTTATTATTAATTATCTTCATCATTATCAAAGTCAAATAAAATAAAATTATCATCAGCATCTCTGAGTATAAATTTAATAAATTTAATTTCTTCTGAGGGTTTGCATAAAAATTTATCACATGGATTTGTAAATGTTCTCACAATTTCAGGTGTGATAACTTTTTACATATTAAATTAAATAGAGATGTTAATTTAATAATTTAAATTTGATTACAAAATGTTTAGAAAAGCAAGATAAATAGAAACTCAATCACTTCATTATTCAATTAGTTAAAGTGAAATCAAAAGATCTTCCTACTTTACTAATCTATCTCATAGATATAGATCATAATCAATTGAATTAAGCAATTAAAAAATTAAATAACCTATTTAGTAGATTAAATCAAAATCAAAACCAAAGATGCAAATCAATCCTGTTAAATTCTAGATCTTCAAGTCTAACAAACCACTTACAGAGTTCAAAGAATTCAAATTAAGAACAGCAGATAGATGTAAAAGTAGAGAAAAAATTAGAATAAGAGATTAAAACAAAGAGAATAAAGAAAATATATTTATTTAATATAATACAAAACTATGAAAATATGTTCAATCATCATTCAAAATAAAAGAGGACAAAATATCTTTGTTGTCTCATCAAATGATTATTCTCATGAATTATCATTACAACATTCTAAGGATATTTATAATTATATTCTTAGTTAGATTAGTATTCATCAATTAATCATTTAGAGGCAGGAAAAAAGATAGATAGATCAATTGTTTTGGATTTAAATTATCTTTCTATATGCAATGTAAATAAAGATGTAATAACAATTAACTTAATCAATTTAGGCAATATTTTTAGTTATTATATAGCGAAATGATTTATTTTTGGGATATGAAGCTATTAAAATATTAGCAGAATTCTATTCTACAAATTATAAATAAGAAATTACAACTAAGAAATATTAAGAAGTAACTTTCTATTCTATTCTTAGATGCTGCTCTTATTAGAAGAATTTTTATACACTAAAGAATTTTTACCTCAAAAATTATAATTTAATTTAACACTTAAAGTTCCAACATCATCTAAATGTATTACAGATTGTGATCATCTTTAAAAGTTCTCATCACTATAAGCAACAATTGAAAAAAATCTAATTGCAAATATACCTCTAAAATATGCTAAAAAATAATAAATTATTGAAAAAGAAATAGATATTATTAATATATTTATTAAACCAATTACTAATTTAGATGAATCTAAGTCAAATTAAGAAGAATTATAATGGAAATAAAAATACAAAAAGAATCTATATGATTGTGCATTTAAAATGAAGAGTAAGTAAGTTCATAAAGAAAATATCTTCCAAAAATATAAACCATAAAAACCTAATACTTAATATAAATCACATACATAAAAATCTACATAATTAGTAAATCAATATAAAGGTATAAGTAGTTCGGATATGCAAATTATGAAACTTATTTTTTAAGGTTAGATGTAAAGAGTAGGTGGACAATAGGATTAATCTAATTAACAAAATAAACAATAATCATCAAAGTCACTTTAATAGTAAAATAACAGATAAATTAATTTACTAGATTATGGAGAGAACTTTACTTCTATTGAAGTTTCTAAAATCTAGATATAGTAAGCCTCAAATTCTAATGAAGAATAATCAAGAACTAACTCTATTTAAGTAAAACCAAAATTATAATAAAATGCAAATGATCTACTAGATTTAGATGATAGATCAAGTCATTAAATACAAGTCTAAATTGAACAAAGTTCTGGTCCTGATTTATCATTTTTAAATTTATCTCCATTAAAATAAAATGAACCTTGTTTAAAAATGCTTGAGAAAATGGTGATTGCTTAGAAAGATGGTAGATTGAAAGAACTCAAAATATTTGGATAAATTGCTTTAGATGGAGATTTCATATTTGATGATTAATCTAATCTTTAACTTTTGGGACAATATTGGTAAGATAATTAAGGATGTTAAAGAAGGATCACTCCAAATTCATTAGATTTATAATAATTGAATGAGAATAGTTATAAAATGGTTATCAAAAATGCTAATTACAAGGTTCCAAAAGGAATCATTGATTATATCATTCCAACAAAAGCATTTACTTAATAAAGGATACCAGTTATTTTTTTGTATAGATTGGAATGTGTATAATCATTTGCCAGTTATTGTCTTCAATATAAGGTAAATGATTAATGGTAAGCTCCATTGCAAGATATCATTATTGAAGTGAATCTAGAAAAAGATATAGAATTTGATGATTTAAAAACAATCCCAGTAGCATAAAATGTAAATGATAAATAAATTACTTGGAAGGTACAAATATTTATTAATTATAGGCCAAACAATTACTTCAATAATAGAAAGGAAAATTGATTTTGAATCTTATAGGCATTAAGAAATAAGGACCTTAAATTCTAAATCATATTAGAATTAGTTTAAAAGCTAATGTAATTGATTTAATTTAATTTAGACATCTGTTATTGAAAATATGGATAGCATAATGTTTTATAATAGTTAAGAATACAAATCTTAGAAAAAGCTAAGTGTAGAGTATAAAATATATCCAAATTCTTGATTTATTAAATATATAAATTAAATTTTGAAGGATGAGTGAACCTCAAGCAGACCGTATCTTATCAATTGCAAATCAAGAGACAGTAAATAGATTATTCAGAGTATGCTATAAATAGATTACAGGTTAAAAATAAATTGAATAATTAGGTTAAAGACCTGTTGGTAAATTTTAAGATAGCGATCATCAAGCTGTATTGAATTGTCACAGGAGAATGGTTGAGGTACTAAAAATTGTTGCACCTGCAATTGTACCTTTAAGAGAAGAATGATTTAAATATACATATTGTTATCATCAAAACCAGAATATTTAATAAATAGCTACAAAATTCATTTATATATATGTTATTTATAATATGAAATTCATCTTCTCATTCCCATAGGTGGTCTACCTGGTTATCCTTTAGGTTTCATTTTTGTATCTTAATCAGATTTTGGATTTTTAACTGTTTCATCAATAGATAAAATTGCACAAGCAGCCTATAAAATAAATATAAATAAAAACCTCTGTTGCTGAACAAAGAGCGTTTCTTTTGACTAAACTTGGTTCCCAAACAAAAGAAGAATGAGTATCACATACTCCTGATTATCCATTGATATCTACTCCATACCATCTACCTTCTTCTCCACCTTGAGCATGTCTTTATCTAAGTTTATTCATAATTTCAATTGAATTTAATCCAGCATTTTCAGCAATTGTTCTTGGAATAACTTCTAATGCTTTAGCATAGGAATTAACAATATATTATGTTTTGCCAGTAACAGATCTAGCATAATGTCTAAGATATCTAGACAATTCTAATTCTATAGCACCTCCTCCAGCTACAATTTTATTGGCTTTGAAACATCTTCTAACAATCATAATAGCATCATTTAAAGATCTTTCAGCTTCTTAAATAAATTATTCTGCTCCACCTCTTAAAACTATGGTTGCTGTTCTAGACTAAGATTTATAATTTATAAATATAATACTTATGGACAATTTTTAAATAAGTTATATCTTTCTGCTCCAACTTAAACTTCTTCGAATAATCCACATGTACCAAATGTCTCTGGATTTAAACCATTTACAGTTGTTTATACTTAACCTCCAGTAGCCTGATTTAAATAATTGATTTAATTACTTTTTAAACTCTAAGAAGATCTTCTTAAGGAACTCTTCCAGCACAAAAGATATTTCTGTCAGCAAAATATTGTGTAGCTAAATCTCCTATAGGAAGTTTAGATAATACAATTTAGGCACCTGCTTTAACAATAATTTCTAATTTTTCATAAATCAAAGCCCATTCAGCATCTACAATTTATTGATATTCTTCTGGTTTTTCAATTCTAATTTCTGCATTTTCCTTTTCACTTTTAAGTTCTAATTCTAAATTTAATAAACAAATTTTAGGATTTTCAAATCTCTTTGGTTATTATTCAAAACCAGCATATGAAAATGTTTTCTTGAATGCAACTCCATCAACTAAAAATGAATCAGTTACACTTCCTCCTGTGACATTCTTGATTCCAATTAAATCTCTATCTAAAATATTTGGGTCCAACTTCTCAACTGCTGATACAACTAATTCACTAAAGAATTATTTAGTATTGGCTAACTAATTAATATTAATTATTATTATTATACTAATTTTGAATTCAAAGCTGTTTAAGCACATTTCAATAAAGTGTCTCTCTTATCTTCTGGAGAATCTCGAGAAATATTTATTGAGAATCCTTCTAATTTTTCTAATGCTAATTCCAAAGCCTTTCTATATCCTTAGATCACTATTTGTGGATGAATTCCTTCTTCAATAAATGGCTTAGCTTCTTTTAGCAATTCTGCAGCCAACAATGTTGTGGATGTTGTACCATCACCAACTTCATCATCTTGGGATTTGGCAATGTCAACTAAGACTCTAGCTGCTGGATGGACAACCTCTAATAAATTTAGAATTGTCGCTCCATCATTAGAAATGGTAACTTTTGGACCTGTTTGAATCATTTTATCCATTCCTCTTGGACCAAGGGTACTTTTTACCACATCAGCCACAGCTTACACAGCATTGATGTTAGACACTATTTAAGCTCTTCCTTATGATGTGTCTGTGCCTTCTCTCAATAATAAGATGGTTGGTTGTAAGAATTGGGACATTTAATACACAATTTTATTTATTTAAATTTGAGGCATTTTCTTTTACAAACATTCATTTTCAAATATACTAATAAAAATACCATTAAATTGATTAATTTTATTTGAAAAATACTTCCTACAACCCTATAAAACATTTCAGTGTTATAATTATTCACATAATATTAATTTTATAACATTAAACTAATATTTATTTTAATATCATCTTTTCTAAATTTTATGTTCATTAAAAAACAACTTAAATTAATTTATACTAAAGTAAAAATTGAAATGAATCAATTTATTTATATATGATAAATAATTTTAATAAAATTAAACTTTATTTACAGTAAATCATGATAATTATGGTATCTTTAATGTATGAATTAAAATATATAAAATGTATTTTATAATGTGTTTAATACTTCAATTAAATTAGATTTAAAGAAATTATGATTTTTTATTTATTAATTTAAAAAAAGAAAAAATATATGTTTATAAAGGTATATACAATCTTAATTTATTTAAATCAAAGAAATTAATAAAAAAACCATTAATTAATGTATAATATAATAATTAGCTCTTGTTATTTAAAAGTTTACAATAAGAAAATATTCTAAATAATGACTTATAAGAATACTATCTCATTATATTTTAATTAAAGCATATGAAATAATTAATAACTAAGAGAATTTGATAAGATCTGCATTGATTTAATAATTATGAATAGAAGAATGTGAGTAAAGTCAATAAAATATTACTTTATATTTATTTATATTTAATAACAAATCAATCGAAATCATCATCTTTTTAATTTTTCTTCATATGCAATTTAACCATAGCTTTACCAATTGCTCCAATCCAAGCCTCCTTCTCTTGATTATTATTTGACATTAGAAAAAATGTTGTTTCTGGTGTATCAATTTTCTAATGTTATTTACAAATATACAAATGTATTTTCTTTGTTTGTTTCTTCTTAACATGATTTAATTGTACTTATAGTTGATAAAGGAATAAGCTCTGTTGGATTACTATATTATTTTTCTGCCTTGAATGTATACAAGGTTGTCGTTGTTAAAACAAACCATCGTCTAAATGGATGAATAATATAGAATACTTTCTCCAAGATTTAAATACACGAGATTCTTTTTCTAGCCAGCCTTCTTTCATAATATTTTTGAGATCTTCAAGCATGTTGTTTTACATTAGAAAAAATCTATATTTTATATAATATATTATTTCTTCTTCCTATATTTTTGAAAATCAATTTAATTGTCTTTCAAGATTGTTCATCTTTTTATATTTATTTAGCATCTCCACCAAGCACTTTTTCATTGTCAGAATTTTCATTATCACTAGGTACATAAATACCCTCTTGATCATAAAAATGTTCATGATGAATATCACCAGGATGAAGGACAAACCATCCAGCTGGTTATCCATCTTTATCATAATGACAACCATTTTCATCTCTCCATCTAAAGTATTTAAAAATGACTAAATTACCCTCCCTCTAAATCAAATATATATTATTATTCATCCACTTGAAATCCAATCACATTATCATTTTCATCCTTTAATTCAATATATTGACTAAATCTTTCAGGTTAATGTTATGGTGCATCTTTTAAAACTGGAGTATCAAAGGGATCAACTCTAAGCCAATTTTTGGAGATTTCTTTATCTTGTTGCATTAATCAATTTTTTTATGATAATTAATTGCATAAATTTCCCTATAAATCTAAATAAATAAATTAAATTATTTTATAGAAAAATTTTTAAATTGTTTTAAAAATGAATCAAAGAAGATATAAAAAAAAAATTACTTCTTAATAATAATAATAAGAAACCCCATTAAAACTAAAATTGAAGGAAAAATTTGGATAGAATATTTTCTACATCTAACCTAATAATTATTCTATTGAAATGAAATAGTTCAATTTTAGAAATCCTACCTATGGAGTGACGGTAGAATACAAATTTTTGGCAAAAATTCAAGAGTGTGACTATTTAGAAAGTTCCTAATTGCAATTTTTCATGAATCTATTCAGGAAAGCATATTCAAAAGTTAAAGTAATACTAATAGAATTAAATTTTAGTTAGCTGCAGCAACATGTTACTTTTTTTCAGATTTAGTTCTAACATCATAAAAACCATAATAATCTTAATAGCAACCTCAAATCATTAAAATTGATTGGAAAAGGCCTAATGTTGAAGTGAAATCATAAGAGTAAAATAAAATTGAGGATCCACTCAACCAAATCATATAAAAAGAAATTTCATCTTAATAAAATAATTAATAAAAGTCTAATTAGGATAGTTTAGAAACTAAAAATCTCTCTTTAAATAATAATGATAAATCTCAACTAACATAACTATAAAAATAAGAAAAAGAACAGGAAATTAATAATGATAAAGTTGAATAATAACCACCTTAGTCTCAAATAATACCAAGTAACTCTATTAATTAATTAAAATAATCATTATAAGAAGAATAAAATTAACTAGATTAAAATAAGAAATAAGATAATAACAATATAGATATTCCAAAAAAAAATAATTTATGTTCTTAAAAATTTTAATTAACCTAATAGAATCAAAAAAACAATTAAACTAAAACTGATTAATTTAAAAAAAATTCACAATAAGATTCTGCTTTGTAAAAATAAGAAATTAATCCAACTACAAATAATATAAAATAAAATGAAGAAAAAAATTAACAGTAAAATGTAAGTTTGAATCAATAAAAGATAGATAAAGCTCTAATCTATGAGAATAAAGCTTAAGATAAAATTGTCTAAAAATAAATAGACCCAATTGTTTAAGAAAAATAAAAGGTACCTTTTGAATAAGTTCCAGAAAAATAAAAGGTACCTTTTGAATAAGTTCCAGTAAAATAAGTTTAAGTAGAAACATAGATCTAATAATCGCAACCTGAAAAAAAATACCATTTTTAAATTATTAATATTACATAAGAAGTGGCACCTCCATAAGAAATAATTTAGAAATCATAACTTGGTTAATTAATGAAATAATTTGCAGAAATTAATAACTTATAAGTAGATTAATTAAAGGATTAAGATTATTGGTTTTTTCCAGTAAATATATTATAAACTCATTGGATTAGTGTTGTAGTATAATTTAATCCAAAGTAAATATATTACTTTGATTCTTATTATGAAAAAATTGATCCTTTGATAATAAAAGGTATACATTCTGTATTAGAACACTAGAATGTTGATCCATAAAACTTTTAAATTAAACCAATATATAATCAATAGACTAATAAGTATTATTTAATTTAATTTTAGTTATGATTGTGGTATATTTTTATTGCTATCTCTTCTATATACTTTAAAAAATTAAGAATATAATTATAATCAAAGATTGGTAGATAAGTTTAGAAGATAGCTTCTGTATAATTTGGCTGTTATAGGGGCTTAAATAGATATTAATAAAGATTCTTTTGAGTATTTAATTGCTTTAGAATGATTTTTATAATATAGTATTTTAATTATTAATTATATTCTATCCTATTTACGATGAAAACAGAATCGAACCAACGACCATAAATAAAAGTGGAAGACATGTTAAAATAATTCAAAAACATCAATGTGAGAAAGAATGGTGTTACTATAGATTATTAATTTTTATTATAATTGGCTAATTAAGAGAGGTAATTAACATCCCAACACATGCTATTTTTTATCAGTTTATTTTAGAAATACTTTTCAAAGGAGAGAAAGGTATAATTTATTTAAATTAGATATTTGTTGCTGATCATTATTTTTTTGTTGATTATATGCCATTATTAACCAAATAATTAACTACTAATGTGATTTAATCACATGAAAAAGATTATTTGTAGTTAATTATACCAGATAATCCTTATCCTCCAACTTAACCAATTAATTTAAATGAACCTTTTTATGAGAAAAAAAAATAAGTTGATATTGTTTAAACAAATTAAGCAAATAAAAAATAATAAATATAATAGTTATAGGAAACTCCAAATGGGAAAAAATATTAATTTGTTATTTAAAATATAGAAGTAACAAAAGCAGAAGAAGGTAAGTTTAGAATAAAAACAATGCAAAATAAGTTAGATTAATATTTAATCTAAAATTAACTTAATTTTTCAATCAACCCAATATATCAACATGAATTTACTTTTTTCCCAATTAATCTTAAAAATGCTCATTGGATGAGTATAAATATTGATCTCAAAAAATAAATAATTCTCTATTAAGATTCTGCATTTATAGCTAATAATGATATTAAAGAAGGAATTTAAAAAATAATAGATTATAAAAAACCTTCCAAAGTATAATGGAAACTTTAGACAAAAAGTCCTTAATAGAGATCATCTCAAGTAAAAGAATTAGTTATGTTTAGGATTGTGGAGTTTTTGTTCTCTATGCTTTGTTTAATTTATTTACAGAAGGTCAATTTGTTTAAGAAAAATAATATGATTAAAATTATATTAGTATGGTAAGATAAAATCTCCTTTAATTAACAATTAAAGAAGCAGAAGCAGAATTAACTCCAGAATTAGTTGAGAAAATTGTTAAGGGACTATGAAACAATAAAAATATATATAATTAATAAAGAAATAAAATACAAATTCATTTTTTCTAAGGTTTAGTTTTAAATTATTTTTAAACATAAGGATTTGCATTATATACTGCATTTGGTGAATGAGCTCTTTACCTATTACCTATAGGTTTAAATTATGTATTCCCTTAAATGCTTAATTCTTATCTTTAACCTCCACTACTATTTTTTTTATATGGTGTGACTTAAAGTCTAGGTGCTCTTAATTAATTAGGTGCTGTTTAAGGTCTTCTCTCATTTTAAACATTTCCTTAAGGTAAATCCTAATTAATTTTTTACTAGGATTTCAAAAAAAATTAGTCTCCTGAATCCATAAAATTATTGGCTTATTTCTTAGGTTTTAATGATTCTTTAATTAATTTAATACTTACAAGTGGCTTCAGGTAGCTATTATAATTTTGAACTATCACTCTTTACAACAACTCTCTTTACATCTTAAGATGAAGGTCTTTATTGAATAGGTTAGATTGGTTATAAAGGTTATGTCTAAGACATTAAATTAGTTTAGGGACGAGGAGATTATTAGATTTATTATTCATATTAAAGTGTTTTTCCTGTTAGACAAGATTTGGTTTGTATAGCTGATGGTTATTTCTTCTTGTTGAATACTATTTTTTCATAGGGTGGTATATACATGGTTATTTTTTCAGCAAAACGTAACCTTATATGAATTAATCACATATTTTACTTTTAAGTTTTTGGTTTTTAATCATGATCTTTAAATTCAGCTACTCCTTAAGGTTAAGCATTTAAATATGTATTTCTTAATACCATTTCTTCAGGATCTCCTTGTGAATATACTTCTTCCCAATTATAAGTTTTTGCACCTAATCCATTCTTTTAGAATTTTGTTTCTATTGCCAAAAGTTAATTAAAAAAATTAGCTCTTATTTCCAAATCAGGTCTTCTACTATGCATAAATTATAAAGTTTTATATAATGTCCATCTATATTTTTTCATAAAATAAACACATAGAACTGCAATTGATCTATTGTGTCCTCTTATTGAATGTACAATAACACTTTCTCCATTATTCAATGCATCATCAATAAATTTAATTACTTAATTAATCATATCCTCTTGTTAGAATATAACCTCATTATATACAATTTTACTTGAGTATCATTATCAATCCATGGTAAAGACATATATATTATTCCTATTGATTCCCAATGATTTGGTATTTGCTTACAAGCACAATTAACAATTCTGGAAACCTTATTAGTTACAATAAATTCTAAGTCCTAAAATCTTAATTCAACTATCTACCTAAGAAGCAAACTGATCTCCTAAAAACAACCCATCTTTTATTTTGATAGCTCCGATGTAATCGTATTCCATAATATTGTTAGTATTATAATATATATATATATATATAAGAAATTATTATTAGAATAAATAAAAAAGCAATTAAATTTCAAATGATTTTTTTAAGTTCATCAACTGAAATTCTCTTCATTTTTAATTAACAATCTTTCTAAAAATTAATACTTTTCTCAAAAAGAACCAATTCTAAAGATTGTAAAAATTTATTAATCTTATACAAATGAATAAATTTTTATAAATTCTCTCTTTTTATAGAAAATTCAAATATTAAAGAACTGTCTTAAGAGATGTTTACTCTTATAACAATAAATTCAAGTTCACTATGAGTAATCATTAATATTCTGCATATCTATAGAAAAAAAACAGAAAACTAATTTTTTGAACCTATCAAACTATAACCTTCAGTAGTTTATTCAACATTCACTAAAATATTTGCAGCTCCAACAAATTTAATTATATTTTTAAGAATTTCAACTGGATAATAATGAACTTCTTTATTTCCATATAAATAAAATCCAGAAATAAATTAAATAGAAATATCAAATAAAAGTGTTTTATATTTTTAAGGTTTTTAAACACATTTGAATACTTTTCTAATTAAACGATAAAAATGATTAATTTTATCAATAGCAATTTTCTCTTATACTGTGCATTAAGTTGCATTTTCAAATTTAATAAAAAATTTAACTTTATCCGTTATTGTTATTATTACATCAATTTAAGAATAACCTCTAAATGCAAAGGAAAATTCTTCTATTGTGTTACCTTATTCAAAAGAGCTTTTTATAGTACTCAATTTTTCCAACAAATAATTTTCTAAAGTTTAATTTGCAAAATAAATATATCTAATTAAACTTCTTAAATTACACCCATCACATAGATTGGTGTTCCATCTTTTGATTCTATTTTACTTACTCAATAGAATAGGTTAAAACTAACCTTACTAATATTCAAACATCATGAAAGGAACTGAAATAAATTTTGGTAAATATTGTACTATAATAATGAACATTTTTACAATATCTATCTTCTTTGACATTCAATAAAAACTGTTTTCTCTTTGCTTAACCTATCAAATAATAAGCAACAATTGAACTAATTGCTACAAGTACACTATATAAGATTGAAACTATTCTTAAATTCTCTTCCTGATATTTACTCATTATGAGTAACTTTAAAATACATTATATTACAATCTAAGGGACTATTTAATAAAAGTCCAATGACATCATCAAAATCATTTATGATGCTGTTACATTTGAACCAAGAACAAAACTTCTTTATTAACCATAAGTATTATCAACCCAAAATTAAACTATTGAAAAAGAGTAATTTAACAAAGACATCATATTTGAAGAATATTATGGATATCTAAATATCACAAATAAAGTGATTATTGAAATTATCAATCCTGGAGTTTATAATTCAATTCTCAATGGAGTATTTTAATATGAATCTGAAATTAACTTTCCTATATGCATTAGAATGGATGAAATAGATATAACTTTGAAAATAAAGGTTTTGTAGTTATCTTATTGATTAGCTTAAAATTAATTTTCCAAAGCTTAATTCTCAAATTTAAGGGTCCATTTATTCATTTTATTAAGTTAAAATATTTGTTATATCATCAATTTAGGATAAACAAGAATACTGAAAAATTAAATATATTATATATTATTTCATATTGTGACTCAAATTGAATTAGATTCTTCATCTTATTATATAATTTAAAATTCTTCTTGTTTTTCATTTGAACTTTAATTTTAAGAAGAGTTTTCTTTACTATTTTCTAATTCATTAATACCCTCATTATTATTAAATTATTCATCTTGACTAACTTATTAAACCTTATCTTCAGCTTTACTTTAAGAATTTTAAACATTAGAACAATTAAAAGAGGGATCTCCAAATAGTAAAGATTCTTATTCATTATCTTCTTAAAAATTTATTTATTATTTTTGATTTTCATCACAAAAAAGATTATCATTTTATTTTTCATTCAATTAAAGTAAACAAACCTCCTATGCAAGTTTTTAAATATTTGGATTAACACCTAAAAGACTAAGCATATTTGAATTAGCACCTTTAAAACTATAAACATTTTTAGCAACACCAAAAATATTAGGAACTTATCCTAAATTACTATTGTTTATATTAGAATTGTTATTATTTTTTTATTATTAACATTAGTTATTATTTTTTTCATCTATTTATTATTGTTTAGTATCTTAAGAGATATTGTTGTTCGATTCTTTATGTTGTTCATTATTAGAAAGATAATTAAATATACTATTATTATTCAATTATTTTTATGAATTATTATTTGTATCAACTTTTTAGATATTATTTTATTCCTATACTTTTTCAGTTTCTATTTATATTTATTATATTTATGAATTAGTATTAAATAAACTACAACCTGGAAATAAGGAATTATTGTTCTTTAAAAAATTATTTTATTCTAATTATGGAGCATCATTAGGATGATCAATTTGATATTAATTATTTTATTACAATTCTGAAGGATTTGAAACTTTGTAATTAAAAATGTCTATTTCACTTTAAAATATTTTTTTTTCATCTTAATTAAGATAGATTATAGAACTACCTGTATTTTAATTTTCTCCTTTAATATCTAATAAATTACTATTAGATTGTTATTTGTATTATGTTTTATCTATTTATTATTATAGTCTTTAAAGTTGTAACCTTTATTAATCATTTTCAATTTGTAATTTTTTGATAATATTTGCTTATTATTCTATAATTTCATATAATTTAGCAACCTGATTTATCTATTTTTCAGCATCTTAACTTGTAAATTGATACTTTACCATTATAATATTTAAATAATTTAAATTATTAATTATAAATAATTTTATTGTTGCTATAAACTATAAGTCTTATGATTGAATTAATTTTAAAAATATAATGTTCACTACTCAATCTTTATATTCTCCATTGTCTGTTTTTCTCATCATTTCTTTTAATTTCTTTCTCAATCTAAAATATTTAAGATATTCTAACATTTTATCCCTAGGAGGTTCATTTTCACTATCTATACTTTAACTTCTGGATACTCTATACTAAGGACTACTTCTATTTTTAGGACTTCTACTTCTGCTTCTACTTTTAGAACTAATTAATAAATTATATAAAATTAATTACTTTCTTCTTCTTTGTTTCTTTTCTTTTTCCCTCTCTCTCTCAAATCTATCATAATTTCCTCTTGATTATCTTTAATTAATCTCTTATTATACCCTCTATCATCCCTTGGTCGATCTCTTCTAGGTTCTCTATTCTCATCATATCTGCCTGATTTCTTAGACCACTCAACATTAATTCTCAATCCTTTCAGAATTCATAAACTATATATCTATACCCTATAAATCTCTTTGATGTAATGCATTTTTTGCAGCTTCTGCTTCTTATTCACTTTTATATTAAATAAATGCATACTAATATATTAATATATGTATTTACTCTGTCATTATTTTTTACTCTAAAATCTACAGTACAATCACCATAGACCTTAAATTCTCTTTCTATATCTTTCTACTCAACTAATCTTGAAATATTGCCAACAAAGAGACTCATTCTTGCATTCCTAAATTATTGTCTGCTCATTATAAATTATATGATTTTAATATAAATTATATTTAACTGAAAACATTTAATAAAAAGTTAAAAAAATAAAAATCGTTCAAGAAATGAGTTAGTTAACGGAAAGCTCAAATAGATTAAATGAACAACAAAGCATTCCTCAAGAAGAAATAATTGACAAATCCTAAAAATAATCGACATCTTCTCCTGATAAAGAGAACTCTTAAGAATTATTTAGATTGTAGAAATAATAATTCATACAAAAAATGACATCAGATAACTAAACAAGACGTTAAAAAAAAGTAAAATATAATTATTAAACTATTTATAGATAATTGGAGATATTAAAGATGTATTAAATGTCAATAAATAAATTGTTAATTTCGGATTGGTTATACCTGGAAATATTTGTGAAGATGATATTCAATTTTAAAATCTATCTAATGAGACTGTAATAATAGGCATATAAGTAATATGCAATAACACAGAATTTGATGATCTAGATGAATATGTTTATTCAGCTAGAAAACTCAATGGATATGATTATAATGATCGATTTATGCTTGCTTGTCCAGCTTAAAAATAATTCTCTATGAAAATAGCTTTAAAAGTTCCTAACATTAAAGAATAAAAAGGACTCTTTGGTACCATTCTCATCACAGCATCTTATTCTAATCATTAAAAAATTTAAGGTTAAATAAATGCTTAAATTTAAAGTCAAATTACTATTCCTTCTATAGAATGTCCTAAAACTTTAATGAATTGTATATAATCATTAATAAATTAGCTATTTATAATCTACCAGTTATTCAAATGGCTTTTAAATTGGGCAAGAAATTAGATTGTAAAATCCCATTTAGGAATAATAGTTTAATAGGATTACCACTTGAAATGGAATTTCTTAATAAAAATGATAATGAAATACTAATCAATCCACCTACTCTTTCAGTATAGGGTAATTCTTAATTCTTAGTTACAATCTATATAAAAAGCAAATAAGAATAGATTATTAAGAATGTTTTAATAGTTAAAGTTAAAAATTCCAATGTGCATTTTAGTTATCCATTCATTATCAAAATATATTGATTTTACTAGATTATAAATAAACTATGATTCAATCAATAAGATATAAATATATTCTCATAAAGTTTTGATTATTTTAATAATTAATTGCATCTATTATGTCATTTAACAAAAAAGGTAGAGAAGATTTAATGTAAATAACAAATGATGAAGATGGAAGAGAAATTAATCCTCATATGCCATAATATATTATAAATGCTCCATGTATGATTAAAACTATATATTTTAGGGTATTTAAAGGAAAGTACACCATCATTAAAACATTAAAGAATAAGAAAATAATAAAATACAAGTACATTTGATAATTGGTATTAAAGAGGATCAAAAGTATTAATTTTAAGTGATATAAATTAGGGTCCAAATAATTTAAAATTTTAAAAAGGAGCTTGTACTAATTGTGGTTCAACAACTCATCAAAGTAAAGATTGTTGTGAAAGACCTAGACAAATAGGAGCAAAATATTCTAATACAGATATATAAGCAGATGATATTGTAACTAATGTTTCTGGTCTTAATTATGATGCAAAAAGAGATAGATGGAATGGTTATGATCCAGAGACTTATAAATCATAAATTTAAGAATATGAAATACTAGAAGAAAAACGAAAAGAAACAAGATTGTAAGAAGGTTAATAAACAGAGTCTGGCAATTTAGATGATGAATTTAAAGATAATGGAACTGGTGAACACTAAACTTAAATGACAACTAGAGATCCAAGAACTAAAACTATGACTAGAAATTTACGTATTAGAGAAGATAGAGCCAATTATTTATTGAATTTGGATGTTAATTCAGCATATTTCGATCCAAAATCTAGATCTTTAAGAGAAAACCCAAATCCACATTTACCTCCTGAGAAATAAGTTTTTAAAGGTTTAAATTAAATTAGATTGACTGGTGAAACTCTATAAATGTATGAATAAGAAAGATTTGCATGGTAATATGCAGAATAACATAATTTAAATCTAAATACTGTATCTTTACCAACTCTGACTGAAAAGACTGTATAATATTTATATTTATTATTTTAGTATAAATAAATAAAGGAGAGAAAGGAAGAATAAAAAATTGGAAGAGCAGAGAGCTTATTTGATAGATATGGTGGAGAAGAACATTTAAATCCATAAATAGATTTATTATTAGGATAAACAGAAAGATTTGTTGAGTATGAAGAGGATGGTTTACCTAAGAATCCTTTAAAAAAGAAAGATTTAACTAAAAGTAAATATTTAGAAGATTTCTTTTATGGTGATCATACAAGTGTATGGGGTAGTTGGTGGAGTGATGTTCTTGGATGGGGTTATGATTGTTGTTATTCAAATGAAAAACATTCTGTTTGTTTAGGAGAAAAAGGAAAAAGATTATAATTGAATAAAGAAGCTAGATTAAAAAGAGAAATAGAAGAAGATTTACAAAAAGCATAAATTTAAGATTAGAAATCTAGTCCTATACATCAATAACCTCAATAACAAATTATTCAATAACCTTAATAACAATGAATTTATTTATTATTTATTGTTATTTAAAATGTTTTTAAATCATTAAAATTAACTAAAATTCTAGTAAACTTATTTTTAGTAAAAAGAAAATACTTGATAGATAATTATATTTAACCTTATGTAAACAATTCAACTAAAGAATTTATTAAAGGATCATAAAGAATTAAAGAAATAATTCACTCTGAAAAGAAAATTTGATATAACATCTTTACCAATATTAGTTAGAAATAAAAGTTGTGAATGTTTAGAATGTGGTGGATAAATTATTAAATAAATTGAAGAACATAAAATTAATAATAAAGTGTCTCCCAAATATATTAAAAAATTTATAGCTTAACATGAAAAATTTTAAAGTTTCAACTTTCAATCGCATAAAGTATAAACTACTTAAAAGTAATTTTACTCATTAATTATAGTATGGTATTTCTGGATATTGCTCCAAAAAGAATTTAATAAACATTTAGTAATTCCAATGAATAACCCTTAATAAGTCCTACTTTAGAACAACCAAAAAGAGATATGAGAAAGTTAAGTAGATTAATAGAAAAATATGATATTACAAAAACTGAAATTGTTTAATAATAATATTGCAAAACCTTACCTGATGTAGTATACAAAAATAAAAATCTATGTTAATATTTACAAAGATAAAAAACTCAACATTATTCATATATTAAAATTCTTCCAATAGGTGATGAAGAATAACAAAATTCTGGAACTAATAGTAATCATCTTAAAAATTCATCATAAAGAACTCCTATAAGAAATTAAGTTTATAAGGAATTGAATGAAAGTACAATATTAAGATAGTTATAAACTCCAATTTTATAAAAATCAAAATTTTAAAATTATCCAATCATTGATTTTGCTGATGGAATAAGAAAAGCTATGGGAAAAATCAAAGAAATAGATGAATACTCTAATAATAGTAAAATAGTTAGTACATAATTTAATGAGGATACAAAAAATAAAAAAAGAGGATCAATTTTATTAAAATCTATGTTAGATTGTACAAAACTTTTAGAAAAAAATCAAAAAACATTAAAATAGTTAGATGTTTTTGTAAGAACAAAATCTTTAAATCGAAAATTAAGTAAATACGAAAAGAATTATTCTCCATCAAAGAATTACTCACTTTCAAAAGTTTATTTGCCTAAAATTATTAGAAGATGATTGATTTTAATAAATATATTTTTAATATAATTTCTATCTTTATATACATATTTAAATCAAAAATTGTAAATAAAATCACTTAACTTTTCTCATTATAAAATACTCAATTCTTTTTTTAAAGTTATTTCATTATATATTGTATTCTATATATATATATATTAAATAATTTTTTACTTTATATAATAGTAGAGGCTCCAAATCATGGGATGTTTCGATATAACTAGACATGAAATTTAAGACTTCTGACCTCACCTCTTAATCCATTCCAATATTGTAAAATTGGAATGGAATTTTCTTCTGTGTCATGATTCTAGCTATTTCACAATTTAAATCTGGTTATCCATCTATTAATATAATATATTTCGATATTAACTAAATCTACTCTAACTTTGAATTCTTAGTCATATAAGCTTCCTTAGGTATTAATTCTTGGAATTTCTTCTATTCTATTAATTCTACCGTTGCCTTTATCTTAAATAATTTGAATTACATCAGCTCCTCCAATTAATTTTCCATTCACAAAAACCTATGGAAAAGTTTACCATTTTGAGTAAAGCTTTAAATAACCAACAATAAGTTTGTCGATTTCGATATCATAAAATCCAAATTGAATACCAAAAGGTTACAATTTTTAAATTAATTTTGAAGTAAATCTGCACATGGGTTTTTCTGGTGTACCTACTATAAATAACATTATAGGATTTTCTTTAATCATTTATTCAATCTTTAAAAAATAATGTTATTATTGATTTTTAAATTCAGCTTCGAATTGTTCAAATATACTATCTAATTAAACTACAAATTATGCTGGTTCCAGATTCAATATTTAGTTACTTATTAAATATGGATATGAAGAAATTAAAATAGAAGGTAATTATTGAATCTAAAGTAAATAGGTTTTATACATTATGAGTTCTTGCAATTTATTCATCATTACAATAAGATAAGGCATATTTATCAATATCAAGAGGTGTTATTTATAATAATTTATCTAATCTTGTTTTATATTCATTATCATGATAAAATACAGTGATTATAATCTAAATTAATTTGTTTTAATATTTACTTTATGAAAATTAGATTATTGGAATGCATTCAAAGAATACTCTTATGTTATTGTAGTCATAACTAAATTTTATATAATAATTATTATATTATTAAGTGCAAAAAGTAATGAAACCATTTATTGATTTCAAAATTGCAATAAATAAATCAAATTTAAGTTGAAGGTTCTTGATTTTCTTTGATTTATTTATTCAAAATTTTATTTTATCCTTTCTTATTCACTTACTTCCAAATCCTAAGGAAATTGTATATATTCAATTCATCTTCCTCCAAATAATTTGGGGGCTCTTTAACTTTCTTTAGTTGTTCTTCATATAATTTAAATTTCTATATCTAAATAAACAAGATTTACATCATAATTCACATCATAAACATTTTGGGATCTCAACATGTAATCAACAAAGCTCAACTATTCTAATTCTTCTTTTTCATCATCTTCTTTTTATTTTTATATTTTTGATTCAATTTCTCTCTTTATTTGTCGATTTGTAGTTTCTATTTCTTCTTAAGATCTTTTTCTTTCTTAGATTGTCTATTTTGAAATTATTAAGACACTTTTCTACTTTTCTAATTTCGAAGTTTATTTAGCAATTTCTTCTTATGCTTATTTTTCAATCTCATCTTTTTATTTTTAAATAAGTTAAGCTATTTCTTTTTTCTTATTTTCTTCAATCTCTTTCTCTTCCTAATTTTTAGCCTTATTCAATAATTCTTCTTTTTCTTTTTATTATAATTATTATTCTCTTAACAATCTTTCCTACTCTTTTTTTTAAGATTCAATTAAATCTAATTTTAATTATTATTATCTCTTAAGAAATTATTCTTCACTGTCATTTTCTTAAGAATTATAAATATATTCTTCCTTTTTATTTTTTTTTCTTTCTATTTCCTCTTAAATTTGCTGTATTTCTAATAATTTAGCTTATTACTTTTTCTCTTCTTCTTTCTATAATATTAATTAATTCTATTTATATTAATTTTATTCTTCTCTTAATACCTTTATATATTCATCATTATGTATTTTTGTTTTAACATCATTGATTTTTTTAGGAGAATTGATATTATTTTAATTTAAAGATTATTATTATTATTATTATTCTTTATCTGCTTCTTATTAATTACCTTAAAATTACAGTTATTATTTTATAGAAGCTTATAACTTTTTTTTTGTTTATTATAATTTTTGAATTGTTTATTTATTTGTAGTTTATATTTATTAATTATTTATGTTATCCTACTTAATTATTTTTTATTATAATTATCTTCTTAAATTATTATCTAATTGTTTTTCAATTTATTCATATATTCCCTCATTTTTATTAATAATTTCTTTTTCATCCTTATATTCTTCAAATTCTTCCTCCTAATTATAATCTTCATTTTCATCATTTTCTGATTATTGTTCTTACTTCCTATCTAAAATTTTATTAACCAAATTGTCGAAATTTATATTTTTTGGTGAAATTTCATTATCATATTGATCAATTTAACTTTAATGTTAAGTACTTACAGCTTTAATTGATTATTTCTTTTACATTGAATCAAATATAATCTAATTTTAGAGTTAAGTACCTAATTTAGAGGTAGGTCTAGATTCTATAAAGAATTTGGATTAAGTTGATGTTTCTGAAGATAATCTTTAAACTCTTCTTCTTGTTATAGATTATTAATTGTTTTCTAAAGAGTGATTGAATTTCTATTTATTAAGAGCCTATTCAATTCTTTTTTGATTTTCTTTATACTTTTACCAATTAATTTTTTCTGTCAAATTTTTTGTTAATTATGATTGCGAATGATATTGATATTATTCTCTTATTTATCTATGATAATTATGCCTTGAATTTTATTAAATTAAAAACTCAAAATTGCTTATATGATCACTTTATCGAAGTCCTATCGAGTTTTGTTGACTTAAATTAAAATTGATAGATAATTAACTTGGCTTTTAAGTCACTTCTTTTAATTTCATAATCTTCGAATAATGATAGAAACTTTAAAGTTCTTATTTTGATTTAATAGATTTCGATAATTAAGGACTTTTATGAGAAGTTGTACTATCTAGCATTTATTTAATATTAATATTAATTAAAACAGTAATTATCTAAAATTATTAAAAATTAATGAATTATCATAATCATATTGCTGGTCTTTAAAATAAAGTTAAATTAAATAAGATTGAACCAAAAACTTAATCAATTCTTAAGAAAACTAAAAAAAATTAAAATAACAATACTAGAATGGATTTGAATGGTAATCTAATTTGCTCAAATTCAAAGAAATATTCCATTAATTTTAAATAAAACCTATGTTAGGTTTATATAGTAGAGAATTGGAAAAAATATAATATTTTAGAAAATAGCATATTAATATTAGAAACTGAATAAAAAAGAAAATGTTTGAATAATTGCAATATATTTTGAGTATAATTTGTCTTTTGTAGTAGAGTTTTATTAAATATGAAATCGTTCTTATTCAAATACTCCAAACTTATTATTTCATTCATTTTATTTTCTCATTTTTATTATCTAATTATTACATTTTTAGTTATCTAACTTTTTTTATTTCTACTCATTCCATTTCTCATTTTCTTAACTCTGTTTAAAGAGTTTCTATCTTTCTCTAATGGATATGAATTTCTTATTTATAGAATTTCATGGTCAATCCTATTAGCAACATCTTTAGTCTATATTTGAAACACTTAAAATTTGTTGGAACTTTAGGATCAATTACCTTTGAAGCAATTCTGAGAGAATTTCAAAATTTCCCTTTAATTATCTATACTTATGTTTTAAATATTGCTGTTATTTCATTACCTATAATCTATTAATCAATGAATAAAGATTTTATTTAATTTTTCTTAATTATTTATACCCTTTTAATCAACAGACCTTAAATATGGTCAATAATTCATATTTTTAAAAAAATTCTTTTCAAATCTAAATTCCTTTTTAAAAATTTATATAATCTTTGATAACCTATAAAATAGTTTAATTTAAATCAAAAACTAAATAAGATTTAGGAATTGATTATTATCTAATATTAATACTATCATATAAATAATTGTAACATTCCTAAATTTAATTATTGAATATATGAATATATTCGAAATAACTAAATTTTTAATTGATAAAATGGGATAAATTTTGATTTTGTCTCTTTAACTTATTTATATCAATGTCTTTAAATATCAAATATTTCTCAAAAGTAAATCTTCAATTTTCTAATTATTCATTTATTTATTTAATAAATAAAATAATTTATTTCAATAATAACAATGCTTTGTGACTAATAGACAGCAACCAAAATTGGATAAAATCTATTCAAAGACTATATGGTGGATGGAAGCTTTGATATTAATTCATGTATGATTTTATTAAACCTATTAAGTATAGAAGATGTTAGAAGATTGCTATGCAAAATTAGATTTACCTATGCCTTCTCTTACCGAATAGGATTTATTATAATATGCATAGATTTGGGATTTAAATTAAGATAATAATATAACAGAAGATGATGTTGAAAATAATGCCAAACAATTATTATCATAAGATTAAGAAGATACTAATAAAGCTTAAGAACTACTTGGTTATCCTCCAATTTAAGTTTCATACGAAAGTTATGTAGTTGAAAATGTTGAATTTAAAGAAGAAAGTGCTATTATTTTTTCAAAGGATATTAAATAAGAAACTGGAAATTATTCCTTGAAAGCAGCTCCTGAATCAAACAGCCAAAAATATTCTTCAGTTAAACAAACAACCTCGACTATTTCAAATTAAAAACTATAACCTTTAAGCCAATAATCAAACACCTTTGTTTATCCCTTGGAAACGGATAAAACTAAATATTAATAATATAATACAAGAACCTAAAAAAAGCTTGAATTAGCAGAAAGAATATTTAATAAATTCTAAAAAAATGGTTTCATAACATAAAATGAGGTAAATTTATTGATAAAACGATAGGCATTTGCATTACTTAAGGAAACTTACTAATAATTGAAAATGCCATATTAGATAACAGAATAAGATGCTAAGTCTTGGATGCTAATGGCTGATAAAGATAAGGATGGGAAAGTAAGACTCTAAGATTTTCATTAAGTTCTTCTAGATAGTTTGGTTTAAGCAGGAATTAATATTAATTGAAATTGGATTTATATATGCAAATTTAATAATAGAAACTTGTCAAAATAATAAGTATATCTTATATTAAAATACCCTATTCTTATATAAGATATTCAATATAAGTAATAAAATTTTATTTTTTTCTCATTCATAATATTATTTGAAAATATCCATTTCATTTCAACTTATTTAATTTTATCTACAATTATAATATAGTTGATTGTCAATTTCTTCAAAATAGGTAATTGTTTACTTGAAAATTGGTATATGGACAATTTTATTATTCTTAAAGTTATCTGAATAAATTCTTAAGAAATTACTTGCATTTATGATTAGTATATATAATAAAATTAAGGATTATGAGATTTAAATTAATATTTTCATTTGTATATTATTATTTATGAGTTGCAAAATTATTATAGTTTTATAAATGTTTTGATAGTAAGTTTAGGTTCTCCAATTTTAATAAACTTTATCTTCTAATTATAAGATCCAAAAATATAATGAAATTCTAATAAGATCAATATTATTATTGATTAACTATAAATGTAAATTTGAATAGTATCTTATTTTTTGTTAAATTTTTTATGAAGTATAAGCAATTAGAAGGATGTACAAATTTTTGTAAGGAATTCTTGCTAATACATTTTTCCTTTTCTTGTTTTTATAATTTAACTCAGAAGCCAACTTAATAGTCTTTCTTAAAAAAAGATACCATTTATAACTATTTAGGAGTGATTTCATAGTTTTCATTATATGCAACTTTTGGTGTTAGATCTTTATTTATAGTTATGTTCTTTTCTTCATTTAGATATACATTAAAATATGTTATGTGGAATTTTGTCAATTAATGCAAAAGAACTTATCTTTTAAGATGAAATTTGCAATAAAGATATTCTGTATACAATTTTTAATCTATTTGCAATAATAAATCGTATATATGCAAGTACTTTATGAGTTTTATAGCTATGATAGTATTATTAGTTATTATAATTACTTTATGTTTCCTATTTTGAACTCTATTAGGAACTTCTGAATGCCTTATATCTAATAAGACTAGGGTTATCACTACAACTCTCTTTCGAAATCAAATTGAAGCCTTTGCAATTAGACCTATTATGGACTTTTTATGAAACTAGTGTTCTGTTGATATAAAGTATTCTGATTCCTAATAATTTTTATTTTATTTGGATTGTTGACTAATATAAGCACAAGTAAACAAGGCATAATAAATTCAATAAAAATTATGAATTTTTATCAGAATATTTTAATGGTAAACTAAATTTTTAATGATTTTGCTATAAAATTAATTTAATTATAAATCTGGTTATTAATAAACATTTATTTTAATTCAATTTTATTTTATTATTGTAAAATCATAAATATATCCTATATTATTATAATCATCATTCTATCTGATCTCTAAATCTCCATGTTGCTGCTGTTCCAGCTGTGAATCCTCTTAGTGTTCTAGCTCTAAAAAACACTAATCCAATTCCATAACCAATCACAGCAAAAATTGCTCCTTACATCAAACCTTTAGTAATTTTCTAATCCTTTTCTATAAATTCTTTGGTTGTCTTGAATGGCTACCAAAAAACCGAATTCCCTTCTGACATTTTATTTATAATAATTATTAATTTAATATATAGATATTAACATATTAATTTATCATGACACTTTGAAATATATTTTATCATTAATATGCAACTAGATTGGAACTGAGTTTTATATAAGAAATGATTAATTTTGATCTGTCAACCATTATGGAGTGAAATTAAATCCATTCTTTTAGATATTAGCTATACTCTATAAATAATACTATACCCCATGAATCTTCTCTATGTGTGAAGTCTCTTAAAATATAATTCCAATTGAATTGATGATATATTCTTGTATCAAGTATTCTAACTAAAACATCATCAATTCTTAAATAATTTCGTATCAATCCAAAAAAACAATCACCCATTATTCTAAATCTATATTCACAATTTGATAATCCATTATCACCTAATTCATCTTCAAATAATGAAATATGAGCTGCCCATTTTATTGGATTTTCCTTTTAATTTTAAATAATTCAAATACAGGTGTTAAGTTATTTAATGGAATCTCATCTTCTGTACATTCACAATGGAATGTCTTCGAATTTGTATTATATACTTAATTCAGATAATCTACTTCATTTTTTATTAAATTCTCATTCAATTATTATTCAAAAATTGATTTTCCCTTAATTCCTGAAATTTACTTGAATCTTTAAAATTAATAACTAATCTAATCTCCATCAACTATCGTTCCCTTATAAGGAGATGAATAAAATGTATCAGATATTTTATTTAATATTTTGATATCTGCATTTTATTTTTGATTCCAGATATTAGCATACTTGATTTGAGCTTATTCTGGAATCATTGAAATGTAATTTAGTTTGTTTGATTTTAACTCTTTTTTAATATCAATGTAATTAGAATCTCTTGCCTAATAATTACATAAATATAAGGCATCTTTTGGATCCACCAAAAATCCAAAGTTAAATTGCTTATTGTAGATCAATCCACAATTATTACCATTTGTAATATCTGGAATACCTTGCAAATTCAATGCATGTTATAACATTTCCAAATCTGATGTATTATACATTCCAGCTTTAGTAAATATGAAATTCCATCCATTTTATTCATATTCTTCAATATTTACATCATTATATGTTTTATGTTAGTTTATATTCATTTTTAATAATAAATTATAGGAGAAATATCATATAAAATATCAGATAATAATAAAATTGTGCATCAAAGAAAATCAGAGAGATTCCCATTTTTATCATCATTAATTATAATATAATTATATTATTATTAAATATTAACTTATTTTAATTAACTTAAATACCTAAGTCTTATATATTATTTATATTTGTGTTAATTAACTGATTTAATTACATAAAATGCAATAAATTAATCATAAATCTCATTTCTATTTTGTTTCACTATTAGCATTGCTTCCATTCTTTGAAGAATTGCTTCCAAATATTGATATTAATCCTCCAAGTAAACCATTATTCTTAGGACTCTATATTTAGCTAGATTATTAAAGTGCAAGACTCTATTATGCTCTTTACAAAAAGTTTCTAAAATAAAAAAGGTCTTTACTTTATTTATTTACACACTTTTTTAATATCTTATCCAGGACCCAACTTATATACTTCATCCCTACTTCTAGCTTTAACTGTTAAATAAAATGATTGATCATCTTTAATTTTTAAGTCTGTAATATCACTTGCTTTATAGACAAATCTTTAGGCAGCAGTTTCAAGCTCAAAAATGTATTCTTAAAATAAATTTTGTCTCAGAATAAATAAACATTCAATATCTAAAAATTAATTGTTAAGTGTAAGTTTATATTACAAGAATTTACCTCTTGTTTCTTCCAATTCACTTAATAATTAAGCTGTTTTAAATCTAGAATCATCTAATCCTTTTTATATTATTTTTGTTTCTTCTTCTTTTTATTGGATTTCCTTTTCAATTGTTTTTAGTTTTAATTACAACTATAACTTTTCTGTAGATAAATCTTTAATCCTATTATACAAATCCTTTTCAATATCTTCAATATTTTTTCTTAATTATGAAATTATAGTATTTTTATCTCCAATTTCTTTTGTTAGTTTATCAATCTAATTATCTTTGTATTTCAAATCTCTCTCTAATTCTTTATAACCTGTCTATAGAATTTAAAGTTGGGCTTCATGATCATCTGTTTTCTATTTTAATTCTCTTATTATATTTATTAACTATACTGTTAAAGTTGCTTAATTTATTTTGTAAAATTGCTATTATTATTTAATGGATCATTTTAGATAAGCGATCGTGGTGATCCTATTGAATTTACAAGTGTATTTCTTTATTTCTCTTAGCTGTTGTTAAGAGCCTAAATTTACTATTACAAATCTCTAATCACAGAATTGTATTTTTCATCCTAAATTTAATATAAATTAAAAATATTACTAGATCTGCCTTTTCTTAAGTTAAATTATTATTCTTTTATGTTAATTCTTATATAGTCTTTAAGAATTATGCTTTTTCTTCTCTTAAATCAATAACAGCTTTTTTTAAAGTATTTATCTTCTATTTATCGCTTATCTTATTCACACTACCATTATCTGATTGACTGTCATTTTAACCTTATGGGGGTCTATTCATTCGTAAAATTAATGTTGTTTTAATATTATATTAAGAATATTACTAATAATTCAAGAATTATTATAAAATATATATTATCTGTATTATGCTATGACTATTAAAATATTAAAACTATATTTTAAATATTATTAATACATGAATAACTACACAGCATTAAGTGGTGGATCTTAATTTTAAGATATCATAGAAGAGATAAAGAAAGTGGATGCAATAATAGCCTAAGGAATAAACTAGAGAAATCAAAGATTATTTTAAAAGGAATCAGTTTAATTAGTAATTAAAATAATAAAATAGATTGACAGATAATTGGGATAATAAATAAACAATATAAATGAATTAATAAAATAAGGGAGAACATAATTATATAAAATGACAAATCTGTAAGAATTATTAATGTTGATATAGTTCATAAAATGAATAATAAAGATAAAAAAATAAATTGGATGAATTTTAAAATAGATCTAATGAATTTAGTAGAGCATTGTAAGTTAAATAAATTTTTAATATGGTAAAAATTGATATTCATTTTTATAGGTTACAACATAAGCAAATAAGGAATATGGTGAAAAATCTGATACAGAGATGGTTTAAATTAATTAAACTCTGATTAAAGAATAAGATAAGATTTTAGATAATATGTTATAAACAACAGATATAATTGCAAACAATTCAAAAACTATAAATTTAGCCTTAAAAGAAGACAAAGTAATTTTAACAAACTTAAATAAAAATGTATTGAATTTTAAATAGAAAATTTTAGGTTGAATAAGCAACAAATGAAATATAAGTGGCTGATTCAAAATTGAAAACATTACTTTCTTATACTAATGATTGGTGTCTTTGGATAATAATATTAATAGAATTTGTAGTATTTATTTTTCTTGTCATAAATTGAATATATTATCATAAATATTACAATGACTCAAAGATAAAACTATTATAAAATTTCACATATCCAAATTAAGCAATTACATAATTTTTTTCAACTATCTATTTCAAATCTTAATATTAATAGATTCTATAATATAAATTGAATAATTTTACAAATCATCTATTTTCACTTTTTAATTTTCACATTTGATTTTACAAATTAACTTTCTTATATTAACCATCAATTATTTTTCTGTTTCACTCAAATTTATCACAAATTCTCTCTATTTCTATATAACGATATCTTAAATAATAATTGGATACAAATACCATCATATTTCTTTACATATTATTAAGTAGAATCTTAATTCCAATCATATCTAAAATGTAATTATTTTCCATTATTAAATTCTCTAATTTCCATGACATTAGTACTATAATCATCTAACATATAATTTAAATTATGTAATTCTTTTGCACTAATTAGAATAGTTGTAGTGTTAAATTTATGGAGATTACTTAATATTGAGCAAATAAAACATTGTTTTTTACTAAGTGATAAATGCAAATTATCAACAGTAATTATTGTAGGTTTTTATTATGTAAAATGAATTAGTTCATGAAAATTGTTAGTACCAAATTATTATAAGGCTTGTTCTTAATTTTGTATTTCTGATTAGATATTAATATAGATGCCTTATTTATTCTCCTTTATTGATTTGTTTATGATGAATTTGAAGAAAGTAGAAATTCCATCTTATTTCATCCCATAAAATAGCTGAAATGAATGATCTTGTATTTGATTTTTAAGAATGAGTTCATCTAATTAATATTCAATTGGATATTATTTTGAAAATGCAGCCTATAATTGCTCTGTAAAATCACCTAACTTATGTGTAGTTTCACTATATATTGCCATTGAACCTAGAAAGATAAGAAATATATCCAGAATATATAACTTTTTTTTTGGATTGAGTTTTGTTAGTTGAATAGTAAAACTGATAGCAAAAATAATGGCAGATGCAATTATTATATACATTAAAATAATTTATTTGCATGTCTTATAAAAAAAATAAAATATGAAATGAATTCTAGTTATTAGTGAATAAGAGCAGAGAGATTTATTTAATTGTGAATAAATTTAAAATATATTTAAATCTTTTTTATTATGGGAAAGAATTATAGAAATAGATCAAAGACATCTGACACCCCAAGAAAACCCTTTGAAAAGGAACGTCTTGACAACGAGTAATTAAATATAATTAATTTTAGATTACAAATTATTGGTAAGTATGGACTCAAGAACAAAAGAGAAGTATGGAGAGTTCAACTCACATTAGCTAGAATCAGAAAGGCAGCAAGAGAATTATTAACTCTTGATCCAAAAGACCCAAGAAGATTATTTGAAGGAGAAGCTTTAATTAGAAGAATGGTTCGTTTTGGTTTATTGTCAGAATAAGAAAGAAAGTTGGATTATGTCTTGGGTCTCACAACATAAAAAATGATGGAAAGAAGACTCTAAACTTTCGTATTTAAAAGTAATTAAGCATCCTCAATTCATCATGCCAGAACTTTGATTAGATAGCGACATTTTAGGTAAAATAAATGATTTAATATATATATAGAGTTGGAAAGAGATTAGTCAATTCTCCATCATTTTTAGTAAGAGTAGAATCTGAAAAACTTGTTGATTTTGCTGTCACATCACCATTTGGATAAGGAAGAGAAGGAAGAAGAAAGAGAAAGAATGCCAAGAGAGTAAAACCAAATAAAGAGGAATGAAAACAATTTATTTTAAGCATAAGTACAATATTATCTATTTTATATATCTTTATTTTCAATCTGCCTAAACATCTATAGCATATAATCCTGGATGAATGTTTCTTGGATTTCCTAATTTTCTCATTACCCAACTTTATGATGGTTTCAAAACACAAATCATACTATATTTAATTTATAACTAATTTTTACCCTGAAAATAATTTAGTTTATGAAGCATTGCAAGAATTTGGACACTCCACTTCTCTATTCCATTATTCAACTGTCAATACCATTCCACATTACTAACAAGCTTTTAGATCTTTTGTCGATTTTGGTAAAACAAACTTCTTTTCATCATATTCTGATATATCTGATTCAGACTACATATTTAGTGTGTTTATTATTATTATAAATTATTAAAAGTAAAATTATTTATAATTAACTTATCATTGTTTTTATTTTCTTTTCTTATTCTTCTTAGTTTTATTCTAAAGTATAAATTAATAATTATCTTCCATATTTTAAATATTGTAAGCATCTTTATAATTCTGAAATTATTCTTTATCCCAATTATTAGATTAAATCAAATTCAAACAAATATTGAGATTATTAATCTAATAATCATAAATCAAAATACTTATTAAAACATTTCCAAACTATTTGTAAATTTTAAATTTATTATCTATTCAGATATTTGATCATAAATAAACCATTTTAAATTAAACTAAGAATCTGTTTAACGAATGGTTCGCATCATAAATTGATTAGCTCTATTTAAATTAATTATTAAAATTCTTATGTCTTCATCAAAAAATTGTTCATTAACCAATTCAAAATGAGATTCTTCAAACTATTTTTAGATATAATTTTATACAAAATTTTTTTCATTTTCTTTTGGTTTTTCAAACTCTGTTATATTTAAGATCTTATTCTCTACCAAAATTTGATTCACAATTTATTTACAAAATGGACATAATTCTTTTGGTACAACTGCAATTTTAAAACATTCTAAGCATATTTTATGTTTGCAATCCATTTCCACTATTTAATTTTCATCATTACAGCATATTTCACAGAAAGCTTTTAGACAATCCATAAAATGAAATAATTTTATATTAAATTCTTTAATTATTTATTATACACTTATATATTTATTTATTAATACATCATTTTTGTTATTATTAATATAATATTATTATCATTTTCTTAAAGGAATTTTTTTATAATTATCATTAAAAGTATTAGTGAATTCTTTTTTTTTAACTAATCTTTATTAATTAGTAGTCTATTTAATATCAGGTACAATTTGTTGTACTTTATCAGCTACTTCTTCCTATTTTGACTTCTAGTAAAACTATGTCTTATTTGGTTCATATTTTGAGTATATTTATATTTATGGTTTAACTTATTAATTGTATGATAAATCATAAGTAGAGGTTAGTTATCTATTTTCAAACTATTCTTATATAATTTTATCAATACATTTGATAATTAGCCATGTCCTAACAATAAATGATTTTGTAAACCTTTATGATTAAAAGTAGTTTATTCATAATATTCTTTTTCAGCTTCAGTTTATTTTTGTTAAGGCATGTTTAGTAGTGTGTTTTACAAACCAAAACTATCTTTCATAGTGCTATTAGGAATTTTATGAGTATTCTATTTCAATAATAGATATTTTTTTATTACTTGTTTTATATCCATACCAAAAGTTTCTTCATTATAATTACCTATTTTGACACCATATCTATATTTATTTACATTGTCTTATATTTTAGTATAATCTAAATTCATAACCTTAGTTAATAATAATGATTTTAAATTTAATTTCTATTTTTTTGTATAATTTGTTTTAAATAACTATTTATAAATTGATCCTACCAACTCATAAGTATTTTACATTATAAAAAATAATTGATTATTGAGTTTAAATTTGATATAATTGTTTCTTAATTTAAGTGAATCAATATAAAATTGAACAATTTTTTATTTAATTGAAATTACATGAATAAATACACATTGAAATTTAATGATAGCAAAATAGAAACTTAATATTAAGAATTTAGAAGAAAAGAAATTCTAAGAAAAGTCTTTTACACTATGACTCCTGTCAGTTTGATTTTGAATGTCTTGAAAATAGCAGTTGATCTCTCAAAAAATAAATATGATTAATTGTATGTTAACTCTGCAAACATAGCTGTAGTATTTATTGGAGTTCTTTTAGTTAAAATTAATGAAAAATATCTCAGACTTTTTATTACATCGTGCAGTATTATGACTGCTCTACTTTAACTTAATTTAGATCCAAATGATGCAAAGTAATAAGATTATTATAATTTTGGTTGTCTTGTCACTTCATTACAATCAGTACTCTACTTTTTAAGTGACTTTCCTGATGCTTGTATATAAGTTATATCTCACTGTTCTATAAGATTATCAATTACATCAATAACAACAAATTATGTTGATTTTTAAGATTACTTATTTACTATATTTGCTATAACTTTTTAATTTGTAGTATTGTATAAATGCGATTAGAATTCAAGAAAACATTTCTTACTTAGAGTAAAAGAGGATTAATGGGATAATTAATTAATAAATTTAATTAATTCTCCATTTTGTTAATTCAAATTTATTAATGAAGAACTTAAATTTGATTTAATTTAATCAAATAAAATGAATATATTTCCTAATTATAATCCAAATTATTGTGAAGGATGTAATTTTCGATAATTCTTAAGGTCTACTTTAGTTTAAGAAAATTAGAATTTAGAATCTTATTTATTCAAGTGTGATATGAAAAATTTTGAAAATACTTTTGAAATCAATTTATTTAAAAATTATCAATAAAAACTTAAATTTATTAACTTAGGAGTTGAAACTTAAAAATACTTAATAATTTTAGTGAATCTTAATAATCATACTAAAGATTCTAATTTAAAAAAATATATTAAACAAGCTAAAGAAGAAATGTTTAAAACAGTCAAAATATTTTAGAAAACTGACTCAGAATTTTAAAATTCCTTTAGACTTGGAGTTTTATCATTAATTTTACTTAACAGTCAATAAATAAAAAGGATTAATCTTACAAAACGATTCTAGTAATGCATTAATTTATTCAAATAATATGGATGGAAATTTAAACTAAAATCAAATTATGAGGTGTATATCAACTCTTATTATTGTTAAATTAATATCTTTTTAATTTAATTGTTTATATTATTTTTGAATTAAAAAAAATAATTGGAAATCTAGTATTTTGATTTGATAGAATCAGAAAATGAAGTAATTATTTGTATAGAGCCTTATGATTTTTAAGAATTCGAAGTTGAATTTAATACAAACTTTTTTATCAATCAAATAAAAAATAAAATATTAATTCAAAATAATCTGAAAAATTAATAAATATAGCTTATTAAATTTGTTGAATTACCATTTAATTCAATTGATAAATCAGATGTTTAAAACTTCATAAAATAATTGTGAAATTATATATATTTATAAATATACTGTATAAATTTTATGATGATTATTTCATTTTTTTTAAAGTGTAGGGATGATAGGATTATTTATCTAAGGATTATTTATCTAAAAATTAGGAAACTAAGGATTATTAATCAAAGGATTATTCATCTAAGGATTATTCATCTAAGGATTAATCATCTAAGGATTATTCATCTAAGGATTAATCATCTAAGGATTATTCATCTAAGGATTAATCATCTAAGGATTATTCATCTAAGGATTAATCATCTAAGGATTATTCATCTAAGGATTAATCATCTAAGGATTATTCATCTAAGGATTAATCATCTAAGGATTATTCATCTAAGGATTAATCATCTAAGGATTATTCATCTAAGGATTAATCATCTAAGGATTATTCATCTAAGGATTAATCATCTAAGGATTATTCATCTAAGGATTAATCATCTAAGGATTATTCATCTAAGGATTAATCATCTAAGGATTATTCATCTAAGGATTAATCATCTAAGGATTATTCATCTAAGGATTAATCATCTAAGGATTATTCATCTAAGGATTAATCATCTAAGGATTATTCATCTAAGGATTAATCATCTAAGGATTATTCATCTAAGGATTAATCATCTAAGGATTATTCATCTAAGGATTAATCATCTAAGGATTATTCATCTAAGGATTAATCATCTAAGGATTATTCATCTAAGGATTAATCATCTAAGGATTATTCATCTAAGGATTAATCATCTAAGGATTATTCATCTAAGGATTAATCATCTAAGGATTATTCATCTAAGGATTAATCATCTAAGGATTATTCATCTAAGGATTATTCATCTAAGGATTATTCATTTAAGTCATTCTCATAGGATTTTGATTACTATTTATTTTTTCTTTATTTTGCACAGAAAAAATTTCCATATCATATATATCAAATTATTTGCAATCTGATAGATATTCTTGGTTATCAAAGATCTTAAATCCACTTATATCAAATCCTGTTCCTAAATTCGACGTACATCTAGTAAATGTAGAATTGATAATAATATCACCTTCTCCAAAATTCAGAAGCCAAGTTTATAAATTAGCGTTTAAATTTAATTGAAAGGCTGTTTTATTCTCTTAAATTAAAAAATATTTTTCTTTGTTCATTTAAAATAGTATTGATTTTTTTGGCTATGATTTACAATGATAGACTCCAAAAATGCATTTATTTTTTGTTTAAATAATAGTAATTGTATCTTGACTATCTAAATTAGGGATTTATTATAAAGTTTGATAATTTGATCCATGTTTAGTCATTCTATAAATTAGGTTTAAACTCTTAATAAAATTTTCTTCTGTTCCTGGTGAAATTTTTTCAGCAATCCTTTCAATATAAGGAGTGGCTAAAATGGATTAAGAAAATTTATAATCTGAAAATGTTTTTTCTTGCATATTTTATATTTATTGTATTATTTCTTTAAAATTAAGATTGAATTTATCTAAATTAAAACTAATAAGATAATGATATATATTTACAATTTTTATTAATCTTTAATAATTTTTTCTACATCTATTGTTAATTTATCATCATTAATTTTTTTTACATATTCTTCAGCAGAACTATTTAATGCTTCAAATTTTTAGGGACTTCTTTAAAATTTTCATCCAGTAATTTTACCTTCAAATCATCACATTCAAAATAATTAATAATTTTATCATTTTCAACCCACTTTTTTATTTCATTTAGATATAAACTATTGTTTTCTATAAGCCTATCTCTGAGGTCATTGATATATGATAAAACTTCTTCAGTAAGCCTATCAATCATCTACATATATAAATATTATACATCATTAATAAATTCCTCATTTAAATAGGGATTGTGATTTCTAATATNTTAATCATCTAAGGATTATTCATCTAAGGATTAATCATCTAAGGATTATTCATCTAAGGATTAATCATCTAAGGATTATTCATCTAAGGATTAATCATCTAAGGATTATTCATCTAAGGATTATTCATCTAAGGATTATTCATTTAAGTCATTCTCATAGGATTTTGATTACTATTTATTTTTTCTTTATTTTGCACAGAAAAAATTTCCATATCATATATATCAAATTATTTGCAATCTGATAGATATTCTTGGTTATCAAAGATCTTAAATCCACTTATATCAAATCCTGTTCCTAAATTCGACGTACATCTAGTAAATGTAGAATTGATAATAATATCACCTTCTCCAAAATTCAGAAGCCAAGTTTATAAATTAGCGTTTAAATTTAATTGAAAGGCTGTTTTATTCTCTTAAATTAAAAAATATTTTTCTTTGTTCATTTAAAATAGTATTGATTTTTTTGGCTATGATTTACAATGATAGACTCCAAAAATGCATTTATTTTTTGTTTAAATAATAGTAATTGTATCTTGACTATCTAAATTAGGGATTTATTATAAAGTTTGATAATTTGATCCATGTTTAGTCATTCTATAAATTAGGTTTAAACTCTTAATAAAATTTTCTTCTGTTCCTGGTGAAATTTTTTCAGCAATCCTTTCAATATAAGGAGTGGCTAAAATGGATTAAGAAAATTTATAATCTGAAAATGTTTTTTCTTGCATATTTTATATTTATTGTATTATTTCTTTAAAATTAAGATTGAATTTATCTAAATTAAAACTAATAAGATAATGATATATATTTACAATTTTTATTAATCTTTAATAATTTTTTCTACATCTATTGTTAATTTATCATCATTAATTTTTTTTACATATTCTTCAGCAGAACTATTTAATGCTTCAAATTTTTAGGGACTTCTTTAAAATTTTCATCCAGTAATTTTACCTTCAAATCATCACATTCAAAATAATTAATAATTTTATCATTTTCAACCCACTTTTTTATTTCATTTAGATATAAACTATTGTTTTCTATAAGCCTATCTCTGAGGTCATTGATATATGATAAAACTTCTTCAGTAAGCCTATCAATCATCTACATATATAAATATTATACATCATTAATAAATTCCTCATTTAAATAGGGATTGTGATTTCTAATATAATTGAAATATTATTATTTAATTTCACTTTCAAATTTTGTATATTTGAAGGCTTCATATATGTTACCATTGATCAACTAATTTAAATAAATAATATTAACCTCTTAGATATCACAACAATATTATTAATATGAATTATATTTTCCTAAGTAACATTCATCACAAAATAATCTTTTAGTTATAGTACCCTTATCTTTTTTTATCATAAGATATTTTATTTTCTGTCCTCTATGAAAATGTTAATCATCTTCACAGTAAATTCCATTTTGCTTCACAAACTTTTTTTCCATCTAATAGAATTAGATAATTTTTTTTAATTATTAATAATATAAATGAAATATTATTTTAGGGTTTTAAATATATATTTACTTTTAATATTTCTTTTTTATTTTTTTGATAGCTATCTATTTTTTTATATATAATGATAGATTGTTTAAAGACAGAATTAAATGAAATTTTGGAATTATTAAATAAATGTTTGATAATGTAATTAAGAGAAATTTAAACACTGTAAAATGTTAATATGAAAATTTGATTTATTTAAGAATTAATATTTTCTATATTTAAGATGAGTACTTATATTTGTTAATTTATTTTAAGTGTTTAATGTAATCCAGAGGTATATACTCATAATTAACAACATAGATATTTAGTATTAAAGAATATTGTGTTTAATTATAACCCGATAATCAAGTTTTAATTTCTGAATTTAATGAACTCATTAAAATAAGCTTAAAAACTTGAAGAAAATCAAGAAACAATCAATAATGGTATTTATTCATAAAACATAAGACCTTGGTATCAAAATCAAATAATTAGATTAAGATGAGCTATCAAACTCTTTATTATATAAATGTATATGAAAATGTCTGACTATCATCTTAGAATTTTCATTTATTTTGAACCATCTCCTTCGAGTGATGACTAGAAATGAATAAAGTTATCGATACAAAATGCATTTAGGATTATGCAAAATGATGGAGTTCAATGAATTAGAATTAGTATATTGGCATTTATTGAATTTGTAATTTGACTATGGTAAAAAATTACAGCCAAACTACTCATAAGAGATTAAGTATTGATATTATTTAGAATAGAACATGCGCATTTAATTATTTTAAAGATTTTCTTAAAATATAGGCAGAATTTATACCTGATATTTCATTATATAAGAGAGAGTTACTATTTGTAACATTATCAGCATTTTATACTATAAAATTAATGAGAAATAATTAAAAATTTGATAAAATAGGAGAATTTATAAAGGAAGAAAAGTTTTGTGAGTTATTTAAAAGAATTGAACCTGCATTTATAAATGTCTCTTAATAATTGACATTATATATAGTCAATCAAAAATATATGGAAATGACAAAGCTAGAAGAACCATTGGAAGAATAATAAATCAATTATAATTTTATAGTTGAATAGATTCTAGAAATGGCACCTGCATATTAAAAAGATGAAGAATTGCCAATAACTAAGAAAGTAAAGAGACAAAAGAAGTTGATGGTAAGAAAAACTACAACTATACAGAAATAAGAATTAGAATCATAATAAAAAATAGAACAATAATCACAATAAATATAATAATTATCTCAGCAATCATAATATTAAGGTTAATAATAATAAATAGATTAATAATATTTAAATTAGCCAATAGGATCATCATTATAATTTTCAAGATATATGTAGAAAGATAATTAATAATACAATTAAATGAATTAATCTTAGATTTAATAAGATTAATTTATTATAAATGAAAGATCTTCTTTTCAATAATATGATAGATAAAACTCATTTGTAATGTAATTGAGATCGAGATATAACAATAATTTCAGTCAAGAAAGTCTTGGTCAAGTGTATTCTAATTAATATTACCCCACACCTTCATAAGAATAATAATATACACCAAGAAATCAAAAATCAATATATTGGATGAATAAAAATGGAAAATGAATTATAAATATCTATATTTAATATGAATTCAATTTAACTCACTATTAGTAATTTTCATATATTATTTTTAAACAATAATAGTATATTACATTTGTAAAATATTTAAAATATCATACTTAAATATAAATTCTTATTACTAAAATCAGAGATTATAAATAATTATATTCTATATATATTTATCTTCTTTATATATAAATTATTGTATTTAATTTCTTCAAATTTTGTTATCATAATTATTTGTAATATTGAGATTCTGTATCATGTATATCTGAATAGATTAAATTATAAAATTCAATGAATTTCTCAATGTACTTATATTAAATTCTTAGTTAATCTAATCTAATGTTTTTTAAGATACTCTATTTTCAAAAATATATTTTTGAATAGATTCTATTCTCAAAATCTGTAAGTATTTTTATAGATTGTAGTCAAAGTTTAATCTTGAATTAATATATAATTTAAATCGTTAATTAGATGAATAAAGAAAATGAAGTAATTAATTTACCTGAACTTACTTGCAAAGCACATACCAATAAAAAAGTATAATTTTATGGAATTATTCAAAATAGGCAAAATATAAAGTGATTGGAGTACCTTTTGCTAAACCTAAATTTAATTTGACTGATTTGATCTGTTCAAAATGTGCAATTGTACTTATAAGTTAAGGTTATAAAGTATTTTATTTGATGAATAAAGATAGAAGATATTTAAAGTGATTAAACATCTATGAGACAAGAATAAATTCAATAATTTTTAGAAACTATATCATAAACCTTTTTGATTATTGATTAAAATGGATAATAATTAAGTGAAAAAAAGTATGACTTAGTTAGATTTTGTGAAAAGTAAAAGGATAAAGTTAAAGAACACTATCATTAAATGGTCATAGCATTAGATAATAAATTAAAAGAATAGATAGATTATTTGAATGAATTGTAATTAAAAGCAGTTGAAATATTTGATTTAAAATAATAAGAAATAAAAGATAATCACAATGAATTAGTTTAAATGTATAGTGATATCGAAGTTAACCTTGATAATATAATAATGCAAATTGAATGTCTACCTTATAAATAAATTATGGGATAATACAATAAGAGAGTCTAAGATATATAGTTATAATTATAAAAGCTTGAAAGTTCTCATGTACATCTAGGCAGAGTTTATAAAAAAGTGAATGAAAATAAAGTTCTTGGAGGTTTGTTTGATGATTGTGAATTAGAAATTAAAATAGTTTAGACTACATTATTAAAGAATGATCAATAATAAATATAATCTACTTAAAGGGCTACATCTCCTTAATCAATTTAAATTACATACTCTACAACTTAAACTCCTGATAAATAAAGATCAAATAGTTAACCTAGTAAATTCTTAGAAATATTAAATAAAGTAAATGAAAATTAATTAAAAACAAATAACTATTATACATAGCTATTAAAAAGAGATTAATCATTTGATCTTAATGATAAATATTGTTCACCAACTTTTAAGAAATGAAACTGTGAAATTTATTTATTTATTTATTTTTTTATACATGAATTTGTAATCAAATTATTGTAATCTATAATAATCAATATTCTTATTTTTCAAATATAATATAAAAATTATAATTACTATTTCAAGGAAAAATAAAATAAATTCTGTTAATTCAAAATTAATATAACTTAGTATTTCATATTTTATTGGATTGATAAACTATTTTTATCTTTATATATAAAAAGCATAAAAAATAGTTATGGTTTTAATAAAATATTTATGAATAAATAATTAATAATATTATTATTAATCATTGGAAGATATGAAATTTGTTTAAATTCATTAAATAAAATAATCATTTTCAATAGAATGTTAGTTGTTATGCTTTTATTTTCATTTTCAGTTTCCTTGAACGCTTAGACAAATGATCATTCAAAAGATGAATATAAACTTATAATATTCTCTGAATTATGTTATGATTAGTTTTTTGGAAATGCGGAAGTTAGTAGTGACTGCATTTCTGATGTATATCATAAATAAAAATTAGACAATTAGCAGAACAATTAGCATTTTAATGGTGGCATTTGCTATCATGAATCAATTACCTTAAATTCATAAAATTTGGAAATCTTAATCAATACAGGGAATCTCATTTAATGCTTATTACACAGAAGTATAAAAATCATTTAAAAATAGTTATACCTACTTTCATTTATAACAGCTTATAATCTATATAAATAGACAAAATTTATTTTATATGGTGAAAATGCAATTGTAGGTCTGGAATATAGTATAGTCTTAAGTTTATTCATTTTTTATGATAAAAATTTGAATTTTCATTAATGGCTCTTTAAAGCAGTTTTTTTCATACTTATCAATACGCCTCTTTACATAGGCCTTGGACCTTAATGGATCTTTGATATGACTATTTACATTAATATGAGTTTGTGTAAATTGTTAATTTAATGAAAATGATAGTATTTATGGCCAGATTTTTATAAATAAGATTAAATTGTTAAAATAGAAATACAGGTTAATTATCATTGCTTACATAATTGTAAAACTCTGCAGGTAGCATAGCAAGACTATTTACTTTATTTAATGATAATGCAGATTTTTCATATATGGTATTTTTTTAAAGAGAATTTAGATATATGTATTAGAAGATAATATTATGGGTTCAATATTGTTAATGTAAATTATTAAAACATGGAGAGCAGAAAGGACAAAGAATTAGAAAAATCATGATATAAGTGAACAATCTACATGTGAAGATATAAAATATGATTAAATCTGATAAAAATTTATATTTATTTATTTATTATTTTCTAAAAATGTAATGTGAAATTTTAGATTGGAAAGGATATTTAGTATAGGCAAGCTTAGGAGTACTTTCATTTACAGTATTAATAAGTATTATAATAAGTTGAGTTATAGTAAAAAGATATTTTGAAAGACCTAAAAGAGTTTGGAAAATATTTTTAATGGTATTTAAATGAAAAATTTAAAAATAAGGATTCATCTAAACAATTACTATCAGCATTATTAGCTCATATTTTGAATGTAATATTAGCAACAGAATTATCTGCAGAAACAGATGAGAATGCTTGCATCTGGTATTTTATTACATTTATGTTGGATTCAACAATGGGTGTACTATTAATCTTTTTGCTCATGAAATCATTAAATATGATATTTAACTTTTTTGATATGAGAGTATATACAAATATTAATTATTCAGAAATTACAAAGTGGTAATTATTTCAAAATCTAAGAAAAAGTAAGAATTGATTGGTAAATGTATGGATGTCAATTATTTGTATGGAATTCAGTTGTAATTGTGTCTAAATTTATATTGTTTGGATTCCAAGAACTTATTGCTGATTAATTAAATTAGGCAGGTAATTTTCTTTTATCTCCCATAACCAATCCTGAATTGCTTTTAGTATGTGTTATGATCATTATTCCATTTATTATGAATGCAATTACAGTAATATTTTGAATTAATTATTTTAAGTTCTGGATTCAAGATAATATTATAAAAAAAAGTGATTTTAGTAATCAAGAAGAGAAATAATTATTAATTGGAACATTTTATGAAGGTACATTAACTGAGTAGTTTACATAAGAATTAGCTGTTTTATGAAATTTATTATTATAATAATAATAATTTAGAAATGAATCCAATTTCTATGCCCCAATTTAAAGGAGATCCACTGTTATTTCATGCAGTGGCACATGGAAATGTTTAAGAAGTTATTTCATTAATTGAAGATAAAGAAGCCAGTGTTGATGCTCGTAACATCAATGGTGCAACTCCTTTAATCTATGCTATTTAAGCTAATCATCCTTAGATTACAGAACTTTTATTGAAATTTAAAGCAAATCCAAACTTAAAAGAATATTATGATGTAGGAGAAAAGACTGCTTTACATTATGCAGTTGAAAAAAATTAATTTAAATTATGTTAGTTACTTTTAGATTATGGAGCAAATCCAAGTTTATAAGATAAAAGAGGTCTTACTTGTTTACATTATGCAGCTAGATTAGGATTTAAATAAATAGTTGTGTTATTACTTAATTATGGAGTTGACATTAATTTAAGAGATGAAAATGGATTCAATGCTGCTTATTGGGCTTAAGTTAATAAATTTAATGAAATTATGATCTTATTACCCCCACCCAAATTCATTCCTTCAAATGATTTACTAGAATTTAAGACTTAGATGAGAGAAATCCATAAAATAGAAATAGGAAAAAAAAAAAAGAAGAAGAAGAAATGAGTAAAACTAATATAAATAATATTCTTTCATTTTCAAATTTTTATATTCCTTAAATATAAATAATCTTTAGATTTTTAAAAAGTTTATGTAGTTTCATCAAACTATTTGACATTTTAAATAAATTAATAAAATTATTAAATGAGAAGACCAAATGAAGTAGAGTATAACAAAACAGCTTTAATGGGTATTTTATATTATTAATTTTAGCTAATTGGTACGAAGATAGATTGGCTCCTTAATAGTTATAGAGAGATCCAAATGCTTAAAAATCTGTATTTGATAAGAATATAACTAGTTAAGAACTGTTGAAGAGGGAATATCCATACCTGGTGATAATGGATGCTTACTTCCATTGCCTAGAGTGAATCGCAATCCTCCTTACATTACAAAAGAAATAATAGTTCCAGATGATGGATATGTATCATGATATTAATAATATATTAGAGAGAATTCAGGACAGAATTCTAAACAAAATTTGATGCAAAGAATATTTAGAATATGTAATTAGGTGATTGTAGAGCTCTTGTAAAAACAAATGGAGAAAAAGTAAATTTTCCTGAATGTAATCCAACAGTTGCATAAACAGCAGGAGCAAGATCAATAAAACAATTAGATTAAACAAATATGCAATAAATTTTGGTTGATAGAGCTGTTCATTAAAATTATACAGACTTTGGATCAACATTCAGAAATCATCCAGAATAGCATAATAAATTTTATTCAATTACTACTTACTAATAATCATTTCAACTTCCTGAAAATAATGTCAAAGAAATTTTAACAGATAAAAATGTAAAACCTATAGCTGCTGGATGTAGAGAAAGAGATCCTTTTGATTAAGGATTGAAAATGACTTCTGTAATTACAGGTGAAAAATATAGAGATTGTATAATTCATAATTATATTATATAGCTGTTGATCCAAAAGAAAATACTGAAGTATAAAGATAATGGGTTCATTGTGGGGATTCTGGATTAAAAACTGCTTAAAATAATTTGAGATCTAGTAGTATTTAGAATTATAAGAAAACTGCTTATTAAGTTCATCCATATGATATAGCTACAAGTTTACCTTTAGGAGGTATATAATTAAAATATGTAGATGGTGTTTACACTCTACATCCTAAATATACAGATCCTGGATAATTTAGACATATTAGAAGTGATGTAACTAGAATTATGAACAAACCAATCACAAGAAAATGATATACAATTTTAGGATTATCCATTCATCTAAAAATTGCAAGACTTCTATAATAGGAGTCATTCTTTCAATAATAATCTTTATCTTATTAATATAAATTTCATTTTGCTAAATGTAATAATGCACCCAAAGTTCCAAAGAACACAGTTGAGCCCAAAGCTTATTATTTGGTTCTCTACCAATCCCAAGGCATATGGTTTTTATGATATAAGACACCAGAATTGCTCTTCAAATATGGATAATCTAAGTGATGATCAGCATCCAAATCATAAGTTCTAAAGAGGTCTTAAACATAAAGTTATACCTCATATTTCTCTCATCCAAAGGAGTATTGAAGTTAGCTCTCTCCAAAACAACCTTACCAATCTTGTCTGCATTCTTAAATCCAGTAAATTAGGCCATTAATTGGAGGTCTGCATAATTCCATTATGAATTTCTGCGATTAGCAACATTTCCAAATGAATTGTCTTATAATTCAGGTAATTACGATAGGAAACAATCAAATGATTATACTGAAGCATCTTCTAATTTATGTCTGTCTGGTATTTCCTTATATTCATAAGGCACAAATCCTAAAGATACAAGAAGCTATTATTAAATATTTTATGTTACTCCTTCCTATACTGTTTGATCTGCATCTTCCTTTGTAACAAATGGAACCACACATTCATATCCTGGCTTATAAAATTCTGTTCTTGGCACCATCATCTATAAGTAATGGAGTGGTCTTCCCTTTACTCTAACTCTTCTGTATAACCACTCATTTAAATTTGAACTATTCCATGGTGGACTAACAAGCTCTTCATCTCTGAGCTCATATATTGGTTTCTTGAGTTATTCCTTTCTGAATTAAATTTCTTATTCTCTCCATTATTTTTGAACTTAGGCATAAAATGCATATAACAATGATCCACCACTCAGACCAGCACAAATACTAAAAATCTAGCTTATATATAATTTACTATTTGTAAGTTGGACATTGAGCATTCATTCTACTGAATCCACCTAATTATTTAAGCACAAGTGCCATATTTATTATTTATATTAATAATAATAAACTTTTAGATATGAAATCAAAAATAAAATGTTTATTAATAAGTTCTATAAATTATTATTATTCAAATATTTTAATACAAGAAATAATCTCTAATTTTCGTAATCCATTTATATATTAGTTCATATTTAATAAGTTGATTATAATCATAATATCAATTAATTACCTGATTAATCATTTATTTATAGAACACATATGAAAAACTCTAAACTTCTTGTTGATCAAAAAGATAACAAAATGGTAAAGTCTGTTAATCTAAGTCTCTATACTATACCAGACTCTAAAAAACACTAAAATTTACAGAAATCTAAAGATGAGTATTATATGTAGATTTCTCCTCATTTTGAAACTCATACTCTTACATTTACTAATAAAATTAAAAAGGTGAAGTGTATATAGCATGAGGACATGGACACAGAAGAATCAGTTAAAACAAGTGAATCACCAAAAACTGACAGATCCTAAAAGACATCATAAAAAACTCATTTAGAGTAACCAAAAAGTCTCTTTTATAATGAAATCAAATGTTCAAGAAGACTCAAGACTGAATAATGATAAATATATATATTTACATTATCACAATTGCTATTTAAAATTTTTGATTCTTAATTACAACAATACATTATTTTAAAACAATCAAAATTTTTTCAAAATAATTGTTTTTTTATAATTCCTTTAATTCAAATAATCTCAAAATTATTTATATTTTGATATTTTAATTCAAATTGTGTAGTATATTGTCATTTTTACTTCCAATATTACATTATAGGATGATATCATATAAAAGACATCGTTTAAATTAATCTTTCATATTTTACATTTACTTAAATCAGATTTATTTAAAGAATTCTAAAAATTAGATAAGAATAAAATCATAATAAATTATGAAAATATAGATCACTTTAGTCTGAAATTGATCAAGGATTATCTATTAAAATATTTTTATAATTTAATTCCTTTTTATTTCTTACATAACGTATTGCTTTAATATACCTTTTGTCAACAATTAAAAAGTTAAAAAGGAAGCTTCAAAACTACCAATTTTTGTTTGATTGATGTTTCAGCTATTCTGTCTAACAAATCAGATTAAGAATATAATTTTTAGTATAAATTTTTTTTAATTTATTTTTTAGGAATTGAAGATGAGTTTACTATACATTTAGCAATGTAATTAACATATTTAGATTATAAAGGAAATACATAAATTCTAACATTATAAGGTTAAAATAAATAATAATAATTAATTTTTTATGCTTTATCTAATTGAACATTTATCTTGAATAATTATAAATTTGAAATCAAGAAAAGGTATTATTACTCTAAAAAAATGATGCAAGTTATTAATTTTGTCAAGGTATTCCCAAATGATGAAGAAGTAACAGATTAAGTATATGATGTATTATGAGTTTATGGTTTAAAACCAGATTTAAAGTTTATTGATTACCTCTAAAAGAAATCCAGTAGACTGTAATTTAAGAACAATAAGGAACTTCTACTAAAGGAAGATAAGCAATTAAATTAGGATTAGGGTATGGTTAAAAAATCATATAAAAGTTAAAAAAAAGTAGTGAAAATTGAATATTAATAAAATGGAATAGATGTAAATACAATTGCCTATGATATCCATTTATTTAATTATAATTATTTTAGATATAAAAATATGTTTAAACTAAACTTTTTTAAGGATTTGAATGAAATGTAATGATCAGAAATTTTTAATGTAAAATATTTAATAGATTTTAGAATTTTCTACTCATAGATGGAAATTATCTATTTTTTAAATTATACTTAAGTATTGAAGATGTTATACGTTAATATATTAAATTGATTTCAAAATCCTTATGCTGATAATAATAAATAGAAGGAATATACTACATAATAACTTTTGTATTTGTAAATTAAATTAAAATTTCGAAAAATAAAAGTTTAAGAAATAAGAAAGTGTATTAGAGATTGTGGGGAAAGATGTAGTAAATATAAATAAATGTTTGTTATGATTTATGATTTATAAATTATATTTAATTATTAAGAGAGTTTAAGTTATTTTTAGTTATTTTAGAGAATTTCTTATGATGAATTAATTATAATTAGAATAGATTTTTGAGTGCAGAAGTTATGAGATAATATTGTCTTTAAGCTTTTTAAAACAATTTTTGGTTTATGAATATCATAGAATTGAATTATATATAGATAAATTGCTGGTAGTTTAACATGCTTAGAGATTAATATATCATTAATCATTAAGAGCACTCTTTTAGATTTATTCAATCTAATTTTTTAATTTGTTTTCTTCTGATCTATTTCTTTGAAAAGTTAGTTAAAATACATTTCCTACTTGAATATTTGGAGGTAGATAATGACTTGGTATATTGAATTCACTAAAATCATCACCTAATAATTTAATTTAATTGCTTATGCTTATCACAGTACTATTGATGCCTAGAATAAATTAAAGTAGTTACAATATTTAGTTTCAATGTTTTTACATTTAGTCTAAGGCTCAATTTCACTTTAGTCTAACATATTTTCAATTTATGATAAACTTATATCACAATTTTCTTCAGTTTATAATTACAAATTTGACATTAAAATATGTTTTTTAGAATCAAAGATAATAATACTATAAAGCATAATTCATCAATTATATCCACTAATCAAATAGATGAGATCATTCTAATATTTAATATATAAAAAAATTGTGATCACTTTTTAAATAAATTTAATTTATGTAATAAGATTAAATGTAAACAAATAAAAGACTTTAATTCTAAGAAATAGTAGATAAACACTTTGATGATTCATTACCATTATTTATGGATATTCTTAGAGTACCTAGTCAATCTAGAGAATTCGATCCTGAATATTTAACCAATGGATTACTATTATAAACAGCCAAATTATTCTAAGTATTGGTTGAGAATTTAAAATTGAAAAGTACATTATAGATATAATATAGATGCTAAAATTGAATTATTTACAGATGAAGGACTATCTCCTTTCTTATTTGTAGAAGTTGAAGGCTCAGATGGAGGAGCAGATGGAACAGTCTTATTTTATGGTCATATGGATAAATAGCCACCATTTACAGGATGGAGAGAAGGATTATCAGCATATGATCCAAAAATTATAAATGATAAATTATATGCAAGAGGAGGAGCTGATGATTCATATTCCGTTTTGGGATCTGTAATTGCTATACGAACAATTTAAGATTTAGGATTAAAACATCCTAGAGTAGTGATGATATTTGAAGCTGATGAGGAGAGTGGATCAGATCATATAGAACATTATTTGAATAAATTAAAAGATAGAATAGGAAATGTTGATTTAATTGTATGTTTAGATTCAGGTTGTGGTAATTATGATTAATTCTGGTCAACTACAACATTAAGAGGATTAGTAGGAGCAAATGTTACAGTCTAAGTATTAAATGAAGGAGTGCATTCTGGTGATGCATCAGGAGTTGTACCATCTTCATTCAGAATTTTCAGATAATTATTAAATAGAATTGATGATCCTAAAACAGGAGAAGTAGTTGATGATTTTCAAGTGACAATTCCAGGAGAAAGATATATTCAAGCATAAAAAACAGCTGCTATTTTTTCAGAAGGATTAATCAATAAGTTTCCTTTACATGGAAATACATAACCAGTCTCTCTTGATACTTTCAAAACATATATTAACAAAGTTTGGAAAGCTTAACTTGCTATTGTTGGAGCTGATGGACTTCCTAATGCATAAACTGCTGGTAATGTATTGAGACCTGAAACCACTCTAAAATTATCAGTTAGACTACCTCCTACTAAGGATCCAAAAGAGGCTGAAGAATCATTTGTGAGAATTGTAATATATTCTATTTAACTTAGTTAACAACTAATGTTCCATATGGTGCTACCATAAAAATTGAAGGACTCAATTCAGGAGCTGGTTTTAATGCTTTAGATAATAAACCTTATCTTGATTAACTTATTAATGATGCATCTAACATATTTTATGGAAAAGAATCAGTTACTTTTGGTGAAGGAGGGTCAATTCCTTTAATGAACACACTGTAATAATAATTTCCAAAAGCACAATTTATAATTACAGGAGTCTTAGGTCCTAATTCAAATGAACATGGACCAAATGAATGCTTAGATTTGCCTTATACTAAGAAGTTGATTAGCTGTATTGCTTATATTGTTAGTGGAGCATAAGAGCACTTAAAAAAATGAGTAAAATAAATAATTTATAAAAAATATGACAACTTGGAGGGCATTAATCTCACCATCTAATAATGTGTCTCTATTAGAATCATATAAGGAATCGATAGACAATAGAATTCACACTCAACCTAAAGGAAGACATACTAAAACTATTACTTAGAGTACAAATATTTCACATCAGAAACCAACTATTAAGAGATTACATTCAAAATCTATAGATATTGATTAAGCATTTATTAAATCATCATCAGATAATTTATTAGATGTATTTAAATTAATTATTTAAAGGAAATTAATGTTATAGATGAGAAATCTCAATTTGATGAGATAAAAGTAATGTTGATAAGTAATTCGATTAAATTGAAAAAATTACATGAAGATATTGACATATTTGATTATAATTAAAGACAAATTAAAGCATTATAAAAATAAATTTAGTTTTAGAGAAGTAAGTATAATTTATAAATTAATTCGTAAATAAATCATTGCTTTAAAAAGTTGTAGCAAATTTAAAGCAATTTAAAAATAAATTATTGATAGAATTAAATGATTTTAGTAAATATGTATATATTTTTTATATCAATAATTATTATATACATATATATCATAATTTATAGAGTATTTATAGCAAAACTATCAATTATCTAAAATATTTATGATTTAAAATAAATTACTTATTAATATATAATATTTATAATAAAGTAAAGTCTTAAATTTAGAAAAAGTATTATAATTTTACAATTAACTTTATAATTCTTAATCAAATTTAGATATTTTTTATAATTTTATTATTCTAGAGACAACTAATAAAATTAAGTATACTTAAATAAAAAATGAGAATTAAATAATTTATATGTCTGATTTTTAGATAAATCATATATAAATGAATTTTCTAATTTTGATTAAGATTCCATTTTAATTGATTTTATATTAGTATATATCTTATAATAAATTTCTGGTTTTTATATTGTTTATATGAATTTATAGAAATATGAATAAGTTCTATATAATTAATTTATATAATAATGGAAACTTAAATCACATTAAAGATAAAAACATTAGATAATCAAATCACTTCATTAGTTGTAGATCCAAATAATACAGTATAATAATTGAAATAAGTAATTTAAACTCAACTAAACATTCCTTTTGATAAGTAAAGACTGATTTACTAAGGGAGAGTTTTAGAGAACAACAAAACTTTATAAGATTATAAAGTATTTAGTAAATGAATTGACATAGTTATAAAATGATCATGTTATTTTATTACCAGGATAGCCAATATAAGAAGATTAACTAGTCTAGAATTAAACTCAATAATAATAATAGTAGTAATAAACATAAGGTGTTAATGAATTCCCTGAAATAGATATCTTAAGTAACATTCTAAGAACATTAAGTAAAAGAAGTTAATATTTTAGGGCAACATTAATATAATCGATAGAATGTAAGAAGAATGGTTCAATAATAGAGGAGTAATGGTATCAAAATTCAATAATTTTTAATTAGGTTTCAATTTAGATAAACAATTGTCATTAGAGAGTATAAGATAAAATTACTAAACCCTTAAATAGTTATTAGATTCTTAAGTGAAACCTGAAGAAGTAAAGCAAGAAGATTTATAAGGTATATAATTATAATTATATTTCTAGGTGAATATTTAAATCCATTTGATCCAAAGAAAAGGAAGTTTTAAGTTGGATAATGGATTGATGTAAAAGATACGATTGATTAGTGGGTATAATATATTTTATAAATATATTTTAGCTTGAAGCATAAGTATAAATAGTGGAATAGGATAGAGTTTTTGTTCATTATAATGGTTGGGGTAATAGATGGGATGAATGGATTGATACTTAATCTGCAAGAATAGCTACTTTTCGAACTTATACTGTAGGTAGTATTAACTAAGAATTTTTATCTCCTAATCCTGTTAGTGATCCTGATTGTGAAGTAGAAAAATAAGAGATTGATATGCACAAATTCATTTTTGATGTTGGACATATGATGAATTAAGTTACTTAATTATTAATAGAATTTGGAAGATTTGAAAACAACAAAAGAATTGCTGAAAAATAGATATAATTATAATAACAATACTAATAAATGTTAATGAATAAAAATAAAGAAATAAATACTGAATAGAACATTCAAGAAATGATGAAAAAAGAAAAAGAACTAAATGAATATGAAATTAAATCTAGTTTAATTGGATCATAATTAGCACCAATATTTGATAGAATGGGTAGAATGATGACAGATTTGGCACCTCATTTAGCTATTATGGGATCTAAAACATAAAGAGTCAATAATAATAATTAATAATAATTGCTTTTTTAAGTTCCTGTAACTTTAACACCAAATGAAATGTACTAATCATAATAAAATGCTCCAACTCTTCATAGTCGTCTAGAAATAATTAGCAATAGACTTGCTATACTAAGAATGACTGAATATATTCAATAAGAAGATAGTGATGATGATCATATTATTATCTGATTTTATACATAATTTTTGTATAATTTATACATAAAATATATGAGTCTAATCAACAGAAGGAAATTAAACAAAATTAATAAAGCAAAACAACAATCATATAATACTCACCAATAATGTCCCTATATTGGAGAGTATAATGAAGCACCTTCATATACTTTAGATAATAAATACTTATTAACAGGTTATCGAATTAATTACAATACTTTGGGTCTTGCATTAAGTAAATAAAATATGATTTTAAATAGAAAGTATGTTTCATAAACATAATGAGACTTGTAACATATGGTCTCACTTATTGCCATTATTTCTATTTTTGGGTTTATTTATTTATTCTTAGATTTAATAGATTGCTCCATTTATATCTTTTATGAAAGAATCAGAAAATCATTATTCTGATATCTAATTATGGCCCTTACAATACTGTTTATTATGTGCCATTATTTTATTTACTATTTCCACAACATATCACACTTTTTTTTGTGTTAATAAGACTTTGAGTTGTGTTCTTTTAAGACTAGATTATGGTGGAATATGTTTAGTAGCAAGTGGAGGAGTCATACCAGTAATACAGTATGGCTTTTATTGTAATCAGTAAATAAAAGATATATATACATTTATGATTATTCTGCTATGCATTCTTACATTTATATCAAGTCTATTTGATTATATGCATAAAGAGTAATTTGTGGTTTATAAAACACTTATATATGTAATGTTTTTTACATTTATTTTCACTCCAGTATTTCATTTGATGATGTTCAGCAGATATAATTTATTGGGAGGTCATTTTCACTTTAATGATACTGAAAACTATTTTTTGGTTATGCTAATATTCTTAATATCAGGCATTACAACATATGCTACTAGATTTCCAGAAAGATGCTATCCCAGAAGATTTGATATCTTTGTATTCTTTCAATTAATCCTAGATCAACAGTCATACCATTTGGCATATCTTTGTTGTTTTATCTTATTCAACCACATATATAATGTCACTTAATATGTATACAATTAGAGAGAACTATAAGTGCACATGAAAAATTATATCTGTATCAGTTTATATGTATTTATCAATTTAAATTTGAATATCAAAATAGATATTATATATCTCCTTATTATTTATAGTATTAATGTTAATTAATAAATAGGATTCTTGAATATAATTATATTAAAAATTAATTAGAAATATTTAATTTATATATATTATTAATTTTTAATGGATTGGACTTCTTTTAAATCAAAGTTTGCTTATCAGATTTATTTTTCTTATACTCTTCCTGATACTCATGAATAAATGATTGAAACTTTATGTAAGGATTAATTTGAGACACCTTTACATTATAAATAATCAAATATCAGATTTTAAGGAGCATCATTAAAAAAATTATTAAAAAAAGATTCTAATATTATTCATGACCTATAAAATGTACATGATTTTGGTGATCAAATATTGAGAATGAATTAGTAATTATTTTATTTATTTAATTTAAGCTAAGAGATAAAAAAATAAGTTCCATATTTTTTAATATGATCAATGGTTTTTTATTATGAAAATAAATAAATTTTATTTTAATTTAGAATCCATTTTATTTTATGAATTTTAAATTATTTTAATAATATGTTATCTGTTTGTATATGATATCATATTTATAATTGAATAATATTAATGTAATCAACTCATGAATCATAATAATCATATTCATCTTCAAATTGTTTTTCATCTTCTAAACAATCATCAAATCCCCAAATACCAATTCCATTTGCTTTTGCTTCTATTTCAAAGTTTTTAAACTCTTTTAAAGGATTATACAAAACTCTATTATCTATTCTTCCTAATCTATTTTATTTATACATCAAGTTTATACCCTTTTTCTAAAACAATTTTGTTAATTGTGAATTTTAATTCATCTGGCTGATCTTATGGTTATAGAGTTACAAATTATCTATTAGACTATTTCTCTATATATGCAACTTTAGAATCAAATTATTAATCAAGAAGTAATTCCCTAAATTTATCAGATGCCTCTTCTGCATATTCATGAGGTTAAGGAGGAACTCTCAAATAAGCTAAAGAACACATTTTAGCCTATTAAGGAATATTTGTAAATTAAGCTGGTAAAATACCCATGTCTTAATAGTTGACTTCATCATTATTTCCATAATCTATAAACTTTATTAAAAATTTATCATTCTTAAATGCTTATAATACTTATGCTCTATAAATTCTATTGTCTTCAGAAAATCTTGCTAAACATAGAGTTCCTTTCTTAACTGGTTTCTTGAGAGGCTAAATAATAATAAGAAATTAAAATTACATTCAATTAAGCATTTTCAATTTATATTTCGAGATTTTCAAATTCAGGATTAGATTCTTTTTTAATATAAAACTCATTGCAATCATTGACAGCAGTTACTATAACTTTTTAAATCTATTAATTTTCAATTCTCTATATGTTTCCCTAATTACTTTTTTGTTTTTTTAAAGTTTATTTATTTTATGAATAGTCTATTATAAATTAAGCATATGATTCATTCCAAAATCCTTTCTTCTGTTTTTCTGCCTCTTTCTATGCCTCCTCATATTTACTATAAAAATCAGTATTATTTTTAATAAATGTTAAACCTAGCTTAAGCAATTATAGAGTAAAATCAGTATCTTTATTATTTTTCTTCTCATATATCTTTCCATAAAACATATTCTCTTCAATATTAAAGCTTTCAAAATTAATCCAAGCATTTCTTTACATTAAAACATAATAACTAAACTATTATCTTTACTCTTCATATTTTGTAACATTTGGAAAACTAGTTTCAAATTCTGATAGTTTAGCTATACCTTATATGGTAAATTTAACCATTGTATGATACTTTAAAATAGTTATTATAAATTATCCATTAGGCAATATTTTATCTATCAATACTTCTAGTTGATTATCATCTTTTATTGCAATACCAGTACTCACTGCTGATTATTATTAACTTTATATATCTCTTTGAATGCTCGACCATATTATTTCATTTACACTCTTTCCTTATTTTTAATCTGTTTAATCTTCAATTCTCCAAGTCAATTCTGGACTATATTATCCTATTTTCTTCTATTTAGCTTGCAGATTCATTTATTTAAATTGTTGAAACTTAAATTTTGATAATTATGGATGATTCTCCTTAGCTGTTGCCCATCCATTAACTATAAGTTCTTCTTCAATATCTAAATTATTATCACAAAGTTGTATGGTTTATAATGGCATATTATCACCTACTTCCAAAATATTAACTTTCTTTCCTATTAATAATTTTCTTGCAAATTCTTTAGCTTCTAATCCTTCAATGAAAATTCTATCTAATTTGATTGTCAATATCTCCTTATCTGTTTTCACTAAATATTAATTAGCCTCAATTATTTCAACAATTTATCCAGTAATTTAAGAACTAACTGAATTGAGCATTCTTCTATCCAATTCTCCATTTTTCCAAAGTCCTAAATTGTTTTTCTTAGCCTCCTCTTAACATTAAAATAATAATTGAAAAGAATTTTGGGGTAAATTCATTTTGCTATATTTTAATTAAATGATTACCCCCAATCTGTAATATATGCAAATCCATTTTAAATTAATGAAGAATAAAATTAATTGCCAAGTTCATTATTTTTTTAGCTAGTAGGATATAAGTCAGCTTTTAAAATTGGAAAATGAATATAATTTCTTTAATTATTGACAGTCATAATTTAAGTTCCTTTAAATGTTATACTAAACTCTCTATTAAGCCACTCTTTCTATAATAATTTAGAGTATCCTTATTCTTAAATTGCAAATTCTTTTTTAAATTATAATGATTACCATCAATAAAGATAGCATTAGGAATTAAACTTATGATTGTATCTTTATTATATAGGAAGTTTAAAATATTTCCTTCAAAAGATACTAAGATCGCATCAATAGTTTTATTTCTATACTATTTAATAAAATCTAAAACTATCTAAGTTTATTTTGATTCTTCATTTTAAATCCCAATAAGTTTTAAATGAATTTCAGTTTCATTAGGAATCTCTTATAATAAGTCTTTTCCATTTATTTGTAATTAATTAGTTTTGGTCATGTATTATGCTTCCTTATTAACTAATTGCAATTATTAAAAATAGATATTAAGAGCCTTTTGATTAATATTTAATTTGCTTCTTGTTAAAAAATTAGGAATTCCATTCCCGACAATAATTGTCTTCTATTATTAAGTTTATATCAAAAACTAATTAGGTGAAATCAAGGATAGTATTTTGCATGGTTAGAGAGCCATCTAATATAATAATTAATAAATTCTTTAATTATATATGTTATTAATAATTAAATAAAATTTTATTCTTATAAAAAATTGATACTTAAGAAAATCCTAAAGAAAAATCATATATTAATTAATATTTTTAATTTTCATAATTTGCGATCTCTTTATTGTTATTTTTGAATTTCACTATATTACTTTTCATTTTATCTCTTTAGCTCTCAAAAATTTATTTTCCTTTAAAGTAAAACAATGCCCACATCCAAAAACCATATATAATATAAGTATTTTAATTATAAATAAAATTATAACAAAAATTGTGAACTTTGATTATTTAGATATTTTAAATATTAAAAATTTTTAATTTATTTGCACTACTTCTAGATTCTAATTTTGAAATATAGTATTTTCAATTTACACACAAATAATTATTCAATAATTTAGTGTTGTATTAATTTTTTGATTTTATATAAAAAATACAATCAAATTATTCTTTATGAAAGTAAATAATAAATTTCTTATTATTACTAAAAACTTTATTCTTCTATATTCTTTTAATCCAATAATTAATTAAAATAATTAACAATAAAACTTTTGAATTATTGCATTAACATAATAAAATTATATAATTTCAATATCTAATCATTTGATAATAAATTTCTTTTGGTAAATAGTGAAAAGATGTTTTATTAATTTAAGAATGATGATTATATAAATTATAATCAATCATTCTATGTTAATATTTGAAATAATTATCGATTTATTTGGAAATTGTCTAAACTATTAATTTTTATCTGAACTAATTATCCTTTTTCTAAATTGTTTACTCGATGATCGGTTTAGCTAATTTGATATTAAATTCACTGTTTTGTATTATTAAATCAATGCAAATTCATTGAGACTTATCAGATTAAAACTGTTATCAATTTATGATGTACTGTTTCTTTTAAGACTGATTGAACTTATTGGTCTTGAAATAGAAAATTTCTTAGATTTTAGTTATTCAATAGAATGAATAGTTGATGCCTCGTTTTCTTTTTTCCCAATAAATAATTCACTCTTGTTATGAAGTGTTTTTCTTCTATTGTTTATTTATTAATAATATTCGTAGTAAAACCTTTTCATTTATTTATTTAATCAATTAATATATTTTGATGATTGATTATATAATCAATTATAATATAAAAAAGCTATCTAATTATTTAAAAACTTTCCAAACATTCTTAAAATTTATACATATTAAAATATTGAAAAAATAAGTATATTTTAAAATTTAATCATAAGAGTATTGAAAATTATTTATATATGGATGCTATAAATTGAAACGTTTACTAGAATATCAACATATTGATATTTTTCAACAAATGAAACTTTAAAATTCACTTATGATATATAAATTGATAAAAATTAAAACTCATAATATTTTATCAGAAGAGACATACAAATTCTAAAAATATTAAGTAATAAGAAGAATATTATATATAATTAGAAATCTAGAAAATAATTAACAAAAATAATATATACTAAAAAATGCTGAACTAGTTTAAAAGACTAATCTATATAAATAAAGCACAATTAATTATCATCACTTATTAATTTTATGCAGTCTAGATCAGATTATATCAGTTTATTTGATTTAATCAAATGCGTGGAAGTATTAATGTTTATTTAATTTCTATATAACTTCTAATTTTAAACAAACATTTTGTTTTAAATAGAGACTTAGCTCTCTTTATTATTTATTTATACTCATTTTCTATTAGTTTATCCATAATAAAATATATACAAGTTTAATTATCTATTTCCTCTATCAATAAAGAATTTGAATAAAGAAATGGATGATTAAGTACTGAAAATTATACTTGAATAATTAACACAAAAATATCTGGTATTTTGATTAATTAAATCTTCTTTTTAATCTAACATCAAAACTAGAGTCTCTAAAACTCATGAACTTTAACCTCCCTTGCTTTATTCCTTCATACCCTATTTAATAAACAGCCTTTGTTTATGTCCCATTCTTTTAATCTTATCCTTAATTCAATTACTAGGTATAGCTTTAACCAATTTAAACATTTATGCCTTAAAATGAATTAATATAATAGCTTCCCCAAGTTGAAATTCAAGAGCTCAACTAGAGAAGAATAGAATAGCCACAATAAAAAGAAACAGAAAATTCTTCATCTACTTCACATTCATTGGCTATAATGAGTGCCAAAATTACAGAAGATAAGCCAATGTAAAAATAGGAAAAAAATTAAAAATCCTCAAATCACTTAAACAATTAGGTTTAATTTGAAAAAGAGTCAAAGAATATATAAAAGAATTACGCTAAAGCCATTGCTAGCTTTGTTTATAAAAATAAGTCATTAGCTTCTAAAATCTTAGGCAATCAAGGAGTTGATGAATTTATTTAATTAACAAAGTTAATAAAAAACTAGATCTAAAATGTTAGTCATATTTCTTAATATACAAACAATTAAGATTTTATTAAGGCTTTTAGAATTTTAGGGTATTAATAATATATGTAAATTATTATTTAGAAACTATTTCTTAAAAACCAAAAGTAATTCTTATATATTCAACTCAAGAATATTAAAAAAGAATAGCCATCTTAGACATAAAAAATTGATCCACCATAGTCTTTTAAGATGTTGAAATTTAATAAATAATATTCATAAAAATAATATTTTCAATTATAATTAATATAATTCTGATACTATAAACAATTTATTTGAGTTAAATTAGTTCATGAATTAAGATTCAAATATAATTTAACAAATCCTAAAATACATTTCTTACATTTTCTAATTAAAATATATATAATATTTTTCATAAAATTTTCAATAAAATTATACATTTCATGAACTCATTAAATAATGTCTTTAGATGATTCTAATATATTTTGTAGACCTAATAATATTATTGTTTTTTCTTTGAATTTTAAAATTTTCAATTAATTTTGCAATAACAAATAAACTCAAGTAAGAAATTTTAATATTTTCTTTAAGTAACTTAGAAATGATAAATATACTCATATAACTGCCAATTTTATGTGAAATAAATCATTACTTTATGATTCTTAAGAATTACTATGACTTATGTCTTATAATAAGTTAAACTTATAGACAACTTCCTTATACGATTGCTTTTTATTTTTGATAATGAAAATAATAATTAGGTTAGATATCATTAAAATCATTCAAACAAGGCTATTTAGTTAAATATAATAAGCATTTCAAATAAAGAAGAATAATTATATATATTTATAGACATGATTTTACTTAATTAATAGAATCATGTGAGTAACTTGATTAAGCATACCTCTTTATCCACTTTGATATAATTTTTAACTGTTGTTTGTAAATTATAGAAAAAAAGATGTTCCAAAAAGAAATTTTACTAAATTTTGTTTTCATTAAAAACCGAAAATCTAGTAATAGAAAATTAAATTCAGTGAAATAAAAATGCTGATAACATATTAAAACCTACCTCACTTTTATTTAAAAAATCAATATAAACCGTATTTTTTATGAATTTTTGTAAAATAAAGTAAAAATAATTGTGTTTTATGGAATTTTAATGAAAAAAGTAAAAATTTCTTGAAAATTTTAATTGAATATATTAAGTAAATAAACCGAAATCAATTGTTTATAAAGTAACATACTAATCGATGTTAATATTTATTAAATCTAATGTGGAATCAATAATTCTTACCAGCTTACAATCTTTATGCATAACCTTAATAACCTCTATTTTATCCTATATACTTTATTCCTGTCCTTAATGGGTATCAGGGATATTCTGATGGAAATTTAAGCAATTCTTTAACAACCTAACTAACCTAATAACCTCCTTAAATTGCTTCATAAGAAGTACCTTTATTACCTTCTTGTTCACCTTTTAATGAAAAATAAGTCTAAGAATCTATAGAAAGCATCGATTCGGTGGTTGTGAAAAATAAATCTAAAAATAACTCACAATCAAAAAGTCTTTCATAAAAATCTACAAATATATAAAAAAATTATGCTAAAGCTATTGTCTAATACATTTTGAGACAAAGAATAGAAATCCTAAACTATTTGGGAGAAAAATAAGGCATAGAATTTCTAAAATTACTCACTTAACTAAAAAATAACATTAAAAATGTTAAACATTTAATTAGGTATACCAATAATGAAAAATAATAAAAATTATTTAGAATCCTATCTAATAGGTTTCTAAAGAAAGAAGCTATAGGATATGTTTATAATTCGAATATAAAATCGACAAGTTAACACATATTATATAGACATCTAATTTAACTTAATTTGTAAAAATATTGAGTTAGATAAGAGATATAACCTTGATTCTTATTAATCAAACATATTATATATCTATTTTCAAATATTTTCATATTTTTAGTGACTCAATCTAAATTCCAATATTTTTTTTTTCATTTTTTTTTCATTTTGCTATCAGAGATTCATCTTACATTCCCACTTATTATTAATAAATATCTTATTAAATTTAAGTAAGGTCTATTAATATTCATTATGAATATTTTCGATCAGTGTTATTTATTAAAGAAAACTTTTTTTTTTATCTCTGGAGGATAAATTACATATTATTACAACTAAATTCTATAATATATAAACAGCTACTTCTATCTCTTATCATATGATTGGGAAAAAAAATATTATTGATAATAATGAAGTTTATTAAAATATATATGTCTAATAATAATAGATAATTGAACAAATTTTGTAAAAATAATGATAATATATTAAATAAATAATTTCAATTATATAGTAGCAAATAAAAATAAGGGAATTTGAAGAATAAAAATACAATATTGTAATTTTAATTTAGAAAATATTTGTTTAATTTTAATACTTAAAAATATCAAATGATAATTACAAACAATCTATATATAAAATTCATTTAATATAAATAAAACTTTTGAATAATGAAATAGAGCTATAGATTAATATTTTTGTTTAAATTTAAATACTCTAAATTAAAAATCAAATTATAGTTTTAGAATAATCAATAACGCACTCAATATAGGATCTTGTATCATCTAATTTATCCCATTACTATTCTAAGATTTATACTATCTTCAACAAGGTTTTTTTTAGTTCTTCATCCATTGATAAATCTATATCTTCTCTTGCTACCTAATAAATATTTAATATTAAATTACTTCTATAAATCTCATCAAATATGTAACTTTTAAATCTAAATCAATTGTATTTTGAAGGCTTTCTTCAAATATTCTAAAAATTTTAATTTAATTTTGTGGTTTACCCATCAAAATACTTCTTAATTCATAATCATATGAAGAAGGACTTAATTTTTTAATCAAATTAATTAATTAAACATCCTCTTATTCAACTAAGACTTCAAATTCTGATTTTAATTCAGCTAAATAATGATCTTTTTTTTATTTTAAAATTTTAGTTTTTTCCTTTACTTATTCTTTTATTTCATTTAAAATATTTTATTTTTCAACATCAGTATTTCTAAAATCCAAAAAGAATGGCATTTTAACATCTGCATCAGCAAGTTTAACTCTATTTCTTTCTCTAATTTAATCAATATTTTATATAGGAACCCATCTTCCTTCTTCTAAATTTGTAAAACTTATAAAGTCCTTATTATTAGAAGTATCCTTAATTATCAATTTATCTTTAGCATCTTTTTCCTCTTCCATCTTTTAAACCTAATTAATTTGATTACCATATAAGATAGATCTATAATCCTTAGATTTAATTGAAAGATCAGAATGAAAATTAATATCACATTTCAATTTAGCTTTTGCTATTTGTTATGGATTATTTAAATAACTCATCCAAACATTGATTTATCTAGAATTTAGAAATACTCCAATTAATTGATTTTCTGAAATATCTATTGAAATAAGAGCTTTATTGATAGAAATTTCTTAAACCAAATTACCATATATTAAATTCCAAATTTTAATTTTCTTATCAAGAGATGTTGAAATGAAATGTTAATTATCAATTGTCATAGCCATATCCAATATCTATTGATTATATATATTAATTTACTTTTTCGTTATGACCTTCAAATGATCTAATAATTCTCATGGTTGAATAATCAATAGCTAAAATCTTATGATTTTACAAGGATACAACAGCAATTTAAGCTGATAGTGATCCAATAAACTTAGAAACATTTGATTCAATAATTAAGGTTTTTAAATTTTAACCAGAAACAAAATCTAATTATTCAATTTGACCTTCCTCAGCAACAATTAAAAATATATTAGATGGATCTATATACATTTATAAGAAATTGGATTATAGATTCTAATATTATTACAATTTAATTTACATATGACATTTAAAAAAATCCACTTTACATAATAAATTTATGAATTTTATTTAGATTTGCAATAAATCCATAATTTCCACATTTTGAAACAAAAGTTTATTATATTCTTTCATGACTATTTAATCCATTTACTTTTGTAGTTAATTTTTTTTAATAAATATTCCAAAATTCAACATAATTTGAATTATTTGTTGTTAACATATTAGCCCAATCATTTTCTCTTAAAGTAGAAAATGAAAAATTCTTAATTTATCCTTGTTTGATAGCTGTAAGATTTTGGTTTACAATAGATTAATAAAGTATTTCATCTTTAGTTATAGCAACATAATTAATTTATGGTTCTCCTAATTAACCATAAAAATGACATTATTCAATATTTTATTTAACTCCTTATCTTTCTCTAATTAATTACATCATTTTATGTTCTTCAATTGTATATTATTATATACTATTTCCTTATTAAGAACCTATCACTAAAGTATTATTTGCTAAAAACAAAACCCAATCAATTAAGTATTCATGCTTAAATGTATATATTAATTCTTAAGAGTTTAGATTATATAAAATTAATGATTTATCTTAGACAACACTCATAATAGGAATACTTCCAGATTTATTAAATTGTATATCTTTAATTTATGATAATCCTAATTCATATTTAGCAATTATTTCGTATGTCAATAGATTAAAAAATATAATTTCACTTGGATTTTAAGTTGCTATAGCTACTATATCTAATGCTTAAGTTTCTTTTACTAAATGAATTGTTTATTCTTATTTATTGAAAATGGATTATTAAAATATTGTTGTTACTATACTAAGAGAAATGATGTTAATTATTTTGATGTATTGTGAAGTGTACAAAAGTATTTTATTTAAATATGTGGGAATGTGAAGAATACCTTTAATACCTTAAAAGTTCATCACATTATCATTTATATGTAATTTATGTTTTGTGGCTATTATCTTGATTGGATGAAATACTAAGATTTATTCAATTTTATCATCGTATTCCTTTTCATCTATTACATTTCTTTTAATTGTATAAACTTTCTTTCCACATCCTACATACATGAATTCATTTTAGCAATAAATTGCTCTTATTTTTTTATTAAATATAATGCCATCTAATATGTATTTCAAATCAGGAATAGAGTAAATACGATAATTGTATTTGTTTACTACAATCAAATTCTGATTCATTATTGGTTTAATACTTGAGAGATCTAAACCACTAAATTTTTCAGGAATAATCATTTAATTAATTTTTAATTTATAAACAATTCTTAACAAAATGCTAACTAAATTGTATATAATATTAAAGTCTTTCATTAAAAATATAGATTTATAATCATTTAAATATGAAATCCTTAATCTATACATTTTTATTATGAAAAATATTTATCCATCTAATCTTTCATTATTTTTCTTTTATTTAATTGAGTTTATTAATATTTCAAAAATATATTACAAAGGTCTGAAAAATAATTTTAGAAATTATTAAACAAGAATAAATGAATTGATATTAACAATCTGCTTTTAGATTATGAAAGTAAATTAATCATTATTATTACTTTATTTAAATTATAATAATATAAAATCAATAATATTAAATATTTTAGACAGTCATAATTTTCTATATTTGCATCTCTTCTAATACTCAACCTCATTTGTGTCTTCATTATTATTTACTAACTTTCTGTTGAAATAATCTAAACTATTTTCTTCAATCTATTTATTATTTATCCACTTCTATTCAACATTATAATAATAGTAAAGGTATTCAGTATAAGTATTATCATCTTAATTGAATAGATAAAAGTTTTATGATTATAATTAGACAGGAAACTTTTATCCTTAATAATTAACTAGCATTAATTATCCAAAAGTCAAGGAAGCATTAGATTTAAATATTTAGGCTAAAGTTTAACTCCATCTAGAATTCTCATCACCAGCAAAAGATTATGGAAGCATACCTGTCTTAAATACATAATCTTTAAGCATTTCTTCATTGATTCCTATCATTTAAAGATAGGCATCATTCATTATTCTAGCTGTTGTAGAGACAATTCCATTTTTATTATTTTGTATGTATAATGTAAATGGACATTGGATATTCCTCTCAAATTCAACTAGTTTTGTTTCATTTACTATATTGTATTTAGAGATATCAGTATTTTTTTAATGAAATTATTCAAAACTCTCAAACAATTAGACTTCTTCTTTCATTAATACTTCCTTTATTATTTCTAAAGATGTAAATGCTCGATGAATTGGTTCTAAATTAAAAATGTGATAGCTATTGTATTTATCGTACCTAGCTACCTTATAATTATAAGAATGAGGATCAATATTCAAGAATCCTAACTAGTATTCAGAATCAACCATAACAGGAAATTATATGTTAGAATTCAATCTGAAGACGATATTTTGAGGAATAAATTGAGGTATATTTTAAGTAATTACTATAATTTCTTTAAGTTAAGTAACATCTATGTTACTGCCAAAGTTAAACTCCAAAGTATATTAATTTTTACGCTTTTTCTTTTGTATTTATTTAGATAACTCTTCATTTTTTTCTTTATTTATTGTTTTCTATATTGTCAGAAAGGAAGACATCATATAATCTAAAAATTATAATAATTATTGTCTTTTAAAATGTAGAAGAAATCTTTATAAATATCAACCAAATATGTAATTAATTACAGCAGAAATTAAAATGTTTTAAAAATATTCAAAGTTAAATATTAATAAAAATGGAAGTCTAATCCATTAATTTATATTGTTGTTCACTAATTATAATATTTATTCATACCCATCAAAAATTATTTTTAATTTTGGATATTTTAATTTTCAATTTAAAACATTTTAATCAAAATTTTTACTTACATAAAAGTTAGAAACCAAGATTTCTAAAAATATTTTGTAATTTATGAACAATGATAAATTGGTTATTCATGTATAAATTTAAATATAATTATATCATTATGGGGCACCACCTGCTTACTTTCCTGCTCTCATAATCTAAATTTATTATATAAATATATACTTCATCAACTAATAATAATTATTAAGCTAATGTTGGAGCAATGTTTAACCAAGATCTTTTAGAACAATAATTATCAAAAATCCCATTAGCAATTGGAGCAATAAAACCTTATTCATTAATATTCACTCCAACTGGAATCTTATTTTTAATATATTCGTCAGTAACTAATATGAGTGTTTCTTAAACATCATATCCACAATTTTCTGCTAAAGCTTTTGGAATAACTAATAATGAATCAGCAAATGCTTAGACTCCTAATTTAGCTTTTCCAGCAACAGAATCTTTAAACTTTTAAAGATGAACACTAGTAGCAATTTCAAAAGAACCAGCTCCAGGAATAACACATTTATCTTCAATAGCATTTTTAACAGCTCTTAATCCATCTCTAATAGCATCCTTTATTTATGCAATAGTATGTTCATTTGGTCCTCTAATTAAAATTGTACATGAAGTAGGATTTTATACTCCTTCAATAAATGTATACTTCTCTTCTCCTAACGTATATTCTCTTAACTAATTATATATTAAAATTGATTACCACTTCACAATATCCAAGATCACTTTCTGTCAAATCTTCAACTGCATTAACTGAATTACCACCACATGCCTTTGCAATTCTTTCCATATTTCTTTTTTTAGCTCTTCTAATACCAACAATTCCTTCTTTAGCAAACATTTCTAAACAAACTGGATCAATTCCTTTTTAATTGATAACTGCAAATCCATAACCATTCTTTTCACAAACCTTTCTTTTGAAATCTATAATTTATTGACATTTGTCATCTGTTAGTTTTCTTTCAGATCTAGCTAATTTCTCTCTATCTTCAGCTGAATTATAAAAGAATCCACTATGAACCTATTTATTTATTTCCAAAATACTTCAGTCTTCTCATATTCCAAAGAGACATTCAAATTTAAAATATAACATTTTTTAACAAACTTTGGCATATCTGGATGTCTTGCTCCATGATCCAACACTAATCCTCTAATCAATTCTGTTTCTGCTCCCATTTTATGTTACATATGCATAATCTCAACCATAAATAAATCTATTGGCTTTTCAGGTACTTAAACAATTTAAACTGCATCAACAACTATCTCTATTATTCTAAATATTTTCTTAATATATTATATACTAATTTGCAATATCAGGTGTTAATTTGCTATTTAAAGAAGTTCTAGCCACATTAATTAATACAGCTTTATCAATTTATTAATATTTGAAGGAATCTAAATATGTTAGGGCCTCCTTTCTTGCAAGTTCATATCCTTCTGTAATTACTCTTGGATGAATTCCTTCAGCTAATAATCTTTCAGCTTATTTCATTAATGCGCCAATTAATAAAACATTGCTAGTTGTACCATCACCAATAATGTCATCCTATGCTGTAGCACTTCTAGCTATCATAGCTGCTGTTGGATGCTAAATCTACATTTCTGACAAAAGGACAGCACCATCTTTTGTAAGTTTTATTTATCCTGCTCCTCCTACAAGCATTTTTAAAGTTCCCTTAGGTCCTAAATTTGATTTCATGACTTCCATTAAACCAGCTGCAGCATTTATATTCATTGCTAATGCTTAATATTTACGAAGCACTTCAGCTTTAGAATTGACGAATTACACACTACTCATTTTTTAATCAAAAAAGAAATTTAATTTTTAAGATTTTTATAAAAAAATTATATGAATCAATTCCAAATTTGTCAAAAGAACTAAAAAATGAATATGATTAATAAGATTCATAATTACATTTACTTCATTTACAATCTTAATAAATTCTCTTTTATAGTATTTAAATTAAGTTTTGATTAAGACTATATAATTTGTTAATTTTCTATTTATTAATATATATATATATTATACTTATTAATTAAATTATGATATAAAAGTTTGCATAATTAGCATAATTAAAATCTATTCAAAGATTCTCTAATATTTTTGTTGCACATAGAAATAGAGATGACAATAGTGATTCGGTACCATTTGATTTTACAGATGAAAATTACAAAAAAATTGAAGCCATTTTAGCAAAATTCCCATCAAATGAGAAAAAATCAGGCACCATACCTTTACTTATGCTTGCATAAAAATAAAATAATAACTTTTTGAGTTTATCAGCTATGAAGAAGGTTGAATAAGATTTTAATTTACTAGATTGCTAAAATATTAGAAATCCCTGAAATGGATGTATTTGAAACAGCATCATTTTATTCTATGTTTAATAGAGAAAGAGTAGGAAAATTTCATCTTTAAGTATGTGGTACTACTCCATGCTAATTATGCGGATCTAAAGATATAATTAAAACAATTGAATAAAAATTGAATATTAAAAATGGAGAAACAACTGCTGATGGTTTGTTTACACTACAAGAAGTTGAATGTTTAGGAGCATGTGCCAATGCACCAATGATGCAAGTTAATAATGAATGGGTATATGAAGATTTAACACCTGAAAATACTGTATATTATATTATAAATTATTTATAGTTAAAGTTATTAGAAGATCTTAAAAATGGAACAGATAAAAAAGGACCTTAAAATGGTAGAAAAAATGCTGAAGGTCCTTAAGGAAGAACAACTTTATAAAATATAGCAAATCAATAAGATATAAAATATGATAGAAATTTCGAAGCAGCAAAAAAGGAATGGTTAGATCAAAAAGAAAAAGAAAGACTTGAGGCTGAGAAAAAGAAGTAAGCAGCTTAATAAGCAAAAAAATGATGTTTATTTATAATAAACATAAGAGAAGAAAAATTATTGTTATATTAAAGATTCTTTATTACAATTATTAATCTTCATCTCCTTTTAGTTTATTATTTTCTTATGTTAACAATTTATATATATACTATATTGATAGCTTATAGATTAATATGTATAAATTATTTAGGATCTTTCTATTATTAAAAAATATTTTAATTTAATTCTACTATAGAATATAATCTTAAATATCTAATTGTGTTTACTCAAGAATAATATATAAATTCTACAGTTTATTTAAGATTTTTATTAAATTATTTTCTGGATAAAAGTAAATTTTTGAGAATCTAAATTTTTAATTAGAATAAATTATGTCATGCTATTCAATTTAATTTTATTCTAATTATTTATCATATTTATATATATTATATAAGATAAGACTAAAATTTTAGAGTCTAGAGGTTGATTGTATAATTATTTTGGTTGTTATTATATAAACTCATTTAATATAAAAAAATTAAAAAACGGCATGAAGAGCCTTTTATTATTGTTATTTGTTGGTGTTTTGTGTCAGAATGAAGTAGATACTGTAGAGAAATTGTTGGCTGACCTAAAGGGAGCATCAGCTGTTGAACTTACAGCACTCAATACAGATTACACAGTTTCCAAAAATGTATTGAATGTAATAGACCTTTTAGTTGAAAGAGAATATCATTTTTAATTTGGGCAAAGCCATTTAAGAATAAAACTTTTTATGCGCAAGTCGTGATAAATCAGTTTCTGATAGAGAATCTGACATTGATAAAACAAATAAATTCATTGCTTATTTATAAAGAAGGCTTGTTGATAATGCAAGAAGAGTAGAAACCCTTGATAATAACAGGTAGTTGATAAAAATATAAATTAGATGCACACATTCATCCAACTATATTGAAAGAGTTAAAAATGATAACATGACATTGAGACTTATAATATTTTTGAGAAATTCCTTATAAAACTTAGATAACAATTAATTAAATAGATATGGAGCATATGTAGAGAAATTCTTAACAATGTATAAATCTGCAAAAATGTCAGAACTTGTAGAATTAGCTCATGAATTTGCTGATACAATGTTTATTGATTGGACTTAAGTAACCCCATCTTCTTAAGGAAATATCAATACAGTTAAAGGATAATTAATTGAGATGCTAGATGATATGGAGAGATACATAAGAGAATAAATTAAAAATTCATAAAATTTAGAAATCACTACTGGAGTCACATTGGCTGACTTTAAGGGAGCAATTGATATAGAAAATGAATAAATAAATTATGATCTTTCATCTGAAGAGAAAAATATCATAAAACTATAAGAACAATTAGTCTAAGCTAGATTAGCTGCAGTAAATTGTAGAGAAAGAGGTGTTGCTTTACAATAATAATAATAAAGAGCAATTGAAGTATCTCTAAAATAAATATGGATAGGACTTAAAAATAGAAGAGACCTAATATAATAAAAATAAAGCTAGATTACAAGAAGAGCTTAATTTATTTACTGATGTATACAGAATCTATTCAACTTAAGTTGGAACATCTGAAGACAAATTTAAATAAAGAGTTGATGATTATGTAAAAGATAAAGTAATAATTTTAATTTATTTTAGTAAGTAGAATCATATGAGAGATCAGAATATTCATTAAGTGATGCAGTTAGAAAATAAGTCTAACATGAATGATTTATCAATTCCATTTAATAATATATAGATGAATAACACAGTTCAATAATAAATTTATATAATAAAAATGAGCATAATCCGTTTTAATTTATTGATTATGACTATTGGGGTATGTTTATCAGCCATGACACCTTAAGCCTCATTATTGATGAAGTCATTCCATTAAGTATTAACAAGTATTGAGTCTTGTAGTTCGGCTAAAGTCCTTATAGTGATTAATTAAAAGAATTAGTGTAAATCAAATTGGAAACAGGAGCATAAGTTGATGAAGTTCTAAAATTGATAAAAGAATTGTTAGATTCATTGAAATAAGATTAAGTTGATGATGATGTTGAACATTCAAGATAAATGGCAGTTTTTGATTAAAATATTAGTGAATTAGAAGATGATCTTTCAAAATTAAATACAGATTTAGCAAATGCAAATGTTCTCATTTAAACTTTAGCAGAATAATTGATTATTTTAAGAGAAACTATTATAACATATGAAAAGCAATTATCAATTCTAAATGAATAAGAATAATTTATTAGAAATGCCAGAGCAGCTGATATTAAAGCTTATAACAGAAGAGTTGAATCTGCAAATAAAGTTATTAATGCATTAAATCTCATTATTGAAAAATTAAGTAAAGCTGTTGATGAATAAACTACTAATGAAAATAGATAAGCTATATTAGCTTAGATTCATAGTGAATGTCATGAATAATTTGGACCTAATCATCCAATTACTATTTTAATTAAATTAACAACTAGATTTGATGTTCCAACAGTTTAAAGAATCTTAGAAAAATTAGTATAAATTAGAGATGCAGCTACTAAAAGTTTAAATGAGGATATTGCAGCTGAAGAAGTGGCATCAACTAATTTTGATAATTCTATGACTGAAATTGAAACTTTGAGAAAAAGATTATCTACAGATCTTGAAAATTTAAATCAATAATTCAATGATAAATTAAATTAGCAAGTAAGAACCTTAAGAAATATTAATAGAAAATTGTTTTGGCTTAAAAAGAATAATTATTAATTGATATACCTATTACAGAAGAATTACTTCAATTAACAAAGGAATAATAGGAATAATATCATTAAGCTTATATTAGCAGATAAACTTAAAGGTATTATTAATCTATGATTTAAATAAAGACTCTCTGAAATTGAAGTTGTTTAAAAAGCATACAATCTAGTTTTTGACCATGTAGATTCCGTAAAAAAATCAGAAGATCTTACAGCTAAACTTAACAGTTGATTTATATAATAAATAATATTTTACAGAAAATTCTATTCATATATCTTAAATAATCAAATTAAAATAGATAAATTAATATTTTCAAATAAATTTATAGGTATGAGATTATTTAAGACTTATTAAATTTTCAAATTAAAAAATAGAATAATATACTCTCTAGATTTAATTCTTCATTTTACAATCATAGACCTACATAGTTCTAATTGTCAATAATTTAGTTTTGAAGTATTTTATTAATTCAATAATTAATTATAAATACATTATAAATTTTATTCAAAGCAACAACTTTAATTTATCAGTTTCTGAACCATTGATGCTTTTAAATAATTTCTATGCCTATTAAACAATCATAAACAAAAATATACATATTAAATATTATATTCGATTGCAGCAGGATATACTTTTTCATCAGTAAATAGAAGAAGTATAAAAGTATTTTCAGTAAACTCTTCAATTTGTACATGAAATTTTTATGATTTTACCATAATTTTTTTAATATCAATTGAAGCCATTTTACAAGAAAGTTTAAACTATTTTATAATATTAGATATTCTCTCATATTTTAAAATATCTAACATAATTCTAATAGTCATACCTTTCTTTTCATTAACATCCACAAAATCAATCACAAGATAACTTTATTTTTCAAATAATACAACTTCATCACAATTACATTAATTACAAAAGGATTTTAAACTATTATGAATTATATCTCTATCAGGTAATAAATTTTAAACTATCTAAGACCATGCTTTATATAATGTTTCATCCCAAATACAAGTTGCAAATACATCTTTCACCTCTATATTAAATCCCTCAGCTTCTTATATTATCTTTTTGTATTTACGCTTGTATATTATTTTTATATAGTTACTTCAAATACCATTTTTCTCTCTGTTTCCTTAATTTTATCAAATTTATTTATTAAAACAAATACTTTTGATCCTGGTGAATATTATGATAAATTAGATAGTGTAGATCTAAATGTAATCATTTCAGAATTAAATTATTCCCCTTCCATTTCAACATCAAATAAATATACAAGAACCTCAACATTACAAAAAATAGTGTCTTTAAAATCAGTCAAATATTCTTTCAATAATTTAGGCTTAAATATTATAAAATTCTTACCTAACCTGGTATATCAAGCAAATCTATACGAAGATTTCCCATAAATCTTACTTAAATTTAAGAAACATTTGTTGTGACTCCAATTGATATTAAATCTTTTGGAGGAGCACATGCGAAGATTACCTTATGCATTGACGATTTTCCTGCCTTCTATTAACCCATGAGCAATAATTTCTTTAACTAATTTTCTGAGTTTTTTAACATCTTTTCAAAATATAATAATTAAATCTCTATATTTGATATGTATATAGAATATATATTGAAATATTCTTTCATTAAATTTAAATATATAATTTATTATTGAAAATATTATTACCATGTATTCTTCTTTCTAAAAGATTCCAACTCTTTATGATGAAATTATCTATTATTTCATATCATTAAATAAGTTAATAACAAAAGCATCACTTTAAATTTTTTTACATCTCTCTAAATCATTTAAAATAAGATTCTCTTTTGAACAATTCAATTCGATTTTTTTAATATTTTCAATACATGTAAATATGATGATTCTACTTTTAATTGCTATTCTAAAATTAAGACTTCTATTTTCAATTTCAATTTCAAAGGTGGTAATTTTATAAATACTATTAAAATTTTGAATTTATTATTGTTTAAAAAAATCCTTTATGGGGGTATTTAATTTTTGTGTTAAAGTTTACATTAGTTTAAATTGGTAATAAAATATAATAGTAGAAAAATTTGAAGTCGTTCATTTCCGTTGTTGTTTCTGCAAAATTCATTCATTTAAATGTGTTCTCTTTTGAGTCGATAATACAAAACTAGTAAAACAGCTAAAATAATATATTTTATTGTATATTATGAAAATACAAATATTCTATTAATAATTTTATAACGTTTAATAGAAAGTATTCCATAAAATTGATACTGTTTTGTAATTAATCATAGTAAAATTTTTGATAATTTAATTATTATATTATTAACATAAATTCGTTTTATATTTATTTATAAAATATGTAATAACCTAATGATGACTAGATTCCATTGAATATACCAATAGAGTAGTATTAATTACCTGAATAACTTGATGGTATAAAAATAATGTTATTCAAAGAATTTGGCTAACCTGTAATGTTCAAATGTAGTACTTGTGGAGTTTAAGCTGTTTCTATATTACAACATAAACCAGGAACTCATACTTGGTTATGCTGTGTTACCCTTTGTATTTTTGGAGCATTTTTAGCATTCTTACCATTTTATATGAAAGATTGTTAAGATGTTACACATGTATGTCCAGCATGCAGTCAACCTGTATTATTATTGAGAATATATAATAGAAAGGAGTTAGACAATTTAAAGCATGTTGATGAAATAAGTCATATTATTATCAAAATCATATATATTAAATTTTAAAACCTATGTCCACTTATTCATTATATCCTGTGATGCATGAAGCAAATGCATTTGAAATATTTTCAATGCTTTTATAGATAGGGCTTGATAGAGCTAACAATACAAAAACAATATAGTAAAGACTTAATCAAACAGAACATATTAAAACACCAACAGATTACTTATCATTTGTTAATGTTAATGAGAAATGTTTATCTCAATCACTTAAATAAGAGAAATAAAGAGTTGAATAGGAATTTGCACTTATAGAAATGTTGGTCCCAAACAAATCAAAAACACATTTGATGTATTAGATTTGAATGATGAAGGTCTTTCTATCATTTATCACTAAAACTAATAACATAGTGGTTACCTCAATTCTAGGTGAAGGTGAACTTGTCTGGAGAATTTTTAGATATTGCAGAACTTTATTGTCAATTTTTTATTGCATCTGGAATGAACCATCGATTATAATAAATACAGGCAATAAAGAAGAATAATTTGTATGATAAAGTAATAAAGGGATGATTAAATTAGATTCCTTTTATGCCTCTCCTTATGAAGTGGCTACATGAATATTGTAGATCATAATTTAACAAATTGTTCGCTTCTCTATATGAAACAATCACTTAAATGAAATCAAATTATGTACTAAATAATATATTGATGTATATGTAGAGATAAATTGTTACTAAACCAAAAGAAGAGATTTTATCACCTAGAGTAAATAAAATGCCAATAAATAGACCAACTTCATGTATAATTAACAAAACAAGAAGTATTAGTAATTACAGTATTCGTAAAACATCATAAGTGATCACTAAACGTAATAATAATTAAGCAGTTCCAAAATTAATAAATTTAATTTCTGATGTTATTGATATTGATCTTACTCATTATGATTAATAAACTCATAAAAAAAAAGAATAAATCTTTAGTACTCTTTGGAGTAAAAATTTTCAAGTAAGATGTACTCATGAAAAATATCAATAAACTTATGGAATTTAAAAATCATAAATATCATCACATTTTTTTAGTACTCAAAACAAAAGACCAAATAGCTTTTTTAAACATTCATTTCATATAGATAATAATCTTAGTTTATTTTGATTAATAGTTTTGTTTTATGTTTTTCCGTATTTATTTAATATATATATATATAATCATTATTTAAGTTGAGCTCTTAGAATTTGATTTTCCTATAAAACTTAGTCTAATTTATCTTTCCTTTGTTATTATTCTTAAAAATATCTTATTTATTCTTTGAGTGTTCCAATTTAATTAGCTTAAATACCTGCTTCTACTTATAACTTTATTAATCAATATTATACATTCTATCTTTTTTCAATTTCGTCTTTACATAGAGATTAAACATCCTTATATTATTATTAAATATGATGAATTTCTTATTTTAAGTTATCATTGATTTCTAATAATTTCTCCAGATCTTCCTTCTATGATTAATATTTAATTTGTTGATTTTATAATTATTTTATTTCTTCCTCTAACAAATGAATATTTTACTATTATGATATTTATTCACTTTTAAACAACTTACTCATCTTATCCTTTTCTTCTAACATTTCATTGATAAGCATCTTTTTATCCTATAATTAACTTTTAAGTACTCTAATTTCCATTACTTATTAATCTACTAATTTCTTTAATTAAGATTAATCTTCCTATTTTTAAATATTGAAGATTATACTTATTTTTATTTAATTTCCTAATAATCTAAATTTATGATTTCTAATTCTTTTTTTTGAATATTAATCTACTCAATCTATGAACTAATTTATTTTTCTAATTAATTTATTTATTCTTATCTACTATCTAAAGAATTTTAGTATCTGATTTTCATGTTTTCAAGTATTTATTCAGATTACTTTTTTTATAAATCAATTTATTTTGTCAAAAAATCATCTAATTTAATATATTCTAATTATGCTCTTTCTAATTACTCTCCTAATCTTCTGCATTCTTTTATTAATTATTCTTTAGTCATCTAATCATCTGATATATTTGGATTTTTTTTCATTTTCTCTAATTATAATTGATTCTTAATATCTTTCTCTTAATTCAAAAGTTCATTATTAATTAATTAAAAAATCTTCATTTCTTCACTTATTCTAGTATTCTCTTTAATTAATTCTTATATTTTAAATTCATATTAGTTTAATTAATCTTTTATTGAATTATTGTCCTTAATTAAAGTATTAAATTTTATTTATAGACTTTCAAGTTCAATTTCTTTTTGATTAACTTGATCAAAAGCATTCTTTTATATAATATTGATTTTATTAGAAATTAGCATAATTTAATTTCTCAATTCATGATTGTTATCTTCATAACTACTTAATTATGATGACAATTCAACAATCTTCTCTAAAGCTTCTTTATATTATGAATTCATTTTAACAAGTTCTCTACTAATATCATATTCTCTTTCTTAACATTATTTGAAATTCTATTGCTATTACTCAAATAAATCTCTAGCATTACTCAATTCTGTTTCTAAATTATTAATCACATCATCATTTTGATTTCTTCTTAAATCTTCCAAATGTGTAATCAATAGATTATTTTCATCTTATAACGATTAAACTTAAAATTTGAGATCCTATATTTCCTCATTTATTTATGTTTTTTAATTCTATAGAAAATGTTACATTTCATTAGTCTTTAAATCTAAATGTTTTTTTATTACTAAATTATCATCTATTAATCTTTCAACCATAGTAGTTAATTCAACAATATCATTTGATAATTTGAAACATTCATGTTTTAATAATTTATTTTCATCTGTAAGTGTAGATAATAAAGGTGATATTTTAGCAGGATCAATTAATAAATTAACATTCTCAAATTAGTATTATTTCCATTAAGCTAATTTTGTATAAGCAGTTATAGGAGCTTTTTGTTAACCCAAATATGCAATATATTCAGCATATTTTTAATTTGTTTTTAAAAACACGTTCAGGGGCTCTGTTTGGATCTTCTATTATCAGATTTTATAGATATTATGCAGAAGGTCCTTTAGATTACATTATTTTTATTTTTAATTTAATAGACAAAACATTTTTCATTTAACAGATTAATTTTCTCCAAACTTTTCTTCAATCCATCTTAATGTAATAGATCCTGGTCTTTCAATTGGTAATCCAAAGGCTCTAGCCCAAACTAAGTTAGCTGTACATCCAAGTGCTCTAGAAACAGCAAAAACAACTGTGTAATATTCATATTCTTTCAATCCATAATGATTTAATAGAACTCCTGAATGAGCATCAACATTAGGCCATGGATTTTATATTTTTCCTATTGTTTTAAGAACAGGAGGAATAACATGATAACATTATTTAACAAGATCAACAAGGGGATCATCTTTAATCAATCTTTCTGCAAAATTCTTTTAATGAATATATCTAGGATCAGTATATCTTAACACAGCATGTCCATATCCTGGCACAACTTTACCTTCTCTAATAGTATTTAGAACATATTCTTATATTTTTTCATTAGAAACTTTATCACCTAATTTTTCCTATTTTATAATTTAATAATTTTACTCTAATTTCAATCAACCATTTAAGAACTTCTTAATTTGCTAAACCATGAAGAGGTCCAGCCAAACCATTAATACCAGCTGAATATGACAAATATGGATCAGCCAAAGCAGATCCAACAAGATGAGTAGCATGTGCACTTACATTACCTCCTTCATGATCTGCATGAATGCTTAAGTACATTCTAAATAATTCATATGCATTAAATTAATTGAAACCCATCATATGAGAGTAATTTGCTGCCCAATCTAATGAATTATCACTACTAATCAAATCTCCATTCTCATTAAATATTATTATTATTTACCTTATATTTATGTCTATAAATTAATGCTGCAACTCTTGGGATTTTGGCAACCAAGTCCATTGCATCTTCATAATAATATTCCCAATATTATGTTTTAGTTGCTTTTCCGCTTTCATAAGCCTATTAAAATTTTGAATCCTTTTATAAATATAACACACTCTAAGATAACATTGTCATTGGATGTAATTATTTTGGAAGACTTGTGATGAATTTAATTGTCTCTTAGTCTAATTCTCCTCTTATCTTCCATTCTTCTTAAACAAATTTAAATTCTTAATCTGATGGAAAGTCACCTGTCAATAATAACCAAAACAAAGCTTCTGGTAAAGGCTCATTTCCATTTTTAGCCTTTTATAAATATTCCTAAATCTCTGGAATATTGTAATCTCTGAATGTAATACCCTTTCAGTAGCAATGAAATATTACAGTTTTCGAATCCAACAATGAAATATCATAAAATAAACCAAACACATTTCTCATACCTCCAATAGCTTAATCGACAGTCACTTTGCAAATTTCTTTCTAACCATATGTTTTTCTAATGTCTCTTAATAAAGCTTATTTGATTGGTATAATCTCTCTTAATCTTTCTTTTAAGAGGTTAGAGGAATGGAATATGCTTTTGCTATTGAATGATCTATAAATATGTTACATTTAATATTAATATTGAATTATTTTCAAAATCTATTTTTAAACTATATCTTATGCTAATATTCTTAAAGTGTGCAATTAATTAGCGTATTATTAATTAACATAAATTAAATCACAATTTATTTATAATATGTATTATTTAATTAATTTAATAAAGGTTTTTCTATTTATATAATAATGTAGTTTAACTATATAATTATTTTGTTTTACTATCTATTTGTATACTAGCTATATATATAATTAGAAAACATATTTATTAAAAACTATATAGTATCTACTAAAGATCAATAAAAATATTATCTAATATAATCTATATAAAAATTCAAAAGGATTCTTAAAAAGAAACTGTGAAATACCTTTTAAAAACTATTAATAAAACAATATTAATTTTATTTATTAATATATTTCTTCTATATAAAACATATTTTTATTCCCTACTGAATTTTCAAAATCTCTAATTTTTTTATTATATGAAATATCTTCAGAATTATTTTTGTTGATATTTATTATTTTTTTGTGTTAATAGATGTACACTAAGTATAATAAATAAATAGAAAGCCAATTCTTTAAATTCAAGCAAAATTTAGCATGATATTAAATATTAGGCTAATCTATATTTTAAAATTGGTTCGTGGAAATTAGAAATTATTGATTTCTTAGATTAAGTCTCAACTTAGAGAAATAGAATGGAAATATAATTTTGAAGTGATGTGGATGGAAATAGAAATATTATGTCATTATTTAAACAATTAATTATAAAATTTAATGATTAATTAATATGATGACGAGATATTAAATTTTTAATATAAATTTTTATAATAATTATTTTAGGATATATATCTTAAAATATATTAAAAATATACTTAATTAATTATAATAATAAATCAAATGGATACATAAGCCTACTCCAAGATTTCCAATGCTGCTTTAATTTAAGAACTTTACAGGAGATATAGATGTCAAGAAGAAGCATTGAAAAAAAGAATTGTATTTCTAGGAATGCCAGGAGCAGGTAATTAATACAATTTATTCAACTTAGGTAAGGGAACACATTCAGCTAAAATGTTGGCTCGTTTTTGTATGTGCCATTTGTCAACAGGAGATTTATTAAGAGAAGAAGTAAGATCAGGAAGTGAATTTGGAAAGAAATTAAAAGGAATCATGGAGAGAGGAGAATTAATTGAAGATGAAGTTATGTGCAATCTCATCAAATAACAATTAGCAAAGTATGTTACTTTTCTTATTTAAGACCTGCTTGTGCTAATGGTGCAATTTTAGATGGATTCCCTCGTACTATTCCTTAAGCTGAAAAACTTGATTAGATTCTCAAATAAAGTGGATAATAGATTGATTAAGCAATATTTATGAATGTACAAGAGCAAGTTGTTGTTGATCGTCTTGGAGGCCGATGGACTCATTTGAATTCAGGAAGAACTTATCATTATAAATTCAATCCTCCTAAGGTTCATGGAGTAGATGATATTACAGGTGAACCTCTAGTCTAAAGAGATGATGATAAAGAGGCTACAATCAGAAATAGATTAAATGTTTATTAGACTAAGACATCTCCTATTATTGATTATTACAGAAAGTAACTAAAATAATTATTAATTTTAGAAAAGGAATTTTATTTGAAGTAAATGCAGAAAGACCTGTAAATGACATATGGAAGGATATCAAGACTATAGTTAAAACCAAATGATTTCATCTAATTTAACTTATTTTTTTTAATGCTTTTGCAATTTCTTATTAATAATTAATTATATAATAATATATGGTTAAAATCGTATAATCAACCAAATTACTCAAATCAAGACGTCTACTTAGGTTAAAACTAAGTAAACTATCATTGTAATCCAAATAAATTGGAACAGATAAAAAAGAATCAGAAACAAAATAGGTTCAAATTATTAATGAAGATTAATTTATTACGCATATTGAACCAATTAAATAGTTATTGCCTTTTTATTAAGGTGGTAAAATACAAATAACAAATAATGTGATATATACATGTTTTAATTTTTGTGTGCAATATCTTGATAAAAAAATTTAGCATAATTAAGAAGAAATAGCAAATTTTTGTGTGAGCAATTTAAATGATTATATTGCAACATTTACAAAGAATTATATGCTCAGATATGTTAGATTGAATGATCATATTACTTAATTTACAATAAAAACAGATCCTTTATTTGCAATTGATATGTAATTTAGTCCAGAAGATGTTTATTTGGCTTTAGGTGGTACAAATTGCATGGTCAAAATTATAAATGTTAAAAAGAATTAATAAAGTACTGAATTTAGAGTAAGTGGAAGTGTTCTTAAATTATAATGGATTCCAATTATGAGAAAATTATAAATTGCTATTGCCACAGATGACAGACGCATCTCATTATTTGATTTAGTAGCTAATAGAATACTTTGTGGTTTTGTTGACTTTAATAGTAGGATTACCCATATATAATTTAATCAACATATGTTAATTTCAAGTTGTAATAAATATATTAAATTTTGGGATACAAGTATATAAAAAATGAGTGAAACTATAGAATTTGATATTGAAATTGAAACATTTATTTATTTTAAAAATACCTTAATTATTGGTACTGAATCTGGAGATTTGCATATCAAATAATAAAATAAAAATATTGTTATAGATTAACAATTTAATGGATAATAAATATTGAAATTTATTAATTGCAATGAGAAATTATATATTATTACAAGTGAATTGCATATTTATATAACTGAATTAGTATCTGGTTAAATTTAATAATAAAAATTATTATTAGGATATAATGATGAAATACTAGATGTAAAGTTTATTAAAAATAATTAATTACTTTTAGCTACAAATTCACCATTTATGAAGTAATATTAAATATCTATATTTTAGAATATTAAATTTAGATAATATGGAAGTAATAGCTTGGAAGGCTCATTTCAGTGTAATAATGTGTTGTGAATTTATAGATGATCTAATAGTAACAGCTTCAAAAGATAATTGTGTCATTATATTCAAATATAAAGGATTCAAATAACCAATAGAATTACATAAATATAGCGGACATTCTGATGATGTAATATCTATAGATGTCAATTCCAAATATATTGCTTCAGTTTCAAAAGACAAAACTCTTAAATTATGGGATTTAAAGAATTATCAATCAGAATAATCTATTAAAACTGTTGTTGCTCATGAAAAAGAGATGAATTGTGTTAGATTCTCACCAAATAATAAACTTATTGCCACATCTTCTTAAGATAGACTTATTAAATTATGGGATGAAAATTTAATGAATAAGATGATACTTAAAGGACATAAAAGAGGAGTTTGGGATATATAATTTTCTCCAATCGAAAAAATATTGGCTTCAGCAAGTGGTGACAACACAATTAAACTATGGAATCTTAGTGATGGATCTATAATTAAATCCTTTTAAGGAGTTGCTCCTTAATTAAAAGTTTCATGGTTGGCTAGAGGATCTGAATTAATAAGTTCTGATTCAATTGGTAATATTAAATTATGGAATGTTAAAAAATAAACATGTATTAATACCTTTTCATAACATACTGGCAAAATTTATGCATTAGATATAAAGAGAGAAAACTAAGATGTTTATATAGTAACTGGAGCAAATGATTCAAATCTAATTTTATGGAAAGATAAGACAGAGTAAGTTACTTAATAATAATAACTTCAATAACATGAAATTAAAATAAAATTGCAAACATTTCAAGATTTTATGAGAGATAAACTATTTTTAGATGCAGCTTTTATTGCATTTTAGAATAATTATATAAAACATTTTATTTAAGCTGTCACTGAAATTTATAAGTAAATATTATTTATATTTAAGGCAAGATGATTATGATAATGTTGTTTCTATGTTATCCTAAAAGATGGTAAAAGAGGATATATTAAAATTTTTATAATTGTTAATAACACTAAATTAAAGCAAGAAAACTTATTAAGCAGCATAACATTTATTCTTTTATTCAATTAAATTAATAAATGTTAATGAATTTAAAGATGAAAAAAGAGAGTTAGTGAAAAAATTGCTGTAATAATTAAAATATTTGACATCCAAATGTTTTGATCGATTAGAGAGTAATTATTCTTCTTAGTTTCTAATTAAATTTATGATTGATAAGTCTAAAATTGTTGTTTGATTAATGATGTTTATTATAAAGTATTATTTTTTAATTTTCTTTATTTCTTATATAATTTATTGAAATAAGAAGTATATATATTAAAAGATGTTTATATTTCATTATTATTATCTCCTATTCTTTAAAAAAATTCAATAAATTATCTTATAAAATGTTTTAATACTTAATTCATAATAAAAAGTATTTAAATCTTTAGGGTTTAATTTATATACTTATCTATAATTTAATTTCACTTAAAGTTAATTTTGATTCTGCAAGCCCGTTTGGTCTTTTCTTTTGGATATAACAATTTTCTTTTTGTATTCAAACTTCTAAATCTTTTTGTAATTAGATTTCTTTAACTGTTTGTTTTGAGTCTCTTCTTAATTTTTTCTATTTATTGAACTTTGTTATACAAAAATTATGGACTGGAATTAACAATCTATTATAATAAATTTATATATCATTGATTAATAATCCACTATATAATGTATACTAATGTCGCTCTTAAGTGTTTCTAATATTATATTTATGTCTCTTAGATTTGAATATTGAAAACAATAATAACATCTTAATCTGAAGGTATCAATTACCAATAATATATGTTATTAGTTTTATCAGAAATAAGTTTAATACTTTTTATTTTATATTATGAATGAATGTATTAGCATTAAAAGTTTAGATAAAATACTTTAGTAAAGGCAACCTTAAAAATAGAATTCGTATACTCCTTAAAGTTTGTTAACACCAAATACATCTCCAAATTCAAGATTAAGAGTATTGAGTCCAACTAATAAACTAGATTCCACAGATAAATTATATAGAACTTCAAATAGTATTAAATACTTTTAACACATGAATAAAAGGGATATTTTGTAAAAGAAAATGAATCTATTAACAGCAAAACTAAAAACAAATAAAACTGAAGTCATTAAAGAAGATAATGTATTTAGTGACAGATTACTTATAACGAGTTTTGAAAATTTTGTTAATGAAACTGATCAAAAATTATAAAAATTATGTTATTGGATTGGTAAATCACCACAAAATAATTAAAATTTACAACCAATAATAGTGAATAATGAAGAACAAATAGAAAATTTTGAATAGAAAATCATTAAGTATTATCTATTATAAATATAGAACTAAAAAAAATTTATAAGAGTAGAGATAATAACTAAAATATGCTAAGCAAAAATATTAATCTAATAAATAATAATTACAACAATTGAAATTTGAATTAGATCAATTGAATGAAGATTAAAAAATACTTGAAATCAGTACTAATAATAGATCTTTAAAAGATGAAATAGTTTATAATAGATAGAGTATTCTTAAACACAAATAAATACTATTAACAGTCGATTAATTCATCAATAAATACTTGAAGGAATAATTGCTGAATTAAAATTGTTAAATTGGAGAATATATTAATAAATTCAATGACATTTATATGTAAATGCAAATAACACTTGATTAATAAATCTGAATATATATTTTAACATTTACTATATTTATAAATAATAAGTATTAATTTTGATATGAATTGTAAAGCTTTATAACATGATTAAAAGTCTGAAAAAGACACAATAACCTATGATAATTATAAGGAAAGACAATTTATTATTTAAACTTGGAAAAGTTAGATGATATAAAAATCAAAAGTTAGTTCTCCATAAGGTAACTTATAAACTCCAAGTAAAGATGCTAAAAAATAAATATTTCTTTGTCATAAGAAATCAATGAATCTTATATCTGAACGTTCTACTTAAATGTCAACTGAAAAAGACTTATTTAATGATAAATTCATCATTGAAAATTAAGAAAGAATGAATATTTTACAAAAGTTATAGGAGATCCGTTTATAAAATGTTATGATGAAATCAAAAACTAAATCTTCAAATGATCTCTATAAAGACTTCTAATAAGAATAAAATAAAAAAATAGATACTCAAAAAGTTATCATAAATGAGAAATTAAAACTGTATTCATATTTTATATAAGTAAAGCTGCTAAAAGGAAATTGATCAATAAAAATAAAGTTTATTGAATGATGAGATGAATTTAAAGGAAAATTAAAAAGAATTAGAAATCTTGAGAGAACAATTATAATTCGTTAAAGATTCGATATAATAAATAAATAATTAAAATATAAACCGAACAAAAGAAATAAATTGTAAATTGTAAATAAATAAAATCAAAGAAAAATAGTTACTAACTTAAATTGTATAATATATTGAGTCTTTATAAGATCAATATAGTAATCACTTATTTTAATTTAAAGATTACTTATTATAATTAAGACTAAATATTGATTCCTTAAGAATCGATTAAGAATTTGATAAAAATTAATGAATTAGTATTATTCCACTAATATCAATTGTTAAAATACATCTCATATAATAACAATTACTCTTTTATTGTGTGATTCCATTATTATTATTAATTAATATTAAAGTAATGGTTGGTCTCTTCATCATAGTCTTTTTCAATTTTTAGAAAAATTCTTAAATTTGTTTGAAATATTGATTTTATTTCATTTGAATGATTATCTGACATCATTATTCCTAATTATTCAATTTATCTTTTGAATTCTAAAGCACATATCCATCCTATCAGATAATGTCCTGTTTCGTGTTCTAATAATTAAGCATCTGAAAATGATTTGGCCCAAGATTTCTCAGAGAATTTACAAGAAACTGATAATTTAATCTTCTATCTAGTTGGAGATTACCTTTTTAAACTAAAACTAGAATTGCTTCGAGCAACTTTATGTTAAGGAGAAGAATTTTTAGAAGTTGAAATGCCAATAATACTCTAAACACTTGAAACTCTTGTTGAAAATGATTGATGTTTATTAAAGAGTCGATTATTAATTCTAGGTAGAGAAAGTAATTTATGTTATAAATTAGGAATTTATTATCTTAAACTTTTTTATTCTTAAAACTCACTTAATTTATTAGAAATTATTTAAGGTTATTGTTATAAATCCTATTTGTAATCAAAGTCTTAAGCCTCATTTGATTGTTTTAAAGGTAATATTGGTGATAATTATTATTTTATTAAAGGTTCTTCTTTCTCTTCGATCATTTAGTAATCATACATTATATTCCAATAACAATGAGCAATCCATGGCATTTCTTCATTGGGTTTACCAACAAAATCAACCCATTCTAATCGTTCTATTTCGAAATTTTAAATTTTAATTGGTAATATATCTCTTACATATTTATCTTTTCGATGATCCAATAACTATTCAATTTTATATTGAGGATTTTTGATATTTTTTAAGGATAAGAATCCTCTAAATGAGATATCTTTCATGATGTACTTAATTAATTATTTATAATATAGTATTATGTTTAAATTTAAGTAAATGTGATAATTAATTTATCTAAATTTAAATTAAATGAATTTTATATTTATTATATCAAATCTTTAGGACTACAATTTTCTTATTTTTATCTAACCATTTTGGATTTCTGTCTAAAAGAACTTAAAAAAATTTATTCATTCCCCAAATTTTCGCTAAGAATTCTTAAGAAACAATTTATATTTGTGTATCATAAGCAACAAAGACAATTAAGTGTTGATAATTTGAGATTTTATATATTTATATGATATCTATATAGTTGACAACTTAAAAGCATAGTTTTAGTTTATTCTTTTTATATAATTAATTATAGTAATAAAATAAAATTTATTATAAATCAGAATTCTGACTTATAGAAGTATTTATAATTCAGATTTAGTAAATTAAAGCCATACTCATTCAATAGTTCAAAATGAAATTCAAATTTTCTCTTCATTTTTTATATATTAGGAATAAAAATTATAATATTTTATATATAATTATGGATATTCAAGATAGGAATAAATTATTGCTCGAACTTAAAACTTCATTATTTCTTCCTCCATTTAATGAAGAATTGTATTCAACATGTACAACAGATCATCAGAAATCAATTAGAGAAATCTAAGAAATTTATAAGTGAGTACATATATCATAACTTAGACTTCGTAATGATCCTGAATTAGCTGATAAAATTAAACCTATTATCTCATTAAAAATAAAAGATGTTGAAAGAACTAAAAGAGTTTAATTAGCATATTTAATGCATAGAGTAATTTTTATAATAAGCATAATTAGATTAACAAAATATAATCTTAGTATTTTATAGACTCTGGTTAATTAAGTAATGATCACTTAGATTAACTATCTAAAAATGAAAAAGATTATTATAAGTTTTTTGATTAATTAGTCAAAAGGTATGAAAATGATATTGAGACTAAAGTAAGTTAAGTAATTATAATTTATTTATATATATATATTAGAATATAATACCACCATCAGAAGTTTTTATAGAAGTAAGAGTGATTAAATAAATTGGAAATATAATCACATAAGATGGTGATGAACTTGATTTAGAGGAAGGAACACAATAATTAGTAAAAAAATCAGATGTTATCAAATTTTTATAAGAGGGTTCTCTTGTTCAAATATGAATATTAAATTATATTAATATTTTTATTATGAAAGTTATTATTTCTCTTAATTCTGAACAACATGAAATTTAATTGTAAGATCCAACAATTGAAGCTTTAATTCTTACTATTTAAGATTAATTTAATGTAACTCATTATTATTATTAATTAGATAACTTTTCATTTTGAATTACTTACAACTGACAATTAGACATTGATTGAATTAAAAGAAGGAATGCAAATAATAGTCTAAAAAGTTTAAAATGACAAGGTAAATTTATAAAAATTTAAATCCTTCTTTACAATAGCAGGATCAATTATTAAATCAAAAACAATTAGTCATAATTTCTCTATTAATAAATTAATACAAATATAGAAATAGAAATCATTTGATTAAAATTCATAATAAAGAATTTATACTCCAGATCAATAATCTTAATAAATAAATACTAATAATTAATCAATAAATGAATAAAATATATAAAAATGCGAATTATCAGGGATTCTATAATAAGATTCAGCCATGATTTTAGATGAAAAATAATCAGATAGATTATTATTAAATGAATTACAAGAGGAAACAGAATAAAAATAAAAAATACATAATTCTCAAGAATAAAAGAAAAGACCAAAAAATAATTCAATTCCAAAATAATCATAAACTACCAAAGAATAGGCTTTTGCTTATGCAGAAGAATTAGCTAATATTCCAAGACCTAATAAGAGATAACTAATTTTATAAAGAATGGAAGAAGACAAAGCAGAAAAAGAAAGAATTTTAAAATAATAATAAGAGGCTAATAGAGTAATCAAGTAGATCTAAGAAAAAATGAAATAGAAAGAATAATTACTTAAATAAAAAGAAGAAGCATTATAAATTCCTGAATTAGAAAAACGAAAAGTATTTATTTTTAATATTAAGGCTGTTCTAGCTTAAAAAAGAGAGTTAAGTTAACCAATCAAATTAAGTGAATTGACAGAACATTAAAAGAAATATGAAGAGGATAGAAAAATTAAAGAATATGAAAGGGAACATCATAAATAAGAAATAGAATTTGAAATTAAATAAAAATCACTCAAATTTCCTAAAAGTCAAGCTTAAATGAGAATTGAAGAAGAACAAAAATTGTAAAAATTGATAAGAGAATAAGAAATGGAATAAAAGAAATTAGCCAGATTAAAATAATTAAAATATGCTGATGTTGCTTAAGAGATATATTTTAAAGAACATCCTTTAAAACCTAAATAATCTCCACCTCCAAAAGAAGATTAATCAAAATAAATTAAAGAAATTTAAATTACTGAATAAAACCTTAAAAAAATTAAAAGGTTCATTCCTCAATAAAGACATTTTAGTCATGATTCAAAAGATTCAATTACTGATCTCAGTAATCACTAAGAGAATAGACCACCAAAACCATTAATTAAAAAGTAATAAAAAATTGTAGAAAAGGTTGAAAAACCTTCAGAACTACCACCAAAGCCTAAAACAACTGATTATCTATAATAATTAAGACAGTAAAGAAAAGCTTAAGTAAATATGGAAGATTAATGGGAAAAGTATATCTATATATTATTAATAAAGAATAATTGAAAACAAAGGTTTAGAAAATGAATAAAAAGTATAAAATGTTTTAAATAATGTTTAAAAATTAGAGTAAAAAGCAAAAGAAAGAGAAAAATTAGCATTAATAAATAGAGATTTATAAGCTGAAGAAGAAGCAAATAATTTGTATATTGCAAGCATAAGAGCTAAATTAGCAATTTTAGAAAAAAATTGATTATTTTCACTATATTATAAATTTTGTTTTTAACTAAATGATGAGTGAATTAATTCTAAAAAGAGAAAGTTTCTGTCTAAAATTAAAAAGAATTGAATAAGAAAGAATATTTAAAGAGAAAAGATAAACATTTTATCCAAAATAACATTTAATAGAACTCTTAAAAAAAAAAGATTAAGATTCAATAAATAAATTAATATATATCAGTGAAGGTTCTAGACAATAAATTATTGAATTAATTGAAGTAGGTGGAATTTAATATTTTTTTGATTTGCTTAATTCTTCTTAAAAAGATTTAGCAATAGTTGGTTTATCTAATTTATATTCATAAAATTCTGTTAAAATTTCAAGTTAAGATTTAGTTCTTTTTGAAATAATAGAGAATGAAGTTCATTAATATTAAAATATAGATTAATTAGTATAAAGACTAAGATTTCTTAATGTTATAACATTATATTTAGAAGAAGAATTAGAAATAAAAGAGAAATATTATAAAATATTTTCTTATTACTAAAATAAATATCCAAAAATTTTCAAAATTTAGGAAGAGTGTTTCAAAGGATTTTTATCTTTAGTATCTTTATAATATGTATAAAATGAAATTATACAAATATGTTGTGATAATTTTAATAAAGGTGTTGATTAAATTATTATTCAATTACTTTATTAAATGATTGATGATAATGTAGAATTTATTACTCTTTTGAATCAAAGCATATTCATTTAATAATGTCCTCATCATTTAAAAATAAATCATCGATAGAAGTACATATTAGGTATTCTTTATTATTACTCTTAATATTATGTTGAGAAAATAATTAGTAATAATGAATTAGTTGAATAAATATTAGTCATATAGAATACTAATAGACATTAAAGATTAATTCTTCTTTTACATTATTAGATGTTATTGAAATGTCCTAGAGCATTGTTTATGAAAATTTTTAAAGAATTTGATGTAATTAACAATTTAAAAGTTCTTTTAGAAACATTTAAATATTAGGAATAAATTTTATTAGTGATTGCTCTTTTAAAATAAACAAAACAAAATCTAATAGAAGAATTAATGCCTTATTTGGAAAACTTATTTTAAAAATAAGAAGTAAATGAGAGAATTGCTCAAAAATTATAATTAATCTTAGGGTGATTATTCTTTTCTTGCTATTCAATTACTTTCTAGATTAATTTTCTAAGTGTATAATTTATTTTCATTATAAAAATACCTCATTATTTTGGTAATTAATCAAAATCAAGATCAAAGCTGATTGGTTTAGCTTCTGGATTATATTCATATTAATTGATTTCTTCTTATTCATTCTTGATGTAATAATTAATATAATTACTTCTTATCTAATTTCTTATAAATTCTCTTATTTTGCCACTAATTTATTTTGTTTTATTCTTTATTTATTTTCTTTCCTTCTTTATTGATATTAAGCACTTAAAATCTTTGTCCAATATTCTTCAGCACCTTTTCTGATTCTTTTTTCAATTTCAACTCTAGGGACACCTTGCATTCCAAATATTTTATTCTTAATATCACTTCTGTCTCCAGTAGCATTTGGTATTCTAATTTTAAACATAAAGTACTTAGTTAAAACTTCATGATGAGCAGATTCAACATGATTTTTCAAAGAATCGCAAGATGAAAACTTTTTAAAACATCTTTAACAAGTAAAATGTTTTGCCTTTTAGTGCTAATGTAGATAAACTTCATTTTTAAATGTTTTATCACAGTAAAAACAAAATGGCTTTAAATATGATAAATCTCTATTTTTTCTTCCCATTTTGAATAAATATTAATAATAGTTTTTATTTAAATTATATTCTTAATACATACTCATATAATTGAGAGTATGTTATAATAAATTAGTAATATTGATTTATTTGAAAAACAAATTGTGAACTTGAATGCAAATTTATTATATTTTATTTTAATTTTGACATCTTAACATTTAGAGAATGAGAAGAATAGTATATTCTAAGATTATAGTAAGTATATCAGATAACTATATAACTATCATAATTTATAATTCCTAATTGTAATTATATATTATTAGCCTTTAAATTGAAAGGTTAAATTAGGTTAAAAAATAAAACCTTAACTAAAAATCTGATAATCTATAAAAGATAGCAATAATACCTTTATTTAACTCAATCTAAATGCTATTTACTAGTCAAATATTTTTAATCATATCAATCAGTTATAGAGATGGATGTTTAACTTATTATTTGTTGAGAGTATAAAATACATCGGAAATACGAATAATATACTATAATTATTGTTAACCTAATGTTTTTAAGGGCTGAAATTCAAAATTTACAAAGAAAAGAACAAAACATGAATTTGATATCAAAAAATGAATTAAAAACAATAATTATAAAAAATTATTATGATGGCCTTCCAATATTTGATCAAAAATTAAACAATACTAATAATTTATTGGATTGTATATGCTTAAATAGATAAAAATGAAATCTATAGATAAAAATATCTATATCTCTCTTATTTATTAAGATAATATGTTCCTTATAGGTATTTAAACAATCTAATACTTTGAACTTGGGTCTATGAATGCACAGTAATTGAAAATTTTAGATAATTAATAAAACAATTAGAAAAATGGATTACAATGATTAAAGCGTTGGGGTATGCTATTGTTGCATGTTCTTTACTTACAAACATTATATTTATTTGATGATGACAACCAATGCCATTTAGGGGTTTATTTTAATAGCAATAGGAATATTTGGACTTTTAGAACAATTTGAATTACTTGTATTTTAAAGACCAATAGCTCTGAGCTTATTAAGTTTAGGTATTTGAAATATTATAAAGAGATAGGTAGTTTGGTTGTAATTGGACTTATATTATAATTAATATTCTTTGTTAGACATTCAGTATTATATATTGGAAAAATAATGGTAGGAGTAAATGTTTTGACCTCTTTATTTGATTTAAGTTCAGGAATAATATTACTTTTGTCTTGTTTCATGGAATTAACTTTCATAGAATTCAATGAAACACAGCAATCTTTTAGCTCGACAAAAAGAACAATTTTGTTAATAATCTCTATAATAATAATTGTTATATCTTTATATGGATTTTGGATGACATATCTTCAATACTAAACCATAGAGCCATTATAAGAGCAACTAGAGAAGGAGACCAAAGTTGTTCCAGTAATTTCATTACGCCAAGCTGTAGCTAGAAAGTTCTCTAAGAATTTCATAGGTGAACTCACACCAAATAATGGGAAAATGAATAGACAAACAAGAGGAGATTCAACATCAGATTAATCTTAACCATTATAAATAATATAAGTATAAGATTATTAATATATTTAAAGTCAAAACAATAAAATTAAGAAGAATTTCATGAACCTTATTCCAATCAAAGAAGTGAGAAACTTATAAAAGTATCTGAAAATTTGACTCCATATAATGATTATTACACTTCCTCGACTAATACAATAAGACTTCCTCAATAAACAGATGATATACAGACTTTAAGAAAGTAAAGAACTCCAAGATCTACTTTTAGTAAATAATAATAAGAAGGTTGATTAATTATCTCATTTTTATATATTTAATTTTTCATACTTGAATCAAGATGTATTTCCAAAAAATTATAAAAATCATTTAGATAATTTATAGGGATAAGTGTTATGTATTGTCTAATATATATTTTTTTATAGCATTGAATTTTTGTATCAAATATCTAAAAATAATAGAATATATTCTCAAACAGATATATCAAATTTATCATATATAAGAAATAAATTAATTTTAGATAGATATTATTATCAATAAAAAATACATCAAATTTCTTTCAAGCTTTCTTAGAATAGTCATGGTTTCAAAACAGATGATTAAATATATTTCCTAAATAAACTATATAATACAAATTAACTCTTCATACCATATATTGTTCTTTTACTTTTTTTTATATGAATAATGAATAAATATTGTTATCATTTTCAAAATAGCATAAAAAACAAAATTTCACATACTAAGTTGTTAACACAAGTATCCATTACTTTAAATTTAGAATTTATAATAAATTAAAGAAAGCACTTTTTATAGATTTATAAGTGATAGTTGCATTAAATTTTAAATTATACTTCCTTCCTAAACAAAAAATTGGATCAAATAGGAATTAAAAACCTTTTTTTTATTAGAAATATAATTTCAATTGATTATATGATATATATTAACATTATCTGATTTAATTATTTTATTAAATATTAATTGTTTATATATTTATGTAATTCTAGTATTAAAAAAAGTGAATGAAAATTTAGTTGTAATTGATATTAAAATTTGAGATTAATTAATTAATTTGATAATTAAAAGGAATAAGATTAGGCACCTTATTAAAGCTAATCAAATCAAAATTAAAAAATCGTATTGATGAATTAAGTCAATTACTAATCCTACTTTCATTGCAGTAATTTTAAAATAATTTAAAAATGTGATAGTGATTATGGACTTAGATGTAATTAATTTACAAAATGAGAATTTTTTGGTGAGATTTTTATGTCAAAAGATGGATAATTAAATAAATAATCTTGGTTTATGAATAACAAAAGAACAAGAAATTAATATATTTAAAACTTATTTTCTATTTGACTAAATCTTTAAGAAGACAATTAAATCACAATTGTTTGATTAAATGACATATGTCTAAAATTAAAAAATTTAAATGAAGCGATAAATTATTGAATAATATAAATACCTATGCTTTTAAAGCAAAAACTATATGAGTATGTAAATATTCATTATATATTTAATGTGTTGTCTAACCTGGATAAAATAACAAACTATAATGTTTAATATATTAATTAACTAATTTCTCATATCTGAAATAAGAATACTGCAATATTGGATACATAAATGATTTATATCCATACAAAATACAAAATACTATCATATTTGATAATCTAAATTCAATAAATATTTTCATTACTTACTAATAATCCAGTTATAAATGAAAAATGTCACAATATCCTCTAATTATTCTAGCATTTTATAGAATGAAATCTGATAAATTATTACAACAATCAAAACCAAAACAATAAAAAATTCAAAACCCTTTTCATTTCATTTATTGTAATAGATCTCTTTCTAATCTATCAAAACCAAAACTTAACTATTGATTCTCTTTTAATAATAATTCTTAAACTTGCATTTAAGCCTTAGTTATAATTTCCTTTTGTTTCTCTCTAAATAGACTGGCACTTTTATTATTTTAAACTTTTAGATTATCTTTATCTAAACTCATTTTTTCTTTGTTGTCTTAATTTTATTTTTTGTATCCATGTTTTAATCTAAAATTCAGTCTTAAATATGGAATTTCCAAACGTTCTTCTTCCAACGGTTCTATTTAAATTTTATACTATTTCTTCTATCCTTATTTAATATAAGGTTAGGAGATATTCTTTGTCCCCTTAGATCCAATATAAATATCTGGAAAGTTTCTTGAATTGTTTTAGGAACGATTAAGCTTCTATATAACTAATCCATCTCCTCCTTTTAATAAACTACTTCTATTAGAAATATTATTCTTTGGACTTAAAATGTTTGGAACAAAATAATTTTAATGATTTAATTTCTCTAATGGTGTTTTTTTAAGAGATCTTAATGAATAAAGTTAGTTCATGTTTAATTCTTTATAGTAATTATCTAAAATAGGTTATTTCATAATTAATATTATTGTATTTATTTCTATAATAATAATATATTAATTAAATACTACTAATTCAAGCACATCATTAATTATTAGTTTATACTTTTATTATAAAGATTAATTATTAAATAGATATAATTTTTACTTTATTATAACTTCAATGATTCCATAAGATAGTACTCATACTCTTAATTTATTAAAAACTATTTGTTAGAAAGCAATGAATGATTTATAAAGCAAAAATAAAAAAGTAGGAGTAATCTTGCCAAAAATAAAATAAAGAAAAGTATTAAATCAACATCAACCATAAATGGATATGAATTAAAAATAAGAAAATTTATAATTTAAACTAAAATTAGGCTAATTTAAATTAGTCAATCAAAAGATAATGCCTAAAAAACTTTCATAAATTAAATTAGATAATAATTAAAGCAATTCATCATAATTTGAAGGAAATGAAAGTTTGAAAGTAATTAGTTATATTTCTAATGGGAATGAAATCGAAAGAATGTTTGAAATAAACTCTAGCTCTAGAATTAAGAATAGAAAATTTAAATTTAATTCACTACAATTTTGAATAAATACAATTTATATTGTATATAATATTAAATAATGAGAAGTATAAACAAATTCATTCATTTTCAAGTTGTATATCATCTAAATTTAAATCATGTTTTAATTTATCGAATAATTTACAGAGTTTTTCATCTCTAGATGAATTAACATATACAATTAACGATTATATATTTTTAACTAATTTTTATTGTCTATCTTTTACAGTTTGAATAGTAAAATGATTAGAAATTTTATATATTTATTATTATGTACCCTCACTTACATCTGTTTTGAATCTTTTAGCAGAAGGTAAAATTTTACTAGCTTAAATTGGAGGATATTTTTATGGTATTTTTATGCTTAAATGAGGTATTTATATAGGATTCTAATTTTCAATTAAATCAAGATGAATTTTATATTTCTCTGTTTTTGGATTTAAACAAACAGACATATTTTTATTATTTAAATCTGGGAATTATTTGATATCTGGACTATGATCATTAATAACCTGAGAAATTTTTCTTATTTAATGAATGCATGAATTTTATGAAAAGCTATTTTTATTTGAGTTTTTTTTAGATGTTTATTTTTAAAGACGTTGTTTTGATTAACTAATTTCTTTTAGGGCACTTTAACATTAAGTCTCTAATAGATTGATGGGTCTAGGTTATATTTTGGGAAATAAAAAATTCATTATAATTTTATATAGATTTTGTACTAATTTGATGGTTTTTTAGTTTAAAAAATAATATTTATTTCATTCATCATTTTAAAAAATGGATAATCAATTTAACAATATTATTATAGGAGAAGACTATACAAGTGATGATTAGTTAATTAAAAAAAAGATATTCTAATTTGATGCTGAGTTTGAGAAATTGAAGAGGATGGAAGAAGAATATTAGGAAGATATAAAAAATTTGGAAGATAGGATATAAGAGAATGAAAACAAGAAAGTTGAAATCACATAAAAACTTCAATAAAGTGTAGATGCAATAAGTGAATAAAAATAATAAATACTAATATTGGATGCCAAAATAGCATTTATTAAAAAGAGATTAAATAATGATCCTACAACATCATAAGAATAAATTAGATAGGAAGAAATTATATAAGACTCTGCCTATTTAAAAACTTTATTATATGAGAAAGAAAGACTCATTAATACTTTAAAATAAAGGATTTAAAATATACGTCCATGTGTTGAAGAAGAGAAAAAGTTATAATAACTTCAATAGGACTTAGTTTTAAAGAAGGCTTAATTAGAGGAAATTAAAAATTAATAATAAGTTGGTAATCTGAATTAGTCTTACAAAAATATTCAGGCTAAACTTAATGAGTTATAGTTAATGAAAGAAAAAAGAATAGAAATTTAAAATGAGATTTCAGCATTTAATTCTAAGATTAGAAGAGAATAGGATGAAAAATATATGTTATTCAATTAATTACAAATAGTGAAAACTATATATTAAACTTATGAAAATAGAGTTGAATAATAAAGAACTATGATTAATAATCTTAAAGAAGAGAATAATAATGATACAATTAATCAATTTTGAGTTATTAATAAAGTTATCAACGATATAATATAAAAGCGCCAAATAATTTTGAAAATTTAAAATTCAATATTATATATTTATAACAATTATGTAGAAGAAAAGGTTGTCATCAATTGATAGAAATTTTATGTCTTCCCTTAGGAAATATGAAGAGCATCCTTCATAGAAGTAAATGAATGGTTAAAAAAAAGAAACACAATTATAAGAACAATAATTATTGATTTAAGACATTCAAGCTAATATTTCAGATTTAGAAAATGGAAATTATGTAAAATGTTTTACAAGTATAAATTTAATGTTTACTGATCCAAATTATTCACTTCGTAAACATATCACATTTTAATTATTTGTACCTGAAGAAAAAGATTTCATTGGGTTTACAATATTGAACAAAAAAGAAATTTGGATTTTACTATTACTTTATTTTGATATAGTGAATTAAGATAAGAATTAATATGCAAGATATCTTTGGTAAAGTATTGTTAAAAAAATGAGTGAATATTTAAATTATGAACTAAGAGAAGAGGTTATAAATAAAGTCAAATTTTATAGACAAAAGTCTAAAATAACAAATAATCAAAATAAATTAAATAATTAACATTCTAATCAATATTATTTTGTTGAAGAACATGATGATTAAAGTAAAGAAGGTAAAGAGATTAATAATAGTTATAAAGAAATATGTTTTGATAAATCTTATATGGCAACATTATCAGATAATTCAATTATTGAAAGAAGTTAAGTATTAGAATAGAATATAATAATTATGTAAGATCAAATTGATTCAATTACAAATGAGGATGTATCTAATTAAGGTCCTAGCAATAGTTCAATTGATTTGAATAATGATTTTGTTGAAATTACATATCATAATTCTAATTTGAATGATTTTTAAATTCCAGATATTTCATTTTAATAGTAATCATAAACTGAAGATCTAATCAAAAATTCTATATTTATAGATTAAGCTAGTAATTAGGTTGAAATTTCTTTAATTGCTTAAATGGAATAATTGGGATTTTAAGATAACTAATAATCTGATTAATTAAATAATGCACTTATTGTAGATTAAGATGATGATAATCGTGAAAGTTATTAAAATTTAGGAATAGATTAAATTAGTTAAAATTCTCTTGAAAATATTAAAATTCAAGAATCATCAATTTATTAACAAAATTTTTTGGAAGAAAATAAATAAACAGATTTACTTAAGGATAATAAAATTATAAATTAAAATGATAAACCAATATATATATTAGATTTTGAAAAAATAGCATTTGATTCATTTTCAAATTCTGATTAATTTTGTAAGAAATCTAATTTAATGGGAGAAACTCCTCATTTTTCTATGAATCAATAAATTATCAATTAATGGTCAAAAGAAGACATAAAAGATTAAATATAATAAGAAGAAGAAGAAAAAGAAAAGTAAGTAATGCCATTTAAAAAATTTGAAGAATAATTGGCACATGATCAGGCGAAGTAGATTTTATAGTAAGATTTAGAATAATTAAATAATGATTCAGATGAAGATAATGATTAAATTGAAACTAAATAATAAAAATATGAAGAGAAAAATAGTTTATCTAAAATTGAATAATAAGATATTATAAATATTGAATTTAAATCATCATTAGATATTGTTAATTCAAAATAGAAAACTATTGATGATTATTTTAAACCAAAAAATAAAAATGAGTCTAAAAATTGTAATAAATTAGATGAAGAACCTATTAAAAAACAAGAATTTGAATAATCTTTATAGAATGATAAAAGGAGAAAAAGTAGAATAAGCAAAATAATGTAAAAATCAAATGTAAATTCTCAACTTGATTAAGCATTTGAATGTGATATGTCTTCTTAATAACCTTCACATTGTATATATTTAGAATAATCACATGATCTTGAATCTTAATAAATATCAAATAATAAAAAGAGACGATCATCTCTTGTTGATAAAAGATATGATTAAAATTTTATGGATAAACATGGATCAGGATATAGATTTGAAGTTTAAAAAGCACCTTAAAGATTAAAAGAAAAATATTAAGTTGAAGAAATACTTGTACCAAAAAGATCTAGCAAAAGAATTTAATATCCAGAAAGAAGTGATTTAGAAATATCTAAAATGATTATTGCTAATAATGAAATTTTGAATTATTTTACTCCTGCAGATAGATAATCTTAACAAATATCAGAAGAAATTAATAATAGAATACATCCCATAACATATTTTCATTCACTTAATAAGAATGATAAAAATCAAATAATTATTGTAAATTATTGAACTATAAATTCTAGTTATCAAACAATTAAGAACATTTTATAAATGATATTGTAGAAATCGAGATTTGTTTAGCAAATATCAATGATAATGATAGTCATCATATTGTTAAGGTAATATAATTTATTAATTAGATTGTAAGTGGATAATTAAATGGTTAAATAGCAATTGCCTAAATAAAAAAATAAAATTCAGAATAAATCATATTTGAAGATTACAATTTTTATAATAAATATATCCACTTTTAATATCAACAATCATAAGCTATCTACTTACCATTAGGCAGTTATTTAATTAATTAAAATTGATTATATTATAAATTATATTATAAGTATATTTTTTAGAAACTATTAAATAATTAATTAAATATAATGTAGTAGAAATATATTTAAGTAAATTTCATTTAAATTTTCCACATCTAATAATCATATGAATATATATATTTAATTGTATGCTTGAATTAATATAAATTATTAGATGAATTTTTTAAATTACAAAATTTATCAGAATTGAAATATATTAAATATTCTTTTTAGACTTTGGTTAGATTTATTAAATTAGAATTTAAATGGAACACTTATTTATATTTATGAATATGCTCTTGATGGTATAATCTAATTTCAATGGAGTAAATTTAGAAACATCTTAAGAAAAATTATCTTATTATTTAGACACATCGACATCAGCCTAAAATTTGACTTGCCAAAGTCTTACGAAAGTATATCAATCTACATTAACTGGTATACCAAGAGTTATGGAATTCAAAATAAATACTGCTTATGGTTATAATCAATTACTCTATACATTTGAATTACACTTTCTATCTATTTAAAAATCATAAATAAGTTTTTATGAAAGTGGCAAGAATATATATGAATTAGAGATAAATACATTATCTTTTTATCCTGCTTATTTGTGTACTTTCTTAACTTAAAGAGCATTTATTTAATTTACATCAACTACCTTAATGAATGAATAATAAGCAACATTTTTAGTTACAACTAATAGTGAAACTAAATTTTGGATTAAAAATTTAAACATTTATGCTGAAAGATGCTAAAAATATTGTAAAATATGCAATGACTCTTTATTATGTTATGAATGTATGCCTGGTTTTGAATTAAATTTATTGGGAGAATGTAAATGTTAATACTAATTTTTAACATATTTCTAAGGACAATGTGTTGTTTAATGTCCTTTAAATTATATTTTTGATGGATCAACATGTAAATAATATAACTAATTAATAAATTTATTGTATGATGATACAGCATCTAAATTCACTATGAAACCTGACTACAATACGACTTAAAGAGTATGTTAAACTATTTTAGATGGTAAAAAGGTTGCAGGTCTATTTATATAAAATGAAGTTGTGGAATATAATATTAATTATCCAACAGGAACTATTTCCAATATTTTAATGTAAGTTGAATTTTATATTTTAAATTTCCCATCTAATGTGTAACAACATTTATTTATTAAGCTTAATAATTATTTAATGAGAGAATATTTCATACTTTTAAATAATAATGAGATGAAAATTTAAGTTGTAGGTGCATTAAAACAAAGTCAATGTAATATTATTGGATATACTACATGTCTAAAATTTACACTTCTAGAAAATTTTGAAAATATCTCAGATCTCTCACTTATCTCCTTTTAGATTAATTTACCATTAGAAATATAAGATATCAGTTGGGCATTATCATATATTAATGTGAATGCAATTACAGTATCTCCAATTACTTGCCCTATAAAAAGATTTAATAATGAATGTTTAGATAAATGTCCAATAAATTCCAGAACTTCAGGAAATGAATGTATAAGTATACTTAATGATTATAAATTTTCTGAAATATTAAAAATAGGATACACAGATAAATTAGCTATCAAATAAAATATATAATTTACTAATCCTTGTGATTTCTAATTAGAAATCCCTTTTTCAATTTGTAATTTTTATTAAAATCAGTATATCTTAGGAGGAGAAATGATTTGGCAAAATAATTAAGTAAAATTAGTTATTATATCAAATTAACCTCATTATAAAGTGAAATTGTTTTTTAAAGCTATTTTGATAGATCCAATTAATATTGATTAAAGTTTGATAGTAAGTATAGATCAAACTAAATTTATTTTGAATATGAATTCACCAAATTCATATTGTTTCAGTAGTTAAACTATACCAGGTTGTATAATTTAAGAAGATCTTGGTTAAACAAATGCCGATTATTTAATTAACTTTGAACAGGAATTTGAACATTCAAATACCTAAATAGAGATTTTAATTTACTGTAATATGAAAATACCTAGTAATTCTTATTGTGCTTTATATGATTTATTAATTCTCTAAGCAAATTGTCCACCTAATTGTAAATTTTGTTCATCAGATTCAATTTGTTTGTAGTCTGATTCAAATATTTAAGTTTTTTATGATTGTCCTAATGAAGGTTATTATTATTCAGAAGGAACTTGTCTAATATGTTAAAATGATTGCAAAACATGTATAAATGAAAGTTCATGTACTAGTTGTAAAGATAAATATTTATTATATGGAAACTAATGCATTTGTAAAATGAATATGATTGAATCTAAAAAGACAGATTGTATGGATGATTGCCATCCATTTTGTTCTAAATGTTAAAATTAAGTTAATTAAAATTTAAATAAAGTATTAAAAATAATTTAACTGTGTGCTTCTTGTGATTATAATGAACATAAAGTCTTGAATGTTAATATTTGTGAATGTTTCTTAGGATATTATATGGATAGATCAAGTAATCCAAACACTTGTTAATTATGTAATCAAACATGCAAAACTTGTTCAGATGCAATGATTTGCTTGACTTGTTTCCCTGATTAAAATAGATTTTATAATAATTATCAATGTTAATGTATAGATGGTTATTTTGAAAATGGATTTAATGCCACTTGTATAAAATGTAATACATTTTGTAAATCTTGTTTATACAAAGAAGATTATTGTACTAAATGTTACACTGAATAATATAGAATATTATCCAAAGAAAATAAATGTGTATGTCAAAATGGGTATTATGATAATAAGTCAGATGTTTGTTTAAGTAATTAATATTATTTATTTAGAATGTAATAATAATTGTAATAGTTGTTCAGATTATTCTATTTGTACATCATGTAATGAATTTCAATTTAGAAGATTGGATTCACATATTAAATAATGTATTTGTTAAGAGGGTTATTATGATAATAATGAGTTAACTTGTTTACCATGTTACTATACATGTAGTAAATGTAATAATTCAAATTTAATTTCATATTGTACTGCTTGTCCAAAAACAAGGTAGAAATCAGCAAATAATCTTGATGTTTTTGAATGTAAATGTAGAAAAGGATATTTTGATGATGGTTATCTAGAATGCTAGTCTTGTAATAATGTAATTAATCCACCTATTACACATTATTGTTATTCTTATTGTGGAGATTAGATCTTATAATGGAATGAAGAATGTGATGATGGTAATTTAAATCCAAGAGATGGGTGCAATCAATGTTCTATATAAAATAACAATTGCATTGATAACATATGTTTAAAATGTTATTATAATTAATGTCTTTAATGTATAGATGGATATTATTTAAATAATGATTTTGAATGTGCTTAATGTTCTTATCAATGCTAAACATGTGAATCATAATAAAATAATTGTATATAATGCAAATTTTATAATCCTAATACTTAAAAATGTCTAATCTGTTCATTAGACTATGGATTTATCCATATTGATAATTAATGTTTAAGTGTATGTGGAGATGGTATTCGAACTTACTAGGAATTATGTGATGATGGGAATCAAATAAATGGAGATGGTTGCAATTAATTTTGTATTGTAGAAGAAGACTATATTTGTGATTTATAATGTTAAAAGATTACCTATCTTTAAATATTGCTTTAAGAAGATAAATTTGATAATATTTATGATTCTAAAAGAACTGTTAAATTGAAATTCAATCAAGAAATTAAAATTTCAACTAATAGTTCAATTACAAATTTTGTAAGAGTTACTTCAAATACTCCTAATCTTATAGTAAATCTCTTAAGTATTTCAGATAATACATAGATAATTGATGATTATTTTTATATTGATATTGATTTAAACTTAGAATTAGATTCATCTGCAAAATCTCCATTAATTAATGTTATCATTTAAAATCATACACTTTTTACTAATTCATAAGGTTAATCTTTTAAAATTAATAGTGCAACTATATCATTAATTGATTTCATTAAATAAGATCAATTTCTAATTCAAAACACTCAAAATCTAGCTTAACTGAGTTCTTATTTCCTTTACATATTATTAGGATTAGCAATCTTAGCCTTAATTTTTGGAGGTTTAGAGATTTTTTGGAATCTTCTAGATACATTATAACTTATTTGCTATCTCAAGTATTTTAATGTTATTTACCCTTATAACCTTTAATATTATTTGAATATTTTTGGATTTGCTGAATTTGATATAATTAAATCATATTTTGATATTGAATATTTGATAACTTAATATGTGGATACTACCTAAAGTGATCCAAAATTTTATTAAGAAGGATACTCTACTGTCTTTATTGTTAATATAATCTCTGTAATTATTGTATTTGTTACTACTACTGCTACTTTTATTATAATCAAAGTAGGACTTTATTTTCTACATAAGCTTACAAAAGACTTTTCAGAAGATATGATATTGATGGAAAGAGAATAAATAAATATATTTACATTTTTATTTTACAAATTAACTAATAGTTGTTAAAAATACTTCTTGAAAATGATTTGTGAATTTAAAAGTGCACTAATAAGAACTTTTATGGCTTCTGCTTATGATTTAAATTTAGCTATATTTTTATAATTAAAGGATTTGAATTTTAAAAATCCTCTATTGAAACTTAGTAGTTTTAGTGCAATAATTGTATTTTTTTTGGAAATATATTTTATATATAAGTGTTTTTCATTAATGAACAAGGATCTAGCAACATTAAAGTTAAAAAAATCTGTATAAAATTATGGATCACTCTTTGAAGGATTAAAATTAGAAAAAAATCATATTATTCATTATTTTAACTTATTCTTAATTATAAAGAAGACTATATTTATGGCATTATTAGTATTTTTATATAATACTCCTTGTTTATAAATTAGTATAGTTTCTATTTTAAGTCTATCTCAAGCATTATTGTTATTATATAATCAACCTTTAAGAGATAAAAATGAACTGATCAAATAAATTACTTGTGAATTTATCTTATGGCTATCAATAATATTAATTTTGATATTTGGATTTAATGAGTAAAGTACTATTTTGAATTATTATCAAATTACAAATATCGGTTGGACAATAATTGGATTTTTGTCCTTAATCATATTGATATAATTAATGATTGATTGTAAGTAACATTTTTAATTTCTTGATTAAAAATATTAATTACTAAAAAGATTAAGAGTCTGGTATAAATATTATTTTTAGAATCATGATAATCAATATTCTTTGAATACAGAATATAGTTAATATTCTACAATATTTAATTAAAAGGCAAAATAATAATCAAATTATGCAAAAAATTAATGTAATTAAGTAAATTAAAGAAGAATTATTTCTTTCAAATTAAGTTGATTTTAAGATTTCATTTATTCTTATTAATTGTTTTTTATTACATTATTATTAATAATTATGTTTTGCTGATTTTTACAAGATCACAATATGAATATTAGTCTATTCTAAAATAGAAATTAAAATTATTTTATGGAAGTAGTTTAATTATTATAAAAGAAGGTCTAATATGACTTAATACATTTAATATATATAATTTAAAACTAGCAGATGACAAAAATTATAAAATCAATATCATGATGTTAATTTAATAAATGTAGGTAAACGTCTCCATTTTGTTTCCGTACAAGTTAAATTCTCATCTAAAATAAATTTGAAGTGAGGAAAATAAGAAGTCTCAGGAATTCTATGATAATAAAGAAAGTCATACAATTCAATAGCATTAAATTCTTCTTCTAAATTTTTGTTAATGAACAAATTTGATGGATTAAGTAAATCAACGACTTCAGTATAACTAATATTTTGAGGACGATTAGTCTTTTTAGATGTAGCATTGCTTTTCTTTTTTTTTCTAGTTTGCCCTTCTAAAGAATCATTAGTTGACAAAGATCTCAAAGAGTCATTCATGAAATTAGCAGTTAGATATATAATAAAAATATTAATCAAATTAAAAGTCTCAACGATAATATTCTTTGTTTGATATAAGTTTATTAAAGATGAATTTTAACATTTGATTCATTTTTGTATCAATGATTCTCTTTATATAACACCATATTAGAATGATATTCCAATCTCAAATTAGTGTCTCGATTAATATATATACTTCACTTTATACAAATTATATTAATTATTATGAAACATAACTATCAATTTAATTATGATACTATATGTTAAAAGAATGTAATTATTCAATTCTTGTTACCATTATACTTTAATATTTCAATTCCTTAAAATTATTCTTATAGTAAATAAGAAAATTGTTAATTGAATAGATTATTTTTAGAACTTTTAAAACTTTGAAATAAACCTATGTAGATATGTTAAACTCATTATTAACGTTTATGTTGATTTAATATTTTTTTAATCATTAAATATTATTTGATTATAAAAATAAGAATCTCCTTTTTAATCTTGAATATTAAATTCATAAATTGAGTTTTACTCTAAACAACTGAAAATCAAATCAATTATATCTTTAAAACCTTCAAGTAAATGTTCTTAAATATGAAACTATTAAAATATCTCATTTATTTAAAATGTTTTATGATATTCATACCTACATTCTTTTGAATTTAATATTCCTCATAAATCATAATAATTAAGTAAGATGAATATGAAAAAATGAATTTTAACAATTATATACTTAAAAATTAAAATATTTTTAAAATTAAATTCAAAATGCATATTGATGAATTACCGGTTGGATAATAAAAGCAAAATTTCATGGTCGAAGAGTTTCCTCCTGGTATTTGAAATTTAATAAATTAGATTTCGATCCTTAATAATTTGATAAAGTTGATTTACCATTAAAATAAAGAATAAAATCAAAGGTTTGGAAAGTAAGACTTCAAGGTTATGAGGAATTAGCAAATGAATAAGAAATAGAGTATGATTGCATTTTATAAATAATACAAGACATACATGTTTAATGTCAAGAAAAAGCACTCTAAATTGCACTAAAATACTTTGAATAACATCATTAATTTGAGTCTTCATAATAAAAGGAGATAATAAAAGTGTTGATAGAGAAAGTACTAATATAATAAAAATTAAAATAAAATGGATATTAATTAGCCATAATACTCTTTCCATATTGTAAATAAGCAATTTTTGAAATTATCATTGGAGAATTATCTCATAAAAATCCTAAGATAGTTTAAGCAACCATCACTTTAATATTGGAGTTACTTCAATAATATGGTGTCAGAAAATTAGATAATTTAAAACCTTTTTTCCCCATTTTATCAAAATTAACAGAGGCATAACAAACTACAATAAAAGCTGATGCAATATCTTTTTATAAAGAAGCAACAAAATGGTTTGGTAAAAATATTGAGGCATTTTTTGGTGGATTAAATGAAAAACTTTAATACGACTTAAAGAAAATTGCAGAAACTATAACAGAAGTATAAAAAGCTCCAAATCAAGATGGAGATTTTGAAACAGGAAATCAATAATTGTATGATTTAGCAGAGGCAGTTGAAGTATTTCCTAAATTTACAGATTCTTGGTGTGAAAAGGTCTTCTAACTTGAAAAATGGTAAGAAAAAAAAGAACAATTAGAAAATTTATAAAAAGCATGTTCAGTTGCAAAAATGGTACCATCTCCGAATGTTTATTCAATTGTGTAATTACTAAAAAAATTAATAAATGAATAAAACATAGCAATATGTACAATGAGTATTAAAATTGCTGGACTTCTAGCTAATGGATTAAGAAAAAATTTCTATTAATATGTTAAAATATTAATATAACCATTATTTGCAAGATTAAAGGATAAAAAATAAAATATAGTTGATGATACAATAACATCATTAAAGAAGTTCTTCTACTGTTGTACTCTTGATGAACTTTTTGAAGAAGTTAAAACATTATTAGATGATAAATCATCTAGTCCTAAAATTAATGTTTTTGTACTTGTTGAGCATTTTTTAGATGAATGTTAAAAAGAAAAACTACTTAAACTTCAATGCATAAAACAATTAGTTCCAATTTGTAAGAAATTAACTGATGATGGAAATGCAGAAGTAAGAACCAAAGCCATTATGTTGTTAGCTAAAATATCTGTTTAATTATATAATGGTTCAATGGCTGTAGATCTAAAAGGTGATAAATTAACAAAATATCAAGCCTAGGTTAATATTTATCTTGAAGGATTAAAAGCCTTATAAGGCAATAGTATAGCTATCTTAATTCCATAGAAATCCAACTTGCAGTCAAATAAGGAAAACATTTAGAATTAAGCAATAGCTAATCCTAAACCAGATATTAATTCAAATAAGCAATAGTCAATAGTTTAAACCTAAGTTAACCAAGAAAATCAAGAAATTAAATATTAATCTAATATGACTCCTAATTAAGTTGATGCATTTCTCAAATAATATAAAACTAAAAATAAGGATTAAAGTGATCTTGGTAATATTTTACTAACCATCAATTAATAATCTAAGTAAATTTTAACTTTCACTATGGACTATATAGTAGAAAAAATAGGAGAGTAAAAATAGCTTTGTCATTTATTATTTGAAAAATGTTCTTAAACATATAAGCCTAATCATATGTCTCAATTAATTCTAAGCTTTAAAAATACTGCTACTTAAGCATAATTAGTTGAAATTTTAACTTTATTATTAAAATACATTCCTTTAAGTGATAAAACTATTGATTAACAATTAATTTCTGATTTTTTAAAAGGATTTTAAAATTAATCCAATTAGAAGGCAAAACAACTAGTAATTGATTGCTAAAATGCATTAAAATAATTATTTGAATTAAAAAAAGCTTATTCAGAATAAAAACCTATTCCATTTTCATTAACTTAATTTAGTGATCTATAAATAGAAAAATTGAAAGAATAATTAAAAGTACCTTAAATACCATAACATTTGTATGATAAACTGTTTAGTTACAATCCTTAATTGAATTTAGCTGGTGCATCTTATATTAGATAAAAAATAGCATAACCAGGAGAATTTACAGAAATCTTTTTTAAATGGGGCTATTTAATTTCATGGTTTAAGGAAAGCATATCTTTGCAAACAGAAATTATTATGTTATTTTAATTCTTGACTTCTTAACATAAACTTACTTAATTAGAATAATAAATTGTATTGTCTTATATTAAAATGATGATATTGTTATATATAAGAAATGGAATGCCAAGATTAGCATAAAGAACATTACCATTACTTATGAATTTATTAGCTGATTGCAATTAATAAAATGTATAAATTAATCAATAAGGTAAATTTGATGAATGTGATGAAATTTCTAATACTTAGGCTAATTAAATAATTTAATAAATGTAAGACAGTATCTTAGAATGGAATAATAATTCTTAATTATAATAAAAATAAATATTATTTACTTTAATATCATTAATTAATAATGAGGATATTTAAAAAGAAAAGAATCAAGAGTAGAAGAAACACTCTATGAGAGTAGAAGGTATCATAACTTCAAGTATTGATTTAAAAAACAAATAGGAATAAATTTAAAGTTCTCAAAAACTTGTTCAAGAGTAAGTATCTGATAAAATAATTACTTTACAAAATCATTCATAAAAAAAATTGTTATAATAAAAAAATTTTAATCTACCATTAAATCAAAATATTAATAGTGGGAATAAAAATATTAGTTCTAGTTGTATCTAAATAATAAATGTGAAAGAAAAAGAATATGATATGATCATGAGAAGTTTTCAATAAATGTATTGCAAATTTAGAGAAACAAATTTTATTGAAAATTCTTAAAGTTTTGCTGAATAAATCATTTATCTTTTAAGTAATCTTTTAAATGATGAATGCTATGATCTAATGAATTAATTCTTAGAGAAATTGATACATGTATTATCATCAAGTCAATTCTATAAAAGCATATCATATAATTAATTTTATATTATATTTGATTCATTGATTTTTAAAATGGTTGAATAATCAACAAAAAACAATGTCAAAGATGGAGCATAAAAATGTTGTTATAATTTAATTAATTCTAATTTAATTAAAATCTTAAATAATCAAGATTTATATAATTTATATTTAGCCTTTTTGGATATTTTAATAAATGTGAAAGAAACTGATCGATAAACTAAATAATTTTATGCATTAGTCACTAAATGCTTAAGTAAATCTGCAGAGCAATTAAAAGGATAATTTTAATGGTCCTAAGTTTAAGCCATCTTAGAAAAAATTAATTAATATTTAATTAAAAGTTAAAAACCTTAACTGGAATACACATAATATCATAATTGCTTATTGAATGCTTTAAAAACAACAGTTATATTTTTCTTTAATTACAATGATGGTATCAAAGTGTATTAATATATTATGTAAAATACAAATGAAAAATCCATTTTAAGATAATGGATATTAGATGTACAAGAAAAAAATAATACTAATCTTATAGTTGATTTAGCTAAATATAGAAGATCAAGAGATACACATTTTAATTAATTAGTTGAATTGCTTAAAATAGATTTTGATAAAACTGTTGAGTAATTTGTATCCATAGTGAGAAGATAAAATATTAATTGGAAACCTCTAGTTGAATTTTTAAATCCAGATAAAATAACATTCATAGAATAAAGATTAGAATCCACATCACATATGAATTTATTAGAGAAAAAAGTTGTTGAATTAGAAAAGATGATAAACTAATGAAAAAATATATATTAAAGCTTTTTAAATTTATTATACAAAATAATAATTTTTTTTATTAGGAATAATATAAATTTAACATATAATTAAATAATATAAAGATATACATACACATAAAAACTTACTATAATAATAATAATAAAATTTCTTATTATAATTAGATATTATTTTAAAAAATATTACTAAATTTTATTTTTATTTCATTATTTCAACTTTTTGGAGGACATTATTTCAATATATTGTTAATTGCTTATATTAACTCTTGTTCATTATTAAACTGTCTTTAAATAATCAATTTATTTTTTTTATTGATAAGACAATAATAAAATTTGAGAAATCCTAAAGAATAAGCATTTTTATCTTAAAATTTATAACATTCCATCAATTTATCTGTGTAAATATTAATTTAACTTTGATCACATTTTTATACTGAATCAAAAGCCTATTTGAGTAATCGTATTGTTTATTTACTATAGAAAAAGTAATTTTCAGATCTAAGATATATTTATTTGATTACAATTAAGATTACAAATAGAAGATTGTATCTTACAGTTCATCTATTTGAATTTATTGGTTATTTTATTAAGTTTAAACTTATGTTTATGGTTTTAAAGGTTGAAATTATGATTATACTAATTAAGGTGTAAATTATGCTTATCCTATTTAAGGTTAAATTTAATTTTATGGAGGTTAAAAATTAATTTATTAATTTTACTTATTATCTATTTGCACTGAATTTAAAGTGCCCATCCGAGGACCTGGATTATTAAATTGGGTTTAAGGGGGATTTGGATTTGTGGCTCTCAAATTTTGTTTTTGAATTGAAAATTAAGTTGGAACTGAATTTTAAAATTGATTTTGATTTGCAAATACAATTTTATTTTAAAATGGAATTTAATTTGAAAATGTATTTTGATTTTAATTTTAATTTTGAAATGGGTTTGTTGCTCTTTTATCGAATTTTGTTGGCTATTAAGTTTAGATACTAATTAGTTTGTGTGAATAAATTTCAGAAAATTTAATTCTGTCTTTAGGATTGTAGACAATCATTTTTTCAATCAAAGTTAAAAGATCAGAGTTGATGTCTTTAATTGGTTCTTTTATTTTGAATGGAGTGTGTTTTAGATTCTAAAAAAATGTTTTGACTTGATCTGGGTTCTATGTTTAAAAGGGAGGTTCACCGAAAAGAAATTAATAAAGCATAATTCCAATCTAATATTAATAAATTTGATACCGAATAAACATCAACTTGGCTTTTTCCATTTTAAATCAGCTTTAAATCCTTTATCGCTTGATCTAAACTGCTGTCATTTATAAGACAATTAAGTTCTGGAGCTGCATAAACTGGTGTTCCTACTTTTGTAATAGTGGTGTCATTAGATGAGTTAATCTTACCTACTCCAAAATCGCCCAATTTATAAATAGGTTTACCTGAATTATCAAAAGATATTAAGATGTTTTCAGGTTTAATGTCTCTATGAAGTATTGATTTTTCATATAAGGGTTTATATCCGTTTAACAATTATTTTAATATATTTAAGACTTCATCAGAAGTGTATTTTTATTTTTAAGATAAGTCATCTTTTAAATTAGAACTACATTTTTCCATAATTATTATCAAAACATCATTATTTTCAAATTTTTGATACTAACAATAGTATACTTTAATCAAATTTGGATTATCAGGACAGGCCTCACGTAAAGTATTTATAATAAAGCTTTCTCTGCTCAAATATTCAGAATTATTGGTCATCGATTTAATAATCTTCATTTAAAAGTCATAAATACTTTAGCACATAAATTATCATTCCGATTTTTTCTTGTACATTCAAAAACTATACCATAAGCCCCCTTACCTATTTATTTTTATTCGTAAATGGTATATTCTCCGTTGGTGTATGTATTTCCTTCTCTGTAAAACATTAATAAATTTTTTAATAGAAATAAGAAATATTAATTAGAATATGCATTAATAATTATTGTAATTCTATCAAGACCGATCACTAATTAATTACAAATAAATTATTCTTTGTTATATGATATTTGATAAGGCTTCTTTATATATTTATTATTGCTTTTTTATATTTTATGTTAAAATAAATTATGCATATTTTTTATATAAATAGATCTTCATCTTTTCAATTCATTTGGCCCCCTCCGTTGTTTTAATTATTTTATCTCATATATTTCACATCTTTTATAGTTACTTTTATAACTTATAAAGATAATCTGATTTCTAATTCAGATATTGGTGATATTCGAGGTTTTAACTTTTATTTAGGTTTGATATTTATCATAATTTGGATGTTTATCATAATTTGGATGTTTTTTTTTCTGAGAATTAATGTTATTCAGATTCATATTGATATGAATGTGATTTATTTCTTATATATTAATTTATAATAGGCTATAAATGAAGATTTTTCTTGCCAAAATATTTGTTTAAATCGTTAAAAATTTAATTTAAAGGATTTTTATCTTATTATTTCTACTATTAAATTGCTTATTTGTTTCTTTGATATTGATAACGGCTTGTCAATCTGATAAATTAATTTATTTGTAAAATGTTAATTTCAATTATTTTAAAAGTAATATATGAAAAAAATAATATTTATTTATAATGAGAATAATTAAGCATAAGAAAACAATGGTGAAATAATTTTGCTATATCTATATAACTAAAGTGTTTGAATAAAAGTCAATTAGGGAGTATAGCTCAGTAGCAGAGCAGCAGACTGCAGATCTGTAGGTCTCAGGTGCGAACCCTGATGCTCCCTTCTTTTTTTATTTTAATTAAAATATTTCTTAATTAATAATTTATATTAATTTAAATTAAAAAATTTAGCAAATTAATTAATGTACTAATTTTTATATAGAATATCACAGTTAAAAGTGATCCTATACTTTGATGCTTTCATCTGTAATTTTATCTTCTTCTTGTAAGATTTCCTTTAATGCATCATTGTGTATTGATAATACTGCTCTACCAGACTCATCTGTATTTTTCTTGAATGCCTCATCCCATTCTAAAGCCTAAAGGATATATTTTATCTATAAATACTTTTTCAGTAGAACAAGCTATAGACTTGGCATAAGGTACTGATAAGGCAGCACTATCACTTGGAAAGGCATTAGAATAAACTTATCTAAACCAATATTATTCCTTATCCCTAGGGGTTGACAAAGGATAAGTAGTTGAGGCTTAAGAGAATTACTAATCAGAGATTAATTGATTGGCTCTTTCTATAATTCCATCTCTCCAACTGTAACCTACTCCATCACTGAATTGTTCCTTTTATCTCCATAATATTTCTTATGGAACAAATGGATTTTCTAAATCTTCAAAAGCTTTTCTTAATATGTATTTTTCAATTTATGGTTAGAAAGCATTGATCATTTTATATTTTGGATCAATAGACATAACATATTCTATCCATGACTTATTCATAAAAGGCGGTCTAGTTTCAATACCCCATGCTAAACAAGCTTTATTAGCTCTTAATAGGTCGTATTTATGTAAATCATTTAATTTTCTAATTAATTCTTGATGAAATTCAACTCTATTTGGAGCTTTGTGGAAATACAAATAACCTCCAAATAATTCATCACTTCCTTCTCCAGTTAAACATATTTTAATTCCCAAAGCTTTAATTCTTCTACACATCATATACATAGGAGTTGATGCTCTAATTGTAGTATTATTAAAAGTCTCTGTATGATATATGACTTCTGGAATATAATCTAAACCTTCTTCAACTGTATATGTAAATGAATGATGTTCAAATCCATGATATTCAGCTACTTTTCTAGCAAAATGTAAGTCTGGTGATCCTTCTAAACCAATACAAAATGAATGAACTTTTCTCATTCCTCTTTTGCTTAAATCAATCTCTCCATTTTTTATCAATTTTGCAACAATACCAGCAACAATAGATGAATCAACACTACAATTATGATATAAGATATAATTACCCTCCAGAAATAAACAAACCAAATGGTGCATCTCCTTTAACTTCTCTTCTTACAACATCAATAAATTTATCTCTCATTTCTTAAAAATTGATTTCTCCAGTTGGAATGTGATCAAAATTATGCCAAAGTGGATTATACCATTTCTTTATTTCATGAGTTTAATCTATATAATGTCCTTTTGTTTAATAATAATAAATTCTAACCTGGAGGGAATTATTTTATTTCAACAACTTAATCATGAATGCCCTTTAATTCTGATGATAAAAATAAGGCCCCATCTTTATTATAACCGTAATATAAAGGAATAATTCCAATATGATCTCTTCCTGCATAATAAGTCTTATTATTCATATCCAAAAGAATTGTAGCATGCATACCATCCATATGATTCCAAAAATCATTTGGACCATACTTTTATTATAACCATATCTTTTACTTCTTTATATAGCATTCCTACTATTTCTGAATCAGAATTGCTGCTAAATTTATATTTTTTTTCAAAATCTGGTTTGATTGACCAATAATTGTAAAGTTCTCCATTTTGCATATAATAGATATTTTAATCATCAACTAATTAAAAGGGTTGTCTTCCTCTATCACTTAAATCTACAATGTTCAATCTTTCATGAGCTAGTATATGATAAGTATTTGGGCCTGCTTCCTTAATGAAATAACAATGAAAATTTACTATTATTATGATACGAGATCTATCAGGACCCCTATGTCTTTATCTCTTTGATAAATCGTAAGCAAGAGTTCGTACTTCAATATAAGTCCCTTTAATGTTGAAAATTGCCAAAATTCCACACATATTTAAATTGGAATAACATAAACGTGTAAATAATTGTTATAAACCTGTAAATGCGTAACAATTAATATGAAATATAATTATTAGTATTCAATGTGGCCAATAAAGTTAATTAAGTATTATATTATTTAACTAATAACTCATATTTATACACATTCAATAAATATTCTTGAATTCATTATAATATTAAAACTTATGTTAATCACCTTCCTATTTATATTTTTCTGTATCTAATTTCAAACATTTATAAAAGAATAATATATGTTATAAGTTAAAACTTTTTTAATTTTCTTACATTTTCTCTAATCTTATTTGTACAAATCTTCTAAATTTGAGTAGTTTAAAATTTAAACTCTAAATAATGCATCCAAAATATGTCCAACACACTATAAAATATAATAAATAAAAGGAAAAGAAAAGCAAAGCATTAACTATATTATCAAAAGTTAATTAATTCATAATACTTTAAATACATCATAATACGTTTTAAAGTGATCTTTTTATTATAATTATTATTAATATAAATATTATCTCAAAATACTAATTATTATCAAATTATCACTAAAACAAACAAATGATATCATTATGTTATAAATATAAATTATAATTTATTAAATTACCATTTATTGAAAGTCATTCATTTGTTTATATCTTTTTATATACATTTTCGATTTATATAATAAAATAATTTTGTTGAAAATAAAGTGTTTATGCTTAAAGTCATATGTATTTATAGAAAGAACTATAAACAAAACTCAAAGATAAGTGTATTTTCATATGGATATTGTAATTCAATCTTTTATTGAAATTATCTTTTCTATTCCAAACATAAAATAAATCCATAATATGTAAAAATTTATATAATAAATTTAAGCATCACCAAATTCTACTAATCTAATCTTCTAAAATTATTCTGATAAATATTTTTAGATTGATTTTTCTTCCCTTCCACATTCTTTCTTTACTAGAATCCATTAATTAAATTTGTAATTAAAATTTATCATAACTTTAATTATTATTTTTTAGAACCTGAATATTTTAGAATTCTTAAATAAAAATGCAAAAACAAAAAATTTTTATTTTATAAATGAAATTTCATCTTGTTTCCAGTTTAATTTGGAATAGTATAGATTGGATCTTGTTTATATACAAAATCTACTTCTAACATTTTTGTATATTAGCAAAGATATTAAAGTTTTTATATTAGGGTTTTAACTTTCTTCTAATCTCTTTGTCTAATACTTAAATTCAATGAATTATAATTTAACATCTCTTATATGTATTATTAATAATTTTAACATTCTTTAAGATAACATTTAATTAAAAATGAGTGATAATTTATGGAAATTATCAATCAATCAAATTTATTTTAATATCTTATATATAAGAATTTATAAAATGAAATTATATTATTTTAATTAATCTATAATTAAAAAATTTGCTTATAAATTTTAATGATAAATTTGAAATACTTATAATTATTTTATATTATACAATTAAGAATATTAATCAATCAATTAGAATAGCATTTATTTCATTTTCACCTTAAGTTTAAATTTTATTTGAAAACATAATTTCATTATCATTGTCGATTTAAAGGATGCATCTTTCAAAATGAGTATACCCTTGTGAAATTAGATCACTATAACTGTTAATTTAATTATTTTAAATTATTGCATATAAAGGATCCTTAGAATCTAAAGTACCCTTAATACTTTAAAATATTTCTTTACATTTTAATCAACAGTTATATATTCAACCTTGATATTTAACTATTAAATTTTCTTAATAATTTCCCATTAATAATGATCAATCCTCAAAGTAATAGAATTTTTCTTACAAATTGGACAAATCCATTTCATATGTTCTGCATGAATCATCATATCTAAATAGTTATTTAAACTAAAACACTGTTGATGTTAACAAAATTCTCCTCTAATTTATTATTTAGTTTGTACCTTGCAGGTATTTTAATTAAATCAAAAGAATATTAACAAACAAGACTAACTTTAGATTTATCTACTTTGATTTCGTTTTTATAAACATCAGTTTTAATTTGAGATAAAATACTTTGATTAAGAATTGAATGTATTGTTTATTCCAATTTTTAATTTTAAACCAAAAACAACCCAAAAATATATATTTATTATGGAATCTCTTACCTCATTTTATAATCTGGAATAATTTCAATACAAGTGAAAGTGTATTTTCTTTATATTCCATAAGTATTTTATAATGTATCAAGATTAATTGAAATGCATTAATCTTTTCGTTTTTTTAAACATGATTTATCAATAAGAGGTTTAAATTCCTTAATAATAACTCCATTAATAAGAAGAGTACAACTATTAGGAAACGTAAAATCAGTTAATCCATTTTTATTCATCATAACACATCTAATATCTAATTATAATCCAGAATTTCGAAATTACTCTTATGTAATTGTGAAATCAAGATGTATTTTACTTTAAGATTTTTATTAATATTAATATTCTAGAAATCCTAAAGTATAAATAATCTTTTTAAACGGATTTAATTTCTCCAGTAAACAAGATGAACAAATCTTAACTTCATTCTCAATATCTATTAATTTAATTTTTCCATTAATTTATTTACAATAATTACATTAATTCAAATTAGTTTATATGTGAAGATATTCATTATCATATTAACTAATATTATTATTTCCAATATCATTAACCTCTATTTTAGGTTTTTTCTCCCTCAATCTTTCTAAATTTATTCCATCCTCAAAACTTCTTTTAATTAATATTACAGATTCAGGGGAATTATTTGTTTAATTTAACTATTGATTTTATGATTGAAAATCTTTCATATTCTCTAATAATTATTATTATTTTATTTAGTGCTTATTCTGATTCCAATATTAATTTTATTATTTGAGAATTTTATTATTCTTTTCTAGATTAATACTTGAATGATCATTTTAATTGAATTATTAATTAAAAAAACTCAAATTAGATGATTCTTTTGGAATTACAATAATCATATCTGAATTGGGTGTTGAATCTATATTCTAAATATCATTTAATGTATTTTTTTATTGCAATATATTGTTATTAGTATTTATTAAAGAATTAATTTAATTGTTTCTTTCTAAATTAAAAAAATAATTATTTGAATTTTATTATTAAGGTTAAGATTAGATTATGGTATATTACTTTTCTAATAACTATTTTTGTTTTTGAATTTCAAATTTAATTTTATCTTCTGGAGATGATGATTCTTGATTTGATAAAAATAAACTTTAGGGATGATAAAGCTTTTTATCAGTTTATATTCCTTAGTTGATATTTTAATCCTTTATATTTTACTTTTGATTCAATATTTTTTATCTAAAATTATTTTATTTTTGTGTAATATTATTACTTTTAATTTCAATTAGATCATCCATTTAATATTTTCCTTTATATTTTTGTTATTTCTATATTTTTTTTTATTATTCTGATTCAGAATCTGAAATTTAGATCAGTATTTCTCCATCCTCTAGAGGAGAATCAATTATAGCTCTTGATAGTTTTTTTTGAATTTAATTTTATCTATTTGTTCTAGAATCCTATCCAATAATTTTATTGTCTACAATCGCTCTATTATTTTCTCTTTCTTCTTTTTTTTAGTCAACATTTAATTACTTTTTATTTCTGATAAAATCATTTGATGTTAATATTGGATAAGATTATACTTAATTTTTAAAGTCTTTTATGCTTTTATTCTTTTTTTTTGGAATTGGCTCTAAGTTATGATCCTTGACTTGTCTTTCTATTAAGGATTCAATTAATTCTTATTCATTAAAAGTAATTTTTTAAGTTTTTTCTTTGCATAAATTTTTATCATGATTACTATCAATAAGAGGATCAAAGCTATACTGAGATAATTTTTGTGCTTAAGGTATCATTTAATGTGGATTTCCTGAACTATGAGTACATAGATTTTCTTCAATCTCTAATAAATCAGATGGATTTGACTACTTCAATTTTACTTTTTTTTTATTCTTAGTTATGTCTAATAAATCTTATTTTTGCTTATTAGACTCTTAATTTGATTTTGTTAAACTCTTACTTTATAAAGATTAATTGTTTTGATTTGAACGATCTTCATTTATTTTATTCGAATCACTTCTTTTTATTGAGGATTATTCTAAAATATTTGAAATTTCATTTTCTGCTTCTAGATAATTAATAAAGAACTAAGCAAACTTTTTCTAAAAATCCTAATCTTTTATATTACTGAAATTTTGTAATTAGAGTTATTGGCATATGTTTATTAATTGCCAATCTTAATACTATGAATTATTAATTAAATGTTTTACTTGATAAATAGGACAACTTGAATCCTTGAGTAAATCAATCATTACATTTTCTAATAGTTTTTTATGCTCCATAAAATTTTATAATTAATAAAAACTTGATTTAAATTCATACAAAATATGCATTCAATTATATCAATTATCATCTCAAAAATTAGTAAATACGAATTTTTAAGTATTATTTATAATCTTCTAGTTTTTATTATTTAACAAGAGAATCCATTTTTCATTTTAATTACAAGAATAAATAAGAAAATAGAATTAATGTTATTAAATACTTTAGAATTTTGTTTATATATTATCATTTTAATGATTTTTATATTAAATTTACTATCTACATTAGCTTCAGCATAACGTGTTGCTATAGTTGGATGTGGAATTGGTGGAGCAACATTGGCTCAATTAATACCAAGTGCTATTGTATATGAATCATATTATCAATGTGGAGGAAGAATTAATCATGTTTTAATACCTGGGTTGAATGCTCTAGAATTTGGGGCTACATTTTTTATTAAAGAAAATGAATATGTTCAAAAATAAATTGAATAAAGAAATTTAGAATATTACAAAAGAGACTTAGGTAAATTAGCTATCTTAAAAAACAAATAATTAGTCTTGTAAAAGGCTGATTCTGATGTAATTAATATTGTAAAAATGGTTTATAATTATGGGCTCTCCCCTAAAAAAATGAAAGATATTACAGATGAAGTCTTAATAAATTTTAAGTCAATATACTCGTTTTTAGAAAGTGGTAAATATTATAAAAATTTTGATGAATTTTTATAAATCATTAAATTGAATGATATTAAAATGAATTTTACAGAATATTTAAATGATAATGGAATTGATTAAAAATTTTAAGAAGAATTTGTAGATGCAATTTTATTAGCAATTTATAACTAAAAAGGTGTCAATACAATTGCTGGATTAATCTCTATGATTGCTGCTTTTAATGATGCATATTCAATAAAAGGAGGAAATAGATAATTAATAGATGAAGAAAAAATTAATGTAATACATTCTAAAGTTGACATAATACATCGTTTATAGAATGGAAAATATCAAATTTTTAATGATGAGTATGATTATGTAGTTATGGCTTCTTTAGTTAATTTAGACATATCTTTTGATAACATTAGAGAAATGAATAGTTTTTAATATGTAAAATATTAAAGCACATATGTATATGTAGTTGCAGGTAAGATTTCTCAAAAATATCTTGGTGTTAATCCTGAAGATTTAAATACAATCATTATTCTTGATGATACTAATGTAACTGAACTTAAATAAGAATGTGTAAAATGTTTTTAAGGATGGAATGTTTATAAAGTTCAAGGAAGATCAGAATTATAGTTAGACTAAATATTTGAAACACATTAAATAGTTCATAAAAAAGTATGGGATGCAGCATATCCATAATTAAATTAAAATTTATTGAATACAGATTTTGAATATGAAAAGGTATTTATTGTTATTTAAAATAAGAATTTCTTTTATTTAAATTCAATAGAAAGTTTAGCTTCATGTATGGAACTTATGATGATCTAAGCAAAAAATATAGCCAATATTATAAAAGAGAGACACAGTCAATTAATTCATGAAGATTTGTGATATAAATATATAAATTATAATTTAAAACATAAAATAGTCAAAAAATTATGTTCTTCAGTTTTTTTAAATTCAAAATATTGAACAAGATCTAGAACAACAAGAAAGTGAGGATGGCATTTCTTTTTCTCCTTCTAAAATTGTTTATTTTTAAGAATAAGTAGTAGTTTTTGTGGCTTCACCATATTTTTTAGTTATTTATTTTTTTCCTTAACGTTTTTCCATATCTCCACTTTCCATTTCAATTAAATCATCTTCATCATCATCAATTTATATAAATTATTGATCTTATTTTTTAGTAGTAGAGCTCTGATAAGATTTTGATTTCTCTTCAAAATCCTCTTATTATTATTATTATTATTATTATTATTATTATTATTATTATTATTATTATTATTATTATTAAAAATTGTTTTATTATTATTGTTATTCTCCTTATTGAGATTCTATTTAATCTTCAAAAACTTCAACTTATTGATTTAATAAAGGATTCCCATTTTCTTCTAATACTGTAATTTTCATAAAGCTTGGTTTTTTGTTGATTGAACTTCCCATTGAATTAATTGATAAGTGAGAATTCTTCTTTAATAATTTATTTGTTCCAGTATGAGTCTCTCTTTTTAAGATAGGCCTATGATAAATTTAATATTTTACCAAAATAATTCTATATTATTTAAATCACCCCCATATTTAATTTCTAATTATTCTTTTGGAATATACTGTAATATTTATTAATATTCTGTAATAATTTTTATTTTAACTTATAAATCTTTTATTTTTTCTAAAATTTTAATCTATATTATAAATACCAGTGAATTATTTGACAATGTCATCTATATCATCTGGTCCATTTACTATTAAAATTTTATTCAAATTCCCATAAAAATGTAATTACAAATACAATAAATCATCTAATTCCAGAACAGGCAAATCAATATCTAAATCTAAAATGACTGTCCAATTTTCAACATAATAATCAATTAATAATAATCTTTTAACAGTTTCTAAAAAGTAAGCAATTATTTTTATATCGCAATATTATCTAATTACAATAACAGGACGAAATTAATTATCAAAACCGCAAACATATAGATATCCTTTCCTTAATTCATTAACATAATCTTGTTTTGAGTATTCCTATAGAAAATTTAAATGAGATTAGCAATTCTACAGTACTTTTAGTATAAAAAATAACATACAATAATTGCTTTTTCTATATTATATTAAGCAGCCATTAACATTTTTAATAGTATGCTTCTTTTTAATTTTATTTGTTAACCATTTTCTTTCATTTTCGTTTTAATCTCTTCAATTAATTATTTCTCATAATCATCATAATCAACATTTTCAAAAATGTTCCTTTAAATAGATGGTCCATTTCCACTTTTTATATAAAATTCTTAAATAGCAATATCTTATACCACTATGTACGATGGATGTAATTCCTTCATAAATCATTAATATTAATATTTAAAATATTATGTATTTTCATTAATTATGAAATTATTTCTTTAGGGATATCATTTTACATTATTGAATTGATTTTATTAAATAATAGATAAATTATTCCATTAATTTAATTGGTTTTGTTAAACTTTTTGTAAAATACTATAATTTTATCTATAATTATTCAACTTTTTAATTAATATTGTAAATAACATATGATCTTTGTATGATTATTCTTAACTTAATATCTACTCAAATCAAAACTACAATATAAATTAACATCTTTCAAAATCCTAAATAAACACAAGATGTTAGCCCTGATTGATTAATCAAATAAATTTAAATCTTTTTATTAAAAAATATTTATTATGGGAAAACTTCACGGAACCTTAGCCAAAGCAGGTAAAGTTAGAAAGTAAACTCCAAAGATTGAAAAATAAGTCAGAAGACACAAAATCCCAAAAGGAAGAGCCTACAAAAGAATCTGCTTCAATAGAAGGTTTTCACTCTTTATATACTTTAGATTTGGAGGTTAAACAGCCACAACAGGACCATAATAAAGGAAAAAGGGACCAAATTGGCATGCAGGAAGAAAGGATTTAATTGAAGAAGAAAGAAAGAAATAAGTCGAATAAAGAAGACAAAGAAAGAAGGATGTACCAAAATGATTAATTACATACAGTAGATTATTTACATACAATAAAACAATTTAAATTAGCAATTCCTTAATGATGTAGCAATCTATTGTCTAATCATCTTTTCTATAGTCTTATGTTTACTATATATTAATTTATTTTGCTACCAATCACTAAATATTAATTATTTAAACAATATGAGAAAATAAGAATAAAATCATCATTTAGAACTATCCTAACTATTCCTCCTCCAACTTCCCAATGTATCTAAATTCAATCCTATATTTATATTTTTTCTTTAAGGTGTAGCTCTTTATGAAAAGATTATCACTTTCTTTGGACTATTATTAAATTATGCAAATCTATAATTTTAAGGTGATTAATAATATTGTTGTTCATTTTGAGGTTCATCTCTTTACACTGTGATTGATTTTGCATATCTTCTTGAAACTTTTTAATGAAAATCAAAGTTTATAGATTTTTATTCTGTCTTTAAATGACTAATTTGATATTTTATTTCCTTCAATTTGTTTTATTTATAAAACTGTTATCTATTAGAAGATTAGAATCTTGTTTCATTAAATACAGCTTAAATTTATGTCTCTCCTAGAGACTTTTAAGCCTACTATTTTGCTTTCTTTACTATATAAGAGATTTTCTAATATAAACCCGACGGTTAATTAGATTCTATACTTTTTTTCTGCTTTAGCTAATATAATAGTTGCATTCTACAATAATTTTCGCACATAATTTTATATAATTAATATGCACTTAAATTTCAATAAAATTATTAATCTGTATTCATAATAATAAATCATAAAATTAAAATTTATTAAAATTTCTAACTAGCAATATACAATATAAGTAGTCATATTAAACTACTTGATGATAATTCTAGACCAATTTTATAATTTACTTAGTTTTTTGAAATCATAATAACATTGTTAATTTCTAATTCATATATATTTCTCATATAGATCAATATTTTTAAAGTAGAAGGTAAAATTCTTTTCAAAATTAAAAACTTTGTATTGGTTACATAGTTAAATTAATGTAAAGTTTTGATTATAAAATTTCATTCATTTATCTATGGATTTCTTATTATCTTAAATGTAAAGTGAAACAATATTTAAATCTAAGTTATGGAAATAAATTTGAAAACCAGTGTAAGATATTATCAATTAAATTTATAAGATCATTTAATTAAAACTTATATTAGTAAATATATATGATAATTTACATATTTATTCTAACTTAAATTCAATTTTATTATTTTATTATAGTTATTTTATATGATATCTAAACTAATTATTATAAGTTTTGTAAATTTCATATTTAAAGTAGAAATATTTCAGAAAAGAAGTTTCATAATTCATGAAATAAAAATAGCATGAGGATTTTTTTGAAATATTTCAAATAAAATTATTTAATCTAATTTATTTTAAAGTTCTATAAATCATTAATAATCTTAAGAATTGAATATATGTTATTAATATAGATATTTAAATTGAATGATAAATTTTGTAAAACTAATGTTTAAATAAATTTTAATAGTTATTTAACAATGATTGAATTTAGGTGTTTAATATTGATTATGGAAATATTATAATTAATTTAATACTTTAAATGATAATTATATCTTAATTGTTATAAAATAGTAGTTAGTTAACATTCATAGGATTATCAAAATTCATCTTCTTATTTCATAAGCTCTGAAAGTTCTTTTAATTGTCCAAACATCTGAATATTCATTTATAAATTTTTGAGGGCTTTTTCTAAACTGTCATTATGGTTTTCAAGAATGACCTTGAGTAATTTATTTGATATTTACATTTTTATTTTTAAAGTATTGAACAGACACTTCCCCTTCTTTATAGACTCTCTTAATTAACTATCTTAAATCATGGATCTAAAATTGAAGGATATAATACTTCATTAATCAATTCTTATTGCTTATTCTCTAAATGATTTACTTATTATTACAGAAGTTGATTGTCATTTCTTAATTTCTAGTTCTCTTATTGTATTACCTAGGCTTTCTGTTAAATTTATTATGGGAATTGATTTAATGCTTCAAGTAAATATGATGATGATTGAGACTAAAGTATCTCATGAGATTAATTACATTTAGAAGTTAGAGACCAGATTATTAACTGGGTGAAGGGTTACATGATTAAAATGCCAACATATCAAGACTAAGATTATATTTTATTAATAATTTGTACACTATGCTTTTATTTATTTATAAATGGTTTCATAAGCACAATTTTATTCATTAAATAATTTAAATGATACATCTATAGATAGTCATCTAAATATTAAATAATTATTAGGAATTTAAGAATTGAGAATATTGATTTTTCTTTCTAATCAAAAATCTTAATTGTTATTTATAAGAAATAAGTTTAATGATTGAGCATTGTAAATATTCATTCATTGTTGAAGTATTATACATTTTGAATAAAACCAAAAATTTTAGATTAAATATGTTAATATATAAAATCATTGAAGTCGGTATTTATTTCAAAAGATTATAGAAATAAATATCCTTTGAATTGAGAATTTATACAATATAAAGTTAATTATAATACTGAGATCAACAAGGATTAGTATTTGTCACTAATAATGTAAATCCTTTTTTAGTGGAAACAAATTTTGTATTCTGATTAGTTCTACTATATTTAAAACTATTGAATGAAGTTTTTCGAGGTACAAATATTGGAAGAACATTTGTTAGACGTTCAACAGATCTTGTGGTCTTAGAATTTGAACCTGATCTAAATCTGTATGACCATATTGTTTACCTCATAGAGTTTGGCTCTGCTGGATATTAAAACACTGTTGAAATGTTTTGATAGTAGGCTGATTAGTAGAGTGTCATTGCTTCATCGTTTATTTCTTCTGAGAATTCCTAAGTAATATTAAATAAAAAAATTACAGTTAAGATCTTATTCTTCTTTTAAGTGGAGACTATTTACTCTTTTTATTTCTTTTTAGTACTGCAGCAAAACATTAATCAGAGTCTCTTTGAAATATATTAATATTATCAATAAATAATCACTATTTTATTATTAAGAACTACTGTACTTATTTATGGATGACTACAGTTTTGGTTTCAATATTAGCTACTCATAATTTATAAGACAGGAATACAACTTTAACTTTTATCTATTGAATAGTTAATCAAATCTGTTTTTAAAATATATAAACTATTAAATATATATTAAACTCTATCCTTGATTATATTTTTTAATTTATGAAATTCCAATCACTTTAATACATAATCCTTTAGTTATTTAAGTACTAAATGCTTAAAAGGCAAAATTTATTGAAATATATATATATATAAATTAGCACTCGAAGTTTAGAATTAATTTTGAATTCTCAAATTTCAAATCCACTTTTTTATTACTAATTTATTTAATTATTCATTTATTATTTTTGATAAAATCAATTTTATTTTGAAGTTAAATGAATGAGAATGAAATTTAATTTTTAATATAAATAATACTAAATCTTAAAGTCATATGAAAAATAATATTAATATATATATATAAATATTTCTATATTCAATTATAAAGTAAATAGACTTTTAATTATATGATATAAATAAGGATTAATCAACATTATTGTCTTTCAATAAATTAATAATTTATTTAAGACCATATATTATGATGTATAAAACATATAGCAGTACCTCCTCTTTTATTTTGACTAACTTATCTATTAATATCAGACATACAGACATATGGGATATTTGAATTTAATGAAATACCAAATTTTGAATGATCTTTTGTGTATGAAAATTTATATCCCTAATTATATTATCAAAAATTTTACATTTTATAATCTAGATAAATTGCTGAATGTTTAATATGATGAAGTACAATCAGGAGGCTATAAACCTCCACTTCCCCAGGTTTAAACTACTAATCCAACTTTCAATTTAGGTGCTACTATAGATGCATAAAAATCCACTTAATTATGTTAGTTAGTTGAAATCACCTATAAGGATAAACCTTATCGAGTTTATACTGTAAGTGAACCACTACTTTATTATGATTTTCTAGTAGTATCTTTTAAACTATATAAATTTGGGTATTTTGTTTTGAAATCAGATGGTGAATTTGCCCTAACTGTGATCACCTCAGCTATTATTAATTATTAAGCGATTCTTTCTATTTCAGAAGTAGTTACACTGAAACACATAAAATGTTGAGCATTAGTATAAGAATTAGATGGCATCCCTAATATTATTTCACTAGATATGGGATTAAATTTTACTCATAATTAGAATCCATAATTGGAAATTTAGGAGTTGAATGATTGATTATAAAGCCTTGGCCATTCAAGGAAGCACTCAAGACTCCTTTAGAATGAGCCATATCAGGATAATAATCCTTATCAAATGGCTAATCATTCCAAATAACATTCATTGTATTTGTATCCTTAAAGTGAACCTATTCCATGGTTACTTAGAGTGCAGAAGTGAAATCATTTAATTTGTCATATTAATACTTAAGTTCTGCACATTAAGTTGTAGAATCACAGTAATAATACTCCATTCCTGTATATTAATTGACTGTGTCTTTAGGTAATTTAAAGATCAACCAATAGTCTACGATTTATCCGTATTGATTTAAACAATTGCTGGCTGTAGCAATAGTAAGGAACAAAAATATGAGCATGTTATTATTTATAATATCTTTTTTTTGCTAACTTTTATGAATTTAATATAATGATGTCATTAAGCGTAATATATTTAATAAATAATTAGTAATATTAAATAAAATATTTTATCCATCCAATAATATGATTCATTCACTATTCTTCTTAAGATAATAATTTTTTTATTATTTACCAAAAATAAGGAATTCCTCCAATAAATAAAATTAAATAATGAAATATAATTCATATTGAAAACTTGCATGAATTAATTTTATTTTTATTGATTCATTAAAGTTGTTGGAATGAAATAAGGTAAATTTAATAGCTAAATAAGAGTAATTAACCTAAATATTTTACAGTAAAATACCTAATTCTCCAGCATATACAATGGGTTCAAGAAAAAAAGAGATGCCAATAATAAACACTCCAGGTCCTGGAAAATATCATCCCATTCTTCCTTTTAGATAAAGTCCAAGAGCAGTGATGTCAGGTTCAAAAGACTCCTTCTATAAAATAATTGATTCTCCAGGACCTGGAAAATATAACCAATTATCATATACAACACATGGATTTAAGTTTCCTTAAGAAAAGCGATTATTAACAAATCTCAATTAATCTCCAGGTTTAGCCAAATGCAATCAAACCAATAAATTTTTTGCCCCTAATTATTTCATTCCAAAAGCAGAAAGAAAATAAAAAATAAATTTTTCAGCAACTGGACCTGGATATTACAACATTCCTTCATTAATAAGAGCAGATATTGGTTTCAAAATACCTAAAAGTTAAAGGAAAAATAAAATTGAAATTTTTCCTGGTCCTGGTGAGTATAGTTTTTAAGAAACCAAAACAAAAAGTATAAAAATTGGAACTAGTCCAAGAATGGAAAAATCAATGTTATTAGGACCTGGACCAGCAGATTATTCTCCCAGAATTACAACTGATTCTTCTCCAAGAGCTATTTTTGGTACAGAATCAAGGGGATATAATAAAAAAGAGAAATCTCCTGCTCCAGGTGATTATGAACTACCTTAAAGTAGAAGTTTGAGTGTAAGAATTATAAATAAATAAGTTTTCATTTCCTAAATAAAATGTGCAATAAAAATCCAAACCTTCTACTCCTTTCAGTTATATTAATGATTACACTAGTCTAAGAAAGACTTCTATTTCTTTTGGAAAGGCATAGAAAGGGAATCAAAAATCTGAAATCATTCCTGTATAATTAATCAAGTATTTTAGGGTCCTGGATAATATGATATAGAAGGGTTCTTTAGAAAGAGAATTAAGTCAAGAGATGGATTAAATTTGTGATTTTTACTACCTTAAACTAAGTTTGTTATATATTCCAAAGATTATTTCTCGTATAATTTATTGGGGAGAATGTAAAATTAAATATTTATAATGTACATATATCTCACTACGATTCCATCAGTTATACTTAATAATTCTTAATGAATAAATACTTTGTGGAAGCCAATCAATTCATAGTTTTCTCTGAAACATCTTCTGCAAACATTCATACCATATTTTCTGATCAAACCTTGTCTAGCAGCACAAACTCTGCATTCTTTATTTATATTATTTATAGATAACCTCTTGAATCTTTTCCGTAGGTTCTTGGATGAGTTCTGAATAAATGGTTTGGCATTCTTACGATATTTTTTTTTTAATTTTAAATATTTATTAAAATCTTCTGAATGAATACAACTATCTAACTATAGCTTATGTAATAGCAATTAAAAATAATCACTCTTTTTCAGAGAAAGTCTAATAATATATATAATTATCAATTAGAAACCAATTAAGATATTCAAAAATTCATTTACTTTCAGGTATAAACTTATATTTCTCTATATTCATATATTTTATGTACAACTATATTTTGAATTGAATAATAATCATAATGAAATTTACACTCAAATTATTTTAGATTATTATATAGATTAATTATATTATTTAAATAACATGCAATCACTAAAAAAATAATAATTAAAAAAAATGGTTACCTATCTTATTTCTCTCAAATACATGTGTAGTTTCTATTAAGTTAATTAATTTAAGATTTATCTTAGGCTTAAAATTTAAGATGTATCTAGATATAATTTATCTATATTATTTTATAATAGATGTATTAGAAATAAAAGATATTTCTTAATTGAAAAAAAATAAATTTTAGGAATAAACAATGATGTTTTTAAAATGCTTAGTATTCAAATCATGATATATATATATATATATCAATCAAAATCAATTGAAATGTACATAATCAATTTCTAAATTATTTTGTTTACTTAATTGTTTAATCAAATTTTTCTAAAGCTATTTTACTTTTTAGTATTGCATCTTCAACTTTATTTTCTAGAATACTCCTATTACTCATTAATGATAATTATGAGAAATAAGATGTATCATAAAGTTAATGATGACTTTATGGTTTTTCAGCTTTAGATGGTTTTAGATTTGTATTTTTATATTATTACTATGGTTATTAATTTGATTTAAGAGGATTTGCTAATAAACTTGTTGGTTTTGGAGCTTGAGAAAATTGATGTTTTGTTGATAAAGATATTTTGGATGTATTTTTTGATTCTGGAGAATGGTTAGGAGTACCTATTTATAAATATATATTCTATGTATCTAATTATTATTTATTTTATGAAAAGCTAGGTTTATTTCTATATTTATTCATTGGATGTATATCTGGTTTGAGTGAATTTTAAGATTCAGAAATATTAAATTTATTATCCAAAGATATTTTGCTGGTTTCATTTTATTATAATTAAAAGTTAGATTAATTTGAAATCCTCGAGATTTAACAATCTTCATTTTAATTTTTTATAATATTATTGTCAGATAATAGTGATCTTGAACTATATTATTATTTTATTCTAGATATTTATTATATGCTTTAATCTATTTAATTTAATGGTTTGATTTCTAATAGATTCTCATTACATTCATGATAAGATACTACTTAGAGAAGTTCATTAAATGATCCTCTGTCTTGAGGAAATCTTTTTAGCATTTTTAATAAGATGTTTTTAAATTATTAACTATAATTTAATTCTTCTATTCGTTGTTTCATCTCATATTCACTATACTGAAATTATATTGTGAAATATTACATTGAGAGTATCATAACTAAATAATGAATTAGTATCAGCCAGAGTTGCAGACCATAATGCCGTTAATCCCAATTAAAATATTTCACATTTCTCAAAATCTAAGTTTAATACTTGTTCTTTTAATTTTAAGCATTCTAATTCCTCAGGTGATATGTGAATATCTTCTGTTATCTAATTCAATAATTGCATGTATTGACTATTAGAAATATCATAATAAGATTAAAATTTAATGGTCCCTTAATTAGAAAGGAGTATATTTTTTAAGTCCATTGGATATATTTAAAATGATTTAAAATACATTAATGCTTTTAAACACATAGATAGCAAACCCCATAATTATTTCTCTTCAAAATATTACTATTTGTTAGCTCTATTTTTAATGTTAGATCTTAACTCATTACTTACATATTCTTAAATAAGTTGTAATTTTGTAAAGGATGAACAAATATTCTAAAGTATTATATAAAATACTTACTTTACATATATCAGCCTTATAGTAATGGACTTTTAAAATGTTAGGATGATCTAGATTTTTTATAGGATTGTTGATCTAAATGAAATTTTTTTCAATTATGCAAATTGTTTCTCCAGTCTCATTCTTTTAATATAACTTGATGTTTCCAAATCTGGGATCTATTATCTAATTTAAATATTAATATTGCTATAAATTAAATCCAGGTGTAGAACTACTTTGCCCCATTTTATAATTTCTATTTATTAATATAATAATTAATTATTAATATAATAATTATATATATGAGTATACGTTCGATAACTCCAAATAAAATGAGTGGAATTACAGAATTAGATGAATATAAAATTACATAATTCAAAAGACCTTAAACATCAATGAAGTTTTCACTTTAAAAAATTCAACAAATTGGTTAATCACTCAACGATATATTATCTAAAAAGAAACCTAAAAATGATAAAAAAATATTACAATTTTTTCGAGATAGATTCAATTAAAATATGTAAGATATAAATACATCAGCATTTTGTGAGTCTGTAAATTAAGACAAACAAACAATTTCTAAACGAAAACAAAATAATACTATTTACCCCACTAATTATAGTCATTTAGGTGGAACTGAAACAGAAAGATCACATATGAATATAAAATATCAAAGAGAATCATATAAGTATTTAAATAACAATAGATAAAACAAAAATTAAATTATTGAATAACATACTAATGATGGTCTTAGAAATTAATCTTTGATGTGGTACAAAGATAATCATAATATGAATCAATGTTCTTTAGATTATAGTAAATCTGAAAACATCACAACTAGAAACAATCGAATTCGTTAAAATAGTTAATCAACAATCTAAAATTTTGATCATTATATTTTATAATCTATAGCTGTTCATATCCAAAATGATCCTAATTAAACTGATCTTATTATTTGCTGTTAAAATTACAAATTATACACATTAAATTAATACTCTAAGATAGTTACTTGTATAGGATAACATTATAGGCCAATTAAATAAATGACTAAAATTATCATATAAGCTAATAATAAAACATTCTATACTAGTAGTAGTGATGGTTAAATAATCTAATGGATATCTGATTCTATGCATGGTCCTTTTAAATATTTATAATCAATTAGAATAGAAGAACCTCCTATCTAATTACATTTAGATTAATAAGGATCATTATATATTTTGACTGCCAATTTCTTAACTTATCAAAGTTATAAAATACCTTTAAGTGGAAATGTAAAATGCTTAAGTGTTACTCCTAAACAAATTATAATTGCCATAGATAATTAAATACATTAAATAATTGATGATATAAATAATATTTAAATAATATAACTTGATAAACATATCAAAACCATTTTCTATGAAGATCAATAATTATACATACTTACTACTTAAAAATCATTAATCGTCTTTGATGATATAAAAAATAATCTAATTTTTAATTCAGAAATATAATTAGATGCTGATTGGGTCTATGCTATGCCTAAAAATTAGATTATTATTCTAAAAGACTAAAATGTCATTATATAGTCCTTTCAAAAAACTCGCAAAATTTAATTAACTGATAAAATTACTTGTTTACTACCCTTATCTTAATAGATATTAATAGGAGATTAAAATAAAACCATTAAAATTATTAAACTTTGAATATATTATTTACTATACTGATATAATTTAATTCAAATACATATATCAATTAGATCAATATTTTTAAATATTACATAAAAGCTATTCTTCCATAGCCTTCTCCCCTTCCTTTATTTGATTCATTCTTTCCTTTATTATATTTCTAATTTTTTAAATAGAATGATACACATTCTCTTAAACAGTAGTTTCAGACTGTATAAACTTTATCAATTCTTCATGATCAAAATTCATTCTATTACATGTAATAAAATTTTTAAATTCATTAGTTACATGTTATTAATCACTATCTAATTATCTTAAATTTTGGATTAATTTTGTACTAATGCTTAGCTTTTTCATTTTTTGATATACCTTTTATTGTGAATTTACTATATCTAGGTCTAATTAAAAAGATTTTTATTTTAAAACATCATACTCCTAAAATAGCAATTTCAAAACATAACTAATTTGCTATTTTAATTTAATCTCATTTTCAAGTTATTATTCTTGTTTAATATAAGCTTCTTATTACTATTCTTCTTTCTATAAAATTTCCTAAAATCTGTTTCTCATCAAACTGGCTAATTTAGGATCTTTCATATTTGAAATATCCTTATATCTGTTTTGTTTGTAATAATCAACAAAATCTATAAGATTATTCAAATAAAAATCTTCTTTTCCATCTAAATGTTAGATATCTGGAATTTCATTAAGAGTTTATTAAATACATTAAATTCTCACTTATTGTTCTCTTATTTGATTCTCTTTTTTTTATTTATCTTCTTATATGGATTATAATTTTATTTATAGTAATTTTATTTTTTCTTCATCATCTTTTTCGGCTTTTTCTTTCTCTGATAACATTTTAATATCTTTATCTTTTCCTTTACTATGACTTTCAAGTGACTTTCTGTTATAATAATAATTCTCTTTCTTTTTTTTATCTTTTTCTATTTCTTTCTCTGAAAGTCCTCTCTAAATACTTTATTTACACTTATAATCTTCTTAAATTCCAAAAGAATAGACATTTTTCTGATGCTTAGAACTTCCTCCTGGTTTGGGTGTAGGATTCATAGATCTAGTATAGTTGTCTGGAGTTACTGATTCTTATTTTTCTTATATAATATCATTCATTTAAAGATGTTACTTTTTCATCCTAAATTATGGTTTGGAATCTGAATTATATCTAACTAAATGATTATTTATATCTCTATCTTAAGCAAATAGTTAGTTTATCATACTATCATCCGTTCTTCCTGTGTCTAATTAATCATCCTTGTAATTTTTATTCATCCCTTATAAATTTTATAAATTCAATGATATTATGGGACGATTATTATTAGTTTCTTACTACTATTCGTCTTTTTTATTTAAATTTTTTTTTTAAGAATCTGTTAATGGATCTAATTCATTGTCTATTTCTCTTTGTATCTCACCTAATTCTTAAGTTCGTTAGCTTGGGATATCATTACAATTAAAATCCACTTCAGATTCATTTTAATGTAATTATTGACTTTCATTCATATTTTCTAAAGCATTTGATATTCTAGATTTCTTAGATTTAATTGAGTATTTTTAAGAATCGTTATCTTTAATATGATTTTCATCCTAATCATTACGAGTTTCATAATCATTTTATAAATTTTCATCATTATTGCTACATTTTTTATCCTCTTCTTTGGTTTCATCATAATTTTAGATTTACTCCTTTTATTCTTAATTATCTTATATTTATTATGAAAAATCTTTATCTTATATTTATTAATCACAATCTTTTTCTTAATTATCATCTTTTTTTTCTGTTATATTTTCTATTTAATAGTAATAATCATCTTTCTAATCTTAATTATCTTCTTATTATTCTTAATTACCTTCTTTTTATTCTTAAATAATTTTTACTTATTCTTAAGTACCTTCTATTTTTTCTTTTATTACCTCTGTTTATTCTTAAATATCTTTTATTTAATCTTAACTATCTTTTATTTAATCTGAATAATTATTTTCTTAATTATTATTATTTTAATCTTATTAATCTTCTATTTATTCATTAGATTCTACTTAATTGTGTTCTTTTTAATCTTAAATATCTTCTATATATTCTTCATACTTTTCTTTATTATCATCTTATTATTCTAATTTATCTTCTATATATTATTAATAATGTTCCAATTTATCTTCTTATTATTCTTATTAATCTTCTTTTTATTCTTAATAATCTTCTTAATTATTTCCTATTTATTTTTAATTATCTCCTTTATATTCTAGATACTTTCCTTAATTATCATCTTATTATTCTAAAATATCTATTTTTTATTATTAATAATTTTTCTATTTGTCTTCTTTTTATTCTTAATAATCTTCTATTTATTCTTAATTATATCCTATATATTGTTTATTATCTTCAATTTATTCGTAATTATTAACTTAACTATTATCTTTTTTTTTTTTAATATCATCTATATATTCTTAACAATCATCTTAATTATCTTCCTTTTTTTCTTTAATTTCTTTTGAATGATCTTCTTTTTATTCTTAACTATCATTAATTTATTCTTAATAATTTTCTTAATTATCATCTTTGTATTCTTAAAAATTTACTTAATTATGTTCTTTTTAATCTTGAATATATTTTATTTATTCCTAATTATCTTCTTAAATATCATCTTTTTATTCTTAAATATCATCTTTTTATTCTTAAATGTCATCTGTTTATTCTTAATTATTAACTTTCTAATCTTAATAATCATCATTTTATTCTTAAATATGATTTTTTAATTTGCAAATATCATCATTTTGTTCTTAATTACCATCTTTTTATTCTTAAATATTATCAAATTATTCTGAATTATCATCTTTCTCATCTTAAATATCATCTTTTTAATCTTAATTATCCATTTTCTATTCTTAATGATCATCAATTTATTCTTTATTACCATCTTTCTAATCTTATAAATCATCTTTTTGTTATTCTTTTATATCATCTATTTATTCCTAAATATCATCATTTTATTCTTAGATCTCATCTTTCAAATCTTAGTAATCAACTTTCTAATTTTAATTATCTACTTATTTTTCTTAAAAATCTTCTCTTTATTTTAAATAATCTTATTCTTATTATTAATCAACTAAATGGTTTTCATCTAACTCATATTGATTTTCTTTTTAATCTTTTTAATTTTCATTTTATTCTAGATGATTTTCTTTTTAGTCTAAAGAATTTTCATCTTTCTAGAAATAATTTTCACTTTACTTATTTCGATCTAACTCCTTGTTATTTTGATTTTAATCTTAATGATTTTCATCCTAATCATTAAGATTTTCTCCTAGACTTTTCTCATCATTTACTTCTTCTAAATTTTCATTATATTAATCGTTTTGTTAAATTTTATTTATCTTTATATATTCTGAATTTTTATTAAATTCATTTAAATTTTTTTCGACTTGATTTTCTTCAACTTCAATTTTGATATATTTTTAATCTTATTCACAGTCCAAATCAATTTTAGATATCTCATAATTTTATTCTAAAAAATGTATATTTTATTATTTAGCAAACAGAACACTTCCTAAATCATTATATTTTGGTTCTTAAAAAATTGCACTAATAGTATTTTAAGATATAAAATTATTATAGCTTTAGAATTCTATTTGTTAATTTTATTGTTATTATTAATCTTATCCTTATTAAATAATTTGTTAGTTTTCCTCATTTAAACATAGTGATTCATTAATTTATTTTTAATTTAAATCTTTTGTATTAAAATCATCATCTCGAGTACCTTGTTAATTTTAAGAAAATAAATTAACAGTCACGTCAAGATTAGGTAAATTAAAATTGTTTTTTTCTTCAATATTTTATTTTTAATAAGTTTCTACATGAAGATTAGATTCAATTTTATCTTATTCTTGTAATTAAGGTTAATTCTCAAAAGTAGATTCTTATATGGGTTAAAATTCATTTTAAGGAACATCTATTTATATTTATTCTTATTTATCATTATTTTACATACTTTCTGAATTTTGATCTACTTAATTATTTTGTTATTCATTTTTGATCTAATCAATTTGATCTTGAATTTCCTCTAATAAATTTTTATGATAGTTTTCATCATCATTTTAATTCACATTTGTTGTTGGGTCTTATTAGTCAGATTGCTTTTATTACAATTTATCTTCTTATTTGATTACATTATATTAATCAGTTTACTCATCAACAATAATATCTTCTAATAGATTCTCATCTTAATTTAGATTTTAATTACTTATATTTGAATTTTCTTCTTATGGTAAAATATTATTGTAATTTTCTTAAGAAAGTATATTAATTTTCATATCATCTTAATCTTGTCCTGTTATATCGTATTTGATTTGTACTTCCTTATTCTGTATTTCTTCCTGTAGTTCTTTTTTTCCTTGATCTATTAAGAATTATTCTTATCCAAAATTATCTTAAATTTCTGCAACATGGTTTTCATCTCTTTAATTATTAATTTAAATGTTGTCCTTTTAAATATTTTGTTCTTCCCCTATCTATTTGTCTTACTTTAATTAATTATCTTCATTATAACTTGAATTATCTTGATTTTCATCATTATTTTCTATTCTATCATAATGTATATTATTTTTCTGATTGATTATTACTTAAATATTTTTTGAATTAATTTCATTACAATCTTAGTTTGTATTATCTTCTTAAGTATCTTAATGATCTTCCTGTTTTTCAATATTTAAAGTATCACTATTAGAAAATCTTTCTTGTTCTTTACCTTAATTGAAGACTTCTGTCTATAATTTTATTTATGTATCATTTAATTCTCTGTGAGTTTAAATTATTTCAATATTATTATCATCATTATTTGATTCAGATTGATCATTAAGCTTTTCTTCAATAACTTCTGAATATTTCTATTATTTAAAAGAGTTTTGATCAACTTCATCATTTTGAATAATTTGATCTATCTATTATTCTGATTGTTCTACTTTTTATAATAATTAATTATCTTCTTGACTATAATTATCTTATTTTTTAATTTCTTCACAATCCTTATTTTCTATATTATTTTCTTTAAAAAGTGATGTCTATTCTTAAGTTTCAATTTGATCAGTTTATATTATTGAATTCTAAGATGAATCTAATATTTAAACATTTTAAACTATTTATCTAGTATCTACTTAAATTTCTAAATTTTAATCATTTATTTCTTCTACTAATTTTTTTTATTCTAATTTTATTAAGGTATTTTCATTTACTATATTATCTTATTTTACTACTTCAGTTAAATTAGATTATTTTTCAACTAGATTATTTATATTCTAATTATCCTATTCAATGTTAGAGTTATCTTAAAATAAATTTAATTATTATTCTACTATTTACTAATCCATATCCTGATTAATAAGGATTTATTTGGTATCTTTAATATTCTGCTACTCAATAATTTATTCATTATTATTATCATCATAATCGATATCTTCAATATTACTTTTAATTGATTAATTTGGTATTTCTTAAACATTATCTTATTCTATTTTTTAACTATCACTTAAAATCATATTTTTTTAATTCTAAATATTCTCTTTTTATATTACCTCTGCAGTATTATTGGGATATTAGTCATCATCATTATTATTATTATTTTGATTTTCAATTTAAGTTCCAATATTTTATTCTACATCTTCTAATTGAATTTATTCTTATTCTTATTCTTAATTATTTTAATTTAATTTAGTTTATTCTAATTGATTGTTTTCATAATTTTTATTAAATTAAATATGAATTTTATTTTTAATTTCATCTTCATTATCATTTAACTTCTAATTAGTTGATTCATTAACATCATTAAAATTTTGATCAATAAGAATTTAATCATTTTTTTAATTGTTAAATTCATTTTCTTGAAATCCATCTTCTTAATCTATTGGAATTTTATTATCTGGACTAGGTTCTTCATCATCATCATCTAATGTTTTTTTAACAAATTCAGATTCCAAATCTCCAAGGCCATAATCTTCATCTTCTTCTTGAGTATTTTCAACTGGTTAAGATATTGATATTGAGATAATCTCTTTCACAATTATATTTTCTTATTTATTTTCTTATCTTATATTTTCTAATCTAGCTGATTAGCTTCCTTATTATTAATCTTCTTAAAAATCAATTTCTAAAAATTTTGTGCTTGATATATCCTAAGATTATTTCTTTAAAAAGTTGACACTATTTTTTTGGTTAGCATCTTCTGTTCTGTTTGTTAGAATAGGTTCAACTGTTTCTCCATCAACCATTTCATTAAATTATCTTTGACTCAAAGCATCATTACTCTACATATCTTCTTATATTGTATTTAATCTATCACCAATTTAATCTGGAATTTATTTTAAATCTCCAATTTCAGATGGTAATTTTTTTTATTAATTAGATTAGTCTACTTATATAGTATCAATTTAAGGAAGAGATTTAACTTTTTAATTATTAGAATCCATATTTTAATCTATATCTAAATTATCTGTTTAATTTATATCACCTTCAATTGATATCTTACCATCATCATTTTAATCAAATTCTGGATCATCATTACTTAACTATTTATCATCTATTTATATTAATTACTATTTTTCTATCTCATTTTATTAGACAATATCTTTTTAATCCTCATCATTTTCAGTATCATGTTATTAATCTGAATCATTACTATTATGTTATATTTAATCAAATTAATTTTAATCTTATTCTGACATATTTTCATTTAGAACTCCTTCTTAATATTATAATTCAGGTTATTCATTCTAATTATCTTAATTATCTTAAATATCTTAACTATCTTAATTATCTTAACTATCTTAACTATCTTAACTATCTTAAATATCTTAATTATCTTAATTATCTAAATTATCTTAATGTTCTTCTTTTAATTGTATCACATTTGTTTTTAATTGATCATTAATTATTGCTTATTACTATCCATCATTCAATTACAATTATTCTTTAACTTATTATTATTCTATTTAAGCTTATGATGATGAACACTATTTTTATTTTGTGGGTAATATGTCCTTATTTTATGGAGATGGTTTACGACTTGAAGAATTGCTATTTACTGATTTACTTAATTTGTTTATAGCACCTGAACGATGTCCTGACAAAGTATTCTCCTTCTTTAAAAGAGATATTTATTTTTATTATCCGTGTTTTAAATGTTATGGTTAATTACTAATAAGAGTTTATTTTACCTTAAAATCACTTGGGTTTTTTGGCCTCCCATCATCTATTTTTGAAGTTATCTTTTTAAAGGATACCTTCTATGTAATCTTACTTGTGCCTTTAATAATAGTTTATTCTATTATTTTTGCTGGTGAAGGTTCTTTACTTGCAATTCTCTTAGAAGATAGATCAGGAATATTCTAACTTGAAGATACTCTACTAATCTAAGTTGACTTTTATTAAGGTTTTTAAAGAGTGGAATTTGAACCCTTATTAATATTATTTGTTGAATTTTCTCTACTTAATTTAGTAAGATTTGAAAAATCAATAGATGGTTATGAAATTTTTTATTGTGATTCAGATTTTGAGCTTTTAGAAGGAGGCTTTGACATTTTTATAAATTTTTATAAAATTTAATATATTTATAATTAAAATTTTTCAATAATACCTTTAGGATGTATATCCTTAATTTATATACTAAGCATTCAAGTTAGGATAAGTAGATTAAACTGATTGATAAGGTTATAGCATTTAGGGATAACCTTAATATTTATTGGACTAAATCAATTAAGTTTATTTGAACGGCTATTATTGACCATAAATTTATTATAGGTTTCCATTATAAATTAATGGATTCTGGATTTACTAATTTGGAACCTGTTACAGAGGTAATTTTTATATTTATTGATAACCATAAGATTGTTCTAATCCTGGTTGTTATTAAATAATTAAAGATTCATGTTATTACTTTACTTAAATGCTTTCTTAAATTTTAGAATTTTAATATGAATTTATTTGAGAAACTTAGCAATTCTGAGATTTTACTGTTAAAGCCTAGCTCTAAATTATTTCTGGAGATGCAAGCTTATGAATGTCAAGAAACTCTGGTAAATCTTTATGATTCACATTAACAATCTATGCAATTTATAAACTAAGTTATGAACTAATAATTGATTTAATAAATAAATTACGATTTTATTGAATCAAAGGTTATAATTGATGATGCTTCTTTAAATCTGGAATAATAATATTAAGCTGTTTAAAGACATTAATAATTATCTTCTTTAGTTGTAGATAATAGATATGGTAGTAGAGAATACATGCAATCTGGTTTTTATAATTTATCTAAAAAATTTAAATGAGAGGTCAATCTTGCTTATAAAATTTCGATTAATGATTTTCCATCACGATTAAAATTATCCAAATTCTTTTACTATCTGTTATGCAATTCAATTTCTAATGAATGGAAATACTATTCTACTATTTATAATATTCTTTATTTAGCTTCCTTTAATTTCTATACTGTTTCTTAAGTATATGACTATGCTTAAGTCTGTGATTTTGTAATATCTTATTTTGCACATTCCAATTAATTAGCTTAATATATACTATCTAAATATACCTTATTAACAGACTTCTTGGTGAACATCTGTTAAAATATTTTCCAAACATTCAAGTTTAGGATATGAATTAAATTGTGAATGCTCATATACATGTTCTTTCACACATTCTGGACATAAGGGCAATATGCATTCTTTACATTTGCAAAAATTTGTAAAAGTTTATCCCTAATGATTAAAACAATTAATCTAGTTATTTTTTATATAATTTACTTTTGGCATATTTTATGCTGTAAAAACAAAAGGACTTGTTCTATTTAATGGTTTTTATTCTTCTTACTAAAGGTAATCACCATTGTAATATTGATTAGGAGGTACAAAAGATGATAATTATTAATTCTATCTCTATTATTATTCAAGTTGTTTTTCCTTTCTATATTATTAATAATACATATTAAAATTATGAGGATTCCATTAACTCAGGTTCATAATATTGTTAATCATAGTTATTGTTCTTATTACCCAACGATGTCTCTGACATGACAGTTAAAAATAATTATAAACTTTTGAATATAATAAATTAATTATTATCAACAAATATTTAAGGTTTATACTCTGATTTGAATTATTTATTCTCGTTTATTGCCTATTAAAATTGTTCGTGATCTAAAGGCAAATATTATTTTTTCTAAGCAAATGTATCCTATATATCTTAAAACTTCAATTGGAATTTATGCTCATTCTTTAAAAAGCTATAGTGATAATTTAGTGTTCATCGCCTTAAAGAATATCAAAAAATATTTCATTAATTCTAATTTTGATATCTTTACCAAAGCTAAAATAGTGGATTCTCTTTAAAGAAATTAATATCATCCATCTCTTATTGGTTAATATATTTATTCATTCGAGCCGTATTAAATAGAAAACTATTTTGTAATTACTTTATTAAAATTCTTATGAATTTGTTTGGCATAAAACCTTTTCTATTGTTAAATTATTTACTCCCAATATTTATCTTTATGTTCCCAATTCTCTATGTATCATTCTAAATCCTCTTTATTTATTATGATAATTTTCATTACTTACTTATCAATTTCTTCTATTTATTAAATAATATATTAATATCCAAAACATATTTCTATTAGTAATAATCACAATTAATATCTCTCAATAAATCATCATATAGATATTCTAAACAGTTTATTATAATTATTAGATGTAATTAATCATTCCCTATTATCAATATATATTAAAAATAATGGAAATAAGGATAATTAAAAATCTGTTTTTATAAACTATAATGTATCATATAATCGTAAACTATAATTCCTCAAAAGCTTTTTTGTGACTTTCTTATTTAATATGTTGACTGTAAGCTTATTCATTGCCTTCAAAATATCCCTTTTCATCATATCTTTATTCTACAAAACAACATTTGCATGTAAACTTTAAATTTTATAATTTTCTTTATTAAACAGCCTTAATATTAATATATATTAATTACCTAGTTTTCTTTCTTTTTGATCTCATCAATAGTCAATTTTCTAAATACAAATTTTTCTTCTTCCATACTAGTATAAACTAATTTCAATTTTTAATCTATTATATAAAATTTTTAAATATCTCCTATCTGTACTATTTCTTTAAATTATTTAATTTTAGGATAAAAACCAATAATATGTTTACCAGAATTACAGGTTATGAAAACATAATTAATAGGCTCAAAAATTAGTTTGAGTTTTTCAAAAATGCTTTAAATTCTTTGATCTGAAAGAAATTCTTTAATTTAATCAACTTTCATTGATATATTGAAATAATCACCAAATGAACTTACATCCAAAATCATAACCATTCTCTTAGCCCATTCTAAAGCATCATTATCTAATTATTTTTTAATATCAGGATCTTCTGATATATATGATAATCCAATAGTTTTACCAACAGTCATATAATCATTGCATTCCAAACAACAAATCTGAGTGGTGTTACCCATTCTTAAAAAGAAATTTTATTTCTTTATTGTATTGACTATATTTTATTTCCATGTCTAATATAATTATTGTATTTGAACATATATTTTAATACCTTCATTATCAAATTATTTAGGTATTTCAGAATCATAATCTGTTCTTATAATTTATATAGGATTCATATAATCTAAACTATCAGCCTTTTATTCTTCTAATTCAAAATGTTAAATTCTCTTTCTTTTTTATTTATTTTCACTTGATTCTTAAAATGATAGAATTTCATCTTTTAATTCAATATCAAATAATTATTTCCATCTTTCATCAGAAGTATATAATATCTTTTATCTTACTTTATCTAATTATCTTATTTTTTACCATATTCCACTATCAGTATAATTCTATTCTAATATTTATAATTTTATTTATTATCTTATTGAATTAATTGTTTACAAATCATCTTCTGTAATAAAATAATCAAATTAATAGTCTCTGTCATCAACTTTAGCTTTTATAAAATGTGTTTTTGTATTATTATGATAGAGTTTCACCTATACTCCAAAAAGCATAGCCAATATTTATGACCATAACAAATATTTGTTCTAATCTATTGAAATAACTTGTCTTGTTGAATTTCTTTTATTTGAATCTTTCTCTTAAACTTCATATGCAACTAATATTTTATTTTAATCCAAAGAAATAAAATTTATACTATCAGGATCACAATTAATTTCTTTATGTTAATGAATCAATCTACAATAACATCCATAGAATATCAAAGATTAAGTTATTTCTATAAAATTAATAATATCCACTTAGTTACTCAGTGTAAATTATTCCCAAAATATCTTTTATGGTTATTTTCTACTTTATTATCTTTTCATTAATTCACATTCATGCATAAGCCTTTTTAAAACATATTTCAATTTTGACAATTCCACTTCTTTAAATTCTATTATTATAGTATTATTTAATAGAATAACACTTTAAACCCAACTCTTAGTAAATTTTGATTTTGCTTTTATTTCAGTTAATAATTACAAATCTGATCTAAAATGAAATTTTGGTAATCCTTATCTTCCTTAAGCTTATTCATCAAGATATGCTAATATATCTTTTAATTAATCTTCTAATCTTTTTTAACTTCTATCTAATTAATGAAAATCACAAAATTATTCCATTATCATAGCAATCTTCTCTTTTATCAACTCTTTATTTTAAATATTAACTCCATCAAATTTAATATTATCACTCTCTAACATTATTGTACGAGTATAATCAAAACCTTAATCTTTCAAATATTTAATCTTTTTATCATATCTCTCATCTTTTGCTAATCTAAATGTATTTTATTTAAAAGCAGCACAAAAAGCACTCTTAATTTTAAGTTAATTTTCTGGATTACTTAAATCAAGAGGTTCATTCTTAAATTATTAATCTAATCTCATAAATAATTCATATTTCACATTTAATATTTCTCTCATGTTCTTTGGATCAATCGATCTCTATTCACAATATAATTTTTCTAAAGGTCCTATATTTCTATTTGTAAATCTTTTTAATTCTCTCTTTAATTCATGTTAAGTAATTGTAGACTTAAGTATATTAAAAAACTTAATTTCCCATTCTTAATAAACTCTTAATTATATTAGTAAATCATCTTCATTGCCTTTATCATATAGATATAAAGAATTAAAGAACAACTTTTAAGATCTCATAAAATGATGTAAAAAGTAATTTTTTCTTTAGCTTAAAATAGCTGCTATTGTGACACCCTCATAAGCACATCCAATTATATTACAATACATAATAAATCTAGTTAAAAAGATATCAATTGGCATATCACTCATCATTTATCCCAATCTTGTTATATGGATAGTGGAATTCTGAGCATTTGGATAAGATAGAGCTCCTAACATTTAAAGATTTGAAATAGCATTTTCAATTTATTTAGTACTTGGAGGGTCAATAGCAGTTTTTAGGGTGCGACCTGGATCATTGAAAACCTATTTTAAATCAATAATAGTATTAAGTTCTAATTTTTCAGTTTTATTTTCATTATCCATAGATAATTGATATAATTTTTTTAGTCTTAATATAATAATTTCTAAGGGACATCTTAACATTTCACAAACAGAATATTAAGTCATTTTTTATTTAAAAATACTTTAAGGTATTAAACGAAAACATGTTCCTGGGAATAAACGTCCAGTTCTTCCCTTTCTTTAATCAGCAGATGCTTTAGAACAGTATTATAATGCTAATTTTTCGGTTAAATTTTTAGGATTGTAAATAATTTCTTTAGTTAAGCAAAAATCAATAACAAATTTACAATCAGGAACAGTAATACTACTTTCAGCTACATTAGTACTTAATATTAATCTTCTTTTTCTTTTTTGAATATCATCAAAATCTTTAGGGATAGTGACAGTACTATGTAATATAATGATAATGAATCTGTCTTCACCAAATTTTTGATAAATTTCTTCTCTTATATCCATGATTTCTTAGTATCCAGGAAGGAAAATTAATACTGCACCCGCTCCTTGCATACCTTAAGTATCTTTAATTTTATTAGAGTCTAAGAATTCTAATATTTATAACATGGCTTAGACACTATCCTATTGAATTTTAGGAGTATCTTAAAAGTATAATGAAGTTTGAAATCTTAAAGGTTGATGAGGTTCTAATTTTGCAGTGTCAGCATCGTTAAAATATGAATGAATTTCCTCCATATAATAAGTTTCTATAGGATATTTTTAAGACATAGGAACTTTAATAATAGGTGCAGGTGCATCATCATCTCCATCTAAGAAATGCTATCCTATTTCTCTTAATTCATTTTGTTTTTATTCTAATTCTCTTTATTCTTAGGTTAATTTAACCTATCTATCCATATCTTTCCAAGATTAACCCCATTATGTGGCAATATCATGATCCTCTTCACCTTCAAATTTTATTGCAATTTCTACATCATTTTCTTATGTCATATCTACATATTTGTATTTTCTATCTACTCTTTGTATATATGTTAGATCATCAACTAAATTAATTGATTTTTTTGAAAAATAATTTGCAAATTTATCACTGCAAATAGTTGCAGACATTAGAATCAATTTAGTGTCTTTAAAATATTTCAATAGATTTTTGATAATGATTAAACAAAAATCTATATCAATATCTCTTTCATGAACTTCATCCATAATAATGTGACTATAATCTCTAAAAACTCCTTCTCTATCATGAACTAATTTTTATAGAAATATTCCTGTGGTTACAAATTAAATTTAAGTTTATCTTGAACTTATTTGGGAATCCATCCCAACTTAATAACCAACAAGAGTGCCTAATTGACAATCTAATTCTGATGCTACTCTTTTTGCTAATGATTTAGCAGCCAATCTTCTTGGTTAAGTACATAAAATATTAACTGTTCTTGGAGTTTCAAATTCTGTATTAGTATGATGTCTCAATATCATCTAAGGTACTTGAGTTGATTTACCACAACCTGTACCTCCTGTAATTACAATCACTTAATTATTCTACATTTCTTCTAGAATTTTATGGCTCAAATTATAAATAGGTAAAGCTTTTCGTTCTGTTTCTGTCAATGGTTTTATTACTCTTTTCCTTAAATGGGATAGTTGTTATATCTAGACCTCTTATTTTTATTACAATGGAATATAATCACCAAGATTATCATTTTAAGTTCTGACTTTTTTCCTTACTATATCCTCTACCTAAGATTCCTTCTTTACTAACATTTCTTCATCCATTTACATTTATTATTTTTTAAATTGCTTTTTTTGGCTACAAAATAGGTATCAAATATTAATATTATACTTAAATATTTAGTAATAAAATAAATTTAAATAATTCAATTCTCAAATATATGTGTAACTAAATACGAGATTTAGTTATCATATCATCCCTTCTAAAATATATTTAATAATATTTTCAATAATTATTGATATTTATATATTAATTGTATTTCAAATAACCATCAAATAATAAAATACTTAATTTTAGTATCCAATAAATATCAATATTTTCTGATTTAAAATCTGTATTCAAATAATTATTAATTAAAAATATTATTATCTAGAACTTCAATAAGTAATTGATTTTAAAAAAAAATAATAATAAGCTAATAAATATGCATTCCAAGAACATAAACAATTACTAAATTTAATTGTTTACATTCAATTAAAAATTTATTATTAAAATAAACAATAGGTTGAACTTAGGTAGAAACTTCAATAAACTGGTAAAATTATTACATTAAATATTTATTTCTATTATTATAGTATAGACTTATTTTTAAAAGGGTATTGTAATAATATTAAAATTAAAAAAATGATATTCCATATTTAGAAATCTAAGATTATAATGCTAGTAAAATGAATAATAAATAATTAATTTCAATGGAAATTATGTTATTTTTAATATGACATATCATTTCATGTTATTAGCTGCCAATTATTGTTCTGCTGATTTAAGTAATGTTTTTCCTTAGACATTATCTTATTTAATTACAAAGTTATCTTTTCCTGTATTAGAATTGATAAAATTAATTTCTTATTGAGTAAACTAAAGTAATTAATTGATAAATTACAGGTATTCCAATATCTTGTAATTAATTCAAACAATTCAGAGTTTCTTTCACATATTAAGCTTAATTTATTCTTTAAAGTGTATGGTCTTAATCTAATTTCTTAATTTTTTCTCTTATTTAAGTACCTTATGATGATGACATAAGATGTTTGATTTCTTCAGCATTAAAAGAATTCTTTATTGCAGCTCTTAATTGTTCTTGCTATTATTATATTGCATTCTTTAATGTTAAATCACCCTATTCTATTTCTTATAATTTAGTTTAGAATATTTCCAACTCTTATAATGTGTCATTTTTCATTTATCTATAATGTATATGATGTTATATACTTATATTCTTCAGGATCTAATTCATTTTTATATTCCTCAAGATCTTTAAGTTATTCAAGTAATCTTTTTAATTGTTATTCAATGTTTTCTAATATCTTTTTATCCATTTTTTTTAAAAGAATATATAGATATTTAATATATTTAATATATTATATTAATTGATAATTCATTTTTAAGGTTCTAAAGAAATTGATCGCTATTCTATTTATTCATCAATTACTTGATTTTCTTCAGGATCCACCATTTCTCCAGGTTCTCTATCATCATTAGACTATTATTATTAAGGTTCCTATTATGAAGTAGAATCTAATTATTATTGAATTTCTGATGATTCCTATAAAGTTTTATGATTTTTCTTTCCATTATCTAATTATAAACATTAATTTTTATCTGTTAATCCTGAAAGTTAATTTAAGATAGTTTTTTTATTGTCAGATTAAGTAAAATTAATAATTGTATTTTTATTTAATTATTGATTAGGATGATCTTATTATTTTTATTCTTCAATATGAGTATGATTAGAATGCTTGTTAGAATCAATATATTTAGGATTTCTAAGTAGTATTGATTTAATCAATTATGCTCTTTCTAAATTATCTTTTCCAGGAGCATAGAATTTAATATCTGTATTATTTTCATGACCTACTATACAATTTTCCAAAAAGTTCATAAAAAGTAATGGAGCTGCCAATTTGAATTAATCATATTAATAGAAATCTGAAATAGGTACTACTCCATCTGCTCTAGGTTTCCATTTAACTTCAAATACACAATCTTCATTTGTTAACAATAAATGAACACTATCTATTTCATCACATTTTTGAGGGTAAGAACTACAAAATTTTGAGGCCATTTCTTTTTATTTATTTAAGAGAAGTTCTTCAGAATAACTAGGATGTTTGAGACTTTATTGTACTTATTACATGACAGGTAATTGTTATGCTGCATTTTTAAGATTTTTTTATTTTTACTCTTAAAATGATTGTTAATTCTAAAGGAATTCTTCTAAAATTGAATGTCTAACATTTTGTTCATATTCCCATGTAGTTTATTCAGATCCTTTCCATTTCATTAAATACTAAGATTGATTGTTTATTAATCTTTTTTTGAGAATCCTTTCTGGAGATCGAGGAGTTATTAATTAATAATCCTATTATTTAGTGGGGCGCATAATAATTATTATTAATTGAATTGATTTGAAACCACTAAAATTTAAATCCTAAAAGTGCCAAAAATTTGCATCCTATTCTCAAAATAAATAATGCTATTATATAATGTAATATAAAAAGAATTACCCTAATATTTAATTTGATCTTTCAATTGACAATTTTGGACTGACAGATGATGATATATTACTAACAACAAACCTTACTAAAAGGCCTATATATTAAATCAAAAATATTTAATAAACAGCTAATTGTATTACAAATATGATAAAAGAAAATGAATTAAAGAAAAGACCCTAAATAGATATTCATAAAGAATTATTTACACCAAGAAAAACATATAATTATCATTTCAAAAATTACGATTCATAATTATTTCCTTTGATTAATACTAAATAAAATCATTTACCTAATTTTTTAGAGCTATCTAAACTAATTAAATTAACTGAAACTCCTAGAATCTCACATAAAATAAAACTTAGATCTAGAAGTACTGATAAACGATTTAATTTCCATAAAAGTAATTCAAATAAAAAATTATAAACTGATACTAAAAATATTGAAGAATAATTCTAAGAAACTAAGAATTTAATTAAGAGATTTAACAGAATCAAAAGAAAAAAAGTTAGATTTGATGTCTCTACTTGATTATTTTATTTAAGGAAAAATAATTACTATATCATGCATTATTTTCAGCATTCTCTTCTTTCATTTTTTCAATAAGTAAATTCCATTCCTCCAATTATTTTGGATCTGGCTATTTTTAATGTTCTATCATTTTAAAACATTCATCTTTTGGTTTTTGTTGCTATTACTATTAATGTTATTATTATAATTTTTATTATTTCCTCTCTTATTTCTCTTGATCAGGAGATATTCCCAAATCTACTAATCTATTGGCCTTCTTAGATCCACTTATTTTCTTACGATTCTAATGTAATTTCATATATTCTTCCAAAGCCTTTCTTTCTCTAATATAAGTTAATTCCTATTATTTTCTTATCTTACAAAATTCCTACAATTAATGAGTATTCATCCACTGTCTTGTAATTATCTTTCTCTTATTTAATCCTTTGTCATCTATAGGTTCCACCTAAACATTCTAATCCAAATCAAATACATATTATTTGTTATTTACATACATTATAATGAGAGGCTTAAATTAAATAAACTGTTTTACTTCTCCTTTGATCATCAAATCTTCTAATTAATTTTATATTACTTTTTCATATTGAATCCATGTTTATCCATTATAATAAGACCATTTCCCTTATTATATTTTGATTTGTCTAGACACAATTGACGATTCTCTCCTAATTTTATAATAACTAATTTAATGATGCATGACCATATGATCATAATCCACTATAAACTACATGTCTTTAAATATAATCTGGAACTCTCCTTGATTACAATAATGAAGCATATTTTCTAAGAGATTGCATCTTCTCCAATCAAACATTTTCCATTTCCCATCTTCATCTAGATAAAACCAATCAACATCATGATGTGGAGGTGGAAATGTGCTGATGGTTGGCATTTGCTAGGGCCTATATAAATAAATAAATAATTGTGTTTGTAATAATACATATCAATAAGTGAAGGTGTAAATGTATATTAAGGCTATAAAAATAAGTATTATAAAAATATACTTGGAAATCTATATAGCGTATAATATAAAAAAATAAACTTACATATTGGTTGGACTATTTGAGGAACATTAAATGAGTACATTCTTATTCTTTCAATTATTTAATAAATTATTATATATAAATGTATATATTAAATTGATTAATTATAAATATTTATATTCTAAATGTTTGAAATATTTCAATCTTAATTCATTCTAACTTACTTTCAACAATAGTCTTAAAAATAAATTAACTGGGCTATTTTGAAAAATACTTACTCTGTCTCAATAGCCTACCAGTATTACGATTAGAAATTGATAATGGTTCAGTAATTGTTGTTTATTCATTTCTCATTGTCAATTTTGGCATTCCTCCATCCATTGTCATGGAACTAATTCAAATTAAAATAAATACGATTTAAATGATATTATCTATTAAGCTTAATTAATTAAATATTCTCTAATCATTTTAAACCGTTCTTTAATCAATTTCTTTCTTAATGAATTCTAAATGAATATTCTCTTTAAGTTCCTATTCCTATTGATTATATGTGGAAACTTTAGATATATTATTGTTTTAATATCATCAATTGTTTTTTACATTTTATCAAAGTAAGCATATATCAATTTTTATAGCATATTTGCAATAAATAAAAAGTTTAAGACTCCTAAGATTGTATAAAATGGCAATACAACTTCAATTATGTCAAAAGATTATGCTGTATAGATTGAAGATGCTAAGACTATAGATATTGAACAAATAGATGTAGATAAGAAGTCTATTTTATTTAATAGAGCAGATTAATAAGGCTTGTATTTAGTACTTAAATGACTGTAAATATAGAGAATTAAGAAAACTAAAGAAGCTTTAACAGCAACATAATCAGAATAGTATAATAATACCAAAATGATTAATTCTTTTTATAGAATCTTCAAAGTTTCCCAGTAATAAGTTTCTAATTTATATTCATTATATAAGTAGCCCCACATCTTCCTTACTTTCATTGAATTTAACTATTTTCTATTGTAATAAACAACAAACCAAAATAAAAATGGTATAAGCAATCCTAAAATAAAAAAGCTTGGTATAACAAAACTAATTAGCCATATAGTATGTTAATATGTATCATATAAATAAGATACATTACCTGATACCCAAAATTCATTTGATATTTTTCTATATGACAACAATCCAATTAATCCACTGATAATGTTAGGAAATAAATAAATATAAATGTAGATAAATGTAGTAGTGATAAATGTTATTTAAAACTTACTTTTCTTAATAAATAAAAGCATTATGTAAATTGTAAAAAACAACAATATATATATTCCTATTGTTAAAAGACTAAAAATAATTCTAAAATATAATATTGGAATCATTTAATTTGATTCAGCTAAAAAACAATCTAAAGAAAATGCCATTGAATCTATTGGACTACCAACACCACTAAATACTAAAGTTATTCCCAATGGGATTGATAATTAAAATGAAGTTATTGAACTGATAATCTAGAGATAGTTAGTAAAAACTTTTAATAGAACAGATGTAGATGTTGGTTAGGTAATAATATAATTTCGCAATGATTTAAGTTTCAATTAAAAGATAAACTCTTCAATCATTTAAACTGTGCTGGTAACTGAAATGAATAGAGATAATAAAGTCCATAATACAACTAAAACTATATTTATAATATTCTTTGCTACTTATTAACAACTACTACAATTATATGCTTAACCTATTGAAAAATAACCTTATCCTCTGATATTATATAAATCACATTATTCACATAATGCTCCTATGTGTCCTATTCCACAAGATGGATTACCAGCAAACCATCCACCTTAACAATTTTAATATTAATGATAGCAGAGTTCAACAATGTTACTATAATAATATGCTCTCCAATATCCTGATCGTAATTCAATCATTGCTGGTTTTATTGATTTCATTTTCTATTCATCTTTGAATTAGCAAGCTTAGGCATTTTATTAAACTGAATATTGATTTTAAGTTATATCACATTGAACACAGCCACCAGATGTAGAATTTAAATATTCTCCTAATTGACATTTGAAAGTTCTCAAATGTAATAATAATATATAATTATCTAGAGTATAATTTAATTCATAAGGAGCATAGTCATTATAAATAGGAACTTTTATTGCTTTACATAAAAAAGCTAATTAAAGAGAATATTGCTTTTCTTGTAAAGGATTAAAATATAATGTCAGATTATCTAAGTTATAATCTTAAGTTTAATCATTGAAATAAACTTTAGTATATGATAGTGATTAATTAGAAATATTATCCAATATATTCTAAATTTTTTGTAATTTGTTATTTCTATCTACAACTGAAGGATTAATAATACACTCTGTGCCATTTAGATTTTTCATTTATTCAAATTATATATTCAATGGAATGAGGCGAAAGGAAAAATTATAGTTGATATAGGAATTACTCTAAGAATCAAAGTGTTTGTAATCATATATCTTAAGACCTGATGGTATTAATATTTAATCAGTTTTTTCAGAGGAACCAAAATATGAATAAGGTTAGACATCAACTTCATCAATTTATGTAGTTTTGTTCTTAAATATTAATTTATTTTTTAATAAATTTACACCATCCAATGAAAGATGTAAATACATAGGTATAGATGCAAGATTATCAGCATATTTTTTACCTGTATTTTCATTTATGTATACATTTCCTTTTATAAGTTCTTATATAGTCTCTCCATTTTGATATAATCCACCTCCTATTTAAGCTTTATTCTGTATAAGTTAACTATCTAAAATTAATATATGATTTTATTATTCTGAGTAATAATAGATAGCCCCACCTATCTCTCTAGCTTAATTATTATTGAACAAGCATTATTCAATTAACATATTCAAATCTATAAAAAAGCAGGCTCCTCCATAATCAGCTATATTATTTATAAATTGACTGTTGCTAATCTTTAATTAGATCTATTTGTTTTAAATATTTTTTATTTTTTCTACTGAATTTTATAGAATTCTATTTTATTAATTTTCGTCGAAGAAAAAATTAGAATTTTGCAACAATGATAAACAACCAATTACACCACATGTATTATTAATTAGACTTATATTCTTCATTCTTAAATTTATTGAATTAGCATGTACATCCATTACATTAAATACTCCAAAATAACACTTAGAACATTCAATATTTGAAATTAATAAATTCTCTATTATTAATTCTTGATAATCATCTATATTTTTTATCTCAACTAAACTTAAGTTATAATTGTTTTCTTCAAAAATCTATTTTTTATTGCAGATTAATTAATTAGTAAAATTGATTTTATTTAATTCTATTAGAGGATTTTAAACAATATCAGAAATATCATCAAAACATAATAAATCTTTTATTGTGATTATTTCCTAATCTTGACAATCTTCAAATTGTGTTTGAAATTATGATAATTATTACAATTTGAAATCTTAAAGTAAGATCTTACCTATAAAACCTATAAAATATATATATTTAAATAATACCTTCTCTTAAGGAAATTCTTATAACTGGAGATAAAAAATAAGTACTATTTGAAATTTATATATTATTCAAGTTTATAATGTATCCATTATATATCTCCAAAATGCTAGCAATATGAAATTACATAAATGAACAATTGAGCATTGTAAAATTACAATATTGAACATATATAGTGGGATTTTCTCTTTAAAATGGCTTAACATCTTATGAAGAAATATCTTATAGTTAGGATATATAATAATTAAATCCATTTTCACTATTTATCAATAAAGAGTTTTAAATTTAAAAGTTTGAATATACAGAGTTTTATCTACTAGGAGAAAAAGTAAGAATAGAATTTTAAATTGAGAAGGATTCTTATATGGTTAAATAATCTAAATTAATTTCATTTTTAAGAAATGAAGGTTCTATGTACAATAGTCCAGCCTATGTTCTTGAGGATGTAAATTAGAATAATGAATTATGAATATAAAGTTTAAAACGACTTTTTGAAGAATCAATATAAAGGCACCCACCAACCGATATTTAATATCCATTAATTGTAGTCGAAGTATTTACAAATTTTGAATTACTTATTTCTATTGAACCTTCTTAAGATGTAATAACGTAAAAGGCTCCTCCATTTAAGGCCAAAGATTATTCTACCTCAATTTACTCTAGTATCATAGAATTTATTAAAATATAGGCATTTCCACCAGATGACAAAACTTAAAAATTAAGTATAATATTAGTAGTTATATCAGTGTCTATTTTTGAGACAAATAAGTATTTCTGGAAAATACTGGGGTTCATTTAATTTTATTTAGTAAAGACACTATTTTAAATACTAAGATGATTTGTTTTAATGAACAAATTTGAATCAGTAGAATTAGAAATTATATTATGATCAAAAAAGCAATTTGATATTAATACATTTCCTGATTGGGCATTAATTACTAAAGTTGAAGATGAAAATAATTAATAATCTTGGAAATATTCATTTAAATAGTTCTATGTAAAATTTGTATTTATAATACTGATATTCATTAATTGCTCTGTTTTTATAGCTATAATTGAAGTAAATTTATTTTATTATGTTATTATCAACATATTATCAAAAAATCTTGAATTTGATATTATAAAACTATTTTCTACTTATTCATCTAATTAATTTTAGCTAGCAAATACGAAAAATGGATTATCAAAAATTACAGATTAAAATATAACTACATTATCCATTTCTACTTGATTGAAAGAACTTAGGTAGAATACATAATATATATCTAAATATAAGAATTGTTCGATGCATTTATAAGATGAATGTAGAGTCTTTGTAATAAATTATGGGCTTTATTAAATTAAGATATTTGAAAATTTTAAAGATTTACTTCTAAAAATAGCAATTTCTGGATATCCTAAGCCTCTAAATATTTCTACATTATTAAGAATGCATACTTAACATTCTAAGTATATTAAGGATTCATCATTTATCAAAGATTTAATTTATTTAGATCCTTTTATAATATTATAATATCTATTGTTTGTTAAGATTAAGCCATCAATATTAAGTGAATTATTTAAAAGATCATTCTAAAATATAGCAATAAAACTTTAAGAACTATAATAGATGTTATCAATAAAATTAGCATTTTTTATCCTAATAGATTCAGCATTTCTTAATGACTCAGTTGTTTTTGATGAAGTGCCTTTATTGGTGATTAAATAGCCAGAATATATGATTATATCAATAGCTAGAAAGTCTTCAATATTAATTATATTTGATAATAAAAATGATGAATCATCTAAAAAAATAATATTTTTTAAAGTAAAATTTTTAATGGAACACTTACCAGCACCCATAAGATTCAAAATTTAAGATGAATTCATCAATGTTATATTTTAGAAATATAAATTTTCTAGTGAAATCTATCCTATATTATATTGCATCAAGAATGAAGTATTAATAAATTAAGATCCTGATCTAAAAATAAGGTTAGAAGCATAAACATTTTTAATTGATATTTTATAGTTAGGAGTGAAAATAAGTGATTCAAAATAAAAGATGCTTGATTAAGTGAAATTAGAATTAATGAAAACTAAATTTCTAGCATTAAATTCTGAATTTTTAGTAGTTTTTTAAGTTTGAAAATCTAATAATTTAGAATCTGTTAAATTTAAATCTAAGAATGTAACATTATCAAAGAAAATATTTAAAGAATTATTGCTCATTATTGAATAAGAAGTTTATCTTCGATTATTTGTACTTAGTATTTATGAATCAATTAATTTAAAAGTGATTGGATTATAGGAATTTATAATATTAAATTTACAATTGATACTATATGGATTAGTATTTGGATGGCTTAAGGTTGATATTGCTAATAATCCAACATTTTAAAAATGAATTAAATCAAAATCTATAATACTATAACTTGCTTATGTAAGTAAGTTTGTTAATTATTCACCTATCAGTTTGATTGTAACGGTTTTAATTGTAAATATTTTAGAAGAAAAAGGATTTTTAATTTTGACTGGTTAAGCTTCCCATTAATAGCAACTTCCAGAATAATTAGGGTGTGTCTTGATTAAATTAATAAAATTGATTTCTACAATTGATTATTCATTAATGAAATTATAGATTTAATCATCCAATATAATATCAAAAACTGTAAACTAATAATATGTTTTATATTAATTCCTATAATTAGGGCGTTAATCATTGAAGTAGTCAAAATAATAATAACTTTAATCACAATAAACTAATTAATTAAAAGTTAATGTTTTGATGCATTTATCATATTTCTAACATTTATAAGGTGTTTTGAAAAAAGGATGGAAATTAATTTAATTCTTATATTAGATATTATATTGTAGATCTTAATCAGATTATAGCAAATGATGATCAAAACTATAACATTAATTAGTGTATTTTGAAGAACTGGTTATAAAAGGATTTAATTTATTTATTTATGATATATCTCTTGATTGACAAGCTTTACAAAATACAACACATTCTTGACACATTGTTAAATCACTTTAATTAATACTTTTCTATTAATTATATAAAGCATTATTGCATTAAAAACATTGAGAATATTAAGAATTGAATTTAGGTAGTATTTAACAATTATTACAGTCTGATCCACAATTATTAAAACATTCATTTTTATATAAGAAACTATCAGAAAAACAACTTGTACAAACTATTTCAAAATCTTTTGTTTCAAAATTTAAACCATATTATTCAAAAGAATGATCATCATTTGAATTTACAAAGTATTTATAAAATGCTTTAATATCCCATTTCCAAAAATCTTAATGATTGGTGTTCTATTATTAACAAGTCTTACAAGTGAGAGGACATTATTTACATTGTCCAGTAGTAATTGAAGAATAATATCCATCACTACATTAAATACAAAAACCATCAGCATTGATATAATTAAGAATACATTATTCACAAAATGATAAAGAATTGCATTGTGTTTATTATATTCCTTTTAGAGGAAATAGACTTTTAATGCATATGGCTATACCAGAATCTTGAGTTATAATACCAAAAGAACATTCAATTTAATCAATAGGTCTTTCTTCACATGTATTAGTATAAAAGTTAAAAAACATATTATATTTACATTATGCACATCCAATTTTAATAAATTCTTATTGAATATTTTCCATAAATGGCTTATAATCTAATGTTGTATAATATTTACCATCTGATTTATAATATTAGAAACAATATTAACAATTTTTTATATTGCAAATTGCACAATTTAATTTATCAAATGTAATAAAGTAATCTTAATTATTTATACAATATAGACATTTTGATTAAAGGCATTTTCCACAATATTAACCACAATCATAACATTATTTATTTGACCAATATTGATTACTTAAACAATCATCTTCATAAAAACAAACTTCTTTATTATCTTCAAGCATACAATTATGACAAGTTTAGCATTTTTAACAATTACCATCTTTTCTTAATGTATAACCAATAAAACAATATCTGCAACTAGAACCCATAAGACACCCTTCACATCCTTCCATGCATTTTTTACATCTTCCATCTACATCTTTGTAATAACCATCCTTACAACCATAAAGGGATTCCCCTTCAAAAAGTTTAAGTTAACTCTTCCCGAATTCGTCTTAAAATATTTTAAATACTTCTTCATATTAAGTTCCTCTAATAACTTATTTATAAGCAAATTTTCTTTATTCGTCCAAAACCTTTAAATCATAACTACATTTTAATGTAGATGAAAATTGTTCTGGATTAAGTATGCAATCTCCACATTCTATAGTTTCATCTAATATCTCCTAATTCATTCTTGGACACATAATACATTCATTGCCAATTAAAAAATAACCATAATCGCATTAAATATTATCTTCATCACAAGTAAAATATCCAACTTTATTACATTTTCTCTCAAATTCATCGACTATCATATTTGCCATTATTTCCTCCAGAGCTTTATAATCTCAAATTTATATACTTAAACAATTCTCATTATCTTTTACTTCTATGTAACCATAAGCACATTGACATCTTTTTTATTCTTTTGAATACAATCTATGACTTTCACTGTTACAACTTAAGCAATTTGAAGGTGAAACACCATCACATGTTTTACAAGAAAAATGGCATTTTATTTTAAATTATACATCTACTGGATTACAAAATTTAGAGAAAGACCAGTCACTTAAAAATCCAGAAAATAAATTAGAAACAAAATCATCACCACCTATAAATAAATAAAATTTGCTATTTGTAAAATGATTAATTTATTTATTCCATGTCCATTGTTATTTTTAATTTAAAAATGCAAAATATATAGTAAACAATGGTTATCCTTCATTATTTTTGGTTCCAATTTCATACTAAAAATAATGCCATTATATTATTGCTTCACTATATTGCTTTCCAATTATAGTTATTTTATCTAAATCATCATTTTAATAAGTCTCCTCTATTATTGGGAATTTATAACTATTTATAGACACTGTCAGGCCATTCTCATCTTAAATGATGTTTTAATGATATACTATATATATTAATCGATCTCCATACTATTTCTCATTAAAATATTAATAACGAGTTGTTACTCTTAATAGTACAGTATCCAACTATTATATTGACTCAATTCTATTTAACTTTACCCATCCTTATATAACATATCCTATTTTTTTAATCGAATTTTATATAGTTCCTTAAATAATCTTATTCTTTTTTAATTCTTCATTATAACCCACTAGGGAAAAATATCCTGGTTGGCATGAATAAGATATTGGACAATCCATTAAATATTAGTCTAAATTAGTGAATATATTATAAAAAAATGTGACAAATATAAATCCCAACTTTCCAGGAAAATATCTATATCTTACTAATTCAGACCCTTAAAGAATTTAAAAAGTTCCATAATTTCTTTAAAATATCCTTTACCCATATAATATTGATCCAATTTATTATTAAGAAAATGTTACCCTTGTTCTATAATTTAAAACATAAATGTTTATTTAGTGAGTTTCTTTATCATCAAAATAATATAATAGATGCCAATCACCTTCAAAATTCCAAGTATCTAATGGACACTCAAAAACTTAAGATTGTGATTCATATTAAATTACTCCTTTTAATTTAATTTTTTCTAAGTCTGCATCTATATCTAAATAAAATATAATTGAATATTCAGTAGATTCATTATTTTCCACGATGTATAATAGGTAATTTACTTATTTAGTATTAAAAGATTATGATGCTAAATATGGCAATTAAATTCATACTCAAGGAATCAGAATTTGGTAAATAATTAAACCAAAATCCTACTCCTAATTTTTCCCAAAACTAAAACATTGATATATCGATGGCTATCCAATCTATGTTTGAATCCATAACAAAGTCCCAGTAATTAATATTGTCATAATATGGACAAGATGTAGAGATTAATCTATCATTTTTATACATCTTTACTTCAATAGTACTAAACAATTGATTAGAAATAAAATCATAAGATAAATTTATTATCTAAAATATATACTTATTATAAGTTTTAAGAATATAAATGAAGGAAATTCTTAAATAACTATTTTGTCTTATTTTCAAAATGATTATGAAAGTTTACATTATTTTCAATTTAATAATGTTTGCTCTTTAAATATACTTAATATTAGAAAATTTTCAATTAATTTTAAAGAAGAAGTTTAAAATGAGAAAAGATTTGCTTATCATGCAATTAAAATTAAAAGTAAGGTTATATGGTCACACATATTTTATATAATAAATTATCTAAATTATATGTAATGATTTTAAAGAATCAATTATAAATTTACTTCTAAAATATTAGGAAATGTTATTCATTTTAATTTAGAATGAATTTAAAAAAAAAAAGATAATATTTATTTTTTGTATTAAACATTAATCAACCTCCTAAAAGAAAGTTTGCTGCTTATTCTTCATCATATCCAAATCTGAGAAGAGCTTCCTAATACATTTAATTATAATTCTTACCCTAACTTTGCCTACTTCAAAACCTAAATTGACTAAATTTTACACCTTCTCCTCTTACTTATTTTTTGAAGCATAATTTTATGTCCATTCTCTATAAAATTATAAAATTACATACTTTGCTGTTTTAACATATAAATCTTTTTAGGTTTTGAATTAATTAGCTACTACAGCATCTTAAGGGGAATCTAATTAAGTATTAGAAAATTTATTACCTGGTTATGGATCACACAACAATGCTTAAAGTGACAGCAAAGCGGTACGTATTGAAAGTGCAGGTGACCACTCATCTTTTAATATATCCAAACAAATAGCTCCTGTTTAGCTAGATATAGTGATGAAAATTACGAAGAGATATTAGGATGCCAAATACGAGTGTCAAACTTCATTTTTGGAGGTTTGTATGGATATTCTTGAGGAATCACAATGTCTACCTAAAAGTAACCATTAGCATAAGGAGTATCGGATGGTCCATTTATAAACCCCTTCCAATGAGTGATATTTTAATCAACTAACAAAATTGAAATTCCAGAATCTTCTCCCTTAGATAAATAAATACATAAATAATACTTTTTTTTATCTCTCATTAAAGTCCTGCAATTCTTTATTCAATCGATTAGTTTATGTTTTTTACATTGAATTAATTAAATAATAATGAATATAATGATAAGTAATCCATTTAATTAATAGAAAAACTCATTTTTTTAAGAATATGATAGAGGAAAATAGTAAAATATTTTTTTGCTGTATTACTTCTTAATTATACTAGTAAATTTTATCATACTTTAAAGAATTAAATGTTATTCTGTTAATTTTGTTTGATTTAAATTATTCATTTGAATGCATTTTCAACAGTATTCTAACATACTATTAATTTTATAGATTTTTCAACCATTTACTATTTGTTTAAATCACTATAATATATAAATTTTAAGAAATATATAATATTAATTTAAATCTCCTTTAAATAAATTAGAGGCTCAAATGAAGATTTAATCAAAACAGAATTCCTTTTATGCTATATATTAATAATTATTATATCAAGATTCTAAAAAAAGAGAGATTATATTTCTGTTTATAATACAGCTTTTTATAGTATATAATAATATAGAAGTTATCTAAATTTATCTTTAATTAATTAAAATGTCTATTGAATACGTGCTTTTAGTTAAACAATAATAAGTTTGCCTATTTAAGATTCCACCAGTCAGCAGTAGCAAGGGTTATTATTTAGATGACTGGAAAGAGATGTTTTGGGAAGGTAAAATAAAGCTTATAATTAACAGGGGGAATCAAATTAACAGAAAAAGGTGGGTAGTTGACTTTATATTTTATTGACAAAAATACTTCAGCTGTACAGACCTTTGTAAATTTTCCAGATAATCCTTACTAAGCTATTGAAAAAACAGTGGATAGTTAAAGGTAAATGAATAAAAATATATTTTTAGAGGATATGCAATTAGATTAGTAACACCAACAGGAGGTCATCAATGGGTTGGTTGTGTATTTAGAGATAGAAATGATGCCTTTGATTTCAATGAGAAGATATTAAAATTCATTTCAGATAGAGAAATGGAAAGAAATCCAGAGAAATTTAAAAATGAATTTCAACCTTAATAAGATTTTAGTTTAAAGTAAGGATAGAAAATATAGATATCATTGGGAGATGGAAATCAATAAATGAAATAAAATTAGTAGAAAGGATCAACTAATTTATCTGAATTTAAATTTGCACCTCCACCTGATGCAAGTGATTTTGGTTAATTTTCATAACCAGCTCAATAATCTTAAGCATAATCAATATAGAATAGTTGGGGTAATTTTGATTTTAACTCTTGGAATCAACCAAGTGTACCATAATAGAATGCATTTTAATAGACCCCTCAACAATAATAATTTGGATTTGGATAACAGTCATAATCATAGCCTTAATAATAATTTAACTTTTAAGCATAGGTGTTTACTAACTAATCATAACCATAATAATAAAATTAAGCCAAAACAAAGGAATTGAATTTATTAGATTTATGAATGCACATAATTAAACATAATTATTCTTATATCATTCTATAATTTCCATTTCCTATCCAACTTCTGTTAATTCTTATTTTTCAATATCAAACTAATATTTTCTAAGAGCAGCTAAACAAAATGTATATAAAATAATACGTGTATTATTGATTGGGAAATCATAAGGAATTTGCCTTTAGTATGATTTAGCATTGTATTATCTAACATTTCTTTTATAATCAGCACCATCTTTTGTAATGGCAACAACATCTACATTACTTCCAGATCTAGATAAACAATAGAAATAACAATTTACCCCATATCATGGAATATACCAGCTTCAATGGCTTCAATAGCAAGATCAATAGCTTACTATTTGGTAAGTCCATCCTAAAACTTGGCTTCTAAAATACCCAAAGCAGCAAGTGATCCACTTCCCATAGATTGGAAAGGATGATAAACATAACTATGTTAATATTTATGATTTACTTTCCATGAGGAGATACTGATGCTAATTAAGGTCCATTACAATCAATTCCTCCAATAATCAAAGCAACTCCAATATTACCTCTATATGGAAAGAGCTTAGAAGTAAGTTTAGTGATGACTTCATTCACCCTGCTTTATCTATTTAAATTGAGTCTTTAGAGTTTAAGTTTAGCATTAAAATGAGCACATTGATGATGTAAATCAGCAGCTGTACCAGCTCCAGCAGCCCAGACGTTTGGAGCTAGAACGTGTAATTTCTCACAGTTTTTATCAGCAACTATAGATCCTGCTGTAGCTCTTGTATCAGCAGCCATTACAACTCCACCATCAAATAGAACACCTACAATAGTTGTTCCTGTTTTTGTGAATGGCATTTCTTTAAATCCTTATGCTTTCATTAATTCATTTCTTATACAATAATATCATGTGTTACCTTTTCACATTTTTATAATCATAGCCACCTTTGGATTGAAGATAATTGTCCAAATATTACATATTTATTATATTTAAATTTAATTATTATTCAGATTGGGATAATGGAAGAACAATTATAATAAATATTCAATTCCAAATACAAAAATAAGACTCTCTATAATCATTTTTGCGAATTGTATTATCAGATGCAAGAGAATAAATATTATAATGCACAAAGTATATGAATCTTTTAATTTAATTAGATTTAGCAGTTTTTGAAGATTTGAGTAATTTTATTAAAGAGAATAGATTTAATCATATTCCGCTCAAATCAGCTGATGAAGTTAATAATTTAAAAGATAATTCTTTTCCATGGTAAGAATATTGTGCAAAATTAATGTAACTTATTCAATTCAAAGTTAAATAAGTAAATGGCAATATATAGAATTTTTTAAAATTAAATACCTTATTGAATATTGTTGGTTATGGTTTCAATGATGAAGATGCTTACATAATATAACAATGTCTCAAACAAATTGCAAAAGATCCAAATATTTAAAGCGCACGTTTTTGGGGAAAAATACTAGCATAACAAAAGGATTACTTTGTTATTGAAGTTACCTTAAATAAATAAATAAAAGAACCATAGCCTCCTGATTGTGATGAAAAACTTAATGAATATGTTCATTATGTTACTTAAGATTGTAATACATATAGCTTAATCAATTAGTATTGGATGATTGGGCCTTATTGCCATAAATAACACGTAAATAAATGGAAGCATCTAGGTATATCACTTATGTTTTCAGCGGAAATTTAAATAAAAATATCATTTAATATCCATATTTTGAAGGAAAAGAAAAACATTTATTAAAAGCATAAATATTAAGAATAACGCATGCTAATCTATTAGCTCCTAGAGGCTTGTATAAATATGAAGATGAAACAAAAACAATAGGTTTTGAAGATGAATTTAAGATGCCTGAATCAGCTGAATTGGCAACCATGGATGCATGGGTTCATTTGCCTGCATATATTTTAAAATAAGGAAGAATAACATTCTATGAAGATCCTTCTTTAAAAGAAGAAGAATTGAATTAAATGAAAGAATCTGATCCTGAATAAGAGAGATTAAAATCTATTAAAGATGACAAACGTAATAATTGATTTTTATAATATAGCATTTGAATAAAATGAAGGGAACTGGTTGATCAAGGTTTTTGGAGAAACACAGCAATATACAAATTAAGAAGAATAAGCACTAAGTTATTAAGTAGTTTTGTTAAGAAATTATTTGTGGCCTGGTGCAGTGACTATTAGCAATGTATTTAATTAATTATATAATATTTAAGTCAAATGAATACTTAAGTGTTTATTTTGGATATGGATTAAAGAATCAATAACATTCTTTTAATCCTTTAGCTCCAAAAGATGTACAAGATGACCCTGAAGATATTGATGAAGTTCCAGAACCAAATCCTCGGGAATAGCCAGATGAATTGGAACCAGATAGTGATGATGAAAGAAGAAGAGAATAGGAAAGAAGGGAAGCTGAATTGCAATAGTAATAAGAATGATATATTTATAATATATTTTTGTTTTTTATTTAAAAAAGCTCTTGGATTTATTGTTCTTTCACTAATTTTGTTGTTATTATTGTTGTTGTTATTAAATTTATTATTATACTTATGTTTATTCTTCTTGTTTTCCAAAGTTCATAATATAAAAATGTTCATTGCGTCTAAAAAATAATTAAAGATTACTTAAGCCCAATGTTTCCTCCTAAAATCCATAATTATTCACCATTATAAATATCGGCAGCATGAAAATATCTTGGAGATGGCATTTAACCATATTAAGTAGGTGTAATCCATGTATTTGTTATGAAATCAAATAAATGTAGATCATTCAATCGATTAGATTTGCTATTTCTACCACCAAAAATGCAAATTTTTGATTTAATCAAATTGGTTGTATGTCCATATCTAGGTTCTGGAGCAACACCTTAAGTTTGAATCTATTACCATTAAACATTTTCAAAGTTCAACATCCATATATCATTAAAATATTCATCTTAATTCTTTCCACAAAAAATGTACATTTTCTCATTAACTTAAATGGCAGTATGTCCATATCTAGGTTATGGTTAATTATTTATGTTCAATTTAACCCATTACATATTCTAAATGTTCATATAATAGACATCATTGTATATTAATTCAACTTCAAGATCAGGTGATAAATAATATCCACCAAATAGTATTACAAGTTCTTCTTAAGCATAAAATGTTAAACTTGCTCTTTCTCTCTCTGTCCATTTCTTATCAGTTTTTGCCAAATACCAAGTTTTAGCTGATGTCACATACACAAAATGGTCATTTAATATATTATGTTCATCGACACCACCAAAAAATAATATTTTATCACCGTATGCTAATGCATTATGATAAGCTCTTGGTCTAGGTATTTCTCCTTCAGTTTCTTCTAAATTCAATTAATGATCTCCAAAGGTTAATTTATACATTTCATTTCTACTAGGAGCCCCACCAAAAATGTAAAATGAATTTCCAATACTTGTCATTGTATGTCCATAAATGTGATCAAATGTATGATACAATAAGTCATGCTTTGTCCAATAAACATTATTGAAATCTAGTTCTTATGATTCTGTTTTATTTATCAAAACAACCATTATATTATTTTTCTTTCCAAATGAATTCTCTATGGTTGGTTAGCAACTATCATGAAAATATTGACTTCCCCTTTTAAATATGAATTCATAGCGTCCTTCTTGTAAATCTATATATGTATAATATTCATCGCATAGTTTGAATTAATTATATCGCTTTTATAATTTGATTGGTTAACTCCAATTATCCCATGATCCAATCACTTCATCAGCTACCTCAAATAGTCTTATTAAAGGTTTTGCATTTGATTCAAAGATCTAATATGCTCTTTTAGGAAGCACTTAAATCTGTAATCATTATAACTTTTACCATATTATTATATGATCCATGATTGTCATGTACAATCTCTTGATTCTATAGATATCTCCATTAATTATCTACTAAGAACTTATATTCATATTATCCAACTGCCAAATTTAAAGTGCATTTATTTCCAATTAATTTGGTCCCAACTTAGAAAAGATTCCATGATCCAAATAATAATACCTCTTTACCTTCATTAGGCCTATTCAATATTCACAATAATACCAAATAAATTTAACTGGTTGAGCAGCACAAGGTTATCTAGGATGTATATTTCCGCAATCTTAACATCGATTCATATTAATATTCATTTAATTATATAAAAAAAATAAAATCAAATGGACTGCCAAAAATTTTATCTTAATTTCAAATTATTTAATTAAATTTAGGCTAATCTATTTATCATCAAGAGATACAATTAATATCTTTCCTTAAAATAACTAAATAAATAAACTTAATTTACTTATCAATATAATAATTTGCATACGATTTTACTAGAATGCTCCATATTGATGAAACCGATTGAAATTGAATTTTAGCAGTATTTAATTCCTCTTACTTAAGTTTTTAACTCATAATTTTCTATTCTAATTTATTTTTCTATTATTCAATATCTTTAATATAATTCATGCATTAAGACATTACACTAGCTTCTCTCTATTCTGTTACAAAATAATCATAAACATCATTCATTGTATCAATTTACATTTACAACCCTCTATCGATAGAATTTGATTTCTTTCTTTAAATAACCACCTCTGATTATAAATTAAGATGAAGCAAATGCAACTCTGGAAGAATATATTTAGAAAGGTAATTAACATTCTTAGAATGTTATTCAAATAGTTTTTTAATATCTTAAAAATCGTTAACTTTTATTGATTCTAATTTAGACATTAGAAGTGAAAAATCATTACATTTTTATCTTTACTGTTCATTCACTGATTCCTTAGTTTCAAATTCTTCAAAATTCTATTTAAACCGTAAATCAATTTATTCAATATTAGTTTATTGAGTCATCTCCTTCAATTTATTTTATACATAATCCATTTCTTAATTACTATCCTTATTTGTTTTTGTTATAAAAACATTGAATTCTACTGATTATGCAAAATAAGTTATCTTGGATAATTTTATCAAAAAGTATTCAATTGCCTTCCTAATATTCTCTATGTGTTCACTTGAATAATCCTCAAAAGTTGATTTATTCATCAATGGTGGTATATACACTCCAGGCCTAAACTTTTATTATTCTGATTATTATACCATCTTAATTGCAATATTTATCTTAATTAAAATACATCTTAAAATCTTCTTATGACTTCTTGCTCTGTATTATCTACTATACGAAATTAAACAAATTTATTAGTTAGTCTCTATTATATAATTTATGGATCACACACTCTATATTACTTACCAACATATTCAAACTTACTTCTTTTTTAATTACTTTCAATTTAAGATAAATATAATTGATATAACTATGATTAATATTGAGTTTATTGCTCAACCAATGGAATTATTTGCCATTCCAAAAATTATAATTATTATTTATATCCTCCACCTATAGCACCTAATTAGTAGTTTTATTCCACTTTAAATTCCTTCTTCTCTCCATCCTTTTATCCAATTTAAATTTATTATTTGTTCGTCTATATTTCTACTCGATTTATGCCAATCTCATTTTAATACCATGTCAACTAAATAATGTATTCACTACTATCCAAAACTAATTTTTATTAATTTACTCCAAACATTTTTGATGATCTATAATATAATAACAATTATACCTATGTTCTTTACATTTTATGACAGATTGAGAACTAAATGAATAATAATAATTTTGAATCCCCAATATCCCTTAATTTGTAAAAAAGATCTTTACAGTATGAATCTTATAAGGGAATAATGTTTAAAGGTCAATTGAGTCATCGAAATATTTAAGATCTCCTTATTTGATACCCAAAATTATAAATTCCATATAATTTAAATTAATGATCTTAATAATAAAATTCAATATTCATATTATCAAATTAGATAACAAATTAAGTTATTACTCAAAACTAGAAGTTTCTTTTGTTGAAAACCTAAGAATCTTTTTCAAAATTACTTTATAAATTGAAAGATATATTAAATTGATAAAATAAATATTTTCCTATATTATTTTGTTATATGAAAAATATCATGGCAACTTTTTTAGGAAATTAGCTTTAGGTGCTTCTAAAGGATGCTAGTTATATCTAATTTTTGGTTATTCTTATTCCTATTATGTTGATTATTATTATTAAATTTATGGAGAGGTTGGTTATAATTATTAAATAGTTGGTGAATTTTAAGAAGTCTTTTAGTATTATTATTATTATTATTATTATTATTATTATTATTATTATTATTATTATTATTATTATTATTATTATTATTATTCTCTTGCCTATTAAATTATAGATATTTGCTATTATTAAGAAGACGTTGCTTATTATTATGTATTATTTGATTAAACTTAAGCTTGAGATTGAATTACTTCTCTAGGCAGAGTTTCTGAACCTAATGAAACTTAATTTCCACTTATCTTTTAAACATTAATATTAGGGCTAGCTGTCAAAGGGTTTTTCTTATCAAATATAACTACTTTTTTTTAAACAATATTTCCTTATTAATTTTAAATAGATTAAGGTTAATAATATAATGATTGAAGAACAGATAAGGAATTAATTTTTTGATTTGGCTCAATTTTCCCATCATTTTCAGCAAATTTAATAAGTTCCTGAGCCTATAGATCATAAAGCTAAAATACTCTTGCATACTTCACCAAGATATTCTTAATCTCTTATTTATCGACTCTATTTTTTAATATTTTATATTACTTAAAATTGATCATATTGAGTGTCAGAGTCAATAAATTAGAATATATTACATTTTTATCCTTAAATATTTGCTCATTTGAAAACTAAACAGTATCTTTCATTGCAGATTTATCTATTTCTGACTCAATTGTTGTATAAATTAATCCCTCCCATAAATCAATTTATCTCCAAATTTGCATAGAAATTAGACTATCTTGTAAGAAAAATCGTTTTTCATGTTCATCTATTGTGTAGATTGTTGATATCATAGTAATAATCCTTTTAACTAAAATTAATTCCCCCTCTTTTTATGATATCTCTAACAGTTTTTGAGTGAATAAATGCATATTTTTGAATCCATGAGAACTTAAATTGGAGCACCTAAAGAGAAATTAACCTATTATTTTACCCTGCTTATCGAAATGATTCAAGGATGATGCATCCTAATTCTCTAAAGAATTTTTGATCAAAAATTTCATCTAAATTTTTCTTTTGTAATTCAGGTATATTCTTCCAACCTTTTATTTACTACTCTTAAGTCTATTATATCACATGTTTTATAAAACAATAAATGCTTATAAGCGATTATTCACCATATTAATCTTTATATTTATTTACCATTTATTGAACCCCAGCTGGTTATTCGTCAGCATTTTTTGGTTTATTTTTGTTATTTACTTTTCCAATTAATTTGATTGTTACTCCTTTCAAATCATCAATAAATTCCTAATTCACTAAGAAGATATCAAAGGAATCTATATTTTCTACTTAAGCAGAAGAAGCAGTCGTTTCTCTTTTAATATTTAATCTGTGATTAAGAGAGATTTAATCTGCTATACTCCTTAAAAATGAAGAATTTAATTAAGAATTAACTTTTAAATAATTCTCTTTAGAAATTCCTATTTAACTAGAGGGTCCTGGTGCAATAGGGTCATTTTAGGGATCCAAATAAATTTCTGCCTGCTTAAAGAATTATTCGCTATCATATTAAAGATTCCTAGTTTTGGATATTTCATAAACTAATATCTTCATTACAATATCCTAATTACAATATTAATATACTTTAGCTATTGAAAATATTTGATTATATGATGTAGTCAGCTATTATATGCCATTCTATAAAGAAGTGCAATATGATTGAACAGCTTAATTATAAATTGATGCTGCTTATCTTAAAGCAGATTCATTCTCTTATTTGTATTATAATTATGAATTTAGTCTATGTTATGCTTTTGATCTCTATTCTAAGTTGCACTCTTTGTTCCAACACAATGCCTCTAATGTAATAGCTGACTCCTCATATTCTTTTGAGGCTCTTACTGTCTTCTCTTTCTGACGATCATACTTATCACAAGATATTTTGATTTCCTTATCCATTTTTAATACATCTTGAATCAATGGTTTGAATTAACTTTGGATTTATCTAAGCTCATTGATCGCTTACTCTACATCATGCTTGTACGATTAATTGAATTGCTTAGTTACAAATACCCACATACCTTATAGTACTGGGCCCTTTAATTCAGATCTACTTTCACTCCTCTCACTAAATCATCAATGTCTCCTCCACAATTTTGCATTTATCCACTTATTTTCTCCAAAGCCTTGTGATACTTTTCTTCAGCTTCAGATCGCTCGAAAAGCTGTCCCAACATAACTTCTGTTACTTTGCTTCTGTCATTTACTCTTCGATAGAGAACATCGAAATTTGTAGCTAATTATTTAATATTCATTATTATTTATAAGTTATTCCATTAAATTAATTAAATATATCAAATCAATTCAATGTATTATTAAAAAGAGAAATCTTAACAGAAGATTAATAAAACTATATGGTTTATATAATATAGAATTAACATCATTAATTTTAAATATAAAGAGTTAAAATTATAAGGGAAGAATTTCTTGAAAAGTAGATAATATAAGCAAAATACATCATTGAATTTAGAGAAATTATGAAGAAAAGAAACTATCACTTTATTGAGATTATTTAGAGTAATATTACGATGAGGATATCAAAAGATTTTCTTATTTACAATGAACCTTGGAGATTCTTTTAGCTATTCATTTAAAACAAATATTCAAATATTTTTATCATATTTTTTATAAAAATAGGTAACATGCATAAACTTTTTAAGTTATTTTGGTTACTCCTCTAAAAAATAAAATATCAGATTCTTAAAAATTTAAATTAAGTGATTTTTAATTAAAAAAAAATCTTATATTTTGGAGTATATTTTTATAGATATTAATAAACGCCATTATTAAATATTTTTTCATGCCAACCTTTTGATTATTAATTTTTATTCATTAAGAATTTCCACTTTTAAATAATTTTCATACTATTTGCAAAATTAAGGCCAAAAATCTACTTATATGATATTGTCTTTTGTCTTATCGTTTTATATATTTGAAGGATTCTAATTCTTACTCTATAATTCTATACTATTGCTTTATATATCTGAAGGATTCTAATTCTAACTTCCATTTTGTGCAACAATTTAATCTCTTTAAATAATTTAAATAGGAACAAAAATATCATAAATTCTTTGACTAAAATCTAGGCAATATTTTTTATCAAAAATAATTTTAATTAAAATTAAATGATGTGATTCTATATTTTATCCTAAATAAAAAGGTTTAATGTTTTCAAGAATATTCAAATCAATTTTTAAATTAACTTCGCAATTATTATCTAATCCAATTTAATATTTTTAAGTAAATTGTTAGTCTTCTTAAGTTTCAGTTAGTTTTTAATAGTATTAATTTTTCATTTGGGGATAGACAATTTTTTAATAAAAAGTATATTGGACTTTTGGGAATGGATGTTCTAAAAATTAACTTTATAATTTTATTTCTATTTTTTTGTTTTCAATTTACTTAAATACAGTTTAATTTAATGTTAGAGTTATAGGAATGTTAATGTTATTAGATCTTTTTAGAAATAATTAATGTTAAATTTCTTACTATAAAGTTTTTTTCTCATTATCAAAAAATAAGTCCTTTTCATTCATTATTTTTTATAATGATTCAAAATCGTACAGGGCATTGAATTAAATAGTATATTATTTTCTTTATATTTTATTATTTTCCTGATATAATAATTCTAGTTCTTGCTGAGAATTACACCTAAAATTTTAATTTTTGTAATGAATTTATGTTAAATACTCACTTATAGGGATTTTCCATGTTAAAATTTTGCCTTATTTTCTAAATTTTGAAGGAATCAAACTTTAAATTTGAGAATATCTGGTAAAGTTATCCATTGTTATTTCATCTCTTACTGATTCTCTGCATTTAATCTATAATAATAAAAATATTCTACAATAGCTAGAAACGAATTCTTGTTATAGTTCTAATCTGGACCTATTATTATTGCTCTCAGTTTCAAATATTATCTCATGTTTTTAGTATCATCTTTATATACGGACATCTAACATAAATTTGGTTGTATTTAAATATTCATTATGAATTTTTATTTTTTATATAATATTTTTATATTAAAAACAAATGCAAACATAGAATTTTAGCAATTTGCATTTGGCTATTATTTTTCAGTGGATTTATAAAATAGTAATAGTTTAATATCTAAAAAGGGCTTTAAGTTAATTAATTGTCAATAATTGAACCCTTATCATGTTTTATTTCAAACTAAGAAATTAATATTTTCAAATCAGCTTGATTGATAATTAATTTTTGTCAATGATTAATTAAAATTATAAGTTCATTTCCATTAGTTGTATTTAATAATATCAAATACTAAATTGAATTAGAGACGGATAAAAGCCTGATAAAAAATATCAAGCAATAGAATAAATTATAACCAAAAACCTTCATAGAATATAAAACCTATCTAGATGTTATAATTAAGTGCTAGAATTAATGATAATATTTTGATATTAATTTAAGGGAATGGTCTTAATATTAAAAAATATAAAAAAATAATTTGAAAATTTGAGAAAATAAATTATAAGAATTATAAAAAATTATTTTATGTTTTAATTTAAAATTTTTATATTTATCTAAATTTTGAATCATATAGAAGGAAATGACTTAACAAATTTTAGGATTAATTTCATAATTGTGATATAGTAAATATGATACAATTATTAATGATATATATGTCTAAATAATATTGATAATTATGTATAGCACTAAATCTTTGAAATATTTAAATCAAATCTTTTTATATAAATTCAATATTTGCCAAGTAATTTTATTGGTTTCGTCTATTTTTAAATCTTTAAATAAAACAATAATTTATACTTTTAAGATAATTTATATAATCTTCTGAATATGTTATTTAATCATTTTAATTAGGATCCATTTTTTTCATTTAAAATATTGTCAACAAAATAAAATTTATTATCTATTTTCTAAAGATAATATTGAGTAGACTAATTGATATACAGACAGGCAAACCAGCATAAATAAGCCATTCAAAATCCCAAAATAATTTAATAAATAAATATATTTTAATCGGATAGAATGCAATAGAATAAACTTTGATTTAATGTCTCATTAATATAAGAGTAAATCTTTTATCAATGGCATAAATATGAGTGATAGTATATCTATCAAATATGTACATAAATATATTAAAGAAAAAGCAAATTAAAGTTATTAGTGGACAAACATATATTAAACATAATCCTATTGTAATACTATAAAGAGCATTACAATTTCTACTTCTCTATGGGAAAAATGGAGGAGTTAACATTTAATTTAATTATCCTTAAAAATATTACAAATAATTTTTAAGAGCTTTTCTTGATTTTAATAAAGATGAAATAAATCTAACATGGAACATATGAAATAAATGCTTAGTTATTAATTTGTTTTAAGTAAGTGATATTAAATTATAGATTGCAGGTGGATTTTCTTTTCCATTCCATAACTCAAAAGTAAATAAATATGGAACAAATGTGACTAATAGATAATTTACAACAATTAAAAAATGCATAAAGCCTCGTTCTTAATGAGCAAATGTATTTTTTTTCGCCTTCTTTTAATTAATGATAACAGCAAGAATAGCACTAGTTGTAATTATTGGAACAAGTATTGTAAAAATATTAGTAGCTGCTTTTTCTCCTTAAGTGAGTCTTCCAGTTTCTTTGTTAGTTTAAAATTCTGGGTCATTTACATAAAGATATATAAATTCATATGCAACCATTAAAATTGCGCATGCAAAGATCATAACCACGATTGATTTGCATTTTTATATTACTCGATCTATACTTTTAGTTCCTAGATTATTCCAAAACAAACCATTAATTCGAAATGATTTTTTAACAGCTATTTTATCATTTAATTTAGGATGAACAATAAATTTGAATTTAATTTTCAAATCTTATAGAAATGTTCTTTTAAAATTAGAATGAATTAAATTAAAAACTTATTTATCAGTAAAATGAATAATTGCCTTCTTGCTAAATTATAATGAATCAATATTTCTTAACGAATCTATTGTTAATTAATTAAATTAAATATTTCCAGTTTCTTTTTATATTTTATTATTAATATCCTCAAGTAATGTTAAATTATTCTCTAATTTAGTTAAACAATTATTTTATTAAGCAAAATCTTTTTATAAACAATATTTTGTGTAATTCTATAGATTTTAAATTATTTCAATCAAAACTGCCTCTCTTATTGATGCAAACTTTATCAACTATTCAACATCATATATGTAAATTATTTCTTTGAACAATGGGTCGTTCAATTTACTAAATTTATGATATTATTACTTAGATTAAGTAGCAATTTCTTAGTTTGGGTGTTTTTCAACGCATCTTTTGATTAAAGCAAATATTTCATTAGGTGGCATTTTATGTTATAAATGTCGAACATAAATTGAATTCTTAGTTTCTGTTTGTCTATGACAAGGCTCTCTCTTCCAATATTTAATTTCTCTAATTTCACTTAAATAAATTACATATATGATATTAACAAATCATATAAAAATGGCAAATGTAGGTTAATAAAGAAAACAAAAAATGCAGCAAATCCAAAATAATTTTTTACATCATTATCTGCTTGATTTGAGAAATATTACTAAAGATTTACTATATCAATAAAGTGATAATTCTCACTAAATTCACACATTTTGCAATAATATGTAAAATTTTCATCACATTATTATTCATAATCACGCTATGGATCACAAATTTTATGCACAGTCTTCATAAAAATAATTCCATATATACAAAAGACTAAGATAAAGATTATCACTTAAAATTTCATTAAAGTGAAGTAAAGTGGAACCACAATACCATATTCATCAATCATTTATTCATAAAAATCAGAAGTGAGCCAATTAAATTATTTTTTATTGATAGTTTTGCTAGGAATATTTAAATTTAATACTTGCAACAAGGACATGCATTAAATTAGTATTTGTTGATTACTTCTTAGTTTGGACATACGTAATACGCTTATTTATGCAATTATGCTAAATTTAAATCAGGTGGATATTTGAAATAATTGGAATCACTTTACCTGACTATATCAAGTACCTTTTGAAATTGGATTTCTTTTTCCTATCCATGCTCATTTTATTAAGGTGTTGCACTAAATTACTATTATATGAGAATCTTCTCTTCATTAGTTTCATTATTGATTGTAATCATCAAGTAATACAAATTAAATTAATTAGATGAAATGAGAAAATAATAAGGTTATTTGAAATAACAGTAGAATTATATGATACCTCGATAATATTAAATATATGATTGCAAAATAAAAGTAACTAGATCTTATGTTTATTGAAAATTATTGCGATCTCCTTAATAAATATACAACAATTTTATTTATTTATGATACACTTTTAATAATTGACATTGATATTTATAAAATATTTACATTTTTGGAAGTATGGGATCATAGTGCAATAATTGTAATTGCGAAAAGGAGAAATATGTAGATATTGAGAAAGCAGTAACTAAAGATCTCTCATTATATACTTTTAGGAATATGTAGTCGTTGTTGCTACATCTTCTTAAAAATCAACATCAAAGTCGATTTAAAAAAATAAAATGGCAACTATCATTTAGAAATATTGGAGGGCTTATTTTGTTAGGAAAAAGCTGATTTACTAAAAAATAATAGAATCAATTCCTTAAAAAAGTATTAACACCCATGAAATTGTTCATCAAGAATAATTTGAATCTGGAATATCAATTAACCAAGATGAATTCTAGAGAGAAACACGATAACCTTATTAGTACATAAATAAAAATTATAAGATTCAAAGGAGGGGCAGTTTATAAAGGAGAATGGAAAGGATAAGCAAGAGATGGAATTGGTATATAAGTCTGGCCAGACGGAGCAAAATATGAAGGAGAATGGAAACATAATAAAGCTTAAGGAAAAGGAAAATTTACACATTCAAATGGTGATACTTTTGATGGGGATTGGGAGAATGATATGGCAAATGGTTATGGAACTTATTAGCATATAGATGGAGCAAAATATGAAGGATAATGGTTCAATGATAAATAACATGGATACGGTTACGAAGTTTGGCCAGATGGGTCATCTTATCAAGGATTCTTTTAAAACAGCTTTAAGCATGGAAAAGGTAAATTATAGTCTTAAAATGAGGTAAATACATATGGCCAACAGGATAATATTACGAAGGAGACTGGGTTTATAACAAATTATGTGGTTATGGTGTTCTAGTTTGGCCAGATGGTAGAAAATATGAAGGGGAGTTCTAGAATAATAATATGCATGGTAAAGGAACCTATACTTGGCCAGATGGGAGAAAATATTATGGTTAATACTTTAATGATTAGAAACATGTAAATTTACCATTTAATCAAAGGGTTATGGAATATATGAATGGAATGATGGAAGGAGATATGAAGGTGAATGGGAACATGGAAAATAGCATGGAAAAGGACTCTACATAGTTGGAGAACTTGAAAGGACAGGACAATGGCTAAATGGAAAACGCATTAAATGGGATGATGAGAAGAAAACACATTATAAAAAATGAAATTTAATTACTTAATTTTGTTATTATTCAACCATTTTATTATAATCAACTTATATTTTTCTATAAAATTTATAAGTAATAGAGAGATTTTTTTATTGCTCAAATTAGAATATGAAATTTTGTTTCCATTCTTTAATAATTAATTTAAAACGTATATTCTAATATTTTCCTTAAATTGAAGACTTTACATTTATAAAATATAATTAAACTACATCAGCAATCGATAAAACATATATAAAATCTAATTAAAAATATTAAGAAACTTCATTTGAAAATTTAAATTTAATAGTTTATTTAATAAATACAAAGCGAATTCTCCTTTTCATTATTTTTTGTATTAAATAAAATTTCCAATATAGAAAGCATTTTTACCTTATCTTTATAAATAAATATATTCATAATGGTCCTATATATATTTATTTCGCTTGATAAATTTACGCTATTAGCGATTTCCTTATATCTTATCTAATTAACCATATCTCTTATTCTAAATAAGTTATTGGGTCTGAATCTTCTGGGATAAATTAAATAATCTATTGTTTTAATTCTTTATATTTATTTAGTGGTATATCTAACAATTAGCTTATTTCCTCAAAAATTTCACTACTTCTGATATAATTTGTGATAAATTAAATTAAAAAAATTGATTTTATTTAATATTAAAGATAAGCAAAAATTATATCACATCACTATCTCTTCTTTTCACAATTATTTTCTGCAGTCATTGAAGTCTTATCATAAAGAGTAATTGTTTTTAGAGTTCTAAATCATCCTAATTATAGAGTAAAGTTTCTATTAAGGTCTTTATAAATTTAATATTAATATGATAATTAAATCATCTAAAGGTAAAACTCACTTCTGCTTTTGAATAATCTAATATTGTCCTTTTGTACCTTACGTTTTATTTCTTTATTTAGCACCTTTTTAATTATCATCAGGATATTATGTTCTTCTAGAATCTTCAACTTTATTTATTTTATTTTGTTGAGATAAATCTTGATTTTAATTTTTTATTTTTTTTGAATTTTAATTCACACTCTATAATTTTAGTGTTTATTTTTTATACTCTTCTTATTAAATTCTTAATTTATTCTAATCTTATTTTTACTCTTAAGCTAAATCATTTTAAAAGTTTATTTTCAATTATTCTTCACAATGTTTTTTACTTTTCCTAAATTTTTTAATATATTATATTACTTAATTTTTTCGAAAATTTCTTGACCAGTTGGAGGTTTATATTCCTGATTTTACAATTGTTTTAATTATTTATCAACAATTTGAGTTCCCCAAATGACTTTCTCTAAGGCTTGTTAATTAAATTAACTCTCAATTTAAACTTTTTCTAGATGAAGCTCTTCATATTATTACATGTTTTTTTGGCTAAAAATGTTTTATAAATAAAAATTGCAGATTTCCTTAACTTTAGGATGAGTATTCTTGATGATTTTCTTGTTTAAAGCCTCTTCAAAAATGGATTTAGCTCTAGTTTTACATTGATATAAAAAATTTCCTGAAGTCTTATTATGTTAAGAATATTAATCAAAATGAATTCCAAAAGATAAGTTTGCTTATAAAATTACTTTATTCATAGCTATTGGTAGGTAAGATTTATCCTTTTAATATTCTAATTATTCTATTGTTTCTTCTAGTTGACCTAATTAACATAGTGCATTTTCTAAATCTTAATAAATATAGTATTAAATTTCTCTTTATATTTAATTTTCAGTGTTTTAGACGATCTATTTTTATTGATATAAGTGTTACATTAATTTAAAAATATTCTTTAAGAAGGAATAAGGCCGTATATAGAAATTTTATTCTATTAACTTCATTTTGGCAATAGAATAAAATTAATAAAAAATTATTTAAGAAATTTATTAAATTCTTGTTTTCATTAAACTTATATCTCAATTTTCCATTAAAATAATTTCAATCTTAAATTTTCGGATTTTTCTTTATCAAAAATTAAATAATTCATTAATTAAAGGTGAAATTTGAGAACTTTAATCTTGCTTTAAATGTCTTGAAAAAACATATTCGATTTGATTAAATATTTCTTTGTTGATAGAAGTTTAATATTATATTTAAATATGAATCTATCAAGTGCCAAACATGCTCAAAAATTACTATAATACATAAATTTGATAAAGAGTATTCATAAAATCAAATTTTTAGATTTTATTTAAATATATATATATAAAGTTAATCAATTAAATTGAATTATCATTAACTATATATCAAGTTGGATATAAAATATTTTATTAAAGCAACATAAAGATAAATTAACTTATTATCTAAAATCCGAATGAAATATTAAATAACGATAATACTTTATTAACTATCATTAGAGTTAATAAAACATTCAATAATGAATTATTTTTAAAATGTTTCAATATTATAATAATATTTCTCTTGTATTTTATATCACACTTTAAATATTTTTTCATTGCAAGTATTTCTTTAGATTTTGAATTTCTTTAATTGAAATTAAATATTTCATAAATAAAACTCAGATGTCAAATACTGCTAATAAGAACGTCCCTGCTCCTAAATTGAAGAAAGAAATTTAAAATTAATCAACAACAAAGCTCACATCTTCAACCCTTAAGAAACAACCGTATTATATAATTTAATTTAAGAGTCTCATAAATCTAAAAAGCAAGCGAGCCACCTTAAAAGAAAACTGCAAACACTGACTCATTGCTTGAAAAAACTTCAGAATCAGCATAGGCTGCAAAATCAACTAAAGTTGTTCGAACTACAACAAAATCAATCACTACAAAAATAGATGATGGAAAGATTAAACAACAATCTGAATTAACAATTAAATAAGATTCAACTTTGAATAAGAATTCAAAAAAATAAACTTTAAAACCTGGAAAATAGTAAGAAAAACAAAAAGCGGAACAATAAAAAGATTAAAGACAACCTAAGGGCCCAGAAGGAGTAAAATATCAAGATGAGACAAATTCTTAGGCATCAAATCAATTTGATTAAACATAAGATATTAATAACTCGATAATAGATTAAGAATAAATTGAAGAGAATTTGAACTAAGAAACTATGGAAGTCAATAATTAGGATAGTTTTTTAAATGAAGAATAATTTGAATAAGGAAATTAAAATATTTTATCACAAAAAGAAAATATAAATTAATCAATAAATCTTGATTGTGAAGGAGATAATTTATAGTCTGTTAAATTAGATGATGCAAATATAGATGATAGTAAATCACCATACAAAGAAGTAAATTTGATTGAATATGATGATAATGATTCGAAAAATATAGAATAAGATTTAAATATGTTAGAAAAATAGGATGGTTAAGAGGAAAAACTAACTTATAATTATGAATAATCAAAAAAAAGTCTATAAGAAAATATAAATATAATCGAGTAGTAAATGACGTAAAATGTAGATGTATAAACAAGCACTAAATATTATTAATAAATAAATAATTAATAAGATGGAGAAAACAAATAAGAAAATGAAACCAATCATTAAGATTAATAATAAATTTAAGAAGATTAACAATCAAATAACTTACAATCTTAATAATAAACAGAAGATCATCAAGAAATTAAATAATAAGATGGAGAATACAAATAAGAAAATGAAACAAATCATTAAGATTAATAATAAGTTTAAGAAGATTAACAATCAAATAACTTACAATCTTAATAATAAACAGAAGATCATCAAGAAATTAATTAATAAGATGGAGAATAATAAGAAAAGGAAACCAATTATTAAGATTAATAATAAATTTAAGAAGATTAACAATCAAATAACTTACAATCTTAATAATAAACAGAAGTTCATCAAGAAAATAATTAATTAGATGGAGGATAAACACTTGAAAATGAAACTAATCATTAATAAATTTAAGAAGATTAACAATCAAATAACTTACAATCTTAATAATAAACAGAAGATCATCAAGAAATTAATTAATTAGATGGAGGATATACACTTGAAAATGAAACTAATCATTAAGATTAATAATAAATTTAAGAAGATTAACAATCAAATAATTTACAATCTTAATAATAAACAGAAGTTCATCAAGAAAATAATTAATTAGATGGAGGATATACACTTGAAAATGAAACTAATCATTAAGATTAATAATAAATTTAAGAAGATTAACAATCAAATAATTTACAATCTTAATAATAAACAGAAGTTCATCAAGAAAATAATTAATTAGATGGAGGATATACACTTGAAAATGAAACAAATCATTAAGATTAATAATAAATTTAAGAAGATTAACAATCAAATAATTTACAATCTTAATAATAAACAGAAGTTCATCAAGAAAATAATTAATTAGATGGAGGATATACACTTGAAAATGAAACAAATCATTAAGATTAATAATAAATTTAAGAAGATTAACAATCAAATAATTTACAATCTTAATAATAAACAGAAGTTCATCAAGAAAATAATTAATTAGATGGAGGATATACACTTGAAAATGAAACTAATCATTAAGATTAATAATAAATTTAAGAAGATTAACAATCAAATAATTTACAATCTTAATAATAAACAGAAGTTCATCAAGAAAATAATTAATTAGATGGAGGATATACACTTGAAAATGAAACAAATCATTAAGATTAATAATAAATTTAAGAAGATTAACAATCAAATAATTTACAATCTTAATAATAAACAGAAGTTCATCAAGAAAATAATTAATTAGATGGAGGATATACACTTGAAAATGAAACAAATCATTAAGATTAATAATAAATTTAAGAAGATTAACAATCAAATAATTTACAATCTTAATAATAAACAGAAGTTCATCAAGAAAATAATTAATTAGATGGAGGATATACACTTGAAAATGAAACAAATCATTAAGATTAATAATAAATTTAAGAAGATTAACAATCAAATAATTTACAATCTTAATAATAAACAGAAGTTCATCAAGAAAATAATTAATTAGATGGAGGATATACACTTGAAAATGAAACAAATCATTAAGATTAATAATAAATTTAAGAAGATTAACAATCAAATAATTTACAATCTTAATAATAAACAGAAGTTCATCAAGAAAATAATTAATTAGATGGAGGATATACACTTGAAAATGAAACAAATCATTAAGATTAATAATAAATTTAAGAAGATTAACAATCAAATAATTTACAATCTTAATAATAAACAGAAGTTCATCAAGAAAATAATTAATTAGATGGAGGATATACACTTGAAAATGAAACAAATCATTAAGATTAATAATAAATTTAAGAAGATTAACAATCAAATAATTTACAATCTTAATAATAAACAGAAGTTCATCAAGAAAATAATTAATTAGATGGAGGATATACACTTGAAAATGAAACAAATCATTAAGATTAATAATAAATTTAAGAAGATTAACAATCAAATAATTTACAATCTTAATAATAAACAGAAGTTCATCAAGAAAATAATTAATTAGATGGAGGATATACACTTGAAAATGAAACAAATCATTAAGATTAATAATAAATTTAAGAAGATTAACAATCAAATAATTTACAATCTTAATAATAAACAGAAGTTCATCAAGAAAATAATTAATAAGATGGAGAATACAAATAAGAAAATGAAACTACTCATTAAGATTAATAATAAATTTAAGAAGATTAACAATCAAATAATTTACAATCTTAATAATAAACAGAAGTTCATCAAGAAAATAATTAATTAGATGGAGAATAATAAGAAAATGAAACAAATCATTAAGATTAATAATAAATTTAAGATGATTAACAATCAAATAATTTACAATCTTATTAATAAGCACAAGTTTATCATGAAAATATTCAATTAAATGGAGAAAATAAACTTGCAAATGATGTCAATCATTAAGAATAATAATATATTTATGATAATTAACCATCAAATAACTAACAATATAAATAATAAACAGCTTATGTTTTACAACTTGGAAAATAATAACCTCAATAATAATATATTTAATAATAAAAGGATTAGACAACATTTACTTATTATTAATAGTAGTAGTAAGATTATAATAATTTCTTACATATCTAATAAAATAAATAATCTATTTAGGACGATAAAACTCAAAAATTAACTACTGTTTCTATCAATTCTAATTAAGTTCAATAATCTACGAACTAAAACGCTATTGATAATTTTCCTTTATCCTATAATACATCAAATCTAGAATTGAAATAAAACGACTCAAATAAAACCTGTGTTTTTATTTCAACTTAATCTACAAATAAGGATCAAAGCAATCCTTCAAAAACATTAGAAAAAAATCATCATAATTTAAATATTTCTTAAGAAGATCCTAGCTTATAAAATACTAAAGAAATATAATTTAATGATAACCCAAATTATAAACCAGGTCAAAATAGCAACAGATTTGAAAAATACAATGAAATTGAAGACTAAAATTAAACTCAAGATATGATTGAATAAAGCTAATTTTTATAGGATGATAAAACAGATTTATTATATAAAAACTAAAACTTAGTAAATGATTAGATTACAGATTATAATCTAACATAAGTTGAAGAAAATACTAATGAACAATATCAATAAAAGGATAAGAAAATTTAAAATACCCTACAAGTTAAACAAGATGATTATATAGTCGATATTAAATAAGGCAATCAGACACCATCCAATAATGTTCAAGAGAAAAAGCAATAAAAAAAAAAAACATTAATTTGTAAATGTTGCTAATTAATTTGATTTAAATGTTTATATTTATTTACAAATAAATCAAAAAAAATTATTTTTAAACTAATCACACTTTTATGATTCTAATCTATTCTAAAAAAAAATTGTATTTTTATTGATAAATTTATAAAACGTTAACTATTTTAAAAAATTAAAATTGATTTAAATATTTTATAGGATATGAAAATATTATAAGAAACTAGAAATTATCTATAGAAGATAGGCTTCTATTATGATATCATCATGAAAGGCATTTCCTAAATCTTGAACAATTTTATAAAATATAAGTACTCTTGAATAAATAAATATTTTGTTTAAAAAGAAGATAAAATACTGAAAAGTTAAAAATGCAAAAAACCTAAAAAATACAAAATATTGTTTAATTATTATTAAAATAAAACTTAAAATAAATATTATGTTTCAAATTTATAACAAATATTGAATTCTATTTATTACTTTCTAATGTGCGATTAATTTACATTTTATGAAATTTTCTAATGTTTCAAAGCAGCCAGCTTAATTAAAATTTATCCCATGCCATCTATAGTATATTTGTTTAAGGATATCTTTTTCATTATATTCAAAATGCTAAGGGCATAAGAAGTTTGTTGAAATATATGGATCAAGGCAGTCTGGTTCTGTTTATATTTTAATTTCAAACCCCCATAAAAATGCACAAAATAAATGCATTTACTTATCACATTCCCTACATGACAACTAAACTCCAATTTTTTCCTCACAAATCAAACAAGGACTTTAGGATTATTTAACTATACCTTTTTTTAGTTTAAACTATGTTTAATTAAATTCTAATAATCCACATAGTAAAGCACAAGTTATATGAACCCAATATTAATCAATCTCTCTTAGAGGTATTCCTGTATAGTTTTTTTGGCAAATATAACAGACCTATGAATTGTTTTAAGATTTGCACTGATCACAATTTTCAAATTAATCAGTTGTGTTGTAACAATGTTTATGAAAAGTTGCTAAACAAGTGCCACAGTATGATAAATCATTATTACTATCCAATTAAATTAATTAATAATTAAAACAGACTTTACAACATGTTTCTCTTGCTAATTCATCCTTTTAGCCCTATTTTAATTAAGAAGGGTTGCATTTTCCGAAGAAATTATCTGTTCTTAAACTACTTAATAGATCTATTTTTTTTTTAATAATTATTTAATGTTCTTCATCTGTTATTTATTTCATTCCCAGCCTGATGTTTTTCAATAATTAATAATATCGCAGTTTGTCTAATTAAATATGTCCTTACTTGCTAATAGATACTTTTGCCTACTCTTTTATAGACTACTAATTCAAATTATTAATATCTATTTAATTCTAAACTTTCAATTTTTCGAGTTCATTTTCATAATATTTCTCAAAATATTAATCCACATATACTTAACTATCTTTTTCATTTGAAAATTAATCAAAAACAGAATTTTCTGATTGCCTTTATAATTCTATAACTGTTAAATTTTCTAATACTAATTTTTAAGAGGATCTGTCATAAATATCCTCATCATTTTCTGATGTATAAAATTTATTTTTAAAGATTTAGAATTTAAAATTGTATTCTTAATCTTCTTAAAACTTTGGTTCGTATAATTCATCATCTTGTAGACTATATTCAGCATACATTATGTTACCATTTCTAATTTCATAAAGCACTTTCAAATATTCTTGAAATTGTTTATCAGTATCTTTTATTTTTTTGAATTTTTCTATTGCTGAGTAGATATCTTATTTTGGATTAAAATATGTTTCTTCAACCTTATTCCACCATCCTTCTAGGTTTTCTTCCCAGGCTTCTTCAGGTTATGGATAATAAATGATTTCATGTTAAGCTTAAAGGGCCCTTGTTGTTTCATTTTTTCTACGATTCTTTGTTCTATTTTGCTTTTATTAATTTTTTAATAAAAAATTTAAAAGTTCTGTGGCAGACATGCTTGAATAATCATCAATTTTTGTTTATTTAGATTTTTGTTGTTCATTTTCAATCATATCAGCATTAGGTATTTATTTTTATTTTATAGGCTCTTTTTAAAGTTATACATTTTTTCTAACTTCCAAATCATTATCATTTATGGGATTATTATTATTATTAGAATTAATAAAATTATCCATAATATTATTTTGATTATTAACAACATTATCATTTTTTATATTATTATTAGTATTATTAGTTTTTACACTTTTAAAATTATTAGAAACACTTTTATGATTATTATTACTATTATAATTTATTTGATTAGTATTATTATTTGATTATATAGAAAGTATTTATTGATTATTTTAATTTGATATTTCTACTCTTTTATCAAATAAATCCATTTTTTTTTTAAGCATTTATTACATTTCTCTTAATTCTTTCATTTCATCCTTTTCTTATTATTCTTTATTATTTTTTTATTTTTCTACTACTTCTCTATATTAATTTCTTTATTCAACATAATTTGGAATAGTTGGAATACTATTTTTTTTTTCTCTTACAAAACTTAAAAGTTAATCAAGAGATACATCACCATTTTCTTAAGTTTATTAATAAGTTTTTTGTTCTTCCTTATCAATTTCGATTTATTCTGTTTTTATTTTTGAAAAAGTGTTATTAACTTTAACATTTTGTTCCTATACTTTTTAAACTTGTTTAACCTTTTTTTTTGGTTTTTCTATTTTATTAATTTCAATCCCATCTTCTGTTATGATGATTTCTTCCAAAATTGATTTTTTAATTGGCTATTATTATTGTTCTTCTTCATCTATAGCAACTAGCATTTCTTCCTTTCTTTTGGCTTAATAATCTATTTAAAACATCGGTCTTGGACCAAACTCATATTAGGATTTAAAATCTTTGCTTATATCCCAAAATTTCTATCTCTTCTTTTCTTATTCAACCTTTGTTTCTTTTTTTTAAACTTTCAATTTTTTAGTTAAGTCTTCATCCAATCTTTTGAAGGAATTTTAATCTAATTTTTCTCCAATTGTCTATAATGGATCATCAACAGAGACTATTAAATATTTGCTTTCTCCTCGATAAGGCTCTTCTTATTTAATATGGATATTTTCTATTACTAAATTATAGGCTATAGATTCCCATTGATTCCAATCAGCTTATTGTTCATTTTTATCAAAATGTTAATTACAATAAAAATTGATCCTAGCTTTAGTGCATGTAATTCTTTTTTTAACCTAAATTATGCAATCTATATGATAAAGCATTTTGCATTTATAATGAGAACAATTAATTGAAGCTTTCTTTTGAGCAGCTTACACATTATTTAAACCTTAATCACAAATAGAACAATCTATAAGTTATTTGCTTTTGTGTATAGAATCCAATCCAAAAAATATATAGTCTGTAACGCATTTATCTCTTGCTAAATAATATTTCTCCTAAATTATTTGAACATTCTATAGAAAAAACACTATGCATCCTAAATGACAATATTCTTTATAGTTTTTCTTTAGAAATTATCTTTTCTCTTCGACTCTCTTTAATTCAAGGTATGTTTTTCTATATCTATCCAATAAAATTGTATATAATTTCTCCTCCTTTTTTCTTCCACAAATCGAACACAAAACCATAATTAAATATTGGGTATCAAATTCTAAAAGGATTTTTTTCCTATTCAATTTTAAATATACGGCAAATATTATCTAATTATAATATAAACCTCATACACCCCAAACCTTGAATAATTCAAGAAAACTAAATGGGTCTTGTTGTTTTTGCATATAATTTTGAATATATTTTTATTCAAATTATAACTATTTAATTTTTGGATAAGTAGAATGAAAAAAATGATTGAATTCTCTTATCGAAACATTTGATTTACTTTGTAATTATTCTATTTGGTTTTGAAATTTTTCAAATATTTCACTAATTATCATTTTATTATCTAAAAAGTTGTCATAATTTTATAGATATCAAAAGTATTTGTTGGACTTAAAAATAAATAAATTTAGATATTTATACATAATGATTTTGGATAAATAGTTTTAATATGATAACAATGAGATAGAATTTTTATTATTATTTAGTTCTTTGAAGGGAGAAACTAAATATTGATAACTAGCTTCCTTCATTAAATAAGATAAATCATTAGGTTAATTCTCTAATAAATAAAATTTTAAATTACTTAAAAATATAAAGGTTATTGTATATTAAAAAATAAGTTAAATATACATTCGCCTATATAATTTAATTAGAAATTCTTAATGACATTTTTAAATATATATAATTGATTGAATATTAAAATGTAGTATAAAAGGTATCGATCAAAGTTAATATAGATATCCCACCAAATAGAAGTAATGATATTTTCCTTAAAAGTGAAAAAGTGGGATTTTCTTTATAGATTAAAGTAAGTTTCATATTAAAATTTGACAATTTGTTATAAATTTCAGAAACATTTTCTGTTAACGATTGAAGGGCCGAATTCATCATATTCTGATCGTGTAATCCATAGGGGTTAGAATGTAGATAATGTCGATTAGATAGACCCTCCAATCCAAACTGAAAATCTCCTTTCAGGGGGAGCAATCACTTAAATCTTTATTGATGATGGTACCAAATTTGCAATTTCTTTACTCAACCTCTCTTATATTCCTGGGAAAAGAGTGGTACCTCCAGATATTACAATATTATTGTATAGATCCTTTCCAATATCAATGTCGCATTTCCTAATAGAAGAATGTGATAAATAATGTATTCCTGCTACTTCTAAACCTATTATTTAAGGTGAAAATAAGATTTCAGGGCATCTAAATCTCTAATTTTAAATTATCAAAATATTCCCATCAGGCAATTTATATGGTCTATTTTAAGAATTGCTTTTTTTATATATTTTCTCTTCTTCTATTGGATCTAATGCTGTGTAACAAAGTGTCTCTTTAATATCTTAAACAATTTCTCTTTTATCTGATTCAGTAAATGATTAACCTAATTCATTTAGAATTAGTGATAAATAATCTGTGCATGTTCTACCTGCCAAATCTATTTTAGTAATAGCTTGAGGCATTTAATAACCTTCAAAAATTGGTATAGTAAAGTTTCCTTATATATTAATACACAATGAGTTACTCCATCTCCTGAATCAACTACTAATCCTATAGTTCTGCCAGATGCATAAAGTGATAAGACAGCTTGATTGGAAACATAAAAGGATGGAACATTAAAAGTTTCAAACATTATCTATATCATTCTTTCTCTATTAAATTTAGGATTCATTGGAGCTTCAGTGAGAAAAATAGCTTAATCCTCAGGAGATACACATAATTAATTGTAAAATGCATGATGCCAAATTCTTTCCATATCATCCCAACAATTTACTATTCCATTTTAAATAGGTTATTTTATATTTAAAATTCCTCTTTTGACTTGTGCTTCATCTCCAACATAAACATCTCTGTTTTGTATTGAACCAATGACATCTTTTTATTTTATTCTTCCTACAATAGTTGGAAAACAACTTCTTGGTGCATCTTCACCTGCTCTACCTATTTTACAATAACCAGAACCATTATCTATTACAACTGCTGGATATAATATTGACATGAGATTTTAGACTTATTAAATCGAATATAAAATTATTTAGGTTGATATTTTCATGAAATTATAAAAAATACATTTTATAGCTTCAGATTAGATTATAAATTATAGTTATTATTACATCTGTATTTAATAATAGCCATTAAAATTATATTATTAGCATAATCAATAAAAAATGTAATATTCTAATTCATTAATCTTATAAATGACAGTTATCAAACTATAAGCAAAAATATTTCCCAATAATTTTATAGGTGATCTCATTAATTATAAATGATAATTTATAGTGATATGAAATTATTAAACTGGAACTTTTATACTTAAAAATATAAAATACATATAGTTAATTAGGATGATAGTAGAATCAATAAATTATAAATCAGAATTTCTAGAATTAAATAAAAAAGTATTAAATTTTATAATTTAAATTAAATTATATGTCTAAGAGTCTATTGATTATTTTTGTCTTACTAATCTCATTAAAGACCATAGCAGCAGAAGAAATTGATCTTAGCTTAATTCGAGTCCCTAATTGTACTTTTACATAATATTTTTAGATATTACACAAGAAGATGACATTTAATTATATAAAATAAGAAAGCAGCAATTAGAGTTCTAAAAATCAAAATATATGAAAATGAGTAAGGAAGAGAGGAAGAAAGTAGAATAATAAAGTTTAGCATTTCAGAAATGGGAGAATGATTTAAAAAGGAAATATTAATATAAAAAAAGATAAGACGATTTATGAGTAATATTATTTGAATTTGTATCAATTGGGAAATAATACATTTTACAATATGTACTTAATTATAATCATTCTATTTTTGTTTTCATTTTTAAGGTTTTAAATAAATATCCATTTCAATTTGCCTTTTGTGTTATCTTCTTTTGACTCATCATTTTTAATTATTATAACTAAGATCTCTTTTCCATATGTGTTTAATTCTATAATTATCTTTTTTAGATTAATTTAAGTTATATGATATTTATTCATAGTTCAATATCGATAACTTTCTTAAAGTATAAATTTACTATAAGTTTGGATCTTTTCATTTACCATCCTAAAGAACCAGGTTTACAATAGTATAAAAAACTATCTTACTTAATTTCCTTTTTCATTTTAGTTTCTTTAATGGTTTAAATATCAATTCAATTAGTTTTTGCTTATAGTTCTTAGATTTTTATGCTAATCACTATTTTAGCTTAATAATATACTTGCATAAATGTTACAAATTTATTTTATTAGAATATCATTTAAATATAATTGTTTAATTATGCTAAAAATCATAGAGTAATTCACCAATAAGAATATTATAATTAAAATTTCTATGATAATAATAAAATAAATAAAGTTTGTATTTTATTTAAGTAATAATTCTTTACTAATGATTCATCTATACATCTTAATATTTATTTATGAATTTAGAATAGAAATAATACCATCCGATTAAGATAGCATTTACTCTAATTTAAATTTCATAATTTTACATTTTCATATAAAATGAATTTAAAAAAATAAGATTTTTAGAGACCAATAGATGAATAGAAAATGATTACATAATGCGTAGGAATTTAAGGGTCCATAAAACATATTGTTATAATTTTAAATTCCATCTAACTTAAATTGTTTAATCAAATTTTTACAAATAAAATTATGATAGAATCTCATCCTCCTGTTGTAATTGAAAATTCTTCATGTAATATAAGAGCTGGAATTGTAGGAGAAGCATCCCCTAGATGCTGTTTTCCAACTCGAGTCCTAAAAGTGCAAGATTCTTAAGCGATTAAATTTTTAATTGGCAGTCAGATTGAAGAAAACTAAAACAATAATTAACCTTGTTATCCAATTTAAAATGGTTATATAATAGATTGGGAAGCTATGGAATAGATTTGGAGATATATTTTTGAGGTCCAATTAAAAATTTCACCTTCTAATCATCCTATATTATTGACAGAAGCACCTAGAAATTCAAAAATGAATTAAGAAAGGATGACAGAGATAATGTTTGAAAATTTTGACGTTCCTTTTCTTCATATTTCAAATCAAACTGTGCTTTCATTGTATTCATTAGGGAAAACTACAGGTGTGATTTTAGATTCAGGTGAAGGTACCACATATTGTGNACTATAAGTTTGGATCTTTTCATTTACCATCCTAAAGAACCAGGTTTACAATAGTATAAAAAACTATCTTACTTAATTTCCTTTTTCATTTTAGTTTCTTTAATGGTTTAAATATCAATTCAATTAGTTTTTGCTTATAGTTCTTAGATTTTTATGCTAATCACTATTTTAGCTTAATAATATACTTGCATAAATGTTACAAATTTATTTTATTAGAATATCATTTAAATATAATTGTTTAATTATGCTAAAAATCATAGAGTAATTCACCAATAAGAATATTATAATTAAAATTTCTATGATAATAATAAAATAAATAAAGTTTGTATTTTATTTAAGTAATAATTCTTTACTAATGATTCATCTATACATCTTAATATTTATTTATGAATTTAGAATAGAAATAATACCATCCGATTAAGATAGCATTTACTCTAATTTAAATTTCATAATTTTACATTTTCATATAAAATGAATTTAAAAAAATAAGATTTTTAGAGACCAATAGATGAATAGAAAATGATTACATAATGCGTAGGAATTTAAGGGTCCATAAAACATATTGTTATAATTTTAAATTCCATCTAACTTAAATTGTTTAATCAAATTTTTACAAATAAAATTATGATAGAATCTCATCCTCCTGTTGTAATTGAAAATTCTTCATGTAATATAAGAGCTGGAATTGTAGGAGAAGCATCCCCTAGATGCTGTTTTCCAACTCGAGTCCTAAAAGTGCAAGATTCTTAAGCGATTAAATTTTTAATTGGCAGTCAGATTGAAGAAAACTAAAACAATAATTAACCTTGTTATCCAATTTAAAATGGTTATATAATAGATTGGGAAGCTATGGAATAGATTTGGAGATATATTTTTGAGGTCCAATTAAAAATTTCACCTTCTAATCATCCTATATTATTGACAGAAGCACCTAGAAATTCAAAAATGAATTAAGAAAGGATGACAGAGATAATGTTTGAAAATTTTGACGTTCCTTTTCTTCATATTTCAAATCAAACTGTGCTTTCATTGTATTCATTAGGGAAAACTACAGGTGTGATTTTAGATTCAGGTGAAGGTACCACATATTGTGTACCAATATATGAAGGATTCTAATTAAGACACTAGCTTTCAAGATTGGATATAGCTGGTAGTAACTGCACTAATTATATGATATAATTGTTAAAAGAAGAATTTCTCAAAATGTATACTCCATTTTAAAGAAATTAAATAGGAAAAGCTATTAAAGAATGTTTATGTTATGTAGCATTAGATCCAATAGCAGAAGAGAATAAATATTAAGGAAATACTTCACATAATAGTTCATATATTTTACCTGATGGAAATAAAATTTAAATTAAAGAACAAAAATATTAATGTCCAGAAATTTTATTCAATCCTAATAAGGCTGGATATGAATTACCAGGCATTCATGAAATAACATATTAATCTATATCTAAATCTGACAGAGATATTCAACAATAACTCTATAATAATATTGTTATTACTGGAGGAACAACTCTATTCCCTGGACTTTAAGAAAGATTACTTAAGGAAATTGAAAATTTGGTTTAGACACCATCTTAAACAAGGGTAATTGTACCTCCAAATAGATTAAATTCAACTTGGATTGGAGGATCTATTTTATCTACATTAACGAATTTTAAACCATTTTGGATTACAAAACATGAATATGAAGAATTCGGACCTAAAATTGCTCACATTAAATGTTTTTGACTTGTAAAAATTAATAATGATCTAACATTTGTAGAACTTATTATTTATTAAACACTATATTACCAAATTAATAATTATATTAAATTTCAAAAGCATTTTATTTATACTATATTTGGTCCATATTCATCATAATCATTTCTAGATATCCATAAATTTGAATTTTAAGCTAAATTTGCTATAATACATCCACCAATCCAAGCAGAAAATTTTTAGCTTTTAGTTATATTCAATTATTCAAAATATCTTTAATCGCTAATTTTGTTAAATTCAAATATAAATCGTTCTGAAAATCCACGAATAAAAGAATTACCTCCAGATATCATTGTATTTCTTAATAATGATATTTTCAGATCTGATTCAATTTACTCAATACTATTTAAAGCTAACTAATGATATCCAAGACTAGTATTAAAATATAAATTTGGATTGAATATAATTTAAGGTGATTATAAGATTTATATTCCAAATTTTAAAGGAGAACCATCTGGTAATTCATAAACAATTGGTTTAAACGGATCTTATAATTGATTCTGTAATTCTTATTATGTTACTTATGTAAGATAGCAATACTATTCTTTGATATAATCTAAAATTTCTAGATTTTCTATTCTTTTCTAATTTGACTGTGTCAATAAATGATTTAAGTAAATTGAACAAGATTTACCAGCAATATTACAGAAATTATCTTTAATATTTAATTTATATCCTTAATAGATAGGTACAAAATAAGTTGTATCATTACCTGAGTCAACAATAAATCCTGTTGTATTTCCACTAGAAATTAATGATAGAATTGATTATATTTATATAATGAATTTAGATATATTGAAAGTTTCGAACATAATTTAAGTAATTTTTTCTTTTTCTTTTCTTATTGTATTTAAATATGATGTAATTAGAATTGAAGAATCGTCAGGATTAGTATTTAAATAATTATAAAAAGCTTTATGCCAGACAGATTCCATTGTATCAAAATCTACAATCTTACTATTTTATATAGGATATTTAATTAAGTAATCTTCTTCTGAAATTTGATTTCTCGAATCTAATAAACTTAAAGTTTACATTTAAATCTAAGTACTGGACTTGGAAAAGAGTATTTAGGAATATTATCTGATGAATAGCCAACTCTGCAAAAAGCGGATCCATTATCAATTATAATAGAATGTGAATAGATATTATTCATGTTATAATAAAAAATGGAATGAGCAAATAGGTTTTGAATAACTAATAATTAATTTATTTATATGATTCATATTCCATCATCAATAACATCCTCTTCTTAGAAATCATCGTCATTTTATTCTTATTATTTTCCATAAGGTTATTTCTTATTTTATTATTATTACTATTATTATTATTGACTACCTACTTTTTATTTCATATAATTCATAACTTTTTATATCTAAAATAAATAAAAATTATACTAATTCTTAATCCAGATAAGGATTTAGTACAATAGATTTCTTCTACATCTTCTACATTTCTTCATAGGCCTTTTCATATTGATTTTAAGAATAATAATATTCTATTAATTCAGCAAATATATCTCCCTATCTTACTGCATATTCGATATTACTCTAATACTTTATTAAAAATATATACATCATTTAATAATTTATAATAGAGTTATAACATCTCTTATGGTGACTTCTACTTTGCTTAAACAAAATCAGAGATCAATTTCAATTTCTATTATAATTATTATGTTTTCTATTAGTTAGTAGATTTATCTGAATATTTAATGGCTTCTTTTAAAGCAGCACAAGCCTTTTCATAATCTCTATATTCATCAATTTCAACTGATGAACAGGCTTCAAAGAAATTAGCTAAATGGTCAAATGCTTTGGCTTTGTTGTAGAATTGTATAATATGTTTCATAAGTTCAGGTGTTTTATGCCAATCACCAGTTTGAAGATAATTACCAGCTAGAATATAAATTTCAGCCATTCTAGCATTATTTGCAAATGCAATAATTTTTTCAACATCCCCCAATTTACAAAGTGCTTTCATAGCTTTTACTCTTTCCCCCATCTATATATACATTTTTGAAGCTTATTCAAAATTGCCCATCTTTTTTGATTTCTCAGCAATAAGCAATTAAACTTCCTTTTTTCTTTTATCATCTAAACCATCTAACAATTATTTAACAAGATCATCAGTTATTTATAAACCCTAATTATCACACATTTCTAAAACTTTCTCAAATTATTTTTTATTAATTAAATCTTATAAAGATCCTGGAATTGGTGCTTTATCCTTTGATTAAGTTGGTTATTATTATTGCTATTATTGATTTGATAATTTTTGTTATGATGGAGCTTCTTTTAATGAGCCAGTATTAGTGAATGTTAAATCTACTGTTTCTTATTTTTGAAGTGATATTTCTTAATTAATTTTTTTAACATAATCAGTCAATTTTTCTTTTTAAGCTAGATACAATGCTTTTTATAATTACCCTCCTCTCATGTAAAGTAAAACTGCTTTATCAATAATTTTCTTTTATTCAAAATAAATAGCTGATTAAATCATAATTAATTTAGGTGCTTACAATGATATTGCTGTCACATCTGAAATTAAATTGGCCTCCTTTGCCAATCTTATTGCTTCACTATAGTATTAAGCCTTTGTATAATATTAAATGGCTTCTGGGATAATGTTTTTAGCTTCTAGATATTTGGCTAAGTAATAATGAGCTGCTGGATCATTCTTATCATTACAAGTCTCTTTGGCATGTCTTAAATTATCTTAATGTAATAATAATCTAACAATTCCCAAAGCATCATTTGCATCTCTGTAAAATTTCATTGCTTCTTCATATTTTTCCTCTGACTCTAAATGATTACCCCACCATTTATAAAGTATAGGGTCTTTCTTTTATAAAACATATCCTTCCAAATATTATAATTCATCGGCCTCATAAAACATTCTAGGTACTTCTTTTTATGCATTTCCAGATTTCTCATAATATAAGATTGCCTTATCCCAATCTTTAGATATTTCATATTGTTTGGCTAATTTGTAATAAGTTGATAAGAGATTAATTCTATCATGTTTTTCTGCTATTTCTAATGCCTTTTCCCATTACCCTTATGCCTAATATAATTTATTAAGTAAATCATATCTCTTGCATTAATAATATAGTTTTTCAGCTTCTGAGATCATATTTAATTGTATAGCAACCATAGCTAATTAAGCTTCAAATTCTGGTTCCTTCTTTGTTTCTCTTATTGCTTTAGCACCTCTTGCAAATCTCATATTTCCTATACAGATTTCAGCAACATCCAACCTTCTGGTTTTAACACTCATCTACGCCATTTTTTCCCATACAGTTGGATTTTGAATAGCCTTCACAGATTTATAGGCCTCATCCAAATTACCACAAGATAAATGATATGAGAAATTAATAACAGCTCTTTTAGTTGGTTCATCTGCTCTTTCTAAACCAGTGAAATCATTCATAAGGATATCTTAAATTCTGTATTGTTCTTTTTTCTAAACAACCTTACTATCATTTTTTTTAGAATTATCTTAATTTTTGTTTGATTATTCTTTTATCTTAATAACATTACTATCATTCTTAAGGTTATCTTAATTTGTGTTTTGATCTTTTGTTTAAACAATATTATTATCATCAACAGGAATATCTTTTCTCTAAATAACACTAATATGTGGAATACGAATAGACAAAACTCCCTCTTATTTTTCATCAAGTACATAACAATCTTATTCTTTAATACCTATCTATGGATTGAAGAAGAAAGTGAAAAACTTTTTAGCTCTAAAATCAGTTTATTCTTCTTCAACATCATTTTCACTATTTGTTTTGATTTTAGTGCAAATAGTTGTTACACCAAAGAATCTAGGATCTGAATGATCCCACATAATCTAAATAGCTTTTCTATATTTAGGTAATTCAAATGATTAAAAGTTATTGTTCTCTGAATTGTAAACAAAAAATAAATCATTTTGATTTCCATGATTATCTGCTATAATGGCAACATTGGTTCCATCACAATTAACAGCACATTATTTAATAGTACCTAAAGAACCTTTGTCATTTTCAAATTTGCAATTAAATCCTTAAAGTTATGCTTCCCTTCTGCTAAAATCATATAATCTAAAATAATTATTATGTGTCCATATAACCATAGTTTTATTGTTAAATTCATAATTTGCTATAGTTCCATCACTTTCTGAAAAATCAACAAAATATTTTTAAACTCCTTTAAAGTTTGTTACTTCAAATTTATTTTCATAAAATAATATAAGATCTTCTTAAAATAGAGCAGCTTTCACACATTTCTTATCGAAGGAAGATTTACTTAAAATTTAAGTATTATCTAAATAGGTTAATTAGTATATTACTTGTAAATTCACTAATTTCAATCTTATTTGCACTTTAAATCAAAAGATATTATTGAGTGCAATCAATTGATTTAATAGGAAATTTGCTATCCCATAAAAACATCGACCAAGGTCCTTTATCTTGATTTTAGGAATCATTTTTAAAATAGATTAAAATTTTATTATGCTCTACTTACAAAACTCTAACATTCTCGTTTATTTTTCCATGAACTAAAGATTCTTAAACTATTTTAACAGAATCTGCAGACCTTGCAGCAATTAATCCACTGTTTTTGCCTATAGCAATTTCATTGATTGTTTTATTATGATTAATAATTTTTAATGCTTTCCACTATTCACTTTCAACAGGAGATTCATCTGTTAATGAAAAGTTTTTCCAAAATACTAATCTACCTTCTTTAGTACCTGCTACTAAATTCTTAGATTTCTTGCTATATTGAACACATGTAATTTTATCATTTAATATCTTATCTTAAGGAAATAATTCTTAAAACTCATGCAAAGTAATAACATAATTTTCATCAGCTTCTAATTAAAACATTCTAATCATATTTTCATTTGATGAAATTGCTATTAAACATTAACCAATCCAAACCGATTATAATGATTCTGACTCTCCTGCTATTGATAATTTAACTTTTTTGTCTGGCTATGTCTTTTCACTTGTACTTATTTTAAATTAAACTAAAAGTAGACCACTTGTGATTATAATGACTGAATTATATTTCTCATATATCATCAAACATTTAATACTACCTACAACTTTACAAACTTCTGAACAATGTTTACTATCATCAGCCAAACATACTAATCCTGACTTACCACCAAAAAAGAATAAATTTTAAGCTTTGATGATATTATTCAAATCAGCAAATATACAAATTGTTTATATACCTTCTTTTTGGTAAGTACACATTGGTGTTATTCCTCTCCATACTACTACCAGACCTGTTATATCTGCACTAACCATTCTAGATCCATTTGTGTTATATTGAATTAAATTAATTTCTTCTTTATGTACAGCTGATTCCTCCTTAGCTGTACGTGTATCCTCTGACCATAATGTTATTGTACCTAAATTATATTTTGTAAAATCTACCATTCTACCATCCTATAGCTAATTGTTGCTGAGTAGGATGCCATGCTATTGCAGTCGGTTTCTAATTACGAGCCAATTCATAATCAAATTTCTCTCCTTAATCATTATACAACATCACTCTAGCTATTGTACAAATAGCTATAGATGGACTAATAGCACTATGTGATACAGACATCATTGTTATTGTTTCCTTTTATATTGAAATTGTATGTTCACTCAAAATTGACATTTTTAATATTAAAATTCAATTTTGAATTCTCTTGCTAACAAATCACTCAATCTCATTACTTCTTTGAATTATAAATAGTAATAACTCTACTTTTAAAAATTTAAATAGAAACCTATAATTTATCCTCCAATTAGTTTTCTTCATAAATCATAAGAGAAAATTTGTTTTCAAATTCTTGCTAATTAACACAAAATTTACTTAGATATAAAAGGGAAATTATGATGTTAAAGAAAAACAATTATATGAATTTTAGAATAGAAAAATCTCATTTATCATAATTAAAATCAAGGATTACATACGAATCTAATGATGGTTGTTTATCATATATATATTAGCTATAATGTAGAATAATTAAATAAGATATGAATTGATAAAACATAAATTATAACAAACATATATTTTATTATTTTTTTTCATATTTAATTCAATTTAATTATTTATTTATTTTGGAAAATCGTTAATACAAATAAATAAATTTATATTTGTAATAATTGTTAAAAGTATTTATAACAATTAAAAGTATTTAATTAAATACATAGTAAAGGATTCTTCTATATAGATGTCAAAATTACAAATATTATTCTAAAATGAGAAGATACACTCTTTCTAAAAGATTTGTTTGTTTGGAAGATTTATACTCTCCAAAATAGCATTATAACATGATTATTGTGTTGATATGTGGGGCCTCTAGTTGTATATTACCAAACATTTTATTTTTAATGATATTGAAAAATGAATTATTTTTATAAAATGTAAAAAATAATTGTTCCTTTTTTAACTCTGAATAATGGCAATAAAATTCCATAGATTGGTTATGGTACTTACTAGTGTAGTGGAAAGGAATTAGTAGAAGGAATCAAATATGCTTTACAAATGTAATCAGATTTATTATTATCATTATACTTAGCGGGTATACTCATATAGATTCTGCTTCTTATTATAAAAATGGCTTAGATATTAGAGTTCCTAAAAGAGAAGATATTTTCATCACTTCTAAGATTGCCCCATACGAATAAGGATATGAAAATACTTTAAAAACTTGCAAAAAAATCCTATAAGATTTGGATACAACTTACCTTGATTTATTATTAATTCATTGGCCAGGTTCCTCTGGTAATTAACCTAATAGTCCTAACAATGCCACTGTGAGACTTTAAACTTATAAAGCTTTAGAGTAATTATTTTAAGAAGGATTAATTAAAAATATAGGTGTTAGCAATTTTTTAAAACATCATCTTGAACATCTTTTGTAGAATTGTAAAATTAAACCTGTTATCAATCAAATAGAAGTACATCCCTTATGTTGGGATTAAGCTACAATTGAATTTTGTTAATAACAAAGTAATGTTAAGTAATATCTAATTTAGACATTTTAATAGAAGCCTATTCTCCAATTGCTAGAAATGACCCAAAATTAATTTAGAATTAAAAAATGATAGAGCTTTCAAAGAAATATAATAAAAGTGTTGCATAAATTAGTCTAAGATGGGCTGTTCAAAAGGGATTTATAGTATTACCAAAATCAAAGACTCCAAAATATATAAAAGAAAATTTTGAGATTTTTGATTTTCAAATTTTGGAAGATGATATGAAAATTATTGACAAACTAAATCAAAATTATCATACTTGTTGGGATCCTAGCACAGTTATTTATTGAGTTATTATTTATTTCTTAAAAAAATGATTGATATAGTATAAATGATATTTATTTATTGAGATATTTTTTTTAAACAATTGAAAAAAGAACTCAATTTCTTGGAATAACGAATAGTATTAATAATTAAATTAAATGGTGAGACGTGTGATTGTTTTATTACTATTAGGAATAGTACTTGGATTACAACCATATGAAGCTGATTTTTTGATGTTTGATTAAGATGGGGATTAAATGCTTAAATATGATGAATTAAGAGCACAATTTCCATCTTAGAATCCATATAATACAGCTGATTTTGTTGCTTAATTCTTTCTAGATTATGATTCAAATGGAGGTATATTTCAATAATCATATTGTTATTTAGATAAAATCATTGAATTCAAAGAATATTCAGCCAAAAGAGAATAATAAAAATTAGAATTAGAATAATAATAACAATCAATAAGTTCTATGTATCATGATGATTTGTGAATTTTTAACAATATTTTAGTTTATGCAAACACTTTACAAAATCATATTTATTTCATTTTAATAATAATATCCTCTCACTTTTACTAATTTTATTTTAAATATATTTACTATATATAAATATTAAACATAGTTGAATAATAATTATATCTAAGACATATACAATATTTTTATTATTTCAATATAAAATTGATACTCAAAATGATATTAATGAAAAGATTTTTCTTAATAATCTTTAAGCCAATGATCCCTTTTCTGGTTTATTAAGAACAAATTTATCAACTGCCATACCTAAAATTTACAAGAAAAAGTATCCCATAGCTAATGATGAAAATGTTAAAATGTTGAAAGGCATTGAAAAGTCTGGATATGGTTATCTTGTCACTTAATGTGATGTTAAGTATAATTCACCATTAAATATGACAGGAGAAGTAATCTATTATAATTAAGTTATATTTTACAATATCCTATCCTCTTTCAGGATCATGAGGATATTCTTCAAAACTTTTCAATTTTTTGCTAAATTTAATTTTAACTAAAAATGTTTAATTTTATTTCAATTTTGCAGTAATAATAATTTTTTTTGTTTCACCTTCCCAAATAAATTCTTTTTAACTTTCTATACTTGTTTCTAATGTATGATAAATAGGTGTAAATTCATGTGGAAAATATAATAATATAGTTACAATTCCATCTTCATTTGCAGTTACTTATTGATGAATATAGGAATCAAAAGCAAACCAAGGTCCAGCACAAAACTTTTTAATTATTACTAAATTAAATTATAGATATCAATACTTTTAGGTTAATATTTAATCATATTAGTATCATCTTATACTTTACTTAATTATCCCATTCTGAATTATTTGGCTGATTTTAAATTATATGTTACTTCTCTTGTAGAATGTTAAATTATTTCAGAATCAAATTCAGGACAAGATTAATATGATAAATTGGGATCTAAATTAAAAATTTTAGATATTGATTAAGTATCATATTTCACAAGAAGTACAATTTTTTAAGATGCAATTTTAGTTTATTCATCATATTAAAATTTTGCTTAAAGAGATAAATAAGTTGATCTAAATATTGTATTAGGATCGATAATCTAAGCAAGTCCTTTCTTACCATTACATCCAAAATATTTTAGAATAGATTCTATTCCATCAATGCAAATATTATCAGTAGGATCTTGTGCCAAAAGTACTTTACCTACTTAAATTGTATCATCATCAAATCCCATAAAGGAAAGTTGTGATTAATTTCCATTGAATTTATAATAATAAGCTTGATCATAGATCATATTATATTTAGCAATTCTAAATATTTCTGATACTTAATTAATAGCAATTAATTAATCAGCATCTTCATTAGTTATAATAAGAACACCGTGTTAAGGGGCATTAAGTTCAGGCATCATACCTTATGTGGAGCTGATATATAATTCTCTGACTTTGCCTTCAACATGCAAATTTTCCAAATATGATCTAGGAAATAAAGAAAATGGTTAAGTAGTTTTAGTGAAATCAATTTCATGCTTATTAGTGATTGTGAATTGTACGATTGATTCATCAGTATTAGGGTAATGAAAGTGCAATTTTGATGTAAATTATGCTTAAACATAAACTAAGAAAAGTATTAACATTAATTATTTTATATACATAATATTAACATATTAATGTAATTTTGAGAATATTATAAATACATATAAGTATAATAAAATAACAATAAATTATTCTAGATTAGTATTATCACTATAATATAATGATATTTGAAGTTTATTAATGATATAAATTTTAACATATCTTTAGGAATTAGAAGTTTAATCATTCTATTTTAGAATTATTCGTAATTAGAATTATATTAAAAAAGATAAGAATCAATTATTTATATTATCCAACAACATTAATAGGAATTGTTATAATTATAAAGATTTTAATGTTTAACCTAACACTTAGCTTTTTTTAATTTGGTAATTAAAAGAGTCACTTTAATTATATGATTGTTAAAAAGAAAGTCATTATAATTAAACAATTTTATAGAGTTAAATAATTAATCCATCTTGTCACAACCAAAATTAGATATTACACTGAAATAATTTATGTGATTACTAGAACTGTAACTTATCCAAATGAAGGTATCTATTGATTTTGGATCTGCATCTGAAGTAAATATTAATTTAAATTATTATATATATATATTTAAAGCTTGTATTTTCTAGCTTCTGAGGTATATCTTATTATATTAATTATTTAGATTATTCTAGGTTAAAAAAAGATTTTATGTGGTTGGTAGGATGTTTTGCAACTTAGTTATTTCTAGGATATCCTTTATTCTAAAAAACATCATCATTTGATCAACTATCAAAAATTTTTGAAATGATTTCAATATAATTTATAATTTATCAGTAAAATTAGTACCAACTTTTCATTCATCTAAAATAGTCCAAATGTTAGAATTATTTTATTAATTAGAATTAAAAATTGGAACTTAAAACTTTGAAAATGTATGAGGATAAATTTAATATTAATCTACTTGATTCAGAATTTTTAATATAAATAATTTTTAGTAGTTGTATTTGGAATCCAATAAATCAAGTTTAAAAACAATCCAAGGTTCAAATGGGTAAGAAACCTATAATTAGAGATGGGCACTATGGAATACTTCGTAGATTTACTAAAGAAATTACTAGAATTTCATTCAGCTTTATGTTCACTGCTAGCCAATGTTTGTAACATCCATTTTTAAGTGATTTTTAATTTAATATTAATGAAATTATAAAATAGGACCTCTAATAATAATGATAAATAGATAAACTACAATATTTTGTGTGACAATATATATATATATATAAATGGGTGTCATTCAATTTCATCTAGTAATTCCTGAATAGATTTAGAATTTTCAGAAATTTGCTAGTCAATTAAGACGAAAGGGTTTTTGCAAAACTACCGCCCCTTGCTTACTTTTTTAATTTTTTCAATCTATTCTAGAGTAGCTGGAGCAGATGCAGCTTTCCAAATTAAATTTAGAAGATCATTGAATTCTGTATTTTTTTCTGGTAACCCTATTATCTTTCTCTTTATAGGTATAGGCTGCAGAATATTGCTTTTTATATTAATCTGCATTTTAATTTTATTATTATAATTAATAAATGCAAGCATGTAATTAAAAATATATAATTTTTAAATATTTTATATAAAACTAAATTACATAACCATTTTCATCCATATTAATTAATTATTTTGTAAACATTATCAAATCTCTATATTTATATAAATCAATTTAGAAAATTAAATAAAAAGTTAAATACTAATATTTAATTTTAGAGGGATAAAATTATTTAGACTTATATAAATGAGTCAATATTAAAACAAATGTATTTAATACTCAAATAATTTTACATCCTTCTTTATCAATACTTGCTTTTAAAGTTTTATAATTTTGTAATTTTTATGCTAAAAAATCAGATTATTATTCATCTTTTGGAAATGCAATACAAAATCCTCCATCTCCAGCCCCAGTCATTTTTGCAGGAATATTTTCATTTTTACAAATTCTCTATATTAAATTAGATTTTTTACAATTATATCATTTATTCTATCAGTGCAAATACCTAATCTATTTAAAAGATCATGATTTTCATAAATCAACTCTTTCACGAGACCTTCTCTAATTATTTATTCAGTTACTTCTGAAATTCTATTCAAAATTTATTTTCCATCTTTTTATTCAACTGAATTTTTAACTTTTGAAATTGATCCCTCAGTACCTTATTATTTTCTATCTCCAGAATCTATTAATAATATATTTTGAATAGGAATATTAACTTACTAAATTGGTTTTCCTATCTAAAATATGCATATACCACCATTATGGGTTACTTATACATCTAATCCACTTCCTCTCTTACCATGAAATATATTCTCAATTTCAATTGCTTTTTCAATAGATCCATTCATAGCTTTGGATAATCCAACTGCAAAAGATGCTGATGATCCTAATCCAGAACTAATTGGTACTTCAGATTCTACTTCTATTATAGATGGTTTGATATTTAAAATGTGAGCAACTTAAGCTAACTAAGAATTTGTATTAATTTAATTTAAATCTAAGACTTCATGCCAATCATTTCCCCATCTAATCTCTATTGAATTAGTGTTGTTTGAGTATATTTTTAATTTAGTATATTTGTTGATTGTTGCACATAATGCTCTATGACCATACACAACAGAATGCTCACCTGAAATTATTATTTTAGCAGGTACTCTTATAAACATAATTAAAATTGAATTATATAGAAATTATTGAAATAATAATAGATTATGTAATTTATCTAATTTTTATATAGAAGTTAAAGATAAGATTGCTTAAAAATTAGAAATTAATTCGAATATCAAGTATTCCTCAAGCTTAAGTTTTAAAAAATATTAAAACAATAATTTTTGATCCCATAATATAATTTATGATTATTTGAGGGATGATTAAGAATCATAATTGATAAGATCAAAGAAGACTTGTTAGAGTATTTTGATAAAAAAAGGATAAAAAAAATATTAAGAAAATAATATAAAGAATTAAAATTGAGATGATAATCAAAATAAATGTATTAAATAAAAGAATTGCTTTCTAAACTTATAAGTGAGATTGCTTCTAAAGAATACACTTATGATTCTAATTCCATTATTAAAATACTTTAATTTTCCAACCCAAGTTAATAGATTAAGTTAAATAAAAATAGGCGGATTAAAAATATTCAAAATATATTAAAATTAGAACAAGACCAAGTATAAGATATTAAATGAATTAGGTTGTATAAAATACATTTTTAAGTATAAGAATAATATTTAAATATGTAATCTTGAAAACCAAAAAGAAATACTGTAAGTTCAGTAACTTATAAATGCTCAAAAATATCGAATGATAAAATTAAAGCCACATGGATAAAAAATCTTTTAATCCATATAAAAAATGATTAACAAAGTTGAAATCACACTTTAACATAGCAAAGTCCTTATCATATTTTTAGAAACGATATAGAATGAGAAATTTTATGTACAATAATGTTTACATAAATAAAAGAGTATGATCTTGATAATTATTTTTATTATTACAGCAATTTAAAATAAATTAGTGGAATGGAAACAATAAAGATAATATAAATAAATTTTTTAACTAAAATCTTAATTTTATTTACATCATAATTATAAAAATATGAAGGAAAAGTCCCATTATATTAAAATATGCAAGAATTAATTAATAATTCAATCAGAATAATATTATAAAAATTACTTATTTAAAATTTTCCATTTATTATAATTGATCAATAGGAGAGTAGAATTTTTAAATCAAAATTATGAAATACAAATGTAATAATATGGTTTGAGAGATTTTCTTAGTATGAAATATATTTATAAATTAAGATTTGTAATAAAAGTTAGAATGATTATTTAATTGAAAGTAATCAATGAAAATCATAATTTAAATCAAGAATCCTTAAGAAGAAGGAAAACATTTTTGATTTTGAGTTTTTCATATTATATTTAGTATTAATCAAATGAAGATTGTAATTAATTTAAAAAATTTAATTAAAATCTTTTAATCATGGGAGTAGGTAAACCCAGAGGTATGAGAGCAGGAAGAAAGCTCAAAGATCACAGAAGAGTTAACAGATGGGCTGATAAAGAATATAATAAAGCTATGATTGGATCAAGATATAAGAATCCATTCATGGGTGCATCACATGCTAAAGGTTTGGTTGTTGAAAAAATTGGAGTGTAAATATACTTTTATAATGTCCATCTAGAGAATCCAAATAACCAAACTCTGCTGTCAGAAAGTGTGTTAGAGTATTATTGAAAAAGAATGGTAAAAAAATATCAGCCTTCGTTCCTAAAGATGGTTGTTTAAATTTTTTAAATGAAAATGATGAAGTTACTGTTGCTGGATTTGGAAGAAAGGGACATGCAGTTGGTGATATTCCAGGGGTTAGATTTAAGATCATTGCAGTTAAAGGAAAGTCACTTTTGGCTTTATGGCTTGGAAAAGTTGAAAAATGAACAACTTATATTCCTATTTGTCAGTATATTAAGAATAATATTTAATAAATATTACTTTATTGGTGTTTCATTATAATAATAATGTATAAATTTGTAATAACTAATTATTAATAGAAATATATTTAATCATTTTATTATCTTGTTTTCTTGGAATTGATAGAGTGTTAATCTTATATTCCTTTAAAATGTTTAATCAAGATTAATTAGATACACTTTTTATTTTTTTAATTATTTTTAGATTTTTATATTAATAGAGTAGTAATTTTTACATTCATAACAAATTTATGTTAAATATTATATGAGCTTCATACTATAATTAGAGAGAATCCAAATATGTATTAAGCAATATTGCTTTATTATTAAATATGTAATCAAATGAATTTATATTGTGATTATTTAGATAATAATTTTCTATAGACGTAATATGTGTATTTTTTTTGATTTCTTTTAATTTATCACAATAGGAATATTTGTGGTGGCTTAGAATCCATAGTATTCATCAATTCAAATGTTTAGATTTGATGTTAAGAAACTAAATTAGCACTAATTTTCATTTTAGTCAAAATATTAGTGAATGAAAATGAAAAAGAAAAAAAATAATATAGAAGATAACTTTGGATGAGTTTAGCAAGGCCTATTTATTCTCTTAATTGCAAACAGGAAAGTTTATCTGCTACTTCTATTATAATTCCATATTTTTTTAAATTAAGATGTTGAAGTGAGTCAAGTCAAAATAAATGAAGGGATAGTGAAGTATATAAAGATAGAGTATGATAGAGTTGGGTTTGAGCATTAAAAAATCAAAATAATGCGTATTAATTATGCAATACATATTATGGATTTATTTAGCTAATTTGGATTCAAAAGCAAATCATATTTCTAATAAATATCATTATTTAAAATATAAATTATGAATAAATTCATTATTGCTTCTTGCATCATTGCTTTAACTTTTGCCTGGACCACTAGCACATCATAGTAATGCTCTTGCAGCGATTACCTTTTAGCTACTGAATGCTAAAATGGTTTTGGATGCTTTTGGACAGGATCTGCTTGTTAAAATGTGGATTGCTCAGCTTAAACAGCTAATTGCTTAAATTATCCAACTGCATGCTATTTAAATACAACTAGCAATACTTGTCTATCATTTTCATCATGCAGCAAGTTAAGCGGAAATAATACTTAATAATGCTAAGCTTAAAATTCAAGATGTGCAAACGTAGCAGGAACTGGAACAACTTGTTCAGATTTTTCATGCACATCATTTAATTCAACCACTTGCCCATAAGGATGTTTCCTTAATGGATAAACTTGCTCAAATACTCCAACTTGTTCATCTTAAACTGGAGCTAACTGTGCTTTACCTTATTGTGCTCTTAATGGAAACACCTGTCAATAAGCAGTATGTGCAAATTACACAGCCGTAGGTTAACTTGCATGCCTTTTTGTTATGCCTTCAGCATCAAGTGTTCAACCATGCTATTGGAATTCTACAGCTTGCGTTGATGCATCAGGAGCCTCTAATTTAAATTCATCAACCTCATGCTTCATCAATACATTGGGTGCTTATCATTGGTCAACAGCTAATTTAACAGCTACAGATGGATCATGCAAATCATGTTATGGAGTGCTTTTATAAATTGTCTTTGCCATCCTTTTATTGTTGGCTTGAGATTGAGAAGATATTCATATTTTACACATAATCATATACATAATATGTAAAGATTTAGTATATTCTATAATTCTATTCTACAATTTTTTAATTCTCTATTGTCTTAGATCATGTCTCTATACATGAACATTTAATCTTATATAGAGATGATCTAATCTTAATAATGTTAAATTTAAAAGGTTAACATAAGAACAAGGAGGGAACCTGTTAAACTGAAATAATGTGTAATTTATTGTGTCATTTTTTTATACTAAAATACAATATAATTTTAGTATATATATAATTAATTTGAATTTCCATTATTAGTAATTCTTTACCCCCTTAGAAATATCTTGCTTATTTATAATATAATGGATTAATCAATAGTGAAACTAAATACGGAATGTGAAGATATCCAATAGTCATTCCTATCATCTCCAAGTGAGTACTTCTCGAATCAAAAAGATGACTTAGTTGAAAAATGTCAATTCTCATATAAACTATTTTGTGAAACCAATCCCAGAGATCAAATTGCTTAAAAGATTGTTAATTTCCAATAAGAAAAACAACAACTGTAATATATCCAATTTATATAGTCTCTATTTGATAGAAAAATTAGAATAGTACTTCATTAAAGATATAACAACTTTACTTGAGTATGTTGAGCAATTAGAATAATCATACAATACTTTATACAATGGAGGATTCAAAATTATTAATGAACAATTACTAACATTCTTTGATTATGAGAAAGTGTAAAAACTAAATGAAACCATTAATCTTCTAGAGTAAAGATGGAATCTACCATAAATTAAAGAAACAGGAAAATAATTTGAAAAGGTTTTAGGATTATCTAGTTTAAAATGCATGTTAGAAGAACATGTTCGTGATTAAACGATGGTACAGTTCTTTTTATAAAATTAAATACATAAACCACCAGTTGAGTATTTATTTTTAAGGAGCAAAGAAGTTGATAAATTAAATGAATAAGATGGGATATACTTTGGAGAAGTATTATAATAAATGAAACATGGATTTGGAGTTTGTATAAGAGGTTAAGCAATTTGGTAAGGTTTTTGGAAACACAATCATATAGTTTGGGGTTAGTACACATTTGAGGAAAATGGATAAAAAAAGATAATGTAAGGTTGTTTTAAGGATGATATGCTAGAAGGAGAGGGAAAATGTATTGCATTTAATGGAGATACAGTTTAAGGTTAATTTAGAAGAAGTAGAATCTAAGGAAGAGGTACTTATAGATTTAGCTATGGTAATATGTAAAATAGAATTTATTATATTTAGTTATGAGGGAGATCTTAAAAATAATACAATTGATGGATAAGGTTCTATGAAATTTGCAAACGGTGATTAATATGAAGGTGATTGGAGAAATCATTCTATTTATGGAAAAGGGAAGTATACATATAATAATGGGGATATTTATGAAGGAGACTTTGTAAATGGAGATAAAGAAGGAAAAGGTATTTTAAGATATGAAAATGGTAACTTATATGAGGGAGAATTCAAAAATAATATAATACATGGTTAAGGAGTATTTACATTTGCAAATGGAGATAAGTACAAAAAATATCATTTATAAAAGATATAAAGGAGAATTTAAAAATGGACAAAGAGATGGAAAGGGAAAATATGAATAAGTTAGTGGAGAATTTTATGAAGGTTCATTTGTTAATGATAAAAGAGAAGGATTTGGAATATAAAAGTATTCTAATGGGGATATCTATGAAGGATAATTTAGAAATGATAAAAGAGAAGGATAAGGAAGATATAAGTTTGCTAATGGAAATGTGTATTATTCTAATTAAATTTTAGTTATATTGGAGACTTTGTAAATGATAAAATTGAAGGTAAAGGAAAAAAGAAATTTGTTAATGGTGATTGTTATGAAGGGGAATGGAGTAATCAACTTTTTAATGGAAAAGGTTAATATAAATTTGCTAATGGAAATACATATATTGGAACTTTTATAAACAATAAAAGGGAAGGGCATGGAATATATAAATTTGCAAATGGTAATACATATGAAGGAGAATACAAAAATGATAAAAGAGATGGCAAAGGAATATTTATTTATGCAGATGGAAATCGAGAGATTGGAGAATATATCGAAGGTAAACCTTCTGGAGAACATTAAGTCTATAAAGGAAGATAAAGTAGTCCATTCAAAATAAATAATTATAATTCTGGTAAATTAGATTCTACATTTATTACAAGCAGATTTTGATCAAGATTAAGTGAATTTATAAATTAATTATAATAACTTGAAATAAATTTCTATAATGTTTAATAAAATTAATTATTTATTGAAAAATCAAACTCGCTTGTCAAAATTGAAGCTTTAATTTATGTTAGCCTTTGTAGTATTACTATTTGCTTTTCTAGACTTTTAACCTCCTCCACTATGATCTCTTGATCCTTTTATACTATTTATTTTTAACCAAAGTTAATAAGGCATTGATTATGGTTTTGTGCTGGCTGCAGATAGATCCTTAAAGTCTAAAATTAGAATATTTACTCCATCTATATGCAATGATTTTTTTTTACTATCAATGTTAGTAGCATCAATTAAATTAATTGATTTATTTTCTTTTTTTTTATCTTGAACTTAACAAGAATCAAAATTGATAAATGAACCCTTTTGATTTTTTGTAGTCTTACTATTTTAAGGTATTTTAGGTTATGAATTACCCCTAAGAGCTGTTGGAGTGCCTGTTTTTGTAGATGATTCTATAATAATTTATAATTATACTTAGATACTTTAGTAATTTATTCTGATGTGCTGGAGAAGCAGTGAATGCATTTGATGATCTTTTAGAAGTTGCTAAATAAGTAGTTTTATTTAATGTATCATTCATTTAAATGTCAGTTGACATCTTTTTATTGTTGGTTTATTAAAAAGATTAAGACTTTTTTCTTTCAAAGAAGAATGATTAATCCTTAAATATTATATTGATTAGTTTACTTCAATTGATAATAATGAAGTTTAGTTGTTTTTAGATCCATTATTAGTTGATCTTGTATCATCTGATGGAAGTACTGAAAGTCCTCTTGTTTGAGTATGTGATTTATTATTTGTTTAACAAGAACCAGATCTATTATGTGTTAGAGTTTTCATCATTTGACTATCTATGAGATTACTAATTGGAGCTAGAAATAAATTACAAATTTACGTTTTTAAGGACGAGTTGCAGGTTCTAATAGTTTTTCATTAAAATTGGTTGAATTAATATCAGCAACTGATTTTCCACCATTAATGAGATGTTTCTTTAATATAAGGAAATAGGCTGTAGTTAAGTTATTATGTTTGTTTGCATCAAGACATTTCTTTATATAATCTGAATTAAATCCTTTAATTATTAATTAATCAACAATTGCATCATCAATTGGAATTCTGCTATATCCAATAATAATTCCTTAAGGAATAGACTAAACTCTTTTATATAGCTTAAACCAAGGGTGTTATTTAATTTATTCCAGATTAAACCGTTTTGATGGATCTGTATTTAATATTCCTTTTAGAAATGATTAACCATCTTATGAGACATGAGAAGGTATTGTATATTAACCACTAAGTATTTTCTTATATAAATCACTAGTGTTTTTATCTTCAAATGGCAATTAACCACAAATAGTAGCAAATAAGATGACGCCACATGACCAAATATCAACTAAGATACTTTAGTATCTATGACCAGCTATCATTTCTGGAGCAGCATAACAAGGACTTCCACAAGCAGTTTTAAGCAACTCTCCTTGTTTATAAGTATTCGATAATCCAAAATCTACTATCTTTATTTAATTCTAATGATCTAACAATAAATTTTCAGGTTTCAAATCTCTATGAACTATATTGAGTTTGTGAATATATTCTATGCCTGAAATTAGTTCTTAGAATATGCGACAAGCTTCTATTTCATCTAATCTAAGAAATCATCTTTGAATATTTACTTTTCATTCTTTACAATATAATCAAAGAGTTCACCATTATCACAAAATTCCATTACTAAAAATATGTGTTTTTTTGTTTCTATAATCTACTTTAAATATTAATATTACCTCATATAATTAAATAACATGTCTATGTCGAATCAATTTTAAAATATGTATTTCTCTTGATACTCTTTCAACATCTGTAACCTCAATTATTCTTTCCTTTTCCAAAATTTTAATGGCTACCTTCTCTCCAGTTATTTAATGTAAACCCAATTTAACTAAACCAAATGTGCCAACTCCAAGAGTTTTAACTCTAATATTTAATACTTCAAACCTAATTAATAATCTCCTATTATTCGTGGCTTTAATATTTCTTTATTATTTAATGAAGTATTCTCTTTATCTGAGTTTTTCTTATTCAACATAAATCAATATCGTTAAATTATTAATATTTAGAACTAAATTATGAACTAATTTTCAAAACCTTTTAACTCAAACCCTTATATTTGCTCTACTATTTCATTAAGGAATTGAAAAGACATTTTATTAATAAATAACTTCTTATCAATCAATAAATATTTCTTATCTTTCACATTTAGATAATCTATAGACTTAAATATCATTAGAATATATTAAATATTTTCATAGTCTTACTACTGATCAAATTTATATGAATTTTACTTATTATTCTATCTATTACTTATAATTACATTAATATACATAAGATTCATTTTTATTTACTAAATTTGTTATCAATATAGAACTATATTTTGATTCTTATTTATATAGTCAATATATGCTTTTCTATAAACTCGTTCTGAATATTATTATCTTTTTTAGAAAGAAACAAGTAATAAATATCAAAATTAAAAATATCTTCTTAATGGTTTAAATTTAATCATACACTTACAATGTTAAATCCAAAATTATTATTATTTGAACATACTTAATTACAATATTTAAATATATATTTTTGATCATAAACCTTATTCTATTTGATATGAATAGATTTAATTTTAATAGATTAATATGATTCTATTGCTAATAACCCAAAAATATATGAGAAATATATGAGAAATAATATAGAAGTAAAAATTGAGACATAGAAGAAATAATATAAAATTTATTAATTAACTATATTTATTTTAAAATTTAAATAATATCAATGCCTCATTATCCAGAAGAAATCGAATATTCTGATAAGTACTTCGATGACTACTATGAATACAGACATGTTATTCTTCCTAAACATATTTTCAAAAAAATTACCAAAGGTACAATTTGAATTTGAATATGATAGGTAAATTATTAAATGAAATGGAATGGAGAGCCTTAGGAGTTTAGTAATCTAGAGGATGGTCTCACTATGAAACTCATAGACCAGAACCTCATATTCTTCTCTTTAGAAGAGCAAAAAATACGGATCCAAATACTGGATTGCCTCCTCCAGGATTTAGTGCTCCTTATTGAAAATAAATTAGTTAAATCATCAGATAAACGTATATACTTAAATTAAAATCATAATAATGGCATTTTAGGATCATAAAACTTTGTATATAAATCTATCCCTCCTTTAATATTATTTATATAGTCTAATTTATCCTTTAGATATTCACATGCCAACCTTCAATTATTGCCTCTTTTGCACATAGTGTATATCTCTTTATTCTTATTCTCTTCAACTTAAAATTAATTAATTTTTGAATATGGAAGATTCGTGAATTCATCCTAATTAATTATGTTATATTATAAACTAGGACATAGAATATAACTACTTTATAATTTCTTTAAATCAATAGAAAATCCTTCCATTCAATCTCTTTATATCCTTCTCCATAATGAATAGAGGAAATGCATATTATCTATGCAAATGAGTCATTATCATATTCATTTATCTTAATCTACTTTTAACATAAATATCATTTCTATCTGTTAAATAATATTATATACTTCTGTTATCCTCTCTACTTAACTATTTTATAGACATCTCTATCTTTATAACAAAGTTTACTGTCCAATAATTATTCTTATTGCTTTTAATGAATCTTATCAATACAATCAAACTCAGACATAACTCCAAATACTCCTGCTTCAGTAGAATTCTAAAAAGTCTTTGACATTATGGAAATAGACATCCATAACAATATCCTTACAATCAATTAACAGTAATCTGACCTTCCCATCCAACTAATAAATCTGAAATCAAAGGTTTATTTAAATAAACAGCTGTATCATTAATTAAATATCTTGTAACAGTAGTATCAATAGCATCCAATATTAAATCATAATTTTGAAATATTTCAATTACATATTCTGGTGTAAATTATTATTGTGAGTAATACATTCACAAAAGGATTAAACTAATTAATTAATTTTTTGCTGATTCACAAGATGGTATCTTTTGAAATATACTTTATTCATCCCTTATCTATCTTATAAGTGTAAATTAGAGTTAGATAATATTCTACAAAAGTCTGACAATTAATTGAATTTATAAATTATATAATTGATGGTATAAAAAACAATTTTTCATTTAAGTAAATCATTTATTCATTGATTTTATTAAAGATTTTACAAATCTGCGTATACTCTTATTCTCTTTAACTACTTCCAATGGAATCATATTAAGCATTTCAATAGTTTGGTTAATTTAAGTATTCAACCCATTCAAAAATGGAATCCAAATAAATAAAAATATGGACACTAAAAGTACTATAAAGATTATTAATAAGATTAATTAAATATTTTATATGTTATCCATGCCACTAGAAATAAGATCTCTTTCATAAGTGATTATATTAGTGATTGCATCATAAACATAGTTATATAAAGCTCTATCAATTTCAAAAAACTGAGTTGCATTCAATAATAGAGATTTCTAAGTAATATTCTTATAAAAATTTTGAATATTAATTCTAAAATACTCTAAAAAGTAAGATTCAGTATTGTACATTCCCTAAAGTAGGATATTATATATAAATAAATTACTAATTATAAATTTGAATTGATAATTTGTTAACATTAATCTATTTCAGAATTCTTCATTATTTATTCACAAAGATTACCATAATAAATATTGATATATTTATCCCTAAATGTTTATAATTCAGATAAAATATCAAAATTAAACTAATAAATTTCATAATTATATTTACCGAACTCATCTTTTCAGCATTTCCTGTAAAGATAGTGAGATTATTTATTGCATACTCAGAAACTTGAATTCCTTTGATTTTTGTTGTGTAATCAAGCATCATTAATTTTTGAATATTAATGTAATAACCATAATTATTAATGGTATATAAGCTTTAATAATATTAAGGCAATAAAAAGTTTATTTACGATTATTAAGATTGACTTCCAAGTATATTATAGACAGTGAAAACTAAAGTGAAAACTGAAATAATAAAAAATCTAGATTATTTTATATATAAATACTGTATTATAATGCCTTAATTTCCTTTAATCCTATTTTATCTATATTTTTTAATAATCTTTTTTCTATTTTAAGTTTATCTCAATAGAATATCAGATTCATCCTCATCTGGTGATTTTAAAACTTCAATTTTTTCTTCTTAAAGTTCTTTTTCATCTTCTGAACTCTCAAAACCTTATTATTCTTATTTATTTTATAATTCCTCTATACTTACATAGTTTTTAAGGAATCTGTCACATTTCTTATAAAGAACATCTAAATGGTAGGTTGGAATATCCAAAAATAGAAATAGAATATTTTCTCTTTAAGTTTTGATTGCAAACATAAGAAATATAAATTTGATCATAGCCATTACTGATACAAATATTGATGCAGATAATAAGATTAATAAATTTACTTATGGATTATCCATTATATCTTTAATATTATCATAAGTAGAACTAGAAATATCACATATTTGTTGATAAAGTATATCAAAATAATTATAAATCACACCTTAATAATAAATATTATCAAAAGTGATAGATTAATAGTTGGTTACTGAAGAATTTAAAGCTAATGAACAAAAAACTACTAATGCAGTTTCTAGTCTTAAAGAATCATCATAATAACCATTATCTTTATAAAATCTAAATGATAATTCATCTTAAAATTATTACTAGAAATTTAAATAATCAATAGAATTCATAGCAGAATTGAAATCAATAACAGATGTAGCTGATATTGATATATCATTTGCTATTTCAGTAGTATTATATGTATAGAGATTAGCTGAATAAACAGCTAAATCTAACACTCTAGAAGTTAATCTATTGATTTCAATCAATTAATTATTTATTAATTATAAGACATCTACATCTATTCTATAATTATGAAATTATTCAGAACAAAAGTATTATTATAAACTAGTCATAGCCAATATGAATACAATCCATAAAGATGAATAAATCTTAAAAATAGTAATTTCAGGATGTCTATGATGAGTTCTTAAAGCAATTTAAATCAAATTAGCAGAATTATTATAAGTAAATAATTTATAATCATCTTCATCTTCAAAATTATTTCCTTAATTTCTAAATAATGAATTATCCTCTTCTTCTTCTTCTAAGATTTATAAAAATAATTATTCCTATTCTTCATTAATACTAACAATTTATCCATTAATATATCTTTTGGTGATAATATTTCCAGCTAAATCAATTGAAGGAACACTCTCAGTTTCAGCATTACATTATTTAAATAGATCTTTAATTTCATCTACTTATGGGTTTTCGTATAATTCTTGCATGTAACTAAATAAATTAAGATCTACATCTTAACAATCTTAATTTCTTAAAGGGATTTAACTCTCTTAACTAATATTAACCAAATTTGATATTTTTTATTAAGAAGTAGCTTTTAAAATTAATTCTGAATCTGGATTGCTAACACTACCAGTATTTTATGCTCCTTTTTTTATCATATATTTAAGATTAGCTTCATTTTTTTCAATTTTATCAAGACGAATTATATAACATCCAGTACGTTCACTTTTCTTTTATTCTTCATCACTATCATTTGGATTGTGGAATGGCAAAATGATTTCTTTTACCTAACAATTGAAATAATAAAATCCATCTTTTTTTGGAATTTTAGAGAATACATCTTTGGCATTCTTAGTTAATACATCTGGTATAAAATCATTCAATTTTATTCTATCTCCTAAATTTTTAATTTCTAATTCAAAAAAGGTTATAGCACTAGAAGACATTTCTAGAATTTAAGATGATTTATCAACAATAAAATAGATTTAAGTTCTTAGTGTTGCTTCTGATTTGAATGTTGTAATATATATAAGAGAATCTAAATGTAATGTAACTTAATATGTTAATGGGAATAGATATCCATTTTTATGTTTAAATAATCTATTTTAATCAACATCTAAATATTCACTTTCTATTCCTACTTCTTATCTTAAATTAAGTACAAAATTATCAAAAAAGTTACTCATATATTTATCATGATTTTCTGCATACTTTTAAGGCATTAGAATATTTATCTTCTTTCCAACTATTTCTTCTTTAGTATATCCAAAATAAGCAGTAAATAATGAATTCATTTATAATATATTACCTGTATCTGATTTTTTAGCACTTACATAAATGAATGGGATTTAATCAGTTTCAAAATTAAAAATATCTTTATGTACTTATTAATTTTTTCTTAAATGTTCTTTTAATTATTTTGCTTTATTTAATAAATTAATTCCTCCCTTAGAATCATTCATTACATGTATCATAAAATTACCAAATACTTACATAGTATATGGCATATTTGAATTTATTTTCTACATGTTTTCATAATTCTCTCTTGCTTCATTAGTTACTCTACTAATTCTAGCACCAATATTCATTAATCTACCTAAATCAGGTTGATCTTCCTTTAATTCTATCCAAAATTCCTTATGTAAATTTGCAGAAAATTTCATTTTCTCTTCACATAAAGATAAATAATTTTTAAATGCAATTGCATTAACAATATCATCATCTTCTCCTTATTAAGAATTCATTCCCTTACTTCTAATGTCTTTTTTATATCGATAAATGATAAATTCCTAATAAAGAGCTGGTTTTGTATATTGAGCAAGTTCAAATTATTCTAAAGCTTTCTATTTATTATTTCTTCTTTCTATCAAAAATAAAGCATAAAAGATTCTTAAATAAGTTGAATTTGGAAACTTTTTTAAACCTTAAACAAACATCCTATCTAATTCTTATATTAACCCTCTAATTATTTCATCAATATCATTTTAACCTCCCTTCTTTCTTTATTTTAATTTAGTTTTTAAAGGACAATCATCATAATTACAAGTTTCTTTATGTTTTTCTATATAACCAACAAGTAACATATAAGAATTTCTATCTTTATCTTAATTTTATATTAGTTGTAATACATATCTAATATGACTCCAAATTTACTCTCCACTTCTAAATTTCGTTTAAGATTTAACAAGAGTTTCAATTTTAGATTTCTTAGTTAATAACATTATACTAATTATAAAGGGAACACCAATCAACCAAGCAATAAATCCTCCAGTAAAATCAGTTGATTCTAATACTTTACAAACTAATAACATAAAACAAGCCCATAAATAGAGTGTACTGCATATACAATAAAATAATCCAACTTAAAAATCATAGTAGGGATCATTAAAATTATATTGTTTAAATAACCATAGTGATAAAACAAAAGATGTAATAACCATAATCCATGCTTATTCAGGATAATTTGGTCTAAGTAAACTAAACATCAATTAACAAGTAATTTTATTTGTAATAAATGCTACTTCTCCATTTGAATCCTATCTTGCAGATCTATCATTAGTATTCATAGCTGGTTCAAAAAAGGCATATGCAACAATACTGCAAATTATTGAAAAAAATATAATGAATGTAAGATCTAAAACTGCATGAAATGTATGCCAATCTTGCCAACATTCAACAAAAATATTATTGTAACCATATATTATATATTTTCCTGTATCTGGATCTACATAACATTATAAAATAGATGTTAAGGTCTCTGTAATAGGTAAAAATCCTACAGTTACAACAAAAGAAGTAATCTTCTTTAATAATAATAATGGCCAGAGCCAATAAAATCGATTACGAGAAAATGAATATGAAACATAAATAATATCTAGAATGATCAACAAAATAAAAAATAACAATATGTAGACAGTCATTAAAAGAGATTCATAAGTTAAACTTGGAATGTAATTGCTTATTTGAAATAAGTTTTATACTTGAGTGATAAATTCCATAAAAGTGTCTTATTTCCAAAGGTAATAGATTGTTACATAAAATGGAAATTGATGCATTTGAAAATAATCAAGAGCATTAAAAAAATAGAATCCAAACATTCCCTCTTCTTCATCTTCACTATTACGAATAACAAATAGAACTTGAAAGGTAGTTAATTTTAATTGTTCTAAATAATAATCAATACCTCTCTTTTAATTGCCCATTAATAAAGCATCATCAATTCCCTATTTTTCTTATTCTTACATATTAAATCAATTTAATAATAAAAAATAATCACTTTATTTTCACTCTACATCTTTTTCAAAAAATAATTGTTAGATTTATTATATTATCTAACTACTTATAAATAATAGTTCAAAAAAACAGATAAGATATTAAGAATAAATATCTATATAATTTCTAATATCTAATATTATTTTTTTATACAATTTAAGAGTTTTAAAAAGAATTAAAATACTCAAAATCTTCCTTAAATGGATCCAAATTGAGAACAAGGATAATATTTCTAAGAACTTATATAAAATCATACAACAGCTGTATCATGATTAAAAATCTTTTTTTTTTAGCATAATTCAAAAATAGGTTTCTCTTATTGATTTAATTCTTATATAAATTCATCTAAATCTTAATAAATTAGAAAAGATAGTTTAGTTTATTAAGAATTCATATAGAAATTAGTCACTCCTGTGTAATTTATAAATCTATTCTTAAATTGTAATTTATTACATGGTCCCAATTAACTTATTAAATATTAAGCCATAGGATATCCTAATATATTAAATTAAAATTATTATGGTATATGATTTTACACAGTGGGTATTCTTGATTCTTAACTTTAACAAATGCTTTATTTTTAAATATGTGGAAATAAATCATCATCCAATAAACTTGTAGATTTGTAATTTTCTTTCCTATAAACTTCGAAAATTTATGAATATGCATGAGTTAATTGATTTATCATTCCAAAATAGTTTTTCGAATTCCAATTTCTTTTTTTATGATGAATTGCTGTTTCAATATTATAAAATAATTCCTAAACAGAAGTTGGGATGAGCAATTTAGGATGAAACAATCCAAATTTTATGCAATTTGGATGATTCTTAGAAAATTTTAAAGATATTTATATCTAAAATCCATATGGAGCACTTTAACTTAAGATTTTTTCATCTCCATAGATTATCGACATTAATATTTTAATATAGTCAACTAAATTGATAATTATTGAAATTAACTTTGCTCTATCAGTTTTAATTATATCAGAAATTTATATTTATCTCTTTTTAGGATTAATTTATGCTTTTGTCAGTAGCAAATCTTCACATAATTATTCAACAAGCAATAATGGTTAAATTTCAGTTGCTTCGAATTTAATTTACCTATGCGAAATTTTAAATTAATTTAATATATCAAAGTTTAGATTGAATATATTATATCCCTTTTGAATCTGATTATTAATACAGTTTAACAAATTAGTTGGATATTAATGTATTTTTACTTTCGAAAAGTATATTTTGATAAACTTTAATAATTAAATTTACTAAGTTAAAATCTAAAGTGATATTCTGGCATAAGTTGATGAAGATTAGTCTCTTTATTCTATTTATTAAATTAAGGATTCAAATTTATCTTCTTTTAATTCTTCAAATAATAAAATTACAGAAGGATCAAAAGTTTTAAAATAAACTTGGGTTATCTTGAATTTTAATTATTTTATTTTGCTATCATTTTTATCTATTTCAGCATAGTATCTCTCGACTGCATGTTCATCATTTTACTATTGTAATAATCTAATAAGTCTATGCTCTAACTTTATAGATTGAAAACTTGATCTATCTGATTCATATGGTATTGCTTTCATTTTTCTTAAAAAATCTCGAAAACATTTATCATCTTGAATGTCTAATTTAACTTTCATATTGTTATTTATTTTATCTAGACTTAATTATCCTTAAGTTTTATCAAATTTCACAATAACAACCCAAGATGGAAGTAAATCTTAAATTATATTTTCATATTAAATTTATGATTGATGAGCTATGAAATATTACCTACTTCCAGATTCTATAGAATATCTTATGGCAATCATTAGTAGAGTTATTAAATTATGTGTGATAATATCATAAATTTGAACATTATTCATTTAAATAAATGAACAACATTAACAAAGGATCTAAAGACCAGTTTACATAATAAATTTATTACCTCTAACATAAATTACTAATTTAAAATTTAAAATTACATAATTTTATACATGCCAAACTATAACCTATGTGCCATTGATTGGCTTAATCACCAAATAATCTATAGAATTCACAAATTAAACACAAAAATATTTAGTTGAAAGTAATAATAATTTCCACTCTTTCATTGTATTTCCTAAGGAAGAATAAAAGTGTAATTTCTAAACTTAGTATTATACATGATATTATCAGAGGTAATAAAGTTCTTGTACTGTTAAACTAAGTAATCATTACTGCCAAATAAACAATAATAAAACAGAGTAATAGTTAATATCTTTTCTAATTCTTTTAGAAATACCATTCTTTATAAGCATCTTCCATTTCTATAGAATTGAAAGTTAGACTAAAAGTTTTTATCATTTATAAATAAATATAATTTAAGAAGAGAGTAATGTAAAAATATATGTTCGTTTATAATAGAAAGAATATCAAAACAATAAGAAAATTCCAAAACCTACTTAATAAGAATGATATCTTTCAAGCTTATACAAAATAGTATTTATAAATATTAATAAAATGTACTGAAACTTTAAATATTAACTTAATATTCAATTTAGTTTCTATCTCCAAAATTCTTTAATAATTAATATATCAAATAAACAAAATAACATTTCAGTCTATTCACTTTAAACAAGTATTCTATAGATAAAAGCATATTTTTAAAATTCAAATTTCATATAACTAATTAAAGTTCTACAAGTTATATGAAATTTTAAAGTTAAAAAACCTATTAATCAAATCAAAATAATTTATTACATTATGATTTATAAATTTAGTATATATTGAAGAATAAATAAATATTCATTGATCTATTAATATTAATATAAAAAGAAAAAGGAATAAATAAATTATAATTTTAACTAATTTTAAGTAATTCATTCTATTCAACCACAATTAATTCTTTCAGTAATTACATTGTTAATCATATTAAATATTTAGTTTACATCTAATTGATCAGGATTCATAAATAAAGTTTCAAATCTATCCAAATCTTTATTATTTGATTTTTTAATTGTGCTTACTGAAATGTTTGGCTCTAAAAATTCTTCAAGATCTTCAGGACCCAAGTTTAGAATGTTCATAGACTCTGAAAATTTAGCTATATTCTTAGGTTTATTTTCTGCCTTTACACCAACTTTTGCTTGGTTACCTTTATTTAATTCCATATAATTCTCTCTATATATACGTTTTAACAAGAATATCAACATATTCACTTAATTTTCATACTTCTTATTTCCAATTTTTCCTTATTCATTTTTTCTCATTTCTTTTTCTAAAAATATAAATAAATATATATATTACCTAATTCTGATACTGTCTATGCATATTTAGATGCATAATCATTTTTATAAATTTCAAATTCATTAGATTTTTCTTCAAACTTTTATCTAAAGTGCTTTATAGCTTAATCTTTTCTATTAACTTCATCTTTTAGCTTCTTAACTTATTATATTAAATCTTATTTTTCAAAATCATTTGGTTTCTAATTTTAAAGCTAATCTATTTTTTCTTTTAATTCTTTTATATTAGCATCCTTCCTTGTATTATCTTGCTTAAGTTGTTTATTTTTTTCTTAAATGTTTTTAATTTCATCTTAAATTTATTTCTCTTAAACTTTCATCTAATCATATTTCTCTTTGAACTCTTTGAAATTGGTATTTTATCTTTCATTATCTTTATTTATTCTTTTTAATTTTTCATTTTCTGTTAATAAATCCTCATTTTATTTTTTTATCTTTTCGACAATTTATTTTTGATCTTCCCTATCTCCTCTAAATTAATCAGCAACATCTTTTTTTCTTTATATTTCATCTTTTAATTAATTAATTAATTATTCTTTTTAATTAATAACTTCATTAAGTGCCTAAACTTTATCTTCAGGTACAAATTTATTTTAAACTTGATTTAATTCATTAATTATTTTTTAATTTTCTTACTTGTATTATTTTTATAGTTCTTAAATAGTTTAATCTCTATTTTTAAGTAAATCTTATAAATGTGAATTTTATTAATTAATTTTTTTGAATTCTTATTCATAAATTAAATTAGCTTATTTTAATTGATCAATTTTTTATTCAGCTAATTTTAATTGAATTTTATATTGATTAGATTTAGACTCAACTTCAGCCACCTTACCTTGTTATAATAACAATGTAATTGGCACTTATTCTTCTAATTTCTATTTATCTTGTTAAGATTATTTTGATGAAGATGGTTTTTTGAGACTTGGAATTTTAGGTTTATGTTTCTCAAGTTATTTAGTTAAATTTTAATTTTCTGTTTAAAGAACAGCAAATTTATCAGATAAATCTTTAATTTATTATTTTTATTGGTTAATTGTCTATTATAGTTATTTATTTTTATCATTATTTTATTTTTATTTCTACATATTTTATGCAAGTTAGACAACATTATCATGATATGATTGTATTAATTCTTTAAACCATTATTATTCTTTTATAGGATTTAAACTCTTTTTATAAGCATCATTCTAATTAAAATATTAATTTTATCTACATTATAATTCTTACATATCTTAATTAAATTTTTCACTAATTAATTCTATTGTATTATTTTATCTTTCTATAATTTCTTCATATATTTCTTTCTGATTAACTATATCAATATTGATCTTTTGAATAATTTCAGTATTTTCTTCATTATCTTTAATTAATACATCTATCTTTTATCTTAGTTCTTATATTAATTGTTTTCTTGATGTTTCAATCTCTTAATAATTGGTTTTCATTTCTTCAATTTCAAAATTTTATATATAATACTTCTCATTGATCTCTCTTCTCTCATTTGTTAATAATTTAGTCTATTCTTAATACACTTAATTCTATTCTTCTCTTATATTAAGTTCTAATTTAAGTTTATGTAATTCTGAATTCTTTTATTCAAGAGTTTTTTTGAAATCATCATTAATATAACTTAATTTTACTTCCATTTATTCAAGATTTCCTTGTTATTATTACACAAGTGAAGCATAATCTTGTAATTATTAACTAAGATTTTCAATTTAATTATCCTTTTCTTAAAGTTAATTAATTATTTTGTCTCTCTCTAATCTCATTTCAATCATGGTTTCTTTGAGTTCATTGAGATCATCAACAAGAACAGGTGACTATTAAACTAAAAAGTCTTTTGTTTGTCCTTATTACAAAAATGTACTTTTTGCTTTTAGTTGATTAAAATCATATTCAATTTACATTTTTTATTATCTAGATTTGTTTAACTCTGATTCTAATTCTCTAATTTTCTACATATATAAATCAGATAATTTTCTTTCTTCTTAAATATTATTAAGATTTGGCACTACTGTTTTATCTATTGAAGAATTGCTGCTTTTACTGTTTCTTCTCTATTTTTCTTTCTACTTTTAATTTTAAACTAATTTTTCAATTTTTTCTTACATACTTCTAACTTCTCTAATTAAAGCATCTTCTCTTTAAGCGTATTAATCTCTTTATACTTTGAGTTGATCTTGTGTTTATAAATATTGTTATTCTAATGATTTGTTATCCATCAATAATTAATCAATAGATGCTTTATGTTATTAACATAGTTTATTCATTTCTAATTGCAATTCACTTTATGTAATTGATTTCTCTTTCATAATATTATTAATTTAATCTTAGAGACATAATTATCTATCTTAAAGTTATTTTTCAAGGTTATCTCTTCTTTAAAATTCGACATCTGTTTTTTCTTTAAGAATAATAAATTCACTTTTTGTTTTTTCAATATCAATTTAATTTTATTGATTAACTTTTTAAAGTTTTTGATTTTTAAATTATAATTCTTACATTTATTCTTCATATTAAGATAATTATTATATTTTTTAATCTAATTTAAATTATGTTTCTTTTAGTTGAGTATTTGTTAGTTCATTTTCTTTTTTTAGATCATTAATAATTTTCTTTAATTTTTATGCATCATCTTAATAAGCCACAATTTCATTTTCATAACTACTTTACATTTTACCTAATTCTTTTTCCCATCTTTTTCTAGCTTCTTCTTTTACATCCTATAAACTATTAGCTTATTTAAGTGTTTATTCTAGCGCATATATCTAAGATTCATATTCTAATCTTTCTTTTTTAATTAATTCATCTTATTCTTTTAATTTTTTGATTTCTTATTTTAATTTTTCATTTTCTCTTTGAGTTTTCCATAATTCATCACCTAAATATCCAGCTTATTTAGTTTATTCATCTACTTACTTTTCTAGTATTTAAGATTTCGATATAGTATCATTACATTTTTTTTCTAACTCTTTCTTTGACTTTTCTAATATTTAATACTCTTTTTTTAAAAGATCATCTGTTAGATTTTTAGATTAATTTGATGAAAAATTTTAACTTGATCCTTATTATTGGATAAGCATTTCTTCTAAATGAGCATTTTCTTCAAGTAATTTTTCTTCTCTTAATTTTAGTTATGTGATACGAGCATTTAATCTATTTACTAATTCATCTCTTGTTTCTTCAACTCTAATATTTGAATTCTATAATCCACTATCATTTAATCTTTTAGCTATAACTTCAATTTCTTCATTCATTTATCTATTTATTTATTCTAATTTTTTATTTTGATCAAGTATTGATTCATATTTACGATACAACATCACATAACTCTCTCTTTCAGGTTAATGTTAATTGAAATATTACTCTCTAGCTTGATAGTCTTAGATTTTCATTTATAACTTCTCATTTTCCTTTACTAATTCTTTGAGTTAATCTTTTGTATTACTGTTAAATTGATGCTTTTATAATTGCAATCTTAAAATCTCTATTTCTCTATCTTTTTCTTCTATCATTAATAAAACTCTTTGACTTCTAAATTCATTGTCTTATCTTTCTTATTCTATTAAATGATTTAACAAGTCTTTGATAGAATTACCATCCATCTCTTAATTCATAAATTATTCTAAAGCATCATTAAGTAACTGGTTTTATTAAGTTAGATAATTGATTCTTTATTGAAGTATTTTATTTTCTTCAGCATTAAACTATTCACTTCTAACATTACCAAATGTCTCTAAATTTCCAAATCCTGGTGATGTAATTGTCCTATTTTGGATATCTTAATCAATATATTAATCCAAACGGTCAGAATCACATTCAAAAGTAACTGTTATTCTGCAATCTAAATTATCTCCTCTTATGTAAATAAAGTCCTCTTGAGCTTCAACATTCTTTAATTTAACTGTTACTACAGTTGCCTCTCCTGGAAGAAGTTAAACTGCAGTTGGAGCTATTTCATAATTTTTGAAAAGTCTGAATGCAAAATTAAGCACAACCTTCCTATTGTTCTTAACAGTAATCTAATAATTATATATTTTTATACTGTCTTTTCTTATCCAATTTTTTAAAATTTCAAAAGTTTTGGTGTAATCTCAACGTCTGTCATAAAATTTTGTATTATATATATTTTATTATTATAATTATCAATAGACTCTCTTCTTAGGTGGTACAGTGTCAAATTCATTAGGATCCATAGTTTTTGTAATGACCTATTATTATATTAATGAATAGTTATACATCTCTATAAGTCAATTAAACATCTCCTGATTTAGTATCTTGAATTCTAGCAAGAGTGTGTTTCATCCAATTTTTATCATCTCTATCAGGAAAATCATCTCTAGCATGAGCACCTCTAGATTCCTTTCTATTGAGAGCTCCTTCAATAGTCATTTTTCCTTATACTAATGTAATATATAAATTAATAAATACATAATAAATTCTCTAATTCTAATCCTTCAATAAGATCAGAATTCCAAACTAATCCTTTATCTTTAATTCTAACATCATCCTTTCTTTAATAAATTTCCTTAACTTTTTCTACACCTTCTTATAAAGTCTTTTCAATTCTGAAAACAGCTGCATGTTTCTACATAGTTCTCTATAAATCTTTTCTAACTTAAGCAATTGTTTATGATCCTTCATGATGTCTAAGTCTATCAATTCTTGCAATAGCAGCTTCACCTGCATTCTTAGGTAAATCTGGTTGTTTCTATCCTGGTTTCCATTTTTCACCAACTAAATTTGCTGCTTATCTTCCGAAAACAACAATATCTAATAATGAATTGGCTCCTAATCTATTTGCACCATGAACTGAGGCACAAGCAGCTTCACCTGCAGCTAATAGTCCAGGAACAATTTAGTCTTTTCCATTAACTTGATTTAACACTTCAGTTTTGTAATTTGTAGGTACTCCACCCATATTATAATGGACTGTTGGCAATACTGGAGCTGGTTCTTTGGTAACATCAACTCCTGCGAAGATTTTGGCTGCTTCGCTGATTCCTGGTAATCTTTCATGTAATAATTCAGCAGGTAAATGATTTAAATGTAAATAAATATGATCTTTTTCTGGTCCAACTCTTAGAAAGATTATGATATAAAAATTACCCTCTTCCTTCTAAAATTTCTTTAGTCATAGCTCTAGAAACAACATCTCTACTAGCTAAATCCTTAGCAGTAGGAGCATATCTTTCCATAAATCTTTCGCCCAAAGAATTTCTAAGAATACCTCCTTCACCTCTACATCCTTCAGTCATAAGACATCCAGATCCATAAATACCAGTAGGATGGAATTACACAAATTCTAAGTCTTCCATAGGTAAACCAGCTCTAATTGTCATACCACCACCATCACCAGTGCATGTATGTGCTGATGTACATGATTAGAATGCTCTTCCATATCCTCCTGTTGCAATGACAGTATATCCAGCTCTAATTCTATGGATTGATCCATCTGCCATTGACATGCATACAACTCCTCTACAAGCTCTATAAATTTATAATAAATATAAAATTACCCTTATTCATCCATCATTAAATCAAGTGCAAAATATTCAACAAAGAAAATGCAATCATAACCTAAAGCTCTGCCAAAAAGTGTATGTAACATAGCATGTCCAGTACGATCAGCCACTGCACAACATCTATATGCTTATCCACCTGTTCCAAACTTCAAACTTTAACCTCCAAATGCTCTTTAATAAATTTTGCCTTCAGGAGTACGAGAGAATGGTAAACCATAACTTTCCAATTCATAAACAGCCTTGGGTGCTTCTTTACACATATATGAAATAGCATCTTAATCTCCTAACCAATCTGATCCTTTAATAGTATCATATGCATGCCTAAATAAATTTTGATCATATATACCATCTCCAATCATCCTCTGTCATATTACCTAAAGCTGCATTAATACCTCCTTATGCTGCAACAGTATGTGATCTAGTTGGAAATAGCTTAGATATGCATGCAGTCTTAAAACCTAATTCAACTAAACCAAAAGCTGCTCTTAATCCAGCTCCACCTGCTCCTACAACTACTGCATCATAAGTGTGATCTATTATTGTATATTTGTCTGTCAAGTGTCCCTTTTATCATTAATTTTAATATTACTTAAGATGGCCCTTTTTCTGGTTTATTGTTGGCAACAACAGCAAATCGATTCATGAGTTTCATTGCTTATTGCCTAAACAATGCTTACTTCGTGATAGCAAACATCAAATTAAAAAGATATTTTAATTATTTTATGCTTTAGAAATCGTATTCTGAAGGAGTTGGTGCAGGTTTCTAATTAACAGAGAATGTTAGATTTTAATTAGCAAAAACTCGTGTTAATGATCTTTTCATTAGATGGCTAACCTAACCTTAAACTTAAAAGTTAGTACAAATACTAATCAAAGATGCAAAAGATGGCAAATAAAATAATCTGATAGCTTAACCAAATGCATTTTTTATTAATAAAATGGCAATGTCTGGTGTATCATAGAGCGCATTGTTTAGCTCACCAAATAAAAAGTCTTAAGGACCTTCATCACCGCCAAAAACAGACCCATTTTAAGATCTTAAATTAAGAATACCAGAAGACCTTTCATAATCACTTACTTAATCATAAATTTTGCAAAAGAAATGTCATGTTGAAGAGGCTAAGAATTATGAATTAGTTCCACAATTCTATTTTCCAACTCAAGAGATCAATTTGTAATTATAATCAGAATAAAATGTAAATTCCATGTATTTATTAATTCCAGAAAATCATCAATGAAATTTTTGGTAAATAAGACTTTATTGATGCCATCCATTTTGAATAAATTACAACAATTTTATGTGGACTTTGTAAATACCTTACCAAAATTTTAATGGTTGCTATTGAGGGTAATACTACTAAGATAAGTAAATCTGGGTTTTTAAAGTATTGGAATTAACATTTAGCTTAAAAAGAACCAAAAAAAAGATGTTTTTAGATATTAAAAAAACAAACAAATGATTACATTTAATTTGAGGATTTTAAGCCTTTCATGAAGAGTACATTCTCTTTCCTAAATAGTTTTGCTTTAAGAACATCCTGGATTAGAATTTTTGTAAGCAACACCTGAATTTTAAGAACGATATGCTGACACTGTCATTCACAGAATATTTTATCATTTATGTAGAAAAGATAATGATAAAATTACATGGAGAGATTTTAAATAAAGCAATTTATTTGATATTTTAGATTTAGTAGGAAAAGAAGAAGATATAAATAAGGTACCTTTTTATAATTCCTTTGTTAGATTAGACAATATTTCTCTTATGAACATTTTTATGTTATTTATTGTAAATTTTGGGAATTAGATGGAGATCATGATTTTCATATTAGTAAAGAAGATTTCTCTCGTTATTCTAGTCATGGTCTAAGTAGAAAAGTGGTTGATCGTATATTCGACTAAATACCACGTAGATTTAGAAGTTAAATAGATTAGAAAATGTCATATGAAGATTTTGTTTATTTTATTTAATGTGAAGAGGATAAAACTACAATACAATCTATTGAATATTGGTTTAAAGTTATTGATTTAGATAATAATGGAATTATTACTGGATTTGAGATGGATTACTTTTATGAAGAATTGAAACAACGAATGGATTATCTAAATCATGAACCTATCTTGTTTCAAGACTTTGTTTGTTAGATGGTTGATCTTTTACATCCTGATAATGATATTCTCTTTAAATTGAATCATTTTAAATAGAATCTGACAGTTTGTGGAGTTTTCTTTAACTTTTTAACTAATTTAAATAAACTTGTTGCTTATGAAAATAGGGATCCTTTTCAAGTACGTAATGATATAGTTGATCATCCAGACTTTAATGATTGGGATAGATTTGCATTTCAGGAATATGTTAGATTAGCAATGGAAGAGGAGAATTAAGAATAAGGAGAAGTATTTGAAGGAGACAATATTTGGGATAATGATGATTCAAAATAATTATGATATATATTGTTATAATGTCAACTCATAATATTTTCATATGCTCCTTATAATTATGTTGATGAAAATGGATAAGTGGAATTCTTCCATCTATCAAAATTGAATAAAGATTGTGTAATATTCAAATTGGTTTTCATAAATTTAGGACATGCTTAAGCAACTAAATATATAAAAACTGGTAGAGTTCCATCTTAACCAGGATTATCATCAATTCCAGATATTTTCAATAATAAGGATAAGTTACTCAAACAATTAGAAATCATTTGTAATTTCTCAATAGGAGTTATTACTTAATCAATCTATCTGAAAGCTAATTTAGATTTATATTATTAAATACATTCACTCATTTTTTATAACATAGGCAATTCTGATAAACAAATTTTAACCTCCTATTATTCTTCAAGATGTTTTAATTTCTTTTGACATTACTCAATAAATTCCTTATCCTCTTTTATTTCATTAACTGTACAATATTTCATCATTATTCTACGTACAACAGATTTCTCTGCTGTTTCATAACATAAATCTATATATTGATTATTCTTTTTTATATTCTAATTTTATGGAAAAAAAGATTATTGTTCTAACTTTTCTTCTACTAATTTCATATAATTTTAAAATAGTTTTTATACTCTAGAATACTATATAAATTAAATATTACATCTCTATATAAACATTATCTCCTTCTAAGGCTTATTTTAAATGATTAAGTCCACTCAATATATCTATAAAGTCTCTTATACTCTAAAATGGTAATTCCAATTATAATGAATTTATATCTTCTCCATTAGCAATCTATAAGAATTATTATTTTTCATTATCTTTTGGATCTAATGATTTGATTTTGGATATATCTTATATTGGAATCAAATTGATTTATCCATATCTGAAACTCAATAAACATGGTATTTTGACATTTTTTAAAAAATTATTCAATTTTTTTTTTAATTCTATAGTTTTTAGCTATTTATTCAAAGCTTTAATTTCACTTCTTTCTGTTTAAAGTTACGTAATAATTTTCAAGAAAACTTCTAACATAGCCTTTTATTCTAAATAAGAAACAAAGAGAACTTACGATTTTTAGCATAAGTAACTTTCTAATCGAATTCTTATATCATTTCTTGACATAACAGCGAAAGATTATTGCTAGTATATTGATTTGGAATCATTTTATAAATTGAAAGCAAATAGTTTGCATATAATTAGGGTGAAATATTCTCATATTATTTAATTATTTGACCCTTATTTTCATATGACTAAATTATATGTATATAAATTACATCTTTATACATATATATGAGGTTGTCAAAACTTAAGATAATATTATTTCTCAATTTTGTCAAAAGAGATATACGTTCAATAGAAATTAAAAATTATGCTACAACTTATTTTGCCTTTGAAATAAACAACAACTCTTCTTTATCTTATGCACTAAACTTTTCTGTGAATTTAAAAGCTATATCTATATAATTAACATTATAAAGATCAGATAATCTATGTACTGTAAAATGCATATTACTTGCAAGTACTTTCTATCCTTTCCATTATACATTATTACTCATAAAATCATTTCCCATTTTTTAATTATATCTCATTATACTATCTGCTAATTCTCTTAAATCTGTGTATTTAGTTAATTATTTGCCACCTAATGAGCCTTCTATTCTTGATTTTGATATTGTATTTAATAAAATTTATAAATCTGAGATAGAAAGTAAATAAGAAATAAAATGTTTTTCAGATTTTTCTTTGATATAAAAATTCAACTATGTTTGAGGTAAATCAATTAATTCTTTGAAATAATTAAAAACAGCAACATTTGTTAAAGATATATTTAGACCTTTTATTGTTTCTCCTTTCCAAACAGATAATAATATTTTACTTATAGCTGTAATATTGCTAGTTTAATATTAAGATGGTTCTAATTATTATTGATTTATAAACATAGCCGTAAATTCAGGTAGTATCCATTTATTAATGAAAAATTAAATCAAAAAATTAAATAATTCTTCTTATGTATATTATTAATAATGAACTTTAAATATTTGATATTACAATCTGCATAAAGCTCTTATTATAAAAGGTAAATTATGTAAACTGTTTAAAATGTTGTCACATATAGAGTTAATGATCATCTCTGTCACTTATTATCTATCATATAATATTTTAACAGTTTCATCTAATAATTATGGATCCATTATTCTCTATAATGGAGTTTGGCAATATGATTGAATTGTAGGAGTAATTTATTCTGTAATTTTATTTAGTATATCATCAGGTATTTTTGTTCTTCTAACATTTTCATATACATTAATATCTTTATTTTCTTCTGTTCCTTGCATTAAAATTGGTAAAAGATTAGTCATTAGTTTTCTTACTTTAGTCTCTTGTTTTAATTTCAAAAGTTTTGCAGATTCTTTACTTTCTTTAAATTTTAACTATGATTCGTAAATTCTATAATTTATATTTATATTAAATTTTACATATTTGGATTCAATTCTAACTCTTCTTTTACATTCATTAATAAATTTAATGCTTATCCACATACTTATTGTATATATGATTAACATTATGGTCCTTTACAAAATCCTATAAGGAATTTGCAGACTAAATTAGATTTATCCTAAAACAATTCTAATGGATTCTTAAGGATTGTCAATTCTAATTTTAAGAGTTCACTTAATAATTTAAAAACACCTTCTTAAAGACCAGCACCTACAATTGGATCATATAAGAATGTTAAAATATCAAATATAAACTCATCTAAATTATGAACACCAACATCTAAAGATGAATGAATTAATTATGCAAGTAGTTCTTGATTTTCCATTAATAAAAATATGAATTTTTGTATTTCTGAATGATAATTTTCGAATTTATATCCCAATAAACATTATTTTAGATGATAATTATTTGCTTATTGTTGATTGTACATTCTACGTAAGTCTTTATATCGAAGTTATGTCTGGTAATACTTCTCTGTAGTATTCAGTAGAATCGAAATACGTTCATTCTTGGTTTCATTTTCTAATTTTCAATTGCCACAAAGTACCCTTATTTAACAAATTATATTGCAATTATAGATTCTCTTACAAAGAATTCCATTAAAGAATTGTATCTGATTTGAATGATTGTCTTTTTGATAATCTAAGCTGATTTGAATCTTCGATTTAAGCAATATCTCCATTATTTTGTTCTTCATGCATTTCAAACATTTCTATATATAATTCGATTTAATTTTAATTTATTAATATATTTTATAGAACAAATAATAAAACTCTTATAGATTTCTAAGTTTAACTAAGTTAATAATTAGATAAGTTCATATTATATATTATTCATAGTTATAGTTTTTTAAAGCATCAAAATTTATTTCTATAATTTTTTGTTAAATAAAGTTATTTAACTACTTAAAATAATTTCAAATTAACAATATGCTGCCTTATGAAATGGAGCCATTCTTTCCTGTTTTAATTGAAAACAAAACCTTATTTAGAAAAATTAAGAGAAGGCATCATTCAACTTAACCTATAGAACGTAAAGCTTAATAGCCAATTGATTCCTTTTATGAAAGATCTTTTGTAATATAAAGAAAAGAATTATAATGTCGAACTTTAGAACCAAAAAAATAGATTTTCATTTAATATCCAAAAACATCAATGAGTGGAAGAGAAAACATTAATGATGAAATTAGTTTTGAAAAATTGATTCAAACATTTTTATAAGTAAATTCTTGCAATCCTTCAAAATAATCATCAATAAATAAAAAAGCCTTTAAGTTAATATCTCAGAATAAAGAAATATAAATTCTTGAAGAAGAACATAAATGTATTCAAATTTATAAACTGTAATAGCTCTCTAATCAAGATTTTTTAAAGAAATTAATTCATATGTAGACAACTGTAGGAAATTTTGATATTTAATTAAATTATTTTATAATTTGTATTCCTTTTTTTATTCTTAAAAATGATATTATTCTAACAATTTATAATGCATAATAATAATGAAGGAAGGTTGCAATTATTAATTTAACTAATTTAAATATTAATCAATAATAAGATATATACTCTCCATATATATTTACAAGTATTTCTTAAAAAAATAGAATAAAAATTTTATATGTAAGAGAAAATATATAAATTGGAATATCTTTTATACTTCTGTATATTTGATTTCCTTTAAAAAAAAATAATATAATTTATGTAATTAACAAAAGAAAATATTGAATTTTATATACAAAGAAGAAAATAGTATTGCTTAGACTTCCTACAGTAAACCAATCAATTCAAACCAAAATTAGCATAATTATAAAAAAGATTGATTGCTACTAAATAGGGAATAGATGGTCCTATTAAATCAATTTCACATCAACAAAAAATCAAAAAAGTCAATAAGGTCTTGGCATCACTTTCAAAATCAAAAGAAGTTTAAAACAAAATTGATAAAGAAATGATTCGTTGTTAGTGCCAATATGAATTAGATGAGGTTCCAAATTGCAAGTATAGAATAATGCAATTTTAGTTTCAATTATTCTTAAACCTGTAATAAGATACAATAGGCTATGATACCTTTGATTAAAAATCTTCAAATATAAATTAAAGGTAAGTAAAATGAGATTTCGAGCGATTAAGATTGTGCTGATTTGTACATAAAAGTATATTAAAAATATTTATAAAGAAAGGTGAGTTTTAACAAATGCAACATAAATCAAAGAGATTATAATAAATTATAGAGAAATTACATATAATGGAGTTACAATAGGAAGAAAAGGTTTATAGAGAAAGTATTAAAAAATTAGAAAAATTTGATTAAGATGAAGAATATGATGAAACACTACCTTATTAGACATTATTATCAAAAAGAAGGTTAGAGGCAAAGGTATTAATTGATGAAGAGAGAAAATAGAAAAAATAGATTGAAAATGAAAGGATTAAAGAGAATATTGAAGAATAGAAATAAAAATATCATTTATTAGATAATAAAATAAAAATACATTATCGAAAAATAGGTATATAAAAGGGAAAATTAGAGAGTATGAGTGAATAAATGAATGATTAAAAAACAATAACATAAATTAATGTAGATTCTCAAAATTCTGTAAAAAAATAGTTATTAAAAAGTATTTTAAAAGCAGATAAAAGGTTTTCATTAACATTATTTTCAACATAATTGAATAACTCAAATATACCGTATTATGTTAATTTTATGATTAAGCCCTGTTTGTTGTGAAAATAATGGTTTATCAGCCACTAATATTAGCAATATTAATAATACATAAAGAAATATTAGAAATAATATTGGAAAAAATACATTTTAGTATTTTAACAAGATAGAAAGAAGATATCATACCTTAGGATAATAATTAGAAAATAAATCAAATTATGATAATTAAGATAATAAATTAATCTTATAATGATCAAGATTATTATTAAATCTAACATTTTAGACAATTAACTGATTAATTTGTTGGAAAAACTACTAAGTAGATTTCTAAACAATTCATACAATATCTATAACTTGGTATTGAGATTCTAGGTGGATGAAATTAATAACCATGACATTATGTACAAGGATAAGCTTTATTACAACAAGAGAAAATTGGAATAGTATTACATGGTAATCTATGAGGACAATCTTAAGTATATAAAATGTGTGGAAATGTTCTTAATTATTTTTCTCTTTCTTATTCTTTCTCTTTTTTCTTTTACTCTTCTTTTTATTTAATTTATTCTAATTCTCTTTATTTTTATTCTTTTTTCATTTATATTAATTGTTATTTTTATAATTCTGTTTATTTTTTTGCTTCCTCTTATTTTTGAACTTCAATCTTTCTTTCTTCCTCTTAAATTTCATTCATTATTATTTAAAATGGTCTAAATTATTCAAGATACTTTTCTTATTTTTATGCTAAAACTTAAAGTTTTAATTAAGCATATTCCTTTCTTTATTTTTAATCGATAATTTAAATTTTATTATTGTCTCCTAAAGCTGTTGTTAATTCAAATTCTAATTGTTCTCTGAAATCATTCCAAGATTATTAAACTTAATCAACTTTTGATGTAAGATACTTTTCAGTTTCATTAATAATATATTCAACTTCAGATAGATGTTTACCTTAAATAAAACTTAAACTTTCTGTAAGTTCTTCTTATGTCATGTCAAATATATTTTTGTTGCTTAAATAATTAACTCTATTTTAAAGATCTCTTTCTAATGGTTACCATGATAATTCTTCATCAATTGATTTAATTACATTATCTTCTATCTATTATAATCTTTCTTATATAGTTATTCTCAATTTTTCAAAAAATGTTTTTACTTAAGTAATTTTATCAGGAACTCGCATAATTTAATTACAAAGATTATCAAACTAAGTAATAATCATATATTTTATATACTTATTGTCTTCTGTCATCAAATATTTTACAAAATGTTTATATTTCCATATTTTAAGATGCATGATTACCATGTTATTCAATTTAACAATAAGAACAACCTAATCTATTATCTGCTTCACAATTTGGATATTAACAAATGAAAACCATCTTATTCTTCTCATGAGAAGTTTTAGTACAAATTGCTTCCATTTTGAGTCCTAACATTTTTATGATCGAACGTTCATGCATTGATTGAAGTTATTACTTTGATATTATTTAAGAGGGTCTTTTTTATAGAGTTCTAGTTGGTGAAGGTGGATATGGGAATGTTTTAGAGCTTAATATTAAAATATATCTTACCTAACAGACTAACAATGTCCAACAGGACTATTAGAACTACGAAATGATTATTATGATTTCGACATTTCTAATTACAGTTAACTACCAGTCATCTAGTCTTATGATTAATTTGCTATCTTTTTAGGGCTTTATGAATTTTATGAATTCAATGAGCTTCTTCTTAGATATTACGATGTTTTAGCATATTTAAGTTAAGATTTTTGCATATTAATTTAATTTGCGGTCGATTTGAGATGAAACAAACAAAAGAAGAAAGTGTAAAATTGTATTTAGACTTCTATGACAAATATACTTGGCCTCTAGAGATTGCTGAAACTTTACTAGAAGTCAGATAATATCTTACAGAATCCACAATATTGTCCCTCTTTCAAAATTTCTACTTTTCTCATAAAGGATAGCGAATCAATGAATACAGTGAATTTTCTATACCAGATGGAGGAAAGTTGCAAGTTTTATTAGGTATTGAAATCAATAAATATATAGATGAATTTAATGAAAGAACAGCTAGATTCCATTTAAGAAGAGTCTAAGAAATAATTGCCAATCTGTCACATTATTAATATCTTTGTAAAGGCAAAAATTAAAATGAGGATTCATTATCTCTAAAAGAAATAGGTGATTTGTAATTAAATGATATCCTTTAACCAGCTATCAAACCAAATTTACTCTTAAATGATGACAATAAGGCTATTAAATAAAATGTGTAATAATTGGGATTGTCATCTTTCAATCCTCCTCCTCTTTCGCGAAAATTAAAGGGTAATGAAAATAGCAATAATTAGGTGATCTCTTTTATATTGTCCTTAAAACCATTGAATCAGTTGAACTAATAATAACAGCCTCAAATTTAGGTTTTTATGTCAATAGCTCTTAAGGAAGAACTTTTGAGCCAACCCAAAAAAGCGATTGTTACTACAATCTTATAGATCTGATTGTGGATTAAAGCCCATCATTTAAGTAAAATGATAATCTTACAAAAACTTAGAAAGGAGTTAATTAATGCTATTCCAGAGTAATAATAACCTGCATTACCAGCTACAATTAAATATAATCATAAATGGTTGTCAGTACCAGAACATCCTTAGACTTTAGATCATTAAAGAAGTGAGAGTTGGGCATTGGATTTACATGGATTTGATATTTCAAGTTTAAGAGATTGGAATGAAGAATTACAAGTATTTAGATCATTGCCTAAAATGGATTTAATCTAAAAATTGAATAGAGATAAAGCATTATCAAAAGTTTATGGAGATTTTGTAGAGGCTGCAGTTAGAGGAGCTTGTGCTGTAGTTGATAAAATCATTTAACCTTTGAATCCTATGGATATTGAATGCTAATAAGTTTACGTTTATAATCAAATATTCTTTAGTTTTGCAATGGAAACACCAGAAGATTTTAGAGTATTTAATTATTATATAAATTAAAGTAAGAAAGTGGTCCTGATGCTACACCAACAGTTTCAACAACAAATTGTGATTTTAGAAATTTATAGATTTTACACAAATTAGATATTCCTGGATTAAGTGTTTTGAATACTTGTTTAGTTGATTATAAAGGAAGAAGAGTTATTGCATAATCAATTATACCAGGAATTCTAAATAGTGATCATAGTAATTGTACATAATATGGTTCAATTGATGATGGAAAGACCATTTAAAAATCTGAAGAATTTCACAAGGTAATGTCAAAAACATGTGAATTCTTTCATCTTGATACTGATATTGTTTTTCTTGATAGTAATCAATAAAAGTATTCTATGGCTGGAAGCATAGAAGTAAAAGGTATTATGGGATCAGATAAAAGAATGTATTTGCTTGATCTTTTAAGATTATCTCCTAGAGATTATAATTATTAAGGAGAAAATAATTAATGTTGTGTTTTAAGATATGAATTACTTTAAAATTATTGGGTTGTTAACACTATTTAAAAAATAAAATAAAATAATAGTGATGATCCAAAAACATAATAGGAAGCATATTAAAATATTTAAAATTTATTAATTGGAAATCCAAAGGAAGGATTAAAATTAAATCCAGCATTAGGCACTAAAACAATATTATAATAATCAGAAAAATTAATTTAATAAGAAGAGGATTTAAAAAAATTATCTTAATTCTTGTTAAATTAAGCTATTCCTCAATTAATATAAGAATTAGCATAGCCAGAAACAACAAGGCATTCTGATCTTAGTATTTCAGATATTTTTCATTCTCATGGAGTAAATATGAGATATCTTGGAAAAGTAATAAGTTTTATTCGTTCTGAAGAATAACCCTCTTTAAGACTTACTTTGGAAAGAGTAGTCTTTGCAAAAACTTTAAAACACATTTTTAGAGAATCAATGAGAAAGGCACCATAAAATTAATTATCATAAGTTTTAAGTCATCTTTTAAATGTAATTTTCTCAAATTCAAATACTTCTATTAATAATAATAAATAAGAAGAAAAGAAGAAAAAAAAGAAAAATAAAAACAAAAGTACTTAAAATGGTGATAAACCACATTTTAAATGTTTAATTTAAACTAATAATTATTAATATCCAACATATTAAGAAGTTTGGGATTAAATCAATAAAATTGCTGAAGCTAGATATTAGCATAAAATAGATTCATCTATATTAAATAAAAAAGGGTTCCATAAATTATCCTGTTTAAGAGAATTATGTTAATAAATTGGATTACAGTTAGTTGCTAGAGATTATCACGAATTCTAACCATCTGATATAGTAGGAATCTAGCCAATTATTAAATTTATAGAATAAGTTTCAGAAGATGCTAAAAATAATATAGAAATTGGTCAAAAATATATGCTTGAACATTAAAATCTTCATTAAGCTTTAGAATCTTATCTTACTGCATCATAAATAATTTTAAATTTACATGGTTAAATGCATAAAGAATTAGCAAATTGTTACTCTAAGATTTCAGCTGTTTATTTAAGAAAATAGGAGTATGAAGCAGCCATACATTTCTAGAAGTAAGCTATTTAAATATATACTGCAATTTATGGTTATGATCACCCTTTAACAATATAAGCCATAACAGCTTTATCTTTATATTATTTTTCTACCAAAAATTATAAAGAGGCTTTCAATCATATGTTGCATACTTTATATCTTGCCAATTTAATTGGAGGTGAAGGCTAAGAAGTATTTAATCAATATACAAATTTGTCATTACTTTATTCAGAAAGTGGTTAACATTAGAGTGCTTTAAACTGTTTATTTGAAGGACTAGAGAAATGTGAATCATTATTTAAGTCCTTTTAAGGTACAGAGACATAATAGTATAAATTGAGAATATCTGGATATTATTCGGCTATTGCTTTGGAACATGGTGAAATTGGAGATTTCTAAAAGGCAGTTGAATTCTAAGAAAGAGCATCTGATCTATTAAAGAGAGTAATTTATGTGTTATAACTAGACTCTTAAACCAGAAGATACAAGAGTTAAGGAAGCAGAAGCTTTATTAGCTAACTTAAAAAAAGCTTTGAATGAAAAAAGAAAGGATACTCAATAATCAAATTTAGGTATTATAATCTTTTATGACTAAATAGATAGTAGAAGATCATTTGGTACTAATCGAAATTAACTATAAAAAACAGAATAATAATAAACTTAACAAGTATCAGAGGAGACATATGTAGAAAGTGATAAGGTAATAATAAGTCTAAAATTTAATAGGAAAGAGAAGCTTTATTATAAAAACTAAGAGCAGCTAAATAAAGTATGAAATTCAAAAATAAAAATTAAATGGATATAAATAGATATATCCTTGCCTAATAACTTTATAGACAATAGCAACAATAACAGAAAGAATGAGCGAATGATAACTGTGATTATTATGTATTTTGTTTAATATTGTTTATTAATTATAATCACTCATACTATTGGATTATGATATAATTTAGTGGGTACTTTAGGGCTTTTAAAAAATATTTAAAAGAAGTTTATTTTCCTTAAGAATTGCATCAAAGGAATAATTAAATCAGAATGCAACTTATAACTAATATGATCCATATCTTCTGCTAAATGTAAAACACATATTTTGGCAGAACAATTTTCTATAAACTAAATCTATTTTTTACCTTATAATTTTTAAGCTTATTAATAAGGAATCAAATCATCTTTCTTTCCATGCAATATAAAAGTTGGAGATGTAACATCATTTATATTGTCTAAGTTTTTAAATCTTTGTCTAATTAAATGCTAAACCCATGTACCTACAAACCTAACATAATCACGAACAGCATCTTTTAAGGAAGTAAATGGTGACATTAACACTAAACAACCTGGTTTGTGTTTACTAGCTAAATAGGTTGCAGGACCAGATCCTATTGATCTTCCAAAGATCATTATTGAATTTTCTTCATAACCTATTTTTTTGGATAAATAGTTATAAATATAATCAGCATCATTTTATATAGCTTCAGCAGAAGTTTGAACTTAATTATATTTTCCATACCCTGGGTATTCTACTGCCAAAACTGAAATCTTTTCTTACTATGATATAGTAATACTTACAAAACATTACGAAGATGTATCAAAAATGCATAGGATTGGCTGATATCTTCAGCATTTCCATGAAAATAAACTATGATATTTGATGAATTTTCATATTTGATAAGCAAACAAGGTATATATCCAATTATCTTTCCATCTCTTTGACCAGTTTTTATTTGTTAGATGGTAGGTTCCTATTTTTAATTGAATTAAAGAAAATGTGGAGAACTTTTACTTGTAGTTTCCCTTTTTTTATTTCGCATGAATGAATTTTATTTAATATTATTAATCTTAGATTTGCCTATATTGTAAACAGATTCCTAATTTAATTTTGTTACTTTATCCTATAAATCCTCTTCTTAGTCGATTAAATCAAATTCTAGTGATCCTATTTCTTTTTCTTCAACCTAAATATTTTTAACTAAATTTTATTTATTGGAGTGGTGAATATTTGGAAATTAAGGAATTGGTTATTTTTTAAATTCACTATGACTTTTAGAAATATTTACTTTTGATCATCAATTAAAGCTAATTATTCTTCTTCTATTTGTTGGGTTGATTGTCTTAAAAAAATAACCATATTTTTTTTTGTTTTTCTTTTAACATAATTCTAAAAGTTTGGATACAATGCTGAATGTTTTGGTATCCACAATATTCTACCTTCATCAAAATACCCATTATCTAATGTCTCTTTAGGAGCAGGAAAGAAAATAAAATCTAAGTCCATCAGGGAATGGATATTTATTATTTACTTTTCTTTAAATCTTAAATATTCTTATTTCTTCTAATTTTTATATTTATAACAAAGAAAAAGCTATGAGAAGGTTCTTTTCATTAGGGAATACAAAAATATTAATAGTAATAAGAACAGAATAAATCATTATGAATTCACTGTTTAATTAATTTTAGCTGGCAGACTTGATTGCATAAATAAAATATAAAATTGATTTATTAGTTAATTTTAAGATAATTCTCTTCATATCTGTAATTAATATTACAGAATCTATGGTAAATTTGATATTTATGTAAAACCTTTATACAAGTCGGATATAATACCTATTAAAGAATAAATTAATTTAAATTGGAAAGATTTTTTTTCATTAAATTTCATCACCTTAAAAACTCATGTATATAGATAAATATATATTAAATAAAATTAACAAAATTTTGAATTCGATTAGTGATAATACAACAAGAGTCTTTTTATACGAAACAATTTTTTATTTTTTTGGAAAGTATTTGAAATATTAAAACATTAATATTAATCTTATTGATTATCTAATCATCTTGTTAGCCCTTTTAGTGTGATTTCAAAACTCAAATGATTAATTGACTTATTAAATATTTATTTTTATTAGATGAATAGAATCAATATGTTTAATGAATTCTAGATTACAAAGGTTTATATTAATGAGTTTAAATTAACATATTATAACTCTAATCTGTTTTTTGAGATTATTTGATTAAAATTTAATGATAAAAGCTTCAGAATTTCTCCTCAGTTAAAATCAAGCATTATTGAAAAATTTTTCAGAGCTCTAAGCAGATGCTAATCATACTAAACCATTGATCTAATTTATGAAAGGTGATCCAACTGAGTTTGGGCATGAGTAATGCAAGATGAGTTAGATTGGTTATGATATTGTTAAATCTGAGATCTCTAAGTCTTAGAATCACTCTTATTGCCATTCAACTGGAACTCAAGTAAATTTAAAATTATATATAGCCTGCCAAATAAGCTGTGGCTAAACATTTTGGTCATGGAAAGAACATTACAGAAAATGATGTTATTATAACACAAGGAGTGAACTAAGGTCTTTTTTATTGTTTGTTGGGGTTATGTGACCCTGGTTAAAATATTCTTGTTCCTGAATTAGGGTTTCCTTTTTTCGATGGAATAGCCTAAGCATATTAAGTTGAGGTAAAACAGATGACGTATTATTTTAGGTTAGAAAATATAAATTATAATCAGATAATAAATGGTAAATTGATTTAGAGGATTTGAAGAGCAAACTAGATGTCAACACTAAGTTTTTATATGTAATTAATCCTTCAAATCCTTGTGGTTCTGTATTTTCGAAGGAACATGTTTAAGAAATAATAAATTGGGCAAATTAAAATCGTGTTTTAATAGTTGCTGATGAAATTTATTATGGTATGTCATTTGGAGAATTTGTTTCATTTGGAGAATTAGCAGATGAAGGACCTATAATATGTTTGGGAGGAATGGACAAGATGTTCTTCACTCCTGGATGGTAAATATCTTGGATGATTTTTTATGATAAAAATCATTATGCAGGTGAAATAAAATAAGCTATGTTTAATTTATGTCAATTGTTATTACATGCAAATGTATTTGTTATGAATTCTCTACCTTAAATACTTGATTAATTAACAATATATTATGCTAGAGACAGAATGACACATTTTAAAGAAAATCATGATTTTTTAATTTAAGAACTAAATCAAATTAGGGGTTTAAAATGTATACCAGCATAAGGAACATTTTATTTAGCTGTTCTTATTGATTTAGATATATTTTAAGTTAAAAATGACACTGAATTTGCTAAGAAATTACTTAAAGAAGAAAATATAATGTTATTACCATTATCTTGGAATGGAACTGAAAAATATCAAGGATTTAGGTAATAATTATTATTATTTAAAGAATGCTTACAATAGCAACTAAAGATATTTATATTGAAATGATTGCAAGATTGAAAGAGTTTGTTTTAAGATTGTGAATTTATTTACATTTATATACAGGGATGATAAATATTATCTTTTATTTAAATTTTTATTAAATGGGGAAAGACAAAAAGAAGAGTAAAAATAGAAGTAGGTCTAATAAAAAGAAAGAAAAGAAAGAAAAGAAGGAAAAAAAATCAAAAGCAAAGAAAGATTCAATAAGAAAAGAATCAATAAAAAAGAAAGAATCAATAAAAAAGGAGTCTTAAAAGAAAAATAAAAAGTAAAAAGAATCAAAAAAAAAAGATAAAAAAAGTAAAAAGAAAAGCCAAAGTCCATCTCCAATAAATGCTTAAAAAAAATAAGCTTAAGATGAATAAAAGTTAAAAGATGATGAATAAAAACGATTGTCTAGATTAATGAAAGCTAAATTGATTAAATTTTAAAATTCAGATGATGATGATGATGATGATAAAAAAGAATTTGTTTATAAAGATCCTGAAGTAATTGAACCAATTCTACCCCCAGATGAATAACTAATATATGATTGGTCACAAAGAAATTAAGAAAAATAAATATAAGATGCATTAAAAAAATGTAGATTGGTGGGAGAAAAACTATTTTATGATTCTGATGGAATTGAGGAAGATGACAATCCTGAAGAATAATTTTAAGATGAAAATGGTAATGATAATAGATAAGATGTTAAAATGTAAGAAGAAGATGAACATGAAGTTTAGAAACCTGTTGAAAAAGTAGATAAATAATAATAAGAAAGATTTTTGATAGACAAAAAGACATTAAATAATGATAGTGATAGCGATAGCGAAGATGAAAATGCTTCTAAAGTTAAATTCTTTACAAAAAATCTTTAATCTATTTCTAAATTAAAAGAATTGCAATAACAATAAACTTAATAATAATTCTCAAGACCATAAATAAAACGAAAATGGAGAGAAGAATAATATGATGATTAAGAGGAGGATCCACTTGAAGCATTTATGAGATAAGTTGAAAGTAATAAATTTATTTTTAATTTTTTTAGCTGAAGCAACATAATAAGCAGATGAAGATGAAAGAAGAAGAAAAGAAGAAGAAGAAAAGGAGAAAAAAAGAAAATAAGCCATTGAAGAAGAATTAAGAAAATTAAATGCTTAAAAAGTAATTACTTATGAGGATATCATATAAAATAGTATTAATTAAAATAATGAAAAAAAAAATACTAATGGAATGGATATTGAATAAGTGTAGGAAGTTTAAAATTAGTAAAAAGAGGAATTGGATTAATAAGTTAATGAAGAAGATGAAGAAGATAATAAATTTTATGAATAATTTATGAAAGAATTAAAGAAGAAAGAATTAGAAGAAAAGATGAGATAAAGAGAAGATGAAGATGAAGCTGAAGATGTGGATTTAGAATAATAATAAATGTTAGCTTTATTGGAAGAAGAACCTGATATTTTTGACAAACAGAAGAAATTAGAAAAGAAAGAATTAAAACCAGTTGATCATTCCACTATTGATTATTAACCTTTTAGAAAAGATTTTTATAGAGAGGTAAGTGAATTAGTATAAATGACAACAGAAGAAGCAAAAAAATTAAGATAATAACTAGGTGATATTAAAGTGAGAGGTAAGGATGTACCAAAACCAATTTAGAATTGGTATCAATGTGGATTAAATGATAGAATATTAAATGTATTGATTGAGAAAAAGAAATTCTTAAATCCATTTCCAATTTAAGCTCAAGTATTAATTGATACATGATTTTAGGCTATTCCTTGTATAATGTCAGGTAGAGATTTTATAGGTATTGCTGAAACAGGAAGTGGAAAAACATTAGCCTACTTATTACCTCTTTTAAGGCATGTTCTAGATCAACCAGCTTTAAAAGATGGAGATGGTCCTATAGCCATAATAATGGCTCCAACAAGAGAATTGGCACATTAAATTTATGTTAATTGTAGATGGTTCACTTCTATTTTAAATTTGAATGTTGTTTGTTGTGTTGGAGGAGCTGGAATAGCTGGTTAGTTGAGTGATTTAAAAAGAGGAACTGAAATAGTTGTGTGTACTCCAGGACGAATGATTGATGTTTTAACAACAAGCAATGGGAAAATAACAAATCTAAGAAGGGTAACATATGTAGTAATAGATGAAGCTGATAGAATGTTCGATTTAGGTTTTGAACCATAAATATGTAAAATAATACAAAACATCAGACCAGATAGACAATTAGTCATGTTTTCAGCTACATTCCCAAAAAATGTTGAGTAATTAGCCAAAAGGTATCAATCAATTAGTATATTTAAAGGGTCTTACGTAAACCAATAGAATGCATAGTAGGAGGAAGAGGATAAGCAGGTGGAAATATTGAATAAATAATAGAATTTATGGATGAATCAGACAAATTATATAAATTGTTGCTTCTATTTTAGGAATGGTATACAAAAGGCAGTATTTTAATATTTGTGGAAAAACAGACAGAAGCAGATGATTTATTTAAGGAATTGTTGAAATATGGATATAAATCATTTGTTTTACATGGAGGAATGGATCCATAAGATAGAGAATTTACAATACATGATTTTAAGAAAGGAATAAGAACAATAATGGTAGCAACTTCTGTATTAGCAAGAGGATTAGATATCAAACATATTTGTTTAGTAATTAATTTCAGTTGTCCAAATCATATGGAAGATTATATACATAGGATAGGAAGAACTGGAAGAGCTGGTTAAAAAGGAACAGCTATTACATTCTTTACTCCTTAAGATGAACATCTTGCTAATGATTTGGTTTATTTACTTGAAAAGAGTGAACAATAATTACCTGAGAAACTTAAAGAATATTAGAAGTCATTTATGGAAAAAGTTAAAGCAGGAGAAGCTAAAATTTATAGAAATAAAAATAGAGCTGGAGGAGGATTTACATTTGGACCTGAGGAAGAACAAAAATTTTAGGATTTTAGGACATAAATGAGAAAAAAGTTTGGGTTAGAGGGTTTAATGATGGATGAATAATCTTCAGATGATGAAAAAGTATTAGAAGAAATTGCTAAAGGCAAATTAAGTGAAGAGTATATTTTATATTTATTATTTTAGAGAAAGATTAAAAAAATAAGAGGAAAGAGATAGAGTTGAAAGAGAGAGAATTATGTAATTGATTAAAGATCCTGCTTTGAAATCTCAAATATTATCCGAGGCTACAAAAGCAGCTAATTTGTGTATCAATTCTGGAGGATCAAGAGAATAAGTAGCCAATGCTGCAATGGATGCAATAAAAAGAGTATTAAAATAGCATAGCTAAGTTAATAAATCAATTGAAGGAGGCATAGAAGAAGCAATGCAAATAATTAACGAATTTGAAGAAAGAGAGAGGAATAATCATGATTTTGTAAGTTATGATTTTGAAATTAATGATTATCCAACTTAAGCTAGATTGAAGATATTAAGCAAAGAATTTCTAAATATGATTCATGAACTTACTAATTGTTAAATATCATAGAGAGGAAGTCTTGTAGAACCTGGTAAAAAGCCATTGCCTGGATAAAAGAAGTTATTCTTGAGAATAGAAGGTGAAAATGAATACTTTGTAATGAGTGCCTATAAAGAAATTAAACGTATGGCATAAGATTTAACTCTCAACTAAATTCAAGATAATTATGCTGGTATTCAAACAAATTCTAAATTAATTTGAATTATTAATCGTAAATCAAATAAAATCATAAATATTATTTGTATCATTCCTTTTATTAGAACTATTTTAATATTTGAACAATATTTATTAATGCTACAATTAAATTATCATCTGATCTATCATAGTAGAATAATGCTGGCCATATTGGTAATGATAAAAGCTAGATTATATATTTAAATTGTTACATATATCTACAAAAGACGAGAGAATATTAGATTCTATTGATGAATATGTAATGTTATCATCAAAGTAACAATACTTAAAAGGCAAACTGTAAAATTAAAATTAGAAAGATCATATTTATATTAAAATAGCTAATGTGTAAGCAAAGGAGAGTAGCATACAAAAAAATCAAATATTTATTTTCCTGCAAATGCTTAGACATATAGTTTTATATTAATATTCATTTCAGTATCAATCAAAAATATAATTAATAATAATTTATAATACCTAATTATTAAATATTTATACCATTTCTCTGCTATCAATAATCCTACAATAACTAATATACATCTTAAATATATCACTTGTTTCTCTTATTCAATTATTAGCAATCCTAAATATACTGAACTTATAACAATATATGTATAAATATAAATTTCTGTTGATGTTTCAAATGCATATATTAACAATGGAATATAAAAGAGTGTCAACTATTTTGTGCTAATTAAATAATAAATATAATTTACTTTTTATTTTATGAATCAAAAATATAAAAGCTTAAAAATATAATTAAATTATGATAGATTCCATATTCATAATCTAAATAAGAGATAATAAATTATTCAGCCAGAAAACTATAAGAATAAATCTTTTGTTCATTTATGAAATTTGGTAATATTGCTACAGTTAACATTGCTCTTATGTCTAAAGTCAATGAACATAACATAAATTTGATTGATGAAATGACTGTTTTGAACAAAGTTGTATTATAATCTGATTTGTAATAATATTATAAGAAAGCAGTATTTAACAATTATGGAGTGTCTTTTGAATAGTTAACATTCTTGTACAATTGTATTTTGGTAATGCTATATAACACAAAGTTATACAACCAATATGAAAATATTCATATTTTTTGAGGCTCTAGGCATTTTATTTGATAACATTTTGTATATGAATACTATGATGATTATCAATCTCAGCATTATATGATCTTCTTGGAGGAGGAATTGGTTTCTTTGGTAATCTTATAATGATATCACTATTAATTAGGTCTGTAAGTATTAAATAAGGAATGATTCCAACACTCACCATATCAAAATTCAAAATAGTTAATACTATCTAAAATGGAATAATCATCCATAAGCATTTCGGAAATAATTAACTGCTGCTTGTGTACATACATGCATATAGACTAATTAGGATTGTCATAATGCATAAGAAATAGAGCACTCCACAATCATAAGTGAATTGAGCAAACATTCCCAAAAATAATTGCCCTGGAATTGCATATAATTGTATATACATTATATTTATTAAATCACTTCTTCATTCTAATTTCAATGATTGATTAATCCTTTAAATTTTTGATATCATTTAAAGAAAAGAATTCTGGCATTATCTTCCCTTCGAAAATCAGGTCCTAAATTATTTTAATTCTGATTGCCATACAAAATCATTTCTTCCACAGTCTATTTTTTCAGCCACACATTTCTTAGCCCATTCAACATCTTATCCAACCTTAAACTAACTTATTATGAAATTATAAGTTTTACCTCTAAATCATATTAACTCTCCTCTAATTAAAATTTTAGCTAGCTTATTTATTTATATATTACCTTGATACTCTAACCAGCAAATAAATCATTTTCTTATTCAAAAGTCATTACATTAGCATTTTTAAAATTCAGACTGAAACCTTTCGACATTTTCTATATTTATTAATATCATAATGTAATTCAAAAAAAGAATTTTAACAATTAACATCAATCTTATTTTTAGAAATTTATCATTTAAGACAAGAGTATTGATTTCATTCTAATTAAAATCCTTTCCATCTTATCTATTGTCGATTTTATTTCTTGACAATTTTATAATTGTTTAAAGACAAACCCTTTATTTGCTTATTAAATTGACTCATTTATAAATTATTAAAGCAACCCTTTAAGATGCAAGTTTAACTCAAGAACTGATTTTTACACATTGTTATTCTTTCTTATTTTTTTCTTTAGTAACTATTATCCATTTTCTATGAGTTAATTACAATTATTATGTTATAAAGATTTTAAACGTTGTTTAAGTTATTTCAATTATTATAAAAATCCATAAGCAGGTTCTAGATAATCAGTTTTTCTATGAAATTATTCTTCATCATCTTCAAATATAATTTAGTAATGTTTCATCTATCAATTTAAACTTTATTTTTATTTAAAATTAGAACTATAAAACTTTTTATTTAATATCTAAAATTCAAAGGTATTAAAATATTGTATTTCTCAAATAATGTTCTTCCTTTTTTAATAAATAATATAAAAATGTATATAAAACTAATACAAAGGCATCTTTTCTTTAAATTAATTATATTTTAATTATTAAAATAATATTATAAGAGTCTAATCAATAGAAAAATAATTTACTTCTTATTTAATTAATTAAAATAGATTTAAGCCTATTGAAATTGTGATTAAATGATCTATGTATACTATTTATCAATAATATTATTAAATTATTAAATGAGTAGTAGGTATTTTGTAAAATAAATTATTTCCATATTTATTAATATTAGGAAAGTCTTTTATTAATCTTAATTATTTAAAATTTTATTAGTTTAATATTTTTTTAATGATTGATTTATCTTTTATTATTTATTCAAAATGAATTTATATATATATACATTAGGTAACTATTTTAATTGATTTTATAATTAGATATTAAGTTCTTCTTTATTTTATTAATAATTATTTTAACGAATAGAAATGAGTTCTTAATCAATTTCATCTTCAGATTTATCAATTTCAGATGAAATGAGTTCCATAAAAACTGATTAAGATAGAATGTTGTAAAATTCAAACATATTAAAACATGCTAATTAAGATAACAATAATTGTTTAAAGCACCCAAATAAAAAAGTAATTTGTTTGTTAAAAAATAGGCAAAATTTTATGTATAACAAAATAGTAATTAATTATTTTGTTCAAAATGTGCATTAAATTTAGCTTTATAAGGTCTTAAAATAGAAGAAACATAAGAGGTATAATTGGAAATATAAAGGAAAGATAAAATAAATAATTTTCAGAAGGATTTACATTAAGCTCTTTAATAATGTGATTAAAAATTAGTTAACTTGAATGATATTAAGAATAACTTAATAAACTAATGGGAAGAATAGAATATAAATTGCGATGAATTTTTTTATGTTGTTCAAAAGACAACTAATTAGTTAAGATAAACATATTAGCAAAAATTATAAAATGATTATACAACCTATTAAAATCAAGTTTAGGAATAAGTAGAAAATATCAAACTATTAATATAATAATTGAAGCAATTTTCTATTGATATTTTCTCGAATCATGATAATATAGTTAAGAAAATGGAAATGAAACCTTTTGATGAAATTATGCAAAAGTACTAAAAAAAAGTAGATGAAATTAGATATCAATAATTTAATAGTCAATATCAATTATCTTTAAAATAGCTAAATGTTGATTAAAATTAAATTCTAACATATATGAATAAAATGTGTTATATTTTGTTAATAAAAAATGATAGTATGGAATATAATTAAAAGACGATGACTAGTTAGTAAAATTTAGAATTTAATTTGTCTAATAATTAATAATATTTTGATATGTTTGAAAATGAGGAAATTAATAGTCCTATCTCTAATATCAATTAAATACAATTTCAATCTTCAATTAGTCAACAGTTTAATAAATTTGAATCAATCAATTCAAATCCTGTCAGAAGTAATGCAAATACACCTGAAAGTTGGAAATAAAAACTTAGTTTGAGAAGGGATAATATAACACCAAATGATAAAATTTCTTATTAAAATAGTTCTCGTGTTTTAGAATAAGTTAGCTCGAAAAAAGTACTTTAAAAGTAATTAATTGAAAAATATTCTTATAAATACAATAAAAAATAAAAAACTACAACTGATTGTGAAAGAATAAGTGAAAAATCTTATTCATTATTAAATAATAATATGAGTTGCTTTCAAATATAAAAATTTATAAAAGAAGCGGAAAGAGGAAGTCTTGAAGATAGAAAATTAACTCCAAAATAAAAGGTTATACCTGTTAGTAAATCTATTGTTTATGGATAAGTTTATAATAATTAAATAAAGAATAATTCAAATTAGAAATGTATTTATATAATTATTATATTTAGCTTAGTAAAATCTAATATAAAATTACATTCATAAATAATAATATGGTTCAGTTCCAAATTTAAAATCACCTTCTCATATATAATAATAAAGTGATCCTGTCTATTTGCATCGTTAGTAAGAAGGGCATTTAAGATCCAAATCAAAATAAATTAAACCTTAATCTATTGAATAAGAAAGTAAAAGATAGTTTATAATGAATGTTGGTATTAATTCAATTCAGTAAGTTTAAAATGAAGACACATTGAAAGATAAAATATTAAAAGAGCTTTGTAATCATCCAAGTGAATAAATTTATGGTTAAGTATTAAAAAATCATTAATAAAAATAAAAAAATCGTAAAGCAACAAGCAAAGAAAATTTTGAATGGACTTCTTAGAAAAATAGAAGAATAGGATAAAATATAAATAAGAAATAATAATAATGATTTATATATTTCAAATAAATCTCTAACTATTTCTTTTATATATTTTCATTTTTTATTCATATTCTTTAAAAAATAATATTAATTTAAGAATAAATTTAATTAACCTAAAATAGCATAATATATAGAAATTTTATTAATTATAATTAAATATACACCTTATTGCTTTCTTTTCAGTGTGATATTTTATTAATACTAATATTTTGTCCTATTTTATTTAAAAAATACAATATTTCATGATTTTGAAATATTGTTTAATTTATGTAATATTATCATGAATTTTAAACAAAATATATATTTACAATCTTACGATTCACTTTTTATTTAAATCAATTTATTCATTTTTGAAACTTTATTGGCTTCTATAAATTTAATATGACAATTTATTTTATTAATTAATATGACCATAATTCATAGGTTTATTTCTTACTGTTATTTATGGCTACCAAAGTAAATTTAGAAATCAGTTTAAAAAACGCTATTTTAATAACAGGAAAATGGTTAGGTTTATAAAGTATTAAATGCTTAAATTCATAGATTGAATTTTCCAATGGAGAAGTGCAAAAGATAATAAATTTTGAAAATACAATCAATTATATATAATTTGTTGGAGTAAATAATTGTCTTATATCTTTAGTCATTCCTTGTTATAAAAAAAGTGATTGATTTAATAAAAAGAGTAGAAAATTAGATTCTTTTAATTTTATTAGTCATTGCATTATCAGGAAAAACATATTATTAAGATTTTACTGAATAAATAATAGTTTTTTATTCATTGATATGTTACTTTTTAGATAAGCTTTAATATTTAGTAAACTTACTCTTAATTAGTCATAAACTAAGAAAACAATAATCTATAGTAAATAATTCTAAATGCCGCATATTTTCAAAGTTTCCTAATATATCTGATGAAGAAATTTAAAAGATGGAAGAAAAAAATTAAGACTATTTAGAGTATGATAATATAAGTATTTAGATTCAAATCCTATAAATCAATTAAATGGTCAGAATTATAATTAGGAGATATTGTATGTTTAAAGAGAGGAAAATAGAGTCCTGCTGATCTTTTAATTTTAGACTCTAGTTAAGAAGAGCTTTTAGTTGATTTTAATGTTCGTACTGCTTGTTCTTGTACATTTGTTAACATTAATCAAAATACAAAAGGTAATATTATGGATTTTATAACAAAATTGAATGGATAAATATCTTTTAGTATATAAGAGTCTCCTGTAGGAAGTATAAAATTAAAAAATGATCCAAAAGCCACTTCATTTAATATAAAAAATATGATTATGAAAGGAGAAACATTAGAGAGAGTAGATTGGATTTTTGGAATGGCAATTAGAGTTGGAGACGATTGTTGTTATGTATAAACAAATGTAAAAAAGTAAAACTATTCATTAAAAAGTTGGTTAGTAGAATTTCAAACTTACATCTGTTATTTTTGTTGGATCTTATTTTCAATATGTTTTATATCCAATATGGTTTATTCATCCTTTTTTTTAGATGAATATTTTTTTAAAAGCCTGACTTACTGTTTATTAATATTTCCTTAGAATTTATTATTATTAGAGAAAATTTGTTATTTTTTCATTATTATAAAAAATAATGAATCATTTTATAAAGAATAGTAAAAAGTGAAAAATAAAGACAAAGTTAAAAAATAATAAAAGTTAAGAATAAATGATTATCCAGTAGTTTTAAAATCATAAAATGATAGAAAAATATTAATGCCAATTGAAAAATATTTTAATTTACCATTATTATCTTTTTAAAGATCTACTTAATTATTAGGATTCAAATCTCATAATCAAAATTAAACAGGATTTATGATATTAACTTCATAAAATATTTTAGATCTTATAAAGACTGATATTATAATTTTAGATAATCCAAAATTTTTATTTAAAGTAAAACCAAAAGTAGTATTATTAGTTGAAAATTTTAAAATATATCATTTTAATCACAATAAACTTAAAAATTTAATAAAAAATGCTTCACCAAAACAAAAAACAAATTGTGACAAATTATTAATTGATACAAATAGATAATAAACATAAGATGAAATGAAAACTTTAGATATTGATCTTTTAATTTCTGAAAAACGAGTTCCAGATTTAAGAAATTGCTCTGATATTTTATTTGCTTCAAATTAGATATAAAAAATAGGAAATCTAAAAGAAAAATAATAAATTGATTAAAAATAAAATGATACAAAATTAAATAATGGTTTAGGTAAGAAAAAGAGTGCAAGGTATATTTTTGATTCTTCTTTTGTTAAACATCAATAAAATAGCAATTAAATATTTGACAATAGTAAAGATGCATCAAATCATAATATATCTTAATCCTTCTAATCATCTCAGATTGGATTGCAAAAATAAAGAAGTTAATTTATTAAACCTGGAACAATTATTAAACAAAATCCAAATTTTATCCAATAGTCTTAAAAAAGAATTAATGATTTAAATTCTGATAGAATTATAAGTGAAAATTATAATGAATAAGATTTTATTGATATCCTTTACAGTTAAGATGATAGAATATATAATGAAATTTTAGTAATGATGTTATTAACAAATAGTATAGTCAGTGTTTTTAATGAAAAATTAAATAAATTAGAATTCATATTTGAAAATCGTTATGACGAATCCATTCTCTAATTTTGTGAATTACTTGATTATAGTTTAATATGTTCAACAGAATAAGAGAATAATAGACAAGAAATTAATAGTAGAACAATTATTAAAAAGGTTATTTCAATTGGCAGTAGTTCAAAAGTTTTTGAGGTTCTTACTTTTTTAGAACCTACAGAGAATAGGAAACATACTTTATCAGTATTAGTAAGAGATCCAGAGTCATTCTTATTGGATGAAGGTGCATTGTTATATACAAGAATTGAAACAAATAATCAGTCAGAAAATAAATATCATGAAAATTTATAAGAAATGAGTTGGGATGGATTAAAAACTTTTTTATTTTAGAAAAGATAATTAGGATATGCTCAAACTAATGATATTTTAAAAAAGTTATCAGCTATTTCAGAAACTTATGGTAATCGATCTCATGAAATAGAAAAATTATTTATAGAATTAGAATCTAAAAGTGAACCTATTTTTACTATTGGGATATCATCAACAAAATAAAAATTATTATAAAATTCATCTTAAGAATTAATTTAGGATTAATTAAATTAAGAAAGAATCTTTTTCACTTTATAAAATTATAACATTAAATTATGTATAATTATACCAGATTCTTTTGATGATTTAATGCTTTTTTTAAGAACTTATTCAATAATCTAAACAAAAGATTAAATAATTGAATTTAAAGAAAAGGATTCTTAATAATTATAATATAAGTTTAGATAGCATCTTTAAAATCTAATGTCTTATAATATATCTAATTATAATGATAACTTTATAATTGTAAGTTCTGAAGCATTTGATAGTATTTTAAAAGATGAATATTTAAAATATCACTTTGTTTTTATTTTCTAAATGTCTGGTGGATTAGGTGCTTATTAATTTACAAGTAGATAAAAAGGAAAATTAGCAAAAATTCTATCAAAAATTAATACAAAAATACTTAGTGTTGGAAATTCATTAGATGATGAATACCTCTTTAGTAAATCACATTTATCAGTTAGCTTAACTAAAAAAGAATAGGAAATATCAATGTTAAATTCTAAATATGTAGCTTTAAATATAAAATAACTATTAAAAATGATATTTCTTATTTGTCCAAGTTAAATGTAGAATTATTTAGCATTTTTAGAGATATAATTATATAGATGTTTATTATTAGGTTTGATCATATTTATTACTTATTTTTAATTTGAAGACATTTAGTTATATTGGCTATTGATATTTTTTTTAGTTCCAAGCAATATTTTTTCATCAATTTAGTAGTATTTTCTAATGTTTACTAATAATGAATAAATGATTAAATATTAAACTAGTTATATAATGATATTTTAAAGTATTAAGAAGACAAGTATATTAAGAGGAATTTTAGGGGTTTTTATAATTGTTATTATTGATATAGTTTATTTGGTTCTTATTGAATAATCAATTTTAATTTTTATAAATTTAAATGGTAAAATTGATCAAACCTCAAAATCAGTATTACTTTATATAAGTTTAGAATTATTAGAGAAATCTAAAATTATATTCTATATTATAAAGAAATCTTAAAATGCTTAAAATAAAATTATACAAATAACTATAACAATATTTTTATTGATCTTGTTAATAATATGCTAGAATTTAGTTTAATCCTCTTATGATAATTAAAGATTTATAGATGAATTCAATTAATAAAATTTTGTAGCCTTTATTTTCATAAGCATTTTTTTAATTGGTCTATCATTTGTAACTTAAGAGGTTTTGGAAATATTTTCAATTAATTTCATTATACCTTCAGATCAACTCACCTTTGAATAGAACTAAAAGGAGATTTTAGAATTAAAAAAAAAAATAAGTTCAAGCAATTCACTAAGTGAAGAAGAAGAAGAAATGCAATAAATTTTTAATTAAAAAGTTAAAAAAATTACAGATCAAATTTTTGATAATAAAGATTTAGTGGATGAAATTATAACAAAATAAATTAAAGGAGATTAATCAGTAGTGGATGAATTAGATAAATTTCAAGGGTTTTAAGATTAGAAAACAGAAAAAGATTTTTAAGACTTCTTTAAATAATAAAATTAACATAAATTTAATATTATTTATGCTTTTATATTCTATGATATATGCATTTTAATAATGCACTGTTATAACATACTTACAAGTAACATATTTCCATTATCAATTTTATTAACTGTATTAATTTAGTTTATCATTTAACTATTTATATCTGTATTATAATTAAGAGTGATAACTAATAAAAAGATTTAATAATATTTTTAGTTGTTATCGTTTATTTTAAGATATATTTTTAAAATAATAATAGATGTACTTTATATTGGAGATTAAGAAGATTTTGTTGGATTTATGTATAATATTTAGTTTATTTTTGCTTTTGCATTAACAACTCAACCAATAGTTCCAATTTTATTTTATGTTATATTATAATTGATAATTTACATATCAGATTTGATAATTAATGGGTTTTCTATGAATTTTATAAATTACAAAGAAATGATATATTGTTTGGCTAAATTTGGATTTTTATTAATTGAAATATCTTATCCAATATTTGAAAATGTTTAAAAATTTTAATTTTTACAAAGATCTTCATATATTTATTAGAATAGACTGAATATAGAATAAAAGAAAATTAATAATATTTTAGGTTTATTGATGCCTAGATTTATTTAAGAGAGAATGAATAAAGGTTAAATTTAGATTTAGTAAGATTAAGGTGATGTTACAATATTATTTTGTGATATTTATTAATTTGATAAGGTTATTAAATATGAATAAGAAAATATATTAAATTTTTTGGATACTCTTTATAGAGCTTTTGATTAATTATGTTAGACATATGATTTATAAAAAATAGAAACAGTAGGAAAAACTTATATGGCAGCTGGAGGATTAAAAGATTATGATGCAGTGATAAGTAATAATTTCATATAAAAAATAGATTAAAAAAATGCTAATAGTACAACTAGAGCTTTAGAAACAGCTATAGCTATGATGGATACTGTAAAAACAATGAAATATGGTGACAATCAAGATGTTAAATTAAAGATTGGAATTCATTATGGTAGAGTGATAGCAGGTGTAATTGGAGTTCATAAACCATAATTCTCATTAATAGGAGATACAGTAAATACTACTAGCAGAGTTTGTAGTACAAGTGAAGCTGGATTTATAACATTAAGTGAATCAGCATATAATAATATAAAAGATACTACTAAATATTAATTTGATTAAAAGGCAGTAGCTGCAAAAGGAAAAGGAACACTATAAACATTTCGATTAAAATTGTAATAAAAGGAAAGAGAATCAGCAAGATTAATATCATCTAAATTAATTAAAGATCATTAAGAATCCAATAATAAGGAATCTAGAGTTCAAATAATGCCATTAAAAAATAATGAAAACAAAAAATCTCCTGCTAAAAATTTATTGAAAAGAGCTTCTGTTATGAATCCAATGGGAATGGGAAACGATTCAAATAAATCTCCGATATTAGTTTTAAGACAACTCTAATAATAATTATAAAACAAAAAGTCATTATAAGTTATGATTAAGAAAAAATAATCAATTGATCATGAAAATAAAGAATAAGAAATTAAGCGATAAAATTCTTAAAAGTCAATATCTAGTTCCAATTCAGATGTAAATTAATAATAATAAATATAAGAATGAAAATTAATTCCAAGTTTAACAGTAACCTAAAGTAGTGAATTCTAATGCAAAAATGAGAAGTAGTATACTATATCTATAAAGACCAATTAGAAGGGGAAATGAGGATGGAATTATTTAACATTATCCATCTACTTTATAATAGTTTTCAATGACTTAATTTTAACCAGTTTCTGATGTTCGAATTTAACCATCTTCAAATTAAATTTCATCTTCACAAAATTAATAGAGTTCTAGTATATAACCTTAGTTAAGTTCACTTCAATAAAATTCTTAAAATCAAATGGTTTAGATTTTGGAACATCCAAGCAAGGAGAGTATAAAGTAAGTGAGAATTGTAGAGGAAGCATAAAATTAATAGAATAATCAATAAATTCCAAGAGGGTAAATCAAAAGAAAAGGAACTATTATAATGGCTGATTTGGTAACAAAGAAAAAAATGATGAAATCAAATACTAAAATAATTCTACCAGAAGATAAGGAAAAACCATTTAAATTTGGATAAAAAGAAAATGAAAATCATTTTGAAGGAAATGGTAATAAATAGATAGATAATCATGGTTTTTTTGAAGCTTAAGAGACTCTTATAAAAAAAGATAATGATTTTATTGAAAATTTTGATGAAATTGAAATAAATAAAAAATAAAGCATATCAAAACTTTAATAAAAATTAGATTTGATAAAGTTAAAGAATATTAAAAAATTTAAATTAGATTTTGATAAAGATTTTGATTATGAATTAAATAATAGTTAATACGATAATAAAGATCATGTATTATATTATTAGATTTATGAAGAATATAATCTTTAAGAACTAATTTAATTTAGAAAAACCTTTATATTATTACTTATTTTAATGATTTGTAAAAGCCTTCTATATTTCTTATTAGATGAATTAAATCCAACAAATAAAATAGAACTATTAATTGTTATTTTATGTCAACTTATTTTTAGTGTATTAATTATAGTAGCTTTTTATAGATTTTAAGATCTTTAAGATTTTAAAAAAGCTAAAACATTAAGTTTGATATATTTTATAATAATAAGTTCATTAAACATATTAATAATATACTTTATTGATGAATAATAATTTGAAATAATTTTATAATCATGTTAGATTACTGCAATTTATATCAACTTATTTCACTAATAACTTTTTATTCTAAAAGATAAATAATATTTATAAATCATTTACTTTATTCTCCTTATTTTATTAACTGTATATAAAAAGTATATATTGGAAATAGTGTTTTTCATTATTAGCACAGATGGTTTAACATATTATTATGAACATTAAGTAAATGAAATCCTTGTTAAAAATTATAGAGTGAGCCAATAATTATAAACTCAAATTTCAAAATATGAAAATATGTTGTAATATTTGATGCCTCCTCATGCATTAAAAAGATTATTATAACCAGAATCAGATAAAACAGAAACATTTATAGATGTTCTTGATAATGCTACTGTTTTATTTGCAGATATTGCTGGTTTTACTAAATATTCAAGTTCTGTTTAACCTGAAACTGTTGTTGAAATGCTTAGAAATCTATTTTAATCTTTTGATTTATATTGTCAAATGGCATAAATATATAAATTATTTACTATTGGAGATTGTTATGTATGTATGGGTGTTTTGGATTATACAAAAAGGGATCCAGCAGAAGAAGTATTATATTTTATTAATTTAGGCATAAAAAGTATTAGCTTTTGGTCTCAAAATGATATAAATTATTAATGATGTCAAATAGGATCCTTAATATTAACATTTAAATATGAGAATTGGAGTACATACAGGTAGAGTTCTTGGTGGAGTTGTTGGTACTGATGTTGTTAGATATGATATTTATGGTGAAGATGTCACTATTGCAAATTTGATGGAGTCATCTGGAACTGTATAATATTGAATTTTAGTTTTAGGAAGGAAAGATGTTAATTAGTGATTATACAAAGAATTTAGTTGAATCTGAATATGATGACTTTAAATTTGAATATGCAAAAGATGTTTATATACAATCAAAAGATATTACGGTACCCACTTTCTTTGTTTCACTTAATGATGCAGATTATAGTGAAGAAGGTTGAATCGTATAGATTTTGAATATTATATATATTTATTTATTAATATGAGTTAAAATAAAGAAAAAGTTGAATCAGAACTTTTTCAAATGTATTAAGATGCTATTGATATGTTGGAAGATGATTAAATTAAAGAAGGTGTATTAATCCTTAAGAAATTGATGAATCATCCATCCATAATTAATTAAGAGGATAAAAAGATTCTCTATGGAATTTATATGTCTTTAGCTGAAATATTGGCACAAAGTGAAAATGTTTCTGAAAAATGTGAAGCCTTAAATTATTATTATTAAAGCTCTTTAATAGTAGAAAATTGCTGGTAAACTTACAGAAAGATGTCTCTTTTATTTCGTCAACTTGGAATGATGCCAAGAGCTTTAAATTTAAATTTAAAAGCGTAATTTAACATTAAAATTTTATAGTCTTTAATATTGTACATCATGTATATTAACATAGCCTCTTCTATATTAAGCTTGTTGTATTAGCTTTTTAATGAATAGTTGGGATGAATTTAATCAATACTTTAAAATGATGAAGGATGATACTAATTTGAAATCATCTATAAAAGAACTCTAAAATTATCATTTAACTAAATAGACAACACCATTTGTTAATAATCTTTTGGAAGAATATAATTAAATTGAATAAAAACTACAGTCCTTACCTGAAAATTAAATCTATTATCTACTCTAAGAACAACAATTTGAATAAGAGATATATTTAGATACATAAAATATAAAAAGGTTTTTTAAAGATATCAAGTGTTTATTATAAATTAATCTTAATTTTCGAAAGAATCCATCTAATTATATAATTTCAAGTACAAAAATTGTTGTTACATCAAATTAAAATAAATAAAAAAAATTATATGTTTCAAAAGAATAATCAATTCAAACATTTAAATAAATTGAAAAGTAGAAATCAAAATAATCATAATATTAATAATAATAATTTAATTTAGATTAAATTATTTATAATACAAATAGTAAACTCATTGATCTTATTAAATCAAATTATAATTGGGATATGGTTTCATTTTCTATTATTAATAACAATACTAAAACTTAAAATGAATAAAATGAAAATTAAGGATGTTCTATTTCTAAATTTTTATCTGAACGATTAATTAATTAAAGTTTTCTTACTGTTATTGAACTTTTAAAGAAATTAATTATTTTAATTTTAAAAGATTTTCTTTCTTAAAAATTAACAATTCAAAATTTTAACTTTGTATCCAAAGGATTAATTAATTGTGTTGTTTGGGCTCAATATTGTACAAACAAATTAGTTGATGATCCTTTTTTAAAATTATAATTATTAGAAATTGCATTTAATGAATTAAAATCACGTTTTAAAGAAAAAAAACCAAAATCTCCTGAAGAATAAAATAAAATTAAGAATTATATTCTATTCATTAATAATATGAAATTAGAATTATTATAAACTGATATTTCTAGTATTTTAACAAATAAAAATTAAATTAAAGAATATTTGTAAAAGTATTCTATCATAATGGCAAATATTCATAGTGATATTCATTTCTTTTAACCTAAATTAGCTAAACATTTTACTAATTAATTAGAAAATCCTAAATTAAAATAAGAAATTAATGAAAAAATAATGGCTTATAAAATAGAATCTGAACTTAAAACCTCTAAGTAAGTTCTTTAGATTATAACATAATGGGAAGAGAGAGAATAGAAATTAGAGGATAATGAAAAAATGAGGACATATATTAAATAGGTTATTGAATATTTAAAATCTAATAAGAATAATAATATACTTAAAAGATTGTCAATCATTTGTCTAAATTAATTTTATTTTGCTTATCATTTAGAAGATTTAAAAGAAATATAAAAATTTGTCTAACCTTTAGTTTTATAAATTTTAGACATTAAAAATTATGATATAGATATAGGATTCATTTTCCTCAAGTTTTCTTTCATATATTCTTTGATAGAAATTGATTCTAGTGAAATCTTGGCTAAATTTACTGAAATATTTCTAAATTCAACAAAAAGCCTTAATAAATATTTAATTCTATTAGAAATACTTAAAATAAATCATTTTAAATTTAATGAATATTTTACTTATGTAAATATTGATACTATTTTAATTGAATTTATTGAAATAAAAATAATTTCTAAATAAAAGTATAATTAATTAGTTGAATATTTAAAAAATAACATAGAAGCTGATTTAGAATTAAATTATTATTTACTCCATTTACTAGAATTAAAAATTTAACACACACCCTAATTTATTGTTTAACCTAATACACTTACTATTGAAATTGATAAATTTGAAACAAAATTACCTTAACCAGATTCTTTTTCTGATGCATCAGAAGATGAATTAGAAGAACCTTGCTATTATTCAAATTAATTCAAAAATATAGGATTAGTTGAAAATCAAATAGAATCTTCTTTTAGAATAACAAAAAAGCTTTGCTAATTTTCAAATAAAACTGTAGAATTTCTTATTAATCATTCTGTTTAAATTAATGTTGGTGATCCTAAAATTATTAATCATATTAAAAGATTTGCTAAGGAATGTATAAAATGTGAATTTGGAATGAGTACAAATGAATTAAGTACTTAATTATATTAATTATTAATCTAAAAATATTATCTCTAAGCTGAATTTAAAAAAGATTTAACAAAAATAGAACTTTAATTTTTGGGTTATTATTTGCCTCATTGCATCAAAAGTGCTTCAGATTTCAAATAAATCAATGAATTTTTACTTAATAAAGTCAATCCAGCACTTAATAAATAAAATGAATAAGAAATAATATAATTCGTAGAGGAATTAGAATCATATATATTTGATAATAATGAGATAACATAAAGTTTTTCGCTAAAGGAACATTATAATAAGATAAAGAATTAAAAAATTGAAAGTGATTATAAGACAAATTTATTCTATTTGTTATAAAAAGCTGAATTGATTCTTGATGAATAATGCGAATCATCACATTTTAAGAATTTTCTTTTTGCTTTAGCATATAAGGATTCTTTATTTCTTTGGAATGAATTTTATATTACATTATTTGATCAAGCTAGAAATTATTTGTCTTAAAAGAAAAAGTCATAAATCAATTGGTTTATTTGTTAATAAAGATTACAATTAATAATTCAGAATTACCCTGATTTAAATTCTTTAGAGGAATATTTTATTATTATGGATCTCTTACAATTATTAGAATAATAACATTTATACCAAACAACAATATCTTAAATAAAATTCAATTAAATTTAAGAAGGATATGAAAAATTGTTTATGAAAAAATAAATCATTCCAACCAAAGTTTTTGATATAAAAAATAATTTTAGGTTATTACAATTATAAGAAAAAGTAATTATGAGATAATATTATAAAATTAATATAGAAAATATTACATAAAATTTGGAAAATCTTTAAACACTCATATCATTGATTAAATAAATGAATAATCATCAAATCTAATATTATCTTCATTCAAAAGAAGGTGAAGTTGAAATTGAATAAGATATATTAATATCAATATATAAATTTATCAAGAGATTTTTAAGACATCAATTGCATAATCAATTAAATTAATTGATAGATATCATTAAGATAAAACTTCCAAATTTATTAAATTAATCTTAAAGTTAGTTTTAATTTTAATTTGAACATGATAAAAAATAATTTAAAATTTAAAATATTGATGAAATTTAATTAGAATAGGAAAGAAATGCAATATATTCAAATTAAGATGTTAATCTAATTTTAAACAATATATTAGAGGGATTTATAAAAAATAAAAAAAGATTAATTAAAAAAAAACCATAAAGATATTTAATTGAATCTTTTTACTATTCTACTCATTTATTATTTCATAGTAATGCATCAATTGATTAAGTATTCAATTCTATTTAACCAGTTTATTTACCAAACTCAAAAGACTTAATTTATTATTATAAATCAATTGATAGATACAAATGTGAAAAAGATGAAATACTTAGTTATTATTACTTTCATGATCTTAATTTTTCATACTAAAAGTCTAAAATATTGAAATTAATCATTAAAATTTTATTAAAACAAAAAAAATACAAAGAAATAGTATCACTTTTAGATAAGCTAAACAAAACATATGATTTAAGATTGTTTTAAGCTATTATTGGATTATTAACAGCAATTAAATATATTGATGAAAAAATCTTAATAAGAGATATAATCATTAAAGTTGAATTTTTAGGAAAAACTAATGAATTTCTAAAAGATGAACAGATTATAGAATTATTAAATGGAATGTATATAAAATTATATGAGAAAGAACAACAAGAATAAAGTCTAAATGATTTTGAAATTGAAATAAGCTAAATAAAAATTGAAAAAGGAAAGAAAATTATTGAAGATTTCAAAATAATAAAAAAGAAACCAACTAAATTAAAAGAAAATTAATAAATTTCTTAATAATAATAATCTTAAATATAGCAATCCTAAATTTAAAATTAATAATAATAATTATATTAATTATCAAGTGAATAAATTAATGAAGAAATAGGCTAATTTAAAACCTAAGAGGGATCTCTTTCACCACTTATTGATTTAGATATTGTTTGATTTAATTATTTATTAAATTCAACTAATAATATTAAATTTTTATATGTATTAGAGTAGTTTTCTTTTTTAATTATATTAATATATATAAAACTAAATTTATATGTTAAAATCTTTTTTAGAGACTAAATAATATAAGAATTTATTAATTATTATAATATAATAATTTATTTATTTATTAATAAATAATAAAAGGATTATGGTATATTCATCTATTTATTTGCAAGATAAATGAAAAGTATATTTGAGATCTTTTACTTTTATAATTATAATAATAAAAATATCATAGAAATGAAATAAGAGACTTTGAGTAATTCAACAACTTATATAATGGGAAGTTCATAATAAACTTAATTACTTGATGAAATAGAAAAATATAATTGTTTTTGGAAATAAGAAATAATATTGAGTGATTGTGAAGAATAATTTGTTTAAATAGCATCTGATGATGATAGAGATTGTGCTGCAATGATTAATTTTGGAAAAGCACTTAATATCCAACCAAAAGATATTTCATAGATAACAGAAATCTTAAACTATTTAGATACTCCTTAATTAAAGATGACTTCTTTATAGAGTCCTTAAAATGTTTTGAATTATTTTCTGCCTAGTAGTTTTGTATCTACATTAACAGAAATGATCAATCATTATCTGTTAATGGTTTTATAAGAAGATCTAAAATAATAACAATAAACTCAATAAATTTATCATAAGAAGAAATATAAAGAAGCTGAGATTTAATTTTATTTAGGTTTACAAATTTTATTTGGAGTTTATAGATTTCCATCTTTGGATGACTATTGGAATGCTGAATCATGGTTAAAAGGTGGAGTTGAAGTTACTATGCCAATAGGTAGATTTAAATTTGTAGATCTTCATATTTTTTCATACTTTGATGAATTATAAAGAGCAAAATTATAATTGGAAGTAAGTAAATTTTCAAAGAAGTTGAAATCACTTTATAATCCTGATTAAGAATTAATTGTTGTTGAATAAAATCAGAAAGCATACAGAGCATATTATATATTTGATTATGATAGTTCTTAAATTATAGATTTATTGGTTGTGTGTAATAATGTAAAAAATGAAGACAGAATAAATAGGGTAATGAGAATGCTTTACAAATATTCTAATCAAAATCATGTTACTTATATATTATTTGATTTGAGCTTAGAAAAGATAATTCAATTAGTGGATCAATCAATATATCCAGTTATTCGTTATTAAAATATTCATCATAATTTGATATAAATGCTCTAAGATGGAGAGTATGAATTGGATTAATTATACTTAATTAAATAAGGAACTTAAGTGGATGTTTTCCCATAAAGACGCCTAATATCAAATAGACATTATATGACTTCTTATGAAAAAATAAAAGAGTAATTGCAAGAACATATAATAAATCTTTAATAATTTCGTAGTAACTTTTATTAATCATCATAATTAAATAATACTGAAGGATTTCATCAATTAAGAGTTGAATTTGAAGAATATTTCGAAATTATGATACATAATACTTTTTTACTTATTCAACAGACATCTCAATCTTAATTTAGACATGATTTAGCTAAAATACTTCTGAATGAAAAAGGATAATAAATTGAAAGAGATCGTAATGAAGCTAAACGTAAATTAAATGTCACTTATTAAGAAAATACCTCAAATACAGATCATTTGTCTTTTGGATTATAAAAGTAATATGCTGATTAATATCATACACCAATACCTTAAAAATAAGATGATACATTTAAATATTGTTTAGTTTGTATGAAATTTGATGGTTTGACTAAACCATATTATAGATGTTAACTTTGTGAAAAACTTTTGAATATCAATAAGGTATTCTTATGTCCATTTCCATGTTTTGAATTATTTCATAGAAATCCAAGTGATTTCATGGTTTGTGATATGAAAATGTTAGAACCACTTGGTGAAGGTGTATATTTTAAAAATGAATCTACTATGTAATTAATTAATAATGGATAAGAAGAAGATGCAAATGGAAAAAAAAGAAAATATAATAAACCTCCACCTAGAACTTTTTGGTCATTTAATAAAGAGATTTACAAATAAGCAAACATAAATGATGATCAAAATCTGAATGACATTTTAAATACTTTTAAAAAACCTCAAGCACCTGCTCCTTCACCTAATTTATTATAACCTATTGTACCTTAAGAATAATAAAAATAGACATAACCTTTAGGACACAAAAAGGATATGAAAGATATAGATCATTTATTAAATTAAGAAAAGGAGTAAAAAGATAAATTAATAAAGGAAATGTAAGAGAGAGACAAATAATTATAAGAACAATATTTTTAATAATAATATGAGAAATAATTGTAAAAAGAATAAGAATCAAAGAAGAGCAAAAAAGCTTAAAAAGAGAGTGAAAAAAAGAAATAATTAGAAGAACAACTTAAGAATGTTAGTCCTCTTGAGAAATTCATGGAACAAATAAATAAAAGAGCTAAGGTTGAAGATATTGAATGATGATGATATTAAATTTATTGGCAAATTATTTTATATAAACAATTAGCATTAGTATAATTTAAGAAATACTGAATTTTGCATATAATATTATCATCTATTGTAGAATAGACCTCCATAATTTCTTGAATATCCATTAGTAGTGCTTTTACTATGATAATCATTCAAAACATAATTGCTTTTTTTATATCCTTATTAAACAGCTACTGTTGGATCGTATTATTTCAATAAGCCTAAATCCTTTAATTTATAGACATTTTATTCTAGTAATTTATTGTTGATAATCAAATTTGCATCTTCTAAGATTGAATCCAATATATCTCCTTATTTCCTGTTTAAATAACTTCTACTAGATTGATTCTCAACAATTAAGGTTTCTTTTAGCTTCTGGATAGCAGGGTTTGAATTAGCCATAGAACAAGATCTCCTATTATTTAGTTATAAATAAGGCAGTTTCTCTTTAGAAGATTGCATTAAATTAATTATTCAAAATCATTTCACTTAGACAGGTTTAAAATATAATGCAGTTGCCCTTTTTTTTTTCCTATGGTAATCGACATCTTTTTAGGGACTTACAAGTTGATTATCTCTTAAGATATGTTGGCGATATTTTCTATTATTATTAAGTAATATTACTTAATAAATTCATATGGAAAAGTTAAAAAAAGACTTAATTACTTCCATTATTCAAAGAATTTTAAGTTTATTTTTGTAGTCTTAAATAGCCAAGCAGAATTAAATTTTGGATAATAATTTTTATAATTCTTAACACAATCTATTTCTAAATTAACCCTTTAATTCAATCTTACTTTTAAATCTTCTAACAATACTTTATCACTTTCTCTTAGACAATCTTCATCAAATTCTCTTGGATTATGTAATTCTAATATTTATATAGTCTAGTTTGGAGGATGCAATTTTTATCTTATTTGTTTAATATTTAAAGCTTATCTATTAGAAAATTGTCTTCTTGTTATACTTTAAATTTATTAGAAATAATTTGAATGAGAAGCTTTCCATGATTCTTTTAATTCAAATTCAGAAGAATCTGATGATTCTATTGTTGGAATCGTTAATTAAATCTTATCTAAATTATCATTTTATTTAAGTTCTTTAAAAATAGCTCTTCTTTTTTTTTCAAATATTCTTTTATAATGTCTTCTATTTTATAATTAAGGATATTAATATTTTTTTATGACTGAGTCTTTGTCTGGATTAAAAGTAAGCAAAGGACACTGTTGAATAGTATGTTAAAGACTTTTACATGAGTAACAATCCATACCAAAATATGATTTGTCAAAAATGAGTTATTCTTTCAATTAACAATATTATTCATGATCCTCTGGATATTATAAAAGAACTTTCATAAAGTCTTTTTTTGTAATGAATACCAATTTACTAAAAGCAACAGAAGTGTACCTTAATGATGGAATAACATCAAGCATAAATTCTCTTAATCCAAAATTATCCCCAGCTTAAAGTGTAGCTAATCTTAATCTATTATTTCTAAAATATGTTCCAATAGATCCTCTTTCTATAAAGAATAAACAAGGTTAATCAAATGGGACCGTTTTACAAGGTGTAAGTGTTATTGATTATACATGTTTTAAACATTCAGCTTTAAATTCATGAGAAAAATAATCATTAAATAATTTACAACCTTTGACTATAATTGAATTAGCCTCAAAGATTAGATTTTCTTAAAGATCTTAAGATAATTAACCTATTATATCTTTAACTTCTAAGTTTTCTTCTAGTTTTTGTTCTTTCCAATAAAATGTTAAATATTCTCTTATTTCATATTTGAGTTAATTGGAAATATTCACACTCTTCATATATGTATTAATAGCTCTCATTTTACGAATGTGATCCTCACTTTTTTCATTCAATTTAGAATATACATTCCAAATTGCTGATACTGTATATGATAATTGTAAAGTTGAACAAACCATAAATCCTATTGTCACTAATCTTTCATATATATCTATTAGGATAAATAAATTTAATTACTTTTTGGAACAACATCTCCATATCCTACAGTAAACATAGTAACAGACGAAAAATAAAATGCTGTAATATATTAATCAGTATAGGTAGCATCAGATAATCCATTTGCCTTTATCCAAGAATCTTCAGCAATTTCTTAAATTCCAACAAAATACCAAATACAACTAAATAAATGTTCCAGTAAGAATAGAAACATCACTAATTTAATCTATAATAATTTAATATTTTACTAAATCTATTAATAATGAAGTAGATTCTGAATAATCTTAGCTATTTTATAGTCTTTAAAATACTCGAATTATATTTTATAATTAGATAATGATTCCTAAGATACTGATCACACTTCTCACATAATTATATTCTCGAAGTGATTAGTGTTTATAATCAATATAATTATTTTATTCACTTAATTCTTGTGCAAGAACTAAAACTAATGTTATAACACAAAAAATATCATAAATGAAACCATTCCTTAAATAATTTCGAGCTACTTTATAATGATTTGTTATCAAATATCCTTTCTCATAAAATGATGTTATAAAGTTTAATAAAATATCAAAGATTAATAAAGCAATGGAAACTTATAATGTCCATAAGAGTTAATTGTATAATAATTTATTATTAAATGCTATTTCATAAGGAATGACAAACAAAAGATAAAATCTTATAAAAGCTAGAAATATATCCCATATTAATTTGAATTCATTGTTTGGATTGATTATTGGAATAAGTTTTATTTATTTAGTTATTTTCTATACAATTTTTGACTTTTTCATTTCTCTCCATTTTCTATTCAATTTTCTTTTCAATCTAGCAAATTTAGATTTATTTACTTTTCCCCATACTTAACCAGTTTTCTATGATACTTTTCAAAATAATCATTATATTTCTTACTAATAATATTCTTTTCGAGAAACATCTTTTATAATATGAAAATGAATGGGAGCTAATTATTGATATCGTTTCTTGTTTTGTATGGCTTTGTTCTTCATTCGAAATCCATAAAACTTGGCTCTCATTGATTGAAAAGCACTAAAAATATAATTAAATTCTCATACTTTCCAATAGTATTGACTTATTTTGTAATTAAAAGTTTATCTTCAATCTTATAGGCCTCACTTTAATCTAGCATATTTTTAAGTAATTAATTATAATATTAAATCATAAAAATTGAAAGGAAGTCAATAATGTATTTTAATTCATTGTAATAACCAATCAACTCTTAATGGAGACTTTAGACACTTTTAAGTACCTTTTAATGTATATAATTCTGATCTTCCATCTCTTCCTCTCATATAAAATTCAACAATATAATTTTCATCAGCTCTAATTGATAAAATATCTAAATATAATTATGATTTTGGAATATTCCTTTGATGACCACAGAGTTATAAAGATTCCCCTTTAAAATAACATTTACTATAAACAGTAATACAAGCTATATAAACAATAATAACTACCCCTATATTCATATCTATTATCATATTTATAAGCACTTCGATAAAAATCCCTTTGTCGTGGTTCTGCCCTTTTTATTGAAGAAGAACCATAATAATTATCTACTTCACAATTATCTGGATTATAGTTTGTAGATTTTGCATCACATGGATCTGAATAAATACTTAATTGATATAATATATTTTACTATAATTTGCTGATAACATCCCTTAAAAATCTCCCTAACTCTTAATCATTTGGATTTTTTGGTATTATTACACTCTATCCAGTTAATGGTGGTCCTCTTCTACTACTATATCTATTATAATAATCATCTCTTCCATAATAGTCTTCTCTTCTACCGTAATAAGTATCTCTTCTACCATAATAATCATCTCTCCTTTGATAATCTCTACCTTAATATTATTAATTCAAATATCTATCTCCTTTATCATAATATTAATCTCTTTAATGAAATGTGTTTTGATATTACTCATTTTATTCTATTTATAATTGTTATTCTCTCTTTTAAGTCTAATCTTCTTATTCATTATTTTATTATTAGTTTTATCTACTTTTAAATTCTTTATCATTTTATTCCATCTTACTTCTTTATTAATTATTCAATAAAGGTTTTTAATCTTTTTATTTAGACTATAAGTTTTTTAAGTTTTTCTTTGATTTTTCATTTTAATCAAATTCTTCTTTTTTACTTTAATAAATTTATTAATTTTTTAAATTATTAAATTATTTTGGTTATTCTTATATTTCTTATTATTATTTATAATTTTCATTATCAAAGTTTTCTTTTTAGAATGAATCTTAAGTTGTTAAATTTTAGTTTTCTTTTAGATTTTCATTTGATTAAGTTTCTAGATGGATCTCTTCAGGTATTATCGAAACCTCACTAACAAACCCTAGTTATTATGAATTTGTTTTAAGACTCTTTGATATACTTTCATCTTCATCAATGGAATATTCTAAATCATTTTAGTCAAATTAATCTTAATTTACAGTTTAAATCAACTCAGCTTGTTATTTTAATAGTTTATGTATTTCTTTATACTAAATAGGTTTTACATCATAATATCTTTATTAGGCTTCACAATGATTTTCAACTAAATGTATTAGTAAATAGTTTACTCTATTCAATTATAAATATCTTTTAAATGTGATCAATGAATTCTCTAAATAATTATAAACATTAATTATCAGATAATTCATTTTAAGATGTAAATACTAAAACATAAGTCTAACCAATAATATTTTAAACTGAATGAGAATCTAAAATATATTAAATAAAATTACATATATTATCATTAATACTATAAAATGCTTCTAAATTTTCATTTTGTTCATTAATTATTAAAGAATTAATACTTTAATTTTTATAAGTAATTCTAAGAAATGACCCAATATATCCACCATGATTCATCTCTCTATTTTTCATCTCAGATGATAATAAAACATTAAATTCGTTCAATATTTCTATTCTATTATCAAACATTTCAACAAATGGTGTATCTTAGTATTCTCCATTAGATTTAAATTTAATTAACTAATCAGATTCCAATTCAAATTATAATTATTTAAAAATGTTTAAGGAAACATCAGAACATGATTATTGAATATTTTCACATACATTATTTCTTTATTGTATGATAAATACACAATCTTAAAATACATGTTAAATCAAATCAATAGAAGGAAATTTGGTAAATTATGAAGTGACAAATGAAAAAACAAATACCTTTGAATCAGTCATACCAATTGTTATATAAGCTAAATTTTAATCTTCTTTGTAATTGATAATAACTCCTTCATCGCTTTCAAATATTATAATATGTATAAATCCTCTATTTTCTTATTAAATTGTTACGATTAATCCACTTAAAGGATTCTCTATTGTTTATTAATGAGTTTCCATATTTTTAATAGGTATTCTCAATTCTAAAACTTTATTATTTAAATTTTATGCTACAAAAACTTAAAGTCCTGGATAGTTTTTAGTAAAGTATTCATTGTCCAAAGATCCATTTATTATTTAATTTCCCATATGGTAATGTATTGGTGGATGATATAAATCAGGTGTATGAAAGGTTAAGTGTTCAAAATTTAAATCTAAATTACATTTGATTTATTCTAATGAGATTAAAGCGACCTTCTTTTAACAATATTCTTAACCTTCAGATTGATCAATTAAATGTACAAATCTTTTTAAAATCAATAATACATCTCCTTTACCTCCCCAAGATATAATATATACAAAACCCATTTTCTCAAATTTATCCACAGCATCCGTTTTGCCATAAGAAAAATCTCTTACCAAATTTTCTTTTGAGATTAATAAATGTCCTCCATCTTCTTCCTTATCAACAAAATATCCATTATAACCATTATATTTATGAATTGATACAGTGGTTCTATTTTATTTTACTTTGAACTCCTAAATTGATAACCATTAAATTTCACTAGCATCACCTGCAAATATGTATGCATCTGAAAATCCAACCAAGAAATATGAATTATTATTCAAACTTGGTGAGGATTTATAAGTTTATTAGATGTCTAATGCAAAATGAGGAGATTGGCATGTTTGTATGTAAGGCATAGTACTCAGCAATTAAATAAATATATTACTTTTCATTCTATTAATCAATCAGAAAAAATGTTTTTTCATCATAAAATAGACGTAATCCACATAAGAAATTCTCTGCATTAAACGAGTGTATAGCTTAGATTAAAAAAATTATAAACATTAAAATTATATGAATATTAAAATAAAACTAATGAATTACACTTTAATCGGTTATTCATACATCTGTTTAATCATCAAAATGAATTATATTTTAAAGTAATACATTTGATTTTAAAACTTTAATTAAAACCAGTTATTAACTAAAGTAATTTAAAATATACATATTGTTAGATGTATTTTTACTCACATCACTTAAAATTCTAGATTCTTAAAACAAAAATCATTTAGTTTTCTAACAAATCTAAAATTGAGCTGAACTATTATTATTCGTTCTTATCAATAATGAATGTTTAAAAATTTACTGAATTAAACAAGAAAAAATAACATATATAAAGTAAAATCAAGAGATATTCATTACAAATGATATGGCAGTATCCTATTTTTTTCTTTATATGAATTTATTTCGCTACATTCCAAAATCAGTATTATTATCATCTTCTTTGTGTGACTGGTTAGAATAATAATTATATTCCTTTGATTTTGGATCAGTGCAAAATCTGATATGTTAAGCTCTAAGATAAGCAATTATAGTTTTTATTTAAGGATTTGGCTTGTGGTATAGATCTAATTCAAGTGAATCAAGACTTGAATTTAATTCTTCTGACATTAACTAATTTATTTATATATGAATTAATTCAAGAATAGTAAATTAAATACTTTAGGATATGTCAGAAATTATCACTCTGATTTTGGTTCATCTAATATAATCAATCATACACTATATCATAAATATGCATCTTCTCAAAATTATTACTACACAAAAGAAATTAATGATATTTTAAATAAAAACAGAACTTCAGCAACAATTAAGTTTTATGTAACCAATTAATGAATAATTCAGGATGATATGTAATATTTAGAGAATGAGGAATGTATGTCCAGACTTTATTAATATGATGATTACTAATCAAAAATTTAATTGTTGGTTGAGTTTTATAAATATCATCATGATTTGCCTAGATTTACTGTAGACAAGGACATTATTTAAATTTTGAATTTGTATTACGATAAAAAAAGAAAATTGGAGTACTATAAAATATAGAGATAAATAGAATATGAAAATTAATAGAATCCAGATCAACCATAAAAAGGAATAGTTGGAGATATACCTATTTAATCATAAAGTACTCCATAATCAGATATTAATGGAGATTCTACCATTAATTATAATGTGGATAATATACTTTAAGATGTAATTATGTTGTAAAAAAACTAAAATTAAATATCTGAATAAGATATAAGTTAAATTACTAAATTATAGGATGACTAAAAGAGTGAAATTCAATAAATGCTTTAAATTTTCAATTAAGGAAACCAAAAGAATATACAAAAATATTCAATTTAGAAAAATAATAGTCCATCTTTTAAAAAACCTCTTAAATTAAATGACTAGATACTACATCAATCAAATCGAAAATAATATACTTAATAATAATATGATTTTAGAATTCCTTTAACAACAAGATATCCTTCTTCATCTCTCAGCAGATATTTGAAAACATCATAACATGACCATAATCTTGATTCTAATTTAACTCATTTGTTTAATAAATATCCATAAAGAATAAAAACAAGAATTGAAAAAAAAATTGAGAATAGAAAAGATTTAAAAAAGTCTATTCCAGAAATGAAATTATTGGGATTAAGAATATTAGCTTGTCTGAATTAAATAGAAAAAAATAAGTAGAATGCTAAATCAATTTCATCATTTGATAATAAAGATTTACAAAAGATTTTAATTTCAGTTAATTAACCTACATTCTCAACAAAAATTAAACCATTAAAAAGTTCTTCAACTCAATCAATTAAGATCTCTAAACAATTTAATACATAAGAAGATTAAGTATTAAATTCAAGTCCAAGAAACTTTTAAATAATTTAAACTCCAAGATCTTGTTTAAATGGTTCTAAATAAAAATAAAAATAATTCTTAGATACTAAATAAAAAGATAATATATAAGGTTTAAGAAAACTAATGGTATGTAAGAAGGATAATGTTCTCAAAACTCAACCAAATTTAGGCTTTATTCCAAAACTTAATCTTAATATAATCAATAAATTTAATACAAACTCTTCCTGTAATACTCTTAGAAACAATGGATTAAATCTCAATATTACTAACTAATTAACACCAAAATCTTAAACTTTTAGATCTAAAATAAATCACTTAATAAATTAGCAAATAAAAACGATATAAACCAACAATATAAAGAATTCAATCAAATAATGATAGTTTAAAATTTGTTATAAATAAAATAAATTTTTAAACACTTATTAAATGTGTATTTTAATATTCATAATAAATGAAAATTGTAATGATTTTCAACTTAATCAACTTTGTTACTAATAATGTATAGAATAGATTAACTATAACTTTAATTGGAATGAACTTCCTTAAATTGTTTTCATAAAAATAGTATTTAAAAATATATATATATATAAATAAATAATGATTTAATATGGTGATACCATGATTTTATTTGAGGATGGAAAACCTAAATAATTTATTACAGTTACCTAGGGTTAAACATATCAAAATAAATATGGAGCATACCATCATTATACTTTTCTTGTTAAGCCTGGTGAAGAAATACTTTCAAAAAATGGAACAGGGCCAATTTATTTAATGACTCCTAATCCTCATTTAATAACAGAAACTGTTCCTCACAAAACTTAAATTCTTTTTATGGCTGATATATCTATGATAATACTTAAATTATGTTTAAAACCAGGTTAGAGAGTTATTGAAAGTGGAACAGGTAGTGGATCTTTATCTTGTTCATTAGCAGCAGCTGTTGGTCATAAAGGCAGATTATTCACATTTGAGTTCAATAAGGAAAGAGCAAATAATGGTAAAGAATTGTTTGCAAAATTGAAAATAAATTAAGCAACTTGTTTTTGGAGAGATGTTTATACTAATGGCTTTCTAAAAGGAGATGATGTTGAAAATTAAGGAGAATTTCCATAAGAAAATAGTGTAGATGCTATATTTTTAGATTTACCACAACCATGGTTAGCTTTGGATCACTCTAAGAAAATGATTAAAAAAGGTGGAAGAATTTGTTGTTTCTCTCCATGTATTGAATAAGTACAAAAAACAGCATTAGAATTGAGACAATAAGGATGGAAAAACTTGGAGACATTAGAATGTTTAAAGAGGTAGAAAAATTTACTATATAAATTATAGACATTTTGAAAGAAGAGTTAAACAAGAGTAATCTTTATTTGATGATGTTCAAAAGAAAGTATGCACAGATTAGAATAAGAGAGTGACTTATTCTTCAGGAATAAATTAGGCTTATGGACACACTGGATATTTAACATTTGCATAATATATATGATTTATAGAAAATTTAATATATATACATATATGTATAATTAAAATATTAATAATTTACATGTAAGAACTCTTTTGAATCTATACACATGTTATTAGTTGATTTTTAGACTTTAATTAAATTCTTAAGTTACCTATACATATTTACAACATTTTAACAAAAAATCTAAAACTCTTAATGATAATCTCTAAGAGAATATATTATAAATCAATTTAATCTTATACTTATCAAATATTTTGATATCCTTCAAATTTAAATTAACTCTATAGTTATAATAGCTATACTCTTTATGCTCAGACTGAAATGATTGCTTTTAAAAATTAATAATAAATTTTATAATGATATCCAACGATAACAAAGGATAAATTTAAAAGAATATTGGAAGCCATTTATTATATTCTTTTTCTTAATAAGGCTTATCTAAGTAATCAATTAATCGAAAGGATAAAGAAAATTATATTGAAATCAAAAAAGTTGTAGAAGGTTAAAGCTATAAATATTCTGATTATCAATCAAATACTTTATAGACATTTACAAATTTTAAGTAGACGAATATAAATAATACATTAATATAAAACTGTGAAAGTAATAATGAATATTGTACAAAAATGTCAGTTAAATAATTGAGTAAATCTAAAGAAAATCTGATATAGAATCAATATTCTGATACTCATAATTTTAGAAGTAAATCAACCAGTCCTTAATTAATTTCTTAAAATTATTAGAAATCTGATAATATTAACATTTAATTCATTAAAAATTAGGAGGATTAGAGAATAAAAAATATAGCAGAAGGTCTTAAATCTAAAATATAGAGCAATTTAAATAACAAACTAAAAAATCATTTTATTTAATAATCTAAATAAATACAAAGTAGATTTTTACCCAATTAGGATTTAGTAGCAAATTATTAGAATTAAGTTTAGTTTCATAATAGCTGTTTATCTTTAAAGGAATTTTTTCATCAAAAAAGCATTGAATTAAAACAAAAATTTTTAGAATAACAATCTTAATTAATTGAGGAAAAAGTATAAATTATATCAAATAAAGCTAAAACAACGGAATCTACAAAAAAATCATTAAGTCGCTCATATGATATATCTATAAATACACAAAAAAAAATAATATATAATAAAGAAAGCATATCAAAATTAAGAAATGATAATGATTCAAATTAGACTAAACTATTAAATTCTTCAAATTTAATTCCACAATAAAATTATTCAATTAATTATAATCATTAAGAAAATTAAACTCAAATTTAGAGTGAAAATATTTAAGAGGATAATTATTATTTTTCATTAAATAAAAAATTTGGTGAATAAAATTTTAATGAAAAGAAAAATCAAAATTTATCTAAAAACCATATCAGTATGAGTTCTCCAATAAGTCTATCTTCTAATACACATTCTTAAAATAAATTGATAACTAATGATGAAAGAAATTCTCCACTAGTTTTATCAAATAAGGTAAATCGTTATATGAATTTAATTTAATCATTTAAAAGTTTTCAAATAAATTAGACTCAATTAAAAAATGAAATTGAAATTTATGATTCCATTTAGGTTAATGACTTAAATCATATTAGTGAATTTTCTATATTTAAAGATGAAAAATAAAACCATAACTAAAATTTAGGACTATTTTCTGAAATAGAATAATAAATAAGTTTTTCAGATATATAAATTAATAAAGATCTACTTTTAGAATCAAATTAATTTGATTAATAATATATCTAAAGAGATTTTAAATAAGATTATTTTAATGATGGCATAAAATAAATTTATAATGAATAAACAAAAAGCTAATATTCTGAATAAAAGTCTTCACTTAATACAAAAAAAATTATATTGTAAAAATAAGGTAATAATTTAGTAAATTATTTAAATTAGAATCCTGTCAGTACAATCAATTACTTAATAAATGATTAATATTAGAGTGTATTTGATTTTATGAAATTTAATTAGTTATAAACTTAATCTTATTCTATAAATATATGAGATTAGCATTTTACTAGAGTGATATCTTTAATAAATTTAGTTTGGAATTAATTTTTATATAATTTTATTCTGTATTTATCAAATCAGTATAATTCTCTAAATTCATTTATTATTTCTTACTTTTGCAATATATATATTGTAAGATATTAAAATGGGTTAATGTTCCTCACAAAAGATGAAACAGTAAATGAAAGCAAAGATTTAAGAAGCTAAACAAAAATAATCATAAACAACTACTCCGAATAGATAAACAACATAATTAAATGGTATGAGGTCACAATCTCGACACAATACACACTCGGCATTTTAATCTCATAATGATTTAAGTCAACCAGCATATAGTTTGAAAAATATCAATTATTTTCTCGTCTATAGAAATACAAATTTTTCTTCCTATTATAGCTTACTTAACTAAGAAGATAAAGATTTTCCATTTACTACTATTTAACACAACAACACTGGAATTGTAAGAATAATTAAAAGCTATAAATCTTCTGATTCAAAATATATAGCATAGCTACTCAAATATTAACTAGTAATTTTTAACTTTATCTTAGCATCATCCAAATTTAATATAATAATTTGAAATATATGAAGAATAATAAAAGTATCATGTTGCTGAAGAGAACAACAACAAAATAGTAGTGTTAAATTCAAAAATTTACAATGATGAAAAAGAAGTTGCTTTTGTTTTTAATTAAATAGTTGAAGTTATTTAATATCTACATCATTAAAAACTGACCCATGGACATTTAACATTGGAATGTTTTGCTCTATTTGGAGATAAATACTTAAAATTATATGATTTATACCATTTATTTATGAAGAAAAAACCAACTTTAGAGGAATCTCACTATTTACCACCAGAATATTTTGAAAATCAAGAATATTCTGAAGAAAGAGATATTTGGTCTTTGGGAATAATTTTATATAATTTACTCTATCATATTTCTCCATTCCAATCTAATATACCTAGCTTAATCAAATTAGAAATATAGGCTTAAAAAATTTCTTATGAGAAAACAATATCAGATGAAGCTATATCTTTATTATAATAAATATTAGAAAAGAATCCAAAAAGTAGAATCAGCATAAGAGACATTACAAAACATATTTGGTTTAAAAAATAATAAGTTTTCTTATTGGATGAATAGATTAAAGAAACTTTGTTAAGATTAAAACAATCAAAAAAACTTAATATTTTATAAGTTTATTTGCTTAAATTCATTATTAATAATTATCCACCTGATAAATTAAGAGAAATATACTCTGTTTTTCGATCACTTGATTTAGATAATGATGGTTATTTTAGTATTTCAGAACTTATTACTTCTTATACAGAATATGTTGAAGATACTGAAAATAATAAAATTATTTGTATGAATATTTTCTAAAAGGTTGATATGGATAAAGATAAAAAAATTACATTTTAAGAATTTATATTGTATGCCTTTGATAGAAAAGAATTAATTGAAGAAGAAGTAATTGATACAAGTTTCAAATTATTAAAAAATAAAAAAAATTTTATTACTGCTGAAACACTGGCTACTTAATATACATTAGATAAAGAATTCTTCACAGAAATAATGATTGAACTTTTAAAAAAAGATTATGTATTAATTTTCTTATAATTTAGATCACATTCCAAAACTTCAAAGATTTAATGAATTAAACAGTTTGATTCAGATTTTATGATTTTATTATTTTCATATCTAATATTAAAGATTTAATTTTGTATAAAATTATAAAGAAATATACAACTAAATTTAAAATTATTAAGTTGATTATAAATATAAAGTCAATCTAAACAAATCATCCATAATGTTTTTAATAATTAATCTGCTTTTTTTCTTTTATCAACATCTCTTTCTAAACAATTTTATAACACCTCCACAATCTCTTCATCCAATGATTAGATATGTAGATCTTATTTTTTTATTTTCATTTATAATTCTTTCTCTGTATGACCACTAAAGGGAAATTTATTAAACAATAAAGCATATAGTACAACTCCACAACTCCAGATATCTGTCATTTCATTATACCTTGGATTTGGAGGTAGCATTTCTGGACTCATATAAGAAGGAGTTCCATATGTAGTATTAATATATCCATCAATTTCTGTAGCAAAACCAAAATCAATGAGTTTGATCTCTCTTTATAGTTAAATTTAATTTACTTTTATGCATTTAATAAAATATTATCTAATTTGATGTCTCTGTGAATTATTTTTTTGTTGTGTAAATAATTAACAGCTTTTAATAGTTAAAAGAAAATTTATTGAATATCTATTTCTTTTAAATTTTTAACTTTTTTCAAAGATAGATCACCTCCATATTCCATTATTAAATTTATCTAAATAATATTCAAAAAAAAAACTTACATTTTTATTAGATTCTACAACCTTAATTAATTGAATTATATTCTTATGATTACATTATCGAAGAATTTGAATTTCTTTGGCTACTGCTCTAGCACGTTAAGGATCATAGAGTCTTTCTTTAGAATATACTTTAATGGCAACAATTTAACCATGAATCTTATGTACTCCTTTTCTAACAATTGCATAAGAACCTTAACCAATGATTTCCTAGATTTCATATTCATCTAATGTCATTATTTATTTTTATGGTTTTAATTCTATTTTGATAATTTCTTTTATTTCTAATTTTTCATTTGTTAGTTACTTTACCATTTAAGGTGCATTTGAATTTGATCTAATTTAAACTACTGATTTAACAGGTTCTATTCTTTTTTTATTTGTAACTTTAGTTTCTTCTTTATTTTATTTTGGTGGTGTAGGTGTCTATTTTGGTTTTAATAGCAAATTCGATAAAACAGGGAGTCTAGGTTTCATATGTACTTTTTTTGGTCGAATTTCAGTATTTTCATTTTGATCTTCTTAAACTAGTTTATTATCTATGCTAATTTATTTTGTTTTAGTATCTGGTCTCTTCAAAATCTCAGGAAGAGTTGTAAATTTATGATATTAATCATCAGTAAATTGCCACATTATATATTATATATATATTAATAATTTTCATTTCATTTATAAAATTTGTAAAGATGGATGACATGGACTAGTTGATAGCTTAATTAGAATAATAGGTTAATAATATATAAGAAGAAAAAATTGATACTAATAAAGAGTAAAACTTTATCTAATTTAAGTACTAAATAATAGGTACCTCCAAATATTGGAAACCCAAAAATTCAATAATAAAATGCTCAACTTCAGTAATAATAAGTTTAAAAGAATTATTAAGAAGATCAAGAACAAAAATAAAAAGATGTAAAATAAAAATAGTAACAAATGTAATAAATTGAAAAACAATTTTCCACTTAATAAAATTAGCAATAATAGTAGAACATATAGTAATAATAACAATAGAAGTAAGCTTATATTTAATCTCAACCAATTTAACAATAATAAAATATAAAATAGACAAATGCAAGTACATCAAAATTGATTGAATAAGAATAAATGTATACTATTGTGTCAAGTTTTAAATCATTTAATTTAATACAACAAGAATGCAATTTTATTATAAATACTTGTATGAAATAGCCATCTATTGAAAGCAATACTTAATGCTTGGCATTTTATACAAATTTAAAATAGGCTCTATAAAAATAATTACTTTAATTAATAGATTTTGTTGAATAAGGAAAATTGAGAGATGATATGTATGGGAAATTTATTGGAGTAACATTTAAAGATTAATATGCTTTACTTCAAAAGGCATAAACCTAAGGAGATGCATTTTTTATTAAAAGGTTTTTATTTAATTATTATTTTTTAGAATTACTAATAGAATGAATATATTAAAGGCAGAATAAACATTAATGTAATAAAATCCTTCAGAAAATTTTGTTCAAATAGTTTAAAAAATAAAACCAAATATAAACATACCTTAATCATAGAAGCCTATATTAAGGAAACCTTAGCTTTAGGAGTATAGATTTGTTATTATTATAGCAATATAAAATTAGATTCAATAAAAATTGATAAAAATGCCCAAAAACATCTAGAAGAAAATATAGATTAATTACCAACACATGTTAAATACGAAGCTTTACTAAAAAGATATAAAGAATATTATAATTATGCAACTTATTTATCAAATCATGCTAAAGTAAACAGGAAAGAAGATATTGAATAAGCCCTAAAATTACTAGAAAAAGGAAAGTAATTAAGAGAGCTTTTTACTTAAGGGTAGAATCCTCCAATTGGAAATTATCTATATAATGAAATAAAAGAAATTACTTTAGAATAATTTCATTAAATGAATTAATAATAATACAAATCATGTAAATATGTTAAAGTATATTAGAATAAACATAATTATTCAATTAATTGATGGAAGCAAATAATAAGGAAAAAGAGTTTTATAAAATATCATTACACTCAAAGAGAATTCATATAGGCTAGAATTAAACTTATAATCCTCATGAAGAAAGCAAATAAAGATTAAATTCATATGGTTAAGCATTTGAACATCTAAAATCCTTATAAAAAATGTAGTGGATATTATTACCAGATTTAGAGACTTAAGATTTAAAAGTCTCAATATGTATTGAAAATAAAGAAGTTCCTCCAAATATTATAAGAATCAAATTTCGAAAGCTTGATTGCAAATATGAAAAATATTACTTATTTTATTCTTTAGATACTAATAAGTATTATTAATTATAATTATTAGAGGAGTTGTAAGTAAATAAACTGAAATTTGTGACAAGACTTGTTCATTCAATTCTGATCATGATATTCCTTTGGAAACAGGTGTAGATTATTCTATGAAGAAAATTGAAGTTAGACTATTTGAAAAAGGATTCTTTGGATCAAGTGAAATAGGTGTAGGTTTCATAACTCTTGAAAATATTAAAAACAAGACTTTATTTGAAGGAATAGCAAGTATCACAACTCCTAAAAAATAAACAATCCAACTTTCTTATACATTAATGATTAGAGAACCTATAGAGAAATATACATAATTATAAATTTAGTTTGTTTAAATTACTAAACAATATCCAGTTTTTGATTAACAAGAAGGTATGAAGGAGTTTTTGGAAAAGTTCATGGTAGCTTTGCCTACTTATGAATAATATAAAAAAGAGTAAGAAATTAAAAGGTAAAGAGAATTAGAAGAGTAAAGATAGAAAGAAGCTTAAAGGATTTAAGAAGAAAAATTACTATAAGAATAATAAGAAGCTTATTAATAATCAAATAATTAATAATAATAATAAACACAAATAATCGTAATATAAATATTTAAACTAGTTTTTAAATCACATGGAGAATAATCCAGAAATTTAAAAGATAAAATAATATATGGCTACAAATCCACCTTTACCACCTAAGTTTAATATAGAAGATTTATTATATCCTGAAAATCCAAATACAGTAAAAATATCTCTAAATTTAGTTTCCAGTTTTCTCTTTTATAGAAGAATACTAACCTTAAGCAAACTAAAAAAGTATTGAGTTGAAATAAGAGCCAAGTTTAAGATAATGGAGTAAATTTGTGCAAAAGATGTGGGAAGATTACACCAGATAATAATGTGTAAATAAATTGTTTCATATTTAGATAATAAGAAAAAACCTAGAAAATATTGGAGTTGATTGGTATCTAGAAAAAATATAAGGTTTACAGGTTTTTGAATAATTTCTATTGGATACTTATACAAAGTTAAATTTAAAAGATTGGGTTGAATTTGTAAAATATAGACAAGAAAAATTGTAAAAGGAATTATAAGAGCTAGAGAATATGTAAAATGAAGAATAGGAATGATTATCCATTTTATATATTTCATTTAATTCATAATAGAAATAAAAATATATATAAAATCAACTTTGATTATTCATAATTTACATGTTTTCAGGTGATCTGAGTTTTGGTTTTTCAGGACTTGAAATGAGATGAAGAGCTAAATAAGCAATTATTTTAATTCCAAAAGTCAATCCTATTAAAATGTAACAGCATTCCCATTTAGATAGAGTGATTGATAACATTTCTACAGGATTGCATTCTTATTCTGGTAAACATTCATATTTTACATCATCAAACTCATTCTATTAAATAATAAGACAATTATTTTACAATAACTGAAGCTTCAAATCCATATTTAAACATTGATAAATAAGTGAATGGATAGAAAATATAAGGAATATTATCTTGGTTAACAAATAATCCACCTAATATCATAAAAGGCATAACTAAAGCAGACATTATTGAAGTAGTTAATTATATATTTGGTATTATTATTGATAAAAGTAATCCAAATGATACCGCATATTAATATGTTAATAATTAAATTAATATTAACATGAAGAATTTTCCAATATGAATATCACTTAATCCAATAACATAATAAACGATGATAACATAAATAGATGGATATAAAATCTAAAAAGGAAGTTCTGCCAAAGATCTTGCCCAAAAGAATGAATGTACACTATAAGTTTTATTTATTCTTTCTCTTAAAAATAAAGGTCTTTCCATAGAAAATGTATAAAGGGCACCTTGGATTCCTCCAAATACATTAAATATATTTATTAAAAATAGTACTCCAAAACGATTTTATAATCCTTCATTATATTTTCCTAACTGTTATATTACAATAAATATTTACATCTGAATAAACTAACATAAGAATGATTGCATTAATAATTGATTAAAATATTTTTAATTTCACATAGTTAGGATTTCTAATTTCATTGAAAAAGGATCTTTTATAGATTAAAACAAATTATTAAATGAATCCAATATGAAATTCAGAATCATTTTCTTTGATTACAGAATTTTCACTTGATTGCAATTCTCTAATCATATTAGAAGAGTAATAATTATTTATAAATTATTTAAGTCTTTCTTCAAATTCTTCTTTAATTTTAGTTTCATCAAAGTCTTCAGATTCTCCTTCCTATATTTTCTCTACTAAAAGACCTTCTTCATTCATTAATTTCATAAAGTAATCAGAAGGATTTGAAAAATTGGGACATTAAAAGCCCATATTTGCAAAATAATTAATAGCTTATTCAGCATCTCCTTAATAGATAATATTTCCTCTGACTAAAAGCATAAGTCTATCAAAAGTGTTAAAGATTTCAGATGAAGGTTAATGAATAGTACTGACAATAGTTCTTCCATTTTTTGCTAATCTTTTTAGAAGATCAATAACTTTTAAGGCAGTTGAGGAGTCTAAACTAGTAATTGGTTCATCAAGAAAGATCAAACTTGGATTTGTCAATAATTCTACACCAATACTTGCTCTTTTTCTTTCACCTCCTGATATACCTCTAATTTAAGTATTTCCTACTCTAGTATCTGCACATTTTTTAATACCCAACTCTCTGATCAGAGCTTCTACTCTTTACTGCTTTTCTTCTGCAGATATTGTTAATCTCATATTAGCTGAAAAGTAAAAGGCCTCTAAAAGCGTTTATAGTTANATAACATAAATAGATGGATATAAAATCTAAAAAGGAAGTTCTGCCAAAGATCTTGCCCAAAAGAATGAATGTACACTATAAGTTTTATTTATTCTTTCTCTTAAAAATAAAGGTCTTTCCATAGAAAATGTATAAAGGGCACCTTGGATTCCTCCAAATACATTAAATATATTTATTAAAAATAGTACTCCAAAACGATTTTATAATCCTTCATTATATTTTCCTAACTGTTATATTACAATAAATATTTACATCTGAATAAACTAACATAAGAATGATTGCATTAATAATTGATTAAAATATTTTTAATTTCACATAGTTAGGATTTCTAATTTCATTGAAAAAGGATCTTTTATAGATTAAAACAAATTATTAAATGAATCCAATATGAAATTCAGAATCATTTTCTTTGATTACAGAATTTTCACTTGATTGCAATTCTCTAATCATATTAGAAGAGTAATAATTATTTATAAATTATTTAAGTCTTTCTTCAAATTCTTCTTTAATTTTAGTTTCATCAAAGTCTTCAGATTCTCCTTCCTATATTTTCTCTACTAAAAGACCTTCTTCATTCATTAATTTCATAAAGTAATCAGAAGGATTTGAAAAATTGGGACATTAAAAGCCCATATTTGCAAAATAATTAATAGCTTATTCAGCATCTCCTTAATAGATAATATTTCCTCTGACTAAAAGCATAAGTCTATCAAAAGTGTTAAAGATTTCAGATGAAGGTTAATGAATAGTACTGACAATAGTTCTTCCATTTTTTGCTAATCTTTTTAGAAGATCAATAACTTTTAAGGCAGTTGAGGAGTCTAAACTAGTAATTGGTTCATCAAGAAAGATCAAACTTGGATTTGTCAATAATTCTACACCAATACTTGCTCTTTTTCTTTCACCTCCTGATATACCTCTAATTTAAGTATTTCCTACTCTAGTATCTGCACATTTTTTAATACCCAACTCTCTGATCAGAGCTTCTACTCTTTACTGCTTTTCTTCTGCAGATATTGTTAATCTCATATTAGCTGAAAAGTAAAAGGCCTCTAAAAGCGTTTATAGTTATTGTACCTCTTGGTGAGAATGTTGCAAGTAATATATCATCTTACATAACATATGCAATTTAATCATTGAATTTATCAATATCTTCTATTCTTTTTCCATTCAACATTAATTCTCCTGATATTTGTAAATTGTCAGATGTTAAACGACCAGACAAAAAGTTTAAAAGAGTAGTTTTACCTGATCCACAAGGTCCAAGAATTGCAGTGAAATGTGCTGATTTCAGTACTCCTTTAATATTATTTAATAAACACTTTTAAGTGCTAATCTATGAATAATTTATGACTAAATATACTTATCCAACTTAAATTGTAGCATTAATTATAAGTTTATCCCATTCTAATTCAATTGGAGTAAATTTTCCTAATGAAAATTCAGCTCTATTATCTGTATTTAAAAGCTTTTCATCTCTATTTGCTAATGTTTAAAGATTATTGTACCATAGGTTTAAAGTTTATCTGTCATCAAACTTATTTTATATATTGCAAAAAAATTTATTTATTAAAATTGAAAATATTAAAATTCAGAAAATCTATAATTTAGAACTCTTAAATCCCTAGTCATATGAAAAGAAATTTTTTATAACATAAAACTATGTTATAAACTAATAATTATTTAAAATACAATACAATGCTATATGTCTTAAAAAAATAAAATATCTCACTAATTTACAATTATATCTTTTAATCTAAAATTAAATATTCTCTTCATCAACATTTACTTATTCATTATTTTTTGTTGTTTATTTAAATTTCTAATTTAAAGAAATTATTTTCCCTATATTATTATTAAATTAATTATTAATTATCTCAATCTTAGAAATACTCATAATTTCAAATTAATGAAATTAAATTCTAGATAAAATAAGAATATATTTATATTTCATTTAAGTAACATATCTGTTAATTACCAAAGATTTTATAATTTATAAATAAAATAATATAAGAAGGAAAAGAATTATGTTTATATATAATTTGAGATATTTAAATATTTATTTATACTCTATAATTTAAATATCATGGTTACTGAATGTATTCGAATAAATAAATTAAATCTCGGAAATCAAAATTTATCCTAGTTGAATCTTTTTAGGATTAATTAAAATATTTGTCTAATTTATTCAAATTTTTGAATCTTCTTCTTTAAGTAATAAAGATTAATCTATTCTTAATATTTAAATTAAATAATATAACAATAATTATAGATTATTTATTTAAATATTAAATTTTTGAATTAAAAAAGTCTTTAAGTTACATAAATTAATCAAAAGGTAGAATTATAATATGATGATTATTTGATTTGTTTCAATAACGAATAAATTTGAATTTAATAATAATAATAATCAGGATTTTATTTCTTTGATCATTTGAATATTGTTAGAAATGTAATTGTTCTTATTTCTATTATCTGTTTATACTTATTCTTCATCCTTACATTTTGATGAGTCATTAGCCTCATTAACATGATTTTAAGTATGTATTGGACTCTTATTAATTTAGAATAAACTATACTTGCATATAATCTCTGACTTCATAAATATTTTACTTCAATTCTAAAAACTTAAGCTAAGAAATAAAAGTCAACACTTAAACGATATTTTTTAAAATGTTTTATCTAAAATTTATTTATTTTAGTACCTTCTAAAAGGGTTCTTACTTTCTACTATCCAATGTTTCTTGAGATATTCATTGGTAGTCATATTAGTAATTACCAGATAAGTATGAAAAAGCCATAAGCCTACAACGAAACATGAGAACTAAATTAAAGTATTTGCATTACTCCAAAAGAATAAATTACTAATATTATACTAACTGGATTTTGGGTAATAGTCTCAGATATTGCATCAGATGTATCCATATATTCAGCTCTTTTCTTAGATTCTTCCACTATATAAGAGACGCAAGTCCCAAAAACAAATATCAGCATAAAAGATACTGACATAATGAAGAAGTAAAAATAAACATAATTCCTACGACCTATACATTATCCAATCCATGGACAATGATGATCAAATCTAACTACACAATTATCACAAGAAGGACAATGAGAAGCTCTTGCTGGTCTATATATTGCACCTAATATATTAAATGATGATCAAATACAAGTTGAGCAATATTTTAATTTAAATTGATGAGCATTTATTATAAACATTTTAGAATCGACAATAAATCTGTAATCTAATTTTGAATATTTTTAAGGCACTTTAAGTAGTTCTTCTTGCATTTCATAGTCTGGTCTCTTTTTATATAAATAACAATTACAATTTTTGGAATTATGCCTGGATCCATACAAACTGTTATTGATAATAGTACATAAATGGTAAGTTAAATTATTACAAATACAACAGTATACCCATTTTATCCATTCTTAGCAAATTCCTATGTAACAATTATTTATTACAGGTGACATAAATATATAAAATAGAATTGATGGAATTGTAATAAAACTAACACTTGCTAATAATTTATGATTCTCGGAACTAATAATTTAATTATTAATCAGAGATACCCAGTAAATATTTTTCCATTACAAAATATTTTATTTGCTGTTTCCCATAATTAATAAAATTATTTTTTAACTCTTGGGTCTTGGTATTTTTTCATCTAATATTTTTATTATATTATGAAAAATAAAAATAAAAATAAAAATTTTCAAATTAAATAAACTTTATTACATAATAGAAGAAGTATTTAAAACTTTATATATTTCATACTATTCATTTAATTATTCATATATGTTATAATTATAATATATGTAAATAATAAATTTATATATATATATAAATTATATTCATCTTAAAAAATAAGAATTGAAGACTTAATTTTTTAAATCTATTTTCTTAGAATATTTGAATGTAAAGAAATTAAAATATTTTTAAAGATCATTTATTCATAAAAATCCTATTTTTTTGAATAAAATTCAAATTTTATCAGTTTAATGTCTTTTTTAAATGCGAATTATTTTTGACTATATGATATTCGATTGAGCTCTTTTAATCTCCCCTTTTTTATAACCTATATAAATGTCTAAGTCTTTTTATAATTCTTAAAAATTATATGATATTATTGGAAGATATTCTATAAAATGAATGTTCTTAAGAGCTTCTTTTAAAATACCAGAAAAATTCTTCAAAGTTCCAACAAGCAAATTCCAGATTTTGAGTTAATTCTAATCATCATTTTCAAGTCTTTCCAATATAGATTTAAATGGTTAACATTATATTTACAATCTCTTTGAATATTATTATACAATAAATGGTGCTGTTTCTAGTTCTCCAATTAATTCTATATTTTAAATTATAGCATGAGTTATATCAAAAAAAGGATTATCATTATTTATTAAATCACAAGTTGAAATAGTAGGAGAGATTTTTATTTTTTCTGAAGAACATGCAGTACCCATTTCTATTTTAATAATTTTTATAATCATAATCAGATATTTTTGGAGTGTATGAGTGATATTAGTTTAGGGATACAGTACAACATATAATTACTAAAAAAGTCCTCGCTAATAAAGTGCTAGAAAATAATTCACTTAATAATAAGTCAAATACTTCTACAATTCAAATATATTCGCAGATAGACAACAGAATTACGATCCATCTCTATTTGACAGAAGCAAAATTCTGAAAGAAGCCAAAACTCACAAACAAACATACAGTCCTCCAATATCCCCGAAAGTCTAAAGAATGGATAGATCACCATAACCATAAATAGAGTTGGATATTATAACTGGATTGCCTATAACTGAGAGAAATTCCATAATAAGCAAAAAGCTTATTACTAAGCCAATGCAAGATAAACAAGAGTACAATTTGGAAAATAAAATATAAAAAAAGAAAGAATTTGAAATCCATTAAGGAGATAAGAAATATGCTAGTTTATATTTTGATAACAAAGTATATTCAAATTCTTAAAAATAGAAATAATATGAATAATGGTTAAAATAGAATAAAGAATATGAAGATATCAATTATTTTTAGAAGAAACAACCTAATAATGTTACAAAAGTTGAAGGTAATAGTTATTTCAAGATTCATGGAAAATAATGCATTCAATCTTAGCATAAATGATAATAATATATACTTTATTTTCAAAATATAATCCATCATTATTAAATTAATATGATTACTTATATAAATTATATAAAATTAACTAGAACAAGTAATGTTTTTAAGAAATATAGAATAAATAAATATTTTGGTGATCTTCTTATTACATAAAAAATCATTATAATGAATGATTCAGATTTGGTGTAATTATTGGATCATGTTTACGGACAGATTAATCTTCTATTTAATTTAACAATTGTTTAGGTTAACTCAATAAGAAAAAGTCTTGTATATGAAATTTCTAATTTTCATCTTCTAAATTTTCCTCTTAACATTATGCCAATGCTTATTCTAAATCTTAATTTAAGTTCTTATTAGGTGGCTTTAATAGAATACCCATAGAATGACTTTCTTATAACTTTTTACGGCCAAAATGATTCTATAGGAATAATTATATTCTTGAAAGTTCATAAATGATATTAATATAAACAAGTCTTTTTTAAGCTTATTCTACCAAAATAGAACATGCTTTTTTATCATAATTTACCTTAGATTTTTTGATTTATTTATAATCAGTGAAATAAAAGCTTAATACTTAATCTATAAAAGTATGTTCTAATAATTTTTCATTGTAGTATAATATTATATACTTCAAAATCATAAGCATATTTACGATTGAACCAACTTAGGCTAATACTTCTCCAAGTTTAGGATAAACAATATTTAGTTCTTCAGAAACAGGATCAAGACGAAAAATCATATTAAAATATGTGTCCATACCTATTATTTTTTTCCAAAAATTTATAGAAGCTGATGTTGTCAAAATATAAGCATCTTGTACAAAAGTTTCTTCTTGGATAGAATTTAATATTATGCCACTGTCAATAAAAGCTTAAGTTTACTTTAGCAATATTTAACTTTAAGTTGAAATTGCTTTATCTAATGAAAAATAGTATGTCTTTTTAACGAATTCAAATACTTCGGTTTAAGAATTAAACTATTTTAAATTAATCTAAAATGCCATATAATTTACAGCAGAATCAAAGAAATGATCAATTTCCTATTAACTTGCACAGGTCTAATTTTCAGATAGGTAAGTTTAATTGCATCTAACAAATACAAGCATCATTTCTCTCACATTTTCTTTAGATGTGCCATTACTATTTTAAGACAATTTAAACTGATTTAATCCAAATTTTTTAGTTCCATAATAAGAAAGTGATTCTACCTAAGATAGAAAAGAAAATATTGTTGTGGGTTAACCATCTTCAAAATAAATACCTAAAGGTGTTAAAATGTTATTTTATTAGTTAAAAGGATCAGATTATTACTCTGAGTACTTCCAATAAAAAAATTCAAACAGGATAGCATCTTCGTCATATTATAATTCAGAAGTTAAATTAGCTTTCATTGTGCTAGTTGACTTTGGAAGCAAACGAAATTAAATCCACTCATTCAAAATGTAAATCAAATACCCCAAACTTGTTGCTAAAATCAAAAGGGATGTAATTCCTCCAAATACTGACTTTTGACTTTTAACATTAAGATGGATTTATTATCTAAACTCTACTCCAAAAATATCTATAAAAGATAAGTAATTCATTAATAAATTATAATTTTTAATAAATTTCTCCTGATCCACTTTATGATATATATAGTGAATTCCTGGTTAGTGAGTTTTAAACTCTAATTTTACATTATAAGAGTAGAGACTAATTTTAATGAATAGAAGATTTTATCAATAATAAACTTTATAAAATCTAATTATAGATTTTTAAATAAAATTTAACTAGTTCTTTAATTTTGTTTCTAAATAATTTAGTTTATAATATATAAAATATTCTAATATAAAGATGTTAATATGATTATCTTTGATATTATTATCTTAATCTATGGATTATATTTCTTTTATGTTTTAAAGAGTAATATAATTACTAATCAAAGTAGTATTAATTGTAAATATAATAGTTATTGTTTATATGATATATATATATAATTATTTTAAATCATTCGCTCTTTAGTTCATTTAGTAATTGCTTATTAATTTTATTTTATTTCCTAATATGAATTTATATAATAATTTCTTACTTTCCTTAAAACATTTCAATTTTTAGGATAAATTCACTAATTTTGATTTCTGCATTATTTTTTAAGACAATTAGATCTGATTCTTACTTCTTTTCTGCTTATTCTATTGTTGACAATGAAACCCAAGTACCATTAGCAGAATCTCTTTCTTTAGATCCATCAAATATTATCCATGATTTCATGCTAAATTAGTTTGTAATAATACCTTTTTGAATATTTAAATCTACTCTATTTCCTTGATATAGTATTTGAATTAATTTTAACATGGTTTTCTTAACCTCTTCCTATTTAAAATTCAATGGAATCCTAATTTTCTGGATGAATAAAAAGATTATAATTTTTTCCTGTATCAATACCAGATCCATTAAATTTGATAGAAATAATAGATATTTTATATTCTTTTAGCTTATTATAAATTTCTTTATAATCTTCAGTTTTAATTTTTAATTCTTCAATATCATCTTCTTATGTTTGTGTTTTCTAAAATCTATCAAGCAAACATTAACCACTAAAATGAATTTCATGTTTTAATTATTTAAGTCGACTTATTTTTCTTAATAATCTATAGAATTAATCATCTATTTCAATTCCTTTCTCTTTATAAGATTCACAAAATAGGACATTAAAATGTGTATCACTACCAATACTATACTTTTGATCATATTTCATAATATTAGGTTCATTTTTTTAAATTTTAAAATGAGTTCCACATAAACTACCTAAATCTTAAACATAAGCATGTCTTGGATATCTAAAAACATTATTAAAAATAAATGTACTCTAAAAATTAAGAAATGATCTACATAGCCCTTTTAGGTAATGGAAAATTAGATGAAGTTCTTATGTTTTATATTGCTAATATATAAATTAGTTTAATTTTTTATTCTTTTCTAAAATAATGTTTGCACACTAATTTACAATGAATTCTAGAGATAATTCTATCTTCTGGAAGCACTAAAAATTTAAAGGGTTATTACTTATATCATTTGGAATGATTTCTGTTCTATGAGATCTTCCTATAAGAATGTCTTCAGAATCAGCATTTTTATGAGAGCCAATGAGACTAAAATTCCTTGTAAAATTTACCCTTGTTAATTTATGAAGTATTCATTTGAATGAATAGTATTTGGATAATTAATATTTCTCAACACAGTAACTTTTATATATGGTTCATTTTTGTTTAATTCCTCATTATGAATTGGAATGGCTCTCTTTTACATATACTTATCAAGGTTGGAATTCTTTTATCTGAATTAATTGAAATTATAACCTAGGAGATGAGGGTTCTCGTCTACTTTGATTTTAAATATAAAGCATAAATTCTTCGTCTTAATTGGATGACCTTGAAGTAAATGCATTCATTCTAAAAAATTATCTTTATTGTTATTCTCCAATAGGATAGAAATTGAGAAATTAATTAAATTGAAATGAAGATCCAAACTCTAAAAATTGCTCTAAGTCTAATAATGGATGAGGAAATGGGGAAAGAAAGTTATTTTGGTTATTGTTGTTGTTGTTGTTGTTTGGATTATTATTATTATCATTATTCATTATAATAATTAATGATCTTATTAATAATTTATTTAATTACCTGTGTAATTTTTGTAAACAAGAACAAAATCTAAATAGTTCTTATACAACCTCAATTTACTAAGACTCAATAAAAGCAATCATTATAAAAGAGACTTTCATCAATACTAAACTCTTTTTGAACAAAGTTTGACTAGATTAATAATCAAAGAAGAACTTGATTAAATATAAGAAACACCAAATTCAGATGAAATTTTTAACAAAAGGTAATAATTTAAAATCTTGTACATTGAATTTATGAGAAAGTTCATAAAAACAAATAACATAATCTAATTGTTCAATATAAATTCTCAAGTATATCTTCACTCTCACAGAATTAGATATATCAATTCTTATTTGAATGAAATGATTTACTAATAAGATTTTGTTGTAATGATTATGATTATTGATCTGTTAAAAAGATAGATGAAAATTTAGTTAAAGTATTCATTTAGCTTTTAGAATCATGGTTATATTATCCTCTAAATAAATCCTACTTAAAAATTCAATAAAAATGTAGTAAAGGATTAAATGATATAGAAAAAGTAAAAATAGTGATATTTTGTAATTGAAAATATCAAAGACAACATAAGGAAAATCTCCTGTTATTGTTTAAGAATACTACACTAAGACATTGGGTATTATTTGTAAAATAATCTTTATTAATGAAATCCTAAAGGTTAATTTATAGTTTCTTTACTAATTATTGATGCTAGTAAGTTGGAAGATACTTGCACTCAATGAACAATAATTGAAATTCAATGATAATGTTTTATTTTATATCAAAAGCTGATTTCAACTTCTTCTCATTCTTCTATCTCTTTTTGATGGATCCTATCCGTTTCCAACACAATTTTAATCTTAATATGTATAAATGTTTGGGTATGGTTATTTATCCTCAGCTTTTCTATTCTCTTCTGTCAAATGATCGGCAAATTTCTAAGAGATATAAGAGTTCTAATTACTGATAAATGTTTTCTTGCTTGATTAGCAGATGTTTCCTCTTTTTTCTATCCACCCAAATCAGTGTTAGGTAAACATGATTCACCTTTAAGTTATATAAAATTATACCTGGTTTCATAGATAAATTATGACCCAATTAATGTTTGGTATGTCTTAAGTGTTGATGTCTTGCTTGAATAACAAAAACAACTAATAATATGAGAATTATTTGTTTAATCATTAATATATATATTATTAATCTTAATCAATTTAAAATGCAGCTCTCATATGTTGGTATCATATATTTTATGTTTATATAAGCATCCTATTAAATTATCCATCAAATTCTTACTTCTCCTCCTGTTTATTCAAATAATTCAAGTGTTTCTTATATCAAATCTCCAATAATAACTCTTTTTCTTTGGTTATACTCAATTTTATCACCTAAATTTTAATTATTATTTTTATATAAGTTCATTATTGGTAATAATTATCTGTAGTAAGGAACTAACACATATTTATATAATATACTCACCTAACGCTTCACCTACCATTTCCCCACTTAATACAAGTTTTTGTAATACTTTTAATTACACTTCCATAATGCTTGGATCTCTTGTATTTAAATTAGCTATTGATAATAAACAAATGCAATTACTTTTAATTGGAATAATTAATTATGGAATTACAGGTAATATTTTATTACCTCCACTTTCCAATAAACCATAGGTTCCCAATATAGCTAAAAATCTATAAGGATCCATTTTTTCCTTAAGTTTTTAATAAATTTATCATACTCTTAATCCATCAAAAAATATTGGTAAATAATGATGATAGTCTAATTATTCTGGTGATATCTTCCATATAATTCTATTGACACTTCCTTAATGATCAACCTATTCAATATAGTTTTATTTAAATTACTTTTATTGGTAAATCTCCTCTATCATAATATCTCCTGAAATCTGAAACTGTAATGGTTCTTTAATCATAAGCTCCTGCTTTTGGTGGTGCTGGTTTATATTCTTCCTTCTTTAATAATTATGAACTTGTTCTTCCCCCTGTTCCCTAATGAGTCCCTTAATATTTATCTATAAATGCTAAATTACAATTCTTACTTGTAATCAAAGCATTTTAAGAAGTTTCATGAACAGGTTCATTCACTTTTTATTTGTTGGCTTTCTCTTTTGGAATGTATTCTTTTGGAAAATCACCAAATGGTGAATGAGGATTCTTTGGAGCATAGGGTGTCTTCCATGCCTTGTAATTCTAAATAGTTTTGAAATACTCATATACTTGATTTTCTTGTTTTTTTAGTATATTTTTTAAATGATCTTCGACAATCTATTAAGATGCCAAATTCTCTTTTCTTCCAACTGCTTATCCTTATATTTTAGGTAGCATTTAATTATTTAATTTTTATTTATGCAATAATTCTAAACCTCCATCCTTGATAAAGACATGTTATTATAAACTGATGGTTCTCTCTATGTAGGAACCATCATTAGAGGTAATATCTAAGGTTTTGGTTTACTTATAAACCCTGATGGATGTAAATAAAAATCAATATGATTTAGCATATTATTATGGGGAATTCAAAGACTCTTAACCAATAAATATAGGAATCTATAAGTTATAGAATTCATGTATTAAATTACATTTTGATGACAATTCAAATTTGATTGACTCTGAGAATATTCATAATAAAAGTTTTCTATATAAAGTGATCCCTTTTAAGAACAACTCTTATGGTGATAAAATCTTAATCAAAAGGTATACTAATATGATTACATATGGAATAACAAAGAAAGGGGAATATGATGGATTTTGTGTTTAGCATTCTAAAAATGGAGATACCTTCTATGGATAAATTATTAAAGGTAAGAAAGAAGGGGATGCTATTGAATTCAAAAGTAAAAAATAATAATGGTTTTGGTTAATCTATAAAGAAGACATTGTTTAATAATAAAAATTTTATGGAGACAATTTTGTACCAAGAGATTTGATAAGTAATTATTGAATACAATTAAATTTTAGCTGAATTATTTTTTTCTATTCATAACAAAATACCTAATCCTTGTAAAGTTGTATCATTAGCTAACATTTAATTTAGTATTAATAATATCATACTTAATATGAATCTCGAAAATTCATTTAATGAAGAAATTGATAATTGTGAAAATAGAAGACCAAGATAATTTGAAAGTTCAATTGAAGAAGATTAAGTACAATTTGATAATAATGAATAATTCAAAGAACTCTAAGATTTTCATGCTGATAATTTAAGTAAACTCACTTAAACAGAAATATAATAAGCTAAAATTAGAATTGGTAGAAGTACAAGTTGCTTAATTAGTTCTTCTGATATTCCATAAACTACTTAAAATATTAAAGACATGGTCAAAACTAAAATCATAATTAAACGATCCACTTCTCCTATATTAACTACAATTAGACCCTTATTTTCTGTTATAAGAGTTTGAATATCTATTATTGTGTTTTTTGTGTTTGTAGAAACTTTATTATATACAAAACTAAGGTATTCTTTTTTTTTATTATAATTGTATAAATAATTATGTTCAAAGTCAAGATTCTCCAATTATTTGATTCCTTTGTATTAAATACTGTCGGGCCATACTATAGGAGAATTGGAAAAAGCTTCCTTTCACAAGGAAATGATATGCTTGGAAGCGAAGCTAGTGATGATCGTTTAGTGTAGTGTTTGAGATAAGTACAAACTAATGGTTAAACTCCATAAATCAGTGAAGCATTATTTACTGCCCCTAATTCTGTTTTAGTTGGAAACGTTATTTTAAAGCAGAAGTACTATTAGATGTGTTCATCATTAGCTCCTCTGTCTGGTATGGTGCCACATTGCGTGCTGATTAAAATGCTATAACAGTAGGCAAGAATGCTTTAATATAAGATAATGTCTATGTAAAAGCAACATAACCAGTGACTTTAGGAAATAACTCTTATGTAGGACCAAATTCAAATTTATAAGGATGTTTAATTGGAGATGATGCATTTATTGGAATGGGATCAACAATTAAATAAGGTGCTTCTGTTTAAGGAATTGTTGCAGCTGGATCTCTTGTACCAGAAGGCACTCAAATTAAATAAGGGGAAGTTTGGGCTGGATCTCCTGCCAAATATTTAAGAGACATCACACCTCAAGAATTACAAATCCTTAAAGAATATAAATAAGAATTAATGGAATTAGCATAAGTTCACGGTGAAGAGACATCAAAAAGTTTCAGATAAGTATTTTAAATATTTATTTTAGATTGTTATTGATACAGATGAGAGATTATTAAAATAATAAAGAGGAAATGAAGAAGAAGCTTTGTAAAAAATAGCCGAATTGAATTTTCCTTTAGAATATGAAGATGAAGAATTTATTGAATAGAGAGTATTTATGAAATAATAACCACCTATGTTTATGGACTCTGAAAATCTTTTTAGTCAATAAGATTAATATGAATAGGATCTAAATTAATTTTCTGAAAGTAATCATAAATATCAATCAATTAGATATGTAAAAATATGGTGAAGATTATCAAATTTATGAGGAGGCTAAGAAGTACTTTGAGCAAAACCCATAAGCTAAAGCTAATCAATTCTAACCAAAATCTGAAATCCCTGATGATTAACCATGGAGTAGAAAATATTGATTTATTAAACATCAAATAAAAATTTCATCAAAACTCTTTTATATTTTTAGAATTGACTATTTTATATCATCAATTCAAAAATATATCAATAAATTGCTATTTAAATACTATTTCAAAAGCACATTTTTTTTAATAATTTATTTATTAAACAAATGATGAATATAAAAGGCCGAGTTTTAATTTTAAATAATAGTAGAAGCAATTCTCTATTATTTAGAATATGACATAAATATTCGGAGGGTATAACAACTATCGCTGAGTAATATATAAAATTACTTTTTAATTGATTCATTTTTGAAAATATCTTCTTTTTTTTAATGAATCTAAATTCCCTAATTAATTTATATTCTTGGTGTAAATTAGTGAACAAATCTCTAGTAATATAAAAATTTATAAATATATTTAACAATTTCAACTCAATATATATAACTAATTAGAAATAAATATTTATAGAATAAAATATTCTTCATTTAATAGATATTCATATATTATAATGATTTTCAATGTAGTCTATATGTAATATTAACACATTCTTTTACAAATTATTAATTCAATATATATATATTTAAGTTTATTTTACTTCCTAATAATTAGAATGATAGATGTTGATAAATTAATAAGATAATACTCAAACATAATACTAATCTATATTAATAAGTAATAGAAATGATTTTCTGTTCTTTAATTTTAAGTTTTAAAAAAGAAAACAGAAAAATAATTTATTCTTGCATACATGCTTTACATACAAAAAAGAGCAAGAATATGCTATAAATACAATAAAAAAATAGAAAGAATTAATCAATTTTTGTATTTTCTAAAGAAAAAAAAAATCATCAGATTATTTGATTATATTATCAGAAACTTAGTATTATATCAGAGAGCAGTCAGTTTTTAGTAACAGAAAGAGAATTTTTATACCTTAATAATGAAAATAAATGTAAAAAAGTGTTAAAATAAATGAGAAAGCTGATGATTAGAAGCATAATATATTCGTTTGAATAAATTATACATTAAAAACAAATATGGTTATTATAATGTATACTAAATAATAACCACAACTAATTGCAGGATGTTATGTCATGATAAAATTTCAATATAAAATGTATTTTAAATTTATTATTCAATTTTTTACTTGCATTAACAATCTTAGAAATATCTTAATTTGATAATTTGAAATCATTAAAAGATTAAAAATACATATAAAATAATTTTGATTGTTAGAATGTCATCAGAAAAGGAATAATTTATTAGATTAAAAATATAATACTTTTTAAATGATTTAAGCAAATGATAAGAATTAAAATTATATTAAAAATCAAATGTATAAAAGAATATATTTGGATTTTATGAAATATAAGATTAATATTAGATTATTAAATAATTTATGAATTTTATATTGATTCTATTTATTGCCTCAATTAAAGCACTTCCATTATATTTGGCTGTCTTTGCAGATGATTAATAAGAATCTAAAGTTTATATGAGATTAAAAGTATTGGATGCAGTTAAAATATTAATGAATCGTTATCCTTAAGATTAAGATGTTTAATGTAAGAAATTAATTAATTAAAGATATGTACTATGAATTAATTAATAATAAAACATATAGATCTCCTCCTAATCTTCACATCACTACATTTTATATAGGAGATAATAAAGATGCAGAATAATCAGAATATTATAAAAATTTCACAGTTAATCTTCCTTAAGAAATGAAAATTTATGCTGTAGCATTATTACCAAAAAGAGTGATTGCCTGTGTTGTTAAAAGATAAGATTATACAGTTCCAATAGAGAACAAATTTCCACATATGACTACTTTATTAGGAAATTGGACAGCTGTTGATTCTAATGTATTAATGGCTAGCTTATTTGATGACTATGGACCATTGAATAATATTTATTATAGCTTATTTGAATAATCAGAAATAAAGGTTTACAGTACTTTAATAAATGGAAAAGGTGAAAAAAATTTACCTGCATATGTAGTTAAAATGCCAATTAGTATTGATGGATAAACCTAATATGGTTTTCAATGATTTTAAATTTTATAGAAAATGATTAAATTTATTAATTATCATTATAGATTTCTAAACTATTAAGCAACTTTTTCCATTTCTTAGTTATTTAATGATTTTCCAATTAAATCTATTTTTAATGGAGCCAAACATGCATCAACAACATCTTATAAATCTATTGAAGTATCAACTTTGAATTCATTGAAGATTTTTCCAATAAATGATTATTGAGGAATTAATCTAGAAGCATTATCATGTACACATTTCCATATTGCCAAATCATATTTTAAAGGAACACTCCACCATCTTTGAGTCAAACTATATATGAATCCTGGTCTAACTATAATTGGATTAAGTTATTATTGCTAAAATATTTATTTTCAAAAATACTTGATATAGACTCAAAATATGTTATTCTACTTCTTATTTTGTAGTTAAATATCTTTTTAAAAAAGGTGGGTGAGCAGAACCACTCACATATACAAATTTTACATTTGTATTGATCAATTCTTTCACAACATTTAAAGCAGTATCTCTATTCATTTATTCATAAGTGCCTTGATCACCTCTAAATTATTTAATATCAAATATACGGTTTTTTATTGTTTAAAACTGATGAGTCAATTAATGTTCCAATTGTATGAATTACAATATCACTTTTTTGTAAAACATCTTTAAATTCATGTGCTTTCATTGCATCACCTTTAATCCAATTAACTTCTCTAGTCCAATTTTATTGAGTTGTAGGTTATCCACTTCTAGAAACTCCATTTACTATAGCACCATATTACAATGCATTTTTTATTACATTAGAACCTACATATCCAGATGATCCTATAACTGTGATTACCTTCCCATTTAATGGTTTAAGCATTTAATAATTAAATTAATAATCCTTTATTGATCTATCATTCAGAATTATATTATTCTCAAACTCTTACAACTTTTAATAAATTAATTATGGTTATAACATGAAAAAAAGAATAATAATATTTATTCATTTTATAAATCTCATGATCTATCATTAAAGAAAAATATGAGCAATAGAATTTCTTCAATAAATGTTTAATATTAAAAATAACTAAAATTATGATACATGGGATTTTTTGAAAACATTATTAAATCATTATTACATCATTTATAATTATGAGGTGTAACCATGAAGTTAACTAAACCAGTTTCCTGATCTTTTTTATACTTCCTAAATGCACTTGGACTATAACCACCAATTCCAAATTTATTTGTTGGTGATTTATAATCCTTTTAAACCTCAAAAGCATCTCCAATATTGATTTCCAAATCTGAATCTTATGTTGTCTATTAGTTAAATATATATTTATCAGCATTTGCATCTACAATTTATTTGTTAATATACTAATTTTTTGCTGTAATTACTAAGCTATTGTATCAAGAGTTTTCTCTCTACATTAAGTGTAAGGTTTTGTAATTACAATAGGCACAAAGCTTGATTTACTTAATGGATTATCATCATGTAAGCCTTATTCCTCCAAATATGAATTAGTAGGTTTTTAAAAGAATATCTACCTTGGAGTTAATACAGGAAAAGCTGGAGTCATTTATTAATTATTAGGACTATTGTTACCTTAATAATCATAGATGTATTATTAATTATAATTGTTAGAAGATTATTACTATAAAATAATAAAATTAGACTTACTTCTTCATTATCCTGTTAGATTTCAAATTCATCACGAATAATATTGAAAAGAGGACCTTTTTTAGTTCTGATACATATATCTATATAATCTTCTTTATCAATATGCTAAATAAAATAAAAATTCTACCACTTTCTTTTTTGCATTTAGTCTAGAAGATCTCTTAAGAGGAACCTAATTACTTATTTCTTGTTATTTGTAATCACTAGTATAATCATCGTCATCATCATCATCATCAATTCTACTTTTTCTCTTCTTATGATTTTTCTTCTTTAATTTTAATCTGCTTTCTCTTTGTTTAGTGTAAAGAGTACTGATAATAATTGCAAGAAATACTTAAATTCCATTATTTTGTCAATAAGTTATTTGAACTTGTCTTCATTAAATTAATTAATGTGAGATTTCTATTTGGATTATGCGAATTCTAAGATGGAGTCTTATAATCCTTTACAAGCTTAACATAACTTTTTCATATGATCATCTTTTAATTCAGATGGATTTTTTTCTGCAAGTATAAATATCTTAGATAAGACTCCTGGCTTAATATCCTTGATCTGCTGGGTACCCTTTTCTTTGCTAAATATATAATCATGCAGATTACTATTCTTGTCTCCAATAAGTTTATTGATTCTTCTAAGACTTCTTCTTAAAGTAGAATAGAAATGATTTTTTATAGCATTATCTGTTCTTCCAGGTAACAGTTTCGCAATTTCTGCCTAAAAATTTATTTAACTTTTACATACCCACTTATTGCCATGTTCTTTGTGTGCGACAAAGATCACTTTTTCTTCATTTTCACTCCAAGGCTCTTTATTAATTGTTGGATCAAGATGATTATGATAGCGTTCTCTACATTATTTTCCAGACCTTCCAAATAATCCATAAACTTCTTTCATCTTTTCAGCCACAATTGTCCACTTCTTTATCCCATATTGCTTAACTAATTAAAGAATTGCCATGTCTTCCTAAAATAATGAAATCTTAAGGTTACATACTTTTTAATTCCAAGCCTTTCTATCTGTCATATTTAAATAATTAATTAATTAACTTTATCCATAATTATACTTAAAAATCAAAAAGAACATTCAAGAACTATTAGTATTTTGATAATTGAAAATGAATAGGGTATCAATATTGAATAAATTGATTTTAATTGTCTTTTTAGCTATTAAAATATAATTAGATTTTTAAATATGAAAATTCTTCAAAATATTTGATGTGTTTAATTGATTCATGAATAATAATTAAAAATACTTCAAATTTAATGAATCATAAATGATGATTAATTATAAATAATTTCAACAGCAACTTGATTCAGATCTAGGATTTAATTCACTGCCCTTAGGAGTTGTTGTATTAGAGATTAAGGCAATTACTTTTTAGTTTTATTACAATTGAATTTAAGATGTACTTATTTTAAAACTCTTATAAGCCTATTAATCTGGACATAAATTATGATCCTATTTCGCCTTTGCTCCTAATTCAAAAGCTGATTGAAAAGCTTCCTTTATACCTTCTCCAGTTTTAGAGGATGTCAAAAAGATAGGAAAATCATTATTAAAATTAGCTTTCCATGCAATTTAAATTTACTAAAGTTATTCTTAAGTATATTTGTTGGGTAGATCCTTTTTTGTCCCAATAATAACCATTTAAATATTTTAAGGTGCTTCTTCTCTTAATAACTAAATCCAACTGGCTACATTATCAATAGAACTGGAATCACTTAAATCAAAACAAATCATAGCTGTATTTGCATCCTATAAATATCTTCTGTGAATGCATATACTTTTGATGAAAATTTGACCATCTTTTAATATATTTCTTATCCAGCTGTATCCCATATTGCAATATCAAAAAATTGATTGTTAATTTTTACATTCTTCTCCACATTCAAATCAATTCCAACAGTATTGACAGAATCTAAAGTGAATCTGTCTGTTTTAAATTTGATTATTAAACTGGTTTTACCAGCATTTGAATCTCCTATAAGAATAATTTTTAGATTTTGATTTTCTTCCATATTAGTTGATAAATAATTAATATACACACTTCAATCAAAATCCAGTTTACCAATCACTCCATTTAATGGCTTTGTATCAACTTCTGATGTGTCATCACTCATAGAACTCACATTACCTGAAGATGAAGAACTTGTATCTTATTATTTACAGATGACAATAGAAAGTCCTCCAAACTTTTTCTTATATTGGTTTTATTAATTAATAGAATTTAAAGTTCCTTCTTACCTTTCTTATATAGCAGGTAATTAATGTTGTGTAGTATTTCTACTAGTTGGGAATGCAAAATGTTTCATTGTTTATTTTCCTTATCTATCTGGAGAGACAGTATCTGTAATTGAATCTTGTTTTTTTATTTATTAAATAAATGCCATATTATCAACACTACCTGCATGTTTTAATTTACTAATTCTAACAGGACTTGTGGATGTACTATTTTTATGTTTAGGTTTGAGTAAATGAATCCAATCAAATTATAATTGTAAGTCATTTTAGCCTAATAATTAAAAAAATGGTTGTTTCAATAGATCATAATTTGGAAATTCATGAGGTGATAGTAATCTGATGGCATGATATAATTATAAGAATTATTCTGGGAATCCTTTTAATTCTCTTTCAGGAACAAATCTCTATTTTAATTCATAATAATATTTAAGTTTTTCTTAACGTTTCACATTAGGTTAAGAAGGTAAGAATTTACCTGATGTAATTATGTGTAATAGAACATAGAATAATGATTCTAGATCATCTCTTGGACAAGGAACTTTAATATAAACATATTAAAATACATTATTTTAAATGTGTTCCAATGGATGAGAATTTATTGATATAAAGATTAAGTTTATTTTTGTTATGGAGTAAGATTTTTCCGTTTTTATCCATATATTTTGAGGAATATTCGAAATGTGTAAAATATATATCAGATGAGAGAGTTGTAATTAGATTGGATAATTTTAAGCATCGATGAATTATATTTAACGAATGTAATTATGAGAGATGAGTGATCTTAACTTAGTTAACACAAAATTACCATTTTCAAAGCAATTAAAGCAATTGTTTATATTGAAAATTTACGCTTCATCAATTAAAAACACAATTTCAATGAGGGTCCTGCTTTCTATTGTACAATGTAATGATAAGATGTTTCTCCTACTTTGAGAATTCCAAATTGGTGAATGTTAGGAGTGATACCATCTTATTTAGAGTATGAATTATACTGTCACTGGTCTTTTTATATAATCTGCAATAGCATTATGACTGATTAGTAACCTATTTTAATGTGTTCCAAACTATACTATTTATACTAGTATGTCAGCACTTTTCTGATCATCTTTGATTAGTACTGCATTATAGTAAACAGAGTTTCTACCAGTATAATAAATAGATGTTAACAAATATTAATCATCTATAATTACGGGTTTATCATTTTTAAGCATTTAGAAACTTAATTAATCTATAATAATTTAATTAACTATTTTTCAAAAATGGACATAGATAGACATATTGCTACATTACTTGGCGGAGGATGTTTACCAGAGAGAGACCTTAAACTGATCTGTGATAGAGCAAAAGAAATCTTTCTTGAAGAATCCAACGTATAACCAGTACGTGCACCTGTGAATGTATGTGGAGATATACATGGTATTTATTATTTAATAACAATTAGGCTAATTTTATGATTTATAAGCTCTTATGAAAGAAGGAGGAGATATCTCTTCTGCAAATTACATCTTTATTGGAGATTTTGTTGATCGAGGATATAATTCTGTTGAAACCATGGAGTATCTCTTATGTTTGAAAGGTAATTATAATATTTTTAATCTTAGTTAAATATCCTGGTAAGATTATGTTACTTCGTGGTAATCATGAATCACGTTAATGTACTTAAGTCTATGGTTTCTATGAAGAGTTGCTTCGTAAATATGGTAATTGCAGTCCATGGAGATTATTTATGGATGTATTTGATTGTCTTCCACTGGCAGCATTGATTGAAGGTTAAATTCTTTGTGTTCATGGTGGTTTATCACCAGATATGAGGACAATTGATCAAATAAGAACTATTGATAGAAAAGTAAAAATTTATTTATTATAATTTCTCCCATTATAGATTGAAATCCCACATGAAGGACCTTTTTGTGATTTGATGTGGTCTGATCCAGAAGAAGTTGAATATTGGGCTGTTAATTCAAGAGGAGCTGGATATCTATTCGGAGCTAAAGTGACTAAAGAATTTTGCAGACTTAATGATCTCACTCTTATTTGTAGAGCCCATCAATTAGTTATGGAAGGCTATAAATATTGGTTCCCAGTAATTCTTTAATTCTATTTTAGGATTAAAATTTAGTAACTGTCTGGTCTGCTCCTAATTATTGTTATAGATGTGGTAATATTGCTTCCATTTTATGTTTGGATGAAAATTTGACTTAAACTTGGAAGACATTCAAAGAGGTTCCTGAAAGTGCTAAAAGCATAAACCCAAAAAGTGTATTACCTTACTTCTTATGAAGTATATAATATATTTTGATACTTCTTATGAAGTATAATAATATAAAATAAGCATTATTTTATTTTTGCACAAATTATCAGTTGTATGTATATCATATAACTTTTAGAGTTTGTGAGTGATATTTATATCAATAAATCTTAATTAAAATGGTATGAAAAATGTGATATTTATATCCTTTTTCTTTTATATACCTAAATATTTAACACAGTAATTAATGAAGAGTTTAACAGAAAACATATAATCATGTAAACTGAAAAGTCGCCATTTTAATTTTGAATACTCTAGAAATAGTTAATTTAATAATGTTATAAAATACAATTTATTCGGTGGGATGGCTTGGATCATAGCCTATCATTTCAATCTCCCTATTAAGATATCTTGTTAAAACAGATGTTGCTGCTCTTTATGCTTCTTAGTTTTTCCTTAGACTTTGGTGTATTGCTGCCTTCCTCATAGCCTTTATTTAGTAAATTTAGTGTTTTAATATCAATAGCAAAATTTTGAGCTTACAACATCCAACTAAGAATTCACCTCATGAATTAGCTTAACCATTCCGTTTTTCATTTTCTCTTGTTTTCACATGTGCAATATTCGAATTTATTCAATTAGCATTAACTATTCACGCAGTAACAATAGTATAAAATATAAGTTAGCCTATTACAGCATTGTTCACTATTTAGCTCTTTACTAATTATTTAGAGCTTTTTTTCGTAGTTGGATCAACAACGTAACACCTAATACAATATTTTGTTCGTTTTTACTAATGGGCTTAGTCTATTTATTAGAAGATTGGTTTATACTAATTCCTGGAACTGCTTTTCAGAATAAATATCTATCTATTAAAAAATCATTTGATTGGTAACCTCTTATAATGGTTATTGGTGCAGCAGCGTCTCATACTCTTGGAATTTGGATGTTTAAGGTTTTGTCAATGAAAATGCATTAAACTTAAAAAGCCTTTATTGATAGAGTTTCATGGTCTAATTATATAGCAGATGAACCAGATAAAATCACTTATAGTTTATGTGTAGTCAATAGTTTATTTAGCAAATATTTAGAGTGTTAATTAAGAATTCATTGTGAAACTAATTCTATGTAAATAGATGGACTTTCTTAAAAGGAACTAAGAGCATTAATAAAGGATTATTTTGATAATCATTTAACTTACAGTTTTTAATATATGGAGTAATTCAAAATATTTAATTTCAACAAAGAAGGTAATTTTGATACAATATCTGATAAGCCATTGATGATCCTGCCATATATAAAGAAGAAGACACTTTACTAAGAAGATTAATTAAGGAGAAGATATATGAAATATAACTTTAACATCAATAATATAAAGAATTATTTGGATCAGATAAATACCTCAATCTCCAATTTGAAATTCTATTTGAAGATTATGGTATTCATGAATATGTATGGGATGATGAAACTCCTTATATTTAATTGATAATTTCATTTTTTGAAGGAATCTTTTGTTTTTGTGCTGCATTCTATAACCATGAATATGATGATTTATTTTCTAATGGATATGATGTAAAAATGTCTCATATTTCATATTATGTATGGATAACCTTATTTTTGGGAGTTTTTCAATTGATAAAAATATTGTAATATTAAAAAAATAAATAATAGTTCATTTAAATTAATGTTCTTATGGAATGTTTAAACTTATTTTTTTAGTGGAATTTTCACTGAGTTAATGGTTGTGTATATTACAATGCTTTGGATTGAACCAGTTGGATATCTTTAAGTTTTAGGGTTAATCTTATCATATTGTATAATGTGTGTATTGTATAGATCTGCTGAAAAAGTGAGAGATTAAAGTAAATTAATTTTTATATTTTATTAGAAAATAAATTATTCTATCTGAGTTTTATTACTTTCTTAATTAGAGTATAAAAATTTACAATTAGAGAAGGATCTTAAATAATTCAAATGATGTCTCTATGTGCAGAAAGATTAAGTCTCAATGAATTTTTAAAGGTTTTGGCTTAAATTCTATGTACTCATGGAATAGTTAGTTATGATTAATTAAGATAAATTAAATTTAGTCATTTTGGAAGGAGTCCTTTTTTTTAATTTTAGATTCCATTTATCTTTCAATCTCAACTTAGATATGAAAATAATATTGAAGATCCATATCTTCCTGAATTTGATGATGAATAACCACTTAGAGAAGAAGATAAATAAACTAAATTTGAAAGGTAATTATAAATTATATTATAAAGATATGTTATTGATAGTAAATATGAAAATGAAAAATAATAAATGAAAGATGAAGTTAAATAGACAGTAATGGAAATAAGAAAATTGAATAAATCAAAGATAATCTAAAGCAATATCTAATAATCAAGAATTGTTTAAATTGATGAACATCAAGAATGAATTTCATGAAATAAAATTGTTAATTCTAATGAATATTTTCATTAGTCTATGTATATTTATCCATTTCCAAATGATTATTAAATTGCACCCTCAATAAATAAGAATTCAATAGGTCTACTTCTCATACATTTATTAGTAACTGTATATGCAGTAGTTCCATTTTCTTAAATTAGACTCAATGATCCTTTATCAGGTAAATGAATAGATAAAACTTCAAAAGGCAATCCAAAGAAGGTTACATTATCCCCTGGACATGATTTTGCATGTTAACCCTTGAAATTGCATTCACTAAAAACATAAATACAACCATCTTAAAATGTAGTCACTTTTTCATTGCTATAAACTTTCTTTTATGCTACACTATTTTCAAATAGATGATAATCTGGTTTTTCTGTAGCTCTTACTGCATTAGGATTTGGTTAATCAATAATGAACATTGATTCAATAAATTTAATTGTATGTTCTTCTGTTTCAGAGGGTGTTAATTTAAGAGCCTCTTCATAATTCAATAGAGATGATAACTATTCTTTAATTGAGTCATCTGAACTTCTCCCTAAAAATGTAGGTAATCCTTTTTTTTTAATTGTATATATTTCTGTTGATAAATCCTTTTGTTATTTCACATGCTTTTATTTTTCAAGAAAACTCTCTTGAGATATTACTATAGTCAATAGCAATGCTAATATGTATAATTTTTACATATTAATAAAAACGGATTTATAATATATATAAAATATATCTATTCNTGTGCAGAAAGATTAAGTCTCAATGAATTTTTAAAGGTTTTGGCTTAAATTCTATGTACTCATGGAATAGTTAGTTATGATTAATTAAGATAAATTAAATTTAGTCATTTTGGAAGGAGTCCTTTTTTTTAATTTTAGATTCCATTTATCTTTCAATCTCAACTTAGATATGAAAATAATATTGAAGATCCATATCTTCCTGAATTTGATGATGAATAACCACTTAGAGAAGAAGATAAATAAACTAAATTTGAAAGGTAATTATAAATTATATTATAAAGATATGTTATTGATAGTAAATATGAAAATGAAAAATAATAAATGAAAGATGAAGTTAAATAGACAGTAATGGAAATAAGAAAATTGAATAAATCAAAGATAATCTAAAGCAATATCTAATAATCAAGAATTGTTTAAATTGATGAACATCAAGAATGAATTTCATGAAATAAAATTGTTAATTCTAATGAATATTTTCATTAGTCTATGTATATTTATCCATTTCCAAATGATTATTAAATTGCACCCTCAATAAATAAGAATTCAATAGGTCTACTTCTCATACATTTATTAGTAACTGTATATGCAGTAGTTCCATTTTCTTAAATTAGACTCAATGATCCTTTATCAGGTAAATGAATAGATAAAACTTCAAAAGGCAATCCAAAGAAGGTTACATTATCCCCTGGACATGATTTTGCATGTTAACCCTTGAAATTGCATTCACTAAAAACATAAATACAACCATCTTAAAATGTAGTCACTTTTTCATTGCTATAAACTTTCTTTTATGCTACACTATTTTCAAATAGATGATAATCTGGTTTTTCTGTAGCTCTTACTGCATTAGGATTTGGTTAATCAATAATGAACATTGATTCAATAAATTTAATTGTATGTTCTTCTGTTTCAGAGGGTGTTAATTTAAGAGCCTCTTCATAATTCAATAGAGATGATAACTATTCTTTAATTGAGTCATCTGAACTTCTCCCTAAAAATGTAGGTAATCCTTTTTTTTTAATTGTATATATTTCTGTTGATAAATCCTTTTGTTATTTCACATGCTTTTATTTTTCAAGAAAACTCTCTTGAGATATTACTATAGTCAATAGCAATGCTAATATGTATAATTTTTACATATTAATAAAAACGGATTTATAATATATATAAAATATATCTATTCTTATTGATAAAATGTTAAGAATGAAGTAAAATAATTTTCCAAAAATCTTATTCTAAATGTATAGATGATGAAAATAACAAATTTATTTTATCAATCTTCTATGTCTGCTAGAACTCAATATAATGAAGATATATAGAAACAATTAATTGAAGTAGTAGAAACATATGGAGGAAAAAATTGTAAAAGTTGGACTTAAGTTGCCCGTATTTTTGAATTAACAACTGGAATTAAAGTCTAAAACACATTTGATTTAAAAAAGAAGTTATTGAAAATTGTTATAATAGATGGGAAATGTTTACTAATTATAAGGAAGAATTATCCCAAGATGAACTAAAAGCCTTATACTCAACTGGAGTTAGATGTCGAGGGCGTCATAAAGCAGGAAATGAAGAATTCTTTAAATTGACTGGAAAAAAGTAAATATCAGTAAATATATTTAGATTGTATGTCAATCAATATAGCAAAATGGTGGGTAATTTCTTATTATAAGCCATTAAGTTATTGTGTTAGTCATTTTTTAATTAAATAAAAGTCAAATATAGATAATTAGGATAAGAAAGATTTCATAGTAGAATAAGTTATGTCTCTATACATATTCTATTAAGAGCTGTAGAAATTAATAAACATCTTGATGATTTTTTTGTTTAAGAATTGAAACAATCAGCTGAAAAATTTGAATAATTATTATTAATATAGGCTGAACATCATGAAGATGAAAGAATCGATAGATTTTAACATTATAGAAGAATAATTAATAGAAGAGAATTCAAAAAGATTGCTTTTTTTCTTGATTATGTGAATGAATTAAAATAAATTAGCATTAATTTATATTAAGAATAGATAGGAAGACATCCATTATTATTTCCTTAAATTGAAGAAAATAAATCATCAAAGATATATTAATTATTAATTTGGGAAAATGATTGGTAATCAAAATACAACTTATTCTAAGAATGTGCAGCTAAATCTGATTGGGAAGAATATTCAATGTTAATTAAGAAAACAAAAAAGAATGAAGATAACAAATAAATTAAAAAAAAAACACCTTAATAATAAGTATAATAAAAATAATAATCCTATGAAATTATTAATTAAGAAACAATTGAACCTGAAACTAATAAATTAAAATAGAATTCTTATGATTTAATATCAACAGCTACACATAAGGTTTGTAATAATGCTTCCAAATAACAAATCAAATAAATGGATAAATAAGAATTGAAATCTTTTAGAGGTCATTATTATAGAGAAGGTCAAATTAGAACAAAAGGATTAACTACAATCTTATTTGATACAGATATGAGATCAGATGAGGATGAAGCAGATCAATATTAAAATATCGAAGAAAATAGAAAAGAGTTTTTTGACAAAATGGAAGAACTATATGATTATGTCTTTGGTGGAAAGGCTAATTTAGTCTCATTTGAAAAGAGCTAACCAATTCCTTATTGAATTTCAGCCATTTTCATTAATTTCACAATATTCATTTTAACTAAGTTTAGTTTTCAAGATTTTGATATAAACATATATAACATCTTAAATATTTTGATATATTCATAAATCTTATTTAGATTTACATTAAAATATCTTTATTTTGACAGATTCTTTAATTCTCTCAAAAGTCTTATGATTTTTTACTTTAAAGATTAAAGATCTTAGTGAAATAAATAATAATATAAAAATATAAAATTATTAGATAAAGAGATATTAAAGTTATATTAAAAATATAAATAAAACACTTTAATGAATTATATTTTTTAGAATTAGTAGAAATATCTTTAAAAAAAAATAGTTTTAAGAAATTAGTAAATTCTTCGATAAAGTTCACGAAATTTATCATATTAGATTATATAATGTAAAATGTAATTTATTAGAAATGATATTGAATTAAATAAAAATCATACGTCATTATAAATATTTCATCATATATATATGTCACATAAATTTATATCATAAGATATATTAAAAGTAGTGAAAGACAATGGCTGATTAACTTAAACAAAGACCAGAAGGTGGAAAATTCTATGGATTTGATCACATTCATTTTTGGGTTGGAAATGCTTTCCAAGCAGCCTCATTTTATGTGTCACGCTTCGGATTTCAATATTATGCTTATAGGTATTTTGATAGGTCTAATTGTATAGAGGACTTGAAACAGGAATAAGAGATGTGGTTACACATGTTCTAAGAAATGGTGAAGGAGTATTCTTTGCATTCTCAAGTCCTTATGGTCCAGAGAATGTATTAATGAACACTCATCAATCTAAACATGGTGACGGTGTTAGAGATGTTGCTTTTAGAGTTGAAGATGCCAGAGCTCTTTATGATAAAGCAATTGCTAAAGGAGCAAAATCAATTAGACCACCAACAGAGGATAAAGATGAACATGGAAGTGTTGTTTTGGCTTCCATCTAAACCTATGGTGATACTATTCACACTTTTGTCCAAAGAAATGATTACAAGGGTTTCTTTTTACCTGGATTTACTAAACATCCAAAGGTTGATCCTATTAATACAATTCTACCCCCAGTTGAATTTTTAGTAGTAGATCATGTTGTTGGTAATCAACCTGAACATGAAATGGTTCCTGTTGCTGAATGGTATGAAAAAACATTGGATTTCCACAGATTTTGGTCAGTTGATGATTCTATTCTTCATACTGATTATTCATCACTTTAATCAATTGTGGTTGCAGATTTTGATGAAGTTATTAAGATGCCAATCAATGAACCTGCTCATGGCAAAAAAGTATCTTAGATTTAAGAATATGTTGACTATTACAGTGGACCTGGAGTAATTATTTTTTTAATATTTAAGGTTTAACATATTGCATTGAAAACAGATAATATCTTAAAGGAAGTAGAAGCAATGAGAGCTAGAGGACTTGATTTCCTATCTATTCCTGATACTTATTATGATAATTTAAGAAAGAACATTCCTCATATGAATTTCAAGATTGCTGAAGATATTGATATAATTTAAAAGAATAAGATCTTGGTTGATTATGATGACAAAGGTATTTTTATTCTTTATTTTTTTTAGGTTATCTTTTATAAATATTTACTAAACCTTTAGAAGATAGACCAACCTTATTTATAGAAATTATCTAAAGAAGAAATCATTCAGGATTTGGTGCTGGTAATTTCAAATCCCTCTTCTAATCCATTGAATTAGAACAAGCCATAAGAGGAAATTTAACAGACAACCCTAAATACAAAGTTCCATATTGAAAATTTACAAAAATTATATGTAAATATATATATATAAATAAATATTTTAAATAACATATGTAATTGCTATAATAATTAATTTAAGTTTTAGAACTATTTATAAGTTCTCTTATTTTTAATTAAATTGATAGTCATTCAATTATCTATTGTTCATGATGCCTATTAGATGTTTGTTTAGTATAAGATTTCTTGATAGAAAGAGCACCAAATCAAAAAACCAAAAGATTCTTTGCTCTTACTATAATTGAATTTTCAATTATTATATATTCTACAATCATAATTAGCTTAATTTTAATAAATTAACAGTTCATACATTTTTGTTCTACCCAATAAAAACAAATTAATGATTGAATTTGTGATATCTATTATAGAATTATACTTGATATATGTATAAACAAAATTAATAAAATCCTATTCGTTAAACATATTATTCATATATCTTATAAATAAATTAGTAGTTTTAAGTTAAACATTATTATATCAATACTATTTATTTAATTATAATTATACTATAAATATATGACCTTAAAGAAAATAATATTAATGTGTTATTTTTCTCTTCAATCTGAAATAAATCAAATAAAATTATCATAAAAATAAATAAATTTGATAATTCAAGAATCTATTATTATATTATAATTAAATAAAAAAAATTATGGCAGAATTAGAATATCCATAATTTCTATTTGAAAAACATAACGAAAATAAATTCTATAAATATGAAGAAATATAAAATCATAAAGGTTTTAGGTTGCCAGATTAATAGAATGATACTATTTATTTATTAGATTAAGATGGAGGGTAATTAGGTTTTTTTAATTTAGTTGGTGTGATTTAAATGGTTGTTACTATAATTCTTAAAGCTAACCAAGTGGTTGGATTCTACTGTCTAAAGATGGGAAAAAATATATTAAATTTAATATGGATGCAGACTTTATTACAGAATAACCAAATATTTATTATTCCAATTTAACATTTGATGCAGCACACTCATAATAATATAAATAATTACATCAAAATAATAATAAAGATTAATTTATTGAAAATTAATAATAAGAAGATCATTAAAAGAAATTAAAAGAATATAAAAGTAATTAAAAGGAAATAAAAGGCAAAAAGGATAAAATTTATGTTACTTCAGAAAAAGCAAAGGATAAAAAGTAAATTGAAAATTAAATACAAAATAATAAGTGTGTTGAAAAAACCGATAATTAGGTAGAACTATTAAGAAATAATAGAGATAAAAAAAAAAATGATAGAAGGAGTAAAAATAACAAAAAGGACGATTAGAATTAGAATAATAATTAGACTAAGAAATATTATATATTAAACATAGAGGAAAATACTTTGAGCAATGAAGATTTTATAAAATATTTAATTGAAGAGTCCAAAATTAAAAAAGAATTTATCATTGATTACAATGAGAATATCTTGAAACTAGTTTAAGAGAAAGATGCCATTAAATTATATAGAGTAAATAAAAAGGAATAAATTAATAAAGTTTAGAAGTTTATTGTTTCCATATGAATATTTAAAATATATATTAAATGTGTTATTTAATTAATATCATAAATTTAATATTTGATTTTATATTAATATTCCTTAAGTTATATACTTAGACATTTATAATATCTAATATTAAATCTAAATATAAATAAGAAGTTAATATTATATATTTCAATATAAATTATAATTAAATAAAATGAAATCCTTATTAACAAAAGCATCACAATTACCTAAATATTATGCTGATTTTAATGTTCGTTAACCTTAGTATTATTGGGATTATGAAAATTACAAAACTTAATATGGGTATGTATGAGGTTAATTCAGACATTAAGACGACTATGAAATATATTAAAAAATAGGTTAAGGGAAATATTCAGAAGTATTTAAAGGTGTTTCAGTTATAACTCATCAAAATGTTATTATCAAAGTTTTAAAGCCAAATGTACAAAAGAAAATAAATAGAGAAATATTAATACTAAAAAATTTATAGAATCATCCTTTAGTAACTGAATTAATAGATGTAGTTTAAGATTAAAGCAGTTTAAGATAATCTTTAATTTTTAAACAATAAAATTGGATTAATTTGAAAGAAGTTCGAAATTATGAATCATTGAAACCTATAAAATTTTTATTAAAATGTGTTTTAGAAGTTTTAGATTATGCTCATTCAAAAGGAATATTTCATCGTGATATCAAACCTCATAATATTATAACTAATAATGAATTTTGTTGTAAAGAATAATAATTAAATAATTAGATTTTAAATTATTAGATTGGGGATTAGCAGAATTTTATCATCCATATAAAGAATATAATACAAGAGTGGCATCAAGATATTTTAAATCTCCAGAGATTTTACTTGATATTAGATAATATCATCATTCAATAGATTCTTGGGGAGTTGGTTGTTTAATGGCTGGTATGATTTTTAAGAAAGAACCTTTTTTTGCAGGTATTAACAATGATGATCAATTATTAAAGATTGTTAATGTATTAGGATCAAATACTTTGTATGAATATTTAGATAAATGGAAAATCAATATGCCTTCAAGATATAAAAGTTTTCCTTATTCAAATTAAAAAAGATTTGAATTATTTATTACAAAAGAGAATGAATAACTTTGCACACCAGAAGCAATTGATTTATTGAAATAATTGCTCATTTTTGATCATTCAGAAAGAATATTACCTAAAGATGCTCTCTAACATCCATTTTTTCAATGAGAACATTACAGAGTAGACTATAATTTATGTTATTTATAAAAATCTGATTAAAATATATTATACAAATAATAATGAATATGTCATAATAATAAATGATTCTATTATAAAATTAATGAAATAGTCTAAACAAACCTAAAATTAAGCTCATGATGATTAATTCTCTGGGTCCAATACTCCAAATGTTCATGGATTGTTTTTACCATAAACAATGACTATGGGTGTAATATATTGAATAAAATGAAAGTAAATGTCAGAAGACAGAAAAGGAGAAGATTAAAAATTAAAATTAATAAGAGCTTCTACTGATCCTTATGAGGCATTTAAAGATGATGATTTTTTATATCCCACTAAAGAAGATGAAATGTCTCTTTGGCAAAAATATTCTGGAGATTATATTTAAGGAATGCCTGTATTACCAACAGGAAAATGTAGTTTATTTTGTAACATTGTTTGTTGTTTTTACTTCCTTATATTTGGTTTAGTTTTTGTTGGAATAGCTGGTAGTATAACAGAAGTAATAATAAATATATATATATATAGATTAGATTAAATTATGGTAAGGAATGTGAAGGTAAATAGCAATGTATAGTTAATTTTGAAATTGAGAAAAATACTTATGGTCCATTCTTTTTATACTATGAATTAAATGAATTTTATACTAGTCATTCTGAGTAAAATTAGGGTATTTATAGATTAGTTTTGCATAATCAATCAGTCCAAAATAAATGAAGGGTTATGAATTGACAGATGAAGAATATGATGTATATTGTCCTGATACATAATCTTTTGAATCTCTTTAGAGACCTGTTGGATTTAATAAAAGTTATGCCGGTTTTATGATAGACTTAAATAAGAAAGTCAGTCCATGTGGCATAGCTGCTAAATATATTTTTAATGGTATATCAATTGGTTTTTTAGATAGATTCTTTCCTACTATTTGATGTTAATACTGAAACTGCTACATCTTTAGCTCTTAATTCAACAGGAATTGCATTTTCTGTTGATTTAGAATATAAATATTCAAGAACATAGAATTCTTAATTTAGATAATGGTTGGATCTTGATGATGGTATAAAATACTATTTATTCTATATAGAAAAAATCATAAATTGGTTTAATATTCAATCATTACCCTTGGTTAGAAAGTTATATGCTAGATATGATAATGATTTATCAAAAGGAACCTATAGTGTTGTCATTTAAAATAGTAAATTCTAAAAAATACAGCTTTAGATTATCCAACCTAAATTTTTGGAGGAGAAAAGTTTCTTATTGTTACTACTCTGTCTTCATTTGGTAGCAAAAATTTTTCTTTTGGTTATTTGCTTATTGCAACTGCAGGTGTGTAGTTTTTAAGTGCTTTTGTTGTTTATATTAAACATAAAATTGTAGAGAAGAAAGAAAAACATGAATAGAAAATACATGCTGATTTAAAACTCAAAGAAAAATCCGATTGATAATATATATAGATTTAAAAATTATTATCAAAATGAAATAAATTTTCAATAATAATTATAGATATTTGATTAGATATAGATTTATTAAATATTTCTTACTTCATAGAATGCTATAATTAATCTATCTATGAAATCTTGTTTTAATTCATTTTTATATCAAGGAATATATTTATAATTTAATTTTGATAAATGATGAAAGCAAGAAAGTTAATGAGAGTTGCTGAGTAATAAACAACTGAATTGTATGAATATCCAATTGATATACATACTAAAAATTATAGTACGCAGAGATAAAATAGAAAATTGGATAAAATAAAATACAATTATCTCCCAAAAGTAGATAATTGTCTAAGTAAAGATCCCTTTATTAATACTTTAAAATTAACAACATTGGATTTAGTATAGAATTTCGATTATATGGATCCTAATGATGTTACATTTCAACTAAATGAAATGGCTAAACAAAAGTCTTTTATACAATAAACCAAACCTTTTAATCGAATACATCAAAGATCAATGCCTAAATAAAGAAGCAATAATAAATATCTATTTGAACTTTCTAGAACAACTAGAATTAATTGATTTATATCTTATATTATAACATTTCTACTCATATAATAAATCATTCTATGTCCTCTACCCAATTAGTAAATCAAATTTCAAAATCTTAAATAAAGTGCTTTAATATTCTCCTTATTTAAAATTACATAATTCATTAAATAATAGAATAGCAAAAAATCCAGTAATATAGATATATTATAATACTTGAGATCAATTTTAAAATTTATACAAGACTTCAAATAATATAATTCAAAATAAACATTGAAATATAAATACTCAAATTTCAGTATTTTGTTATCAAAAATCGTACTAAATTCATTTAAGATATATATTACATTTATGCAGAATTACATTATTAATTATTCATGATATTAACATTTATTAATTAAGATTTATATTCCATTAAAAAAATATATAAATATCAAATATGTAATATCAAACTTATATTTATTAGTCAGCCAATTTTAGTATATTTAATTTATACCTAGCAGTTAATAAATTAAAAGTTATTTAAATAATATCTAACTATTTGAAACACTAATCTACTCATCTTAAAAAGCCATTCTATATATTTTAATCATTTTTTAAGTTAAGTATACCTAATTCAAATTAATATCTATCAAGCGTTTATTTATTACAATTTAAGTTTTTACAAAGGTTTGTTTATGGAATTCATAAAATACCTTAAATTTTATCAAAAATTAATCTTTCCTTGACTATTTATAAATAATCTAAATTAAATAAAATAATTTATCTTTAGAAGATGAAATATTTATTCAAAATTTTTAAGAATTAAAATTATGTAATAACATTTCCCAATTTTTCAAACATATGTCTAAATGTCATTTAAATTATATTCAAATAAGCTTGAACTTAAAAGTAAGAATATATAGTTATTTAATAATTGAAATTTTAAAATATATGAATTATTCAATTATCTTTTTACAATGCTAATTAAATAATAATCATATCAGTTTTTATAACAAATACAAGGATTTGTTTTTGTACAAAGACTTAATAGAATATAAAATAATTTACTATTATTTATTCAAATTACAAATTTTAAATTAATAATAAAGATTACTTAACATAATTCAAATAGAAAATTATTGCATTAATAAAACCAATATAATATGAAAAAAAATTGTAAAACTAAATTGTATTCATTTTAAATTACAATCACCAAAAAAGGTTTTCTAAATTTCAAAAACTAATATTAAGATTAGAAAAGTAAGATATTGGAATAAAATTAAAGTATAAAATATAATATATAAGTTAACGATTTTACAAAGAAGTAGAAAAAAAATAACAACAACTAATCTGAATAAATGAAAAAAAATACAATTTGTGTGTCCAAATTTGATAATAAATTATTAAACTCCCTTAATTAGCTTGAAAATCTATTAGATAAATCTGAAAAAGAAGAAACTCCTCTTATTTTTGCAAAAGAAGAAGAGATAAAATTTAAATACTTTGAAAATAATAAAGATGACAATGATAAGAAATTATAAAGTTGAGAATGATTTTGATATACATTTATTCAATATTTTTATAAATCCATTTTTAAGAAGTACTAGTTAAAAAAGAATACTATTCTTAATAGTTATTGCGCTAAAATTCATAAATAAAGAATGTAAAAAAACCCATTTTTAATTAGTCAAATAAATTAATTCTTAATTTAGGTTGAATATATAAAAGTAGTTTAATATAAAACATATATATTTTATAATTAATATATTTTGAAAGATTAGTATCATTTTTATTAATTTTTGTAAAATTGAAGATGAGTACTATTTTGATTGAATGAGAATTATTTTCAAATTTAAATTATTAATTTCTTTAGAACATAATATATAATTTAAGTGAAAATAATGATTTTTAAATATAATTAGTAGATGCATAATAGAGATTTAAAAGCAAGATACATATAATAATGGAAATATGTTTGAATGTGGACAGATATAAATCAATAATTTAATACAATTATTAATTTAATGTTTTCTCCGCCAAAAGTACATCCATTTGAAGAAAATTATATTTAGAAAGTGCTAATGGATATTGAACGTAGTCCATTATTGTAATATGAAATACCTTAAGATCTTTAATTATTGTATTTGATTTTAACATAATATTTAGTAAATCTTAAAGTCTATTATGTGATGATGATTAATAATCACCATTTCAAGGAGCTCGAAATTTGCCACTTTAAAGGTTTAATTCAGAGGTTTTCCATGATTTTACAGGATGTTAATAGTAAATAATAGGAGACAATAATAAATTTTTGAAATCAAGATAATTTAGAGCTGACTTATCGAAATTCAGTGGAGATTTTGAAGTGATACATCAGATAGGTAGAGGTTCAAAAGGAGTAGTTTATAAAGTGTTATCAAAAGTTGATGGTTTGTATTATGCAGCAAAGAAAGTACCTTTGGATGATAATATTCAAACATTGACATTGGATGGGTAAGTGTAATTTAATTGCTGTTATTAACATTAAGGATTCTTATATATTATAATGGAACATTGTGAATATTCTTTAAAGTAAAGATTAATGTAAAGAGTTTATGAATCAGAAATCAGATAGATTATAGTTGATGTATGTGAAGCTCTATAGAACTTCCCTTAACCTCATTTACATATACATGGTGGTAATGTATTATTTAGCAAATAAATGAAATATAAGTTAAGTGATTATGGATATTCAAATAATACAATTCATTAAGCACCTGAGAAAATAAAGAGCAAATTGTCTGATATTTACTCATTAGGTATTTTGTTGATGGAATTAATGCTTGAAAAAGAATTAAATCAAATAAGTTCTTTAATATTGTAAAAGTTCGATAATTTATCATATTATTCAGTATCATTGAAATAGTAAATTAAAAAAATGGTATCGATAATTCCAGATCACAGACCTGATATTTAATAATTAATTAATTTTGCAAAGGTGCATTTGGATTAAGAGTTGAATTTACTGTAAGAATAAAATGCTGAATTATAAAAATAAATAGATGAGATCAAACCAAGAAGCAGGAGAAGAATTCAAAGTGAATGATTTTAATTATTAGTTAATCTATATTCATAGTTTTTTAAATTATTAAGTTAAAATGTTTAAATCCGATAGATAGAAGTACAATAAGGAAAGAATATTTACAATAAATTCATTTGGAAAGACAGAAAGTGAAGTTTACCCAACAAATTTCATTAAGACTTCCAAGTATAATATAGTAACATTCCTACCACTATCTCTGTTGGGTTAATTTAGGAGATATGCAAATATTTATTTCCTTTTTATTGCCATAATTCAAAGTTTCCCTATTATATCACCTTTAAATCCAATATCAGCAATAGCTCCATTAGTATTTGTTTTAGGATTATCCATGATAAGAGAAGGTAAATTATCAATTTGATTAAAAAGCTATGGAGGATATCAGCAGACATAAATCTGATAATGAAGTAAATGCTATGGAATGTACTAAGATTGTGAATAATAAATAAGTCAAAACTACTTGGGCTAATGTTAGAGTAGGAGATTTATTGTTTGTGTCTGAAAATGAGATGTTTCCAGCTGATCTAATAGTATTAACCAGTTATTTTGAGAGTGGAGTTTGTTACATTGAAACTTCATCATTAGATGGGGAAAAGAACTTGAAACCAAAATCTGCTATCAAAGAAACTTAAACCCTATTTCAATATAAGGAGGGCGATTCAAAGATATCTATGAACAAAAATTAGTAATTCAAAGCTTAAGGCAATCCTCCAACACCAGCATTAGGTGATTTTGAAGGTTCAATTCATTTCCCTGATGGATCAAAAAAGTATAGAGTCTATAAGTATCAAGAGTTTTGAATGGCAAATAATTGTTATTGAGAGGTGCATTTCTAAGGAATACAAAATTTATAGTAGGCGTAATAGCTTATACAGGAGAAGATACAAAAATAATGAGAAATGCAGAACCTTCAAGAATCAAATAGAGTACTATAGAAAATACAATGAATAAATTGATATTGGGAATATTGGGTGTATAAATAATAGCCTGTGCTTTATCAGCTGTTTTATCTTCATGGTGGTTGCATAAATCATTTAGCAAACACATATATATTATAATGACAGAATAAAATTATACTTTGTTATCTGTCATTGGTTTCTTTTCATTCTTTCTACTTTATAATACTATGATACCTATATCCTTAGTTGTATCAATGGAATTTGTTAAGGTTTTTTAATGTTATTTCATAAATAAAGATTAGGATATGTATTCTTCAAAAAGAGATAAATTTGCTAAAGCTTAAACATCAACAATTAATGAAGAATTAGGTTAAGTTGAATATGTATTTTCTGATAAGACTGGAACATTAACTTGTAATCAAATGGAATTCAAATATTGTATAATTGGTGATGTATTATATGGAAAAAGTGAAAAAACCAATTATTTAACATCAGCAAATTCTAATAATAATAATGGTAATGGATAATAAGATCCTACTCAATTCAAACATTCAGTGTTTAATTTTTAAGATTAAATACTAACTGGAATTATTGAAGATAGTGAAGATTGTTAAAAGTATTCAGAATAAAAAAGAAAATTAATCATATAATCAAATGATAAAAATGCTACATTAGAAATAAAGACATAAAAACAATTAGTTCATGAATATCTTATGTTACTCTCTAGTGCTCATGAATGTATAGCATAGAAAAATAAAAACTCTTAAATTACTTATTAAGGACCTTCTCCAGATGAAATTACATTAGTAGATGCTGCAATGAATTTAGGTTATATATTTGAAGGATAATCTGCAAATGAATAAGAAGTAATTAATATTATTATAAATTTAGTTTACAATTAGAGGTAAATAAAAAAAAGTTGAACTTCTTTCATAATTTGAATTTGATTCAAATAGAAAAAGAATGAGTGTAATAATCAAAGATAATGGAATTTATAAATTGTATATTAAAGGAGCAGATAGTATTATTAAAGCTAGATTAAAACCAGATTAGCCATTTTTAGGATTTATTTAAAATAAATTATCAGAGTTTAGTAGTATTGGATTAAGAACTTTATTAATGGCAATGAAAATTTTATCTGAATAAGAGTATCTTGCATTTTAAAAATAGAAGGATGCACTTGCATCATCTGATAAAAGAGAATAGGAAAATGAAGAATTAGCTAATAATTTAGAAAAAGATTTATATTTATTAGGTGCAACTGCAGTTGAAGATAAATTATAAGATGATGTTCCAGAAACCATTGCAGATTTATTAAAAGCAAATATTAAAGTTTGGATGCTTACTGGAGATAAATTAGAAACTGCTGAAAATATTGCTAAAAGTTGTAGATTAATCTAAAATGATTTCATGGTTATGAAATACTCAGAAACAGATCTAAATAAATTAAGATTTTAATTATCAGAAAATAAATTAACTTATTAAGCTTGTATAAAAGAAAGGAAAAAGAAATCAATTTTAGTAGAAGGTGAATCTCTAGTCATGTTAACTAATAATTAATAATTAAAGAGAGAATTCACAAAAATGGCTATGGGTTGTGATAGTGTTGTATGTTGTAGAGTTACACCAAAATAAAAAGCAGAAGTTGTTCATTTGGTTAAAGATCTAAATAAAATAACATTAGCTATAGGAGATGGTGCTAATGATGTCAATATGATATAAGAGGCACATATTGGAATAGGTTTATATGGTAATGAAGGAATGAGAGCTGTTTAAAGTAGTGATTATGCTTTAGGTGAATTTAGATTTTTATGGAAACTCTTATTAATACATGGTAATTGGTCATATATTAGAATATCAGAAATGATTCTTTATTTCTTTTACAAGAATATGATTTTTACTGTTCCTTAATTTTTGTATTCTTTTTATAGTGCATATAGTGCTTAAACCTATTTTGATGATTGGTATATCACATTTTATAATTTGTTTTTTACTTCTCTTCCATTAATTGCCAGAGCCACTTTAGATAGAAGTGTCTATTATAAAATGAATATAAGAAATGAAGAATACTCTGATATTTATAAGAAATCAACTCAATATCTTAAAGGAAAATTCCCTCTTCTTTATTCAATTGGCTAAAAATAAACCATATTTACATTATCAAATTTTATATTCTGGTGGGGCTAAGGATTTATACATGGATTATTTGTATTCTTCATTACTTATGCATGTTATGATACAGAATAAGTTAATATCAATGGATAAAATGCTGGTTTTGCTACTCTTTCAATTACAACATATACAGCAATTATATTTGTATATTAATTCATTTATTTATTAGATAGTGGATATTAAAATTGCACTTTATACTAAATTTTGGACTTGTGTTAATGTAATCACACTTGTCTTATTTTCTGTAGGAATTTATATTGCATATTTTTTTATCTCCAACTTTTTTAGAGGAACTTATTCTGAATTTACACCTTTTTATTTAATTCAATCTCCAAATTTTTATTTAATTATTGCACTACTTAATTCTATTGTTTTTATATTTGATTTGGTTATTAATGCTATTATACATGAATTTTATTCAAATGAAACTGATAAAATTATTAAGTGGAGAAGAGAGTTTAAAGAATTAGCAAGAGAAGGTAATGTTCTATAAAAAATTGAAATGATGCAATAAGGAAAAAGAGAAAATGGACAAAGAGATTGGGGAGATACATTTTATGAATAAATTTTAGATGAGAGATTAAAATCAGAAAGAGACTAAAATATTTTTGATGAACAATAAGCAATTTTAGATTCTAAAGTCTAGCATTATGCAACATCTCCAGTTAATCTAGATAATAGTGAACAAAGCAATAGACAATTTCATCAAAGAACTGAATTATAACAAATTCCTCATCCTCTTCAAAATAATAACTCAAAAATTATCAATTATTAAATGTCTAAACAATAATAATAGAATTTTCACAATGTAAATGAAGATAGTAAAATAAATCATCCATAGTAATAAAGAATCTATGTAAGATGAAAATAAATTGACATTAATTAAATTATCTATAAAGCATTTATTTTATATAATCACTGAGAAAATTATAATTATTATCTTTATATAGATATTTATTATAAATTCTAATCATCATTTTTATATATGATATATTAGAATATATTGCAATAATTTAAAATAAATTCGAAAAATAAATTTATTATTTATAAATAAATGAGATTAAAAATATCAAAGTATATATATAAAAAATTATCATATTATTCTAAAATTACTAAATCCTTTCTTTATCTAAATTATCTTAAATCATCAAATTTTGATTTATTTAGATTAATTTTGATAATGATTAATTTAATCAGCATTACTCTCTTATTTTGGTTAGCAGCTACAGAATATAAATTAATTCTTTAAGGTCCAGCTTCTAAAAAGATGGACTGCAAAAAACTTGATAAAAGTATTGAATTTATAACATCTAGATGATAATGGATTTAAAGGTTCATAATTTTTTTATGAAAAACTTTCCAATTATGGTTAAAATACTAACTTGGATAAGATTACCTTTCGATTATGGTTTATGGTCTATTAAAAAATGAGATTTCCAGGTAAACAAATACTGTTTGCTTTTTTAGATGGCTACGATACTGATTCTGTAAGGGTAATTAATATAATAGTATATAAATCTCATGGTTTACTTTAATTTGTAGTCATCAAATTATACATTATATGTTATAAATGAAAAAATGAATTCAGAGTTGATGAACATACTGATAGATTAGTAAATATAAATAATATTAGAGATAAAATGATTTCTTTATAGGATACTGGAATTATCTTTTGATTTCTATAGATTAAAGTAGTGGAGATGTATTTTTAAATTTAAAACTCTTCAGTACCTACAATTACCAACTATAATAGTTTTAAGATTCTTTGCCATCAAAAAAGTATATTATAGTATATAAATTTTAGATTAAATTTTAGATTTGGTGTACATTCTAGAATAACAAATGAATAATTATATCAAATTATCTAAGACTATAAAGCCTGTGTTTATATTGCTAATTTTGAATATATTAATGGATGGACAACAATGGACAGGGAAATATATTTTTAAGATTAAATAGATTTGAAGTATTCTTTAAAACCCTTCTAGAGTGAAGGATTAAATGTAAATTCTTAATTTATCAATGTAAAATTGATAGATCAAAAGAATATTGAGTATAGTGGAATTATAGGTTTAAATATTTATAAAGATACTAGAATTCTCTATAATTTTGAGGAATAGATGGATTCATTTACCATTATATTTTGGATGAAACCTTAAAAAATTAGTTCATTTTTTAAATTAATTTCATTAACTGATGAATATGTAAAACTTATTAGTCTAGGATTTGGTGTTAATTAAAATTATAATTTTTTGATATTCTAAAATAAATTAGAAATTTATACTGGGAATTTGAATCCAAATTAATGGAAACATATTACAATAGGAATATTAGAAATATCAAGAAATTAATATTTTAAGGCAACTAATTCTGTAAAAATGTTGAAGGTATATATAGATGATTTAATGGTTTATTTGTAATAAATTTAAAATTTTAAATCATATAAAAGATTATTAATTGGTCCATTATTGTTGGAAAGTAGAGGTTAAGAGGTTGTTGATATTTAAGATTTTAAGATTTTTAATGGATATGGTATTTATGAATCTTCAGGAGATTGTCGATTATTTGCAGGACTTTATTGTGCATTCTGTAAATCATTGACACATTATTGTAAAGAATAAGATCCATTAGATGATAATAATATTTATTAATGTCCAGCAGGTTATAGAATAGAAAATGGATATTGTAAACCTAATACAATAGCCTTGTGTTTAAGATAAATTGGAGGTAGTTGTATTGAATGTGAATAAAATACTATTCTAATATAAGGAGAATGCTAACCTTAAACATAATTAAATAGAGTATCTCCTTATCCATGTTAAGGCTTAAATGTTGTATTATGTTAGATTACTAATATTGTAAAGAATTCAGAATTAACATCTTTATAACGAGCACGATTGTGTAATTCTAATTTATATAATATTGCTAAATTTGAATGTACTGATAATTAGGTTGCATCATGCAAGTATTCATAATATTCAGGTCTTTGTTTTGAATGTAAAGCATCATTCTATTTGACAGAATTAAAGGTGTGTGTTTCAACTTGTTTTAAAAATAAATAAGATAGATTTAATTATATAAATAAGTGTGTTTAAGATTGTCCTTATAAATATACATTTAATCATCCTTGTCCAACAACTGGAGGAAAAGAACCTGATTTAGGGTGTTCTCTTACTCCTGATTGTCAAGCTGATGAAATTGATCTTGGATATACTTGTTTATCTATTAGTTAACAGGAAATAGGTAAATCTGTAGGTTGTAGATCAATACTTATGTCTTAATTTGCTCCAAATTAGCCATTAACTTGTCATCCTTCATGTAAATATTGTTTTGGAACAACTGATAGATAATGTTTAGGCTGTTATGAAGGGATTTATTATACTCCATATCTTGGAATGTGCTTATAAAATTGTTCTGATAATAGAGAAAATATATTTATATATCATAATACTTATATTTGGAAATGTGAATTAAAATGTCCATCAAATTTATTAACATAAGATAATATGTGTGTATAATCTTGTTTAGATGGATATGTAGTTTTTAATGGAATTTGTAAAAGTATAAGCATAGTTGATGAATATTTTTTATCTAGTGAAATAGTTGAAATAGAGGGAATCAATTAAATAATATAGTCATGGAATTATTGTCCTTTATTATGTAATACTTGTTAAAATAATTAAATATGTAATAGTTGTATTAATAAATATCCATTTGAAAATAATGTATGCAAAATTAGTTGTTTCCCAAGATTTTCTTTAAAAACAAACAATCTCTCAACATGTAAAGATTAATGTGATCCAAATGAACTTACATTTTGGAATGATAATTTGTATGGTTATTAAATAGCAGAATGTTTTTTAAAGAAATGTGGTGAAATTGAAGCTGATTAAATATATTAATCTTATCTTCATTAAAATGATAATAAAAAATGTGTTTATCCATGTGATGATGGATATTATGGTAATTCATAATCCATTTTATGTAAACCATGTATTGTATCATGTGCAACTTGTATAGATAAATCTCATATTTGTACTTCATGCAAACCTCTATTATTTTTAAAAGGTTCAACTTGTTTAACATCTTGTGGATAAAGTTTTAAAAATTATATGAATTGGCAATGTGAAGTAGAATGTTCTTCAGGATATACTATTAAAGATTATACAAATAATTTATATGCTTGTGTTGAAAATTGTGGATAATTATATGCTACTTATTTATATGTATGGAGAGGGTAATGTTATGAAAATATTCCTGATATATCTGTTTTTTGTATAAATTATTAATGTGAAGATTGCCATTCATCATGTTTATAATGTTAAGGTCCTAATACTAATGATTGTTTGTCTTGTTATTAAAATTCATATCTACTTAATAATGAATGTGTATAAGATTGTGGAATTTTGAAACATGATTAAATAAATTGGAAATGTGTAGAAGAATGTCCAATTGAATCATTACAATCTATAGGTATTTCATTAATCTTAAATAAATAAATAACTATTTGTGGACTAACATGTTTACTTGAAACATTCTAATTTAGAAATGAATGTTATGCTTAATAACCAATAGAAACATTTTGTTTACAAAGACTAGATTATTAATTTTGTGAACTTTGTTCTTCTCTTTGTACAATATGTTCTTCATCTTCTTCATCAGATTGTTAATAATGTATTTCTACTGCATTTTAATATGGAACTACATGTTATATGGAATGTCCAGATGAAGCACCTTTAAAAGATACAATCAATAAATAATGTGTTGTATAATGTCCAACTGGATTTTCTGAAGATGGATATTGTGTTGAGTTTTGTCAACCTATTTCATACATATACTAATTAAAAAATGCATGTTATACTGTTGGATGTCCAATTGGTACATTTAATGAAATAGGTTCTAAAATTTGTTAAGATTGTTATATTGGTTGTGCTACTTGTTATGGAAGTAATTAAAGTGAATGTTTAAGTTGTATTGTTGGATATTTTATTGATTAAGAAACATATTGTAGTGATTCTTGTTTAATAGAACCAAATATAATTGAAGATTAGATTAATCGAAGATGTGTTTAATTTTGTCCTATAGATTCTTTCTTATAAAAATTAATTAATGGTCGTTATGGATGTAAAGAAACATGTCCAGAATATTATTATTCTAATATTTGTGTTTCATATTGTCCATCTTAAACATATTAAGATGGATATGCTTGTATTAGTTGTGCATCTCCTTGTTCAATTTGTTTTGGAAGTGCTATCACTTAATGTACTTAATGTGATGTTGGTTATTATTTATATGAAACAACTTGTTATTAAATTTGTCCATTTGAAAATCCTTATGCAAATATTTAAGATTCAAAATGTGTATAAACATGTCCAAATTTTTTATATTTACCAAAAATGCTTTGTTTTGATTCTTGTCCTTTCTTTTTATATAGATATGAAATTGATAACTAAAAATAATGTGTTGATAATTGTCTATCAAAATCATATTTATTAGATTAAGACTGTTATCCTTGTGATTCAATTTGTAAAGAATGTTATGGACCTGTTAATGGAAATTGTTTAGAATGTGAATTACCTTATTTTCTTAATGGATAAACTTGTGAAGTAACTTGTCCTTCATTTTATGATCTAACTGTTCATTAATGTAAAGCAGCTTGTCCAGTTAATTTAGTAATCTAAAATATATATTGTTAAACTCAATGTAATTAAGATTATTTACAATATGGATAAAATTGTTTATTACAATGTCCTTAATTTACTTATTTAAACAATAATACTTGCTAAAATTGTAATGCATATTGTTTAACTTGTTTTGGACCTAACTTTTCATAATGTTATTCTTGTATAGATGGATTCTATTTAA